GCTTCGTGGAAGGGAATCGGGCACTGGCAAACTACCTAACTACATCCCCAAGATGACCCGGTCGAGGTCTGTCGCGGTCGATGAGTATGGAAGTAGTCGTCTCCTTTGCCTTTGAGGAACCGGCTCGGAAGTTCAGATGTTGTCCGGGGTGTGATTGAGATCGTGCCAACACCAATACATTGCACTGCCCTACATGATAAAATCCATTTGTCCGTGGCAGCCCAGAGGTCTAAATAATCGGTGTGAAAGAAACCCCGAGAAAGGTTCTTCGCTCTTTGATAGGGAGAGACGAGGGAAAGATGCATACGAAAAGCTCGCGAGTTGATTCGATTCTGTCTCTTCCGCCGCGTCGCAGCATCCGTCACGCCGGCCCAGTCGTCCTCCCGGTCCAGCGCCTCGGCCAGCTTTGGCATTCGACACAGTTGGATCCTGTGCTGTACGTATGTGGTTGGAGTGGGTCGGAGCTTTGATGGCTGCTCTGCCATACGATATATATGCAGGCTGCTTACCGCTCGCTTAGTCCTTGCCCGACGTCGCAAGAAGGTAGATAAATACATATGCACGACGAGATGCTTTCACGTTGGTGATACGGTCGTCATAGCCCGGGCGGCGTGGGAGATGGTCCCGGTAATCTCGAAGCGATAGGCTGGATGCTCATGATGACTTCTACATGAACCCAACCCCTGTTGTAGACGCATTCTCTGTTCTACATTCAAGAGCAAGTCGCCATGACTCTCCACCCTGATTCTCTCCCAGACCTCACGGACAAGGTGTATGCCCGTCACCTCCGGAAATTCTGGCATGTGAGTCTCCTGTCCTGTCTCGCGACAGGGGGCCCTGGACGAGTGTCCCCTGGGCTATCAGCCCTAAGATGAGGAGGAGAGCAGAGTGGTGCTTGTTTCCAGAGAACTGCGGATTCGCACAGTTGGGCAGAGTGTCATGGCCAAAGATGTAGGGCTAGCTGCGAGGCTGGAGGAATGGACAAGAGCAGAAATGGACAAAGAATGATGGCTCGGTTGATTCTCCAGCAGAATAAAGAGGATACGGAGGATACAGACAACTGTGGCAGTATGTTTAGATATCGAGATATATAGCAGTGCAAGAGCAGTGGCGGTAGCCTATCAAGACGGTGATGTCAATTATATATCGTTATCGATAAGGAGGGACAGCAGCCCGCACCTCGTTTACGCAGCAAGGCAGCTTGGGCAGTCCAAGGCAGTCCAAGGCAGTCCCAACGCCAATGAGAAAAAAAAAGTCATCGACTCTTCTCAACACCTGATATACCACTATCATCGAGGGTCACTGCCATCGGGCTTTTCTTCTACACCTTAGCTACTCCATTGACCGACCTCGAGTCCTCTCCCTAGCCTGCTGATACGGTACGGTCATCTCCCGACACTTCTTCATTGCACTTCCGACAATGGCGCCGACGCCGGTCACCATCATTACAGGCTTTCTAGGTGCCGGAAAGACAACATTGATACTGCATCTTATTCCGCAACTTCCACAGACCTACAAAGTAAGTGCCAAATTACCGTGAATGCAGAGAGGGGCCGGCCAACCTGATCAGGGCTGCCCTTGGCTTGGTCCATGTCCTAACGGGAGCACAGCTCGCGCTGCTGAAGAACGAGTTTGGCGATGTTGCCGTAGACTCACAACTTGCTGGCTCGGCCTCCATCTCGGGTGTCCGCGAACTCTTGAACGGATGCATTTGCTGTAACCTCGTCGGCCAACTGAGTGATGCCCTTTTCCAGCTCAGGGATTCCGTTGCACCCAGCAGAATCATCATCGAAACGTCCGGCTCCGCCTTCCCTGCTACCCTTGCCATGGAAGTTAACCGTGTATCACGAGAGAACCCAGGCTCATTCACACTTGACGGTGTCATCAGCGTCATCGACGTCGAGAACTGGAAAGGCTACGATGACACCAGTTACACGGCAAAGATGCAAGCCAAGTACACCGATTTGATCGTCTTCAACAAGTGGGAGCTCGTCGATGAGCGCATGTTTGAGGATGCGCTGGACCGTGTCGGCGATCTGGACGTCCAAGTCGCTTGGGTCAAAAGCCAAAGGGGATGGGTGGATGTAGAAGTCATCATGGGCATCGATGGGGCCATGGTTCGAGACGAAGGGTTGCGCGGAGCGATCGAATTCAACGAAGACAATGCGTACGGAGACCACCACCACCATCATCATCAAGAAGAAGTCGAAGTCCTGAGCGTCGTTCTTACTAATGAGGACGTGACCAAGCCGCCCCAGAGTGTTGTACTGGAATCCTTCGAGGACATGCTCCTTTCTGCACCCAAAGATGAAGTCTACCGCATCAAGGGGCTTGTACTTTCCTCCCGACCACCGCCGGACTCCACCGGCGACCGGAAACCCAGCATTGCGGTCGACTCCGAGGGCCAAAGTCTGTATGTTTTGAATTGGGCTTTTGGAAGGTGGACATATACGCCACTTCCTAGCACGGCTTTTAGTGCCATGGAAAAAGCCAGCGCTCGCCTGACCTTCATTCTAGCCAGGGGAGAATCAGGCAAATGGATCAGACGACTAGAGAACGGTGACTTCATTGCTCTCGAGGGGGAAGGAGGACAGAAGGAAAAGGGCTCGCTGAAGATTGACAAGATAGGGTAATTGCGGACGAGCACTTGACGAGAAGCTGTTTCCAACTGCACAGCCAAACGACGATGACAACAGTACACAGCTGCTAGATACCGCGGCAAGGTGAAAGTCATTACTTCGGACCATTTAACGACCCAAACAAACAAACCTTCTGAGCAACGAAAGAAATATCACCTATCTTCATATCATGGCCTCAGGTTCTGGCTTTTCTGCCTGCGAATCAGCTTGCTTGATGGCTTGCGGTCCCAAGCGAACAAACCTAACAAGCAGTTTTCGATGTCAACACCACCCGCCTGAAGCTGAACATCTTGTTCCACTCCCACCTTCCCTCGATTCTACCCCGCAAGCAAGTCACTCGCAATCGCAGGCAATGAGGTTATACCTGACTATAGGTCTGAGATTACCGTTGCAGATGCATATTGCCAGTACGCCGCGTCATTGTGAAAAGATGCAGATATCGGATTGTTTGAGAAAAACAAGGGCCGCTTCCGTCTTCCAACTTAGGCACCGAGTCATCCAGTGCAATCGGGTCTCTCTCTTGGTCTGTCTTCCATGGTTGCGTCCCAGGTCAAGCGATATTGATGACAAGAAGCCTCCTTGTCACCCGGCTTCTCGTCGACACGATTACCAGAATTTCATTTCCCTGGGCTGGCGTATGCATACCATGGTGTGAAAATCCGCTTACTTCTGGCTGATTTAGGGTGACGGGGTCCAGGCTATGTGACCGGGACATCACTTGATCAGCCGGTATCTCGAATGACGATGAGACAACATGGGCCCTTGGACACACCTGAAACGGCAGGATTCTCCATAGCCTTTCCGCGGGAATTTTTGGGTAAGTCACGTCAGTCGAAGCCTTTCAAGTCACCAGGCTTCGACTTTCGGACGAGGTTCTTTACACATCAGAAACTAGAGGGTTTGAAAAATTAGAACTACATTGACAAAGATAACGACTTGCTTTTCGGGGGAAGTTTCTTTTCATGTTTTTAGCGGAAAAAGGTTGGCTATAAACTGCGAGAAAGCATGGTGGGAGTCAGACAAGGAGCCACCTAGGCTAGATTTCTTGGGGACATTAGAAGCAATGGCTACAGGGGGGGAAGACAAACAATGGTGTCCAATTTCCATTTCGATCGCTCTGGGAGTTACACGGAGCAGATCTTCAACCAGTCATTCTCACAGCGTGGAACAATTTCATATATCTCCTCCTCCTTCAAGCGGATTGCGAGCACATACTCATACACTTACACAAAGAGAGACTCTGTCTCAATATTCAACCGTCCCATCCGTCCCTCTCTCCCTCGAAATCGCCCTCAATCACCTCATCCACCCATCCACGCACCAACACATACTTCAAATCACAACAAAGCCCTCACCTCCCCACGACCATCCAGGCCCATGAACCTAACGACCTGGCCGAGATGGTCGAAGCCCCAGAACCCCTCGGCCTGACCCTGGGCATTCTCGCACTGGAACCAGGGCAAGCCGAACGCGCCGTCCTCCATGGCCCGGTCGGTATTCGCCACCAACTGCTTCTTAACCTCTGCGTTGCCGAGACGGGCCATGTGCATTCTCACAACGTCCTCGCCCAGCACGGGGGCCAGCACGCGCGCGAAGACCGCCGGGTCCACGATCTCGGACTCGTTCGGCTCCGTCCACAGCGCCGCGTAGAGCGCGTCGAGCGCGCGGATCAGCGTCGCCTGTTCCTGCTCCCCCTGTTGTCCTCCGCGCTCAAGTTTGGCCTTGGCGTCGTTATCGGCCATCCACACGCTCGTCAAAAACCGCTGCACCTGAATCGTCGGCTTGGGAAAGCCTCTGGGAAAGCCCTCGGACATGGGGACGTGGAACTGGCGGGCCCAGCGCAGGCGCTCGGCCCCGATCCAGCGGTCCTTGTTGCGGATCTCGATTGGGGAGGTGTTGCCGCACAGCTTCATCAGCCCGCCCAGCAGGATCGGGACGTATGTGATCTGCACATCTCGAAAAATGGGCGAGTGCTGTTTTTATCGCAAAAGGAGGAGGTGGGGATTAGCATCAAACTTGGACTTGGACTTGGACTTGGGATTGGAATTGAGATGTCTCTCTCCCTCTCGCCTGCTATCTTGGTATGTATATTTCAACCCCCGGCGATGCAGAGCAAGGCGGGAAAATTGGAACGCAAACTCACGCGCAGGAAATAATAGCCCAAGTACGCAAAAGGGCTGACGATGTCGACGTAGAGGGTGATTTTTCCTCCTCCTCGAGCCATCGTGACTGACCGTCTAGAGGGTTTTGCCTGTTCGGTTGTCTTTTGGCGCTGCGCCGTGCCACGCCCTCTTCAGCGTGCACCGCTTGCAGGTTCGTGGCTGTTTCCTCTCCTTCTTGACTCGGATGGCGGATGTCGAGGTGACGTTGTATTTTATGTATGTTTGTATAGGTTATAGCTGTATGTATAAGTGCATTTGTGTGTGTGCACATATATATATATATATATATATGTCCATGAGCGAAGCTCGGTTTCGCTCTATTCTCCGTCGCCCGCAATGAAGGTACATAGCCTTGGAGCCGAGGTTCCTCCCCCATCTTGACCTCTCCAAATGTTCGCAGGGTAATAATTATTAGCTTCTACTAGCCTAATTAGGCCTATGCCACTTTAGTCCTGGCATGCGATAACTTGTCTTGCTGGCTTGCTGGCTTGCTCTCGGCTATTCCAATCAATCAATCAATCAATCAACCTACAGTATTCGCCCGACCCCTACCTAGATTGCTTCAACACTACTCGGTAGAGTCCATTTCCGTTTCCAGACCCTACCGTCTCGCCACCTACCCTGAGTGATGACCAAGCTATTTTGAGATGTGGCTGTAGTCGGGAAAAGGGGTGATAACTCCTGACTCTCAGGCTCCCAGTTCGCGGCGTTTCGAAAGCTTCGCAAGAGTTCAGTTCTACGACCTCCTTAGTCGGGTTTCTTGCGAGCTGGCGATTACCTGATTGTAGAACGTGCCTCAACCTTGTTTCTATCTCGAGGTATTCCGGGCACTACGGCACAGTCACGCACCTCCCTTTCCGTCGTCTTATTTTTTTTTCCCCTTGGCACTTAGTTTATGGTAGCTTCACTAAAAATCGAGATAAAACAGCTGTAAATAAATCAAAAATTCACGCTCTAGAGGAAGCTCCGAAGTAACAATCTAGGCTGTATATATCTACTGGGTAGTAGTAGTGTCCTCATTATAGAAATGGGGCCCGAAAGAGCATAGCAAGCTACGTGCCGGAAGAGGGTGAAATCAGCTTTCAGCAGTTTCTCTCCGTCGCTGCTGCATCGCCCAGAGGATGTCTTGGGCGGCCAAGTGAGCAATCACTCGACCCGAGGACCGTGCATGTTGCCTCCTAGGTATATGCGATGTGAACTTGACGATGGTATACGGCGAGGGCGAGAGGGCTTTCCTAAGATTCCAAGAAGAGATTATCCGATAATCGCCTGCTTTTGTATATGAGACCCCCGGGCAACGGGAACGTGTGTTGCGATCTGGGGCAGTTTTCAAACACCAGGTGCTTTTCCTGGACGCAGCTCCAGAATACCTTTATGGCTTTCAAATTTTTGCAAAAGATTGAAAACATGGGGAACAAGAGCAACAAGGAAAGAACTGTGGCTTCTTGTGCCGAGGATGGGAACAGTCACTCTGTTAGGCATCTTATGTTGATCGGCATAATGCGCGTAATGGAATACTTTGTGGAGAGCCCTCCTCAACCCATAATCTCGAAAAGCTGGCGCCTAACTCCTTTCTCTTCTGGCGAGCGCTTTCCGTCCGTGTCTGTCATCTGCACGACTGGTTTGATGCCCTCACTTCTTCAGGTCTATTGTCACTCAATCATGACCGCTGCACAGATTCTTCAAAACTTGTTCTCTTTGTCCTTGACGGGGAGGTCCTTGCCAGTGGCAGACTTGTCTGTGATGGACGCTTCCTGTCAGCTCGCAGTCATTCTAGGCGGGGACAATGGTGGGTTGTGGGCACTGACACTGGTTCCGAATGAAGTCGCTGATCTGCTCGTCTTTGGCTTGTTCAACAGCGGACTCGTTGTCTTGAGGGCCTTGGCCGAGGAACTTCTCTTGGACGAAGTCGACTCCTGGCATTGAGTGGCCTTGTTAACACATCACGACCCACTGAAGAGGGGGGGAATTGGTTCAGCGTCGGCTATGGCAGTCTCACCCTTGTCAAGATAATCCTCATTCTTCTCACTCTCCCGTCCTCCACCGGCGGCCGCATTGATCTTGTCGCCCAATCCCCCAAGGAAGCTGCCACTACCGCTGCCGGAAGCGCCTTGCTGGCCGCCGCTCTGTTTTTGTTGTTGCTCGTTGTTGCCGCCAGTGAAGCTGTTGAGGGCACCTTTGAGTTGATCCATGACTGCGAGAAGGGGAAGCAAATTCAAGTCGGTCCGAAGAGAAATGTCTGACGATGGTCTGATCTGGAGACGCTTGGTTAACGTTAACAGTGAGTGGAAGAAGAGAAGGAGATAAGAAGCAGAGAGAAAAGAGGAAAATATAAGTCACCACCCAGCAGAAGGGTGTTATAGCTGCTTGGTGGGTCAGAGTCGTCACCAGTGGGCTGGACGAGAGCAAAGTCAGAGTGATTCAGAATGCCAAGTGGCTTGGTTTGCAGGGAAGAGAGCTCTGGTGACGGACGGGAATCTTGATACGAGCATATACGGGCCAGGATGTCGTGGTTCAAGGTTGCGCGATGCGCGGGTAGCCACAGGACAAGGCACAGCTACTGTATGGGAAGAGCAGAGCGCACCTGAGCACACATCCAGAACGAGGGGCTGCGGGGGGGCACGAGCACCATGGCAGCCAATGACGTCGCCCAAGCCGGATCGGATTAACTGATGCGGAATCGTTTCAGCTGCAGTCAAAATGAGCTGCCAACTGCACAGCCACGCCCATCATTAGTTGCCAACTTTGCTTAGTCCCGTACTGGGCTCGTCGGTATCGTCCCAGCTGAAAGCGCTGCAAGGGACAGTCACTCATGCCCCGTCACTGGCCTCGCCATGGTCCTGACTAGCCCTCCTCTCAGCCTCCTCACTTTCTTCTTGCTCCATCTCCTTTTCCCAATCCTCCACCACTTGCTGCTGTTGGGCTTTCTTTTGCAGCTTCACCTCCTTCCTTTTCTTCGCTTCTGCCAGCCGACTTCCCAGCACTGTATACACTGGTCGTTGGCCGACCGGCATGACCTGGGGTACTACAGCAGGTGCAGCTTTCTTGGCTACAACCTGAGACCATCCGTTTGAAAGTGCTGCAATCGGTCGGCCTTGTTGTTGAAGGATCTTGGGCTCCAGGTCTGAGGTGTCGAATTGACACAGGACAACCGATGCCCCGAGGTTATGTTTGGTCACCTCCCCAGCAATTGCAGGGTACAGACTGGTAAGAAGAGTGACCAACTGCTCAGGAGTGTCCGACGAGAGGGTGGGCAAAAGAGCGACGCCTTCATCGTTGGATAAAAAGATAATGTCAAACTCGGTAGTTGGCGCGGACTTCTTGACCAGAGGCCGCAGTTCGTCTTCCGTCAGTGCAAATCTGGGCTTGGTCAACAACAGTCCGTTATAGTCATGCTTGACCTCGTCTGCTTTTCGCTCCGGCGCTGATTGGATCGGGGCAGCCGCATGCAACTGTGCTCGCTTGATTCTAGCAGCTTGAGCCAGAGTCTTCATAGGGGCGGATACAAATTTTGGCGTCTTGAACAACACAACATGTCGATGTGGCTCAGGATCCAGACTTTTTCCGTCGAACCCAAAGTCTTCGGCCAGGCTGTGGATAAAGGCTCGCTGCCAGTTTCTCATGGGCGAAAACCGATATCTCTTCTCGTTTTCGTCCGCTGCAAAGAGCCGTAAGATTTCTTCCTGCTTGTGGGCCCATGCAACATCTTCCAGATACATATTCAGAGTGTCGGTGGAGTAAGGGACATGTTCGTCAGTATGACCATCAGGAATATGAAGCGCCAGTGCCAGTTTGCGATTTCTCTCCAGCCTGGCGCATTCATCGTCACACTTGAGTGAAGTTTGTCGACCTGGAGGCTCAGGCACATGCGCCCGAACATTGCACCTGACTTCTTCCTGTTTGCGCTGGCAGTCGCATGTAATCATCACCTTGAATGGACATGGTTTATCTTCCTTGCATGCTGAAGGAGCATGGCAAGGCTGCTCACAGGGATGCCCGCAGGTCTTCTTCGCCTTGCCGCACTCTTGCTGGCACTGTCGATGGGCATCTTCACATTCACCCGGCTTGTGACATGTCTTCTGGCAGGCATGAGAGCCACATTTGAGCGGCTTCCCACAGATCAATCCGCACAACACATCGGCCCTCCAGCATGGCTGATTTTTCAATGTCTTTTTGCCGCAGAGACATTGCTTTTCGGTGAGAAATGGACACTTGGGGCATTCCTCCTCGTCCAAATGACAACTGTGTGCCACTAGAGGGTGGCCACAATCTTTCATCCTGGTGCACGGGAAATTGCACGGCGGCGGTCGGGTGCCACACGGCAAAGGGGCCTGCAGCACAGTCCTTCCACAGCCGCATGAGATGTCGTCAAATATGGCTTCTTTGCAGCTGGCGCAGGGTCCCCGATGGCAGAGATCTTGACAGACGTGGTTTCCACACTTCAATTTGCGACCACATGGTCGAGTGCAGATATGCTCTGCCTCGATATTCTGGTCGAAGGCCCGCAGCTCTCCAAGAGTAGCCACTTTGAGTTTTCTCTTGGTGGCTAGACGTTCAGATGCCTTGCGCTCCCCCGTGCAACAGCGTTCACCGCACTCGTGGCGTCCACAATTCAAGGTAGCCTTGCACAAACGCGTGCACTGGGGTGGCTCCTCGGTGGCTTCGTGGCAGATAACGTCAAACGAATTACGGCCACATCGACATGGCGTGGAGACTCTGAGCATGCAAGGACTGCAAATTCCAGTGTGACAAAGCTGCTTGCATTTGTGGCCACACGGTAATGGTCGTCCACATTCCTTTTTGCAGCTCGGGATCGGATCGGTACAGAGTTTTCGAAGCCCATTCTCGAGCTTAGCCAGAGGAGTCTTCCCACAGGGGCAGTGTGTGACAACGTCGACGGACCACGGGCAATGTGGTGTCGCGGTATCTTGCGGATGACATGATTTTTCACACCGATGGGTTCCGCAGTCCATGGGCCTGTTGCATTGTTGACCGCAATCGAAGAGGCCAATCCAGTCACCGCTTGGTTTTTCCTCGCCTCGATCTTTACATAGTATCTTCTTTTGCACCTTTCCACAGTAGCACCAGGCATCAAACTCAGTCGTACAAGCGCCACAGAGACCTTCATGACAAGGACGTTGACATGTGTGTTCGCCGCACGGCATTATGTCGCCGCACACGGCACCGCAGCTCCAGCCCGTCTCATAATTTGTTTCGACACATTGTCTTGTCGTTTCCTGCTTGCCACAGTAACAAGTCTGCCTGGGGCCCATCGCTCGACATGGCGGGCATGGGCCTGCGTGACAGACGACATCGCAAGGATGTGGACATGGTTTTGGAAATTTCCTTTCCCGGCCACAAGTCTGACCGCAAGAATGAGGAGGTAGACCCGTAACATTCTTTGGATCTATTTCCTTCTCACACCAGCAAGTGTATGCAGATGGGAAAGTTTCCTTTGGTAGGTTGCAACCGGGACATCTCCACTGCTTTCCTCCCTGCGTCTCTTCATCACTTTGGCCTGCAGAGCGAGGAACAGCTGAGCCCTCATTTTTGGACCATCTCTTAATGCAGCCAATATGGAATACTGTCCAACACGTCCGACAGGACCAGATTTTCGAGGATCGACCGATTTCGTTTGTGCATATTGCGCACTCGTAGAGATTGCGAGAGATGTCCTCGTGAATTCGAGTGGCGATGTCCGGGGCTGTTGATCTGGCAATCGAGCCTCTCCGCTGCTGTGGCGTTCGGGTGGATATGTTCTTGTTGCTGGAGCGAGGAGGACGAGGCCTTGAGTCTCTGGGCTCTGAGCTTGCTTGAGAGGTCGGTGGAAGTGAGGATGGGACGAAAGGCGGTGCTTCTGGGTGTAGTCGTGTGAGGCGCCCACCAAAGGGTCTCGCTGCGGTCTGCCTGATGGGAACTGTAGTTTCTGCTTGAGAGGCCGTCAGCCTGCTGGGACCGCCTCTCCGTCTGTGTCTTTGCCCTCTGTTACTGTTGTGATGATTCGGTGCCGGTGCCTGCTGCACGGCTGGGCCTTCCATGGTCACAATGGAGTGAGGGTGATGGATGCCCTGCAAGGCAGACTCCAGTGGTGGCAATTAAACGTGACAAGATGGCTAATACAAGCCTCTCGTAGTGTTCCCAAAGGGAGTGGTAGAAGCAAAAAGCCTCGGTGCACAGGGAAAGAGTAACGACAGAGAATAATTAATTGGTATTGGACTTGTATGGTTGGCACTTGGTGGCGGCTCTTCTACTTTTCTGGAGAAAGTCCGACCTTTCTCCAAATTTCTGGCACCGGCACGTCACCGGCACCGCAGTCCCGCCTTTGACTCACCGACGCCAAGAAATCACGAGGCTCTACAAGGCTGACCAATCACCAGCAACTTCTCGAACGGTCCAGGCCAAGTCGAGAACTCGCTATGGCTCCCTCCAGCCAGGATGACGCTCCCACGATCTATTCAAGGAGCTAGCCAGTCCGTGATGACTCTCATGCCTGTGCTCGGGAGAGGGATTTATTTGTTTGTGGATTTTTCAAGGCCTGCCGTCGGTAACCGCCCTGCGATGGAGTGCTCTGTCCCAAACTGAACGCCATGCACCAGTCATGCCCATATGCATCCCCCCTAGTTGACTTGCGTCCCGTATCCTCGAATCTGATCGGCGAATGCCCAACTTTGATTCTCCAGCTTCTCGTCTTCGTTGATCTCGACGCCATCTTTGGTCACCACCGCAATGCTATACTTGTCCATGCTCCTAGCATCTCGATAGAACAATACCTTCATGCATTCCCTGACGGCATTGATGGCCATCTCCTTGGTAACATCTTTGACACTCTCTTCGTCATGAGGCATGAGTTTTCGCAGTAGAGGTTGTGCCAGATGTGCGCCGAACCCTGTTGCCAGCGTCGGAGCAGAGAAGGTCGTCCCAAGCAGATCCGCACTGGCCAAGAATGGCTTCTCTTCCTCATCCAAGCCAGCGATGAGCATCATGTTCCATAACGGGTTAAACTCGCTTCTCCTCTTATACATGACCTTGGAGAGATAGATATGAAGATTCCGTGCATTCAGCGTGTGGCCAGATGAAGAGAGGTAGTTTTCTCGAATGTCCAGCGACTGCAGTAGCCGGTCAAGATATTGCATGTCTGAAACGTCGCCACCGAAGCCAACCACAGTATTGGGAGGGAATGTCCGCAGACGCTTGACGTCCGTGAATCGCGCCAGGGAGCCATAGGACGCTGACAAGAATGTGTTAGCTTGGTCGAAGGCAAGCACAGCACCTGTACCCAAAACATACCTAGATTGTCTGCTGCTACTACAACACCGTCCTTGAACTTGACCCCTAGTACGGACGTCCCTGTTACTGCGGGCGACTGCGTATGCGTCTGAGGCATCGACGTCTGAAGGTATGAAGAATCATATGCGCCGTACACATCATCTCGGGGCTGATCCAAAGTTAGCTTCGTCGCGCTTTGGTGGGAAGGGACAGGACTCACTCGACCCCAGGCCTGAGGATAGTGATTCATCGCGGCAGATAACTCGCAGAGAGGTTCGAAGAAGCGGAATGACGAATGTCAGCACAGAGATCAGATGGGAAATATGGGTGTTAAAGTATGGTCATTGATTGAGCCGCGTCAAGAAGTGCAGCCTTGCATGGTTGGTGCTCGGCAGAGCTGCCTATTGCGTCAGGCCCGTGGCAGTGGCTGTCTTCACTTCCAAGCACCCAGAATCCCGCAGACACTGGGCACATTGAGCGACGCCAAGTTCCGGCTTATAATCGGGTATCATATTCTATGCCCAATGGCTTAATCCTGAGCTTCGGTTATATCTAGATGGCCCTTTTGGCTGGACCAATTCCCTTCATTATGTGTACATGCCCATCTCTTGCCTATGCATTTCTCCTTCATCCTGAGGAAGATTTTCGGGGGTCTCACTGCCACGAGCAGGCAACGGCGGACGTAGCCGTTCCTGCACCGTTTCTGGCTCGTCGCCTTCACTCCCGTGATCATGTGGCAGCGGATGGAGTTGCTTCCTAGTTGATGCTGCAGTTGGCTCCTCTACCTCGTTGCCACGGTCCGGGAGTGGTGGAGCTTTAAGTTGCTCCTTCATCATCGCTGAGGGTTCGCCGTGACCAAAAAATTCATCGTGATGTTCATCATTAGCTGGGCTCGTTGGTGCCGATTCCATTGGGGCCTCGACCACTAATACTTCGTCTTCGACATCATCCTCGGCCTGCGCAGAGCCCTGTCTTTTGCGTCTTTCCGGAAGTGGTGGTTTAGGTGATGATTTAGCCGAGATCGACTCGTGGGAACCATCCATCTCTGGGCGCTTTGGTAGCAGTGGAGGTGGGACGGGTTTTCGCTTCGGCGCTAGGAATGAATTCGGCCGGCTTCTCTCAGGGGGAGGCAGAGGGACGCCCGGAGGTGGAAGCGGTCTTCCACGACCCATCGGCTCTCGAGGAGTGGGAGGACTCCCTGAAGTCTCATCCAAACTCCTCAGTGTTGCTGTCGCTTGAGCTTCGCGCTGTCGATTTCTTGCGAGCACGCCCCAACCCCATTTTTGTGCGGCCGCGGCGGCTGCATTGACTGATGCCAGTGCCTGTTTTCTATCTGCACTGGTCAACGACCTCGCGCCGAGCGAGAAGCCTTTTGGAGGCTTTTTCGTGTCTTGCGCAGAGGTTGGCCTCCCATCCTTTTGATCACCAGAGTCGGTAGATTGAATGGAAGCGCGGCTGGCATTTGTTAGGGTTCGTGGCAAAGAAGAAGATCTCCAACCGGATTGGTCGTCTTCACCCTCGTCTGATACCCCGGAGGCGTTGCTTGATGACCGCCCCTTCAAAGCTGCTGCCAGGGCAGACTCCACGGAAGGGGACCCAGCTGGAGAGCCGAGCTCCGACCCGTTTCCGGAGACCGACCTGGCCGATAGATCTTTGAGTATCGTGGCAACGCTCTCTCTATGTGTAGCAGGATCCGCTCCTCGAGTAGGCGTGTTGGCGTCAGCATGATTTGTAGTAATGGTGGGATCTGCGGCACTGGCGAACGAAGTTGATCGCATCAATCTGGGTGTCGATGAGTCGGTCTTTTCCACTATCTCCGACTTCCTCTTGCCGAAAAGGTCATTCAAGGAAGCCATGGATTTCTTCGCAGAATTGAGCTTGCCCATGCCGTTAGTCTCAATCAAGACTGGCATACTCATGACTCTATCATCCTTGGACAGCTCCACCGGTGTGTCCACCCCCGAGCTTCCCCCTTCAACGACATCTTCAGGTTCCTCATCAGGAATCTCTGTAGTCGTCGTAGACAAGGGCTCTGTCTTCCAGATGCCACCGCGATATTTCTGATGTTTCGTGTCGAAGAAAGGCACGTCGTCCCAGAAGGGATGGACAATGCTCTCGGCCACCACTTCTCGAATCCTGCTTTCGATTGCCCTGAGTATGAACGTGTATGTGATTTGCCGAGTACTGACAATGGGTTCGATGTCGAGTTCCAGATGGGGCATTTTCTCAAAAGTGAACCATAAACGGTTGCTGGGGGGCGGTTTGCACCTGACCAAGACATGACCCTGAAGTAGTTTGCATGTAACTGCCAGAACCATGTCGACTTCTCGGGCCTTGAAGCGCGTGCCCAAATCAATCCGTGCAGTGGCAGCAATTTCAATCCTAACTCCTCCAGTGTAATCGACATCTGCTTCAACCGTGCAATCACCGTTCACAGTCAAGTCCTTTAATCTCGGGTTTGTGAAGAAGGGAGCACCAGTTCCCAAGTCAATTTTTCGCAGGCCCAGCTTGGTAATGAAAGTGGGCTTCCTAACTCTTGAAATCTTCTTGGTGAGCTTTTCTCGGATAAAGCCTTCCAGATCTGGGGTCTTGTACATGGCCAGAAACACGCGGCCGATCATGGCATTAAGCCATCTTGTCTGCAGGTGCTCCTCCGACGAGTGTAATTTTTGTACCAGCAATACAATGTGTTCAACTTCGAACAGTTGCGGCCCCGGCGGCTCTTCGTTGCTGCTTTTCTCTTGGTTCTTCAGTATAGCATCGTAAAAGTCCTCTTTGTCCGACTGGCTCTGCCCAAAGAGAAAGAATGGTAACGACGTTGCCTTGTCTCCTGTTTGGCTTTTTTTCCGCCTCAGTCGAATCGCGTTTCGCTTGATCCATAGTTCTCCTTCTGGTATTTCTTCTCCACCGGCATAGATATCGACATCGTGATGGTCAAGGGAGATGACATAGCGGACTTCCAATTGCTGTATGTCATCGTAAAGCATGAGATGTCCGTGCCTAGTGCGATCAGTCAGGCTCCATCCCCAAGCAGCAGCTGTATATCACAACGCACCTCAGAACCACATAGAAGACATTATTTGTTTTCCTAACATTCTTCCCTGCACCATCTTTGTTAGGTTCTATTGTTGGTTTCTGTGACCGGTCGAATATGCTGCGGTACATGCTCTGGTAGACGCTGGGAGACTCCTGCACCGCGACGTCGCCCGGAGGTGTCGGCTTGTCTGGTGGCTTGCCAGGGACACCGCCAGGCACATATTCTCTGCATACCGCGAAGTAGCCAGCGGCGACATCAGAGTCATGCTTTCGATGGAACTGCTCGGCGAGATCGTCGGTACCAGTCTTGAATGCAATCTTGTCATCTTCAGAGTGGATCAACTGTGCAGGATCGTCGTTGGACCTCGTCTTTTCCTTCTCATTTTCGGGTGGAAGGAGCGTGTAGTAGGCATAGAGGAATACGAGGGCGATCAGAAGCGGAACGAAGGTGAGACCACCGAGCACATAGACGAAGAGGAACCATTTTATTAGACCCATTTGCTAGCCACCGCATCGAAGATACGCTGCTGGGGGGCGGCACAGTCAAGTGGGAGCCATGTGGTAAATGCAGCGGAAAGATCAATCTGCTGCAAGACAAGGAATTGCACGATGCATAAGAAAAGCGTAGTTAGACCGAATGAAGTCGCGGTGCAGGAAGCCTGGGACACGTTGAAGTGCGGCCTCCAAGACCTCCTCACCACAGCCGCCGCCACGACCGCCTACTCGTAGTGACAGCCTTGGTGGCCCAGCGAATCGAATGACGTATTTGCACCATGCTCTTGAGCTGCCGAGGCTCCACTTGGCCCGAATTTGTGGTGGACACGTGGTTTGACAAGGCTGAGCAAGGCTGAATAAGGCTATGACCCTGTTGGCCTCTCCAACGTAGAAAGCTTTCCTACTCGTAGTCATGGCGCCTGCCCTTTTCTCGCCATGATGCCATATGTTACTTATGCCAATGTTTTGCGAGACCCGTATATTGTTTTTGATTGAAGCTTTGCTGTTTGGAAAAGAGCCCCTTAAGAGGAAGTGTGCAATGGACCCGGTCTTTTCGGAGAAGCCAGCGTTCCATGCGGCCAGATAGGTCGTATCGACTGGAGCCGGCAACACCGCACACACCACGGGATAGCCTTGTCACAATTCTAGCATTATGTTCATGACAAGTTGACCGGATCCGGCTCAACTGGACACCCGTTGATCATATTCCCGAGTGAACATTGCTGGTATCTAAAAGAGGAACCCGCCATATTCATCTCTCGTTCCATTCTGGTTTCTGGAGGTCGCCAGAAATCAATGTTTCTTGATGCCACTCGGTTCTCTGGAGATCGTCATATAATTTTGTCTGCTGTCTCACAATGTCTACACTCGAACAATTGCGTCAGTTCACTACAATCGTATCCGACACTGCCGACTTCGAAAAACTTGGCCATTACCAACCCCAGGATGGTACCACCAATCCTTCACATATCTTGAACGCGGTAAAACTACAAAAATATACACAAGCAATATCTGCAGCTGCCTCGTACGGGATCCCGCAATCTCGAGACCTCGAAACCCGGGTTCAACATGCAATCCTACACCTGATCGTGTCCTTCGGTGTTGAGATTCTCAAGCGTATACCTGGCTGTGTGTCTACTGAGGTGGATGCAACGTATTCTTTCGACCGCGACAGAACGATTGCCATGGCGGGGGACGTGGTTGGACTGTATGAGAAATTTGGAGTCTGCCGCGACCGGGTGTTGATCGGGATCACGTCCACTTGGGAGGGATTGCAGGCCTGCCAGGTCCCCGGGCAGGAGGGCATACACTGCACCATGACTGCCATGTTTTCAATGGTCCAGGCGAAACTCGCAGCGGAAGTGGAAGCGTCGGTCATATCACCTTTTGTTGGCCGGACCATAGACTGGTGGCAAAAGTATTTTCCTGGGAAGGACTATACGGGGTTAAAAGATCCGGGCGTCCAACTGGTGACCAAGATATTCCATCATTACAAGAGTTTGGGCATCAAGACGCAGATCATGGCAGCCAGTCTCAGGAATATTGGCGAGTGTGTCCATCTCGCGGGCGTTGATCTCATGACCATTAACGTCGGGTTACTCGAAGAGTTGAAGAATGCAGATTACGAAGTCAAAGCCCGTTTGCTTGTCGCTAATGGTAAGCCTGCGAGCCCACCATCTCTAAGGCGGCTACCGTGAGTCTTCAACTAATTTTGTTCAGGTGAACTCAAAGCTCACAAAGCGTCTCCTGAATATCTACAAGATGAAGCGAAATTCAGACTCGACCTCTTTACGGACGTGATGGCCACGGAAAAGATCAATGAAAGTCTGCGCATATTTTTCAACGACGGCGAGGAACTGAAGAAATTGCTCCGACTCGCCATCATCTCGCAGATAGGGCCTGGACAAAACGGCCACCACAAGAGCGACCTGATGTAGATCATGAAAAGTGAGCGATACAGAATGGTAGTGTCGAGATTGAACCATTCGACATTTCATATATTGATATCTATCAGAACTATGTCAAATTCACACAGACAAGGTTTAAAAGAATGCTACCCAAGTATGTAATCTAGACACCCCTAAGCCCCTATCTTTAAACTGCTCCAGACCCACTAAACATAGAAATATCATACACCATTGAATTCCCTAGCTCGAGCGTGGTCTAATTTTCAAGAATTGTACCGCCCGAAAGCCAGTCCAGACTGTTAGGTCCAGAGTCCGAAGGATCCATGTACACATCATGGTGGAGGCTACCATTGTCCAGTCCACACAGATTTGGCGCCTGTTGATCGAGTGGATGAGGGTCGTGCGGCCTGCTAATTTGCATCGGTACAATCTGTTTCGGACACTCGATAGGCTCATCGGCTGACGGTTTAAGCATTCTCTGGACCTGAAACGCGAGACCTTGATAAGGATGGCTTTCTAACAACCCAAGGACAGATCTAACTTGCGTCGCTGTTCGAGCTCTGTCCAAATAATCCGGCCACTTGTTTGCGAGTTGAGGAGCCAAAATTACTGCTGGGCCATTAGCAGCGTCCTACAGCAGACGAACGAAGAACCTCTTCAGGAATGGTATACTGACGTAAAAATGTGAGCATCAGGGCAGAATACGTCGGCGCCCACCGAAAGTGCTACCTGTAAGAACTCGAATGGATGATAAGATGGAGCTGGTCAGATATGACATCCGTCGTACATACGACGAATAACTTCCTTCATGGTCTCCAAAATTGGTGAACTGCTATTCTTGTGCAGTCGACCAAGGATGGAGCAGCACACTCTGATCGTAGCATAATTCTTCTGAGTCCGTAAGCTCACTCGATTAAGAGAGTGTTCGTCTACATTATATGCTTTACCAAGTCAGCGCGCTTTATCCGGCTCCCATGACGGCTGTGCCGTGACTTGAGCGTAATAATTTGCTAGTTACCCGCTGCGGTAGGGAGTGAATGTACCTTCAAATCACATGTCCCAGTGTTGGAACCATTCTTGTGCCTTCTCTTCAAACTCCTGGACAGGAGTTCCCAGAAATGGCGGATACTGATGTAGCTTTTTCGATATGGGATTGAATATCACCTGGTAGGTATTTTAGACAGTTCGTTAGACAGTGCATGCAGTAGCTTACTCCGGAGTTGTACAATCTCGATGGTAGAGATGAATCTCATGTCAGAGGGATAAGAGACAGGAAGATCCAGGTAACACCTGAGCAAACATTGGTCAAGCTCGTCAATGCGGGGGTTTCGTGCTGTGCCGAAGGCGAGCTCACGTTCAATATGATACAAGATAAGGCATGTACGGGCCTTGCGGCCACAAAACCGGGCTTTTCGACTGTGAGGCGTCAAAGTGGCACCGCTGAGCAACTCATTCAGTGCACAATCCAGACCCAATTCTAGGGCCATTTGATGAGCATGACCAATTGCAAACCAAGTCTTCTCCGCGTTTGCCGCAAGCAACGTCATTGCCTGCACACTCTCCAGAGTTGGGCTCTCGAAGATGCTGTCGCACACGTGACGACGAGCCTCTTGGAAGCAAGCGTCTCGTACTCTTGCCAAAAGGTCTGCCGAGACCTCGTGTGAAATATCAGTTCTTTGCTTGAGGGCAATGAACAATATCGCGATCAGACAAAAAGGTGAATGGTTTCGTAAAGAGTCGAAGGTATCCACTATGGGATTGAAAATTGGGATAAACGGGTTGCCACCCTCAAAATAGCTGAGTTAACGTCAAATTAGCAGCGGCATCATGCTGTGAGAGCACAGACTGCTTACGACGCGAAGAGAAATCGTGCATGAGTCTCATCTTTGAAAATCTCCGAGACTACATCTGATGTTTCACAGGGAAGAGGTACTGATTTTCCATCAGATGCTAAGCAACGTTGCCCATGTAGAGCACTTCCATCATCACCGTCCACAGAGCGGAAAGGTCCCTCTGTGTGGGGCGACGTTGACTCCATCGATTGGACAGCGGTGACAGGAGCATTCAGGTGGCGGTAATGCATGTAGTCAGCTTGTGGTGTCGCGATTGAAGAATCCCGGTTGTCAGATGAAAATCTACCAGCACTTCTAGGCTCTCGCGCGGTATCGTCATCGTCCTGTACATGAAAAGCGGTATTGAATCCAGGGGTTGCGGGGTTAGGCACTTCGGTGTTGCGAGACTGGCACGAGCTAGGAGGTTCTGTTGGATGCTCCCGCTGCTGAGACTGTGTAGTCGTCGAAGATGACGAAATGGAACTCTGAACCACTTCACTGGAGCCAACAGTCGGCTCAGCGCACGAGCTGAATAGACGAAGCCCGGGTCCGTAGAGATTTCGCGAGATCAACTCGGCTCTCTTTGGCAATCTGGGAGACAGCCTTCAACTCTTCTCTCAGTTGTTGAATTTCATCTTCTAACTCCACCAACCTGGACCGACACACGAAGTTAGCGTAGACAACCGAGGTGGCTGGGGCAGTTGAGCATGCTTTCGTTTCTGAGCTCCGTTAACAATCCCCGTGGCCGCTGGTTCCCTGTCTTCGAAAATGCACGGCAGTCCGGCATTGGTGCAGCGAGGACATGGAGACTCCGGGCTTCCTGTGCATCTCATTTTTTGTCGCCGGCAAGTCCGGCAAGCTTTTAGCCTGCGCCGGGGGACTGGGTCCATAGTGGTCTCTATGCCAGGACGCGATGACTGTCGGATCTGATCCATACTGCTGATACATAGAATACTCTAGTTCGCTTTGTCGTAAGCTGTTTGACTCTTCACTCGCTTGGGACGAAGACGAAAGATACAAGAACGTCCGAAGAGAAGTTGATGGATAGAGAATGATATGCTTGGAGTTTCCCCTTCGCCCCACAGCCTTGGCCCGGAAGTCCAGCGTTTCCGGACTGGTGTTGACCCACCCGGACCCGGTGTTGTGTATCTGCTGCCAGATATTGGTCAGTCCACCTATGTTTGCCCCTGTCCAGAACCCGGGGCCCCATGGGACATGGTTCTCCGGCAGTCCACTGCGGGCTTTTCTGCTAGAACTCGAAGATGGGGCGTGGAAATTCTGGAAGAGGTGAAGCGTTGCGGCAACTAGTCTCGTTTCCACATCCTTGTTCCAGGCAACAGGGAGTAGTTGGGTGCACGAAAATAATTGCATGTCGACGATTTAGCTCGGCCCAGATAGGCTCATACGCGCTGTGGCCCCGGACGAGACACCCTAAAGACGGGCACGGGCTTTTGGTGATTGGCACCATTCTTCGATCTGCTGGCAGCAAGATATCACCCTGAATTACGGAAAAGATGCAAAACATGCCTTTTAAACACCCAGAGGTGGTTCTGGAGCACGAATAAGGCGTTGGCGAAGTCCATTTGGTGAACCCGCTTCGGAGCCGGGCATTTGACCAGGTTGTGGTGAGTCCACATTGCCAAGAGCCTTTACATGTTGCTCGATGATCCACAGCCCGATGCCACTTCTTTCGCGGCTCAACATGGCCTGGAAAATTATACCCAAGTCCTACAAAAAGGAGCATTACTTGCCCAAAGCCAAGGCGGTTTGTGACAAAGCCTTCCGACTAGGTGGTACAGTTTTTGACTGTCTCTCTGAACAGCCTTGAGCAACCTTGACCTTCTAACCGACGAAGAACGAAACACCCTGCAACGGGAAGTCGAGCACAGTTAAACGTAATTTCCAGCTCTCGCACGATGGAGTCAGCTGATAGATCCATAGAATGGCATCACCCACGCGCACTCTATCGTTTAATCATACTTTGCAGTATTGCGGCCGCTGTGAATGGCATGGGTCTAGTCTCTATCAATGGCGTAAACATCTTTTTCCCTAAGCAGTTTGGTATCGACGGCTCTGGGAGGTAAACTTGGATCCTGGAACTTGTTAATGGCGCTCCATACTTTTACTGCACCCTTTTCAGTGTTTGGCTGACTGCTCCCCTGAATCGGATAATGGGAAGATGAAGTGTCATGTTCCTGACCGCCTTCTTCTGCTTTGCGGCGTGTATCTGGTCTGCGTGCACAAACAAATGGGTGTGTTTGTCGCTCCTCGACCATTGCGCGGATCCAGCTGACATCTTACGGCAGTGGCATCTCATGATTGCACGGATCTTCCTTGGAATTGGCATCGGGCCGAAAAGCGCAACATTGAGCGTTTACGCAGCTGAGTGCGCACCAGCGAAAACCAGAGGGGCCTTGACAATGGGTTGGCAAATCTGGGTTGCGTGAGTATTTTTTCCACACATAACGATCATTATCTCACTATCAATAGCTTCGGGTATCATGCTTGGAACCGCCTGCAACATGGCATTCTACCATGTCCCAGAGCGAAGTGGTATTATTGGATTGAACTGGCGTCTTATGCTTGGAGTCGCCGGGACTGCCTGCGCTAGTTATTCTAACAGTCGTATACACCAATCCTGAGTCGCCTAGATGGCTCATGCTGAAAGGTCGTTATCGAGAAGCCTTCAAAAGTCTCCAAGCTCTCCGGGGATCAGATATTCAAGCCGCTCGGGATCTCTACTACATTCACGTTCCCCTTGAGGAAGAAACCAAATACCAAGCAGCCCAGAAAGGCATTTCCATTACTCGGCTATTTACAGTACGGGAGGAACCGTAACGCTGTCACCGGGTCCAGCATCGTGATGTTTGCCCAGCAATTTTGTGGAATCAATATCATGTCCTACTATTCGGCCAACATCTTTCACACGCAGGTGCGAGTGCATCACACGCTCTGCTGGCGTCTTGGGGCTTTGGAATGTTCAACTTCATCTTTGCATTCCCCGCAGTAAGGACGATTGACACCTTTGGACGCAGAAAACTCCTTCTCTGCACCCTTCCGTTGATGACGGTCTTCCTTTTACTGGCTGCTGGGGGCTTCTACGCCACCGATTCGACGGCGAAATTGGCTGTCGTCGCTCTGGGGATCTATCTCTACATCATCGCCTACAGTCCTGGAGAAGGGCCAGTGCCGTTCGTTTACTCAGCAGAGGCATTTCCGTCGGCCATGCGAGATGTTGGGATGAGCTTTGCAGTGTTCGTCTGCTGGCTTTTCAACTCGATTGTGGGATTAACCTTCTCATCCATCCTGGATAACTTCACTCCTCCCGGAGCCTTTTTCTGGTATGCAGGTTGGAACGCGGCCTTAACGGTGGCGATTTATCTCTTCCTCCCTGAGACGAAGGCATTATCATTAGGTACGCTTTGAGGCTCACGACCCTATTCTAATCAGCAAAAATGCGCGATCAACTCCAACATGACACTGACGCCTGACTACAGAAGAACGAGATGTTGTTTTTGACGTCCCAATGGCGACCCACGCGACATTCGTAAGTCATACCATCCTTTAACGTTTGACCAGACATTGCTGACAGCAAGGATGGCATATCCGCGCAATACCGAATAATTTTAGAAGATATATACTCCGACAAGATATCCCGAGGAAGACGTTGTATTTTTTCGAGGCAGAGAAGTAGGCATCGGTGGGGTGCGAATCGTTGCCAATGGATCTTCTACTCGGAGATCTGTCTCTCGGCGTATGTCAGTCTAAAGCAAGCAATTGAGCGATTGTGAAAAGGAGATGTGATTAGGAGGGGAAAGACTTGGTGTACAGTCATTATCCTCGAACAACGATTGAGTTACATAGCAGCGAAGTTGTTGATCCTGGTGACTCTGACGATTTGGTCGGCGCCAGAATCACCGATCATCAACCCCTCGACTTTAAAGCTGTGATAGCTATCATTGTCCAGAGAAACTGATATAGCGAGATTAATATTGAGCTTCGGATTTTGGGTGAATTCTTGCTCCAAAAAGCCAGTATGGCCGGTATCACGAGAAAATTCCATGTTCTGTTTATTGGAGCGGTATGCAAAGTCTTTTAGCATTGGACTTCGACTTCGGAACTGAGACTCTTCGATATAGGGCAACATCACCTTCGGAAACGACAATGTCCTTTGGAATCATTCCCTTCAGATCGAGACATACTTGGGTGCACGATTAGAGGTCATTGGGATCGTTGATCCTTCAGTGGAACGCGTCAAGCAAGTACTCCATCAGAAATGCGCGTCGGCGACAGCGACCTGCTATTCGAAAACAAAGCACTTTCTCACCCTCCACGAAGTTCAGGAGCAGTTAAAGCGCACGGGGGTTCACCCAGATCTCATTGTGTTAGCTACTCCCCCTCATTATCGAGGAACCACGCAACCCGGCCGCGACCTTGAAGTTCAAGTCATTTCCGCTTTTGGCCCTGCACCTGGTCTGTTCTGTGAAAAGCCCATCTCAACAGCCCAGACCACTGAGGTCTGGCCGGTTGCCAAATTGCTGCAGCAATCAGGTAACAAAATCGCGGTAGGATATATGCTTCGATATCTACAAGTGGTACAGAAAGCAATCTCTATCATACGAGACAATAACATCAAGGCCATGGCTGTGAACGCTCGATACAGCATGGCATACTCGAAAGTGAGAAAAGTGGACTGGTGGAATAAGGCAAAGCAGTGCGGACCGATCGTCGAACAAGCGACTCATTTCTGTGATCTCTGTCGATACCTTGGTGGTGAGATTGACCTTGACACAGTCAGGGCTTGCGCTTTGGAGCATTATGAATCTGCTGGTAAATTGTTGAACATGTCTGTGGATGAGTCGCAAGTGCCTGTTGAGGAGCGCATCCCTCGAGTAACAGCGGCATTCTGGTAGGTCTTTTCACATCGGTATCAAGGCTCTTGAACAATATCTGGTTAACAAGAAGCAGGAAATACGAGAGTGGAGCAGTAGGATCACTAGTGCATATAGTTGCATTGCATGGTATCCGATATTCCAACGAAATCGTCGTTACCCGTGACGGTTTCCAGCTTCGACTCGTTAATCTATACAGCAGCCCTACACTTCACGTTAGGTAAGTTGCCATAAAACAGGGCTTGATCCAATGGTCTTCGGTTAGAGTTTCAGGGCGCGGAACACAGACTCGGGCTAAGACGAGGAGACATGACACAGTAGCTCACATTGACTGTTTTTCTCAACATGACCCCGGCGTCAGAGCAAGAAGAATCGTTCACCTTTCTCAATGACGACCCCTTTTACTCCGAGTTTGCAGGGTTATTGGGGTCACTCGACGCTCCTCCTATCCAGGGAAATGGGAATGGCGAGGGAAACGAGAAAAAGGAAATTTCGCCCACTCCAACTCAAATTTTATCATCATACGAAGACGCTTGCAGGACCTACGAACTCACATGGAGAATCCGAGACGAAAGTGAGAAGTCTAGCGAACAATTTCGTCAACATCGACCCTCTTCGTAGATTTATCCAAGGTTCTTGGCCGCACGACGAGCGATCTGAGTCTTTGGAAAGTCTCCAGATAGCTTTTGGTGCCCTGCTCTCGACTTTTGGTTTAATCTAGCCGGAGGTGTGCACATGAGGCACGCGACAGTTCCAACGCAAGATTCTCTCTTCTCTAATCAATTAATCCACAAGCTAGTACGTTCAGACTTTACGTCCCCATGATGCAGCGACTGCTCTGAGCAAAATATCATCGGTGTTATTTAACACGACTGAAGGCCCATCTCAACGACTCCTAGCAGCTAGCATTCGCAGATTGGCCGCCACTTATTGTTATCTTGTTTGAACTACATGGAAATGTGAGTGTAGAGCAGAAGACTAGAGGTTCATCTCTCCCGCTTATCTGAAGACCTGCTGTAAAACATTGCAGACAAGAAATTGCATGCTTTTTCTGGCTGAGAAGGCTCCATTCGCGAGGCGGCCCCGAGTTAAAAGTTAACGTTTGTTGGCGGCGACCATTCCGCCGCCAATACCTCAAGCAGCAGTGCTGCCTTCCGAAAACCTTTGGCCGGTGAAATTCAGGCGGTTTTGTTGCACGCAACTCCCAACTTCAGAGGTCCGTGGGATTATCCTATGGCGGTACCGGCGGACCGCCAGCGGCTCCACAAGAGGCATATCAGCGGTGAGCTGCTCCCGCCGCTAACACGAACATGGAAGTATGCGTACCGATAAGGCTAGTGGCTCCACGAGGTTGTTTTGATTGCGCATGTAACTGGTTTTTCAGCCAGGCCCCTTCATCCTCGGCCATGGTTGAACACGTCCCAGAAAATTATGTGGGCCTTCATGAACAAAGGTATGCGACTCGATTACCCTCCGCGGGCAATGAGGATTAGTGTGGTACTAACGTACTTTCAAGACCAACCCGTTACTCCTGTTCAATACGCATCACCTCGGACATGCTCGGCGCGTCACGCAACCCCAGCTGTCCTACCCCGTGGGGTCTGAAAAAGGCACCTGGTATCAATTTCGCCTTGCTTTGGAGGTCTCGTATCACATACATATAATGCAATCTCTATCCCGCCAAAGCTCATGACTGTGCTTTAATTCTCGTTCCCAACTCATTGTCCCAAGAGCCTCGTCACTCTGCTTGAAGACTTTAGTTCATCTTTTAATTACCCACACGCAAGCATGGCTGAGAAAGCCCCATCTGAGAGGGTGGAATACGCCTCTCACGACGAAGTCGGAGATACCTCCACAGCAGGACACATTGCTGCCGACACCATCAGGGAGAACAACACCGCCAGGTACAAAGACGCAGTAATGCTACCCTAGCACTCACATCAAGCTGACTGGTATACACAGACTTGTCAACCCTCTGGTTGGAATTCCCAAAGAAGATCTGATGCGGCAAGTGGAATGCTTTGCTACCGACAAGGATTTCCTCGACATCCTTCCTCTCCTGCAGAAGGGCGCATATGTTGCTCAAGCAGCCGTGCCGCTGGCAGAAGTCGAAGAGCTCGACACTGATGAACTCGAGGCTCTCCAACACGAAGTGAAACACAGATGGACCCATCCATTTGCTCTCTATGCCACCGTGTTTGTCTGCTCAATTGGAGCGGCCGTACAGTATGTCTTTGCAGAATCCTCAGTTAGCCAAAATCAAACCGGCTGACGCACTAAGGGGCTGGGATCAAACGGGCTCAAACGGCGCCAACCTGACGTTCCCAGTTGAGTTCGGCATTGCCTCTGGCTCCAGCAGGGACAATTGGCTGATCGGTCTGGTCAACGCCGCTCCCTATATATCTTCTGCGATCCTGTAAGTTAGACACTTTCATGTACAGTGGAGCATGCTAACGACGTGAAGTGGATGCTGGCTATCTGATCCGGTCAATGCTCTTCTTGGTCGCCGTGGGGCGACTTTCCTGGCCGCGATTTTCTGCATCTTTACACCCATCGGCGGCGCAGTGTCTCAAAACTGGCATCAACTACTCTTCACAAGGCTTCTCATGGGTTTTGGGATGGGCCTCAAAGGTATATATCTCTGGTGGACTCCGAGCCCCCGAGTATGGTTTATACTGATTCTTTTCGGGTAGCTGCGACGATTCCTATGTACGCCGCAGAGAACTCTCCGGCTGTAATTCGAGGTGCCCTAGTCATGGGTTGGCAAATGTGGACGGCCTTTGGCATTTGCCTCGGGTTCGCCGCCAACCTCGTTGTCTATCGGGTTGGAAAAATTGCGTGGAGACTTCAGATTGGGTCTGCTTTTATACCCGCAGTGCCACTCGCGCTTCTCGTCTACCTTTGCCCAGGTATGGCTATCCTGGTAAACGAATGCCTATCCGCCACACTATCTGCTAACAGCGGTCTTCAGAATCCCCACGGTGGTTAATGAAAAAGAATCGCTATAAGAAGGCGTTTGAGTCGCTCTGCCGCTTACGGAAACACAGGATCCAGGCTGCACGCGACCTCTACTATGTCCATGCTCAGCTGGTCATAGAACATGAGATAGCAGCTGGATCGACCTATATTACCAGACTTCGCGAACTCGTCATTATCCCTCGCATTCGTAGAAGCGCCGTAGCAGCCTTGGTTGTCTTCATGGGCCAACAGTTCTGCGGTAAGTTGCAGTTTCTCGTTTCAAGCTGCAACATTTTCAGTGTCTTACTGGACTACCTGTCCCTTTTTTTACAGGGATGAACATCATCGCCTTTTACTCGTCGACTGTCTTTGTCCAAGCAGGGGCCTCTGAACACACCGCGTTGCTTACTTCTTTGGGATATGGTGTCATCAATTTCGCTTTCGCCATACCGGCAATCTTTCTCATTGATAGGTTTGGTCGGAGGTAAGAGGCCATGATTTTTGCAAGTGAGACATTCAGTTGACTCTGGGGCTAGATCTCTGCTTCTCTCGACCTTCCCACACATGGCCTGGACGCTACTTGCCGCGGGCTTCTGCTTTTACATTCCCGAATCCAGCAAGGCACACGTTGGCATGATTGCCTTCTTCGTCTACGTGTTCACCGCTCTGTACTCGGTTGGTCAAGGTAATATTACTTGCTCCATTGGCGTCTCAGTCCTCCTATAATAATCAGCTTCTAATGACGATTACTATAGGGCCCGTCGCTTTCGTGTACTCTGCCGAAGCCTTTCCTCTCTCACATAGAGAGATCGGCAACAGCTGGGCGGTTTCAGGGACCTTCGCTTTATCCTCGGCTCTATCGTTGACGTTCCCATTGATGCTGAGCAAATTTACAGCGACGGGTGCATTTGGATTCTACGCGTAAGCTCCACCTCTGCCGTCCTCAGCAGCCATAATGTGCTAAAGATGGTTACCCTCAGGGGCATGAATTTATTCGTCTTCATCTTGATGTTCCTCTTCGTCCCTGACACCAGCGGCCATACGTTGGAAGAACTCGACTACGTCTTTGCAGTACCCACGAGACGATTCATCAGCTATCAACTCAGGAAGGTGTGTGCGTCCCACAAGCCGACCACGAAGCTCTAATTCTGATCCAGTCTAGGTACTGCCATGGGCCTTGAAGCGATATCTTCTCTTTAGGCGTGGGGAGCGCTTGGAACCGTTATATCACTTTGAGCGCAGCGGTCAACAGGAATCGGAATTCCATGTTGAAGAGGGGAAGACCCGACTTCAAAAATAGCAAATACGTCCTGCATCCAATGTAGCCAAAGAGTACATGTAGTACTCGACAACAATGAAGTGGCCACTGTATTAAATAGCTGTCGGCATAGGCGAAGGACAGAACGTCGTTACTTCCATCAACAAACGAAATGTTCGGCATAAGTGAAGATCTCCTTCCATCTATATAATATTCAACGGCCTTTTAGTTAACTACCAACACTTTGTTGACCGCGTCACTCAACCTCAAGCTCGATTCGGGGTGGTTTGAGGCTATCACCAGACGCACTCGGAAACTTCTGTGCCGGCCGGGTAACTGGCAAGTACAGGCAAATGGCGGAACCGATTCAAGCACGGCATGCATATTCGTGTTCGTGCGCCTCTTTATCTGATATTGGACTGCGGCGACCTTGCGAGTTGGCTGCAACAGAGATAAAAGTCTTTTCTGGGAGCTCCACTGATATTGTAATGTCACCTCATTGAAATCACAAACGCACGTGTGACGTCGCGACTGCTTTGCTTCCACCGAAACGGCTCGTTCGAAGATGGCTCACGTATTGCCACTTCGAAAAGATCTTGTCCCTCGCAAGGGACAGCCGCCTGGAGCGGCCTGGATCTGAGGTGAGGATGACGAGGTGTGAAGAGGAAAAAATTCCCCAGCTTGCACGAAGTCCAGGTACATATGTGCTAATTCAGATCTCCACAAGTATAACTCGGGCGGCTCAACCTCCTTACTCCTGACAGAGCCTTGAACGCAATGAAGGAGGCGACGCAGGGTCGAGTCGTGAATCTCAGGTACGTGTAGTGGTTTACCACCGGCTAGCGAGCGAAACTTCCACCTGCCCCATTCCTGTAAACGCTTGCTGACTGGTGTCAACTCGGGTTTCTCTACAGTCTTCCCCTGGATCAGCCCTCCACCCCGATGTACGGCCGGGACGCGTTCCAACAGAAACTCACGCAGGTCGCGCCTCATGCCTTTGACGAAGTCTACGTGGTAAATCCACAGTCAAGCTCCCAGTGGGACGAGTTTCTTCATATGAGCCTCCAGCCCGGCAGATATCTCAAGCCTACACTCATTTACCCAGTTAATCGCTCCAAATACAACTCGGTCAGCTGATGGGCATCTGTCTCCAGTTCTGCCACGTCCCGTCCGGATTCTTTTATAACCAAGTAAACCACCAGAAACCCAAGAAAGTTAAAAGTGTGGGGGAGATTGATTGCCATGTCCGTAACATTCTTTATCATGTCATTAATGAGAATAGGTCTCCGCCAGTAATATTCGCAAAGATGGCCCGAAGCTCGGTGTGCAAGCGTGGGCTACGCACGGCATCGCAGGCCGCGGCCTGATGCTCGACTTTGGCAGGTACGCCAAGGCAAATGACCTTGGAGTCAGCTAGTTTGACAACTACAAGATTTCGTATCCGACCTCGGTCGCAGTGGCAGCAAGTCAGGGGATCGACCTGAAGCCCGAGAGCCAGGGTGGCGACGTCCGCATCGGGGACATACTCCTTGTCCGCACGGGGTTCTTGGAGCACGAGGCGTCGTTGTCCGAGGAGGAGAAGGCGAAGATGCATCTACGAAGGCACGAATTCTCACCCGACGACGGACAGCGCTACATAGGCCTCCAACAGAGCGAGGAAATGCTCGACTTCCTGCACGACTCGTATTTCGCCGCCGTGGCTGGAGACCAGCCGGGGTTCGAGGCCATGCCATCGGATGCTGGTACGTGGCCCGCCATGATCCTTTTCCGTTCTCCCACCCCAGCAACAAACGTCTGTTACGCGCGCAAATAGAAAAGAACCCCACGAACTGACAGAGAGACTTGAAAACCAAAACAAGGTTTCTACCTGCACGAACACCTCTTAGCTCTTTGGGGCTGCCCGATCGGTGAACTTTGGGACCTCGACACCCTTGCAGACTGCTGTGCGGCAAACAACGAGTGGGTTTTTTTCATTGCGAGTGCTCCTAACAACGTCAAGGGTAAACCTTATCCCAAAATATCTAGTGCAATCTTGATTGACATATATGTGCTCAAGACGGGGTGGGGAGCATGGCCAACGCCATCGCGATTCTGTGAGGAAAGAAGTAGAGTTTCGGGGCTTTCACGAACGAGGCAGAAGAGTAACGTTAGCAACTAAATGCCAATTAAATTCCAGGCGCGTCTCTCTCGCTGCTTCGACTGAGCTTGCGATCAACTACATCTACGTTGTTAACGGGGACGGTGGAATCACTTGATTCTCTTTCATACGAGGCTCCCTGGCGCTTGTCACTCCTGTGGAAAATCTCACTAGTCTAGAACTGTAGATCAACCAGCTTATGAGACTCCTCCACAATCAAAACGCTGCCGGCTTTGTCTTGGGTTATATATTTAGGGACACCAGTGAATTCTTCTAAATAACCTTCCCAAGTTATGTGTTATTGACCATCGGCTTGCTGTCGAGCGAGACTGGGATATTTCACCAGCCCGTATATCCTCCGTCGACAAGCAGATCTGCACCGGTAACATATGAGCTGGCGTCAGAGAGGAGGAAGACGATGGGGCCTCGGTAATCTTCTGGCGCTGAGAGTCGTTTGAGCATGGTCTCTTCGGTCCACAGCTGTTCGAAGTCGCCGTTGGAGAGGACGCTCGCGGTCATCGGGGTGCGGATGACGCCAGGGCTAACCGAGTTCACTCGTATCGAGGGCCCATCTTCTAAATGTCCCCATTCTGACGCCAGGTTCCGCGTGAGCTGGTGCACTCCCGCTTTGGAGGCCGCGTATGCTGCGTTGGGCGTGCCCTGCAAGAGAAAACAACAGAAGTGACAGTCAGCCCCAGTTCGTCTGTTGGTCGCAGCGTCAGGAGGGTCGCTGGGCGGAAATACTACCTACCTTGTTAACGACGTAGCCACTCATGCTCGCAATAAAAACAAAACTAGCAGAGAAATTATGTTTCTTGACCAGCTGGGCAGCAGCCTGTGCGCATATCAATGTTCCAATGAGGTTGACCTCGATGATCCGTTTCGCATCTTCCACAGGAAAACTAATGGACGGCCCAACCCAGCCGATGGCGGCACAATTGACCAATCCTCGTAGAGGATATCGAGCAGAGGACACCGCGACCTCAAAGACAGCGGAGGCGGATTCTAATTTCGATATGTCGCACTGGTAGTAGTCCACTATCGTCCCACTCCTCTCAGCAGTTCGCTGCAGTTCTTCTATACAGAAGCAGTCAGCACCATGATAGTCTACTCCGGCGAGCGAATCTTACCTCTGTGAGGAGCACTTGGTTCGGCCGCGCGATCAATTGCAATCACGTCAGCTCCTGACTGCAATATGGCTTTGACCACGGTGATGCCCATCCCGCCCATTGCACCAGTCACTGCCACCTGAGTAAGTCTCGCTGCCATAGATGGGTAAGGGTTGGCAAGGAGACATTTGTCCTACATTGATGTCCATCACATACCGATAATAGTTCTGCGGTCGAGGGAAAAGAGGTCCCTAGGATTGTCCTCTTTTGGGGTATGCTGTCCATTTTGCGGCCCATTTAGCTCCCCGTTCACGACTGACTTGACCGAAGGTTCTGTTGAGATCATGGTGCGTGGAAGTCAATAGATCGAGGATGATAGTGAATCGAGCTGGGGTACAACCAAAGGGCAGTCAATAAGTGATTTTGTGCTGCAAATATGGACGCAATCAACCTGACACAAGTTTCAGAGGGACCAGTGGCTCATTGCCTCCAGATTGTTTCCCTCTCCAGTGCGTTGCTAACGTAGAACTTGCCTGCTGTCGTTTGTAGGAGAACACCAAACATGAAAACTGCACTTAAGCACGCATGTTATTCGACACGCCCAGGCTGAGTCTGACCGAGATCTGAGTTTAGTGGTTTCAACATGATAGTGTTCTCTCTGGTAGGAGTGTCCCCACACTCCTGGTTTGTTAGCGGCGGAGGGCGGTCCGCTCACCAAGACTCTGGGTCCACTCTCTTTGCAAGAGCTAACAACTGGCGATAGCCGGCGGGCATGTCGAGTGTACCAGATGAAGGCTGGTATGCAACGATGGTTGACGAGAGTCACAAGAATCAAAAAGGTCGGGGAAGAAGAGAAATCGAGTTAAAACAGGAGAAGACCGGGCACACGATCATTCCTCCTGCGCTTGTACAAGTCGGATAGCACCTGTCTGTGATTCTATACGGCAAGAACCGTTCTTCAGGGCTGTCTTTGATACAACCTGTGCTGCCAAAGTCCTTCGTATCTTGTCGGAATAACAAACACACCATGGCAACCCGCTCACTTCTCGAAAGACTCGAAGAACTCTGCAACGTCGATGTCGATGATGTCGATACGGAACTCATCAAGAGCTTGCCTTTCACTCCTCATAACCGTACGTCAAATCTGGCTCCCTGCGCGAGACCGTCGCTCGTGGCTAAGCTGTATCGAGCAGAGACTTCGAATCAAGCTGTCATCACGAGGGAGTTGCTAAAACCAGAGCATAAGGTGCTTTTAGAAGAGCTTGTGGACAAGTATGGCAAGGAAGGCTGGGAGAAAGTGTATAACATGGCGGTGCGATTCTTCCAGCAATCCCGGAAATCCTTTGGATATTTCGAGCTCTAACGACCGCTTCGAATTCTTAGGCTGTCACTTTTTGTGCTCGAAATGTTTCCTACTTGTCAGGTCGTGTGCTGGTTCAAACTTCCCTCCGTTATGTGAACGACCGAGCTGCCATAATCAAACAATGCCTTGAGTATGCCGATGCTTTTGAGAAGGCTGGTGTTCCAAAAGATCGCTTCGCCATAAAATTGCCATTTTCCGGATCTGCGGCTTCCGCGGCCCTTGAGCTCAATGCCCAAGGCATTCGCACGCTGGCAACGACGGTCTTCTCTCTTGAACAAGCGATCGCAGCCAGCCAGTCAAACTGTCTATTCATCAGCCCATACTACAATGGTCAGTAAAACGCGCTCAGCTCCGCGATCGTACACATCGTCATCCTTACCTTCATCCTAGAGATTGCAGCACATTTCGACCCATCGTTACGTCCACAACTTAGAGACCCAGCTCTTGAGGTACGTTTCTGTATTGTTTGTTGTCGTGGGGACGTCTCATGCTGACAATGCCTTCAGCATCCCATGTCGGCCCGCGTGATACACATTCTCAAGACATTTGCAGAAGCATATGTCCAGACGGGAAAGGATCAACCGATTATGGTCATCGCGAGGTGAGTCATGAACCGAAGGCGGCCCACCTGCTGACGCTCCTTGATAGCCACTTCAACATTGCCGAGATTCTTGCCATGGCAGAGTTAGGTTGTCAACATGTCACCATTCAAGCTCACAACCTCAAGCAGCTTATGGAGACACCTGACACGCTTCCCCCAGTGGTCAACAAGAAGCCTAAACATCCATATGCAGAGTTCGTTATTGCAGAGCGCCTGAGGAGATTGGTAGCTCTAGATCCGCTTTCCGGATCGGAATGGAATGGAGTACTGGCCACAATGGACACTGATTTTGTAGCCGACGGCGGCGAAAAGCTTGACAACTTCATCAAAATAAATTCGGTGTTGAATAAGAGGTTCGGAGATGCTTCCAAGTTTTTCCTCGAGGTCGAAGAAGCAGCGAAGGTTGCTATCGAAGAAATTATCGCTGCCAAAGGCTTGTGAGGATGGAAAGTGAGGTAGGATGCTGCTGGAAAATAGCGACTTGAGAGACGTTGTGTCCGAAAATAATGCCAATCGGTCATCTTTGGCTAAAGTTCTTGCGTGCAGCCGTTCAATTTGAGTTCAGCTCGCTTGCTATCGTGATGTGCCTCCAGGCTCGTAAGCTCCACATCTCATGCGCGGTCAATCGACAGACTGTCATGATCACACTATGTTCCATATCAAAGAATGAATTGTTGGCAGCTAGGCATACGAACCTTCTAGGTGATTCATTTCTGACGGCGATGGTGGTCTAACGGGCTCGATGGCTACGCAGTCGCTGCTTTCTGTGTATGGAACTTACAATTTCAAGGCCGCATTCAATACTCGATCCAGGGAAGGCCCATGGCTTCAGGAGCCCAATTGCCGTGTCCAGTAATTCTGAAACATCCTCAACTGAATCAGCTAGTTCGGGGGTCTGGGCAGCAAGCGCGATGATGAGCGCATAACCGAGACCGCTGCATGAAATATACCAATTAGTTGTCGATATCCAGAATCGAAAAGATATGGGCGTTGAACTTACCACTGTGCTGTGCTAAAAGTGTATGGTGTCCTTTCTGACAGAACGTAACCAGCGGTCAGAAGAAATATTCGACAAGCAGAAAGGCAAAGTCGGCATCGTTCAAGAGCCGCCGCTGGTACACTTCCCTCTTGTTCTGCAGCTCGTGAAGTGACATAGACTACAAATGGTCGATAGATGTTGTGTTTGGCAGACCAGTACCTGAGACGCAAAACGCAAGCTTGGTCACTGCCTCTTGGTCTGCCTAAAAGATCCGGTTTAATGGCATCGGGTAGTGACTCGTACCATGTTTCGAGCTGACGATCGAGCTCTTCGCACACTCTTAACAGTGAAGCATCAGGATCAGACGAGAGGATTCCACAAGAACTCTGCGAACGACCCGCGTACAGCGAGAGACTATCGGTGAAGTATACGGTATGGTGAATTCGGTTGAGCAAGGACCGTGCAGATATGTCGGCCAATGAGTACAGGCTTTCCGATGCGGTGGCGTTGGTGTATGTTGGAAAGGGCATCCTGTCAACTAGCGGTTCGATGCCACTCCTAGGCTGATGAAACTCAGCAAGGATGTCACTAGTTGACCATTTATCAATAACCGGCCATTGATGACAAACTTCAGCCGACAGACATACCATTCGATCAAGAAACATGCCCAACTGACTCTGATGACGCCTTCATTGGTATTCTTGGACAGATGCTCTTTGCGCCTTAGGAGACTCGGTCAGGCCTTAAACCATACATCGGCCAACTAGGTAATGACCAAACTTACATTTGCTGGACGCTTGTCGATGCCATATGTACAAGCCTCCAGGCCATCAAAGGCTCGACAACATAGCAGAAGTAAAGTGCGCAGAGAATGAGCGCCTGAGACAGAACAAGATCGCCGCTAAAAGTCATAGCCCAGGATGGGAAGAGTATCCGAAGAGCTTTTTTGATCAGTTCGTCACCTGCGGATCTGACTGTGGTGGGGCCAATTGGGTCCAATGAAGTAGCCCCCAAAGCAAAGACAGACAAAAACAAGGCAGAACATGGGTCGTCCCGGAGGCCTTGGTTCATTGTCTTCTCGTATTGCGACATCAGATCTTCCTGGTCGAAGAGGGGTCGATATGGATGAACCATCGTCAAGTATCGCTGGAGACATGCGTCTGCGAATAACCTGTCAATCTGGAGAAAGTCCTCCCCTATCTCACCCTGCGCCGAATTGATGTATTGCAACCACAATGACTGAGGTCGATTCTCCTCAACTAGAAAGAGAAATTCCTCTGGGAAATCACCCACGAGTGTACGCATCTGTGGCAATGTAAGAAGACTGCTTGTGCTAGTTTGGTGACCGAGAGGGATTGTGAGAGGAGGGACTTGATCGTTCACGTGGCCTGCTGGGTTGTCCCCTACGTCGTTCGTTGCATTTGTAGAGCTTGCTACATTGGCGTGTTGCTGCTGAGGCTGGCCTATAGTTTCGTAGGACATATCCTCGTAACCAAACGTTGGCGTGGACGACGAAGTCCGGGTTAGCTGAGGCGGGCTCCGATGAAAGGAGTCGATGACTATCGAATGTTGTCTTAACACTTCTTCAACCATATCCAGGCGCCGTAGTCGTGCGTCGAGATGTTCACCCTTATCGATTCTGCCCAAGCTTAGCATCTTGTGACACTCATACAAGCCAATAGTTGATGATTCTTGGGCGTACTTTGGAAAGGTGCTATCTTGATATACGCAACCCAGGCCTCTGTCTCGGCACGTTTTGCATATGGGCATATTCCCGTCACATCGCCTTTTTCTGCAAATGAGTCAGCGTCGATAACAAGGTCGAAGGAGCTGCCAGGGGCTCGAGTGTGAATACCTGTGGCGGCAGTAGTTACATGCCACATTTGTCCGCTTCGGAGGAGAACTCATATTGAGATTTCAGCAGAGCACAGGAGATATTATATGCACGTGCAACTGGGGAGCGAGCCGCCCGAGGCGATGTTGATGTTATGCTCAAGTGTGGTGCAGCGCGCGTAGTGGTGTGAAGTAGACATTGAGTCTAATGGAGACAGTCGGACAAAGTTGCCAAGAAATTTCTAGGCGAATTTGGCGGTTGCTGCCGCTGCTTTTGCAGGTGGGTGGTTTCCCCTCAATGCCAAGAGAGCTAACCTAGTTAGCACTAGCCCAGTCTTCCCCACGTGGCCATTCAGTACCCAGGAAAAAGTCCCCTTCAAAAACAACGAGGGAATCATCCCTTGCGTGGAAGAACGGGCGCCTTTAATCGCACCACCCCGATCATGACGCCTTAAGGAAGTGTAGGGAGGATCTTAATAGATCTTCTCACACTTTCCCGCTAAGAGAGGCCGTCTCTAAACCCCACGAAATTATGTAGAACCACGTCATATCCCCCATCTCCCTCCCCCGTCTTCCTTTATACATTCGACCGACTCTATCGAAATTTCACGTTCGAAACGACCACCGCGAACCTTGTCTCTCGGATTGAGGAGAGAATCATTTATCGTCAACGTATCAACCGTATCGAGCGGCGAGATCTCTGAGATCTCCGAGCATCCTTGCAGCAAAACGTCAGCTTGTGGTCAAAGGAGACAAGTCGGGGCCTCTAACTGTTCTCTCAAAGTTTCATTTTGGGGGAACAAAGCAGATACGTGCGTGTTGAATCTTCTATTTTTCAGTTTTAGTCCAAGTGTTGAGAGGACAATTCGAAAACCTTGCTGCTTGCTCACAGTTTGTAGAGATCCAGCCGTCCGTGATAATCCTCTTCTGGCTGAGATATTTGGACATATGAGCGATAGGCGGTTAAGTACGGGGCACCGAATTTGTTGCATGCTGGCATCCATTGGCCGAATTCATCTGTTGACACGTTTCATTTTGCGTCAGGCTATTGTGCTAGACAGGTAGGTTTTTTCCTTTTTGGACTTCCTTCGCTCGACTTACATTCATTGTGTGCGTAAAAACAACAAGCATCGAATACCAGGGAGGAACCGGTATCAGCATCGATTCCCGAATTAGCATACCAGAGGTCCCCGTGTACAAGTGAAGGTTTGACGGATCTCCCCTCACTCTCGAGTGGGCGAAGCAACCGAGGAATCACCTTGTCGAACAGGGTCGGTATTAGCGTATCAAACTCCGGATCGGGTCCTCTGGCTTTCAGTTCTAGGTCTAGCGCCCAGCGCATGCTCTTCGCAAAGTATGCCTCCCACCTGTCCTCCCAGTCGTTCAATTGGGGTAGGTTGCCGCTGTACGTTGTGATATGAAAGCCGAACTTGCCAGTGGGAGACTCGCTGTTCCTGTGCAGCAGGGCCAGTTGTGCTGAGAACTTCTCGGGATCAGGCATATCATCTGTCATCTCTCGATATTCACAGAGGAAGAAGTGGGTGTCTGGGTTGCTCTGATACGTGCCCCAGGCGATCGGCTTTGGTACAAAGTCTGGTAGCAGGGTGTAAATGGCTTTCATTGACTCGAATTCGCCATGTACCATGTTTCTGCCGATGTCATTAGAGAGGACCTTGATGAAAAAGGATTGCTCAGTCTGCCCATCCGCCAATTCGATATCGATACGGCCAGTGTTCGCCCAAAAGCTGATGCCATGTCCTTCGGTTGAGAGAATCCGACAGCCATCGGGCAGTTCCGCAACGACACTCGGATCGACGTCGGAGTTGGTCCCTCCAAATTCCAATCCTTCTGCACGGTCAAAATTCATGTTGCCAACGTGAAATAATTTTCTGAAAACGCTTGCTGCGGAGTCGCGAAAGCTTCAGTCGAGGGCGGCACGAAATCTTTTGCCAATTTCTTCGGGCGAAGTCGTGCAAGTCCTTAACTAGAGGACTAGTACCGAGTAGCCTAAGACCCAACGCGACTCTCCAGTGGTCCTTCTACGCGCCAGAGTGGGGCTGGTAAGCGCTCAGTTTTCACCAGGGGTGGTGGCGCATCTGGGGCCAGCATAAGCTTTGAGACCCAAAATCTGAGAGGAACAGATCCTCAGACCGAGGCAAAGCTCATCTCTATCTGAAAGGGACATAGTCTTGAGCTTTTACTCTTCTAGTTGCGCTTACTAGCTCCTATTGATCATGTCCTGCAGTAGAGGCCTTGAATATCCGCTCTCGAAGATCACTGTCCTCGATCTGTCTGACCTCGACACCTGCCTCCTCCAGTCGCTTCCTGCCTTCGTTCAGACCAATAAATGTTCCAGGCTCTGTAATCCCCACGTAGACCAGTTTGATCGAGTCTTTGAGCCGGAGGATCCTCTCCACGCAAGTTCGATTGCCACTCAACCGCTCGTTGCATGGTTCCATGGTCGTGTATAGAACAGTGTTTCCGGGTAACACTTGGCCGACGTGATCATCTGGGACGTTATGTTTCTCGGCGACTTTGATGAGGCAGCAGTGTTCAGCATGTGTCGAGCCTGGGTCTCCCGGTCTATCACCAGGCAGTTCCAATGAGTAGCCAGTGGAGAGAATCTCACCGCTCTCTCCATCGACAAGGACTGCTCCGACACAAAACTTCGTAGGGGCTGGAGGTGAGAGGCGTGCCTTCTCGAGAGCGTATTCCATGTAGGCTTGATGGTTGTGCGAATCAAACAAGGGGTGAGGCGATTCGCCGGCCATATCTGACGAGTTGATGGTAAAGGTTGCGCGAAATCCAAGACCTGTTTGGACAAAGTGGGCGGTTGAGAAGTCGTGTTGTTTTGGGCGTCAGATGGTCTTTTGGTTAACATGCGAACTGGTGAAGGTCCGACCATCTCCCTTTTTTTAAAGCTGCGGGGGACCTCAGGGTCTCGGGCCGCCCCGGGAACTGACAGCTTGGCTGGTCACCAAATGAGATGGAGACGTCACTATTTCTATTACCGTAGGTCTTGGGCGTTTAATGAGCAAAGCCGAAACCGAACATCTCATCGTCTTCACTTAGACACCAATCAAACATGATGCAGGGAGAGCGAGTTGAGCCCTTGGTTGGCAACCTGCATCTGCATAAGCGCTTAAGTTTCGTCCACCGGAGCATTCCGAATGAATTACCACCGCGGGACGAATTTCAGCCTCGGGGCACCACTCCTCCATCGCGTCCTTCTTGAACTTGTTCTTTTTGCAGGAGGCCATCACCAAGCTAGATTGGTCTCCTCAAGCGAGATAGCCATGAGGCCCTCTTACTTCCGGGATACTTCTATGATCTTCTCGTGATCTGGAAGAATGATCCTTGCACTTGGGATGACCGTGGTGAAAGATGCGTGGACAAGATGGTACGTTGTCGCTCTGCTGTCCATCCGGCCTTAGCTTTCGCTGACCTACCCACCTCTCTGAAGTCAAGTAGAATATTTCGTCGGAGGACCGACGACTTTGCTGCCAGCCTTGTCGTGCCAGAGGGAAGACGCCCCGCACAAAGTCCCTTGAACACAAGCTCAATTGACGACCACGACACGGTTGATGAGAAAGGGCCCCTTGGTCTCAACTTGCTCTATACACCCTCCGAACCTCTGATTGACTTGGTCTTTGTCCATGGACTGGGGGGTGGTTCAAAGAAGACTTGGAGCCTTGTGCCTTCATTATATTGGCCAAAAGAATGGCTTCCAAAAGATGCCGCCTTCAAGAATGTCCGCATTCACAGCTTTGGGTACAACTCGGACTACGTCAAAAGCAGAAATAATTGCTGGACAATACAACGTTTCGGCCAGTCCCTGCTGGGAGACTTGAGAACCTCACCGTCTCTCGGCGAATCAGATACTCCACTGATCATGATCGGGCACAGTATGGGGGGCTTGGTGATAAAGCGAGCGTACATGTTAGCCAAACATGATCCGTCTCTCCAACCTCTGACAACCAGGTTCCGAGCGATGTACTTCCTTGCGACACCACATCAAGGCTCTGACTGGGCAAAAGTTCTGGATCGCATGTTGAACGCCTTCTCCCTAGCGCCTGAATTTGTGGAGGAATTGGAGAAAGGTTCTGGAGCACTCCAGTCTATCAACGAAGAGTTTCGCCATTATTTTGACCAGTTTGAGCTGGTATCATTCTACGAGACGCAATCAATGAAATACCTTGGGTCAAGAATTGTTGAACCCGAATCTGGTGTTCTCAATCTGCCGCGAGAAAAGCAGGTACCAATGGCCGCCGACCACCGATCGATCTGCAAATTCCAAAAACCAACAGACCAGAACTATGTTGAACTTCGCAACTCACTTGCCAGGACAGTCGCAAACATATGTGATGAACGGGCGAAAGGAAAGGAGGGACAACGGAACCGCGAACTAAGCGACCTGAAAAAATACTTACGCATATCTCATCAGCCAGAAGATGACCTTGAGCTTGTTGAAGGCTCCCGTCTGTCTGGAACTTGTGAATGGATTGCAAAGAAAGAGAGCTACTTGGCGTGGAGAGATTTTGCTGCGGACGCTCCAACCATTCTCTGGATAAATGGAAAACCCGCTACAGGCAAGTCTGTTCTTGCTGGCTATGTTATCACGCAACTGCGACAGCGAAAGTCAAGCTGCAGCTATTATTTCTTCAAACATGGCGAAAAATCAAAGTCCCGGCTCGTCAATTGCCTCCGATCACTGGCCTTCCAGATGGCCTGCGAAAACGATCAAGTTCGACGCCGTCTCAATGATTTGCACAAAGAAGACGGCCAGCTCGACGGTGAAACTGAACGCAGTGTTTGGCGCAAAATCTTTGTCTCAACAATTTTCAGAATCCAGATGGAACCCCATTACTGGGTCATTGACGGCTTAGACGAATGTGAAGGTTCTGAGACTTTTATTGAGTCTCTCATTGGCCAGCTCGATCCTACGGCAAATTTGAAAATTCTTGTCACAGGTCGCGATATGCCAAAGCTGAAGGCTGCTTTTCTAAACCTCGGACCTCACAGATATTGTGGACTGGAAATATCGACAGCTGATACTGTTGAAGATATCAAAACCGCCATCAAGGCAAAATCGCACTGCCTGACAGTCAAGGATGACGAACTTCGTGCTGCATTGCTTGGGAAGGTGCTCGAAAAATCTCAAGGCTCTTTTCTGTGGACTCTCTTGGTCTTAGAAGAGCTTGCAAATACTTATGGCGAAGCAGAACTCAAGAAAGTGCTAGATGAAGTCCCCCGGGACATGAACTTGTTATACCAACGTGTGTTGGACTCGATGAAACTGACGACAACGGAGGGAGGGAGGAGAGTGGCCAAGGCTATTCTCAAGTGGGTGTCTTGTGCTATGAGGCCGCTGAGCACAGAAGAACTCACTGGTGCGCTGAACCTAGATCTAGGGGACAAATATGACGCACTCGAAGAAATGATCCCGAAATTATGCGGCCAACTCGTTGCTGTCGACAAGTTCGGCAACGTTCAGATTGTACACGAGACAGTCAGAGAATATCTGACCAGCGATGACTTGCAATCCGACTTCGCCGTTAATAAATCACAATCGCATACGAGGATTGCTGAGATCTGCTTGAACTACCTCGCAAGTGACGAAATGAGGCCTTCCACCGCCAGGAGACGAGGACCGAGACAGGGCTCGGTCCTGAACACCGAGGATTCGAGAATAAAATTCTCCAGATATGCATGCATTGCCTTCTCGCATCACCTTGCCAACGCCAATTGCGAATCAGTCGATATTCTTATCCTTGTCTCCAAGTTTTTAGAATCCAACATTCTTTCATGGATTGAAGGTATCGCTCAGACCAGGATCCTTACTCCGATTATACGAGCAGCGAAAGATATCCGGACATATGTCAAGAAATGCAACGCCCCACCGATTGGGAAGGAGATACAAACTATTAGAGCTTCTACAACAGATCTTGTCCGCTTAGTCGCAAAGTTTTCCGATGCTCTTACCGCTGTCCCAGCGGCTATCTACACGCTTATTCCCCCCTTTTGCCCTCGCAACTCCACTCTGTACAAAGCCGGTATAAAATGTCGAACAACAAGACTGTCCATAACTGGACTATCTTGCGACCACTGGGACGACCGTTTAACGTGCATAGACCTTCAAAATGATGAGTTCACTAGCATTGCCTACGGGGACGAGCTGTTCGCTGTAGGGACAACGTCCGGAGTTGTCACTATTTATAATGCGACATCATGCGAGGAATACAAGATTTTGAATCACGGAGAAGCCCTCCGACTGTTACATTTCAAGCCAAAGTCTGATGTTCTCGTATCATGCGGCTTAAGGAAGCTTACAGTATGGAATAGCCGCACAGGAGACGCAATGTACGAATTTCAGGCCCCATTTCGACCTATTGCTCTTGATTTTGACAACGATACACTTGTGGTGGCATCTAGGAGAAATTTCCTGAGGTCTTGGGACCTGAAGAACAATGCTACATTACAACAAGACAGGCCTTGGAGTCATTCGGATGAGGACATCCAAAGACCTTCCCGCCTTCAACCATGTGCTATATCCCTCTCCACTGGACATCAAAAAATGGCTGTGGCATATATTGGACAACCAATCACTATCTGGGACCTCTGCTATGATGAGTACTATGGCAGCTGTGGGAAAATGCTTGCCAATGGCGAAACGAGCAAGCATTTAGTGACATCGCTGTCTTTTAACCCGAACCCAGACATTCGACTTCTTGCTGTCTCGTACCTCGACGGGCAACTTGTCCTCCTTGACCCTTTCGAAGGCAAGGAGCTGGAAAGCTTTCGAGCCAATTGCCGTGCGTTGATTTCAAGCCCGAATGGGCGTCTGCTTGGAGGTGTGGCTGCGTCTGAGACTATCCATATATATGAGTTCGACACGTTGAGACTGCTTTACAGGATTAGATCATCCGAGCTTGGCATCAAACAGCTTGCTTTCAGCCGAGACAACTTCCGTTTCGCGGATATACGCCGGTCTCAATGCAATATCTGGGAGCCTACGATGCTACTCTGTGACTCGGTTGCAGATGACCGGAGTGAGAGCACCTCGGCGTCAGTAATTGAAGCAACTACATCGGACGATAAGGTCAGAATTAACACCATGGTCCTTCATAATCAAGGCCAGGTAATTATTTGTGGCAAGGATGACGGTTCAGTATGTCTGCACGATGCTCGGACAGGCTCTTTTCTACAAACACTTCACGAACACAAGTCTCAAGTTCGCATTCTCACCTGGCAGACTCGCAATAATATCACAATGAGCGTGGATACATCAAACGCGATACATGCTTCCGTTCTAAGCAAAGACCTTAAAGGAGGATGGGTATCAGATCAGCTTCCGTTCCAGTCTCGCCTTAATTGCGGTCATGCCATTGTCCAAGTCCTCCACTCTGAAGTGACAAACAGGTTAATCCTTTCAACACGCGAGTGTGATTATCTATGGGGCAGCGAGGGGAAGGAGCTCGCTGCACGGCCATATCCGAAGAATCCAGGCATCCGACTATGGATACAGCATCCTCAATCGCAATTTCATGCAATATGTATTGAAGGAGCAACTGCGCGCATCTTCTCTTGGGATGACTGGTCACAAGTTTCGTCCCTCGGACTCGCAATTAGCATGGCAGGAATGCAATTAAAGAGCTTCAGAGGATACGGATCAGGCCACAGGCGGCGGATGCTTTTGGAACTGTCTGAACTTAATGGCTCCTCCAGAACCCGGGGGCTCTATCTCTTTGATGCAACGTTGTTCAACCTCGAAAGTGACAAGGCCCCGAGGAGTAGACCAGACCCCAAAGAAGATAAAACAATAGGACTCATCGACGTGGAAATACCACCACTTCAACTCACTCCGTCCAGAGAGGATGACAAGTCCTTGATCGATTCCGTCGCGGAGAAAGCAACACAAAATCATCAGAAACCCGCTGCAGATCCTCTCTTTGGCCCTCAACTCAATGCCCTCACTCGCTACGTCTCTCATGTCATTCACCTCAACGACAGCGGCAAACTGGTCTTCTTAGACTCACACTCCTGGGTCAGCTCCATTGACCTCGAAGACTTTGCCAAATTCGCCATGGCGACTCCAGCAGCGTCAGGGCCACCCTCGCCACCAATTCGGTACTCCCGACACTTCTTTGTGCCTTATGACTGGTTCTCAGGGACACGAGATATAGTCTGCGCCGCCACAATGCGAGATGTCCTCTTTGCACGGAACGGCGAGATTGCAATTATCAAGAACGGGTTGGATTATGCGGAAGAGGTTGCCGTGGGTTCTTTGTAAGAGCTCAGACATGAAACCGAGCCTCGGATCGGATCCGTCTATAAGCTTGCCCGCAAGAGCGGTTGGTGCGATGAGATGGATCTTGGAAACAGATGCCCGGAGCCCGGAGGGATAGTGGATGTGAAAAGATGGACCTAATGACATTCACGTGATCGAGTAATTGATTTATCACGGCTCATCCATAACAGAACTCTTTTGGTACTTCTTGTTCCCTGCCCAATCTTCAATGAAAGCTGCGTAGGCAGTACCTACTAGAAAGACAATCGCAAGCAGCTTCAGAACGTCAATGTGAATCCGTTCCGTAATGCTCAAGCGCTCGTGGTGCTTGGCGATTGGGTTGGCTCCCCACATTGAAGAGCAAAGCCGCCATGTGAGACACAGAACAGGAGTGGTTCTATCTGATTGATTGTGTCTTGTCCCTCTACCTATTCAGAGAGACTCTGCCTGTTTATATACACTTTGGCTTGTGATCTGAATGCCATTCCTGAAACCTCCTATTCCGTCGTCATGCTATCGCAGAACGGCGAGAACAACGGTGTCGAGGTAAGTGGCGCAGTTGGTGAGACAGCTAGCGTCTCAGGTAGTTTGCCCCAGTGGCGATCTCGCAACCCTGTCAACACGCCAACACCTCGTGCCAGCCCATCAATCGCTCCACGAAAAGAATATCGTCGCGTATAGCATCTAAGCTACTCTATATGCAAGGGTCAAGGACGGCGGAAGGTGCTAAGGCGCTATTACAGCCGCGATCAAAATCCAAAAAAAAATCTGTAGTTTTGCTGAGCCCGCACACGAGCATTCGCGAATATCATTTCTCTTCATTCTGGTGAAGTTCGAGCCGCCATTTCCACCTAGATCAAGTTCGTAATACGTCCAATCGAGATTGTATAACTGAGCAACGTCTCTCCTTTCTATGTGACTCAGCAACGACATCGAGACGAGGTGGAATCGCTTAGTTTACTATTAGGCGAAGTGGTACGAGGTCGTCCGAGAACGATTGACGCTATGGCGGAATAAGATATGCTCGATCTTATAGAGCACTTTCCAATAGCGCATAGAGACGAGTTCTACTGTAACGGAGCACTCCTGGGTTTGGCATGCACGAGCAACAACGCGCAGGTGCCTGTCAGGCAGGTCGGAAATCGAGAATGCTTTTCTGGTCGGCGCTGCCGAGACAACACCACCAACAACAACACCCACAGAGAGGCAGCGCCTAGAGTAACGAGCGCCTAGCACAGCGGCAGCGTTGAGGAGTAGAAAAGGATTAAATGGATACTCAGTACTCAGAAATAGGTAGGCGGTATCAACAAACCATAGTATACTCTGTTCAAACTGTAAAGAATGGCACACGGCCAGCACTGTGAACCATTAAGCACACTGACAGCGACGGCATGCTCGCACAGCCATTCTATGTCTGCTGTCGACTGTTGCTGTCCTTCGTTGTTGTTCTTACTATAGTGCTCAATAGCCCCATTCTGCCTTAGAGCCTCCCTTTTTGTTCTGACAGGTGACCAGCCAAATCGCCTTCCTGTCAGCCCAATGCCAGCACAACACAACCACTTCGCCTTGTTAAACTAGCATCATGAAGAAGAGGAGGTGTTGGATGTATTTAACTCAAAAAGATCGTGCCACGAAGCACTGCTTTTTTAAGTAGACTTGGTTCACATGATCCACTACATATGCTAAAATCATTATGCCCGGAGTTGCTGCCCGGCACGATCTGCAGCAGTCCACCTTCCCCCGTAGCCCCCCGCCTGAGTTGAGTATTGTTATTTAGGCCTTAGTGATGGTGATCAGGTCCTGTGCATTTGCTGGGAAGTCGAGCGTAATGTCTACAAAACATCAGAGGTGCGGTCCCCATACTCACGTCGCCGAATTCACATACCGAAGTTACTTCCCTGACCCTCACGTGTGAATTCTAGGGTTGTTGCGTTGCTCCCGCCGACCCGATGAATGTCAACGTAGTAGCGAGTGGTTGAGTTCCAAGGCAGGTCACTAACCTGCAGTCGGAAGGTGTTGCTGGTATTGTTGCGCTGGGAGACCGGAGCAAACGTAACGCAAGCTAATGTACTGTAAGTCCCTGGATAGGGCTGGCTTGGACGCAGAGGCGCATCTCCTACATGGGAACAGGAAAAGTTTGTTGCCATCCGCGAAACAGACCTGATCACCATTGACCACTGGCGACGATTCAGCATTGTCAGAATTGCATACACAAGGGCGGATACGTGAAGTCGCCTGGCGACTTACGTCCGTCGGGCTGTACAGAAGGATACGCCAATGTAGATGAGTTTAGATAGGGTAGCTAACATTCAGGTCAGTCATCATAATATTCTTGGCGTAAAGAGACACTTGCCAATGTCGTCACGATCTCTTGGGGAATCGTGTAGTCTAGTTGATAGTTGTTCAAAAAGACTTGAATCTGGTTCGTATCGTTTGAACGGCCTGCCAGAACAGCGAAACCATCCGAACTACCGCCACTGACTTCAAGCCGGTTAGGTGTCCGGTTCAGAAAGCTGATATAGTTCACCCAAGCTTTTGCGATATTCCGAGGGATGGGCTGGTGCCCCGCAGACTTGTTGAAAAACCCCTGGTACCAGAAGCCACCAGCACCCCAGCCACCGTAGCTCAAACCAGGGTAGAGAATAGTATGCTCAACGGAGGTATCTTGGGCGTACATCAACTGATCAACTTTAGACGGGTCTTAGAGCACAAAGGTGGCCGGAAAGACTGCTTACAACTCCGATATTGAAGGCTGAGAAGAACTGTGGATCTCGGTAGAAATCGAGGGCCTCTTGCGAGCTGAAACTCCTATAGTATTAGCTCAACGGCCTCAATTATCAGAAAATGGAGGAGTCGAGGTGTATTGAGACTGATGAAAGGCGAACGCATGGTGAAGCCGGATCCCAGCTTCCAGGCGGCAGCATACCTAGGGGACAGCGACGTTGACCATCCCGAGTGCGTAGCCCAAATTTCGAGATCGGGAAGTCCAGCTGGTATGAGGATATCGTTTCGAAACTTGTCCGTTATCGTCTTGATATCGTAGGCTATTGATCGTCAAATAAGACATGATGACCCTACCAGCAGAGCGATCGAGACACATACGATTAAAGCTGAACCACAAATTTACAAAGTGAAAAGTGGTAGCCTTGATTGGGACATTTCGGTCCACACAATCTTTGTAGAATTGGACGATGAAGGGATCAAATGTCTACAAGTGTAAGCTTTTTTTGTCGCCGAAATCACAATGCGAGGGTTTTTTGTTTTAGGTTTTTTTTTTCTCTTCGTCTTACCGAGTAGTTGTGTTTCGTCGGATCTATACTGCGTCAGTGACACAATCATAATCCATGGGACCTGTCGTCCAAACATACAAAATCTATCCGAACCCCACGCCCCACTAGGTTCTTAAGTCTTGTGTTGATTAGATGATGCGGTATAAGACTTACACCCCAACTCTAGAAGAACTTGAAAGCGGTCAGCTTCTCTTCGATAAACCATCAGATGGGCATCAAACCTGGCATTGGCCACCCCATGACTGAAATTGCTGAAATATGCGAACATATGCTGGTATTGTGACTCGATTGTTGGAGAGTTGAGCTTACTTCGTAAGTGCTTGCAAGTACGGGCTTTCGACGAGCGTCCTTACCAGATCAGTCTCGGGATAGAATTCAAAGAGCTCAATAGCATCGGAGAACCCAGAGTTGTAGGCGCCATTCCTGACAGAGGTTAAGATGCTTGCTCTGTAGAAGACTTGGACCTCGGGACTAGAAGCTTACATGTATCGGTCAGTGATCATGTACGCAATCTTGCCCAAATCTTCTGGTGATGTGATGTTTGGGTTGGTGCCATTGTCCGGCTTTCAAAAACTACCGTGTCAGCGCTTCGAGGGATAAATGTGCATCAATGATTATTGAGAAGGACTTTACTTGAAATTGGATGATTGCCTGCCATTTCCATTGCATCAGCACGCCAATAGCGATCACAATTCAGAGAAATTCCATACCTTTGCCCCATTGGACACAACATAGTCCACATAGCCATCGGCCTTGTGCCAGAAATCAGCGGATCTAGCATGATAATTCACCTTCAGTAGCACAACGTACTGGTGTCCAATTGTAGTTACTGGAGTGGGTCGCCGGCCGTTCCAGGTTTCCCCCAACCGAGAAAAACTTGTGGAAAGTTGTCTAGAAAGAGTTAGCCAGGTCTCTGATGGCGTGTGCGAGACTGAAAGATCACGTCCACCTACAGATTAACACATGTTTGATGCCATATTCCGGGAACAGTGCCCCGATTTCTGGTTGATAGTCATAGAAGAGGTCAGAGGCTCCAGCAAATGCTTGAAAAATAAAGTCTATAAGGTCAGCCCGGTCCTTTTTCTTTGAATGACCTGGTCGATGCACCTGAATCCGCACTGAGAGACCCTATTCAGACTTTAGCACTGACACGTTCAATACATAAGCTCAAGCAGCACTCACCCTGGATCTCTGGTTTCAATTGACCACATGGAGAGCTTGCGTTCACCACAATCTGACGGGCGTTTTGGGTCGCTCCAGCTAAAGCTGGCAAGAGAACAGAGAGCGGTAGGAATAATGGAAGGGGGGACATGGTTGCCAGGTACGCAAGAGTTAAGCAATGTCCGGGCTGAATAAGGAAATGGTCTCCAAAGCAGAGGTCCGAAGTCCCCCGATTTTCAGGCAACAGAGATATGAATACAAGATCAATGAGAGGTGCTACTTTGTGGAAACAGGCCTTGGAGTTATGCGATGGATTTAGGGATTCTGGAGCTGGAATATGGGGTGGCGTTCGGTACCTTTTCAACCGGCTCTCTGCACCGTGGTCAGGTTTCTCGGTACACCTCGTTCGCTCCTCTGGGCCCATCTGCCTTGATTTTACACCGAGGCCAAGTACCTGTTTTCTCAGCTGAAAAAAAAAAACACCACCCTCATGTTGCTTCGGTACAAGGCGATGCGGACTGCTGAACCTATGCGGAGCTAATTTCGGGGGAGGGACCTGGTTGAGATCATCAGAGACATGCAGCGGGAGACTTTATTTTACGGCCCTGGTAACAATCCACAGACGAGGCCCTGCCGGCGAGAAACTTCACGACCGCATCGACATCGACTGTCGGCGCATGGCCCGAGTTCAGGGTAACGATCAGTAAGCATGGTAGAATATCAGAAATGAAGATATTAGATTATCGATGACTACATAGTCAGAACAAACAATATGTCGAAGCTATTTACTAGTAATACCACGGTAGACCTCTAATCCCGAACCCAATCTTTGGACTGCTCTCCTTGAGCAGAGCAGACTTCTCCTTTACTTGCACGACCAACACAAAAGTGACGAGGTACCATTCGCGCAAGACTTTTCATAAAATGCCTCCTGGGGATAGGGGCACAGAACCTCGTCCATCGTGGCGTTTTGGGGCAACTGGACCGTGACCGGACTCGCGTCAGGTGCAGTCCCATTTTCTACCCATGAACGCAGTTGGTCAAATAAATGAATAGGCTGGCCGCCTGAGCCACCCCAGCAGTGTTGAAGGCCCGGAACACGGTAGTAGAGGTAGAAGTCCATGACATTGTCAAGCACTGTGGACACTTCCTGGTAGTAGTGAAGTGTGCTCTTTGGCGAAATTGCCGCATCCGCCTTGTTTTGACATTAGCATCACGTCAACTGTAAGGGACTTTGAGACAACTTACAAGCCCATGATAGGTGATCATTTTACCTCCAGCCTCCTGGAAGTCGGCAATCCGAGTCTCGGTGGCTGCTATTGGTGCCAGCTCCTTTTTCAATGTGCGGTACAGATCATCAAATTGTGGATGAGTCAGGGTTGTAACATTTGCCGAGGGGTCTCTCAGAACGAAGTATTGCTGCCAAAAGTCTAGGCTGGCTCGGTTGGCGGGAATACATGTGCTGTTCTGCGTGCAGGTTGTGGCTGCAAGTTCGGACAAGTTTGTTCCAACTTCGAATCCGTACCACATGAAGTCACCATTGGAGTATCTGGGTCCGTTCCAAATGTTTTCCGACACGTCGATGGCGGCGGCACTTATTGGCATGTTCAGACCTGTTTCGGCACACGTAAAAGTTGTACCGACGTAGTCTGCGGGCTTGAATGTAGCGCGGCATTTTTCAGGGTCTGCAATGAGCCCGTCATTGACACCATCGAGGCCATCGCACTCGGCGATGGCAAGTGTTGTTAGCTGCGTCAGTTCACACGCCAGAGGGTATTGTTGTGTCAGGTCCATGTAGAAAGCCGGCCAAACGGAGGTGATGCTCAGCTCAGCCCAGTACATCCCTGGTGCTGCGGCAATGATGCCATCATACGCTTCGGGATACTGTTGAGCCAGAATACTGGCCTGCCTCCCACCATTCGAACAGCCATTCCAGTAGGAATAGAGGGGCGCTTGTCCGTAATAGCCTTCAATCACCTGCTTGGCGATGACTGCCTGTTGCCAATTAGCGTCATTCTGTAGAACCGCGCCATACGCACCAAGTCACCCAAGGACGTTTGTCCAAAGTCATCCAGGGCTACAAAATTCAAATTTCCAGGGCTGTTCAGGAGCCAAGTCGCCGGAGTCAACGAAGTGCCAAGACCAGCGTCCGTCGTCGCCGTGGCGTACCCATCATAGATGGCGCCAGCCATTCCGGCATATGATAGCACAAACCGGCCCGCTGCCCAACCGCCACCTCCAATTGACTGAAGTCTGCCATTCCAGCCGTTGGGGGGGAGCCACACCTCAGCGTAGATTGTGTCGTTTTGATCCGGGTGAGTATAGGTCGCGGTCACATTGCAAAAGGTCGCGTTTTCCACGTTGACCGAGGGCTGAGAATAACGCCAGCCCTCTGGAATGGGAAAGCTGTAGTTCGTGACGATGCTTGCGTCGACTGAAATAACTTCGGCGCCAAAGAGTGAAACGCTCGAGAAAGTGCTTGGTGTGCACGCCTGGGTTGGCGAAAGCAAAGCCATAATGTGCGAAAGACAGGATAGCAGTACGGTGTAGAGAAAGATTACCTGTGATCTTCTCTGGCACACAGCTGCTTTATAGCCGACTGAAGATGGTATTGCAAGACAAGGCACAAGACCAACGAATACGGGCACGATGGGGATCCGATCCCAATTCTCATGTTGAACCTAGGAGATCGACATATCCAAGATATGGGGATACCTCCGGCGGTTAAAAATAGATAGTGTGCGCTCAAATATACCTGCAATTCCCTTAACATGGCGTCCTGCCCCTGCCACATCTTCGACTCTTCCACATTAGCGAGGACGACTGCGTGCACTCAATTGAGGTCTTCATGGCGGCATATCTCGGCCCAAGTCGGAGATTCGGCATTTTCTCTTCGTCAGGGGCATAACGTCCGGGGTAGGGACGATCGACATGTGGGGAAGGCGGCGCTATTTAGACTAAGTATTTCGCTTCGCACATATTGCAACTTTGAGATGCTTTGTGGAGCAGCGGAGATGCCCCGACACTCCCCTTCGGCCCCAGAGAGTATGTCTCGCGTGTACATTGCCACCTGACCGGTGACTGGAACTATATCACGCCCCATTGGCACCGATGCGGGAACAAATAACTTGATCCCTGCTTTTGCTAATTGCCGCTGGCGGACGTAAGCCTTTGGGGTAGGAGATGTACTACTTATAGCCTATGCGTCGTGTTGGTATTTACGTGGCCCTCAGCAGAGGTACACCTTCGCGTTAATTCATCACACCACATCAGGATGAGCAGCTCTATTCGCCAGCTAATGGTGTGCTCACCATCGGCCATAGCTCCTCCAGTTCTGCTCGGGGTGGAGGTTCTTTCCGTTTCCGCCATCCTCTTCACCAACTACAGTGTTGAGGTGCCACAGATTTACAATTTCAATCATCCGGCTATATCGGTCAAAGATGTGGACTTCTGCAACGTTACCGTAACCTACACCCACCCCGGTAAAAACAATGCCATCCACGTTGAAACTTGGCTTCCCCAGGTTTGGAATGAACGGCTACAGGCGACAGGTGGTGCAGGGTGGACGGCAGGTCGCAATGTCTTGTCACCTGGTCTCATGTCCGGGGCTATCGGCGAGGGATATGCCACGACGAGTACCGATGCAGGGTTGTCTCCAGTCTGGCCCGGAGACCCTACACTCTGGGCTCTTGTGAGCCAAGGAAATGTCAATTCTTACGTGTTGGACACCTTCGCGTACAGAGCGCTGGAGGAACAGGCTCTCATCGGCAAAAGCCTTGTCCGCAGTTTCTACGGTCGCGACCCAGTGTATTCATACTGGAGTGGATGTTCTCAAGGTGGCCGACAAGGTCTAATGCTGGCTCAGCGATTTCCCACCTGTAAGACGTGTCTCCCATTGCCTCTCCCGATGCAGGATTTTGAAGACGAAAGCCGCCGAACGTACATTCCCTAATGGCCACGGTACAACTACTGACCTTCTCCAACTATAGTGTATGATGGAATTGCCGCTTCAGCGCCGGCCATTTACTACGGTCAACTCGGTCAGTCGCAGTTCATACCTCAGCTAATTATGAACGAGATGAAAGCATACCCTCTGGACTGCGAGATGGACTACCTCACGCAGCAGGCTGTCGCTCACTGTGATGCCAACGACGGTGTGGTCGACGGTATTATCTCAGATGTTGCGTCATGCGATTTCGATCCTATCAGCAAGATCGATTCGAGCTTTCTATGTTTCTCAACCGGGGCCAATATGACTGTGAGCCAAACAGCGGCCGTGGTCGCCAACGCTAGCTGGAGTGGCTATTTCAATAGCCAATGGGAGCTCATATGGCCCAGATGGAACTACGGGGCCAGCCTTACAGGTTTAGGCTACGCTCCTAACGAAACCAATCAGACCGTGAACGCCCAGCGAACTCCCAATTGGTTTGCGCAGTTATATCTCGAAAGGAATGCAAGCTTTGACAGTGCAACCATTACAAGTGAGATGTTTGACAGATATTGGAAGCGGTTCATCAAGATCTACGACGATACTATTGGTACCAGTGACCCTGACCTCTCAGATTTTAAAGCTGCGGGCGGTAAGATGATCACATGGCATGGAATGGTAATTAGTCCCAACACTCTGCCATACCAAGAATCCCGGAGTACTTCCCTGCCTTTTATACCTACGGCTAATCATGGAATGTGATGACCAGGCCGACGAATTGATCCAGACCAAAGCTACGGAGCGCTACTACAAAGAAGTCAGCAACTTATTCCCAGATGTTCAAGACTTCTACCGTTACTTTGAATCACCTGGGGCGGGACATTGCGGTTATACTGGTGTCGGTGGACAGCCAACAACAGTCTTCGACGCATTGCGCGCGTGGGTCGAAAACGGTACGGCTCCTGATGTTCTCCCCGTCACCTTCAACGGGACCACAAACAATGTGTATAATCGAAACTTGTGTCTATATCCCCTGAAGCAGGTCTACAAAGGGTCAGGGGATCCGACAAGCCCAGACAGCTTCGATTGCGTCTAAAGAAAAGCCGATGAGGATGTGGAGGAGCCGGCGAAGTGAGTAATTAGCTAAGAGCAGCTAGACCGTGTTGCTTCAGGACGTCCTGCCCCAGCCTTCTTCCATTGAACTTGTTAAAGTCAGGCGCGATCACGCAAGGCTGAGGACACATAGATCTCTCTTGTGAAGTGAGGAAAGTTTTCAGCCATGGGTTCTGGCAGATGGCCTGGAGGATCTTAGCAGACGTGTTTCGAGCTGTGATGGTACTGGCTACGTCTCCAATTGCATCGTCTGGAAGCAGAATGTATGTCCAAATCGGCAAAATCGACTGTGCTCAGGACTATTTCACGGATCTAAACCACCCTTTTCTTGCATCGATAGCAGAGGGACCTGATTTTATCCCGTCTTATGTATGGTCCAGCCACTCAAATAATACGGCAGCTTGCATTACGTTTCGCTGCGGTACCGGAGCGAACAACGCCAGTCAACGCCGGTCACGCATTCTGACTACACATCAACAATTGTATTTGACGACTCAGTTCTTTAAACAGACATTCATCAAGGCAGCCCTTGAGCCCATACACAAGGAGTGGCGAAGCAGCATCCATAAGAATCAAATGAAGCAACGGCATCCCAGCTCCTCTTTGCAGTAAACGCCCACGGCACTGCTACCATACCATAGCCTGGGCCTCCGGACCTTGGGGACCTCGCCGCCGCTGGCACGGAGTGTTGAGAACAATAATATCAGGTGATCTGGAAGAATAGTAGATGGAATCTCCGCTCGCTCATACTCTCCACGTTGCGGGGATGATCGGGAGACAAGGATACTTTTTTATTACCAGAAAATTAGCGCTAAATTTGGCAATGGTATAATTCAGCCTAGCTTCTCCGGATAATTTTGTTCTTAGTCTCTAGGTCCCGAGGAATGGTCGTCACGCCTGCTAGTCTCCGAGTGACAACGATGCTTTCTGGTGACCTTATTCAGGCTTTCGGGCTCAGATGTTCCGGGGGCCAACATTATTGAGCTCTGTCCGACCTAGATGTTCAGACTAACACTGACCGAATGGCTGGGTGGCTCAGAGAGACCAATTGAGCAGCCGTAGAGGTCCTCACAGACCGCCAGCCTCGACCACGTGAGTGAAGAGTCCGATTATATACCTACTTATATAGGTGAGCACCGAACCATACTGTGATCAGAGGAAGAAGTGTTCTACTTCAGTGAATACACGTTTGATTCCGCAAATCTGTACCCATGTCTCCGCCAACGAACTCCGGATTTCTCAGAGTCCAAGGGGACCATATTGTCAATGGCAGTGGGCAGCGAGTGAGTCTCAGAGGCACGTCCCTGGGGGGTTGGCTCTGGTAAGTGCATTCGGCGGGCACTCCGATCTGAACCTGACTCTGTCCGGCCAGCATGGAAAACTTTATGACTGGATTCCCCGGCACAGAATCCGCCATGCGGTCTGCCCTACTCAAGGTTCTGGGAAAAGCTGATTACGAGTATTTCTTCGACCGATTCCTGTACCATTTCTTTACCGAAAAAGACGCGCAATTCTTAAAATCTCTCGGATTCAATTGTCTCCGACTTCCGTGCAGCCATAAGCACCTGGACGACGACATGAACCCTCGAATTTTTATAAGGGAAGGCGTGGGCTTCAAACACCTTAATCGCGTGATCAACATCTGTGCGAACGCTGGAATCTACGTGGTTTTGGATCTACATACCGCCCCAGGCTGTCAAAATCCCGATTGGCATTCGGACAACAACACCAGCTATGCAGCATTCTGGGATTTCAAAGACCATCAGGACCGCCTTGTGTGGCTATGGAAGGAACTGGCCTCTATTTACAAGGGCAACCCTTGGGTTGCCGGATACGACCCGATGAACGAGCCATGCGATCCCCAGCATCTCCGCTTACCAGCATTTTACGACCGCCTCATCAAGGAAATTCGACAAGCTGACCCCGATCACATCATTTTCCTCGAAGGCAACACATTTGCCATGGAGTGGCGTGGCTTTGAGACTATCATCAACACGCCCAACTGTGTATACTCGGTCCATGACTACGCCACCATGGGTTTCCCTTCCGCGCCGGGTCCATACGAGGGTCATCAGGAGCAGAAGGAGAAGCTTGAAAGGCAGTTTAGGAGGAAGTGTGACTTTCTGAACAAGCATAATCTCCCTATCTGGAACAGTGAGTTCGGCTGCCCTTGGGCACAACCCAACTGGGATCCCGACATCGAAGCCCTCGACCGTAAAAAGTACGCCATGATCGATGCGCAACTGGAGATCTATGAAAGGGCCGATATTGCTGCCTGGGCAATCTGGTCGTACAAAGACATCGGTGTAATGGGAATTCTGAACGCTTCACGTCAATCTCCTCTCAGCAAACTTGTGGAGCAGCTTGGGGAGACAAAGAAGCAACTGCACCTCGACAGCGCGTTGATGTATCCCAATCAAGAAATCGAAGACGCCATCACTCCTCTCATTGATTGGATTAACAAACATGCGCCCAACGCCAGTCACACGTACCCAACCATCTGGAACACTCGCACCCATGTCGTTCGGAACGTCATTCACAGCTTCGTGGCGAACACGTTCTGCGAAGAGTATGCCCAAAAATTCCAAGGCTTGAGCAGAAACGCACTAGAAGATCTGGCCAAAAGCTTCGCCTTTGATCAGTGTGTCCAACGAGAGGAGCTATATTCGATACTGAAGAAGTACACTTTTGAAAAGTGATGCATCAAGGACTGAATCTGCCGTTTTATGGGGAGAAGCTCTTTTTTTGGTGTTCTAATTGCGTGGCGAGAAAGTGACGGCATGATGGCATGATCTTGTCGGTGAAGGACCCCTTGGCAGACAGGTAAAACAACAAACCGCTTCGTGACATCTTATTGGGTTGATAGAAGGAAATTAGATAGTCGTTCCGCGGGATACTTTCCAGCCGCCTAAGATAATGCATCACAACACGTGGTTGTTACCTTTCTGGTATGTACATAGTGTTAATATTTTGTGTTGTATAGTTCTTGCAAATGATCTGTCAACTCGTTCACGGACTGGTGCCTCTGAGTATGGGTCACAACGGGAACCGAAATGGTTTCCGTTCCCGTTGTGACCTATTTTCGAAAAGCATGTAGACCCCGGGCCAGAATGGTTATTCGAAGTCTTACATTCTAGCCACAGAGAATGGGACGAGACGCTCAGAAGAATCATTGATTTTCCCAGAGAGATGCCAGTAAAAGTCACACAGGCTAATTCAAGACACTAATTCAACAGTCCTAGATCTTCAAAAGGTCACCAGAGCTTTTCACGAGACAGAAATCCGAATCAAAGATGGTCGTGGCTTCTCCATCAAAACGCACATTTGAACACGCCCTGAAGCAGGATTCCCGACGCCATCCTGATGCCGAATAGTTTTGGTATTCCACCCTCTCCGGGGGAAAAGATGTTTAGACCCGATAAGGCGTCGTTACGGGAAGCATGTGGCAAGCAGTGCTTCCGAACGAATATTTCCGGCGCCGAGTCTGCCCAGTCTTCCGCTTAAGCTTTCACCTCGGTGTGTTCCTCGACGTGGCTCACTGCCTCGCTGTGCTTTGCGTTCAGCTCCATGCTCACATAGTGGACGGCTTCTTCGAAGCTCTCCTTCCCGTCGTAGATTATGGCGATCTCCTCCAACGTGAGTCCTTTCGTCTCGACGAAGGTGAAGTATATTATGACGATCATGAGAGCGTTAAAACAGCACTGTGGAAGATAGTATCGCCAGCCAATAGCCGCGAGACCTACAGGGTTTAAATAGCTGGAGCAGAAGGCGGAGACATTGATGGAAAAGAGCGTGATAGCAAAAAAGATCGCTCGCTGCTTGGTCGTAACATTCTCGAGAGGATACGCGATAACCAGAGGGACCCAACACATGGAGGTAAAGAAGTTGTAGATGAAGATGATGACAACAACGCCGATACCCAAACCTTTGTGTCCATGCTTGACGTACTCGGCAGTCAGCGCTGTCCAGATGATAAACGAGGCCGTCATGCCTGCAGTGGCAAACAGAAACATTGTTCGGCGTTTGACCTTTGGAATGACGAAAGCGGCAATGATAGCTGTGAGCCAATTAACGATGGTCATCATGCCGTTGATCAGTGTCTTATCCTTGGAAGAGGTGAGGCCGACCTGGTCCAGGATCTGCGGGAGGTAGGCCGCAACGAAAGATCCCCCCAGCGCCTGTGAGCCAACCGCGGTGACGATACAAATCCAGAGTCGGTGGCGGTTGCCCTTGGTACCCAGAACGGTCTTTAGGCCTTGCCAGTTGGCCTTGATCATGGTCTTGTCGGCCTCGATACCCGCCATAATCTCCTCCATTTCGACACGGACAATTTCATCCTCGACACCGTTTCCGTGATACTTGATCAGGATCTGGCGTCCCTCTTCGATGCGACCCTTGCTAATCAGCCAACGCGGACTCTCGGGGCAAAACCACACCATGACGACTTGGTATGCTGGCAGGGCCAGCTGCAGGATACATGGCAGCTTCCAGGACCACTGAGACGTCATGCGGAAAGTCCCAAAAGTGATCCAGGCGCCAATGATGAAGCCGATGTAGATGTTTGTGTTGAAAAAGGATGACAAGGCTTCACGCTGCTTCGGGTGAACCAGCTCCACGACGAGCACGGAAGCTGCACACTGCTGAATGAAAGCTCCGAAGCCGAGCAGCAGCTTCCCGCCGGTGAACATGCCGAAATTGGAAGAGAATGTTTGCATGATCACCATGCCGACAATCAGTAAGGCGCCACCAGAGATCAAAGGTCGGCGCCCGAAGCGGTCGTTCAACGGGCCGCCGACAATGCACCCAATGATGCCTCCGACAGACATGGACGCACCAAAAAATCCCAATGTTGATCCCTGGGGGTTACCAAAATTGTTCATGAAGGTGTCGATGGATTGGAGCCCATTTGTCAAGGCGTTGTCGAAACCCCAAGCGGTGGTGGTCATCATTGGGGCGATCAGGAGGAGGTACAGCCGGACCAGGCTGGGATTTTTGTACCACGGTGGGCATTGCTTGCAGAGTTCCCGAAGGCGGCCTTCGAAGATGCCTTCGGCAGATGCCATGGCTGTGAAATACGAGAACCTCTCGACCTTGAAAATGCAATGGACGGCGTGTGGACAGGGCCCCTTGGTCAGTGGCCGGTATCTTCTTTGTAATGGTGTTGAGGAAGACACAGGACTGAACTGCTCTCACCTGCGGCTGAAAGGTTGCTCTATGTAGTCTTGCTTCTGTTCATTAACCTGGTGTAGATCTTTCGCATGGCAAAGGTCAGAACTGGTGCAGGCAGGCCACCGGGGTCCCCTGAAGTGCGGGCCATGTCCTCCTTTCGCTACAATGATCAGATTTGCAACGCACCTTCGGTTGAATGATGCACCGACCGAACAAGACAGAAAAAGCCAGTCCACAATCGTCTGTTTTGTAGGATCAGGTTGTGGTAAGTGTATTGGGTAGATTGTGCCAGGGTAACGGGCTGGACCCAGCTTCTGTGAGTGCCTAAGGCAGTGAAAGATGGCCTCACCCCTCTTCGATCCGGTGGCGTGCCCTTGTGAATTTCTGGTCGACTCCCCAGCTGGCTGGCATCTAGTCCGAGGGCACTCTGAGGTTCCAAGTACGTAGTCATGGCAGGTGGAGTGCTTGGATATTGCAGCCGAAAATTACCGACGGCCAATGACAGGAGTCGATCTATATACACTGTGGGGCGTCACTCTCGGCTATCCCAAGCTGAGGTTGCTGCCTCAAGCGTAAATAATACATTTATCCAGGATATTTAGCCATAATCAAATTCATGATCAAGAACTTTAGCGGCGCTCAATACTCCGTACACTGAGTACTGTGTCCGATCGGCACATCTACAGCCGACTGAGATCGGAGGATTGGGCTGGGCTTCCCAAAACGTCGTACCCATGCATTCTGGGTGCTGGCCTGGTCAGTCGTCATTTGGTTTACAAGAGTCATTTGCTAGCCCGATCGTGCGATATACCCATTGAGCGGAAGTCGAAATCTCGGACAGCCTGACATGGAACGAAGTGGTCACATCGTGTCGGACGTGCGATTCGAGCACTGTCAACCAGGCCACACTCTGGGACTTCCGTACGATCGACCCCGTCTATCCTGGAAATTTTACAATGTTGACTCGGCCTTCCGGCAGGCAGCCTACGAGGTCGAAGTCTACGCTCCGAGTGCAGACACAGGGACGACGCTGTTATGTTGCCGGAAAGTCAACTCGAGCCAGTCGCGGCTGGTCCCTTGGCCCTGCGACGAGGCATTGATATCAAGACAAGAAGTTTCTGTGCGCGTCAGAATCTGGTCATGTCACGGTTCTTCTTCTTCGTGGAGTCAGCCGGTTATATTCGAGACTGGGCTTCTGACGCGGGCGGATTGGGACTGTCAACGGATTGCCGCACCTAGCATGCCGCCGACTGCAGGGCCCTGTGCAGAGCAACTCTTCCGCAGAGCATTCTGGCTCCGGTCCCGTGTGCGTCGGGCAAGGCTGTACGTCACAGCCCAAGGCCTATATCAAGTAGAGATCAATGGGCAACAGATTGGAGACTTCCTCGCACCCGGATGGACAAATTACAACCACCGAATCCTCCATCAAACTTATGATGTGACCCACCTGCTGACAGGAGCGCCAGAAGAGAACTGCATTGGCATACGGCTCGCGGAAGGATGGTTCTCTGGCAGACTTGGGTTCCTCGGCGGCCGTCGTCACCTTTGGGGTCCCTATCCGACCGTCATGGCCCAGCTGGAGATTATCTACGAAGATCACAGCACAGAGCGGATCTGCACGGACAAAACATGGCTCACCACGGCAGGTCCAGCCAAGGCCGCGGAAATCTACGACGGAGAGAAGTATGATGGCACCGCCGAAATCGACGGATGGTCAGAGCCATCCAATCCCACCCACGTGTTCGATCCCGCCCCCTGGCGTGAAGCAGACGAGAAACCACCGCTCTCAGACACTATTCAGATCGTCCCGGACTTCGGAGCACCGGGTACCCGTAAGCAAACGATCGCGCCCGTTCAGAAAATCATCACGCCCCGCGGGAAAGTGGTCCTCGACTTTGGCCAGAATCTGGTGGGCTACGTACGGATCAAGGCCGTAAAAGGCAAGAGAGGAGACCGAATCTCTCTCGAACATGCAGAGGTGATGGAAAACAACGAGCTTGGGCGACGACCACTCCGGATCTGTCAAGCGCTGGATCAGTATACTTTGAAAGGCGCCGAGTCCGGGGAACAATGGGAGCCTCGATTCACGTTCCATGGCTTCCGTTACTGCCAGGTGGACGGCTGGCCAGTCGAGGCGCCTGAGCTGCAAGACTCGCTAGTGGCCGTCGTGTGCCACAGCGAGATGGAGCCCGTCGGCCACTTTCTCTGCTCGGACAAGATGCTGAACAAGCTACACGAGAACACCGTGTGGAGCATGAAAGGCAACTTCCTCTCCATCCCTACAGACTGCCCCCAACGCGACGAGCGCCTGGGCTGGACTGGGGACATTGCATTGTTTGCGCCATCTGCGGCCAAGCTGTACGACTGTTACAGCTTCTTGCAGAACTGGCTGGTCGATGTTGTCTACGAACAGGACCTTCGCGGTGGAATTCCCCCTCTCGTTTCACCAAACGCATTCCAAGGAGTCGAGTTTTGGGGCGACCCATGGCCATGTTCAATTTGGCACGACGTCACCATCCGCGTGCCCTGGGCATTGTATGTCGCCTCGGGAGACCAGGACATCCTGGCCAGAAACTACGGGAGCATGAAGACTTGGCTCACGCGGATCCCACGGGATATGAAGACAACAACAGTCAATCGTCTCTGGGACAGAGAGTGCTTTCAACTAGGCGTAAGTGGCCCCCCAATTTCGAGCAGCCGCGAGCCTGCTTTTTATGGGCATATGACGATTGACGTGGGGCGACGTAGGACTGGTTGGATCCGTCAGCGCCGCCAGACCAACCTGCAACCAGCAAAACAGACGCGACGCTGGTAGCAGATGCGTTCTTGGTACATAACCTGGACCTCGTCTATCAAATCGCCGAGGTCTTGGGTGACACGGAGGGAGCCAGGGTGTTTGAAGCCGAAGCACGCGCCACGCGCCAGCAATTCGTCCACGAGTACATCAGCGCCAGCGGTCGGGTAGTCTCCGATTCGCAAACGGCCTACGCACTGGCCATCTGCTTTGACCTCCTCCCCACGGCCGCGCAGCGAACGAATGCAGGAGAACGGCTGGCAAAGCTCGTCCGCCGGGAGCACTTCAAGATCGAGACCGGCTTCGCGGGCACTCCCTTCATCTGCGAGGCCCTGGTGCGAGCCGGACACGGTGCTGTCGCATACGCCATGTTGCTCAATCGAGAGTGTCCCTCGTGGTTGTACCCGGTCACAATGGGCGCGACCACGACGTGGGAGCGTTGGGATAGCATGCTTCCCGATGGGTCCATCAATCCCGGCGAGATGACCTCGTTCAACCATTACTCCCACGGGGCAGTCATCTCCTTCCTGCACGAGCGACTGGCCGGCCTCCGGTGTGTGGAGCCCGGCTGGAAGAAGAGTCGCGCCGCTCCGGTAATCTCAGGCGGCATCACCCATGCGGAAGTCAGTTACAACACACCCTACGGGAAAGTGGGCTGCTCATGGAGCATTGAAGGCGAGCAGTTTACCTTGGCCGTCGAAGTCCCTCCAACGACCACCATGGAAGTAGTCCTGCCGACAGAGAGTGGTGAGCGGACCGAGCTCGTCAAGGCCGGAAAGTGGACCTTTTCTGGTCGTCATCGACCCGACCGTGCTTGGCCGGTGACACCAATTTCGAAGATGCCTTGGGTAGAAGGCTAGTTGGTTGTAGGAGCTACTGTAGCATAATGTAGTCCCCTTGACCGGGGTAGGTTAGCAAGATTGGACCACTCCCATAGGAGCTATAAAGCAAATCAAATGTTGAAAATTTAGTTAGGGACGAGGATCAATGTCCAAGTGTATGCAAAAAAGTGGGAATATCACGAGTTTGGGACCATTTAGCAATCTACCGTCTAGCGAATCTCGACTCCCTTGCTCTCTGTCTATTTTTACTGCCCTGTCCAGAGAAACGTTTGAGGAAGCGTGAAATCGGCAGACAGAACATGGTCCCGAGGGTCGGCGCTCCGAGAGATAATGACCGTGAATACACCAGCCTCGGCCATCCATTTTCCGTGAACCTCTGACCAATATGACACCGCATACTTGTCAAGCTCGACTTCGATCTCCTTGCTCTGGCCCGATGCAATCTTGGCCTTGGCGAAGGCCTTCAGCTCTTTCTTTGGTCGCAAGACCGTGCAGTGTGCATCACCAACATAGACTTGCACGATCTCTGATCCGTCAACCGTGCCCACGTTGCTGACGCGGACGGAGAGGCGCATGACATGATCTTCCCGGGCTTCGAACTCACTCGGTACTTGGAGATTCGAGTATTCGAAGCGAGAGTAGGTCAGCCCGTAGCCGAAATAGAACAGGGGCTCCCGATCGACCTGTTCATAGTATCGGTGACCGATAAAGACGCCTTCGCCGTACAGGATGTTTTTGTCGGATTTGCCGTACGTGAGATAGGTCGGAGTATCCTCCACTCTCTTAGGAAACGTCACCGACAATCTAGCTGAAGGATTTACGTCGCCAAAGACGACATCCGTGATGCCGTGGCCCGTCTCCTGGCCCCCAAACCAAGCGTGAAGAAGGGCGTTGGCTTTTGGCAGCCATGGCATTCCTACGGGTAAGCCCGACTGCGTCACGACGATCTGTACGATACAAGTCAACAGAATTGCAGCACAACCTTTTGTTGAGCGGGTGGGCGTCCTTGCTCACCGTGTTTGGGTTGGCATCGAGGACTTTCTCAATCAGTTCGTCTTGTCGACCAGGAAGTCTCAAGTGGCGGCGATCAAAGTTTTCGAATTCGTGGTCGGAGCTAAGGCCAGAAAGGACAACCGGCACGTCCACCCGCCGACTCAAGGCAATCGCATCGGCGATTGTTTCGTCCTCGTCGAGCACTTCATAGACACCGAGCCGGAGCCCCGGGGCAGGAACCGCTCCGACGACGAATGAGTGGATGCCTTCGTTTGTCAAGAGCACATCGAGCTCGATCGATTCGCCCTTGTTCAGATCGAGGTCCACAAACTTCTCCATGGTAAAGGAGTTCAGCATTGGGGTGGCGGCAGTCTTCTCTGGCACCTCGGACCAGAGATCGATCGACTCCCTGCCGTTAACAAAGAGCCTTGCCTTGCCAGAAATAGACAACCCGAATCGAAATCGGCCCGAGTTGGGTGGAGTGTATGTTGCCTTGGCGCTGACGAACAGTACATTCGGCAAAAATAGTGGTATGCTGTCGTTGAAGGGCATCGAAGATTTCAAGGACACTGTGGCATACAGGCAACGAGTGTCAGGCTTGTCGTGTGGATTCTCCCCGTAAAATTGCACAAGGAACCCGGGCTCCGACGACCCTGGCACTGTGTGACCGGACGCGATCAAGGGGGTGAATCTATGCGCTGCGTAAACCCTTCAGTTCAGGTGCCAAAACATTGCGTGCAATAGAAAGGGTGCCCCTTACAGTAACAGCCAAGCTGATATTCGACGGCGCTTTCGCCAACGGCTTCCACAAAAGCATCATAAGGGGTGTTCAGGTAGTAGGCGTCGACCTCGGAGCTACCACCTCCACAGACAGCCGGGCTCTGAAAATGATGACCAATCAGACCGTAGGTCCTAGAAGTACTCTTCGAAAGTGGAAGTCTGTTATCGTTGTTCTTCAAGAGGACGACTGACTGAGCCGCAACTTGGCGAATGAATGCTCGAGACGCGGGCGTGTCGTTGTACGGTTTGATGTCGGTTGGTGGAGGCCGTTGGACCTTTCTGATGAAATTCAGGACCGCTCTGACGCGGCGGTCAATGGTCGCCCGAGGCACCTTGCCAGCCTCGACGGCCCAGGTTAAGAGCTTGCCACGCCAGAGAGAGGGACCGGGCATTTCAAGGTCCATGCCGGCCTCGATCGATCCTGTCGTGCTGTACGTACCCCACCAGTCGCTGATCACGATGCCGTCCCACTTGAGATCGTCGCGAAGGATTTCGTCGAGCAAGTGTTTGTGCTCGCTCACGTGGATGCCGTTGATCTTGTTGTAGGATGACATGATCGACCACGGATTCGCCTGTCTGACCGCAATCTGAAATGGTAGGGTGTGCATCTCTCGAAGCGTTCTTTCCGTCATGACACAGTTGTCTTCGATCGAGTTCCACGACTGGTCATGAGCCGCGTAGTGCTTGAGACAAGCGGCCACTTTACGGCTCTGCACTCCGTCTATGTAGGCAGCGGCAAGCGCTCCACTCAACCACGGATCCTCGCCAAAGGCCTCAAACCCACGGCCAATCAATGGGGAGCGTTGTAGGCAGGAGACCGGCCCGAGCACCACCTGTATGTTCTTCCCTCGCGCTTCATCGCCGAGAAGTTCCCCAACGCCACGTAACAAGCCAGAGTCGAATGTGGCACCCAGGGCAGTGCCACATGGCAGCATGCACGTACGAGGCTAGACAACAACGCGTCAGGAAAGGAGGCCCAACCGGGAAGAAGGGGAGGAGCAGGGGGGACAACTTGCCCCATTCCAGAACTGATATCCTCTCAGGCCCAGCGGACCATCGGACATCTGTATGAATTTCTTTTAGCGAGACGTGGCGATTTCCCAGAGAGGTACGGGATGGCCTACATTGATACTGGGGACATTGAGCCTCTCAATGCCTGCTGTTTTGCATCGGCCCACACCAGAAAGCAGACCAACCTTCTCTTCCAGGCTGAGTTGTGAGAGCGCCCATTCGACGTTGAGTTCACCGCCGGATGCCATGATGATGATGATGATGATGATTAAGGACGCGGTACGAAGGGAAAAGAGGAATAGCTGCAAGAGCAACTGTGCTGGTCCTAATAAAGGAGGCACCATTTCAGGTGTTGCCGTGCATTAAGACTATTGAAAGCTCGCTCGCTTTTCACCCGAAAAGCCCCTCCAAGGACTCTAGGTGGTTGGGGGACAGGGGGACCCAGCGGCGAATGAAGGGTGTGGATCTATTTATGCCACTAACAGAGTTGGTGTGAACAAGAGGACGGGCATCTTTGAATGATCGCTCACTTGTACTGGCCGAGCTAGAGCGCGTCGTCCCAGCCTGATCTTCGCAGTGGGTTTCTTTTTCCTCGTCCAACTCTTGAGTCTCCGTGGTGTCGGGGGGCACACCAAATCTGCTGCTGCAACTTGTCCATGAAAGCCTCGGACTCAGCGGCGAATTTGCATCGAGTTCGAATCTGAGCGCCGTACTTGTAGAAAAGGAAGGGAAATGGAACGCATGCCAAGGCGAGAAAGGCAGGTGTCATTGACGCTCAGCGGATCCCTAAGCCGTCGTACATGTAAGTGTTGAAAAGAGGGAACGCAGTCCCAAACAAGGAGCAGAGGGGCAGAACTGGCCGCAAGGACCAAGACGGCAAAAATGGTGTAAGCGTCAATCAGGTAGTTCATGATACTCAAAACCACAAGGACCATGCCAAAGCCGAAAGGGACGCCGGCAGCGATGCTCGCCATCCAGTGAATGGAGGGGTAATTGGTCCATGCAAACCAAAAGAGGCCGATCACGAGTGTCAGCGAACCGATCAGGCACGAGGGCAAGCGGGTTTCGGGAGGAGGGAGCCCGATGTATCTGGCTGCGACTTTGATGTACCGCACCTTGTCGGGAATCGTGTACACCACAGCGAGGAGCATTCCGACCATGACTCCTAGGAACGTAGAGGCCACCCACCCCAGGATTCTAGCCACGAATCTGCTGGTAGACGATCGAGAACGCTGCAAAGAGCATGTATAGGGTTCCGGATATGATAGCCATATAGATAGACAGTAACAGCACAATGGGTTCGCGGAACAGAAGGACCCAGGGCCTGCTCAGAGCAGTTCTGAACGCTTCTCCAGGACCGATCTTGCCCCGACTGATATCAGGCTTGCTTCGGTATACTGGGTACATTCTCGGTCCACCTGGAAAGTTGCTTGGCGCGACGGCCGAGGATGACCGGGCCGTAAGTCTCCGGGACCAGGAGTGAGCCAATGATTCACAGAGCGCCGGAGAAGATGGCCAGGGAGCCTTCGATCCACCTCCAGCCTGCGTACGGATACGAGGCTACTTCCGGCATCGTTCCTGTTGACAGCAGAACGCCACTGTAGCAAACCAACCAATCCACCAATGCTTCATCCGAGGCCTCTCTATAATAGCCTCGGCGCCACCGTTGATCGACAACGAGGTCTGGACAGATCTGGTCAGGTCCAGATCTATTCAGCGGATTGCTTGTTGCCACAGTGCAACTAGTATATAGATAGGCAGAATCTCTCTGAAAAGCCAGAGCACGGAACACAATCAAACAAGATAGATCCACTCTCATTCTGTGTACAACAGTTCCGCCCTGGTCCCAGACCATGCAGCAGAAGGATCGTCCGTCTGACCAGGAATCGAGACGCCATAGTCAAGACAGCACAGCGAAACACACCCGTTCAAAACCGTTGTTAGACACAGCCTTTCATGCTGCCGCAGGAGCATGTGGGATACTTGAGGAAAGGAAAGTCAACAAAAAGTCAACCGAACAATACAGCCTTAGGGATAAGGCTGGTAATATCACGTGACGTTCAGGATGGGAAGAAGATATGATGGTATGGTGGTACACAAGTGGCATAGTCAACAGACTAACAAGCTAAGATACTATTCTACGTTGCCTAATTAGGAAGCTCTCACAAGTATAGATACACACTCTCCCCTCTTATAGTTACACCCTCTTCGTCAGCTTTAACACGAAGGTTGATCGAAGTCATCGAATTAGCGAACTCTACATCGAGATAGAATAACGCTCGAGGGGGGACACTGTCTAAGCTACGATGGATTGCTGATTGTATTCGCCGACTTCGAGTACACCAGCCATCATGAAAAGGAGTTATTACTTCTGTAGAGCCTGGATAGAGTTTTAACTACCGAGCGGCATATAATCTCTTCGGCCCTTTCATTGACGATGAAGACTCATCTCATTCTGTTCTCCGTGGATCTATCCCATTAGAGGATTATAGACTGTAACAAGGCAAAGTGGCTGTGCTGGGCTGGTAGAGCGGCAGCAGGGAGGAGAGTTGTTTAGTCACATGTCAACCCAAAATGGGCTAAGGGGGAGTGGGGAACAGTTTCCAGTGCTGGCAGTGTGCCATTCTTTTACAGTTTGAACAGAGTATCACAATTCCATGGTCTTTGGTACCGTCTACCTATTTCCTAAGTGTCATCGGTCTTGTCCCAGCTCCTCAATGCCTCCGCCGTACTAGGCGTTCGTTGCCCTAGCCGCTGCCTCTCTGGGTGGTGTTGGTGGTGTTGTTGTTCTGTCGGCGCCAACCAGAACCGGGTTCTCGATTCTCGACCTGCTGGACAGGCTTCTGTGCGTTGCTGCACGTGCACGCCGAACCTTGAAGTGCTCTGTTACAATACAAGGCTGCGGCGAAGCCGTCAGGCGGTGCCATCCCCGTCAATACAGGACCTATGTCTCCCACGGCGACCTTTGTCTCATCAAAAGTTCGATTTTTGCCTCGAGAGCCGCAGCTCATGGGGAAATGCTTGCTCGATGTATTGCAGAGAGATCAGAGCATATTGACCGTATTACAACTGTTGTATCTGCTGACAATGACCCCTGTCAGTAATGATGTATACCGCTTTTTGGCAGACGATAAGCGCGGGCGTCACCGCGATTAAACTTACATTTACAGCAAAAGTACTGTACTACAAAGGTGGCACAGCACTCCTCCAAATCCCACCTACATGTCTACATGGACAGATAGCCTCGAACCCTAATCATCCCACGGTCATAGGAACATACAGCATTCCTGGCGCTCCCGTCTGCGCAAGAGATATTGAAAAAGAAAGAGATATTGAAAAAGACATCCAGAAACTGATGATTGGCAGGCTATTTATTGTTCACTACCGAAGCTGGATACCTGAGGCTCGGCCTTGAGGAAACACGGATGTGTTATACCTGGGGCTGATGTGCCATTTGCATGGCTTCACGGATGGGGAGGCGGAAAGGAGTCTACAGCTTTGCGAGAATATGTACTTTGTTGAGCTTGAAAGGAGCTCAAAGCATGATGGCTCCGAGTCTCCTGGGGCACATTTGAGGCTACTAACAAGCATATTATGCTTTTGCCGTACTTCTTTAATGCTGCGTAGCTGCTCTGTCTTGGCGAGCATCTTCTGCACTGATGGTTTGAGCGGATGGACTTGTATATGGAAACATGACGATATTAGCTATGGCACTAATAGTCGGCAGTTTAACCCATGGTTAATAGCACTAGTAGCATAGAAGACAGCAGCTGAGCAGTAAAATCAACCACAACACTTGATGGGCGCAATCTTGGCTGTGCTGCATATGTAGTCACAGTCTTTCACATCTCCACAACACAAGTTTGTCCGCTGGTCATACATCCCGATGAATGTGATTATCTATCCGCACGAACATCACGCCCCCCTGCCCCAGGTAGCTATTGATTTTCGTTCCAAGAGATTTCAGAGCTCCAATTGGACAGTCTCAGTTGAGAAGGAGCAGTCGTGCTATGAAGGCTCGACATGGCATAGGCATCATCTTGATTCATGCGAGGAACATCAGTTGCGGCATAACTGTCGAAAGCCGCATTCACTTGAGCTGTGTCAAAGGCGTGAGCCAGCCACCCTTCTGTGTTCAGAAACTGAGTATTCAAATCTGTGGGATGGTCGATGGATCCTGCAATTTCTGGAACCCTCGGCTCAAATCCGGCGATTTCATAATAGTTAGATAGTGCCACACTCTGTGTCGTGCTTCTTGTCGGAGCCATTGTGAAGACATCTTCGTCTGCTGAATCTTCAACTGCCGGGCCCATACATGGTTGGGATGACCGGGACTCTGTCTGTCTCAAATAGTTCGGCAGCGCAATCTCGAATGCCTCATCCACGATTGCTTGAGTGGAAAGGTCCAAGGGCGGGTTTTGCCCAGGCTGCTGGCGTCGATCAAGCATCATACTCATCAATTCCTCGGGGCCGACCCACCGAAACAAATTCACGAAGTGATTGATCATGGTTGCGTCCGCGGTCGTAACAAAGGGCGATGATGGCCTCGGCGAACTCGGGAAAAGTACGCTATAGATGTTGAACCAAAGCTCGCATGGATCTCCTCGTATCATGCGGCGCTTGATGGCATGAAACTGGTCGTCGGTCATCTTGTCTTCGTATTTAGGACCCTGCAGTTCGCATGGTGGCCGCTGTCTGGTGTGTTCATCGAGCTGTTCACGCGACTTGTATGACTTGAAACAGCTTCCACAATAATAGTCCGGTCTCTTATGGATACGATACAGATGCTGCTTTAGTCTAGAGATGTCGCGGAGACAGCAATTGCTGCAATTCCAATAGGCGGGCTCAGCCAGATTCTCCCGGGAGTATTTGGACGGATTAAATTTGGAGTAAGGACATGCAAATAATTTCGATAGTGGCTCTTCTTCGTCCACTTTTCTCTTCAAGACTGGGGAGCGCTTCGAAGTATCGTCATCATCAGGCTCGTCAAAGCCGATACCGCGCGGGTGCAACCCTAGCAGGTTGCTCGACTGACTTGTTGCCGAAGTCGTCCTTGTAGACGGCTGCGAGGAGGACGCTGATTCTGAAGAAGATGTGTGTTCCGACCCGACTCGCATTCTCGGCCTGTGCTGATAAGACCCGTGGATGCATCGGTCTACAATCCGCTGAGCCAGGCCATTGAGGAAAGTAACAGTGTTGGAATTGAAGCGAGACGGAGGCATCTCAGTAGCCTGGCTTTGCTCTACGCCCATAAATGAGAGCTCACCTTCAGAGATGCTTAAAAGACTTCTCGAGCTGTCGACTGCCCTGCTCAAGGAAGGACTCTGTGGCGTGCTTGGGACATAGCTCACTTCTGAACTTGTTGGGTCCGCTGGTAACGCAATGGGCTGAATCATCGGTGAATATGGCCCTTGACGAGCGGTGGCCGTACCAGGCCGCACACCGTCAGCATTTGACTGAGGAAAGTCCATGCTAGACTCCGAAGTGTAAGTCTCCGCAACATTTCTGCGAGAAATTATGCCCAGGATATCATCTGAGGCTTTTGACTGTTCGTTTGCGCCCCTAGGAGCTTCGGACAAGTTGTGTTTTGGGACAATTTCCCTCCCAGAAGTTGTAACGGGTCTTCCTACCTCGGAATCGCTCTGGCTAATGACGGGGGACGGATGGAGCGACATGAAGACTAATTTGTTGCCGTCATGTACCTCCAGCGCTTCGTACATCCAATCTTTGAAATCAATTCGCGTCGACGACCAGTCCCCAATCCCCGTTCCGCCTTTACCCTCACTCTTCTTATCCCAGCCACTAAGCGTATTGTTGCTTGGGTTGAAGTGGGCTAGCAGAAGGTGTCCAGCAGCATAATAGTTCGCCCCGTATGGTTTCTCATTTCTGCAGGCTACGCAACCCGCAAGGAATGTTCCACCAGGTTGCGCTTCTTTGCAAATCCACACCCTTCTCGACTGCGTGTGGTGCTGGTCAATGTGCCGACGGAGTTCGTGTTCATCGTGGTATCCTTGTGGGTGATCATGACATAGTGGACAGGGTAGTGTTCCCGGGGGCGGCTGTCGGCGAAATGATTTTTGCAACTTAGGCTTGTGCGCCGCGTCTTCATCGAGGTCCGAAATTTTGACGTCGGAGGGGGTTTCAATGCTCTTATTCTCGAAATAATAGACAAAGTCCGAGGGCCATGGTGCATCTGTCTCGAATTGAGAGGCTATGAAACAAGAAGTCTCCTCTTCACTTGGGGTCCGAGAGATATTTCTGGAGTTGTAGCCCGAGTCCGTTACGACCCGGAGCGAACGCCAATCTCGTATTTGAGTATTCTCGGACAAGTTGAGCAGAGATGGGTCCCTCCCATGCGCGTAAGCATTATCCGCGAGCTTGGATTGATATTTTAACTGATATTCCTCGGAGCCGATGGCGGAGTCATGAAGCGGACTCAGAATACGCTCGTCGTCCGAATATTGGAGTCTCGGTTCATTGAGATAAGAAACACGCATATCCCGGCGTTCATATTTGAAATCCATGGCGCTGGCTTAGGCACACGGTGTTGGCAAAGCCCGTTCTTCCAGATACAGAGCTATATATTCCGGCAATGGAGATATTTCCCAAACCTCCTAGGTTGCCCGCTCTTCTCTGGAGTCAGGGATCGGTGGTGATACAATATCTGAATGAGAAGATCGCACCCTGGAAGGGCGAGTGGGCATCCCTCTGAGTCGAATGATGGGTTTTAAAGAGTAGAAATACAGCAGTGCGGCTCTCGCACAGATGTTCATAACCATGGTGGTGGCCTTGCTGCGCCAGGCCCCGTTCGTTGTAGCTTGAGGCTCAGGCGAATCACGATTGGATGCGTGACACAGTAGGCAACCACCAACCGCGTTGGGAAAGAGCCGACAATGCAAACGAGGAGCTGCGCCTTTCCAGTTTTCAATCACCATAGAAGTGAAGGCCATACAATTTGCCTCCACCGGAAAATGGTGTTCATTGTGCTAAGGAGTTGGTAGCCTCGGTCGAGCGATTCAGCCGCTGAATATATATATCTAAGACCCGAACAAAAGAACGCCGCGAGGAAAGACGTAGGAGACATAAATTTTACCCACGACCGCAGGGGTTGGAAATCTCTCGTTGGGGTCCTTGAAGTGACGGAATAGCTAGGTCGACCTCCAGCTTTGATCTTTGATTTTAGACGAATCCAGGAAGTAACGCTACCAAAGGTAATGCTACATGTCCACCATTAAGGGCGATTCTGTTGCCAAAGTTCCCAGTCTCGGTGGCAGTTGCTGCAGAAGCGGTTTCGCTTGGAGTCTGGTTTGAATCAGATTCATCAATTGTTCCCCATCATTCCCAGTGAAGCACTCACCTCAGTGAAGGTCTGTCCGGCCGTCGCTGAAGCTGTCTCGACCGAAGAAGCCGTGGTTGACGTTGAAGATGTTGCCTCTGTGCTTTGAGGTGAACTAACCGAAGTGGACTCATGGATAGAGCTGCTGTTCGTTGCGGAAGTGGCATTGGCAGGGACTGGCGTTGCATCGAGCCCACACGCTGTTGCGGCCTCGGCGACACTGCCACCATAGTACTGCCAGATATCAAATTCGAGAGCACAATCGAGGCAAGCTTCGAGGGCAGTGGTAAAATTTGCTGTGTCGCAATATCCCTCCGTTCTACCAGCGACAATGACAGCTCCACTGTATCTTGTGTCAATTGAGCCAAAACGTAGATTTGATGCACGACCCACCAGTTCGTATGACAGTCGTATTCAGGCGTTCCAGGTTCTTGTCGCCGGTAAACGGGGAAAGAGACTGGATACATAAGAGAAGCTGAGACAGATACAACGGCCAGTGCCATCGCGGAAAGGTGAGAGTAACGCATTGTGTTGATCAAAGTGTGACAGACCAGACTGAAGATGCAAAGTCTGGAACTGGAAGGCACAGTTCTGGGCGAGAAGGCCACAGAGAGAGGGAGACGGCCCTTCCATATAAACATAGAGCGATATTGCCTCCATTCGTCTCATTTCCGGACCAACCTTAGGCGCTCCAAGCGAGGCACTGTCCCTCCATGAATTGGGGAAACCTTAACAATCAAAGCGGGTTTTTGCGAGAAACACAATCATCAGGCCCTGACAGGTTCAGAGACGAACAGTTGAACAGTTGGCCCCGAGTCAACGCTTGGCTGCACCATTGGTTTTGTTCCGTGAGACAAGTAGCCCGTCAAAGCCAAACGCCCAGCAAGGGCCAAGCACGCCGGCGCAACTTATCTTATCTGATTGCGTAATTTCGAGCCTGACAATCGACGATTTGTCTTTCCAAGTGTAAACGGAGGACAATATTTTGTCTGGCGACGCCCGATGTCGGCAGCTATCCTATCTGATTAGATTGGCAGTGGGCTTCGCTTGGACGTGGGCGATGTGCTTCTCTACTGGGCATGGCCATTGCTGTTTGCTTTGCTGGATTCTCAAGTCTCGCAAGCAGAGACAGTGTCGGGTGGGGGTCCCTCTTTCTGTCTCTTCCCCCAGCAAGCCACTCCTGTCGTAGGTTGGAGCGCTCGGGGAAATGGCTGGCTTCCTTGTGACCTGAATGAATTGGCTTGCACTATATCTTCCCTGCTCTCGTTGATGGTGGTGTGATTGAGGCGCAGTTCACTCCATTCTCTTGTCTGCAGAATCCGGTTTCGGTCCAAAGGAAAATCGACAAATAACTCGGTTCTTGCAGGTCAGCAAATTTTCACACTTCGCAGCGTTTGGGGATTGACAAAATGGTCCTCCTCACTTCTTTTCGGATCTTCTGCTGGGCTCTTGCGGCGAGTTACGCCCTTGCCCAAGATCATGGAGAAGAATATGAGAAAACAATGGGCCCAGTCGCCTTCCTGTGGCCGCCTGATCGTGAATGGGGTGCTGCTCAAGATAATACAGTCCCTTGTGGTTCGGCTGCATCGGTTGTGAACAGAACCGAATTTCCTTTGCGTAAGTCAATGTCAAGTCCAGAGTATGCATGCTCATTTGTGCAAGTCAACGGCCACATCGCGCTCGTCGCCCAAGACGAATCCTGGTCCATCCAAGTAGCGATCTCTCATAAAAACGGTGGGTGAACTAGCGACTCATCAATACTTCTTGTGTCGTAGCTTACAAACCGCCTAGATCCGACATCGAACGATGATTTTGAGACCGTGATTGCAGCCACGAGAATCCCAGAACTCAATGAGGGGCATCAGTGCTACCCGATTCCCAATCCATCGGCCGACATCGAGGCTCTCTCCAATGCAACATTGCAAATTCGATATACTTCGGACTTTGAAGACGACAGAAATGAGACGTACTATGCATGCGCGGATATTACTTACGTACCGACCAGCCAATTCACCTACCAAGTGCCATGCTTCAATGCCACTGTTGATGATTTCAACATTACTGATTCTGATCCTGATTCAACTTCTTCGGATTCGGCAGCTGGAGCAACCGCAACATCAGAAGCCACGGGAGATATGGAAGACACGGAATCATCGTCTTCAGGTTTGTCTGGAGGCGCGATTGCCGGTGTTGTTGTCGGGGTTGTGGTAGGAGTTGCTGCTTTCCTTGGTGTGATCTTTTTCATGTGGCGTCGCAGCCAGCGGAAGCGTCGACTTCGTCAACAGGAGGCTTCCCTGAGGAATGTGAAATGGGAAGACCATCATCAAGGGAGCGGACCGGGATCGCAGGCTTCAGGCGGTGATATTGCCCTCAGGAAGCTTTAGTCAGATGAAGGTGTTCGGAATCTGGGAGCATAGTTTCCAAAGAGGACGGGAATTTCGTACGGGATTGTCGACCGACGGTTGATGGAAAGTGGGAACTCCATTTCGACACATTCCAACGTTGATAGCACTCGACTTTATCACAATGATCGATAATTCATGATTCGCGCACGAAAGGAGATCAAAAGTGGATTTCTCGACCATCGCGACGACCCTGAAGCCACCAGCATATGCCAAGGCGCTAGCAAGCAAAGCCTCCATCCGGATTAGGCTAGACTCATTTTCAACGCAAACTCAGCCTTGTCAGCACATCAGCGGGGGCTCCTGTTGGAAGATGCCTTGAGAGAAGTGCAATACTCCGTTCTCATACAATCCATGCTCATCTGATCGCCTATAATGTACATCCTGACATCCTCATATCCTGCGTTGCTGTCTCATAAACCAATGGGGTATCTCATGCACCGATTCCAGTCCCAGCTGTCCCTGTCCTAGCTGTCCCCGTCCCCATTCCCTATCCCAATGAATGCTGTACCCATGTCCCCCGAGACCGACCAATGCATCGCTCCATCCATAATACAACATTTCACCAATCTATCCCTTCATCCTTAACATTCTCCAATGTTTCCAAAACTGGCAGAATCTGGGCCTCGTCATTCGCAAGAGCGGCCCTCTGTCTTGTTCGTGAGTAGAAAACAGGGCAATCCTTGCTATCACACCGTATTTCTTCATGCCACCCAAATCCCGAGCAAGAGCGACAGACCTTTGCGAGTTGCGCCGCTTTTCTCTCCGCTTTCATGAGCCTCGACCGTAGTTCTAGCATACTCTGCCAAGGTTGCTGAGAGCAAGTATCGCACAACGGGGCCGGAGTGTCTAATCGTTCGCGACAGACAAGACAAGTCGATGATTTCATGTATGACTCCAGAGTCTTTTGGGACCTCGTTCCGTTCTTTCCATCTGTACCGAGCCCAGCGTCCACTCTCCTGATACGTTGGTATTTCGGCATTTCGTCATACCATTGACGGACATTGGCTCCCACCAGGTTGAAGATACGTTCAAGAGGTGGGATGATGTTCTTTGAAATGTAGTATTCCGCATCGAGCTCCGAGTGCGCGTCATTGAGCAAGACATCTGGCGCCACGCAACGGTCGATCAACCTCGCACCTGGTCCGCCGGTGACAACCACATAAGGTACTCGTTCTCCGTATTGAGGCTCAAGTCTTGGATCCTCCATCATTTTTCGAGCGCTAATAAGTGCACCAGGAGGTGGCGGTTTTTTGTCACTGTAAGTCCCGAGCTTGACTTCTCTAGCAAAGCAGAAATCCTGGATCGAGACCCTGCCTTGCATGATTTTGGCACATTGAGCCTGGAAGAAAGCCTTGACTTGACTTAGGTCAGAGGTACGGAATAGCAGTTTCAATGCGGTCTCCTCAATCTTCTGTTCGGCTGGAGTGCCGTCTCGGCGGACAGTCTCGATTCCTTTGGCGTCAAAGTCCGGTACAGTCTGCTTTCGGCTTTCGTACTTGAACCCGACATATCTTTTCTTCGCAAGCAAAACACATGGATGATAGACCTTCTCGAACTTCAACTTGACCGGTCTAGGATTCATCTTCGTAATCGTGTCGGCAATCTCTTCGCCTATGTCGAATGCTTGCTCTCTTGTCCGACCTTTGAGGTAGACAAAGAGGCTGTCGGTATCGCCATATACCACTTCCGCGCCCCATCGCTCAACCGAGTGGATCAGGGCAATGGCCTTTTCGAGAGTTTCACGACCCGTCTGTACGATGCTGTCCGCGATCTCAGAGCATGGCATTCTTCCGGAGAATGACGCTGATGTATAGCCGTATGTGACATTAGCTATAAGCTTGAGGGCAAGTTGTCTGTTATTCAACAGCCTCTGCAACATCTTGTCGTCCGTATCCACCTTCATGCCACTCTTGACCATGACTCTTGTCTCGAGGATCTCGCTCAGCATTTTTGCCAGCAGGGACTTTCGGATCTCAGGCTTGGCGTACATGATCCCATTCGGCGCAATGTTGATGTAATCCTTGAGCAGCTCTAACAATCTGGGTTCCCGATGATAGTTTGTGAAGCCCATTTTGTTGGCACCTCGCCAGCTGACGACTCGCCCAAGGAAAGTTGAGTAGCAATAATTGTAGGCTATCATGACGCTGGGATAAAGGGACTGAAAGTCGAGCACCAGTAATGGGCTAGTATAGAAGTCGCTTTGGGGCTCCATTACCAGTGGCAAGCATTCTAACGCATTCTGACCCCCGACTTGTCTGCGACTGGGCGATACCAGCATAAAGTTCTCCGGCTTTGCTATGCGAAACATCAAGGACTCTACCTTGAATTGTGAACCTCGCGATATGACCGAGAACCAGTCAACACCCAACAACCGGGCTTGTTCACTTGTTCGTGAGATCAGCTCATTAGCTTCGAGAATTTCAATGTCGATCTGTACTCTCGAAGAGAAATACTCGATGACTTTTGCCTGATCGTGAGGATTCCTGCTTTGATACCATCTCGTCAGGTCGGCAAAGCTGTAATGAGGTATTCTTTGATGTAGCAAGTGATAGACAACGTTTTCCATAGTGTAGCCAAGCAGGTTCAGTTCGCCACGCATGGCCCTCCAGATATTGATGGTATGCCGACCGGTGACGCGAACTGTCGAGGTGTGGTTGAAGCCCCAGCGGTCATCTTCCTTTCCAAATCTCCCGTGAGATTGAGACTTCATTCTGGACAGCTCATCACAATAGTTGAGGTCATACTTGATCCGTGCTCTTTCAATGAGGTAACCCCACGAGCTATTGTGCACTTCGTAGCCGGTCAGAACATCAGGATCATAGTACCTCACAATGTCGACAAATCTCGTGAGAACGTCAAGTTCGGTAGCTTCTTCTTCAACATGATACGGGACATTACGAGCAATCCTTTTGGCTGTCTGCTCATCACCGGCAACAGCAAGAATTCCCACATGCAACCCGTTCTTGCTTACATTGGTGTCATCACCCTCATAGTCAGTCTGTGCACACCAGAATATGCACGCAATGGCATCTTCATCAGGGTTTGGAGCAAGAGAACCTCGAGTGTTAACATGGACTTCCAAGCTCATCACATTCATATACTGAGTTTCATGTTGTACGCTGGTGCTGGGCTGCTTTTGAGAGTATTTGAAGCCGTACTCGTTCTTCTGCGTCGGGCCATCAATCTGCGAAAGGGCCCTGCCTCGCGCCCCGATTTTGCCAGGTTCATTCACCTCAACTTTTGCCTCGTTTTCTTCTTGCAACCAGGAGAGTACATCAACTTTTCGAGGAGGAGCGGCAGCTATGACCCACTCAGAAATAGTGCAACGTTTGCGTCTTTGATTATCGCGAACCTGTTCCGCTGTAAAATCTAGTAGTGAGGGAGGCTTTCGGCCGAATGTTGCTAAGGACGTTCCGGAGGCATCAAAGTCAGGTAAATAGGGCACCGTTGCACTTTCAAGCTTGAACTCGCGACCGGCGTATGCTCTAACCTGGTTAGGGACATCTTCCTCATTGCTATAATATGCTTCTTGGTAGATCACGTCCGGTAGACCGTTCTGGTACATGGTCGATTCGACCTGTTTGAAAGTTGGTGGGCGAGGCTGATATAATTGCAAACTTCTCTTTTCCTGCATCTTTGGGAGACCTTTGAGGCTGAAATCGAGAAAATTGGATGACCTAGTACTCGGACCTATGGTAAGAGGCATTTGGATATGTCCGGACGCAGTAGATACAGACTTTGCAGGGGTCTTGAGCATCGCAGGAGAAATTAGAGGCTCAACAGTCGAGCCCTTTGGCACGTTCTGCGAAGCACCACTTTTCTGGCTTAGTCGGAGCACGGTAGCAGGATCAGCGGGATCCTTTACCGTGGGGAAGGATAAGGTTGATTGTTGCGAGAGAATTGGAGATATTGGTACATCCACAGATGCGGCCTTTGATTTTTTCTGTCGGTCCATAACTGAAAGACGATCGACGGCAGGCTGAGGTAATAGGATAGTACGCATCTCTTCCTCTGTTGGTTCCGCACCTGATCCGAGCTCGTCATTTTCATTAGATAAATCAGAGTCCTCATCCGAGGCCCAGAAGTCGACGTCGGGTAGAATATTCCCGCAATCAATCAAATGCTTCTGTCTTTTCCTGGGTTCGAATGTTGGCGCCTCTCCAAACCGTGCTCTCTTGGTGCGATTTGTGACTTCAGCATGACCATTCAAATATTGTTCTGGTACTTCAAATGCATCCTCATCAAAGTGTTCCCTGTCACCCGCAGGACGAATACCGAATTGCTCGTACTCGGACGAGCTGATAGGAGATGAGACTGGCCTGTCGGCAGCTTTGGCATTACCGTCGCTATGGCTGTTTGTTTGTTGTGACCGGTCAGATGATCCTTCCTGTGACTCGTCTCCATCCAAGCTTAGGCCTGAGCCATCCCCAAACTTTGCCGATCGAGACTGATCAGTAACAACCTGGCTATGCCTGTCTTGCGCAGCGTTGTCGCCATTGAGACCGTCACTCGGAATTGTTGACTGGAGATTGCGGATTCTGTCTGGATACAAGTCGTCAATACTCTCCAGTGCTGTGCGAACAGTGCCTTCGAGAGATCCGTGTTTTACAAAGGTGTTGAAAGAGACTTTTCGCTTATCGCCCTTTTCAGACTCCTCGGCTGCGAGCTGGGCCACCTTCTGACGGTATTCATGTTCATGGATCCAGCCCCCAGCAGCTGTGTTCCTTGGATCCGCTGACATGGATATTAGAACCTCAGGAGGGAAGGGGCTGCTATTCGGGTCCTTGAGTCCCATTCTAATCTTTCTGCGTCGAGTTTCATCCCTCCAAAGCCCAGCCATGCTCTGAACCAGTTTGGCATCTGCTGGGATAGGATGAATGCGCTCGATAAAGTCATGGTGTAAGGTTCGAGCGTGGACGTCTCTGCGGTTCAAAATATCCTTGACGTGCACATCCACCTCGAGCGTACAGTGGCTCTGTTTAGGTAGTTGGGTATCATCGGAAATGTCCACGAAAGGAATTGAAAGATCGTGCCATTGTTGCATTGGATTTGTCAAATCGGCATATTTTGGAACGGGTGCACGAAACTTGACTTTCCGGCAGTCGATATAGCCACACCCATAAAGATTGTAGTCGCACATCCATTGCGCCAGATATTGCATGTGACTTTCGTATGGCTGCAACACTCTTTTCATGACTGCTCCCTCCCGCAACAAATCGGCCAACCTCGTCATATGCAGCGGATTCAGCAGATAAATCTTGAGGTAGAACTTGTATCCGACATGAAAGCCATAGAACGGAATGCCCTTGACCAAAGAGATGTGGGCAACATATCGATGCTTTCCTTCGTAAATGTTCTTGCGGTAGCTCACCGCCAAAGCGTGATCGATGGCGAGGTGCAGGGTACGAATGGCCACATTAACATCCTCTGGAGCTAGACTGCCGCTGTACTCGATATAGGTATATTGAAGCGCGCCATGGACGTGCATCAACACCTTTTGCCCGGTCGGAGTTGCTCCAAAGACGCGAATGACTGAAACTCGAGGTCTGTCATTGCGATTCTCACTGCCAGTGCCGAGAGGTACAGGAGGATCCAACCCGTCAGCTGGGACAGCTTGGTAGTGATCCACGCAGTTGAGGCGGATTCGGAAGATGTCCATGAGCGCAGGGAGGTAATCGACGCGTCTTTCTCATATTGGCGGCGTTTTGTCGCGTAAATTTTCGAAGGGGACAAAGTTCCTAGACATTATGAAGAAGAATTTGCATTTCCAAAAGGGCTCACTGAGCGTCGTGGCATGGCAAGGGAGAAGTAACTGTTTACAAAGTGGGGGGTATTGACATGCGGCGCAAATCGCCGAGGCTGCGCGAGGCTGTGATGCAGCCTTGTCATTCGATTTTTCGCCTCTTGACTGACCATCTTGAACTTGCGACTGCACTTTCACATCGCAACCCAAATAACATCAATTCCTTGTTTCCGTCGGCTACGCCTCCTACAATTATCGAACCAGCTACCAAAAAATGGCGCAGCAAAACAAAAAACCTCCCGGTCCAGACCAGTCCCGCAATGAATACATCCCCTCCTTCATCTCAAAGCGTCCCTTCTGGGCCGAAACCACACATTCCGACGCCGACTACCTCGAACACCAACGGTTACAATCCGCTCCCAAAGATACTCTCGATAAAGCAAAATGGTACGACCGAGGCAAGAAACAAGGGCCCGCGGCCACGAAATTCCGCAAAGGCGCATGTGAGAACTGCGGCGCCATGACTCACAAGACAAAAGAATGTCTAGGCCGGCCGAGGAAACAGGGCGCGAGGTGGACTGGCAAGGATATTCAAGCTGACGAGGTTGTTGAGGACGTGCAATTAGGATGGGATGCCAAAAGGGACCGCTGGAACGGGTACGACAGTCGAGAGTACAGTGCCGTTGTCAAAGAATACGAAGAGCTCGAAGCCATCAAGCGCGCGGCGGCAGGCCAAAAGGAAGATGGCAACGGCACCGCTACTCCGGATTCATCTGACGCCCGGTACGGTGAAGAAACAGACATGGGCCGTTCTCAACCAACCTCGACGCGTCAACTCCGCCTGCGTGAAGATACAGCAAACTACCTGAAAAACCTCGATCTTGATTCCGCCCGCTACGATCCAAAGACGCGCTCCATGGATAAATCGGCCGCAGAGATTGCAGAAGGTGCCGATGCAGATGAAGGCTTCGTCCGCCCAGCGGCTACGAACGACGACGCCGCCGAATTCGAGCGGGCGCAACGTTACGCATGGGAAACGCAGGAGAACAATCCGAACCCGTCCCAAATGAAGAAGTTACATTTACAGGCAAATCCAACCGAGGGCGAAATCCTACGCAAGAAGCAAACGCAAGAGGCAGCGGAGAAGAAGGCGGCTGCTCGGAAAGCTCTGCTAGAGAAATACGGCGGGAACGAATATCTCTCGACAGAAAGCGGCGACCAACAACACCCGACCAAAAGAGTCAAGCACCACAATGTCATTGCCAGCGAGCGGTACGTGGAGTACGACGAATCAGGACACATCAAAGGAGCTGAACGCACGGTCGCGCGCTCCAAATACCCCGAAGATATCTTCCAGAACAACCACACGTCGGTATGGGGCTCGTGGTGGAAGGACTTCAAGTGGGGCTACGCGTGCTGTCATTCCACGGTGAAGAATAGCTATTGCACGGGCGAAGAGGGACGGCTGGCATGGGAGGCAAGCGAGGGGATGAGGACGGGCCAGTCGCTATTGCAGATCGAAGAAAAAGACAACGGCGACAGCGAGACAAGCACGGGACAGAGAGGATCCGCGGTAGAAAGGAATGAAGACGCAAACACTACTGCATCCTACACATCTGCAACCGACAGAACGGAAGCCGTTCAGGACGACGAAGGCCAAGGAAGACCACGTCTCGAACAAGACGGCCGAGACGTCCGAGAGCGCCAGAAGGAAGTCGACGAAGCAGAAACCGGTACGGCCGCCAGCGCCAGAGAGAAGGCGAAGGCGAAAGCGACGCAAACGTCGACGCACACTACAAGTACCAAAAAGCGCACGTTGCAAGAACTCCAGTCCGGCATCTCAGAGGAGGAACTCGAATCGTTCAAGCGCAATCGCATGGCCGCCGACGATCCCATGGCCAAATTGCTGGGCAAGGACGAGTTGATTGAGTTGGAATGAATTGAAATGAAACGATCGGAAGTGATGGCTACCAATGCAAGTGCATAAGACCTGGAAGAAAAGAAGGAATTGGTCATTCGGTCTGTCGGTCGGACGGTTGACACTCGCGACATTCTCAAATTGATCCATCCATCCATCGTCAACAAGCGTCACGATGTACCGAGTCATTTATTATATGGTGCTACTGTACAGAGTGCAGAGAGTGCCAGGAAGCTATGCTTCTATCTACCTAGAAACCTAGGTATCTAATTAGGAGGCAAGGGACAGACAGCTCTGGACCTGCCTGCCTATGTACCTACTTACCTATGCCGCATCCCGGGAGCCATCCACCTACGATTCATAATTTAGAAGAATGTCTTTTGTCTAGCGTTCAAGCGATCGTTATCGAGCAGTGTTGAAGGACATACACAGTTCTCGAGGATGGGCACCAATAGGATGTAGGTAACATCGCAAGAGCATGCGAACGACGTAAGGATGCAGCAAGGAACGGACGAACCTATCAAACATATGAATGCTCCTCCTATTCGTTTCTATGCGCATAGATATTCCATGCCACCTACGCCCTTGATGCCCTGCCTGACAGGTGCCTATTCCCCCCTATCAATCCACACAAAGCGCCCGCCAAAATGCGAGTCAAGCAGTCTTTGACCGCACCCCACATACGCCTCCACGCATTCCCTTGCTTTCTTCTCTTCCCATTTGTCCATTCCCTGTCGTGCCCTGTAGCACCACTTGCACTCGGCGCACCGCCCGTGGCACTGTCCCCGCTGGGCAGAGAAAGCAAGGTGGATTCGATGAGTGCAGCAGTGCGAGGCATTCGTGGGTGGTATGTGGGAATGCCTCTCAGGATCGGGGAAGTGAAGGCAGGAGAAAATTCCGTCTCACTTCTTGGATGGAGCTGAGCTGGCGAAGTCAACGTTTCATTGCTGGTCCGACCATTCCTTCGCACCGTTGGTGATACTGCAGAGCCGCCGCTCTGGAGGATGGAATTTTCAAGGTTTGTCGTCTCACAGGCCTTGTCTATTTCCCTCATGGCCTGCTCAATCGCGCTGGACTCTCTCAATCGACCCATGGGGTGCAACTCAAGATTACGGGAACCGATACCATGACCGCTGGCACGAGGGCCAAACCTCCCTCTCACTAATGTACCGTCATCTGCTCGAGCAAGTGGGCCAGGGATATTGGCCCTGTAGACTCCACGAGGTAGAGATGCCCGAGGGTTTGTAGAGGTTGCGCGTGGGGTTTCGACAATCGCCGACATGCCTATCGCAGCCAATGTTCGCTCAAAGAGCTCGACTGAATTTGAGGGACCAATAGATTGGTTCTGCTCAGACGCCCTAGGGGAACCCTCGGAGTTAGGGCTAGCTGTAGCTAGCTCATCGCTTCCGTCAAACGTACGCCTCCAAATGCGGCTCCAGAATGACAGTCTGTTTGTTGGCTGCCGCTGTACCAGCCGGAGGAGTGTCGCCTGCTCGGTGCCGAATGGCGGCAAGCCAGGCGGTGTTGAAACCCTGACTGGTGGTGATTTTGAAGGGTTGATTGGAAAAGAGGGACACCAGTCGCCTCTATGGAGGTTCTCTTCAGAGCAGGTGGAACTGGTAGAATTGCGTAATATGATGTCCTGCCTCAGGACGGAGTCTAGATCGTTGACTGAAAACGAGCGATGACGGTATATCCCGACTGAAGACTGCACGCTTTCGCGAGCTGAGTTGGACCTGTCAGGATGGATCGAATTGAGGGACGCTCTGTGTTCAATTATAGGATTAAGCTGCGGCGCTGGCCATTTGCTGTGCGATGTGGAATGCCTACTGAGAGGACTCCGAGAAGAGGAAGGAAGGCTCCAGGCTGAAGGAAGATTCGGCGCATTATCCGGAACTATTTCTGCTGTCCAAGGTAGACTTTCACCTGAACGAACAGGTTCAGCATTATATATCGAATCGTCTGGGATCGACTCATCCGATGAAGCTTGTTCAGGTCTCAACGACGGCACCGATCGTATCCGGCGGACAAACTTTGGAACCGTGGCCCGGGGGCGATTCAAGATGGATACCTCAACCATGGCTTTGTGTTGAAATCTAGTTCAATGCCGCAGCCGACCTTGTAGGGTTTCCATGCGAGCGAAGCCGCCGTGCCCACGAGGGCAGTGTATGTAAATGGACCCGAACCGGCAGGGAATGCAAAAAGAATGTGTATCGTAAGCGATTGATGACTTTTGGCAGTGTGAAAAAGGTAGAGATAGAACATAGTTAACGATTGCTGGGTCGCGGAGAGCTCAAGAAAAGGACCTCGGAAGGCGACATGCTGAAGGAGGCAGCTGCGACGGGACTGCAACTGTTTGGAGAGGGCCGAGACTGCAGTCGCTGAGGATGCAGGCCTAGCATTACCATGTAGAGTTTTTCCTGAAGCCTTATTGCTTAGGTATACCAGACATCAATTGACCAATTGCAAAGTATTGCCGAAGAAATGCACAACATACTCCTTCCCAATGCTCGTTTCCTCTATTGATACAAGTTCCAAAATTCGAAATGCATAGCACAGGCCTTAGTGCCAGAGCAAGAGAGAAACGGTCCAAACTTTGGCGGAGTGTAGACCATCAATAGTGTTGGTGTTGGTCGTTGATATGTCATAACGGTCATTAAAAAAGACATCAGCGAGAATCCGCCGTTTCCATCGGCGTTGAGGGCATATCCTTCTGAGAGAGACGTTGCTGAAGATCTTTCTTCAGGCTCTTGATGATGCCTTCTAGGCGGCGTCGTTCTTCTTGCTCAGCCTGGGACACTGTTAGACACTATCCTCATGCGCGACCGCAGTCACTGGTTCATCTTACTTTGAGGACTTTGAGATTCTCTGCTCGAGTCTCGCGCATCATTTTCTTGAATTCGTTCTTCAAAACCATTGTAGATGTCGTTTCAGTGGGCGACGAAACCTTAGCACCAAGCCCTTTAACTTTCTCTTCGTTCAGTTGTGACTCGAGCGCTTCGCAGTGCTGTTGCAATGCGTCGACCTTCTCTTCAAGCCGCTCCCGCTCTTTTTCATCGTCAATGCTTTGCCTCGTCATGACTTCGTACTCTTCAATGGTCTCTTTCAGCTCCCTCTGGAGAGCGGCGACCTTGTTCTGCAGCTCGGCACTTACTGCGTCTTTCGCCTCATGCTCCCTTCTCAGGGCGTTCACTTGACTTTCAAGCTCGTTGTTTCGCACATTCAGGCCGTCAATTTCCTTCTGGATGGCCGGATTCATGGACACATCGGCCGCCCGCTGAGCCCGCGTTCCATAAGCGCCATCAAGTTCAGCTTTCACCACGGTCAGCTCAGTCTGCGCTCGGACCACTTCAGATTCGAGCTCTTGCATCTCCATACGGAGTTTCGAGAGTTCTGATTCTGCTTGGGCCTTTGCACCACTCAGTGCCTCCATTTGCCTGCGGAGATCATTGGTCACTTCCTCGTGCGCCGCCTGAGCCTGAGCGTGATTTGTCGCAAGGTTTGCTGCTTCCATGGACTGAGATTCCAAGTCCCTCCGTGTTTGCTGCATCTCTGACAGCAGCCGGCTATGCTCCTCTTGTTTGGCCTGTAACTCGGCCAGAAACTTTTCTTCCGTCTCTTTCCGGGCGGTGCGTTCAAGCTCAACGGCTTTGCTCTCATCAGCACCTCGTTCATGTTCCAAGAGAACGCTTTGTTGCTTCGCAAGATCCAGTTCCTCCATGAGCAAATTGATTTGGTCACGCGAATGCTGAGCTTCTTGTTCGCCAATTGTTTGAGAGCGTTTTGACTCTTCCAGCTCTGCCACCAATTCGTGGATTTTGGCATCACGCTGAGCATCGGACTTGCTGTTGAGTTCTCGTTGCTGTTGGATTTGGCGCGTCAAGATATCCTTCTGTTCGACGAGGGTCTCCACACGTTTGTTCAATCGCTCGATGACAGAAGAAGAGAAAGCCAACTGCGATTGGAGATCCTTGCCTCGGGGTTCATCCTGCAGTAGCACAGGGCTATGACCGACAGAGTTTGTCCTTTCCAGCATGTCATGTAGTCGGAGATTGACATCCTCAAGTTGTTCTTCGGTATCAAAGATTGACTGCTGAACAGCTGCATTAGATCGAGCTTGGGCAGCTTCCATCGCGTCCAAGCCCTGCGACATGTATCCAAGGTATGCTTGGATTTGTGCATCCACGCCCCCTGTCATGTGGTCGTCGGTAGGCTGAGGAGGTGGATCGAAATGTTCCTGCAAACTCGCTTGGGTGATCATCAGATGTAGGCGGTGATTCAGTTCTTGCAGGCGGCTCACAACACCGTCAATAGCCCGGGATCCAGCTCTGCTCTTGTTCAATCTGTGCGGAATCTGTCCAAATTCTGTGACATAGTCTGGGACCTGGTAGAGACTCCGTTCATCAAAATCATCCCTAGCATCCAGTGCAGAACCTCGCCCGTTCGGCTGACTAGTCATACTTTCTGGACTTCGGGGCAGCTCATTCCTGCGAATATTCTTCTTCAGACCTCTGTGTGTCATCTGCAGAATACCAGCTGTGTGCTGCAGAACGCGTCTATCGATATGTTGAAGCCGATTTTCCAGCTGGGATAGCTCGCGCGAGAGTTCGTCCACCTTTTTCATACTTGCAGCGTATTCATCGTCGGCACGGTGGACCGCCTCGTCGCCACCACGTCTGCTCCCAAGGATGCTGCGTCGCGATTTTTTGGGTGAAGCTGCCGCGTCTGGGGATTCGCGAACCGAATATAGACGATTGAGGGACTGGGCGGCATCTCGCAGTTTGCTTTCCAGCGCCAGCTTCCTTCTCGTTGTGTCAATTTTCCCTCTCAAGAAGGCCCTCTCTTTTTTCAGCTGCTCCACCTCCTCAAATGACAGCACCTCGAATTCTCTGCTGTCACTAATTGCTGTCTCGGTCAACAGGTGCATCGCCACAGGGTCATTGATGTTTAGAAGTGTTGAGTTTCGAGGGGCGCTCTGGGTTGGCTATTCCGTCTCAGCACCTCGACTCAGCTCGGGAGAAAGAATCGAATTCACCTACCTGCGCAAAACGCGCCGGGGGGGTCTCCTGCTCTTCAAATGGGCCTCGCAGTGCCCCCGACATGAAGTTGTGCCCCTGGCCGCTGCCAATTGCTGGCGAGTCATCGACGGGCCCTGCACCGCTGTAGACAGAGCTGGGAACATAGCGGCTGCGGCCACCGTCGACGCTGTCGGCCGAGGATTCCCTCATGCCATACTTGAAAGCCTGCATTGTGCGTCGTGTTTTTTGTTGCGACGACTCCTAGAATCCCTCCTCTTTACTAGGTGCAGATATCCAATAGCTTCCAAACACCCAATGCTACGGAAGAGAGGTGATAGATGTCGCTGAGAAACGCTGCTTAGAGCTGAGCATGTTGTATAACTATATTCGGTGCCGAAGGATCATGGGTGCTAGTTGTGAGGAAGCGGAGCAGGGAGAAGAACAACGGCAAGAGCAGCAGAGGCCTGAGGCAGGCGGCTTTCAGGAACGTAAAAACGGTTGTGCACAACCAGGACAGAACACGCGCCCAGTCTTTTGATATCTTCTCAGGGAGAGCCAGAACTCAGGGGAGCAGGGGTGCGTGCATGCGATGGGGGGAGCTGAAATGGGTCAGAGACGCGCCTAAAGCCTAAGCCATCGCAGAGCCCTCGAGGCTTGTTTAGGTCTAGTAAGGCGGGTAGCGACCCAGTCACTAGGCAGGGAGCCCTAACAAGTACAGTACATACTGTAGGAGCCCTAGGCGCTCAACGAGGCGAGGCCACCACGTAAGAAGGTCGCCTAACGGGAGCCAATCGTACCGGGGCTGAAGCCACGCGGACAGGCAATGCCGGGTAGGAGCTGGGGGCCCACCAGGGCCCCTTGTTTGTTGATCTTGGCGGTGACTTGGAATGCTGTTTGGGGGGTTCCCTAGGGGCTGCTGTAGGCTTCCTTACCTAAGTAGAGATTCGAGAAGGCTAATTAGAGGGCGAATTAAAGGAGCTACAAGCTACTATTAGCGAAGGCAATTAATGTACCCTGTACCTGAAAATCTCTTTGTGGCCCGAGTACCTGTATAGACTATGACGGAGTACTGCTTGAAGAGTGATCTTCCTCCACGATGGAAGCATTCAGCACAGAGTACTCTGGACCCCGTACTCGTAACTTCCACGTAATCGAGGAATATTCTTCAACAAGTAGATGCGCTTGAGAAATTGGCTACCAACTCAGCACGCTGGTCCTTGCTGGGTCTGGGTCAATTTCCTCAATGCGCCCATCAATCACCTCAACCCGGTAGTCCTTCGTCTCCCCAAGCAGAAAATACACCCTGGCATGCTTGAGATCGTCCAACATCCCCCTGATTCGATCTGTGAGATCCTTCCACACTCGATAGAGAGGTCAAATATCCTGCAGCCTCGCGGCGCCAGCCTTGCATCCCGTGTAGAGGTCACGAGCTCCTTAATATGCAGCCCGGCTAATACTGTATGCGGTTCGGCCCCGGGGCTAGCCGTATTGCGGCAGATTCGTATCGCAAGATTGCATTGTGAATCCATCGGCAACGAATGGTCAATGAATAAGCAAGAACTTCCACCCTCTCTTCTTGATAACGATTGACATCCATAGAATCTGCCGTCTTGCCTGGACATTCTGATACCTGAAGGCCACGACAGCCGCCCATGAGGGCCTTGTCTTTGATCCTCCATAGCTGATGCATCGACTGCCTCAAAGGGGTTCTGTCCTATCCCGACGTTGGCGCGTGACCTTGAGTGTCGGCTATCGAGGTCGGGAGTTCAGCATTGCGGAAGATCTAAAACGACCAGCATGGGCAAACTCGGGCAGTCGAGCATCTCGCACCGAGAGGCTGTCAGCGGCGAAGGCAGCTCGTCTCTCGACTCTCCAGGTCCGTCAATTGAAGACCACCGTCAAGCCCCTGATCCATCAACCCGGACATTATCACGGATCTCGACGACCTCCACCGTCGAATATAAAGTATATAAACGACGCTTCTTCGGCCTGGCCCAATTAGTCCTGCTGAACATTGTAGTCTCTTGGGACTGGATCGCATTTGCTCCCGTGTCCAAAACTTCAGCCAAGTACTTCGACACCTCGGAGACCAACATCAACTGGGTCTCGACAGCGTTTCTCTTTGCCTTTTGCGTAACAACACCACCTACCTTCTATGTCCTCCACAAGTATGGCACAAAGACTGCCATTATCATAGCCGCCTCCTTGGTGCTGGTCGGAAACTGGATCAAATATGGCGCGACACGGGCAAACAACTTCGGCGGCGTCATGGTCGGCCAACTGATCATCGGCTTCGCGCAACCCTTCGTCCTGTCTTCTCCCACGAGCTATTCCAACCTCTGGTTCAGTGCGGCCGGCCGCACCACCGCCACTGCCTTGGCCTCCTTATCCAACCCCTTCGGCGCAGCACTGGGTCAACTCATCTCACCCTTCTGGGCGGACGAACCGCGCGAGATCCCCAACATGATCCTGTACATCTCCATCATCTCCTCGGTGGCGAGCGTACCGGCTTTCTTCATCCCGTCGAGACCGCCCTCGCCACCTTCGGCCGGTTCAGTACCGGACCACATGGACCGCACCTCTCTGCGCAAGGATTTCCACACGCTCTCCCGCTCGCCGGAATTCTACCTCCTCTTCCTCCCATTCATATTCTACGTGGGATTCTTCAACGCCTTCTCAGCGCTGCTCAATCAGATCCTTGAGCCTTACGGCTTCAGCGAAACCAACGCCGGCATCGCCGGCGCAATCTTGATCGTGGTCGGGCTCGTCTGCGCGGCCATCTCGAGCCCGATCATCGACAAGTACAAGTTTTACCTCGCTTACGTCAAGATCGCCGTGCCAGTGTTGGCAATCGGCTACTTGATCGTCATCTGGGCGCCGCAGTCCCGTTCTCTGGCGTACGTCTTCGTCGTCTGTGCCCTTCTCGGGGCTGCGAGCTTCGGCCTCGTCCCCGTGGCGTTGGAGTTCCTCGTCGAGATTCACTACCCTCTGGGCCCCGAATTGGGAAGCAGTCTCTGCTGGTGCGGCGGACAGCTTTTGGGCGGGATATTCATTGTCATCATGAACGCGTTGAAGGCCGGTCCGTATGCGGATCCGCCGAAGAATATGAAAAGGGCTTTGATCTTCCAAGCCGTGTTGGCCGTGTTGGTGATGCCGACTCCGTTGTGCCTTGGGTTATTCGGTCGCCAGGGACGTGTGAGAAGGAAGAGGTGGGAAGCAGATCGCAGTACGCCAGACGAGGTGGTGCAGGGCTATGTGGACAGAGTGGAAGATGACGAACAGATTCTCCACGTACAGGATGCCAGATTTGCCTGAGAAGTCCTGAGAACCGAGCGAGGTCGTCGAGAAACATATATATGTCGATGAAGGAAATGCAGAAGAGAACGGAATATATGGAGGCTGACGGCGTTTATACTATAGGGACATATTTTACAATGACAGCCGGTTTCATCGTGAATAGCAAGAAAGCGATTACTTTAGAAACAATAATACTCAAAGCCACAGGCCATGGCCCTTCAGGGAGGCGGCCCATTAAAGGGCCTCCTCCTACATACCTCAATATGCACTGGGTTAAAGCTTCCAAGCGAGCCTCTCCCTTCATTGGTCACAGAAGTCAATCTTGCATCCAACCCTTCACATGAGGCTGGCTGAATGAAGGAAGCGTTCTGGAATAGGAAAGTGTTGACATGGGACGGCACAGCCGGTGGAGCGCATTGGATGGCTTGGCTTGACAACTGCAGGGGGGACACTCAGCCAGCCATGTTTCGCCTTGACAGCAGACCATGCACCCAAGATGGCGGCGTCGACAAAACGAAATATCCAAGCCAAACCCAGGATAGCTGAAAGTCTCTCTCAATTCGCCAATCCATTGGGAGAAAGAGAAGGACAGAGAAACGGAAGGCATGAACAGGAACAGCTCCTAGACTAGTCCGTGAGATGAGAACAACTCTTCGGTCTTTGATGCAATGATAAGTATATACAAGGCGTGTTGACTATGTATGAGCACACGTCGATACAGGAGGTGACCAGTATCTCCACACAAGTCCCAAGGGCTGTACGCGCAGGAGCTGGGGAAATCTTTCTCTGTCCAGCCGAAGCATTTTACGTGAGCCTTGCTGTGAGAAAGGTTTGTCCCTTGCTTTGAAGTCGTTGGTCGAGTTCAAAATTCGTTCGATCTCGATGGCCGCTAGCGAGAAAAGGTCTATTTCAGCTGCTTGAAGAGCTTGGGTGCGGCGCACTGCGTTGCGCAGTGTTGGAGATGGAAAACTATTGCTGCCGGTCAGTTGCTGTGTCCTTTCGCTGTGACATTGCCAGTCTCGTGGGGATAGCCCAGGGAGCAAGCGGAGGAAGACGTACACTCTTCAACACAGTTTTCCTTGGGGCCCTTGTGGTCGGGATCCTCCTCCTGTTGCGTGACACGCTCAACGCATTCGTCGAAGTGGTGCTTGTATCCCACACATTGAGCGGATCGGGCACAGTCTGCTTTTTGTTAATCTTCCCAGACATTCTTACGCAGATTATAGTAAGGCAGCTCTAGTTCTGCTCTTCACGTCGCAATAGAAGGTGTAAACGTACCTTCTTCCAGCTTTGGCTTAGGATCCACAGGTTCCTCTTCCTCTTCTTCCTCTTCCTCATCTCCGTCTTCACCTCCTTCCTCCTCGCCTTCCTTTGTGTCCTCAGTACCTTCTTCTTCTTCGTTGCTTCCCTCGCTGCCCTCACTTGACTGTTCGTTGTCGTCGGCTGGAGCTTCGGCTTGGACCTCCTGTACGAAGGAGACGGAGCTCAGAAGGTCGGAAAAGAAATCGGCGATTCCCATCGTGAGAGTTCGGAGTGGAGTTAAGGATCCGGTGGAATTGATGTATTATACTGGTAAGAGAGTACCGGAAGGGAGGGAGGCCACCCTAGAAACTTGAGGATGTAGTGGTTGTCTCGCAGAGTGTCGAGAAACCGCAGCGTTGTGGAAAGAGTCCCAATATTCAATGTTCCTGACGAAGCTCGAGCTTCGGCGGAAAATTACCAGGCCCCTGATTGGTCAACTAGCTCTCAGACGCCAAGCCATCCTTGTCAACGCCGACCAACTCCTCTCAAGTCTCATTCACGCATTATTATTATTACTCAGAAGCACTCCGAAGTTCAAAATGTATGATGTTGGAAGCTAAGATACACAAAGGCAACCTTAACTTCGCGTGAGGCTGGCCTCAGATCTCCAGATGAATGAAGGAACGCTTTGCGTCTAGGTAGAACACTCCACTACATGCCCCTCAACAACCAAGTGGTTAGCCAGATCTCCCTGCCATTGGATTTTAGTCCCGAGTCAGTGATAACCTCCGGTCCAACTCAGCCTGGATGCTCTGCTGCTGGGTCTCTTCGTACCCAGGGGGGGCATCACTCGGTGCCTGGGCTTCGTGTGCCGGTGGTCCCTCTCTCCTCAGTTCGGGAGCCGCACGACTCCTCACCACAGCAGGGGAACCCACATCCTCATTGATCGCACTGGATTCGTTCGGAGCTATTCGATCTTGCCCCGACTCGTGATATGAGGGCAACTGGTCAAGATGGACATTGTCCAGGTTCACGTTGCCCAAGAAGTTATCTTGGCGCGAGCCCGTGACGTTGTTCTCCCTCGCCGCGGACACGACTTGCTGAAGTCGTTCTTTAATCTGCTCAAAAGTTGAATGAAAATCAGGTGCTCCGCCTTCTTTGAATGTCAACTTGAGTTCAACGGCAGCTTGCGTTGCCGGGATATTGCCGCCGGGAACCGGTTGGAGAATCGCCTGCCATGCATTCGGACCAAACCAGGGAACGGTAAGGTGCGTGTCGTGCAGATTGAGAAGCGGTGCAGAGAAGGACTTGAACTCCGAGGTAGATTTCTCTGGAAGATACACTATCTGTGTGTCGTCAGAAACGACTTGGTCGGGAAAGATGTTCGTTCCATGTCTTACCCTCTGATTAGTCAAATAGACGATGCCAGAGCTGCAATGGATTGCCAAAGGATTATTTCCCGGATATGTCGATGGTGTGGTGATAGCGAGACTAATTCTTGGCGTTGACTTGTGGATGATCCTTTCTGATGGCAACGGGACAAAGCCTCCTTTGCCATCTAGCATAACCCAACTTGACATCATTAGCTCAGACATTGTAGTGAGCAACGTATGTGAGGGCATACTTGATGGACATGGTTCGTTTTGCGTGTCGGGGATTCTTCTATAACAACGAGAGACGTGTATCAAATGTGCCTTCTCTGCCGGAGGACACGTCTGCTTCAAACACGACGACAAGGACAACCGGTGTGGCCGGGGAAGATCAAGTTGCATTCATGGTGGACAACAGCAGGCTGAGACAATCATGTGTCAGCTCTTCAAGTAATACGAGTGATAGTGGTGACAGTAAAGGCCGCGTGAAGTGTGAGTGATCATGTGTGAACAGCAAGAGCCAGCGAGAGCGGCTTCTCATTGTGAAGTGCGGGACAGTGGCAGGTGGCACATCAAGCAGCGCCAAATTTTGGGAAAACTTGCTCGTACGTCACCTCCGCATCGGGACAAGTGCGACGCCGCCCTAACAAGCACACTTGGACTGCCGCCTGCTAAGTATATGTCGCCTGCGCCCATCCTCGCCGCAATGACCTCGCAAAACATCACACATGATCGAGAATGCGAGTTCACATATGAACATATCTGGGAGATTGCTACCTGTAAACCCTCATGCGATCGGCAGCACCATCCACTTCGCACCCTTCTATTCCGCAGCGGAACGTCTCCTTCGGAAGCCCAACCCAGATGAAATGGTTGTATCTCCATCAAAGAAGACATCGTCGATCACACGCAATTTCCAAGAAACATCGTGAGGGTCCGGTTCAAAAATGGGGGACCTTCAGAACATAATGCGGTGGGCCCAATAGACATGTCTCAAACGTCATGAGACTCGCAGACGCAGTTCATTCTGGGGGTCACAGCGCCCAGGTACAACAGGATAAAACACCTTTCGCCGTATGGGAGTCACGACAGAGTCTCCAGATACCGCCTGGATTGGAAGTATGGGTCACTATGGTGGAGTGAAATACAACCTAGGGACAGTTCTGTTGCAGAAAGCATCGAGTCACAAGACCCACCGCGGGATCTGGTAACGGTAAGGAAAATTTCCGATCATGATTAGACGACAAGCTTCAGATCATTCAATAAATCCGACATGCCAACCTTGTGTCTCGACGCGAGATTTTCTCATCCAAAGATGCCCCCGATTTTGATTTTGAGTGTATGCTCCTTTCCGTTTCCCGCATGGCCGGCAGTCCGCTGATCGGGATTCGAGCATGATCAATATTGAACAAAAAAGAAACAGCCGTCGTTGGCAGCGCCAGCCTAGGTCTCATGATGACCAAAAGTGCAAGCATATGTATATTCGTACATCGTGTTCCTTCCACCCCTATGCTTTCGCCTGCCATGTCTTTGCCTCAGATGCTACAGTTTCTGGTATTACTTCTGCCAATGTTGGGGCGGAAAGCTTCCAACTCAGAGTCTGCTGGGCTCTGCCTGATCTGAACACTGCATTGGTACCCCACAGAACAGCTCCGTGAGACGTCACTTTGTTGGCCTCGTCAACGTCGATCGTAAATTCTACCTTCGGGCTTTTGAGCAAGCCTTGCTCATGTGCTGCTGAAGCAACACGTTGGCATACTTCGCCGAAAGTCTGAGCCACAGTCAGCACATCGCTTTTGATACATGCGGAAAGTTTACATGCCATGACGCCAGGACCTGGGAGATAGAGTCCCTCTTCGTTCCAAACATGGGACTTGCCGTCGACAGCAGCTTGCGCCAACAACAAGAACAGGTCACCAAGATCGCGAATGTGGATGTTGCTCCATTGATTGAGACCGTTCAACAAGCGAAATCCCTGGCCATATTTCAACGTTGCTCGGGCAATTTCTGGCACCTGGACGCTCCTTTGATTCCCAGGTCCAGCTCCCTGGCCGTAAATCAAGGGACCAACAATCAAAGCAGTTCGTATAACGGACGGATCTTGAGCCACAATGAGATTGTCCACCTGTCGTGACGGATTGTCTCGAATGAAGGCAAGGATCTTTTGAGAGTCTTTCACATCATCATACACTTCGTCTGATGGCTCGCCATATCGACCTTCCTTGATCTCAGGGATTGCAAAGAGGGAAGCTCCTGATATCTGGATCCAGTATGCTGCCTCATTCTCAGCCAGGATCCATCCACCTTTCCTGATGGAAACTTACATTTTGAGTCGGTGCCTTTACTGGCGAGGCCTTTAGCGATGGCTTGTGCGCTTCTAAGATGATTTGTACTTGCCAGATCTAATGAGAAGGTCATCAATACTATCGATACAAATCGAGATGCAAAGGACTCACGCAAGACTATGTCCGCCCGACGGCTTTCTTCCTCGACCAGCCCGACATCGTCTAGATCGCCAAGCAATGTCTGAACATGACCTGGATACCTATCTCGGATACACCGCGCCTTCTGGCTATCTCGCACTAGGCAGGAGATCACTGCTCGCGATTCCAGGAACGACGATACAATTGAATGCAAAGCTTGGCCACCGATATAGCCGGTGGCGCCAGTCCTTGCTCAATCCAGGCTTTCATCAATACTACTCGAATGGCTCGATTTGCACCTACAAGAATATTCTCACCATCGCCGCCTCGTGCCTTTGTTCCTTTTGGGATGTAGCGTGTCAAGACTCGATAATCGTGACGGGGGGGCTGTGTATGCACAACTATCTTGCAATATAGTCAAGCAATCCCGAGCGAGAATCCAAATCCGGACGAGAATAATCGTCGTGGCAACTTTCTCCCAACAACCACTTAGTCAACGAATGATTCCCAAACAGCGCGACAACGTCACAGAACAAAGCATTCTCAGCTGAGGCAGAGCTGGACGTCATGTTTGTCGCTCGAAACTCGCTGACTGATGAGCTTCCACCAAACCCGACCCAATCCCCAGAGCCCGAGGGCGTCACAGCATGAAAACAGGTGGCGACAACAAACGTACCCGAAGTCACACGCTCGGTGGGTTGCAAACCCTGCCGGAGGCGTCACGTGAATTGTGACAGGGATCGATCTACGTGTCTCACTTGCAGGGCTGTTGGCACGATTTGTGAGGGTTCAGCCAGCAATTGAAATGGGTTGAAAGCCCCTGCTGATGCTGTGGCAACGAATCCAGCATCAATTCGACAGGGCACTCAGTGCGGCAGCATCTATATACAGGTAATTGTCTGGCGGGTGAGACTTCGGCAAAGCCATACTAACGAAGTTCCTTCAGAAGCAAGTCGGGAGTCGATGAGCAAAGCTTTGCGGTCGGACTTAGCTGAAAAGCCAGTTGATGAATCTCTCTCGGAGCTCGACGCCAGATACCGAGATATCACCTCAGACACTGGTAATGGTCTTGCAATCGGCCCTTCTAGGGTTTTCAGTCTCGGTCACCTACCTCGTGAAAGCTTACCTTGCAGCGACTCCCCTAAGCCGAAGGCCGAGCGACAAGCCATTGATACCTTTCAAGGAGAGAGGGCCTTACCATCTGTTGAATCTATTGGCAGCTCAAGTGACATGCACACAATTTTCTGAACTGGCCCGATATTTTCAACCTTGATTTACCGGGCTACGAGATATTTCCGCAGACCTTGGACAGTGATTTTCAAGAGGCTTTCCTTGGCGATGCTCCTGTGGTGATGCAGATCAGCCAGGACAGTAACCACGAAGTTGAAAGCGGCGACAGCCATCACGGTGTTGTGTCTAACTCTTTGACTTCTATATACCGTGATAAAAGACCAACGTTCACCGAAATAGACCCCTCAGAAGCGCAACTACTTCTTACTCACTTCAAAGATTATATCATTTCTCAATTGCAGATTATGCTCATCGAGAAGGAGTCGCCGTGGGAAACTAACAATTTGAATGCTGCTACTATGACTTTGAGGAGACTGACTTACATTACTTCACAACCAGATCACACGCTGCCTCAGCCAATCTGCAGGCACTAATAGCTCTCTCTGCAAGATACTGGCATAGTTTCGCGGTCAGAATCATTGAAAAAGCGAAGGAAAACTTGCAATACTCGTTGCAGTAATCTTTCGATTATGGAGGCAACTCTTGTGGAACACGATCGTATCAGGAAAGGAAAACAATCTCGATTCAAACTCGACTCTATGTGCTGACTGAAGGCTTTTGATGTTGCCGTATGTCTTCGGATTACTGGTAAATCTCCTCAAGGAATCACCTTCTCAACGTGCATGGTGTCCGGACACTCCCAGCCTACACAATCGCAATTCAGAGGTGCTTTGACACCTCTTTCGGATGTACGAGGTATATCATACTTACTAAGTTAATGCGGCCCACGCTCATCTTGACCTCCATGGACACTTTCAAGTTCGTTTTTGGCACTTTCCCTTTTTGTAACCGCCCGTCCCGGCCAGGCAGGTCTTTCCGTTTGTTGTTTCTCTTAACTGTCAATAGTAAGTTGGCCGATCACATGACTATATCCGCGAGCTTTTCAACAACATGTACTAGTACCATGTCCTGTTTGGCGAAGACTTCAGCGAGTTCGGACTTGTGTTCTGGTCAGGCGATGTCTCTCATCACCACACTCTTGGGTATATATTGCAGTGACTAGGCTAGCAGGTGTACTCGCCTCAGACCGAACAAACATACTACAAGTAGTACTACTTTCGAGTCGTTATAGTTAAGTCTGCACATTTCTCTACACTATATTACAGTTTCAGCAGAATACAACATCGCTAAGATGGCAAATCGACCTTCACCGCTTGATTTCCAATGTATTTGCCATTAAAGATCTGGAGGCGTTGGGCACTAAAAAGCTGCCAACACTGTATCGTGGTAGGTAGCAGACGCCAGAACCTGATCTGAACAATCGTCCCTCTGCTGGGAACTCCAGGCCGACCATTCCACGAAGAATACTACTTCAACGAAGGTGCTACGGACATGATATCGTAAGTCGTGTGTACCACGTAGGACTCAGAACACCCCCCCATGTTACGTGACAACATCGCAACGTATAACCGGTATCGAATACTGCCACGAGCTTAGCGGAACGTTCAACATATTGATACTTCCATAATACTAGTATTCTTTGGTCATAAGGTAGGCGAGAATTTGTTGCTACAACTATTTACAACGGGGGATCCCCAAACCGAATCCGAGACACTTCAGAACCAACTTTTCGATTTGGGACTATAATCAGCCCATCGGCCATGCACAAGTTGGTGCGTCCCGATGGTGAACTGACGACTTCGCGAGCAGCCCAAGCGTGAACGTGAGTATATGTCTTTCGCCTTACGCAACCACGTCCCTTGAAGACGTGGCCAATCAACGGACGAGGCAACAACACATATATGATGCAGATGTGCGTTGTGAAGGACCAGAGCAGAACCAAGCAGCTTCTAGATAGGGCTAAGGGTCGGTGGTCGACGACTCTTTCCCATCCTGGGACGTCGTCTCAACGACTTCCGCAACGACTTCACGCTCTGCTAGGATATTTATCAATCGCTCTTGTCCATGTAGATGCCAGTTTGGAGTGGGCTGAAATTATCCTCTGGCTGGGAAAGGCAACCACGATGCAGATCTGGTTGAAAGGCGGTAAGTAGACAGACGCACAGCACCAGCAACCAACCGGCAAGCCGATGCAATCAATCTACAAAAAAGCCAGCAGACATCTTGCACCTAGTCCTTAATCCGGCGGACGTTCAACTCGCCATTGACCACGGAGTGAATGGTGTGATAATACTAGTATCACGGTGGCCGCCAGCTAGACGGAGTGCCCCCCACCCTTGACTGCTCGAGGGAGTGCGCACGAGTACATAGGTCGGGTCCGAATTCAGATTACAGTCGATGGGGGGGAATCCAACATGGTTTAGACATCTTCAAGCCATCGCCCTTGGGGAAACAACACTGTTTTGCTGGCCGGAGAGCAATCCGGTGGCTTGCCGTAAGTGGTTGTAATCTGATGTGCCGCGCCGATGGGCAAGTCCTGAAATCCATCTTTTGCTAATTAAATCGGTGTTATTCGTTGCAGTATGATGCCATCGACAACAGGGGGTCGAGCTAGTTTTGAGGCTTCTCTTAGAGTACCGAACGACAATGGCACTTGCAGGGTATGAATACGCATTTGTCTGTTGAGTACGACGTCTTGTATAATCAGTGAGATCACACAGAGGTTTGCTGGTCTTGCCTGCTTGGACGTGACCCTAAACGAGAAAGAGCTGGCGTAGGGGTGGGTGCACGCTAGGCGACTTTAGGATATTTTCGTGACGTGCTTACCAGCAGCAAACACTTTAGTTCCCTTGAATTACGACACTTCTAGTACTACTATATTGCCAGCCCGCCTAGTGTTAACCCGCTTCCAGCCCGGTTTGAGCCCGGTTCTGGCCTGGGCTGGACTCGATTTAAGGGATTTCTAAGTGGGCTAAAACGAATTTGACCCGATTTAAGATCGGTTCGAACTAAGCTAAATCGATTTAAAATTAATTAATTATCTATTTTATATATTTTACATATTTATTATATAATTACTAGTACTATTTATTTTTTAGTTATTAAAAAATATTATAAAAATTAAAGATTTCTACTATAGAAATGAAACTCTAATATTTAAAAGAGATGAAAATTAAAATTTCGAGAAAAAGCACTGTCGACTGGGCCCGAACAACTCTCTTTTTTGTTATTTCACTAGTAAACTAAGTAGAATCAGTTTGAATCGATCTAGTTTCGGTCTCAGACCGGGCTATGACCGAGTCTGGTGCCTTAAAACGCTAATTAGGCTGACTCGATTCAAACCAGTTCGAACCGATCTAACACCTACAGGGAAGGCGACAGAGTAGTATCACTAAGAACTCTAACTCCGTTCGGTGATATAGGAAGGAGGTCTGACACTTATATCATAGTTCGAATATAAGTTTAAATAATATCAGGTATCTTCCTAACCATAAAAATACTTTATAATAGCGGCACTTCCGCTGCTTTTCGAATTTGCTATTTCAAGCAATATTCGGAATCGGGATCATCTGACTGAGGCTAGTTCAGAATACTAGTAACTAAGCAACAACTCCCGGCTCAAGACCGGTGAGACCAGAGATCTTTGTCGAGGATATTCCATTAGAAGACCGGTCCATCCTGACCGTCCCATTCAAAGCGAGCCTCCGATGTCCAGTCACTCCTTACTTGGTTCCAAAAATAAATCCGAGCATCTATCGAGGGAAGTGTGCAGTACGCTCGCTCACAGGGGCATTAAAATGACCTTTTAATCATGAGTCGAAAGAAGGGACAGAAGAGTGTTAGTCAAGATTTTTGACAACACTTACGTACTAAGTCCTACCCTTAAGCTCGCCTATGTTGTGCCATACAGACGAATTTTCGTCAGAGGTTAAACAGATCAATGTAGTAGAGAGTACAGGTCATAGATCTCCCAATTCAGTAGATGGACACCTCATCCTACGACGAGCAGAAAACTTATATAGATTACAAGCCAATTTCTAAAGAGGGAATCTAATGTGTGGCCGGGTTGGTTTTAATTGTTGACACACCTTACTAGACTACTAATAAGACCTTGACTGAAGATCGCTGCGGCTAGCCCGGCGGCTCCGAGTAGAACTCTAACATATCACCGCTTCTGGAAAGGATATGGCCGAGGCTGTCACCCATACCAGGTCCAATTTTGAATTATTTTATGGAGGGCTCTCTGTTGCTCAAAACCCGCACAGACTATTCTGGCTCTTCAGTGGCAAGACTTACGGTGTGCTCGTAGTCGGAAGTAGTTGTACGGCAACGGTACCAGAAAGCCTGCCAATGCCGATGTTCCTGCAGCCACCCAAAAATATGGACTTTCCAAGTCAACGCAACCACCCGTAAGACCATAGTCGACGGCATTTTCAGCTACTTCCATCGCGAGCATAGATATCATGCTCATCCCTGTCGCCGTCCTAGCGGCGACTCTCAAGGAGAGGCGATCACGACCAAGGTGAAGCAGGGCTGTCTCGAGAAGAATCGAGGTCATGATCCCTGCTGCCACTGAGTCCAGCGTCAGTATCATCTCGAGCAGCGTAAGGGACCGAAGTTAGGGACGCTGGGGGAGAGGAACTCACTCGACAATCCCATGGTCGTCACCGTGCCGAATTCCGGATGAGCAGTTTGGAGGTACCACATAGTTGAGAAATCGCCCGTTGTGCATCCAACGAGGCAGCGCAGGGTATTAATGGCAGACCTCTTCCATATCCGCTTAGATGACCAAAATTCATCACCCGAGGCGGCCGCAGGAGTTCTTGCCTGCCCAGTACAGCACGGTTTGTTGGTGGTGTTCATAATTCCACGGTTCCAACTAAGACAGCCGCTATATGACGGGCCAGAACGTGGAGAGCTGACAGGACTCGAGAGTATTGCCCGGGGAATTGAAGTTGTTATGAACTCAGCCGAGATCGCTTTTGGTTTAAGTAGAGGTAGTAGCATCGTGGGGAAATATTATGGTGTAGGAAGCGAGGCCTAATGGCACGAAGTCCCCGTGTTGGTTCGCAGCCGCAGCGCCTTTGCAATGAGCAGGATTACCAGCGACAATGCAGCTCGTCTCAATGATCGTCGATTGATGATTAAGGTGATGGCTCCAGACCATGAGCTTAAGGAGTGTGCCAAAGATGAAGCCGCGATCGGAAGGGCGGCAAGGTCTAGCAAAGCCTACACCCCAGGGCTGTGGTTAGTCTGTTGCTTGACGATAGCACATGCAGTGAAAAGAGCATACACCACTCACCGGCAACCAGCAACAAGAACTGAAAAACAATGTGGGGACGAAGAGTCGGAGCCAGAAGTGGTCTGACTTGGGCCGGTTTGGCTCGTCCAGTTGCGTCGCAGGAGGAGAGCAGCAGGAAGACATCAATAACAGAGTATAACAATGTAATAAGGTTGGGACAAGACAAGGAAATCAGCCTGGCTGCGCCGCATCTATAATGGGCTCTTGTATCCTATAATGATGGCAAGTATTCAGAGCAGAATTAAAGGGGCTACCGAATCGCGCACAATTCCCGCACCGGAGCGTTCGTCGTGGCCTATGCCTTGGGGCTTCTGGCCAACGCTACTAGTAGCACTCGCTATCACTAGCCCCCTGCAGTCGATCGTGGGCTTGGTAAAGTATGGTTTAGGCGAGAACTTCATAAAGTACTACTACCTTGTATGTACCAACCTGCAGATCAAGGTTTTCGACTCCTACGCACAAGTGCCGCAAATCTCTGCTCTGGAGAATCGCTAGACTTGATCGGGGTTAGTACTATCACGTTGCTACTGTGAAATGAGGCGTATAAGTGTATTGGACTATTCTAGATCTATGTGGTCGGGGAGGCTGCTTTTATAGCCATAATTACTAGCGTCTTGGCGTATTTCATACCACTAGAAGCTTTGGGCGTCGTTCGTGTCAAGTAGAGACGGGTCAAGTACAGCAACGATTAGAAAGGTGCTATCTCACTCATCACTCAAACAATCGGAGCATCGCTCGGCAGTGACATCGAAAGCTACAGGCCTATTCTAAATCCTTGGCCGGCCGCTGCATTCGAAATCAAACACGTGCGCGTCTACGACGGCCGAGGCTCTCTGATCGAAGACCTTGACACCCCTCTGGACACAGATTCCCGCCGACACCTGCGATCTCGAGAGAAGCACATAGACAACTACGATGCCTGCTGGCAGCCTTCGGAGAAACAAGCAGGCAAGAGCAGGCCACTTCCTTGGTCCCTTCTCAAACTTCTGCCAGCAGTGGGCCTGAAAGCCTTAATAACCTGCCATCATTCAAATCGATTCAGGCGAGGACGACGATCCCACAGTTACGAATAGTACTAGTAGTACTGCTTTACTGTCTATCGAAGCCATGACATGTGGTAGCTGTGTCGGGACAATCATTCTAAAACTCGAGCAGCTGGATTATGAGGTCAGCGTAGCGTTGACTTGCTCTGGAATAACGGTTCGATCGAGTTTCGTGGCAAACACAATCTGGATTTCAAGATCCTAGCAGCATTCGATGAGATTGGGTACTCTGCAACACCGATCGAGCTGTCAAGTCTAAAGTCTAGGTCCACACCGCCCCAGGAGCAGCAGGTCGATATTCAGATTGATGGAGTGCATTGCCCCCGATGCCTGGAGAGAATAATGAAGGCTCTGCAAACATCCTTGTCTCCCGACAACGCTAGACAGAGCCGTTTCTAAATTTTGAAGCCACCCTGAATGAGAGAACTTCAAGTTCGACTCAGACTCGTATACAGGTCGGATCCGTCAAAAGATGTCACGATACGCCACTGCACTTTATCTCCGTTATACAGGGGGTTGATCCCACTTTCAGTGTCTGCTAGTAAGTCAATCACCTGCCCACAATCGAGGAACGATCCAGGCAAATCCAGAGTCACGACTGGTGGGCCATTCTCTTCCGAATGGTTTTCACGGCCAGATCATCGACGTGGTCCGAGGTAGCCAGGCGAAACGCCCGCCCATCGAGCGCTTAACTGATGTCCTGACCGGCTACTAATTTTGTACCCATTATCGCTTTAATTGCCGTCACGACCTGGATCATTTGTCTAAGCTTAAGCTTATCTTTCGGAGCCACTCCTTCATGCGTGGCTCGACACTAATAAGAGAGGATCATCCGGGTGTACTACTAGTAGCCATTGGAATTCGCCAATGCCGTTTTCGTCATCGCCTGTCCGTGTGGCATGGGGCTCGCCGCCCCGACCGCATTGTTTGGGGGCGTTGGTCTGGCACCTCGGCACGGTCTCCTTGTTCAAGGCAGAGAGCAGGCTTTCCAGGAAGCGTCAAACCTGAAAGCCATTGCGTTGGATAAGACTGGCACTTTGACGTAGCGCAAGATGCAGGTCACCCAGTACGACCAATTGTCACAGCATTACGGTCAGGAAATTGTGTTCGCCATCTCTCGCACCATGCAAGGTACTAGTATATATCCAACCACCAGATAGCGGATGCCATCGTTGCTTTTTGCTCATCGAGCACAGAAGGCGTTATGTCTAATGTGCGCGAGCTCCCGGGATACGGTACTATGACTTCAACATTTTCAATTGGCGGCACAGGTACTAGTACAGAGCAGGTCATCCAAGCGGCAATTGGCCACGAAAAGCTATTCACGGTCTTTGATACCAAGCTCAGAGAGTGGTCTTCTCAGAAGAATGCAAATGCGACTGAGGAACCGACCAACTTATGTCTCTAGGAGGCTCTGTATCGGCATCAAAGTCAAAGCAATTCCGTTTCCATCGTCAGGCTGACCGCTTTGAGGCTATCGGCATCTTTCAAGGGGCCTTTTACATCTAATCTGACTCGAAACGCCATCGGTGATCGCATCCCTGCAAGGCCTCAGCCGTTCAATTCACCTTTGCACCACAGCCAATGCCGTCGCCTCCAGACTGAATATCCCGGCTTCCAAAGTCCGGGCAGGGGTCCTGCCTAGATGCAAAGCCGACTACGTTTGTGAGCTCCAGCACCTGGCAGTCGGGGGTAGGGAACTCGTGGCATTCGTCGGTGACGGGCTGAATGATACTACTCCTGCGTTGACGGCGTCGGACGTGTCTGCGTCGCTTTCGTCCGGGAGCGACATTGCCATCAACGCATCATCTTTCATTTTTCTAAAATCGCAAATCACTGCGGTTCACGAGCCTGTGACACTCTCGAAGCGCGTCTTCCGGAGAGTGAGGCTCAACTTTTGTCTGGACTGTGATCTGCAACATCACCCTGATTCAGGTCGCAGCTGGAGTTTTCTTCGCTCTGGGAGCAACCGACGAAAAGGGTGGCTGGCGAATGAGTCCCGTGTGGGCCACTGTGGCTATGGCAGAGAGTAGTGTCTCTGTAGTGCTCAGTAGTAGTTTAGCATTGAAGTTGCCAGAGCTCAAGTGGCCGTTCAAGAAATAGATAGGTCATGGTCAGTTTTTCTGGTAAGGTGGATACGATGCTTTGGATAGTGTAAGGGTTCAACAAGTTGCCTAGCCGCTCCCAAGAATGGTTCATGAGGAGTTTTGTACATTGGAAATTTCAAGATTAGTAGCTTCAACATGTAAAGGCCGCAGCAATAGGGTGGTGCTGTGGTTAGTCACATACTAGTATCAAGGCAGAGAGCCTAGCATCATTCTGGCTGTAGATGGAAGGTTAAAGCAACCTACGCATCACTGAGACAACGAGACAGTGCTAGACAAATTGATAGTGCTGGCATTCCAGCCATTCGCTTACAGATTTAACAGGGGATCCTTTGCCCTTTGCCCTCGACAGTCTCGCTTTGTGATTGAATGCTACCACTATCGCCCTCTTGCCGCCGCCTCTGCGGTGTTGGTGGTGATGTTCTGTCTTGGCCTCAACCAGAAAGGCGTTCTCGATCCCCGATCTGCTGGACAGGCGCAAGCCAAGCCCGCGCAACTCGTGACCGGTCTTCCTCGTGGCTGTGTCTAACAGTAGGATCGGTCCTACGATTAATCGGTTGATCCCTTACGTGGGGCACACTAGTACTATGTAGTACTATAGTAGTATATGCAGATCTCAGTCCTTCTAGGGTGCTCTCCTGACGTTTCCCTCGGTTGATTGTGGTATGGGCGGTTGTCGTCACAGTGGAGAGTGATCAGTCTCTAGAAGTTCCTCTCCCGATCGTTGCTTTCATTACCGTGGGTCTTGCCTGCGCTAACCGCAGCACACCATGGAACATCACTCTCCGCAATATTTGGCTCGAACTCGCGCCCTCTGCAATTTGCCGCGAGAGCGCCACTGCTGCATTTGCATAGTGCCTCATCTTATTCTCGTACGTTCTAATAGCATCCAAGATGCTGGTGTTGCCGCGGTGTGCATCAATGAGTAGGTCGGTCAAGACGTGAGCATCACGAAACGCGATGTTGGCGCCGACTCCTGCCATGGGCGTCATGTTGTGGATCGCGTCGCCGAGAAGCGACACATTGTCTGTCTTCCACGGAGTCAGATGGGGCATCGAGCGTAAGACGATCGGGGCGATTGTAGCGAGCTCTGCATCTCTGACCACAGTCACGAGCGGTTCAGCCCAATTCTGAATACCGGCGAGGGCGATTTCGCGCAGCTGTGAAGGTGAGAGTGCTTTGGCATCTGTGGGAGTCTCAGGCTTGGGGACCACGTATGCCCAGAGCGTGTAGTTCTCGACCGGGCCAAGCTCCCCTTCTGCAGACGGGAATGAGGCTACGAACAACCAACCCTTCCCATATGGAACGATATTGTTGAGCGAGCCGTCCGTCATGAGTGCCGGCAAGTTTTCCGCGCTGACCTTGTCCAAATGGTACCGCCCGCATATGACGACGATGCCGAGCTCTGCTCGTTTCAGGTCCGGCCGCCGTTGTTCGCGGACCTTGGATTTGCTGCCATCTGCGCCGATGAGGATGTCGCCCTCCACCCTCGTCGAGTCCGCAAAGTGTGCGCGAACCCGCCCGTCGTCCAGATGCTCATAGTGGGAGAAGGATTTCCCCCAATGCACAATTGCTTTTCCTTCACTTTGACGGGCCAGGCCTTTCAACAGGATATCCCGGAATTCGACGCGATGGGCCGCTCGTCTCTCAACGTCCACTTCTGGTTTGCCTGAAATTTTCGCGTCGTCCCGCAGAGCCAGCAGCCGCAAGTGCGTGTTGCGGAAAGCCCACTGCGCACCTGCGGGTGTCGTTGCAGCAAGAAAACGGTCCCAGCTTTCGCGATCAAGACAGTGCTGGAGTGCCCGCTTGCCATCAGAGCCCACGTGGAGCCCATAGCCCGCAAGTTTGTGCGTCGGGTCTGCGTGCCTTTCGAACACCTCGACCTCGATACCTTTATCCTGCTGCAGGCCGTTAGCCAGGCAGAGACCACCGAAACCTGCCCCGATGATTATGACACGCATGGCGCAAGTATCCTCCGTAGCTGGCAGAGTCTTGGCGAAGGTAAGTGCTATTCTCTATTCTGTATTCTGTATTTCGGTATTCGATCCCACGACGGTCACTGAGGTTGTAGGGTCACGAATTACGAAATACTAGTATGCATCACGCAATGCTCATATCTTCCCGCAATTGTGGCCATAAGATAAGGGTATATATGCATCTAGAGTAGAAGTCCAACGTTATGCCACTGGGTGACAGACTCGGTGCTATGGTGACACGGAGTCGAGTTACAGCGAACCGAGTAGCAGGATCAGTCTAGGTTACGGGCAGGAGAGCACTATTCATGAGGACTACTGGTATAATTTTGCCACTATATCTCTCAGTTGGGCGCCTGGTGGACGGTGGGGGCCTAATCGCGAGCCTCACGAAGTGTTTTTCTACGTGTCTGGCTGATGACAGATTACTTAGTTGCCCCGGGTCCAGTCAGAGCCTTGCCGTCCCTGTTTTGAATCATTCAGCAGCGAGTATCTCTAATAAATCCTTGGAAGTACCTCGCATATAGGTGCCTACTATATAGGTGGGGGCCCCACCCAACCTCAAGGCTGTTGTATTACTCGCTCAATCGCACAGGTCTAATAATCTACAAACTTCCACCTGAGCATCAATCTGCCGATGTTACCAAATCAAATACGAATAGTACTAGCTAGCAGTCCGCTGATGTAAAGTCGAGAATCGATGCTATAAAAAGGACAATGACGACAGGACAGTCCTGATCTAGGTGACCTAAGAGACGAGGCTCGCTGGATGGATTGTTTATGTAGTACTTACTTCAAGTTGTAGCTAGCTTTAAGGTGTGCTAGAACCACCCCAACCCAGATCTGGCTGGCTACTGTCCAGCCAGCCTCCTGGCGAAGTGCGAGCGGGAACTTCGTCAGCCCTGGCTTGTTGAGAACTGAGACCTCTGCCTGCACAGTGCAAAGCCCAAAATACTACTAGTATGCAATAATCTCACTCTCATACTCTCGCGCCGGCGGACCTTGGCGCTTGCCGCTGAGGCTGATGAAACTAAAGGAGTTGTGGATTACCGGGAAACTCTAAGTCCGAGCCTAAGCAGCCTAACAAACGATGTAGCGAAGGCTGCTTGCGAGAAATGGGAGCTGACGTGACAAGTATCCAGAGGCCACTCACATCTCGTTGCTGGAAGACTGCAAGGAGCTGATCGGGGTCTTCGAGGGCTGTTGGTGACTCTAAGATGAGATGCGTCGAGAATTTGAGTGCTGGTATCTTGTGGACGTCAACATTTTCGGGCAAAGACTTGATTCCGACCCAGCTGGCATGTGGCGATCTCGCTAATGTAATATTATCATGGGCCGGCTTCATCGTCTTCGGATCTTCTTTATTCACACTCATCTGGTCATCTCGCAAAAGCAGAGGGGGTTTCGGTTACACGAAGTCCGTCCAAGCGGACATTTATTGCCGGGTGGTGAATAGATGGCCAGATCAACAGGCAATTCCACGACCCCCGAGCAATTTGTGGAGAAATTCGGTGCAAATACCAGCCGGATATTTGCTCTCGCTGATGCAAGATCTTGGGCGGAAAAGGCTGCGTCATTTTGTTCCAAACTGCTCAGTGGCCCAGATGTCCCGACCGAGATCGAGATCAATAGCCGGTCATAGATGAGTATGTCAAACTGAGGAACGTCGGCTGTGTTTTTGGGCGAGTCCGATGTAATCGCCATCTGCAGTCTGTCAGCCGTTCATCCCATTACAGCTGCTGAGCTTTCCAATCAGTGTGTTTGAGACATTAACGACAATACTGATCATTGCGGTAGTTTGTTCAGACTGCGGTTGAGCTAAAAGTGTGGTCGATAGTGTCAAGCCGGCCATTCCTGTGTGCCTGCTCAAAGCTAGACGGTCGGCGGACTGGACCAGGACCTCAAGCAGATCCACGATGTGCTCAAGGTGGGTTGAGAGACAAAAAGGGAGACGAAGGCCCGGTAGAGTCTGCGAGGGTCTTGAGCTTTGCATCTTCTCGCTCAGTCAGAGCTAGGCAGCCTGGCTACTGCCTCAGGTCACGCGTCAATCGCCGACCAGCAGAATTCCAATGTGTTCGATACATCCATCACCACAGCCCGAAAGGCGTGAGATCGAATCTGATGGCGCCGGCAGGATTTTTTCTGCCTCTCTTGGTCGGAGATATGCTCTCGCTCGGAACTTCAAGAGGGAATGAAGGGTGGGCAAGGCCGCATGATGAGCCCCATGCCAACATGCTCCAAAAGCAAAATGAGGGAACAACTTTGGGGAAACTCCGATGCCTGGCTAGCCGCTTGCTGCACCGAGGGTGCTTGGTTGAGGGGATGGAACACCGTATGAGTGCGCATTTGGGATATGTCTCTTCGGTAATTGAATCCGCCCAGATCTACCGTGTTTATGGATGTGGAGGAGGAGGCACCTATGTAGCCTCAAATGTCAATTAGGTTAATAGTGAAGACGTTGAGTAGCTAGCTCGCTGTTCGTGTTCGCGAAAGCACGATCTCTAGGCTATACTGGTAGTTAGCTCAGTTAGTTAGAAGTTGCTGCCGTTGATCTTGACCCGGGGGACATTGACATCCATTCAGGCCCGGCGGCCGCTCCCCGCCATTCTCCGTGCTCCGGATTCCCACCCCGGGTCCCCCCATGACACACTAGCCTACTTGGGCCTGAGCCATTTGGTCTTGGCACCGCCGTAACCTATCACTTGATTCTTTAACTCTCGTCTCAATGAACCAAACTTGACTATCCAGTATTAACCTTTCATGACCCCAAACCCCCACAACCTCCCTTGGTACATACATACCGAGATGCATATTGTGTATCCCCCGCATTTATTCCCCTCACAAAGATGCCCCCATTCACTAACTTTCCATGGCTTGATATGTAATAGTATGGACTACCGTTAGTGGTTGGTGCTGTAGCTTTTGTACCTGGCCAAATCCACATCCAGGAAGCTTCCTGGGAGCTAAAATGCAGATCATCAAAAGCCCTTTAGGCTCATGTCGAGGGTTGCTTCGTTGGAGAGGCAGCTCGGAAGTTGGCCGAACAAATGAACAGGATTCCTGTCCAATTTGCCATGTACCGTGTACCCGCCTCTGCTCGAATCCATGTATGAGCATAAAGGGAACAGAAAAGTACGTTGAACCGCCACCTTTTTCTTGATCCGAGACCGGCTGTTGCCTGTGGTTCTTCCTGAGAGATATCGAAACGCCCCTATTCCACCTCCCCCCAACAATATGCTATTGAAGCCATTGTGCTCTGTGCTCGGTGTGGTTTCGACCGCCGCCGCCTACGTGGTAAACAATGGGACTTCGTGCTACGTCTACCCGGAATCCTTGACCCATTTCGGCCAGCCGGTGGATGACACGCCCTCGATTCTCCGGGCTTTTGAGCTCTGTGGCACCAACGGATCCGTCGTCCTCACGGAAAACACCTTCCACATCAACCAGGTCATGAACACGACCGGCCTAGTGAATTGCGACGTCGAGCTGCACGGCGAAATGATCTGGAGCGACAACATTCCCTACTGGCTGGGCCACAGTTATTCGGTGGTCTACGCTAACCTTTCCACAGCGTGGTTTTTTGGCGGAGAAAATGTGACATTCAAAGGCTTTGGGAAGGGGCGATTTAATGGAAATGGTAAGTCGGTCGGCCGTGGCCCTTGAGAGAGGTTGTGTCTTCAAAAGAGGCACGGGGGGAGACACTTTTTCGGAAAGTTAAGTATGCCATTCAACAGGCCAGGCTTGGTATAATGAGAACCGCAACAACAGCAATCAACCAGGACGACCCATTGCGTTCACCATCCTCAATGCAAAGAATCTTTGGATGGACGGCGTTTCGTGGAGCCAGGCGCAATTCTGGCATTCGTTCATCTCCCACTCACAGAACGTCAGCATGTCCAACATCTACATGAACTCGACTAGCAACGACACCTGGTTTACCGTCAACACGGACGGTTCCGATACCTGGAACTCCAGGGACGTGTTCTACACCAACTGGACTGTCCTCGGAGGTATGTACCCAAACCCATAACCATCCATTACCAAACGTCTAGAAAGGCGCGTAATTGGATCCAGCTCCTTCGTCGGTAAAGAAGTCCTGATTGACTGATTGACTTGAATTGCACCAGGCGACGACTGCATTGCCATCAAAGGAAACAGCACCAACGTCGTCTCCAAGAATATCACCTGCTACCGCACTCATGGCATGCCAATCGGCTCCGTCGGCCAACAGCCGGGGCATCCGGACTTCGTGCAGGACATTGTCTACGAGGATGTGCACCTCATCAACTCGACAAACGGCGCTTGGATCAAGGCGTGGCAAGGTCGCTCGCAGTCCGTGACGAACAATGGAGGGAGCGGCGGCGGCGGCGGTGGATACATCAAGAACGTCACGTTCCGCAACTTCGTGCTTGAAAATGTCGGCCAACCCATCAGTGTGACACAGTGCGTGTACGGGCATGATCCCAGCGTATGCGACACGAGCGAGGTATGTTGGTCATTCTTGTGCCTCCTACGCCCGTCCCCCCAAAAAAGGTCTCTTCCTGCTCTGTAGATGTCAAGCATGAGCGCATGTATCGCTGACGGCGAGTCAATTTTTCCCCGTGGACAGCTGCAAATCTCCGATGTCACCTGGGAGAACATAACGGGAACATCGCATTTCGACGTCGCCTCTGTCATCCACTGCTCGCCCCTAGTGCCGTGTCCCGGCATGAAGTTCATCGATGTGAACATCACCACCGTCAACGCCTCACTCGGCAAACCGAGCCTGCCTGAAGTCAACGTTTGTGCCAACATAGTGAACCAGAACGCCACTGGCGAAAATGCAACAGGCGTCCCATGTCACGGATTTGCACCGAACGACATGCCCAATGTACTCTATCGGAACTGGCCAGAGCTGCTGACACAGGTCATCCTCAGCGTGGTCGTCCCCCCTGCGCAAAGGGACAATTGCTTGCATCCGGGCCCCAATCCGGCAGCTGCTGGGTGCAATCCTCCCCCATACTAAAACATCTATCAAGTGAGGATTGGATAGAAGCGCGGTATGGTCCTGGTCAGTCCATATGCATTCACAGGGCGATACTTCCAAGGCCTGCATCTTCTGTGCAACTGTCATTCATTTCGTGGATACGGGGGTAACCGTTAAAAAAGGAAAGGGGAGGAGTAGGTCATGTCGAAGACCCGGCCGATAGATGAAAATAAGAAGCCACTTTACAAGTAAACATCGCTGCCTTGTCATGCATCTTCATCCGCAAAGAGCACGATATTGTGGTTCGCTATCAACCAGTGCCGCATCGAGATCCCAATAAAGTCCGAACTACCAGAATTTCAATCACCCTCATCTCTATGACCTGTTATGGTTCCCCTGCGTCCATCCAGATGGCTGGGCTTCTGTTCTCAAAGCAAGCGGCTACTCTTTCAGATCCCATATTCTAGCATGATTGCGCTGGATCCTCATGATATGCAGATATCGACGGCGACTTGAAGGCGGTCAGTCACAAGCAGGTGCACGCTGCTCTCTCAGGAGGGGGCAAGGTTTGAACTGATTGAGGTTTGCCGTCCTCTAGGTTCTAACCAGAGAACAGTCAGCTCGTGCCACGAGTCAGAAGTGGAGCCCACGGAGCGGGATCTCGATGCATGGATGGAGGCAGCAACAAAAAAAAGGACTGAGCACGTTAGAGTGAGCGTGGAGGCTTGAGAGCTTGGGGATGTGTGCAGCACCAGTGTTGATGCAGCGTGGTTGGGATCGTTGGAAGAGAAGAAGTTCAAGGAACGAGAAAGCATTTTATTGGAGCATGTATGTCTATTCCGAAGGCACTGCCTTCCAGGTTTATGAAGTCCTGGTAGGCAAGCCCGACAAACGAGCAGTGTTGATTCTCGTTACTGTCATCAGTCCTTAGTATATCGGCGACGAGGGCAGATCTCTGCCCAAGAGAGTTAACCTCAGCAGGAACACAAAAGCTGGTCTTCTGTGGTCCTTCATCTGCCTTGGTACACTTTGGTTTCGACATAAATGTGCTTCGAAGGCTTCGAAGATCCCTGGTGAGTGAACCCAGTGATATGCTGTTGGAACATTACCGGACCAATTTCTCGACAAGCAATGCCACTTTGACCAATTTCGCCTCCATCTGACGTTGTCCAACCATCTGTAAACCGATAGGGAACCCTTCGTACCGCTGGCGCTTCTCCTTTGTGTCTGTATCAAAGTTAGAATTCAGTCGACAGCTGTCTTCCAATTTATGCAAACGGGAAAGAGAAAGATAAAAACTCCGCGTACATATAGACTGAACCCTCTCATCCATGGGACCACGAGGAGGAGGCAATTCGACATTGTCTTTGCTGAGATCCACGGCTCCACATTGCACAATCGCAGCAGGATAGTCGAGGACGTTCCAGATCCGCGAGAAGTGACTGCGGATCAAAGTGTCGTGCGGCCGTGGCAAACAGCTCTGTGCAGGAGAGAGTATCACATCCACGGGTCGACCTGAGCGGCTGCTTTTCGCCGTTGACGCCCAGTATTGAAGCCAGTCTGTCTGAAGTTGCAGTCTCTGCGCACTTAACGCAAACAGATCGGACAGTGTCCCTTCTGGGCAAGGATACAAGCCGCCTTGTTTGACCGATTCCGTGTATGGCTCTCCTGTCAGACTGCGAGCGCCATCAAGAGCCTATACAAATCAGTACTGCTCTCCTATGAATCCATAGGCAGCAAAACCCACCTTTCCACCTTCAAGTTTGAAGTTCCCAACCGCATTTTGGGCCAGTTCGGCGCATTTGTAGAATTCCATATCAATGACTTCATGCCCATTTGTCCGCAGCTTGTCGCAAGTCTCTCTGAGGATTCGAAGCAAGGGCGGCAAAGGGGTTGTTTCGTGGTCCTCCCAGATGACACCAAACACCAGGGGTCGTTCCAGCAAAGGTTGCGAGTCCCAAGGCAAATAACTACATCCAGGATCATACAGCCAGGGCTCCGCATCCGATATCGAGCGAAGGAGAAGCTCGCAGTCTCTCATTGACACTGCCAAAACCCCATTAACGCACAGAATCCCCACGGTCTCTGCTCCGTCCGTTAAATACCCCTGAAGCCTGTGGTATGGAAGACGACCGGAAGATGGTTTGACCGCATAGACTCCATTGCAATAAGCTGGGATCCTGCCACAGAGCCACACAAATTAGACGAGGTCGTTTTACTAAAGGAACGAAAGTGCATGTATCCTTACCTTACTGAGCCCCCGACATCAGTCCCTATTCCCATCAAGGCTCCTCGAATACCAAGTAAAGCCCCCAACCCACCAGAACTCCCAGCGGCTGTCAGGTACTTGGATCTAGCATTTCGAGATTGCCCGAATACAAAGTTCTCTGTATCCGGTGTCATCATCGACTGTGGGACATTGGTTTTGACGTACATGACGGCTCCCAGTGACAAGAGCATGTCGACGATGACCGAGTTCTTCTTGACCGGTTTGAACGCGAAGGCCGCCATGCCAATGGTCGAGTCAATGCCCGCTACATTGATGCTGTCTTTCAAAGCAACCGGAAGGCCATGCAGAGGGCCAAGGGGTTTTCCTATCCGGTTGAGATAGTCGTCAAGGTAAGCCGCACGCTCAAGGGCTTGGTCGAAGAAGATCTCGGTCAGACAATTCAAAACCTGTTGCGCGATGGCAGCTCTCTGTTGATGCGAATGCCATAGCCCATCAGCTAGATGCTCCAGGGACTCGATAGGTATTCCGCGGCTCCGGAACCGAAACAGAGGTTTGCTCACCGGAGTGCGACACGCGTCGTTTTCGGTGCCATAACACTTACTTTACAAAACGCCCTCGTCACTTCGACACTGCTATACTCCCTCGCACGGATCTTCTCCAACAGAGCGACAGAGTCATTTTGCTCTGTGATGTCCAGCTCTCGCTGCGATAACAAGGAGCAAGACCGAGGCAAACCGAGGAGGTTGTCGTCGTCCTCCGGCATCGATATCCTCCACTCCGCAGGGATTTTGCTGTCTCGCTCTTCCAACTTACGACGGCTGATTCCGAGATAGGGGGGTTCTGTGGACATGATCATCTTTGGATCGAACGGGTATGTGGTCTGGCTGGCATGTATTGAACCCTCGGAACTGCTGAAGAACTTCCGGCTTGGATTATCTCATTGTTCTTCCTGCTAGCATCGGCGTCGCTCTTTATGAGATTGCTCCTATCAATCTGTGTTAGAAGCCTAGAAGACCCCTTCCGCCGAAATTCAATCCAGTCGCTTACCTAAATCCTTCCTTCAGGGGCAAATTTCGGATTTCCCGCCGCATCGACCATTTATCATCGGCAGGAGCCGTTCTCCGCACTCAAGTGCTTCACATATTGGCGGTCTGGATGCCCCGTGCAGCCGGGCCCGGGTGTACGACGAGGAGACCCGGACCCTTCAAGGGATTGGATGTGCTCTGTTGGTATCTACATACCTGTCTTGGTAAGTTCGGGCCTCGATTTCTCTATCCGCACTTGCTCACGAATTCCCCCCTTCGACAGAGGCCAATCTTCGCCATCTACCAGAACCACCGCAGCCTCTCCCTCGCACAGGACCTCATCGTCCAACTCTCTAATTTCTGATATTGACCCCCTACATACTGCGGAGTGCTCGGTACATCAGATTCACATTCCCACAAAAATCGTCAACATGGTCATCGAGGACAAGAAATACTCCTTCGACCGCGACCTGATCGGCTACGGCCAGCAGGGGAGAAATGCGGAGTGGCCCGGGGGAGCGCGCATCGCGGTCAGTATATGTGTGAATTATGAGTAAGTAGGTTTCTTCTGCGCAATTGCCTTTCTCCGTTTTCCCTTTTTTTTTTTTTTTCCTGGGAGGAGACAAAAAAGATCATTGAAGAGGAAGAATGCGGTATCCCCCCCCTAAACCTCTCGCCCAATACACAGTGGTGGCTCATCACAGCCATGGCTTTTTACTCTCTCGATCTCGATATGCTAGACTCGATATCGCTGAAACAGTCCAATAAAAGAGAGGGCGCAGAGTCGACGGTACTCAACGGAGATGCTCAATCAGAAACCTTGAACTGGGAAAAAGGTACGAAGCAGGCCTCAAACTCTCTTCCTCCATGAACAAAGAAACCTGTACTTTTCCATATCCAAGTCACACGCGACTTACATGTAACACGTCACTATCTAGCTGGGGGCCCTCCCTTCCTCGCTGCACGCCAACCTAACGTCGAATCCGAATACTCGTACGGCTCCCGTTCGGGAATCTGGCGACTGTTGCGAATCTTTGCAGAACATCAGTACAAGTTCACCCTCTTGGCCGTGGGGCAAGCTCTAGAAATGAACCCGGCCGTAGCCAAGGCATGCGTCGAAGCCGGCCACGAGATCGCAGGCCATGGGTACCGTTGGCTCGATTGTCGTGATTTGCCACCCGAGGAGGAGAAGGAACTCGTAAAGCGGGCCATCAGAGCCATCCAGGACACGGCCGGAGTGGACCCTGCGGGCTGGTATGTGGGCAGAATCAGCCCGAACAGTGTCGGGGTGGTGTGGGAGGCATTCGAGGAGATGGGGCTGCATCTGAAGTGGCAGAGCGACTTTTACGGCGACGATGTCCCCGTCTGGACGCATCTGCCCGCCAAGTTGGCGAGCGTGCAAGAAAAAGAAGAGGCGGCCCGACGGCTAGGGGAAGGAGAAGAAGAAAAGTGCGAAAAGAAGCCGAAAGAAGGCCTGCTGCACGTCCCTTACTCGTACGACTGCAACGACATGAAGTTCCACTTCGCTGCCGACGGCTTCGGCGGCGCCTCGTTTTACAATTACCTCGTGGATGCGTTCGACATGCTGTACGAGGAGGGCGGCAAGATGATGTCGATCGGCCTCCATGGCAGGATCGTGGGCAAACCCGGCCGTGCCAGGCAGTTGCAGCGCTTTCTGAACTACATCAGCTCGAAACCGGATGTCTGGGTATGTACTCGAGCAGACATCGCGACGCATTGGAGGGACCGGTTTCCGTATCAGCCTGTACCAAGTTTATTACCCTGAGCAGCCCTAACTAAGCATCAAATATCTCCCCACATAGACCAGCCTTCCGTCGGAAAGGTGTCCATGGCGTGAATGATACCGTCATACATCCATGTCTCGTTGATCTGGTAATCTCCGAGTACGGTTTCAAAGCTGTCCCAGACGCTATCCTGGACTCGATTTTCGGCATATCGGTCGCTGTCGGTATTTCCGTGGTGGCTCAGGAGTGATTGCACCTCGAGAGCGTGTTGTCCATGACTGTTTCTCCCGGAGGCCCGCGCGGTGCGCCCAGATGATGATGACGACGACGACGATGTCGAGGTGGTGCCGTGATTCCCCTCGATCGTGGCAGAGACGAGGCTTTCAAACGCGTTGCGCACCTTTCGTGCCGCTGGCCAGCGTTCAGAGATGGCGTAGAGCATGGTACTGCAGGCGCGGATGTCGCCGCTGAAATTCGCGTCAAACAGGGTTGGGTCCAGACAGAAACAGTACACCAGAGCGAGACCAGCGATAAAGTTTGCGTGGAGGGCGAGCAACGAGAACGAAATATATGACTGATTGTTGTGGAGTCTTTTGTACATCTGACAGATCTGCCCAGCCGAGTAGGCGAACAGGCGAAAGTCTGGGTGTGACGGTGAGAGTGATGGGAGCAAAGGCAGGAAAAGGAGAACCAAGGCTTTGTGGTATTGTATCATGTGGTAGTCGGTGGTGCTGTAGGGGAGCTTTCCCTCATTCTCGGGATGCGAGACATATGGGATGGCAGCCTTCCACTCTTCGAGGGCGTTTCGAAGTTTGGTTATCTTGTGCGGACTGATCTCCGATATGGGTTTATCCACCCGACATACAGTATGGGAGATTTTGGACTCTAGCTGCTGGATCCGGATGATGTGGATTGCGGCCGTTAGGGAGGTGATTTGATGTGGATTTGCCAACGATTGCAGAATGGCTGCAGTGATCTCTTCCTCTGTTTCGTACGAGTCTTCAATGTTCGCTGGTAAGGCAACATCGATATCCCTGTCCGATACAGAGTATGGGCGGCCGACAGTCCTGGCAACAGACCGCTCCAACATGTACGCCGTCCAGAATATGCGTTTGCGCCGTTGATCGACCAAGTTGGATAAATTATTTGTCTTTCGGTGGAGACCGCCATCGAGACAATGTCGCATCGTTGTCCCTATCATCCACCTGGAGGGGAATTAGTGAAGGACCTGGAGATGTAACAGGCGGTGTCCATACCATACTCCTGGACCAGTAGGCGATCTCAACTGATAGATGGACAGCAGGAGCATTGCCTCCAAATTTTCGAGGCTTCGCACGTCCGATATTATGTCAATCTCTGTTAACGCAGCTGCGTAGTGAGACTATTGAAGTTAGAATCTGTTGTTCACACCGACTTGTATCAGGGCATACAAACCTCGGGCGATGGATAGGAATTATCATCTGCCAATTGCAGATACCTCGCTCCGATTGCATAGACCAAATGCAAAATAGCATAATCTAATCGATTCGACCAGCCTTCCTTCGATTGTGATTGATGAGCAGACAGGAGATTTGCTCTGTCTTTGTTCAGAGCATGAACCCTCTTCTTGGACAAGAATGGATGCTTGGGATAGACCTTCAAGAGATAAGTACTGGTGAGTTCTTCCCCCATTTCGTCGCTAGGCATCTCAGCGAAAACAAAGTTTTCAGACCCCTGCTGATGCTGAGAACGCGCAGAGGAGGGGACTCGATCCGTCCCAAGCCGCGATGGTCCTGCTGAGGGTGCATCCAGGTTTGGCACGTTCATTGCGGATTTGACCAGTTTTGCCAGCTGAAATCCACTGGATGTTCCGAGATACGAATTTGGCGACAGTGCAACGAAGCCAACCCCTAACTCCAGGCTGGGTTCCGCATTCTCCTCTCGATCGTCATGGCTTCGCCGTTCGACTGACGCTCTGGAGGAACGAGGAGCTGCCGCCTCGTTCATATTTGCGAGATGATCGGCTGCCAATTTGGGATCGACAGAGGTTAGTGACTGCTCGAGTTGAGCAATGTGGTTCTCCAATGACCTGACATATTCTGACGGATAGACTTGCTTGACGCCGTAAGAGCAAGGCTCGCCGGCACAGAGGCAGTTGGAACAAGACGGAAACTCATTGTCACAGCGTTGCTTGCGGCCTTTGCATCTCTGGCAGGCAACGGCGCTTCGGGCTCGTCGTTTCGCTGGTCGTTCTTGCACGTCATCGATGCGTGGACTGGAATGTTGTACCGTATGCATGCTGGTCGTTTTCCAGTGATGCACAGATCAAAGGACGATCAAGGTCGGCTTCTTGAGCCCACGTCGCCGAGTTGTCGATACCATTCTGCACACGACGATGTCCACTTCTGGTCTGCACAGACGAGCTTCAAAAGTGCATTCACGATCTTGAGGCTGGATGCTTGACCGCCTGGCAGGGAGCTGAGAAGATAATAAAACCGCCATGCTCTCCTGAATGTGGTCACTGCAATGGTCAAAGTCATGGCGGGGAATTCCGCCTCCCGCTTTGGGCATGGTCGTACGTCCATGAGGCTGGGCGCGCCCGCCGTTTTGGGAGTCGCGATAAGAAGCCCCTCTCCCTACTGACTCTTCCTCTCTTCTATTTCTCCTGTGCCTCCTTCCATCGTGGTGTCATCAGATGCTGGTGCTGAATTATATTGCCACTCGGCATAGGAGTAGCTACAGACCTAGACAGTGCCAAGACGGTAGCTTTATAGTCGCAGAAATTATGTAGTCTTAGTCCCAAGGTTGGCCAAGGTAAGCGTTTCTGTTCGTTTGAGAATGACTTCTCTCCCAAGGCCTATGCCGAAGACCGTTCGGATCTTTGTGTGACTGTCGTGAGAATCCTGCCACGACATTAGAACAGGCGACATTGACCAGTCATCATGACCATACTTGGCTTTCGCAGACATTATCCGTCGGTCACAACACGCGGCTAGCTACATGTCAGGTCCAACGTCGATCGTTCACGAGGCCGAATATGGGCTAAAACCTCTCCATTCGCAAAAAGATATTGGGAAAACCCGGCGGCAAATATCGAGAGTTCTATCGAGAGTGAATCCCAAAAGTTCCCCCCAAGTAGGAGCAGTCATCTCAACTGAAGGTATCACCACCCTTCAAACTCTTCCTCCCTAAGCAATTCCACCACTCCATGATCTGCAAAATCAACGCCCTCTTTCGCAATAAGCCAACGCCCTATCCACGGTTGCCCTCGTCCATGTCGCCTTCATCATCACCAGGCTCTTCAGCGCACGTACTACCACCACCACCGGCACCCAGTACCAGGTTAGCCATCTGTTGCCATTGCCTGGTCACAGATCTTTTGAATGAAACCCCTTGTTAACATTGGACCTCTTCATATCCTTGTGCTAGAGCTATTTGTGCTCCTACAAGTACTGCATAGTCTCCACATCGTGGTGCCCATCTGTTGATGTTTCTGTGTCGACGAAATAGCTGTAACAAAATTGAAGTTCAGGTTGATAGTATGTGGTATCTGCTCTCTCCGCCAGGCTAATTGGAGCAGCAATTTCCGTGGACTGCCATTGTCGCAAGGAGAACTGTAGCAAGCGCATTGTAGAAGTTGAAAGCAGAGCAGTACCGACAGCGCGACTTCAACTTTATTTCAGCCAGTTCCCGAGACAACTGGGCCCGCATTCAGCAGCGTCAGCGGGCTTGGGGAAGGGAGGGGAGAAGAAGACTTGTCGACATATAAGCACGTAGGTTGAGCACGTAGTAATGGAGTACAGTTGAACCTGGATTGAGCGGTAGGCCGTTTCACTCCGGTCCCCACCTTCTTGATCCTAAGGCGGCGTGCGCGGCCTGCCCTCGCGAATATGCGAAGCACACATTTCCATCTCTTTTGGACTGAAGCCACGGACGGTGACTCCAAGTTGAATGAAGCAGAAGACATGGAGCTGTGCAGCTTCGAATGGCTTTAGTGGCTTGAAGACCTGTTCTGGTAAGTATCCCGAAAAAAAAAAAGACCCATACTGCTCATTTGCACTTAACCTAATTAGGGCTGTGCAAGGCTGTGTTACTTATGTCATCCGTCGCCATATCGAACATTGATAAGACCTTTTTTGAAGTACATAACAGAGCCAATATCGTTATTGACTTTACAACGTGGAGGCCAGAATACAGACGGAGCTGCCTGCTGTCAAGGCGGTAGCTCGGGAATCCTAGGAGAAGCCCGCCATTTCGCTAATGGTCATGGCGGAGATCCCACAATCAACGTGATGATATCCGCCTCTTGATGCTCACTTCAAGACTAACCAATCATGGCTGAGGAACCTTGCTCCATTGGCTGGCTCCATTAGCCTTATCGCATCTGTCACAAGGCTCCGATGATGCTTCAACTAATGCCATTGCTAAGGTTGGTCAATGTGCACGGGTTTGCCGAATTCCGTTGGTTGATACCTGTGGCCTTCTTGTATTAGCCGATATATCGAGCACAAGGACAGAATTGACCATGTGGACCTTGTGCATTCTTTTCAAGATAAGGAGACCGTCTCCGGGAGAATCTAATTCCTGGTCTGGGGAGTAGCCCAGCCTTGCTAAAAGCAATCCGGGGCCGACGATTGAACCTTCGGATTTCCCGTCTCAGCCAAGTTCTCGACTGCGTTGATCGATATCAAATTACTTCCAAGTTGAGAAGGCACTGCATTTGTCTCGAAGTGCGGCTATAACTATATTCACGCATCGCCGCACGTTGCCTCGTTGCGAAGACACCCGGGCCTATCTCACCCACTCGAGTGTCTAAGCAGAACCCTTGACACATTGTCCAAAAATGAGTGTCGGATCTTTCCTTCGTCAACTTGATCGCCGGATCCAGACTCAAGAGAGCAGAATCCAGAAGAAGGAAGGGACGAGAAGATGGGGAAACGAAGATCTTGACCCGACCCCGTATACTTTACTCCCTGTCTATGACCACTATTATTACTGACCGGTTTTACAGGGTTCAGCAAAGAACATGGAGGCATTGGAATTACTTCATGTTCTTCTGGGCGGTTTCCTTCAACCCGAATCAATGGAACACGGGTTCAAGTCTGGTCAATCAGGGATTGGTGAGTCCTCGGCAAATGACCACTCTATGTAATCAGCTGACGATAAAAAGAAATGGTGGCAAGCACTTCTCTCCATCGCCGTGGGAAACTTGCTCTGTTCTATCGTCTTGGTCATTCAATCCCGCGGACCCGCTGTTTACCACATTGGATATCCCGTTTTTGTGCGCGCCAGTGCTGGCATGTTTGGATCTTTGTGGTTCATTTTCCTCCGTGGTTGCGTCGCCATCATTTACTTTGCAACTCAGACCTTTTATGCGGGAAAATTGTTTGACGTGATGCTTCGATGCGCATTTGGCCACAACTGGCAAGACATTCCCAACCACCTCCCTGAGAGTGCTGGCATCACTACCAGAGGCCTTGCTGCCTTTTTCCTCTACTGGGCCGTACAGCTGCCCTTCATGTTAATCCACCCACAACGCGCCAAGTGGCTCTACACAATCAAGAGTACAATCGCTCCTCCCGTGCTCATCGCGGTTTTTGGATATGTGGTGGGCAAAAATCGAGGCTTGACAGGTTCAACGCAAATCACGAAAACCTCGACGACTAGCGCCCTTGGTTGGGCATTCATGAACGGCATCAACTCTGTTTGTGGAAGCATCTCGCCCGAGATCATGTCGAATGCGGATCTGGCCAGATACGCTCGCAAGCCCTCGGACGCTGCTTGGGCGCAAGCCGTGGGTATCTTCACTAGCAAAACCTTCGTCATCTTCATGGGCATTGCCTGTTCAAGCGCCTCATTGAACCTCTGGGGGACAGCATATTGGAACATGTGGGATCTCCTCGGGGCTATTTTGGATCACAATTGGAATGCCGGGGCGCGAACAGCCGTCTTTCTGGTCTGTCTCATCCAGGCCCTGGCCGTGATGGCGACCAATTTGGCGTCAAATTGTCTGCCCGTGGGCGCTGACTTAACTGGGCTGTTTCCTAAGTATTTCAAGTAAGTTTGGCGTGGTAAATGCTTTAGATGACTTGCTGACGGCTATGTGACAGTATTCCGCGTGGCCAAGTCTTCTGCGCAGTCATCAGCCTGGCCGTTGTCCCTTGGAAACTTCAGGCGTCGGCACAGACCTTCCTGACCTTTCTGGGATCCTATGTCGTCTTCATTGCACCTGTGATTGCCATAATGATGTAAGTTTTCTTTTTGAGAATCATATCGGAGACGATTTCCCATTCTGATTGTGAGTCTAGTGTCGATTACTGGGTCGTTCGCAAGGGCAACATCCACGTGCCGTCTCTATACGATGACGGCTCTGACGGGCCTTACTTCTACTGGAAAGGATTCAACCTACGTATGTTTGCGGCTTGGGTGGCTGGAGTCGTCATCGTCATCCACGGGCTCGCAGGAGCCTACAATCCCCATTTCAGCCAGGCCAGCAAGGACATGTACACGATGGGATTCATCTTGGCATCTTTGACCGGCGCGTTGGTATACTATATCTTGGTCCGCATCTGGCCGATAAAGCCGTACCCTGCAGACCGTGACGGGATGCCGATGACCCTGGAATACCTTGGCCAGACGAGCGGACATTTTGAGGAGGACGTTATCGACGGCGTGCCCGGGCACCAGAAAGAAGAGTTTGGCGAAAAGACGCCGCCAAAGGAGAAAGACGTGACACAGACTTTCACTACGTTGGCCTGAAAATGTTTGTAGCTACTCATCACGACTTGGGCCCACAGCACGCCCTTCAGAGAGTCGATGGTGGGGACTCTTGATCTATTCATGCTGAACATAGATGTGTATTTGAATCGCTTAGAGTAAGCATTCTACAGCTTGCAGATATGCTGCCCAGATCGGATCCCTGAAGATTACATGTCACAAACATTTCTGAGGAGTCGTGGGAATCCCATTCAACATTCTGTCACTGCAATTGCCCTAGCATATTATCTGCTGGCAACCACGATATAGATCCTCGTAATGTATTGTTTCCTTGATCTGCCCTGTAGAAGCAACTGCAAATCCCGTTGGCCTGGTGCACTGCTGAGTCTGCCTCGGTCGGGGCTGGATTCGATGCATAGGAGAGCGCACCGGCACCCGTTAATAATTGGAAGCATCGGCATCTCCTAAAACCAATAGGAATTTGCCGAACGGGAAGCTTGTCATGTGGTGGAGATGCTGGACTCGCTTAGGGTCAATTTCGGCAGTGCCGATGCCATGCAAAAGGTCAGATACGTACTGAGTATCGCTTCGGAAAATGCGAGGTGCTTTTCTCAGACGTCAGCTAGCATTCATGAAGACCAAAGCGGCCGCTGTGACGGCCAAGAGCGTGCGCTGCAGAGCCAATGGATCAATTTCATCGTGGTCCACGGGGAAGAAGTGGATAAAAGGGATGTGGTTTCTTTCTGTCATGAGTTTGCAAGACTCGCGACGCTGGAGACCACCAACTGCAACGCTTCCACAGCCCCCCTTGCAATAATTCGTTCGGCTTTTTGCAGATCAGTTCTCGCATGCAGCGAGAGTGATCAAGGATGGCCCTTTGTGGATGTCGGAAACTGGAATTGACAGCTTTATGCACTCTTAATACCTCTTCGCATCCGTCGCCCGCTTGGTCTTCACACTGACGCAATTCCCACAGACATAGGCGTTGACAACGAATATGACCGAGTCTGTCTCTGAGAGTGATTCCAAAGAGTACCACGACCTTAAAGCGACTGTTCAAGCTACCACCGATTCCGAGATCAAGTCCCTACCCGTCACCGTTGCCGGCAATGGGACCACAAAAGCGAGCGACGCAACGCCTGGGGGAAACTCGTCACAGGTCGAACTCACGGATCAAACTCAAAGGCTCCCTTTTGCAAGGCTGATCGTCGTCTACTTGTGTCTTGCCATGTGCTTCTTTGTCTCTTTCCTGGATGTCAACTCGACGACGACTGCATTGCCAGCGATTGCTCGTTCATTGGGAATTTCTAGCACCATTACCTGGGTCGGTACGTCCTATCTGCTGGCGCAGTGCGCCTTTCAGGTGCTATACGGCCGGCTGGCAGATATATTTGGGCGGAAGCCCGTGTTGATCGGCTGCGTGCTCAGCTTGATCATTGGCGATATCCTATGCGGATTTGCCAAGAATGGTCCCTGGCTGTACACCTGTCGAGCGATTGGAGGCATTGGAGGCGGAGGGATTAGCTCTCTGGTTCAGATCACCGTCAGCGACCTTGTCTCCCTGAAGGAGCGAGGCAAATATCAGGGCATGTTAAGCGGAGCCATCGGGCTGGGGGCTGGAGCCGGGCCCTTTACGTCCGGTGCATTGGTCCAGGGCCACGATGGACGATGGCCTTGGGCCTTCTGGGTTCCTGCCATACTGGCATCGCTGTGCATCCCACCGTTGGTGGTTCTTCTCCCCCAAAAATCGGTGGTTGGGAGCTGGAAGGAAAAGGTGCGCAAGGTGGACTGGATGGGTCTTTTTACTGCAGTGACAGGGGTATTATTCGTTTTGGTATGATCTTTTCGCCTTTTTCGCTGTCAAACTTCCTCTGGCTCGAATTCGAGTAGTTGGTATTGCTTACTAGCTGACCCATGTCCTTTTGCTTTTGCTCGCAGATCCCCGTGAACTCCGGAGGGAGTGTTTTCCCATGGCACGGCTCGATCGTCATTGCATTGCTGACAGTGGGATCGGTGTTGACCGTCTTTTTCTGCCTAGTCGAATGGAAGCTAACGCGGCTGCCGATGATGCCGCTTCGGTTATACTCGTCGCTGTCCCGGAGCACGCTCTTCTCGCAGAACTTCCTTTTCGGATTTGTATGGCAGGCAGACCTCTACTTCCTGCCCATCTATTATCAAGACGTTCGAGGTTTTGCCCCGCTCAAATCGGCCTATCTGTCGTTGCCGCTACTTCTCGCGCAGAGTCTCGGCGGAGTGCTCTCGGCCCCGGCCATGACTTTTACCGAACGGTCTGTACAATACTTTCACGAGAAAGCATTTTACCCTGAGGGCTGTGCGTATCTAACGTAGCATGCCATTTCAGGTACATGCCAGTCCTTTGGCTAGGATTCGTGCTCTGGACAGTCGGAGCAGGGTTGAAGTTGCTATTTTCCCGCACCACTGCTATCGGCGTGTACGTGGTGGCTGCCCTTGTCGAAGGGGCAGGCGTTGGGTTCGTTTTCCAACCCTGTGAGTTAAAGTATATCTTAACCTCTGTTTCACTCTCTTCACATACCTGTGACCGATGACATCGGCCGGTCGCTAATGCCACAATCTGGGGCCACAGCTCTCGTGGCTTTACAAGCGCTTTCGACAAAAGCTGACGTCGCCGTCACCACCTCGACACGAAATTGGATCAGAGCACTGGGCTCTGCAGTTGGAGTGGCCGTGTCAACGGCCGTTCAGTACGCCGTGACGATCAGCTCGCTGCCATCCGATCTGCCCCCCGACATTGCCTCGGCGGTCAAAGCCGGGACCTGGACTGCCGACGGCGGAGTGCCCGCGTGGAAGAATGCTGTGCTTGATGCTAAGATGAGAGGCATCAACCGAGTCTTTGTCACTTTCTTACCTCTGATCGGCCTCTGTCTCGTGGGATGTTTGTGGATCCGCGACGTCCCTCTGCGTGGGGATGACGAGGATGACAAGCAGACGAATCAAAAGCGACTGATCTCGAGGTACAACGAACTGATAGAAATGACGCGGAGAACAAAAAGGGGCTGATTATGGATGAGGATTCATTAAAATGCTTATTGTCGTTGGCTGGTTCCTTGCTCGCACCATTTCTGAAAGGGAATGGCTGCACGGCGGGCGGGAGGCTTGGCCGAAACATGGTTGAGCTCGATAGCTGGGGCATCGAATGTAGTTGGACGAGGCTGAATGATTGAATTCTGGGAGCTTCTGCTTGATGATGTAGTGGGCAAGGCTAGTTGGGTCTAAATATGTGGCATGGAAGCAAACAGCAGGTAAATGGAGATCTTCTGCATTTGCCAAGAATTCGTGTCTTGGCGCCAAGATCGCTCCCTAGTGGGAGGGGAAAGGGGAATATCCGGAGATTGTACGAACGAGGGAGCAGTATTAATATCTTACACTTTTGCCGTTTCAGGGAAGACAAATGCCAGGTCATTGATCTCCCTTATTTGACTAGCTTGTAGGCCCTTCTAGATTTCCTCGGCGGATCGAGCCAAAATGGAAGTGTGTCGAGCGCCAGCGGCCATATTCTGCTGGAGAGCCCAAACTTGGAATCCATTCATCCATCTATTTTCAAAAGTCTCATGTTGAGATAGAGAAGAATCTAGTAAATGAGAGCCAACATATCGAAATCTAATCGAAATGTGCATACCATTTTCTTTGCCATCAAGTTGTGCTCGAAGAATGAACGCCTTTTTAGATACGCTTTTACACACTCTTTAGACTGTTGTTCCTCACGGCTTGAACTTCTACTTTCTTCAAAGTGTCCGCCAAGTTCACTTTGCCTCCGTCCGTGACCATGGGCGGGCCTTGGTAGCCCTTCCGCGCCCCCAGGAACCACCACGCGGCGACGAAGATGGTGAATCCACCCCAGATAAGACAGGCGTAGTTCATGGTCTGCGCGTTCGTCGGGAGGTAATACGGAAAACAGTAGATGACGAACCAAACGATCATGTACGCGCAGGCGATGAAGTTGAAGATAAATCCCAGGGCCCCTTTCAGGTGAAACGGACCGTAGACTTCGATGTTGCGGCGCTTGGTCAGGAGATGGGGCAGAATCGCGGCGACGTAGGCTGTGACGAGGCATTAGCATCTGCAAGACCATATTGTAGGAGGCAATGCCATTGATCCAGACAAGGGTTCTCGCACTGCCACTGCAGGAATTTTTGGTCAAATTGACTTACAGGAGCTTGACAATAGCACGAACGACCCGACAAAAGCATTGAACGCGGTGGTGCTGCCGACATAGATGGCCCCAAGGATTGTGACTAAGATGGCAGAGACGATAGTTGCGTTGAATGGCATGCCGAGTCTGTCAGATACTCTGCTCAATATCTTTGGGAAGGGTGTGGCCCCGTCTCGAGAGAGAGCCCATAGCGTCCGGCCACAAGTGATGTAAAGGCCACACACGCAGATGCCAATGCAGATGAGGACGAGCGTCAAGAGACCGATGGCGCCGCTTGCAGAGCCAGTGGCTTGACGGTAGATCTCGGCGATCGGGTAGGGGGAGTTGAAAAGGGCATCGTAGTCATTAATCGCGTACAGGATGGCAATCAGGTAGGCAAAGCCGGTGATGAAGCCGATGCTCATCTGGCAAGCGATGGCGATAGGCACATTCCGTTGAGGATAAGGGATTTCCTCCGCAAGATGACTAATTCAGCGTTAATATTCCGTTGTACGGAGTCCCCTTCAGGGCAGTCTGACCTTGTGGTGTCCGGAGTGCCCACGCTGAAAGCGCCGTTGAGCATGCCTGCAACAAAGACAAACTATAAATAGAGTCCAAATCAGTATTTGAAGCAGTCTTGTGTTGCGGCTGGCAAAACTCACCCCATTCGGATACCCAATGTCGGCAGTCCACTCAGTCCAAACAAATGACGAAGACGCGTGTCCAGGTCGGCCATCCCGGCCTGGCATAACCGTTCTGGGAAATTCAGTGTCCGCCTTTCAAGGGATATTGTCGCATAATAGATGATACCTACACTACAATAATGGTGATGAGGAATCCGGCAAGAATGAAGAAGATGCCGACACTGTTTAGACGAGGCATAGCCGAGTTGAATAGACACACGATCGGACACGCGATCCAGGTGACGATGATATAGGTGACGAAGACGTGCCATGGCTTAGAAACGAAATCTGGATGCTTCAGGGCATACCTGTTGCTTGTTAGAACGGTTATCAATCCTGCATACTGAGGGTCCTCACATTTGGACGACCGTGTTAGACTGCCATGCTCGAAGGTTAGCAGAGGTTGCCTCCTCCTTGCTCGAGCCTACTCACGAAAATAGATGTCATCGACGCGGCACCTAGAATCCAGGCAAGGCAATTCCACCAGCCAGCGAAGAACCCAATGGGACGGCCCCATCGCTTCCCCGGAGTGATCGACGCCCATTGATAGACGCCAGCGGAGGATGGAATGGCAGATGCAAGCTCGGCAATGCATGCGGCCACAATCCAATAGAAGACAGAAACGACAAGGAACTCATAGAGCACTCCTGGAAAATATGTTAGCCACAACTCATGCCCACTCACTAGAGGCGCACACACCCGGTGGACCGCCATTGAAGATAGCTACGAGAATCGAGCCTCCGATGGCTGGCCAGACGTTCCCAACGACAAGCCCGACACCGGCGAGGGATACGAGACTGAAATTTCGTGACAACTCTTGAGCATGACCTGAGGCGTTGATGAAATTTCCCGACTCCGAAGGCTCGGGCTCTGTCGCGACCTCTGGGACTTCGTTCTTGTCGGCCATCTCGGAGACCAGCGCAAGAGGCAGAACAGTCAAAACAGGAATAAGACAACAACAACAACGACGACAGAAGAATCGACAAAGAGAAGAGAAATGATGAAGAGAGTGACAGTCAGAATGACTACCTCGTGGAAGGCGTAGAAAAATCTCCCATCGGCGAATGAACGCGGATTGGTGACAGGTGTAGCATCTCTCCGCAATGCTGTCGAGACTTCGTGGTCCCCAGGGTCTCGAGCTAGAATGCTCGCCGTGCCACCGAGGGATCCTTTACAATTGCTTGCTGGTGGAGCTGTGGACAGGATGGACAGGGAGGATGCTCAGGCACGGCAAATTGTTGGCCGGATAAGTCCGCGCTCCACCCGCCAAGCCGAGGAGAAGCTGCCCGCTCGGGCAAGGACGCCCAGAGGGGCGGGGCCTGCCAAGCTATAGTGGGTCTTTCCCGCTCTAATTTGTTTAAATTTTTTTCTCACTCTTCAGGGTGCCTTTGGTGCTTTCCTCTGAGCAATCCATGTGTCAACAGAATCATATTCTGCGACCCAGCTATCGGAGTGTTACCAAATCAATCTTTTGCTCCAGTTCCTCAATCAAGTGGTCAGTCCCCAGCAAGATATAACTGATTCGCTCGGCTGGGTCCCGCCAGCCATGCTTCACGTACACGAGAGACTCCAGCTCCCAAGAACCGTTATCAATGTCTCCATCTATTGGACTATTGTAGGATCTGTTCCTGAAAACTGTCAAAGTATGGAGTACTGTACCATGTGGCAAGTGGCGAACACCTGGTTCATGAGAAAGTTTCACCTCCAAAGCTTCCAGCTAGCTAGCGCAGCAACCACCTTGGTCGCATGCCATGCTGTCCATCCTTGCCGTGCTGGACATGCTTCAAATCACAGAGTTTGAGGCTCTCGGCAGCATCCCTCCCGAAACACTATACCGGTGGGATTCTTCTTGGCCATACCAGTCCAGCATCAATTTTGAAGGACCGAAAACCCCCCTATTCCCACTTCCCACCATTGCTCGTGGGTTCCGCACCGAGTTCGACAACGCTCCACCTGCTGTCTGGGCTAGATACGACACTGCAGCATCCCTTCTGGACTCAGTGGACTGATATCTCGCTGTCAACTCGGCGCTAGAAAATCAAGAACCCCTCAAAAAGTTACGTTATCCAAACATGATAGGGCACATGGAACTCCTTTCCCCAGGGGAATCTTGTTGTTCCTTCATTTTTCAATCAAGATCGTCATCATCTATCCCTTGACATTCCTCTACCATAGCACTTCTCTGGAAGACAGCAGCTATGTCGACGAATCCCAATCCTGGGTTCAAGCCAGAATCATGGAGTTTGTATAGCGTCGGCGCATTCCTCGTCGTCCTGCGACTGTCCGTATCCATAAACCCCGCGATCACCATGCAGGAATATGTCTCTGACGTACTTCGAACAGGGTCGGCAGGATCAAACGGGTGGGCATCAGACACCTCGAAATCGATGATGCCCTTATAACCTTTGGTTTCGTGGCCTACACGATACTTGTGGTAGCCTTTAATGAAATGCTGGATGGCCCAGGATCCAATTTGATGACGCCTGAGGAGGAAGCTGCGCTTACACCCGAGATCAAAGAAGGGCGCATCCGGGGCAGCAAATGGGTCTTCGTTTCTGAGCATGCGGAACTTCTCACAATTTGGAGCATGAAGGCTGGTGAGTCCAGGGCCCCTCTTTCTTTTTAGACTGGCCATTGTGATCGACTCCATCAGTATTGCTACAGGCTGACAGATATCTAGCCATGTTGGTTCTATATGCAAAGTTGATCGACAAAACTCGGCAACGCAAACTGCTCTGGGCGGTCGTGACATGGGTGTGCTGCGCTTTCGTTGGGGATGAACTGGCCCTCTTCACCATATGCCGGCCTCTGTCGCAATATTGGGCTGTTCCACCTCAAAATTGTGAGTGTCAAAGTCCTTCTCGCGATAGCCAGCCGCGCTAACGCAGGCAAAAGCCCAGTGCTCTACCTATCAATACTACCAGATCGTCAACGCCGTCTTCAACATTTCTACGGACATCTTGATCATGCTCATGGGTATCCCTCCGGTCTTGTCCGCTCGCCTCTCGCTTCAGCAAAAATTTATACTCGGCATTATCTTCGGGATGGGTGGCTTCGTCATTGTCGCCGCCATTCTGAGGGCGATCTACTGCTTAGTCCCGTCGTTAATTTCTTACGTCTATATGAACTGGTACTTCCGCGAAGCCTCCGTATCTATCTATGTGACCACTCTCCCTGGAATATGGGTGTTCCTGAAAGAGATGTTCCCGATCATCCAAAGACTCACAAGCCGGCCCGCTACGAAACCTACCAATTCACGAACTGGGGATAACCACAAACAGAACTCTTACTGGAATGAGCCTAGCAGACATAATCGCAGCCAGTTCGATGCTAAAGATCTGGATTTTGACTTGGACACATATCCGATCAGCAAGTCCATGATCACGACGGCAGAGACTGATCTCGGCAGTCATGGGGTCGGCCATGGCGACAGCGGACATGGGGATGCTGATTCGACGAGCTCCACGCGATATGAAGCCGGGCTAAACGAGATCAGATGCGATACGACGTTTACAGTTGAGAGCATTCCCAGGGGTCGACCTTGAGTGAGGCACAGAGTGCCGGAGAAAGGGGCCTTGTACGAACAAGATCTCCCGTCGGTAACAGCAGCTTTCTTACACGAAAGCCGGAACACTTCAGACATTCTCGAACAGTGTTATGATCATGTTTTGTTATTTGCAGGATCGGCGCCATGTATAAATGTTAGACGTACCGAAGTGAGGGAGGCCTTTTGTTTTGATCATGATAGACTACGGAATAGTACCAATGTATGTTAGGAATGAGAGTGGTGTCAGTAACCACCAGTGTTGATGCAGACAGGGAAAGACAGGCGACGATGCTGCGAAGCAATGATCACGTGTTTCTACAGGAGACCGAATGTTTTTTGTCAATTTGGTGGGCCTGAAACTGCTTCCCCTTCTGTTTGTTTCTTGAAAACGGGACTTTTACTGGTAAAGATGCAATCCTGCAGCCCACTGATGACGAAAAGCCGTATTCCGTCAGCGCGCAGCAAAACGCACGCAGGTGCAATACGGCACCGTTGCACGGCAGGGCTGAGGTGAGGCTGTGCATATTTTTAAAGCTGCCTGGCCTCACTCGGCTGTTTAAAGCGCCCATCATCATTTCTCGACAAGTCTCTATCTTTCTTGCCTGGAACAAGGCACGGGTTATTGCACACTTGTCCCGCTCTCCGACCACTGTGCAATGGTGTCTTTTTCCATCTTACAGTAATATGCACAGGTACTCCCCAGCAAGACGGCGGCGCAGTCCTTTCGCGTTTACTGTTCCCCGGTGGGCAATCTGAGTAATTGAATCGGATAGCAAATGAAGTCAGGTCTATCTCTTGCAGACCTGCGTTCATATGACATCTCGAGCCATGTTTCGGTTTGCAAGCGCCATCCCAACTCTTAGGGGAGGGACGAATGCTCCGGCAGGGAGCCGCGCAAGCCCTTCGGGAGAAGCAGAGGACCAGGTGCCCCCGTTAAATACATTCTCTCCATCAAGCAGCAATCACGACACGACTCCCATACAGAATATCCCTCCTTGGGTTAGAGAGTTGAACAACGCACGAGCCACCAGGCACAGTCGAGCCTCGTCGATCGTCTCCACCCAATCCAAGTTCACCACGACGACTCTGCAAGAAGACGCCCGCAGCATCGACATCAATGTAGGCGGACAGTATTTTCGGATCAGCCGGGATGGTTCACGAATTACCGCTGATGCTCCACCGCCGTACACTGCGCCGGACGAAACGATACGATTTCGAGGGGACCGAACAAGCGATGTTGTGAGCTTAGACAGTCGAATTGAAGGGGATGCCCAAGACGTCGAGGATGACAATCTGGAGGACGGGGCAGTCACCCCGAGGTCTACATTCACGGCCATCGATCATGATCCTGGTGTACGGGCCAATATACTCGATCCGACAGAGTTTGAAATGCCCTCACCAGTGGGATATGATCACCACCGCCACCGCTCATCATCGGCCACCCTAGTCAGCGGTGAACGCAGGGTAGGTTTTGCCGGCGAACTTGGCCGAAGTCTGTCCCATGAGGAGGAGGCGGAAAATTTGCCAGGTCCAAGTCCAGGCGACCGCGGAAGGGGGGTGGCCTCAGAAGATCTCATATTTGCCAGGGCGGGTCAGATGCCTGAATCGTCACAATTGAGAAGGACGTACAGGGTGCGCCTGCCTCGTCTTATTACATCTAGCGAGATTTCACGGGGAGCTCGACGACGTCAGTATTGGCAACAGCAATCAAATACTTCGCCAGGGCACCCACTTCAAGTTCAATCTGCAGGTGCAATTCTAGGTGACATGCCCGACAATCGTGAACCACGATCTCCTGATTATATTGGGAGAAACGCATGTGGAAGGTTTCCGTTTCCGGTCAAGGCAGCCACGACTCAGAATGCCAGTGCTCTAAGTAGCAGCGAATCGTCGGCGAGAACGGGGAAGTCGCTCGAGATGAGCGAGACGCCGGAGGAGAGCGACACACCTCTCCCTATGGATAGTGAGAACGACATCTCTCTCCATTACGCGCGAATGATGCGGAAATTGGACTCTTCGCATCGTAAGGCGCTACTCTTTAAGGACAGGCAACTGGCAGAGCTCCGGGAGAAATTGAATGAAAAGGATATTGTGTTGAGACAGCAGCTACGAGCGAAAGATTTCATCATTGACGATCTAAAGAAAAGGCTGAGCAATCTGGAGGAGAACGTGGAGGTGATGTTGGAAAAGGCCCGACATCAGGTGGAGGACTTGTGGGAATCACGATGGAAAGACCGCGACTTTCATCTGCGGGAGCGCATGAGACGGATTGAGGAAGAAGCCCAGAAGACGATCGAAAGAGTCCGCGTTTGTCAAGGACAGTCCGAGCAGGGCCCGAAAAGTATCGAGTAGAGTAACGGCCTATGCCAGCGCTACGGAGGGCAAAGACTTGACGAGTGATACGAGCGTAGGAGGCGGATAAGCTTCCTTTTTGCCGGGGTTCGTGGAGGATGGATGTATGACTTGCGACGTCTAGCTACTACAAGTAATGAGGCAAGATATGATATACGAGTAATATGAGATATCTGTTGGATTGTGTAGCTACTTAGTTCAATTCGCCTCCGCGGTTCGCCGGATCAGCCATTATTCGGGCGGAAGGGCTTCGAGCTGCGAGGCTTCAGCAGCCCGCTGCGACCCCGCTGGTTCTCTGCAAGTGTTGGATGTCTTGGTTGAATGGTAGTGGTGGTGGGGTGCGATGGGGGGGGCCTGGAGATGAAGGAGAGCCTGGTGCCTGATGCCTAACGCTTCATGCCCGGTGCTTAGTGCCCCTCCCTAACCCTCCCCCCCGGGGACGCGCCTAGGCTACGAGGACTCACTAGCCCAAGTCATTGGTTGATTGCACTTTAGGCATGGCACCCGCCAACCAGAACACGGGTATCGCCGCCAAAAACAATCACTGGTGACTTCATTCCATCCCCAGTCAATTGTTCTCGCAGCTTCTCGCCCCACGCAGTTTTCCTCAACACTTGCTTGCCATACAACAAAAACCCTGATGGTGCAAAGCCCTCAACAACATCTGGCCTTTCCAACTTCCAAGTGTCTTTTCTGTCAATACCGGTGTCAATTGTGTAATGAGTCTTCTTCGTTAGTCCTGTACTCTTATCTGATTCATCCATTTTGGCATCTACCCTCCCATCTGGTCCTCCATCTTGACCTCAGGTCCCCCAATCAGCCTGTTTCCGTGTATGGGCCGACTCACTCCACCTTCGTTCGACGGATTCTGTCGCTGAATCGAGCGACCCTCCTCGTTGCCTCCCGTGTTCTCCCTTGAAAAATTTCACCCGCATAGCTGAAAGACATGCCGTCTCAAGCTGGATCGTCGAAGGAAGCTCTGCCCCGGGCTCCTCAACGAGGGCGAGGCAAGAAGAAGGGCAACCAGCTGCAAATACCATGGCTGTATGATCTAGTTCTATGGGCACTCTCTATCCTGATAGACCTCTTCTTTCGCGAAGTCCATCCCAGGGGAGCCTGGAAGGTCCCAAAAACAGGCCCTGTCATTCTCGTGGCAGCACCACATGCCAACCAGGTATACAGCAACCAGTTTGTCTCATTGGCGGCAGTACTAACAATATACTATAGTTCGTTGATTCACTGATTCTGATGCGGATCCTCAAGCGCGAGGCCAAGAGAAGGATTTCATATCTGGTTGCTGAGAAGTCGACGAAACGCAAGTTCATTGGTACTCTGTCCACAGCGATAGGGGCGATTCCCGTGGGCCGAGCCCTGGACAAAGTGAAATCGGCGAAGGGCAAAATATTCCTTCCAGATCAAGATAACGACCCTACCCTCATTCAAGGTGTTGGGACCGACTTCACAAAGGGCGATTTCGAGGTAGGGGGTTTGATTGTCCTACCCAAAGTCAGGGGCCAAACTCCCAGCACCGAAATCGCAGAGATCATCTCCCCTACCGAACTTCGGCTCAAGAAACCCTTTAAGACGCCAGAAGCGTTGGAGTCTTTGACCAGTACTGGCACCGTAGGTGGGGAGACAAACGAACAGCAGATTGAGTCTCGTGGCTGCTCATTCAAAGTTGCTCCATATGTGGACCAAACCAAAGTCTACAACGCGGTCTTTGACGAGCTCGACGCCGGTGGCTGTATTGGCATCTTCCCGGAAGGTGGTAGTCATGACCGACCCGATCTCCTCCCTCTGAAAGCAGGCGTTGCCATCATGGCTTTAGGAGCAGAAGCCCGACATCCCGGCTGCGGCGTCAAGATCATTCCAATTGGCATGAATTATTTCCATGCTCACAAGTTCCGATCGAGGGCCGTCATTGAGTTTGGTCATCCCATTGAATGTCATCCTGAGCAAGTTGAAGCGTACAAAGCGGGCGACCGGAGAAACGCGGTTGGCTCACTTCTGGAGACAGTCTTTCAGGGGTTGGTTGCCGTCACACAATCAAGTCCTGACTACGACACCTTGATGTTGGTGCAAGCGGCTCGCCGACTATACAATCCCCTGGGGAAGAAACTGCCTCTGCCGCTGGTGGTGGAGTTAAACAGACGTCTAGTCAAAGGCTATACTACGTACAAGGATCACCCACGCGTTGTCGAACTCAAAAAAGACGTACTCCAGTACAATCGCCAACTTCGCGCACTTGGTGTTCGGGACCATCAAGTGGAATGGGGTAACCCTGCCAAACATCCGTGGTGGCACATCCTTGGGACGCTGATCTACCGACTGGGGGAGCTCTTTTTCCTGGGCATCGGAACTCTTCCCGGGCTGGCCATGTTTTGGCCTGTCTTTGTTACCACCAAAGTCATATCTTATCGAAAATCCAAGGAAGCTCTTGCGGCGTCCACGGTGAAACTGCAGGGTCGGGATGTCATTACCACTTGGAAATTGCTCGTGGCTATGGCGTTCGCTCCGGCGCTCTACGCTTACTATACCATCATTGTGTCCCTGTGGCTGGTCTACAACCGGCGAGATGGATACTACACTTACAAAGTCCCATCGTGGATGGTGGCCCGGACCTATGTGCCTGATTTTGTCCCGGTCTGGCTTTTTGCCATTCTCTTTTTGATTTTGTGTATCCTCCTCACATTTGCTGCTCTCAGGATTGGGGAGATAGGGATGGATGTGGTGAAGTCGTTGCCGCCACTGTTTGTTGCGCTGAATCCACGCTCCTCAAGCCGATTTGCGAAGCTGCGACAGCGCCGCCAGGCCTTGTCCGAAAAGGTGACGAGAGTGATTAATGAATTGGGACCCGAGGTCTTCCCCGACTTCGACGCTGCTCGAATTGTGCCGGATGCGTATAGAGAAGGAGCCTACCAATCCAAATACAAAAAGATGCCGGACGAACCCAGAATGGACTCAACCGAGCCAACGACACCGACTTCTGGTGCTTTCGAAGAGCGAACCGCCGAGTCGCCCGGGTCGAGATCATTGTTACCATTCGGGTTTCTGCCCTCGAACGAAGCCTTTCATAATATTGGGGGATTTGGTTTCTTTGCGTCACGACCCACGACACCCAAGAGTCGCAGCAGGAGTAGTTCTGCTGGCGGAGCACTTGCCTCAGCCACCAACCTGAAGTTCACCACGCTCGACCATGATGAAGTTAGCAAGCGAATTCGTGGGGCAATGCGTGAACGAGGCCGGAAGCGCGAAAGCGAGGGAGCGGAAACGGGTACGGAAAGCAGCTGGGACATGGCTGATGACGAACGCATGACTCCAACGACCGAGGATGAGGAAACGAAGAAGGACCGATGATGATAACGACGATGTCGAGGTTGAACAGGAGCCATGACAGTGATCATGAGGCGAATGAACAGCCATATAATGAGCCCGCGCAAAACAAGCCACTGGAACGAGAAATTTGTGTCGTTTCAGCCTTCTATTTCTATATTCTGGACTGCACCTTGATACCCTTTGGTAGTTGCATAGGAAATGACTTTGTAGTAGGAAGCCCTATGTTAAGCCCATATTTTGGTTGAAAAATACTCGGTTCTCTCGAGGCGATTATCGTCGAGTGGCGGTGGGGGGCGACAGCTGGAAGGCTTGACCCTTCCTGAGGCTTCTCGCTTCTCGCTTCTCGCTTCTCGGCCCCCCCTCCCCAAGTTTGCATCATGCCAACAACAAACCACATGCGATCGGCCGTCGCAAACTTGCATGAGCACATCATCGACACCGCCAGGCAACATCCCTCTTTTTGCCATTGCCCATTGCCCTCTTCTACCTGCATTGCATCGCTGTTACACATGGGTTGTATCTAGCTTTACACAGCACGCCATGCTGCTACCAGCCATATCCAATCACCATTCCTTTTGAGTCATTGAATCCTGCGACCCTCGACCTGTTACATGCGCCCGATACATGCCACCCCCTCGCCCTTACCTCTGTACCACGAGACCTCGAACCTCGCTTCCTCCTGCTAGGGGAACGAACTATTTGACGAGTCGCTGCGGCTGCTGACATTGCTTCATCTCCTGGTTCTTCCCTCCAATTACAATAGAATCTGGCGGTCGCCTCTCGATAGCCGACACACTTCTCTGCCTAATCGCTCGCGATTCCGATTTTATAGATTCCTTTAACCAAAAATACCTCGAATCACCCGCTCCTCTGTTGTTCCTCCCTCTACAATGGCTCCCTTTCGGCTAGACGAGGGCTTCTCCGAAGATGCATCAAGTCAGGATGAGCATGGGCGCATGTCTGTGGCCACAGCTGCCCGCTTTCAAGAATGGGTCATGGCACAGAATGAGCAGGCCCGCGCCGAGATTGCATACGAAGTTTTACGGACACTACGGACCTCTAACATTGTGGCTGTGGTTGAAAGGCTGACGCCGCTCCTCCATATTGATCCGTTGGAGAAACTGCCCCCGGAGATCACGTCACAAATATTCTCCTATCTGGATGCCGAGACTCTGTTGACTGCGTCTCTGGCGTCAAAGACATGGAGGGCACGTATCATGGACACTATGCTGTGGCAAGACCTGTACAAGAAGGAGGGATGGGGTCTAGACACAAAGGAGATCAGGCAATTTGAGAGCGCACTCATGCGACAAGAGTTTAAAAAGGCAAGAGCGCAGCTGCCCGGTCAGCCCCAGCTGAAGAAGCGAGCAACCTCTGACTGGATGGAGTCAAGAGGGCGGAAAGTCTCTGCGGACGTATCTCAGTGGCGCGAGCAGCATGGGGTAATTGAGGCCGACACAGACATGCAATCCGAGTCGACCGATGACCAAGAGATGCAAGATGCTCCCAGTAGCATTCATAACTCTCCACAGCGGCCAAATAAGAGACATAGTCAAGACTCGGGCGATGAGATGGACTATTCGTCGGACGCGGTCAATGGTGATGATGCTCGGTCGGCGAGCAGAGCCGTCCACTCCCTCGACCCTCCGATCAAGTCGCGGCTTGTCACCTATGATAGCAATGGGGAGGAGAAAGTGAACTGGACTCATCTGTACAAGCAGCGCCAGAAATTGGAACAGAATTGGACCAAGGGTCGATATACAACGTTCCAACTACCTCACCCCTCATATCCTCAGGAAGCACATACCGAGTGTGTCTACACCATCCAATTTTATGGGAAGTGGTTGGTAAGTGGCAGTCGGGACAAGACGTTGCGAATTTGGGATCTCGAGACCCGTCGGCTAAAGGGGAAGCCTCTAACTGGCCACTCTCAATCCGTTCTATGTCTCCAATTCGACCCAACAGAGAAAGAAGATGTCATAATATCCGGCAGCAGCGACGCCAGCGTCATCATCTGGCGATTCTCAACGGGCCAGAAGATCCACGAAATCCCGTCTGCGCATGAAGAATCCGTTCTCAACTTGAGATTCGATCATCGGTATTTGGTCACCTGTTCCAAAGATCGACGCATCAAAATTTGGAACAGAAAGACCTTGGCCGTTACGGATAAAGACTATCCTGAAATTAGACGCGACAGCCAGGCACGGGTGCCATCATACATCGTTAACACGGCGGACATGGAGCCATCTCTCCTAGAAGCCAGGATCGCCAACGGCCAGATCCGAGCCTTGAAACCATACATGCTTCTGCTGACCCTCGAAGGGCACAGTGCCGCCGTCAACGCCATCCAGATCAATGGTGATCTCATCGTGTCTGCGTCCGGCGACAGGCTCATCAAAGTCTGGAATGCCAAGGACGGAAGGCTGCTGCGAACGTTACAGGGACATCAAAAGGGAATCGCTTGCGTCCAGTTTGACAGCAAACGAATCGTGAGTGGAAGTAGTGACAACACTGTCAGAATATATGACCCTTATACCAGCGCCGAGGTTGCAGAGCTCAAAGGGCACACTAATCTTGTGCGGACCGTGCAAGCTGGTTTTGGTGATCTACCGGGAAGTGACGAGGATGATCCGGCTAAAGCCAGAGAGGCTGAGAGAAAATACCTTGAAGACGTTGTGCATGGTGTTATTGTTGAAGATAGAGGACACAATCGGCGCCTCAGGGTTGGTCCTGCTGGAACGTCGCGGCTTGCGCTTGGCTCTAGGTTACCGCCCGGTGGAGGTGGCAGCAAATGGGGTCGGATCGTCTCAGGCTCGTACGACGAGACAATCATCATATGGCGTAAGAATTCTGCGGGCGATTGGGTTATCGGACAAATGTTGCGTCAAGAGCCGCCGTCCCAATACCAAGACACCAACTCTCGACCCCGACACAACGCTGCCGCTGGTCAAACTCCTGCGCAAAACCATCCGCCAGCAGCAATGCATCCTCCTCCTGCCGCGGGTCAGCTTGCAGCGTCGCTACCGCCTGAACCAATCCAACTGCCGCCTATCAGGAGCATACTGCAAGCCGAGCCTCCTCATCCTGCTTTTGCTACGGCATCGCAAATTGTCTCGCAAGCAATGGGGACATCGATCGCTGGTCTCGGCGCCGGCCTTTCCAACGTCATGAACATAGGGAGAGTGCTGAATGCATCGGTCGGCCCTGGTGCCCCGCGGAACGGTCTGAACCTCACTGGCGGCTTCAGCTCCAGCTCTACGATGAACGGGAACAGTGCGCAATCTCTGGCACAAGCTACAGCGGCGCAGGCTGTCTCTCAAATCGTGCAGAGTGCAATCATACAAGCACGGTCACAGCAAGCACAGAATCAGCAGTCGTCAAACGCCAATGTTGGACCACCGACGAATGGTCAACCCCATGCTCAGCAGCAACAACAACAGCAACAACAACAAAACCCGCTTCCACATCATCCTGCTCCTCCTCATCCCCCAGTAGGACCGTCGCCCGCAGCTGCTACAGCGCAACAACAGTTAGCTCAACAACAACAACCCCAACAACCACAGCCCCAGGCAAACCAAGCTCAGGCTCCAGGCAATAACCAAGTTGCCGCCGCCAATGCAGACGCCAATGCCACCAACGCTGCAAACCAATTACCCGTCTCTCGCGTGTTCAAATTGCAATTCGACGCCCGACAAATCGTGTGTTGCTCACAAGACAGCAGAATTGTCGGGTGGGACTTTGCCAACGACGATCCCGAGATTATTGAAGCCTGTAAATTTTTCGTTGGCCCTTAAGCGACAAAGAAGGATCCGATGAGGATCAAGGTGAAGAGTGCAGTCTCGTCTGGGGCAGCGTCAAGAGAGGAGTGCGGGCGATAACATATTATGAGAAGGATGAAGCGAGAAATGTTCAAAAGAGTGAGAGAAGGTATCCAAAAGGGGGAGAGCCGTATCAAAGCGGTCTCCTTCCCATTCCCGTCCAGTCAGAGCTTTCGATATAGCACAGCTCTGAAGCATAGCGTGCGACAGGGATTCTCTTCTGTGTTGGGGGAGGAGGAGGGGAAGGGGAAGGGGGGGGCGCTATGAGCAAACAGCAAGTCAGGCTTTTATCATTGAGGTGTGCGGAGTACTATGTGCTCTAAAAGCACATGTCAGTACTCGTACTCTGTCTATATCAAGATGAACCTTGTCCGTTCCGCCTCTTTCTCGTTTTGTCTTGCCTTGCCTTGTCTTGTTTTCCCTTTTCTTTCTTTTAGCTCTCTTTCGTTTCTTTTCCATGGAGGTGTGAGAGGCGATGGATGGGTGAGTGATAATAAACCTTCCTCACTCGCTCCCAGAGATGGAACTGGAACTGGAGCTGGAACTGGAACTGGAGCTGGAACTGGAACTGGAGCTGGAACTGGAACTGGAGCTGGAACTGGAACTGGAGCTGGAACTGGAACTGGAATTGGAATCAACGCCTCACTCAGTGGCGTGCCGCTGCTTACTTCCTTAGGGTATCTATCTTTTATCTTTATTCTTTCATCGTACTCTATCCTATCCTATCCTATCCTATCCTGCCTAGCCCCCGTCCCGTCGTGTCCTGGGATCCGTCTTTTTCTTGTGTGTTGGTATTAATATTGAGATTGATTTCTATTTGTACGAACGTACATGGATATGTAGGTAGCGAGGTAGGTGGAGGTATCCGGCTTGGGAGGGAGCGAATTTGGTATTTGGTACTCGCTGGTTGGTGCCTGATGCTTGAGGAACAACACACCATGGTATGACGGTCATGATCATGATGATGATGATGATAGTGCTGTATCGATGCAGCAACGCAGTGACGAGGAACGGACCCGAATGTACCTTCCTGACAAAACGTTGAGGATCAAGTAACCGGCTGGAAGAAGGTATGGGCCCCACCTCCCCAAACATGGGTCGAGGTTGAGCAGAGATCTCTATCTCCATCTCCATCTTGGGATCTAGAGCGAGCCGGACCATGGTTAGTCGCCGTTTGCGCTCTCGTCTCATTCCCTCTCCTTATCTGGCTCCGCCTTGGGCTTATAGGTTTTCAAGTATACCATTGCCGTCAGGAAGTATGCCCCTGGACCATTCCGGCAGCCTTCCTCGCTTTACTGACGCTTCCAGATTTCCCTCTCCTCTTCTCCTCCTCCCGACCCTCATTTTCCTGGGCAGCTCTCTGCTCGCGCCGCTTGCGCCACTGCCACTCCCAGAGCACGGGTAAAAAAGACCACAAATCAAACTCGGGCCACAGCACATCCAGAAACACAATCTGCGTCGACTCGTGGCATTGCCAGAGCATAAAGTCGCTGAGCCGCGACACTCCTGAGGTGCGGATGAGCAGGTCAATGGGCGGGCACTCGGACGTATATGTATGGGATGTGATGGTAGCCGGAGTGATTAATTCGGGGGAAGGATACTTTTCTTTCTGTCGCGAGGGTTTGTGTGACGTGGTTAGTGGTTGGAGGGGCGGTGAGAGAGATGTGGTGTCGTCTTGGTGTAGTGTTGTCGAGGTTGATACCGATGAGGCGTCGTGGTCGCGGTCAGATTGATCGGGCGAATATGATGACAAGCTCGTTGTGCTCGAAGAGGGCGACTGCATGTCCATCAGGGGTGGCGACAAATAGGTTCTCGTCGCTGTTGAATTTGATTTTTCTTGTTGGGAAAATTGTTCGGACCATATCGTACTGGCGATCCTCTCCTCCTTGAACGGGCTCCTCCTCCCCTTGCCATTGATGTCTTCTGGCAGCGGCGTTGTCCACTCCTCCACCGTGCTCCGAATTGCACTCGTGATTTCTTCTCTTGAGGTATACGGGAAACATACATTCAAGACGCAGTTTCCCTCATTCCTGCTTGTCATTTCGACCGCTTTGTCGACAGCCTCAAGGACATCCGGTTTGATCAGTTCTCGTTGACCCAGTATCCGTATCCTCGCACCATATCGGTCCAACAGCTCACCGTGTTGGACAAGCTGTTTTAGCTTGATTTTGGCCATGGACATCAGAGCGTCAACCTCGTATTTACTGCGTTTGAAGTTTTCGATGCTGAAGGCGTATATCGTTACAGTGTGTACACCAGATTTATAGCACACTTCTAGTATCTATCATCATGGTCTTGTCAGTGCTAGTTTGGTGCCTGCGACAAACGAAACCCATGTCAAAGAGAGGAAAAGGAGGCCAAGTTATATCATACTTTTGCCAGTGCCTCGAACCCCAAATTATGCCCCTCGACAGTCTCAATCCGGTTGTTCTTTGCATATCGTCTATTCCCATCCATGACAAAGGCAACATGTCTTGGCACAGGGCCCTGGCGGAGAGCACCGATTAAGAGCTCGCGGAGTTGATTGAGGGCCCATTCTGCAGGCGGGGAGGAGAGAAGCCACTGGCGAAGATGGGACATATGACGGTATGGCATGGTAGCGGCGGCGGCAGCGGGGGTGGCGGTAGGAGGTATTCAATACGGAGGAAGGGATGAATGTTGGTAGAGGCGGAAGTGGTTTCAGTCCATGGAACACTGCAGGTTTGGGAATTGCTGCAGGCTTCGGTGAAGGTCGGTGGGTGAGGTCGCAGGTGACAAGGATACAATATGCGATTCTAGGTACGGCAGAGCAGGCAGTTACGGGATCTCCTAAAAGAGCGGAGAGGCTTCTGTGAATCCGAAAAAGAGAGTTGTTGAGCCCACGAGCCTCTGTTGACGGTTGAGGCGTACGCAATACGTGGCGTGGAGTGTCAAGAAGTTGGTATAGGCAAACTGTGGGTTTAATGTACGGCGGAGTACGGAGTACGGGGATGTAGCAAGCCCTTGCGAGCCTTGCGAGTGTTGTGAGTGACACAGAATACTCCGCCGTACACGGTGTATATATTGGAGCTGAAACGCACTTTCCCGAATCATCTAATCCTCTGCCTACTACGAGGTATTATTACCTCGTACCACCCAGCCACGACACCAAAAATCTTCCAAGTTGCGACTGACCTAGATAACATAGTGGGGATTACACTTCCACATTCAAAATGCCTTTAGCAAACATGTAGGATAGCTTTCTTTGCCGGGACTGTGCATGAATCCCGAGCCGACACTCAACCTTCTTCCAAAGTCCTGTATCCAGTCCCACGCGGACAAAGCCGTGCCTGACTTTCCTTGCTCGACAAGTTGAAGGCGAAGTAGTCTCTAAACCTTCTGCCAGGAGAGTCGGATACAGCTTCTGCATCTTCATTATTGCCGAGTCGTGCACGATTGCTCCCCAGAGCAATCCGGCAACACACTCTGGCCAGCGGTAAGGCTAAGCCATGGACGACCACACTGCTCACTACAAGGAACCACACGACCACCCGCATGGCCTCTTGGAGGTATTGTATGTCTCCTCGTGCCATACCTTGGTCATCTTGAGTCAGCTCCTCAAGGAACTCTGTTGCAATCATCAGATAGAAGATAGCCGAGACACCAATAGGTCCAAAGAATCCGACAAACATGGCCTGGAAAAGGTTTTCGATCTCGGTTACTTTGTGTTTCATGACTAAGATGGCAGGTAAACGCCGGAGGCAAAGGATCAGAATTCCCAGGATCAATAGTCTCTCAAGGGAGATGAGGTTGTTTGTTGCGAATGATGCCCATGGTGCGACAGCACCGTACCAAATGAAGATGGAAATGTTGACCAGCATATCGACAGATGACCAGAAGAGTTCACTGCAAGCGTCCTGCTCAAATCTGTGAGGTAAGTTACCGCTCGAGTTGTCAGCTTCCACTCCGAACTTACTGGTCATCCCATGCAAATGCACACCCGGCGACAAAGCAGGCAAGGATATCGTCAGTTCCCAGTATCCCGCAGGTCCCCAAAACGAAGAGAGACAAGGCAATAACATATGTCAAGGAGCTTTCTTCCTCAACAAACCCGTGCCTTTTCGCAGAGAAGAATAACTTGCGTGCGGCGTACCCCACCACGACACCATACACCACACTGAAAATAACAACGTAGCCCCAAGTACCCCTGAGCCAGGATGTGAACATGGGTAGCTGACTCTCTTCACTAGCGGAATATTTGATCCAATATAACGAGAAGAAGAGAAACGGATAGCCCAGACCGTCGTTCAACCCAGCTTCAGCTGAGATAAGTTTCTGTAATGGGTTTGGAGTATTGATCTCTGCAAATCGGCCTTTAATGACAGCATTGGACAGGACTGGATCAGTCGGCGCAACGCAGGCTCCAATCGCAAGGGCGTGGACGAAGCCCAGGCTTGGTAGCATCAACCATATGATGAGGCCTGCGCTAAGCCACATCAATGTCAGAGTTGGGCCCAGCAGGTAAAAAAGCGAGCGCCATGCCGTGGAGAGGTAACGTGAAGGGAGCTGGATGCCCGCGAGGACCAGCTGTACTGCAAGGACAAGCCGGGAAAATTCAAGCGTGATTGCATCTATGTTTTTACCCTCCCCGCAACCATATTCGTCTGGACGGAGGAAGCCCGCAAAATGTGAGAGCACTGTGCCTGCGATCAAAGAAATCACTGTCCGTGTGAGCTTAAGCCATCAGGGAAAAGGAGAAGACGAATGAAAACTCACATGCCTCGGAGAGCAGGAACTGTTGCTTCCATGCATCGGACACTAACCCGAAACTCAAAAGGAATCCGCCAAACGCGGCGCACACAACATTGAAACTGGAGAGGACTAGACCGTCCATGTTGTCATTGGAGCCTTGGCCGAAGCGGAAAAGAAGCAAAGAATCGAGAGATATTCGCCTTCTGGTGATAAAAACAACAGTCTCTGCGTTCAACAGGGAACCCGTAGTTAAAGAGCATTCATTACAGCATCAGAACCCCCACACTAATCTCATGCAGATGACGAAGGCGCCTGACGGGTCCAGACGGCTAGATATGATCAGCATCTCTCAAAGAGCGTCATCCATGTTGTTGTTTTGTGGGTATTGGCAACAATCATCGGCGTTGGTGGCCAGGCCTTTGATGTCGAGATAGGCAACGTCTCGGTTGATGGGCGAGCCAACCGAGGCCGAATGGAACCAACAGACTACATACCAGCAACGGGATCTCTGATTATGCAGAATGACGCCTTCCTTGCCATCCGAGAGACGTTACAAAGCAGATCTTGGGAGTCCAGAGGGAATCTGAGGCTCCGGCAAGACGGAACGCCGAAACCCGCGCTATGGATCGTTTGGCATGCGCTAGCTACTGATCGCTTGGCGGGTCATCCTCTTCGAATATATATATTTATATTCCTATCAAGTCATGAGACTTCGAACGGCCGGATCTAGTTTTTACTCGAGGAGAAGAATGTCCCATTTCATTTCTAGCTTCGATGCCATGCTCTAGTTGCGTGGGCTACGATGTTTGAAATCCACCCTGGCACTTTGGCAGAAAGGAAACGTACACTAGCACCGTTCCAATTTTGAAAACACTGTGGGGGATGCTGAGAGGTACATACATCTATACTCCCGCACCTTTTGCTCGCTCCATCTTCGTTGCAGAAACTGGCCCCGGCGGTCATCTGCCTTGCACCAGCCACACAGAACTGGCCGCTCTACAGATCCACGAAGACTATTCACATGCAAACGGCGCCCATTGGCCCACGCCGGTGTCGCGTACATATGTATGAGACTGAAGACAACGAGGTGCTCCTGGAAGACGCTGAAGAGGATGGAGACAACTATCCACCAAAGCAAACAATTGCGCCAGACCCCCACGCCGCTTTGCCTGTCTATGCGACGATTCATCGGTGAGTGTGGACAGATCCATATTCGGGCGCGGTGTCGAGCGTACGACAGAGCCTGGTGCTTGTCTTGAGATGACTTTGATATGAGCATGCACTGACATGCGACAGAATCCGGAGACTCGTGATTGCCAGCGTGGGTGAGTGAGGCTATCCGGCATGCCAGATTGTAAGATGGAAAGCTAAGGCTCATCCAGATGATCCATACACATTGGAGCAGTTGAGGGAGCCATCGGTGAATGAGTTGATTGTGCAGCCATTTGTCGGTAGGGTCTATGATCCAGACGATATCTCCATCGGTAAGAGTGCACCACTCCACAACCCTTGGAGGACTTGAAGCGCATGGCATAGGGGAAAGCTCTTTTTGATTCTGTCTTATCGGGTTGCTTCCTTTATGAAACGAAATTGACTATGGGCACAAGTATATTGTCTGTTAGTGAATCGCATGCAATTTCTCCGTGAGCAGAAATCAGATGGCTTGGAACAATCGGTCAGCACCAGTCGCGCCCATCTCTGTGAGCTTGTAGCCACCCAGCTCCTCTGGCGGTTTCATCACGATCACGATGGCCCCGAAGGACTTCTGCTATTAGCCAACATTCTAGTTGCGGGATTTGAGCCGTTCCAGAACGCGCCAGAGGATGTTTTACGAGAAAAGCCCCTACCTGCTCACTGGCCTGTGCAAAAGCGAGGAGGCTACGAACGAAAACTTACGGCCTTGGAAATCGCCATAGTCTCCACGAGCAAGGTATTCCTCAGCTCTCCAGCGACTCAAAAGGTGGTGGACGCTGTTTATCGAGGACAGATTGTTTACACGCCACTCTCGTTTGTCGACATATTGCCGGATCATTATAAGCACCGTCCAATCTCCCTCTATGATCCTCACAAGGCACCTGTTCTTAATCAATACCGTCTAATCGTTCCCCGGATTCGCATTATAATCGAAGTCGGTCAGTTTGCAGTCCTATTAGCGCTCTACATCCTCACGATGTCTTTCCACAGCCTGTCGGGATTGACTGTCTATGAGGTAATATTCTGTGTCTACACCACTGGATGGATCTTGGAGGAGTTTGCTGCCATTATTGAGCATGGATGGCAGGTCCACACCCAGAACCTCTGGTCATTTCTGGACATTACCTTTATAGTCATCTACGCGGCGTATTTCATTGTACGGATATACAGCTTGATCAGTGGTAGGCTCGATCCAGGACTGGGCCTCAACATCCTCGCAATTGCCGCCCCTGTCCTTCTTCCACGCCTCGCTTTCAACTTGATGCCCGACAACATGCTGTTTATTAGTCTCCGCGCCATGATGAGAGACTTTATTGTCTTGACGTTACTGGCCGTTTGGTGTTTTGCGGGATTCTTCGTCTCCATGAAGTGGCTCACCTATCTCAACGAACCGGCCAAACATCACGACATCCTCGATTCTACCACAGTCTCAAAGTGGATGCTTTGGATTTGGTTCGGACTTGATGGCACCGGGATCGAGCGATCTGTCGACTTCCACCAAGTCCTCGGACCGTCTCTCATGATCGTGTTCGCCTTTCTAGGGAACACTCTTTTTCTGACAGTTCTGGTGGCGATGCTGACCAACACATTTTCAAAGATTGTTGCAAATGAAAGCGCAGAAATTCAATTCCGGCGCGCAGTTCTCACGTTCGAGGGTGTGAAGAGCGACGCCATTTTCGCCTATCCCCCACCTTTCAATGTTCTCGCTCTCATCGTCCTTCTTCCCACGAAGTTCATCCTGTCACCACGACATTTTCACAAAGTCAACGTATTCGCAATCCGCCTGCTAAATGCTCCCATTCTGTTACTCATAGCTGCATGTGAGCGACCGCGGCTCTGGCGGCCACCGAACGGCAACCCTCGAGGTTCGCCGAAACGACGCAAACTTGCAGAATGGATCTTCTCGGGATTCTCGCCCCACGGAGATATTCAGGCGGTTTTTGACATAAAGAATTCGCATGAGGTTGCCGACAAATACGACAACTCCGACATTTTCGATTCGGATATCCGAGAGGATGAACTTTCCTCTGGACAATTAAGAGGTCTGAAGACTCAAAAAGGCTTGCAGAGAAGAAGGCGTTCAATGTCTGTCTAAGGATCGCATCGTACCAGAATATGATCAGCGTTGAGCCGTACTAGTCCTAGAAGACATCTCGACTGTGAGCGGACCATAGGGGTTTGTCAACCCGTGAAATGTCGAGAAAGGGATAAAACTCGTACCAGTTTCACAAGAAGCAGTTGCCAAGTCATCATTTGGCAATGGCAGTAGCATGAAGCAGCTGCAGACCCTTGGACTGACTTACCAAGCCTCGCTGCGATGTTCTGCCCTCGACAATAGGAACCTTGTCAAGAGATATCCCAATGCTTGATGCTCAGACATTGTTCGAAGACGGTTGAAAGCCGAATTCTTTACCCTCAGGCTGCGGGCTAAACTATTCTGGGCCTTAAATGGATGTGGAGCTCTCCATATAACGCTAGTATCTTTTTGTACTATGTACCCTGGCCGCCTCTTGATGCGGATCTAATGCCTCGCACTCCGTTCTCGTATCTATCCCTTCCTCTGGCATTGAACACATTGAAATGCCAGATTCAATTTGTGTGGTCGAAGAAAGCTGCTTGTTGCAACACCAGACTTCGTTCCTTCTTTCTCAATGGCTGGCTGGGTAAGCGATCCTTCGAGCGGGTCTCCTAGTCCTTCGCTGGACAAGACCATTAAATGGGGACCTTGCCATTGAGCAAAGCGACCCGAGTTCAATCACTGCAAGCACAATCCTGCTCAGTCTGCCCCATTAGGACTACTATGGACCAAACCACATGTAGAGCAAGCCTCGGTCATCTTTTGCGGGCTCTTCAAATCCAGAATGAATTAGGAGATGCGTGTTGGGGGGCTGTGCTGTGGAGGGTCGTCGTTCTTGAACCAATCACACACACCACGCCGGTAAGACGGAACGACAAGACAACAAAGTTTTGCAGCTTTCTCACGCCTTCTCTCGTCTAAACATTTCTCTTCCCTGCGCTAAGCGAAGGCGGCGTCTTGCCCTGGCTCACTCGGTCCCGTTCTGACCATCCTTTCCCCAGTGGCTGGTGCCAGGGTCCCCATGTGGAAAGTGCGGATAGTAATCTCGATCCAATCCTCAGACCTGCACAGACCACTCTGCCAAAAACTGATGATTTCTCATGTACTGTAAGATCTGAGAGTCAATATCTTTGACTAATATCAAACTCCCAAACCTACAAATATAGCGTTCGAAGCTGTGCTGAAGGCTCGGTTCGGCAGACGCAACTCGTGCTCCAGACAGCTCGACACGGTCAATGTGGACATCCTTCCAAGCGAGTCACCTGTCGTCTATGTCAGCGTCAGCAGTTGAAGGAAAAGCAAGCGAGCTCCTGGCATTGAACCTGGAGCATCTGAGGGACAGTCTTCCTGTGTTAGGCAGAACCGAAGTTCCCTTCTGCGACAGACTCAGACAGTCAGTTTTCTCCATTTCTGTCTCGCTTCATTATCTCCCTATCAGTGCAGCAATCCCTGCTAGGAAACATATGGCAGTAGATTCTTCTACATGAACTGAACTACCCATGTGGCAGGGTCACCCATATGACCCGTGAGTATCAAGATTCGCACGGGGTCGCTCCACAGCTAATAATCCGTTTCGCTGATGAAATCAAGTTGGAATTTAGCCCTGTTGGCTTGCTTGTCATCGGCACAGACCCAGGATGGTTCCCTTACTGCAACGCCAGCAAATGCAACAATTTGAGCCACGAATCTTCTATATATAAGCGGCAGCCACTGAAATGACGGTGCATTGCCTATGGAGCGACGTACCGTGCCTGGCAAACTCGATATAGTGCCGAGACTGCTTAGACTCAGCATCGCAAATGACCGCTCCTAAAAAGCCTCAAACTAATCCCGATTTGGTATCAGCCATGACCAGGTACTTCCATTTCTATTACATATTCTCTGTACCTGGTCTCAATTTTCTTCACCAAGTCAGCATCTGAGCAAGACACCGAGGAGAATTGGACAGGGTTGGATCGCACCTTCTCGTTTATTACGAGGGAGCACATACGGAGCGAACCGAATAAAGGTTTAATCGTTATTTCTCCAGACGCTCATTGAAATTGAGCCCGGCATTGTTGTGGGCGGAATGTCCTTGAAATCTGGTTCAGCTCATTGCCCAACAGAGCAAACAAAAGCCGGAACGCCAAAAGAGGTTATTCAACCATGTGAACCAACAAAGCCGCCCAAACGTCAGCTGAGCCAGCGAGGCTACGACAATTTGGTGATATTCTTGACGACGCTTCTCATATTTGAAGAAACCGGGGTGCCTTATGTTCTTCGAGCCGACTCCGCGATCGACCTGGACACTCCAAAACGGCTTCGTCTTCGGCTTCTCCTATTTACCTCGGTCAACGAGAGCTTTCTTGTCGCGTTATTGTTCTTCGCCTTTGGTCAACTCGATCAGCGAAAGCCGTCGACAACATTCTCTTCTCCTGCCAAACCAGGCACATGGGCTTTAGCATGCTTTCAAAGAATTCTACCGGCAATCGCTTCCAAGCTTTTTCTCGAAATGATACATTTAACGGTACCATCCACGGTCGAGTGTTTACGATATCAGACCTCGACCGTTAATCCTATCGTCTTCTTCCCTATCCTACTTTTGGCATTTGATTTTACAGTGTCGACTCTCATTGAGCGACTTGGGCGTTCCAGGATCGCGGCATACTTCGAGCAGTTCAAAATGGACCGGATAAAACTCGTCCCGGTATATTGGCTACTACTTACCGAGGTGGATTTCTTGGTTCGCTCACAGTTCCCAATCGACGTTCTATCAATATCGGCCTTCCGACTGACAGATGTACCAAAATACTTCTTTGCGTACGTTTGGGGCCGCCTATCCGTTTCAACAGGGGATATATACATCCTTGCCATTACTCCGGTTTTGCAACTACCGATTATCTCCATGGCACTCTCGGTCCTATTCAGCAACCTTGCTTTGCTGGACTTACTCTCGGCGGCGATCCCCAATCTCGCAAAAAATGACATTCTTTCCGAAAGCGTCGAGAGTGCTCTCCGAAAGATGGGAGGAGGCTGGACCTTCCATGCCGTCATGTATAGCGTCTGGAGGAATCTGAGTTTCGCGAGCATTGCACCCACGCTCTTGGCCACGTTCGTGGAACGTACGGATCAGGATTTCTGGGTCACCATTCCCGGTCTCGGAAGGAGATTGCTGAGGAAGTATGCATACGCCGCATTCCTGCTCTACATACCCGTCAGCAGGCTCGTTCAAGCCGGCATTGACATGATAAACGCGCGGGTGTTGGGAGGAATTGAAGTGGTGCGTGTACTTGAATCACACAGTTCTATTGGCTCGGCGCTGGTGATTGTTTTCTTTGGGTCTTTGAACACGATTCTGGCGTGGACGATGGGGTGCATGGTGGTCGAATGCATACCGTACGCGAGCCAGATTCTGTAAATGGACAGTGGACACATATCTCAGGGCGTTTCGTCTCGGACTGGGACCCTCGCAACATGGGAAATGAATGGCGAAGCTCCAGAAGTTACTTTGCCGCAAAAGAGCACACATGATTTTAGAATGGCCATTTGAAAGCTCTCTTGCAAGGGGAAGTATTCATACATGCATATCGTAACCGCGATGATGCTCAAAGTCTCTACGTGCTTGCAATTTTATGCAGTCAGATTCTTTGTCAAAGAATCTGACACTCAGCACAAACATGTGCGATTATTTAGAAAGTAAAAATACATAGAGTTAGTTTTTACAGATCGTTTCCCGGGGTTTCTTTGTTTCCTGTCCCCTGAGATTGCGGCGTGGACATACATGGACGAATTCATGTGGCCACGCACAGGAAGGCACAAACCGAAGTCGCCATTGAGAGCATCATGAGCACCTGTTCGCCACATGCTCAGCACGTTCTCAGCGTTCAGGACTCGGTACTCTCGGTACGGACCAGTAGTGCTCCCTAGGTATGGGCCCTTCCATGACGGTCAGCAAGGCGCTGTAGCGGTCCGACTTCCTTGTTCGACTCGACTCCACTGAGAGAGTCTGAGAGAGACACGTCGCCTTGTACTTACCTATTGGTGGACGGACTGGGAACTTGCACAGGGGCGGGTTTGTTTTCACCCCACGGTGGTATGGAGTAACCAGTCCCCTCACTACTTGAGCGCTCGGACTCGACTCCGACCTCCTTCTGCGGGTCTCTTGACAAAAACACCAAGGATACGCCGTAATATGTACATGCGTTGCACCTAGCTAGTACCTGGTATGTACCATCGATCTAACCGGGGCATAGATCGCCTTGTTTGTCCAAGCCAGTGAGTGGTACTGTAAGTGTAACCACCCAGGGGTCCCCGGTAAGACGGAACACTGCCCTTCTCCATCCCTTTCTTCCCTTTGGCGCCTTCTCGCCCTAACGCGCCCCACGCCGTCGGAGTACGGAGCTGCCATCCAGCTGGCCACCTAGGTAGGGAATACCTAATCGTATTATGTAGCTAGTCCGCAAACTAGCAAACTAAGCGTGCGGGTAAGCAGGGATACTAGATGGTACCGTTCGAATGTGAGAACACGGTCACAATGGCGATTGATTTGCTTCTATGTGCATACGGTAATGAATCGGGGACTTTGAAGAGTAAAGGCATTTGGACAGGGCAGCTGATATCAATCAAGATTCGTTTGTAGAACATTCGACGGGGAGTCTAAGGTGCTGTTAGGCCGGGTCTATAATCCTCCATCTCTACGCCTATCTGTCTGCTCTCTCCTAAGTGGGTAGAGGATATATAGAAACACACATACACACACGCAATCACACCTCTCTCTCTCTCTCTCTCGCTCTCCCTCTCTTGCCGACTCTCAAATCAAATCTCTTTGATGAAACCAACTTCCACAAGCTTGTCCACAGGGATGTTCAGCGCCTGGATCTTGGTCCGCGTGTTCTCCCTGACCCACAGAAACGCCTCCAGCACGGCTCTCCTGACAATGTTCGTCCGCGTCTTGACGCGGAGCTGTTCTTTACCCACGATGTAGACGACCTGCTTGGAAAAAGCCTGCTGGAGCTCTGTCAGTCGCTCCGTCAGCTCTGACTGTTCGAGCGATGTGTTCTCCGAGTTCAGCGCCTTTTCCCCCAGCACCACTTGCTTCGAGCCCTGCATGTGGCCTCCCGAGTGCGCAGCCTCGTGGCCGAGGCCTTCCTGCGAGAGGAAAGCGTGCACTTGATCATGCAGCAGGAGCCCAAGATTCTGGCTGACGACCTCGTCGTTGTAGCCGTGCCGGATGACGACGCGGTAGCAGTTCGGCATGGGCTTCTTGCCGTCCTGTCCGTTTCCCATGAAGCACCGGATTATTTGGTATCGTTCTTCAGCTGGAACTGTAGGGATTTCCAAAGGCCTTAGGTGGAAGAAGATGATCACGTCTGGCGCCGCGTGGAACTTCTGGAGGAAGTGGATAAAAGCCGTAGGAGTCGTGGACGGTGCGCCAGACTTATCGAAGAAGACGCCAATACCGTTGATCCGGGTAATCTCTTCATCGCCAAAGGCAGGTGCGAGTTTGAGTTTCCGGCTATGTTCGCTTGTACTGTCGGTAGATTGAAGTATATCGGACGTGGGGATCCGTTCAAATCCCTCAGCTTTCCACTGTTGCTCTTTTCCAAATCTCCATAGAACGAAGAAGGATACCAAGATCACCCCGAGAGCCAAGGTAAACCATGCGCCGCTGGGGACTTTGGTGAGGGCAGAGGAGAGGAAAACACCATCCCACAGTGCAAATACAAACCAGACGGGCGCGACGACATAGAGTGGATAGCGCCAGACAATCAGGGCCACCACGGCCACCATGTTGGTGGTAAGGAACGTGACCAGGATAACACAGACTCCGTAAGCATGTCCAAGATTGGTCGTGTTTGTATATGCCGCTGTGACCACTATAGTGCCAGTCATGAGTAACCAATTTGCGATAGGCATATAGACCTGGCCGTAGAAAATCTTGGAGACGTGCACCACCTTGAGCTGGGGGAAGTAGGACAGTTTCATGATCTGAGTCAACAGCTGGAATGTGGCAGTTATGGTCGCCTGGCTCGCAACAATGGCGGCAAGGATCGCGATGATGAGTGACGGCCAAATACACCCTGGAGGCACAGTCTTGAAGAACGGGTTGTTGTAGGCATCGGGAATGTCGGAGAGGTAGGCTGCTTGTCCAATATAGCTCAATAGTAAGCAGGGATAGGCAAAGTATAGCCAAGACAACCGTACGGCCGGTGCACTGAAGGCTCCAAGGTCGGCGTATAGGGTCTCGCAACCTGTGAAAGCGAGGAGGATTCCTCCGAGGTTGATCCAGCCCTCTCTTCCGTTCTTAACCAGGTAGTGTCCAGCAAAGTACGGAGAGAAAGCCTTGAGCATAGAGGCGTCGTGCTTGGCCAAGTTGTAAATACCAAAAACCGCGTTGAAGAGGAGCCAGACGATGACGATCGGAGCAAAGGAGCTCGCCAGCTTTGTAATACCGAATGGCTGCAGTAGGAAGAGCACAACGAGAATGGCGCAAGAAGATCCGATCACAGTGGACTGGGTGATATTGGACGACACGACTTCAATTCCTTGGATTGCTCCCAGAACAGATTGTGCAGGGGTGAGAACACCATCAGACATAACCAACGCGACACCAAAAACACCTAAAACTTTGAGGATCCATTGGACAATGGAGGAGCGCTCCATGAGATTCCGCGCCGTCCGTGCTGGCTTGCGAAGGTCTCCGGTCATGTGTCGCTCCATCCTGACCATCTGCGCTTCACGCGGATGGCGGCGAACAATGTTGGCATACCGAGTCAAAAGGGAGAACAGGGCAAAAGTCCCACCCTCTCCTTCGTCATCGGCTCGGAGGACGATGAAACAGTACTTGATGGTGACCATGATCGTAAGGGACCAGATAATCCACGAGCAAGCTCCAAGCAGATCATCCCGGCTTGGAGGAGAAGAGAAAGTCGACGAATACACGTACAACGGACTGGTGCCGATGTCGCCGTAAATCACCCCGATAGATTGATAGGCTAACCATAAGAGCTTCCATCCATGGAAGACCTATGTGAATCAGCATCCGAGTCGGCCCTTCAAATCATCAATGTGACTACCATACCTGTCTTCTCTTGATGTCTCGAGAGTCTACGCTGCCCGTTTCGGAGTCGACACCAACGTCTTTGATGAACTCCTTTGTTTTGTCAGAAGAGCGGACAGCAGCCACTCCAAACGCCGAAGCCTCCCGACTCCTGAGAGTATACACTCCTCCGCCGTCGCCGCCAAGGATGTTCTGCGAGCGCGCAGGGTATATTGCCTCTGGTGGCTGGCTTCCGGACTCGTCCATGATGGATGAGGAAGTCAGAAGAGAAGAAGTCTCGAAAAGGGGGCACAGGCCGGAGACAGTAATGGGCTCTCCAGACGGCGGTCTCGCAAAGTAAACGAGGAAGCAGGAAGATTGAATGACAGAAGGGGAATGCAAAGACAGAACGAGACCTGGGGAGCATATAAAATATAGCTACCTGGTAAGCGAACGTGGTAGGGACTGGTACAGTCTCCTGCCATGTTTACGCGGCAACAAGCGAAGCATTGCCACGCCCAAGTGTTCATTTAGTGCACACCACCCCACTAAGGGAAGGGGATACCTGGTGCAAGGTTTTCTGATCGACTAAGATGAGAAGATGATCCATCAGAGAGATACTGACTGGATTGCCTGGGTACGGCTGCAGTATCATTACCGGCGTGATTGAAATGTGTCACGGCCCGCTAAAGGTGACTGGAAGCTCGAGAACTCGTGTTGGCAGCAGGGGGGCGTGCTCTTCCAATCTAGGCATTCCCTGCCGGTGGAGACTGTTCGCAGTTCGAGCACCGGAGTAGATAACGAAGATCAAAATAGAGTAGAGCTGACAGGTTCGTAGGATGCAGCGGCAAAATGCCTTATACCACTTTCAGCAAGTCCATTGTCCGTTAGCCTGCATCTTCTGGAGTGGGATGACTTTAGGGAAAGGCTGATGTAAACCGCTGTGTGGGTCGAGGCCAGTTGGACTCCCACGTGTGATCGAGCCTCTGAGTCTTTGCAGCTACGATTCTCTAGCCCTGCCAATGTAGTTTCTTTGATAAGAGTAGTATTGTGCTAGATCCAGCCATAGCAAGTTGCGCCCCCCTCTGGAGCCTTCCTTGCAGTATGTGTTTTCGCAAAAAGTGGAAAACACACTTGCCAGGGACCGCAAGGGTCTTTCTCCCCTAGCCACACACCAAGTGGGATGGGCGTAGAGAGTTCAGACGCATTAAAATCGCCACCGTCAAACGTCGAAGAGTGAAGGGGGTGCTTCTAGAGGCATGGTTTAGACACAGTCTTTTGGAGCATCCAAGTTTTGCTGTGTATTGCGTCGATCATGACCGGCCACCTAATTAGAGGCATTTCATCCTCGAAGGCACGGAGATCCCTGGGTCTTTTCAGCTTCTGGCAGAGGAACCTGGGAACGGTGTGTAAAATCCCGCAGCCTTGTCCATTGAGGTTCGTTCGCTCGCCCACGACGACAAGGGCGCTCAATAGCAATTCAATCTCCTGGAAATGAAGGAGCAATTATCTCGTTTCAAGGCCGCGATATTGTCCTTAAGTCTATCCTGCTACAAGCCACAACCCAAACATTAGCATAAATTTCAATATAGATATTCGAGGTTTGGTTGCGCACTTACCACACTGGGCATGTTCCGCTGAAGCCCAAGAGCCATGGATCAACACAGCCTTGGTGATATTGGTGATCGCAAGGAAGGATCCGTACAATATCATTCACAATGAAGGGTTGTGTACATATGGGGCATTCTGATGGTTCTGCTCTGGAAGCCGATTCTCGTCGATTCAACTTGGGCTTGTCCTGTCTGAAATATGCCTCGACTGGTCTTACAACCTGCAATCTTGCTTCCAGTGAACTGTCCAAATCTTCTTTGTCTCCCTCTGTGCCCAGTCTTTGTTCTTCTATGTCTCTGAACTTTCCGACTCCTCCAATGCGATATTCCACCAAAGGTAATAATAGCAGTGTGGCTTTGGTGATGCCCTGGTTTTCACGGATTTGTCGTGCTTGCACATAGCGCCGATGCTGCATTTCATCATACATCTGCATAGGCGGCTTGGACGTTTTCAACCAAACCGAGAGAACAATAACAACCATTGCAATCGCGATGAAGAGAGCGACCGTGACGATGATCCTGTTTCCGTACAATTTCGAAGGAGGAGAAGCAGGTTGATCAGTCGCCATGTCGCTGCCAGCACTGGTGGTAGAGGAGCAAGCACAAGCAGGCCAATGGTCTCGTCAGTCCCAGAGGCCGTTGAGAAGCATGAACTGGCTGCGTACCGTCGACATGGCTGCATCCATGTTTCACGCAAGGCAAGACACCTACACCGACGGTCGAGGAGGGAGGCAGGCAACACCAAGCACGCTACCTCTTGCCCAAGGGTCAATTGCACCTAAATGCCGCATGTAGAAGGCCAAGGTCCGTGGATCATTCTCCCCTCGCCCGTCAAAATCTACTACCAGGGTGGGAACATGGGATTGAGTCCTTCCGAAGCCTGCGATATCCACAGGATCCACCGCCGGTCCACATAGATCTGCAAGAGTCCCAAAGAGGTAAGCGGGCCCTCGAAGCAAGGAAAAATCCCGGGCATCTCTCCCCAATGGTAAAGCTCCCGGTTAGACGGAACAGAAGTTTTCAAATGCCAAGGGGTGGAAGGGGGCCAGAGGCGGGGGGCGGGCCACACTCACATGCAGTCGGTCGCCCTTTACAAAGTACGCGCCTTTCTCCTTCCTGAGTCTGATACCGGCCGATGGCACCATCAGTGCTCACCTCCATTTCCACTTCTCACAGCCATCATGGTTTCGAACAGCAACACGCTCGGTACAGCACCTTTTGCCAGCTGGTCTCCGAGGTTAAGTCTGGACCACCTCGTCCGACTTAGGCTAGCCTGCTGCCGGCACTCCTTTTCACTCAATGCGGAAACCCAACGACACCATTTGAGTGTACGCATAAGGTGTCATGAGATCTTCTCCATCTGACTCGTGAGGTGTCAACGCAAGCGCACTTGTATCGCAATGTTACGGCATTCAAGTCTCGAGTTCGTGGTGGCGACAGTCCATGACTCCTGTATCGGCTTGATTGCTTGCCTGCTGCTTGGGGTCGAACCTCAGTTATACCGGCCTTTGCCCATGAAGGGTTTTCCTTTCTTGCCATGGACGAAAGGGATGCAACAAATGAATTCACTGTCTAGCGAGACAGTCTACTGGCAACACCCTTTATACCCGCAGGACCCTTGATGCTTTGACAGCCTTCTGCTGGGGAAGCTGCAGGGATTGCCTGTACAAGTCCGACGTTGCCTACCAAATTGCCCCAATATGATACCTGGGTCATTTGATGTTGTTTCCCACCAGCCTCCGAAGGATTCAAGAACCATGACTGCATTTATCTTTGCTGGTGAGCAGCGTGTGCCATCGTCGGTGATAGGAGGTTCTCTATCGAATGTGATCCCGCAGGAACCTCGTGGGCAGTGCAGAGACTCATGACTTTCTGCGCAGGATGAGTCAACCCGAAACTTGGGAGTCGATGCCTCCACTCCCCCAGAGCAGCCCAAAGTTCAGTATTTCTACAGGCTTCGCAGACCCGGCATCGAACTCTTTGTGACGAAGCATCTCCTTCCCTCCAGTGAAGACACGTCTAGTCGCACAGATAATATGTATGCGCCGTTCAAGACTCACTTCTCCAGGAAGGGGAAGACGGAGCACAGTGGCTTCATATGAAACTAGAACTTACTTTGTCGGGGGAGTGCAACTCTGGCGCTGTGGTAGACATATGTTGGCCAAAGCCATGTCTTCTACCACCGGTCCTGGCAGCATTTTGGTAAAATCACAGCTCGAAAGTGTTCGGAAGATTAATTAATAGTGTTGGATCTACTAGAAATGGATCCGAGCAACTCCAATGATCTGGCCGCCCACGCCCTCTTGTACAATTAACACTCTTTCCAATCCGTCTGCAGTATCTCGGGGCGGCAGTGGGACGACGCCTCTCCCGCCTCTCCATTCACCTAGCGCTTTGACGTTCTTGACGACGTTGCGGTGTGCCAACGTCTTGCCGGCATTCTCGCCCCTCGGTATCTCCACTTCACGCAAGGTGGGATCGTATACGACCTCAATCACCCTGCCTCTTCGTCCCGTTGCCGCAGCGGCCGCGCTTGCCTCTCTTATCAATATACCTTCCTCGACCTTCGAGAATAACAGCCATGGCCAATCTTGACTCGCCAGCCGACCTCCTTCTTTGATCAACTTCTCCAGCTTCCTTGTCGAATTTCCCACCCCTTCGGAAACGCCGTTCACGACCACCTGCGGAGTGTATACCCTTGATGTGCCGCTTGCTTGCGCATATTCTCGCTGGTACGTGTCGGCCTCGGGAATACCAAAGGAGTCTGGCCACCCCAGGTGATCCCAGTATGTGACATGGTAATCGAGGACGAGGATATTGGGGTCGGCCAAAGTCAACAGTGACAGGAGGAGGGTGTTGGTTGGCGGACACGAGTTGCATCCCTGCGACTGGAATGCTTCGATTACGATGGGCCGGTTGGGCCGGGGCTTGTGAATATGGATCGCGCACTGGCAGTCTTCTGGGTGAGGGTCGAAGAGCGCGTATGGTGGAGGTGGAGGCGCCTCCTCCATGTCAGGGTCTATAGGCGGTGCAGCGTCCCATCTTGTCCTTGGAGCCTGCCGTGTCTGAGGGGTGTGTTGCGTCTGCTCGTCTTCATCGTCGAGGAAACAGCAGGACCATTTCAATGGGTTCATCGAACTCGTCGGATTGGAAGAAGACATGTTTGCATTTGCAATACAGTTCGAGGCGGCAGAACAGTGTGCAGGTGTTGGCAATGCAGGAATAGGCCCCAAATATGTACCTTCATGTGAGAAATCAAAAGTTGCGCTCTATGGCACAGCCATGGAGATATTTGGATTTTGCAGGAGTGCTGAGTGGACGCTCCTGAACACAAATCTCTTTCCAAGCGATCATAAGGGACCAAGGACGGTGCGCTCGACTGCCATGACGATCGCCTGGGGTCAACTGATGTGATATTATTGAAAAGCCACACACAGTCCCGATGCTTCCGTTCTGGGCAAAACCATTGAAAGCCTCTGTTACTGGCATCTCGGACGCTAGTTTCTTGCCCTGTCCCGGGCCCCCATGCTGCTGAGAGAAATTGGGGCAGTCTTAGCGGGCTGAGCAAGGCTTAGATCTTACAATGTTTCCATCATCAAGATCCACCCGGACAGCCGATGCCGTTAATGATCAGCCAATCAAGGGGCATGGCGGAGACGCCGTATTTCGAATCACAGTGACCTGGCCATTTCCCTTTTGCGACGTCTCTTCTCGTAATCTCCCTTCGAAACAAACTGCGTATATATATATTGGTTGACTAGAAATCGCCGAGGTATATATGGGCACATGTCTATCGCACGGAGGCTCGTCTTAATCATTGAAGAAATATAGCGAGATTCATACTGTGAACCTGGGTTATCGGTAAGTGAAAATCAAGGGCATCGAGACCACAAAGAGCAGAGAAGTCCAGATACTCGTGTATTACTGCGTGTTGCTTTAGAATGTCGCCACGTCGTGTGCAGCCTTGTTAATCCGCCGACAAGCAGATGCCATCCGACCCGTGAGAGAAAAGCCACTTCCGCACAAAGGCTTGTCCCTTCACACACACACACACACACCTCAGCAGACAGCGACGTCTAAAATATGATGTTCAAAGAAGGGTTGTTGTGCCGGTTTCCCGGAATTGGCCCAAGCGCACCGCAGGGTAGAAGAACTGGTCCTTTGCGTATCAGGGCTACGCACCTTGCTAGTTTGCCTACCAAAGATGGTCGGTTTCCTAGTTCATGGTTCGTCTCTTTGTGCTTCTCCTGGTCGTGGTGGTTTGCGCGTGTGCATTGAGGAATGCCCGCCGACATTCCAGACCGGAAACCATTACGCATTGGGCGAGAAAGCACCGACGCTCCGCCCATTGTTCAAAGAATGTCACCGTGGATACTGAAGGAATGTCTCTTTTGTTTGAAATCCAACCCGGAAACAGAAAAGTCAGCGCCATGAGGTGCTCAACTTCTTCCATCAACCAACTTGAGTTTGGGTTTTGAATTTCGCAGCCCCAAGTACGACTGCATGGTGCAGTTACGGAGTCGTCGCTCTTTCCTCTCTGAGACTTGAGCGTGTTCGCCATGAAGCTGGTCACGGTTCTCCTCCACATCCTTGGTCTTCGCCTGGTGCATGCCATTTCAGTCCAGGATATCCCTCAGTGCGCAGTAAGTTGGTTGAAGCTGGCAGATGGATGAGATGGTCGTTGACCGAAGAACAGCAAGGATGTCTCTCGAATTCCACCTCCGCTCAGACATCATGTTCGGTGATCGATATCGCCTGTCTTTGTTCGAGTACAACCTATGTCAGTACATTGTCTTGCTGCCTGTATACCCAGTGTAATTCCGACGAGCAAGCAGGTATGTGGGAACCGATGCGTTGGAAGGACACAGTTCTGACCTTTGCCTAGTTGCAATTCAGTTCAACAAGCAAGAATGTGCTGCTGTCAATGAGACCGCCCCAGATTTCGTGGGATGCTCACCAGCAGGATTATCGAGCGTGCTTGCTAGCATGAGTCTCACTCAGCCGCCAGCAGCTTCAACGGCTCCACCAGCATCAATGTCGTCTTCATCGGGCAATCCGAGCCTCACAACAATATCGGGCGATGCAGTGTCTGAAACAGCGGTGCCCACGACAGGGAAGCCGATAACAGCAACGACTTTTGTCGGAGCACCGTTGATGACCGGCAGCTGCACGGTGCCGTACTTTGCGATAGTAACGGACGCCGCCGGCGGGGTGACCGAGTTTCTCAACGTCGGCTGTTCTGAAAACCGACCAGATTGCTGTCCATATGAGTATGGACTCCATGCAGTCATCACAAGGTGCCCACAGGACTATTTTACAACCGCGAGTGCTTGCTGTCCACTGTTAGTACCTTTGTTCCCACTCTTACCACGTTTGCGACGCTAATTGAACATCAGTGGATATCAGATATATTATACTGCAATTGGGCTGGAGACTCCGTGCTATTCGGCTCCTGCCACGACATTTGTTCCAGCGTCCACTCCAACAGTGGTTGGTCTGACCCTTATCACTGACCACGTCTTCTCGCAGAAGTATTCGCTTGTGACACAACAGCAGGCGAAAAGCAACTTCCCTCCTGGAGCGAAGATTGCTATCCCCGTTTCCATTTGGGTCGTGATATGTATAGTATGCATAACGACGTTTTTCTGGGTCAGAAGGAGGCGTAAGGCGAAGCGAGCCGCCGAAGCAAACCGCACGACAACATTCCCACCCGAAGAGCCCGCTCTCCCTCACATGTCGATGTCGAGAGCGCCAACCGCACACGAGCTGGACAGCCCAGAGGCCCAAGCAGGATCTCCAGGGGTTGTCGGAGCAAACGGTTGGCCCATGTTTCCGACATCGTCACCACCAGCATATGATCAGAGCAAAGGAGGGCTCGCTATTCACAAGCAGCCGCCCGGGGTTCCACAGGAGCTGCCAGGAAGCACATATATACACGAGCATCATCCGGTGTTTTCTCCTGCTGGTTCGGTGAGCACACCCACCGAAGCAACGCCCGGCTCGCCGCCAGGAACACCCGTGCAGGCCGCTGCGGCGGGAATTGGGACAAGGTCACCAGTGCTGTCTAACGTCACAACACACTCAGATGCTCAGGGTCCAGGATTCGTCTCGCCCCTAGGGTCTCCGAGACTGCCCAAGACCGGATAGGAGAGGAAGTTGTAAATATATTGCATTCAATGGCATTTGTTTTGGCCGTGCAATTTCGAGTAATGTCAAGCCCACCATTTGAAATTGAAATCGACGGGATGACAGCCTCAGGATTGTTGAAAGATAGTCTGTCGTCTGGTAATGGAAGAAAACAAATACAATCTCAGGTCCCTCGACCGGGAGAAAATACGAAGAGCACGTGACTTATTCCGTGGTGATCAAATAATTTAGTCAGACTGAAAGATACTAACTGGATCCAACTGGATCCCACTCGCCCACACTCGTCGTTCCTCCTGTCAGACCAAAAGCTGGGCTGGGTGGCGAAGAATGGGGCAAGCCGGAGCTGCAGTTGAGCGGGCGCAGCCGCTACTTCTCATCCTCTCTCTGTGCTTCCATTTCTCCCATGACCATGACCATGACCATGACCATGACCATGACCATCATCGCGCGCCAGCCTGCCTGCCAAACATCCCTCTTCAAGAGCCAAGGCGTGGCAAGTCAAGATATTTCTTTGATTGTCTTCTCTTCTTCTTTCTGTTGATCCTTTTTTTCCATAGTGATTGTCTTCCTACTGAGAGTTTCTTTTCCAACGTTCTATTAGCGGCCTGCCGCCGCCGCTCAATCCCGATCATGTCTCTACAGGCTCCCCTCTCGCAGTTACAAGTGAGTATCTTGCCCATGGTACAGAATCATCGCCAGCTGACTTCTCTGCTGCTTCAGAGCCTGTCTGCTGTTGCCCCAGATGTCTTCACGACGCTGCCGTCGCTCTTTACTTCGCCACTCCAAACCCTCCGACGTTATCGCCTGGCGCGGCTGCGAACTGAGGGAGATGCATCCGGTGTGCGGCAAATACACTCAACCAACGCAAGATCAAGGCAGTCGATGGTACGCAATATTGTCTTTCGAGGCGCGAATATATCTAATGGCTTGCAGCCCTCGTCCAGCGTAATTCTCCCAGATTTCCTCACCTCCCTTCCGCCCGACAGTCTCCGGCCGCATTCGCTCAATCTAAATTCGCGCCCAACCCTACCCTGGATGTCTAGAAATCTTTCCTCAAACTTTACCTCTCGCCTTAATTCGATACCAACTCTGCGCCGGGAGTGGTCGACCATCGTCCCGAATACGACAATGAGGGCGGCCACAGGAAAGAGCACAATAAGACTGCCTTCGATACAACCTCCAACGAGGTCTCTGGCGTTTGGTCCTCCGCGCCGACCAGATAATACAAGCTTGGGTAAGCAATATCGACAATTCTCGACGACATCCCCACTTGCCAACCAAAACATGCTGGCTCACGCGGAACGCACTGCGAACAACAATCCTACAAGTGCCACCGCCCAAAACGCTTTCTATTCCGCCCTCCTACGTGCAAACATGCCCAAACTCGTTATTGAAAGATATCAGTCTGGTCGGTACGCCACCAACCCAGCAGCGGATGCGGCCTACCTCAAGGCTCTACAGATGACAGGCTCAGTTCCTGCTCCAGGCACACCCGGCTCAAATGTTACCGGTTCACAAAGTAACGGCTTGGGTCCTGACAAATTGCGGGCTGTTGGGCAGGCAGTTGCCGGACAGAACTACGGTGGGCAAGTGATTATGCCTAGCAATAAATCCGGTACAGGGGCAAAAGAAGCGCCGCTTTATGTGGTGGTGGAAGAGTCATGGGGCGCAACCATTCTGAAATGGGTCCGAACATTCCTCTGGGTTGGCTTGTCTGGCTACTTCCTCCTCGTGGTCCTTACCATGGTCGTGGAGATGACTGGGAGCTTCCGGACGAGAGTCGGACAAAACAACGAAGTACAACCCCAGCATCAGACTGTCCGCTTCAGCGACGTGCATGGCTGTGACGAGGCTAAGGAGGAACTTCAAGAGCTGGTTGAATTCTTAAAGAACCCGGAAAAATTTAACCAGCTAGGAGGAAAGCCCCCCAAAGGTGTTCTCCTGGTGGGCCCGCCCGGTACTGGTAAAACAATGCTTGCTCGCGCCGTTGCTGGCGAGGCTGGCGTACCGGTTTTCTACATGTCCGGCTCCGAGTTCGATGAACTGTATGTCGGAGTCGGTGCTAAACGAGTTCGAGATCTCTTCACCCAAGCACGAAACAAGGCCCCTTCCATCATCTTCATCGACGAACTCGACGCTGTTGGAGGCAAAAGAAATGCACGTGATCCCGCCTATGCAAAACAAACACTCAATCAACTCCTGACAGAGTTGGATGGATTCAGCCCTAGCACCGGGGTTATTCTCATCGCTGCGACCAACTATCCCGAGTCGCTAGACAAAGCGCTCATTCGACCGGGACGATTCGACCGACATGTCAACGTGCCCCTGCCTGATGTCCGCGGCCGGATTCAGATCTTGAAACATCACATGAGGAACATGCCCATCGCTGCCGATGTGGATGCGACCAACCTCGCACGTGCTACAAGCGGCATGTCTGGCGCCGACTTGGAGAATCTTTGCAATCAAGCTGCGGTTCATGCTTCACGGCTGAAGTACAAGAAGATCACGGCCATGAACTTTGAGTGGGCCAAAGACAAGATCATGATGGGCGCCGAGGCTAAGTCCCGAATGATTCGAGAAAAGGACAAGATCCAAACCGCTTACCACGAGGCTGGTCACACTTTGGTCAACTTATTTACTCCAGCTAGTAATCAGTTGTACAAAGTGACCATCATCCCGCGTGGTCAAGCGCTTGGTGTCACTCACTTCCTCCCTGAAATGGACGAGGTGAGCAGAGGCTACGATCAGTTCATCGCGTCGATCGATGTCTCGATGGGTGGGCGAGCGGCTGAGGAATTGATCTACGGTCCCCACAAGGTCACAAGCGGTATCTCTCATGATGTTCAGCAAGCCACTCGAACCGCGTTCTATCTTGTCACCCAGTGTGGGTACTCTGCCAAACTTGGAAATGTGGATCTTGCTTCCGACTACGACAAACTCTCGAGCGAGACGAAGCAAGAGATCGAACGCGAGGTGCGACAGATTGTGGAAGGCGGCAGAGAACGCGCCGACCGAATTGTCAAAGAGAAGCGCAAAGAGCTTGAAGCTTTAAAAGATGCCCTTCTGGAATACGAAACGCTGGACCGGGAGGAGATTATGAAGATCCTACGCGGGGAGAAATTGAAAAAGATTGAAATTGAGCTCCGTGAGGATGATGACACAGACAACGGGGATAATGGACGAGGAAACAAGTCACAACCCAAGAAGGATAAGGAGGTTGGCTCTAAAGGCAGCTTGGGGATTAAGCTCCCCGACGTGCTGCTCCCACCTGGAACGGGTGGGAGAGGAGGAGAGAAGGAAGGGGTCTCGCGGGTCAGTGATAGATGACATTGATGGTGGCTGATCAAGAGCCTTCATATGTCGTGTCTTTGTTGTGAATTTGGTTAGCGGGTAAAATGACTCTCTTATCGTGGAATTGAAAAAGGGTTATCCTCCAGAGCACGAACCATTATTTGACAGACAACCAGCCAGTCGAGCACGGGGGAGACAGTCAGAAATCACAAGTCACCGGGAGAGGCCCTCTGTATATTCTACAGAGTCGGGCGAATGTTTGATATAATACTTGTCTGGTAGTCTTGCAAGGTAGTCGCCTTAATATTAAGACATGGCACTTGGGACGCCATCTCATCGCTTCTTCATTCCCCGAAATGTAGGTATAGACGCGCAGATCTTCTCATAACTAACTAGTCGTATATGACGGACACTTCAAAGCTATGGCTTTCTGTAAACAGCAAAGTGCTTGTATGACCACTGACCCACATCGAGACGAGGCTGCGACCTCTCAATGTAATTGGAATGTGGACGTCAGTTACAGAATCGGGGCAAGGCTCGCGACTCCTGACCTTGAGCAAGCTATGCCACAATAGGCCACCCTGAGGGAATAGTGGCTTTTCGCCCTCTATTGTACGCTGCTCTCCACTTGGCCACTGACATAGTTGAGACAAATTGTTAACTTGGGTCAAGGTCTACATGGCCCCCTCGTTCCTGACCTGGCGGAAATGACGGCCCGGACCAAACTATCAAAGGTCAAGGGAGGAAGACTGCGTGTAGCCCTCCCCGCGGGAACTGAGTCCCGCGGAGTCTCAGCACTTCTGGGGGGAAGTATCGTCTCTTTGCCCCCCCCCCTTCCAAGCTTCATGACTCCGAGGCCTATTCTGACCATTTTTGAATGATTTCCCAATTGCAGGCCTGCCAATAGTTTGTTCTCTAGACAGCTCGGGCCGAGGTCTCCATAGGATATCAACCCCGCTTGAACCAGGTCTGGTCGCTATAACTGAAAGATAGAACGCAGCAAGCATGGTATGATACATGTACCATATTCAACAGGCCAGGGCAAGTGGAGCACTTGCAGTATCTAACATATTCAGAAAGGACATCAGTTTTGCTGGTGGTGAGTCTTCGACTTTTCTCTCCAGATCTGAGATCTTCCACCTCACTGCACAATGATCACCCGCGAGTCCACGTCTACTCTGACCTGCACTCCTCTCGCCCGGACCTTTGGTGCAGAAGTCCACGGTGTCGACTTCTCGAAGCCGGTCTCGAAGGAAACCGCCGCTGAGATACGTGATGCGTGCAACAAGTATGGCGTCCTCGTATTCCGCGGTGCGAATCTCAACAACGAACAGCAGATTGAATTCACCGCCAACTTCGGCGAGATGTATGATGTCAAGGCCCACATGAAGGCTGGCCGCAGGATGCGATTTCCACACCAGCCTGAGATCTTCGACGTATCCAACCTGGATGAAAATGGCAACGTGCTCACCGAGCTGGAGCCGGCACGCGTCGGGGCGAACAAAGGTAATTGCCTTTGGCACGCAGACATGGCTTACAATCCACGCCGTGCACACTACTCGATCCTCCGCGCCGTCGAGCTTCCTCCGAAGGGTACCGGGGGCGCGACGCAGTACCTCGATTCGCGAGCAGCCTATGACGATCTCTCAGAGGAGATGCGACGACGCATCGACTCTTTGGTCTGCAACAACTCCCTCTACCACAACCGAAAACTGGCAGCCCCAGACACTTTTGCGGATTTTGAGCCCTCGGATCTTCCCATGGCGCGGCATAAACTGGCGCAGATGCACGAAGAATCAGGCCGTATGAATCTGTATATCACAACATATGCACACCATTTTGACGGAGAGACTATTGGACAGAGCAGACCGCTGGTCAACGAGTTGCTGGACCACGTCTCTCAGGAGAAATATTTGTTGACGGTGGAGTGGGAAAACAATGGCGACATGGTCATGTGGGACAACACCGCAGTGCTGCACCGGGCCACTCCAGGAGGTGCATACACGACCAAATATAAACGCGATATGCGTCGGACATCCACCAAAGACAGCAGCTCTTATGGATGGGGGGTAGATCCCAATGCAACCTGGGAGGCTGGCCTCCGTACAACAAAAGAATAAGATCCGGGTGTGTAGTAGTAGTAGCAGTAGGAGTAGTCACAAGACAAGACAAGACGTCTGGTTTCTGGTTCAAGATTGCGATGTATGAATCGGGCCTTTTTACGAATTTTACGGAGTAGTTGCTGTGTACATACGAGGTAATTGACAGAGAATACGATGGTGCTCGATGGGCTTGATGTTGGATATACTGGGCGCCGATTATGTCAGCAACACGCCGCGAGCCGAGTCGCGCCACGACGATCTGCGCGCCCAGAATCAATATTGTCCTTGCTCATGGGGATCCCAAACAGAACAAAAGGATTCCACCATGGACACTTGCTCGCTAGCTCTGCGCAGGCTGCCCTCACGAACAAACCTCAAGGAGCCAAATCAATGACAAGCAACGATCAATATGTCCTGGTGACTGGCGCAAACAGGTAAGCAAGCGACTTTTCCATGTTTCCCCCATCCAATCGGCCAGATTCTGACTTCCTCGCTTAAGCGGCCTAGGCCTGGGAACCTGCTGTCGTCTGATCGACGAGTATCTTGCCTCTCACCCCCGCGACCATGGCGCTCTGACCATCATATTCACGACTCGGAGCGTCCAAAAGGGTGCCGAGACTCTTTCGACCCTCGAGAAGCACCTCGCCAGACATGGCCGTGCCCCCGCCTCTGGTCGCAAGATCTTCTTCCAACCCGAGAATGTCGAGTTGACGAGCCTTCTCTCCATCCGCGCCCTCAGCCGCAAACTCCTCGCCTCAGACCTGCCTCATCTAAACGCAATAGTCCTTAATGCTGGTATAGGAGGATGGTCCGGCCTGGACTGGCCCCTGACGCTCTGGACGGTTTTGACAAGCATCAGACAGGCCACAACATGGCCGACGTTCAAACTTGGTCTCGTCGGACTGGTGACAAAACCACAGTTCTCACAGGGGACTTGTGCCGGTGAGGAACCGATACTGGGAGAGGTCTTCTGCGCCAACGTATTTGGACATTACATGCTGGTCCATTGGCTCATGCCGCTATTCCGCGCATGCGCACCAGAGTCCCGCGGCAAGATCATCTGGTCGACCTCCATCGAGGCGGTCGGATGGCACTACAACCCGGAGGACCATCAGGGGTTGAAATCAGACACAGCATACGAACACACTAAGCGCATAGGAGACTTGTTGGCGCTCAGTGCGGTCAATCAGCCGGCGACCGCCAAACAAGTCAAGGAATACACCACGCCTTCTTACACCATGGCATCCGCACGGGGGCGGCCAGATCAATCTGAGCCGACCTTCCACGTGTCGCACCCAGGGATCTGCACCACCACCATCATCAGCCTCTGCTGGATCGTGCACGAGTGCTATCGGCTCGGCATCTATCTGGCCCGCTGGTGCGGCTCGCCTTGGGCAAACGTGACCAGCTACCTAGGGGCCGCGTCGGCCTCCTGGCTCGCTCTCGCATCCCTAGCAGCCATTACAGGCAAAGCGATTCAAGCCACCGGCGACGAATACAGCGGGCCATGTAAATGGGGGTCGTCGACCGACCGCCTGGGCCGTTCTCACGTTCGCGTCACCGACGTCCCGGGCTGGGGCCTCAACGGCAGCGGCAAGCCTTTCAAGGATAAATGGTGGGGTGGGAGTCTTGGGAGAAAGACCGGTTCCGCCGACGCCACGAAGGACGACGTCGAAAACTTTGTCGCCCAAGGAGCACAGGTGTGGAACAGGATGGAGACATTGCGGAAAGACTGGGAGGCGAGGATCGAAAGGTATGAAGCAGACCATGCAACGGGGAGCAATGGACATGGAATGAAGAAAAAATAATAATCGTGTTCTGAAGAGACAAAAAGACCAAGGCCATACATACATACATGCATACATACAGGGAGCGACAGATATAGAAACCCTCAGGCCCCTGACCCGTCCACAATTCCATCCTCTCTTTTGTCTTTAAACCACTACTGGCTTCCTAGGTCCTCGCTATTTTTTTTTCCCCGTGTCTTCCCTCTCCCACTTCTCTTCATCCTCATCCTCGTCCATCCACCCTCGACACATCTGCACGGCCTTGTTCCACTTCTTGTACAGCCTGTCACTCTCGCGCTTGGAGATGCCGGGCTGGAAAAAGTGCCGGCCTTCGGCGTTGATCTCCTTCAGCTCGTCAAAGGACGACCACACCTTGGCCGCGAAGCCCGCCGCGATAGCGGCGCCCAGGGCCGTGGTCTCGCGCATCCGGGGCCGGTCGACGGGGATTTGGATTATGTCGGACTGCGTCTGCGTGGACAACCAATGCTTTTCGTCAACTTCATGATTCATTTTCTCCTATGGGAGTTGGGTGGCTGAGTGGGTGGGCAGGAGAGAAAAAAAAAAAAAAAAAAAGAGAAAGGACTATGTATAGGTATGGTAAACTCACCTGCATGCATAAGTCACTGTTGCTCATGCCCCCGTCCACGGCCAGCTCCTTCAGGTGGACACCGGCGTCCTTCTCCATCGCGTCCAGGATCGCCTTGGTCTGAAAACATGTCGCCTCCAGCGTGGCCCGCGCGATGTGCCCTTTCTCCGTGTATCCCGTCAACCCGAATATCGTGCCCTTGACGTCGTCGTACCAGTACGGCGCGAACAGGCCCGAAAATGCCGTGACAAAGACACACCCGCCGTTGTCTTTGACCGTCCCCGCCAGGTCGGAGATCTGGTACGACTTACTACCGAAGCCCAGCTTGTTGACGAGGAACTTGACCGACGAGCCAGCCACGGCGATGGATCCCTCAAGCGCGTAGACGGGCTTGATGCCCTGCGGCGAGAAATCATACGCCACCGTGGCGAGCAAGCCGTGTGTCGAAATTACGGGCTTTTCGCCCACGTTGTATAGAAGGAAACATCCCGTGCCGTACGTGTTCTTTGCCCGGCCGGGGGAAAAACCACATTGTCCCACCAACGCCGCCGACTGGTCACCCAAGCAGCCTGTGATCTTGACTCCCTTGAGTTTGCTCAATGCGAGCGTGCCGTATGCCTCGGGGTCTGACGAGGGAACGATTTTCGGCAAGTGGAGCTTCGGTGTTTTGACGTCGAGGTCGAAGAAGGAAATCAGTTTGTCGTCGTAAGAGAGCTTGTGGATGTTCATCCACATGGTCCTGCTTGCGTTCGTGGGGTCTGTCACGTACACATTTCTTTCAACACCGCCGTTCAACTTGTACACGAGCCAGGTATCCACCGTCCCGAAGGCTAGTCTTCCTTCCGCGTACGCCTTCTTCACCTTGTCAACGTGACTTAACATCCACAGTACTTTGGTGGAACTTGGGTATGTTGACAGCGGGAGGCCACACAGTTCTATGAGTTCATCTGCCCCCGGCTTCTGCTTGAGTGCGCGCACAATGTGCGCGCTGCGGGTGTCTGTCCATACAATCGCGTTGTGGAGCGGCTCCCCCGTTTTGATGTCCCATACCATGGTTGTTTCACGTTGGTTTGTGATCCCAACGGCTTTTATGTCGGAGAGAGAGTACCCTTGAGAGGTGAAGGAGGTGCATGCTTGGTCGATGCAAGTGCAGACCGAAGCGACAAGGTCCTGCGGGTTGTGTTCATGCCAGCTGGACAGGAGTAAGAGAGGATACGGTCATTGGAAGGGCACCTCGCGTTGCTTTGGAGATACAGGTCTCGTTCAACCGTGCGAAAACTCACCCGGAGTGTGGATAATGCTGTTCAAACTCGATTTGGTGCTCGGCAACTGGGTTGCCCGCAGGGTCGAAGATGAGGAATCGTGTACTGGTAGTGCCATTGTCGATTGCGCCAACGAAAGCCTTGTTCGATTTATTGCCCTACAACACCCCTTGTCAGTAGCACTTAAGCATTGGCTAATTTCAAGAACAAAGTACCATGTTGGATAGAAGAGACAAGCTTGATGGAGAACCGAGGTGAGCCAAATGTTGCCTGAGTCTCGAAAACATGGAAAGACATTATCTCACAAAGATGTCCAGCAAGACCCAAACCAGAAACAGAGCATGCAACAAAGAAGCAGTAATCAGGAAAAGGAAGCAGTGGTTGCGTCAGGCTGGAGAGAGCTCGAGTGCGGGGAGAGGTGTGCTCGGCGAGGCGAGGAGGTTATGATGCAACGCCGAGATGACGATCTGGAAAAGCATGTGGCAGCTGGTCTCGCTGGTGCTGGCGAGACGGGGCACACAATCACCGAGCGGCACCAAGAAGCCGTGCTTGTTCAAGAGACAAATGGAATGTTTGGATCTGCCTGCCTTGGCCTTGATATATACAATGACTGCTCCCTGCAAACAATCAGCGCGTGTTGCAAACGTTTCTCCACTTTTGACGCACAGCTTCCTTGACTTTCTACTCCTCCTCCTCGCCACCTTCTTCTTCCTCTTCTTCCTCTTCACCGCCGACTGGTTCAGGTCCAATCTCTTCCATCTGTCTGGCCCTAAGCTCCCTCATTCTGTCGGCAGGCCCAGGAGGTCGAGTGACCAAATCAGCGATCTGGCCACGTCCAATCAACGAAGCGACAATACTGGCGCCAACAATGAAAGTGAGAACGAATCGGTAGACTCCATACCACGGAGGAGCCCAGCCCCGAGCAGAAGCTCTTGCATCGTTGTAGTACAAGAAGGTGAAGGCAAGGAACTGCGCGATCAAGCCAACCTCAGCAGGGAGGAGAAGTGTCGGCCACGCTACAGCCGTGGCAATGATACCCATCGAGTATCTCGGGTAGCCTTTATAGCCACCGTAGCCGGCCCATTCGAGTCCCCAGTGGATGGCACCAAGGAACGAGATGATCTGAGATTCTGGGTCAATCATAAAACATTTCAAAACGGTCCGGGAAACTGACCGAAGCACCATAACCGAGCTGGATTGGCTCGATGATGTGAAGCAACGTCTCAGCCGTCTCGCCCGACATGAAAAAGCCTTGGCCGTGAGTGGCCGCGTATTGAATGTCGAACGAAAGATAGACGGTGGTCAGAGACGTAGCCAGGTACGGAATGACACCCGCGAGACCGACATAGAGAGCTTCACGAGGCACAGATGCCAAACTAAATGTCTCCTTGATCGTGTTCTGTTCGTCTTGAGATTAGCAGAGTGAAAGCGAGCTCTTCCTTGCATGCCAGGAACCCACAAAGTCACTTCGAATACCGGCCATCATATCCACTTCATCTTCGTCAGCAGCTTTGCTCATTTCGCCAGTGACTTGTCGGGTTGTCGAATCAGCAGAGACCGCCTGTGGAATTGGTTCCAAAATCTTGTCATGAAGTGACTTCTCTGCCTTTGCAATGTCATAAGCGTGGGCATTATGGGCATAGCGCACCACGGCTCTTGGGACTGGCTGAAAGGCGGCGACTGCGAGGATGCGAGAAGTCCGTACGGGGCGAGCAGAAGTCCGCAGAGAGGCTTTCAGGGCATTGTTGAGAAAGCTCGTTCGTGGGGTGGTCGCTTGGAAGGAGTTGAAGGAACGCGGGATCGATCGGACAGCGCTGGTACGCAGCATGGTTGTCGACATGATGGCAATGGCTGGTCTGTAAAGGCGAGAAGTATTACAGGCCGACCAGAGCCAGCTGGACTGGAGCTGTAGAGCGAGTTGGAAGGAGTGGAGATGGTCGAACTGTGCTCGGGTGAAGAAAGGATTGAAGTTCGAAGGAGCTCGGATTGAGCTCACGATCGGGTGCTCGATGTGGGAAAGCTGATTTGTTATGACGGCGTAAATGAATCACGTGTGTCCATATTGTGCAAGATTGTGCAGGATTGTGGCACTGGTACCCGGTAATCTTGGTTTCAAATGACAGCTGCGCTCAGGCCATCGTCATTGGCCCTGCCAAGCTCCCGCAGAGCTCCCGCGCCCGACCTCACTTGCACTCTTCAAGTTCTGTCCAAGTCACCATCAACCTCCTCTCCACTCATTTGCAGTTCCAAAATGTCCTTCCAGCGCGTCGGCCTGCGCCTGGCGCAGCAGCAGCTCCGTTCGCCTGCCTTTCGACCCCTCTTCCGAGCGACCTTCCAGCGACGTCTCGCAAGCAGCGTTCCGAGCCCACCAGGTCAAGGAGCAAGCAAACTCGTTGGAACGGCCGACAATGCTTTCAACCGAGAACGAGCTGCGGTGAAAGCCCATGCTGCTGCCACAAGTGGTGGGTTCCTCTTCCGGTGCTTGTCAGTCCATGAGAGAATGGCTAACGTGGTGCAGATCTCTGGCGTAAACTCTCGATCTTGTATGCACACCTTGCCCGAGATATTACGCACCTTGGCAAGAAGACAATTGGCATCTAACCATCTCTACAGCGTCGTCGTCCCCTGCCTAGTCCTAGCAAGCATAAACGCCTGGAATCTGTGGAACGAACATTGGGAGCACTGGTCACATATGCCTCCCTTGGAAGAGCGTGTCGAATACCCTTACCAGAACATTCGAACTAGAAACTTCTGGTGGGGAGAGGGTGACAAGACCCTCTTCTGGAACGACAAGGTCAATTACCACAAGAAAGACAAGCAAACTTAAACATGAACCGAAGTACGCTGGGGTGGTTTCAAAAGACTGGGTTGGTCATGGTGGACCTTATTTGTACATAAGGAGTGCAGAGAAAGTGAAGGTGGTAACCTGACTTGGGGATAACACGGCCACAATTCATTATCTCATACAGTTCAGAACTCAAGGATCTCAGCGTTTACTCCGACACTTGAATGCGCGACCTTCAGACACTTTGGGCCTCGTACTCCCTCTTGAGCCCTAAATACTGCGTCGCTGTATCATTCGCCAACACCAAATCCCCCCTCCAGTGCATAATCGTCGCCTTCTTCTTCAACATCTCCAACTGGCCCTGTAAATCTTCAACGTACCTATACTGCGTGTATGCATGATCAATATTTTCCATTGCTTTATTGATGAGTTCCTTTTGCTTCGTTGCGGAAAACTTGTCTGTTCCCGAAGATGAGCCAGCGAGACCCATGTTCGCATCTGCGAGCACGGAGTATGAGTGGGCGGCAAGGTCGCAGTCTTGACATTCCAGCACTTGAGGCATAATTGATTGGAGAAGGTCGACAGCAGCCAGGAACTCGCGGAGGTCGTTGAGAATTGTGGCAAGGAGATAGATAGATGTCCATAACGAGGGGAGAATTCTTCCTCGAAATGCGATCTGTGCTGCGCGCACGACAAGCGAGAATGCCTTGAGTGAATGCCCGCTCTCGATCAAGATGCGTGCTTCGAGGTTCAACAGCCTGGTCCGCACGGCGATGTCGTTGATTTCATGGTTCTTATTCGCTCCCTGTACCAAATCTTCAACCTTTTCAAGAGCTTGGTCGAGAACTCCCCGACGAATGAGCAGCTCGATCCCAAGCAATGACAGTGAAAATGCAATTTTTACATCCGGCGCACCCTGTCCGCTTAGCCGATCGAGCAAATGTTCTGCAGCATCGAAATTGTCCCGATATATGAGCCTGCGGGCCCTCAATAAGCCCGAGTAGAAGTTCATGGAATTCTGGAACTTCATTCGCCGCTGCACATAGGGCGGAATATTGTTCAGCATCTGCTCAGCCTCGGCATATCTGCCACGTTGGACCAAGAGCCCGGCTATTCGACAATAATTTTTGAACAGATCTTCGAGTGGTGCGTCCTTGGAATGGCACTGCAGGAAAGCCTGGCCACACCACCAGCTCAGATGAGCGAGGCCAATCCTGCTAAATGCGGCACCTTTTATGAGGAACATCGGTCCGACAGCGCTCTGAGTCGAACGGACGACGCTGAGATGCGAAGCTTTTGCAAGGTTTTCAAAGACACCTGCGAGGCTGTCGCCATATTGCAGACCTAGCTTCGCTTCACTCAATAGTGTCGTGCCCAAGAGACTCCACATCTCCGCATCCTTAGCCCGGGATTTAAGGAATGCGAGTCCCTCGACTTCGCTGCCGAGAATGCCGCTGTCGCGTATGGCGTCGATTTCACCGGGGAATGATCGCCCGAAGTGGTATACCCAGCTCATGCAAAAGTTGAGGCATGTGGTGTCTTTGTTCTCTCGAGCGGTGGCGATGGCTTCCTGCATTGCGGAAAGGGCTTCTGCGTGACATCCGAAGTCTGCTTGGAGGATGGCGAGGTTGAGCAGTGCGTATTGATATATTGCTCTCTCTCTCGTCTGCATTGCGTAATCAAAGTATCTGTGTAGATTGTCAAAGGCGGAGTAGTAATCCCCAGCTCGCCATGAATCAAGGAAATTGAGATAATTCCCCAGTTTTGGGATGACAGTGCCGGCTTCGGACATCTGTTGAAGCTTCAATCTCATGCCGTCAGGTAATCTCCCACCAAGACGCTGGATTTCGGAGACCTGAAATTCCATCAGTTTTTCGACATCGTACATGCTGTATGCTCCATGATGCTTTTGTTCGTCTTCGGCTAGTCTTCCATACATCAACTGGGCCAGAGGATGCGATGAGTCAAGGCCCAATTCTGCGAGGTTCGAGTCAAGGGCATTTCCGCCGGCTGAATGATTCTTCCTCTCATAGGCCTCGCGAGTAGGGAGTCTGTAGGAGATAAAATCCTGCCAGAGAGTGATGCTGTCTTGAAACTGCAGTCTTGTGTATTCCAAGTGGCAGCGGCGAATGAAAGCGCCCAAGGGTGATGTTCTGAGAATACGTCCATAAGTTTGATCAGATTCTTCACCAGTTTCCCGCTCCCTCAGCAACTGCTCCCTGGACTTCGTCAGAAGAGAAGGAAGATACGTGATAAAGGCATCAAGAGCATGGGAGCAATCAATTTCCCACAGTCTCTTCACCAGCAGATCAAATAGAGTTCTGCCTGATCTCGCAGACGGGCGCGAGGATAATGTGGACTCGAATTCAGCTATCGGGAGAGCATGCTGGAACTCTGTGCCTTCCTGGAACAATGGAGAATGCTTGCTCGATGGAACAATTTGGGAGAGAATAAAAGACAACACGGCTGTAGCTTCTTTAGTTGGGACTACATCCTCTGCATAGAGTAGAGCGAGCACCAGCAGCGTGATCTTTGCTGGAGTGAGATAGCGGCTCATCTTGCGGCTAGCATTGGTGAGATCGACGGGTGTAATGCAGCAGACAGCTAGCAGAATTGATAGCGTCAGTCAGGGGCATTACTCTGCCCAAGGACCATTGCTACTCTTGGGAGACGTTGTGCATTAAACATGGTAGACAATAAGGCGCGTTGTTCGAGGCGGGCGTGTCAGTGGGTCGCATCTTGTTTATACTTTGTCGCGTTTGGCATGTTTGCCTCCTTTGCATGCCCTTTTCCTCTTCATCTTTGCATGAAACCACTGGCGGACGGGAGTCATTCTGCGGACAAGGCCTGGAGCAATCCTCGAGATGGCTTTCATTAAGTCAGATTTAGGAGGTGTTCTGCCACTGCTGGCGTCAGGTAAAGTGCGAGAGCTATACGATGTCGACTCAAAATGCCTGCTCTTTGTGACTACCGACAGAATTTCTGCCTTCGATGTTATCATGAAGAATGTGCGCTACTATTGGTCCAGCCCTGTACTACCAACTCACTGACTAGAGTTGTATACTTAGGGTGTGCCAGAAAAAGGCCTTGTCCTGACGTTGATGACTGTGCACTGGTTCCAATATCTCCAGAAACAGATCCCTGACCTCAAGACCCATTTCATTTCTCTCGACCTACCACCTACGATCCCGAAAGATGTTGCTGCTCAGTTGAAAGGCCGAAGTATGCTTGTGCGCAAGCTCAAGGTATTTCCGCTAGAGGCCATAGTCCGAGGATACATCACAGGATCCGCCTGGTCCTCCTACAAGACAACCGGTGAGGTAAATGGGAAGAAGATGACAGAGGGCCTACAAGAGTCCCAAGAGTTCCCTGAGCCCATCTACACTCCCAGCACCAAGGCTGAGCTGGGTCGTCATGATGAGAATATCTCAACAGAACAAGCGGCTCATATTGTGGGTGAGAAGTACGCGAAAAGAATAGAGGAATTGTCGCTTCGCATCTATAAGGCGGCAAGAGACTACGCAAAGGAAAAGGGGATCATCATCGCGGACACGAAATTCGAATTTGGCTTGGATGAGGAGACGGACGAAGTTGTGCTTGTAGATGAGGTGCTTACTCCAGACAGCTCGAGGTTTTGGTCGAAATCTGCCTACAAGCTCGGTCAGAGCCAGGAGAGTTTTGACAAGCAGCCACTGCGAGATTGGTTGACAGATAATGGTCTGAAAAACAAACAGGGTGTGGAAATGCCTGAGGATGTGGTTGAAGCCACCCATGTAAGATACCTCGATGCATTCAAAATCTTGACGGGGAGGTCTCTACAGGAGACTCTTCAAGATCTGAAATAGAGACACCGTGCAGCATTTTATGGATCCCCGAATGCAAACACGATCCTTCTTCCCATGCCATTTGTCCGCTGCGCTGTCTTGTCTCATCTGAATGCCTTGGTATCTCCTGAACCAACTTTTCCAAAATGTGGTACTCTTTCGCGGAAGCTTTTCTTCTGCTCTGGTATGTTCTTCTTCTCTTCGGCCTTCTGTGCCAACTTTTCCAGTGTCACTTCGCTTAATCTTGCGCTTCCCTGATCGCCCTCTTCCCATCCCGTCCGCCCATCAACTTGACCTCTTTCGTTCAGGTTTGTCGCCCACATTGCAGCAATTCCAAGTTCAAACGGGCCTGGCTGCCTGTCAATCAAGCCAATCCCAAAGCTTTTCACCTTCTGCCGCAACATCTCTGATTGTGGCTCCGTGACAATTCCGTGATTCGTTCGCACAAACTCGTGCAGTTTGATCCAAACGGTCTCCCATTGCCCGGGATCATCTGGTCCCTCCGCGCCCTTGTGATATTTAGTGTACAATCGATGCTGGTGTATGTCCGACTCTACGATGGAGTCCGTCTGTAGGTTGACAAAATATTTCCTGCCGTCACTCTTTACCCGCAGCGCAAGGTACATGTAGGTATCGACGTTCCAAAACAACTCCCCGAATAGTGTTCTCCCTCGGTCTTCATTTCTCCATGCCGCGTAGCCTGTCCTTTGGATGTCTGGTCGATTGGCAGGCAGCTTCGTAGAAATGTTTCCATGAAACAGGATGTGCGCAGGAGTGGGAGAGTGCGTAGATACGTCGCGAGGCTTCTGTGTAAGTTGCACCGTTGAGAATCCGCCAACTGACTGGTCGGTCATGGTCTTCAGTGTTGTAATGGTTTCCGGATCTGCAAAGTCGAAGATAGGGTAGGGGGCAAGAGGTAGATGCAGGCCTTCGAGATTGAGAGCTGTTTATGGAGAGAAGTCAGCCCGTTCTTTCAACAAGATCACTTATGGTGCCTTCCGCCGCATCTCCCACAGCAATGCAATGGCATCCTGAAGCTCAGGAGAGGTCTGTAGCTCCCCAGTCGCCCATTTGGAAACCTCATACCGAATTTGGTTGCTCTTCCCAGTTCCTGGCCAGTCTTTTTCCAGAAGCCAGGCGCACAGCGCCCGACTGTAGGCAAAAACATGACTGTTGCTTTCCACGACGCAGGCCTTTATCCTCGCGATGACAGGTCCATGACCTTGTTCCAATTGCCTTTGCTGCCCTTGGAAGCTGCGCCCACAACGCTGCTCAACGTCATGGGCCTGCACGTGCTCGACGCTTGGCCTTTCTTCTCTCCAATCTCGCCCGCCAATAGTCCACCACCCGCTTCGGGATCAGCCGGCTAAACCCCGGCGCTAATAGGAGTCAATCTGGACATCTTTCATAGCCAAGCGGTAGATAGATAGCGACCTTTCCAAATATCGTTTAGCGCCTCCCGGGACGAGGCTGAATTCGTGAATTTCAACCGTTATTCTCATTGTTGTTTTTGTTTTCTTCTCTCGCTCAACTTCTTCCTCACTTCAAGAATGAGACAAGTTGTGTTCATCCAGAGATTTTTGGAACCCATCAATCACGTCAAAAGACAAAGGTTGTTGACGTGCAAAGGCACAGAAATGTCAACCAGTATGATGAACAAACTGACTTTGAAGAGAAGGAGGCTGATCGTGATCGAAACAGACATTGAGCGTCCAAACAGCATGGTGCCCAAGGAACAGCCCTTGCCTACCAAACACCCTCCTTTCTCCGTCTCGCGTTATTGAATGCTTTCAACCATGGACATACTATGTTCGACCTACTCCCTCGAGAAACCACATCTCCCCAGGTAGGTACAGGTACAAGCATTCACATGGAGCGCACAGGCGGTCAGGAAGCAAGGAGATGAAGAGGCCAGAGACAGGCCTTCTTTATGAACTTCAGAAATGGAGTTAAGAATAGGAGTGAGCGCTGGTGAATGCCAAGCCCGCATCATGAATACCCCTCGCGCTCTCAACACATTTCACTTTGACCTGTTACTCCTTTACACACTTCTCTTTACACTTCTCATTATTCCGCGTTTACAGCTTTCATTACGTCTTTAACGCCGTTGGCCTCCTTGTTCTAGTCATAGAAACCGTTTGCAGGGTAAGTACAACTTCTCCGAGTCTATAAACTTGATCTGGGACCAGACTGACCTAGAAACCATGCGAAACAGATAAGCCTGCAGAAATGGCCTCCCGCCTGGCCTCATCTTCATCCCCTCCCTCAAGACGGGTCACCATGCCCGCTCTCCCAGTCATCTTCCCCCGATCGTCATCATCAACGCCAAACCCGGAGATCGCAGTGATCACCGAGGACACAGCAAACATGAAGCTCGACGGCGAGCAGAGCCGTGTCGAAAACACTGAGACCGCTCAAGGTCTGTACTCCTCTGCCCTTCCACCTTCTCGAAACTATGGGAAAGAACCTTTTCACTGCCGGATTTGATGAGAACTGACAGTCTGTCGATGATCTTTAGTCTCTGCCTCTCTGCCATCATCTCTCCCAGATGATGGCAGGCCCCCCGTCCCAGATGACGAAACCCGTCATCTGGCTAAGACTCCGATCAAGCCAAGCGAGGAGGATGATGTCTTCGGCGCTTCAAACTCTGTTCCTGACGGCAAGGTCGCCATGAACACTGTTGCTCGTCGAATCATCAACAACCTGCGTGCCCCTGTTGGGTACAAGGGTTTTACTCCGCGACCAGACCGCGTAAATCAGGTCCCGACCGCCGCGAACGCGCAAGGTCTTTATCCACCAACTGCACTCATTTTTGTTGCGAAGTGAGTCTACAGATGTGGACCCTGGACAAAGTCGTTCTAACTTATTTTAGCTTGTCCAAGCATCGCTCCGAGGACCAACTCGAAATCGCCTGCCATCAGGCGTTCGATGGGTATGGCCCGAACCATGTCAAGATCCGCCGCGACAAAAATCATCATCCCAATGCGTTCATCCAGTTCCAGGTAAGCAAAATAGAGGAACGCCCGTACCATCCATCTGACTAACTGTTATTACAGAAGGATGAGGACGCCAATGCTGCGGTCGCAGGCGCGTATGGTCTTATCATAGACGGGAGAAAGATTCGGATCGAACAGGCTAAGGCAGAGCGTGGATCACACCCCATACATACATACGCCTGATAGAAGCTGACAATGACTCCAGGCGCCGTCATCCTCAGCAAGACTGATGGCACTATGGTCACAGAGGCGGAAACTCGTGGCATCCTCGAACGTTACGGTCCTCTCGAGCTCATCGCACCGACCAATATGGCTAATCGACGCCACGGTGGCTCGGGTAACGGGATGTACGTGAGATTCGCGTACTACCTCGACTGTCGCGACGCTCTCAAAGTATGTTTCCAATCTATTGCCCTGGGGAGTAACATTCTAACCCAGGAACAGTTCTTTCAGAATCACACCGCAGGCTTCCAGCTTTACATGGCACCTTCCCTCGAACCACGCATCCGCATCGGAGCCGACGGCGGCACTGTCATTGGTGGTTTCACCAACCCTCGCTCGGCTATTGACCAGAAGTCTATCTACGTTGGAAATCTGCCAGAGGGAACAACCCGTGCTGATCTTGAAGAGCTTTTTGCCGAGTTTGGTATCATCGTCCAAGTCAACATCATCAAGAAGACTTATGGTGAGTCCCATCATTGCCAATTCCACCACACCCAGTTTTCCTAACGCAGGATGCAGAGAACGAGGTCGTGAACAACTTTGCTTTCATCGAATTCTCCACTCCCCACGAGGCCAACCGTGCGGCTAGTGCCGAAGTAAGTCTATCCATCACTCTTCCCATGCTCCACACCACAAACTAACAATCTCCCCCACAGCGCTATTTGCAGGGCATCAAGCTTCGCGTAGAACAAAAGGAGTATTCTGCACGTCGACCCTCTCGTTTTTCCATGGCTCCAACCGCGCAGGTCGGAGCGCAGAACAATGGTTCAAGACACACCTATGGTGAACGCAACACCGGCTATCCAGTGCAGCAAGCCAACATGAATTACAATATTGGTGGAACTCCAAGAGTCTACGACCGCGTCCAGGGTCCCGCAGCTGGTGTCCAAGGTATGCCTGTCCACCAAATGACTCCCCCTTCCACCATCCAGTACAATCATCAGGGAATACCACAACCCATGTATGGCACTCCGCAACAGCAAGCATCTGCGTACGGCTTTGGCACAATGACGCCACCAAGCTACAGCAACATGAGCCACATGCTTCCAGCTGGAATCTTCTCTCCTACACCGAACCACATGGATCAGAATCAGCACCAACATGGCTTCGCTGGTCCTGCCGGCACTCCTGTCTACCAGTCTCCAGGTGTCTACGTTGGCCATTCTATCCCGACTATTCAAGAGACCTACGAAGAGGGAGAATATTAGCATTAAGGACGGCGTTCAGGGCGTTTAGGTGCAAACAGAATCCATATGTGCAACATTGAGCATGGAAAACGGGGCATGGACATGAACATACATCTCTTACGCATCACTCACATTCACATTCACAATCACATCAACATCAACATCATCGTCGACACATGGCTGGGGAACATCGAAACGGAACACAGAACCAAGAGATCTCTCAGAAGATGAGCTCAAACGAGCTGAGCTGAACTGCAACTCAATATGACACGAGCTGAGATAAACAGAATCATGGAGCTCGAACGAATGGATGGAATACGGAACACAAGAGAATCTCACAGAGAATGAGATTGAGCACGAGTTGAAGTGCAGCTCGATCATGGGAGGCGATCTGCTTTTTTTTCCCGGCTTTTGCTGGGGAGGACCACGAATGAAACGCGTTGCTGGAACTTCGGGTGAAAAAGGTGCAGTGAGGCGCAAATACAGGCGCGAAATAGCAGAGCAGAGGACAGCATAGCAGAAACAGAGACAGACTCTCTCCGCTGCTCATAACAAAATGAGGTGACGAGCTTAATATTGACTTGACCTTGACCTGAACTTGCCTTGGCCCCTGCCCTGAACTTGGATTTGGCTGTAAGCTTGAGCTCAAATTCCTCCCTTCTTAGCCCTGCGTCGCACACAGAAGAGGCGCCAGCTTCGATGTTGCCATTGTATATTGTCCTTACACAGCCCGCGCAGGACCCCGTTCCACCGCGCCCGTTCCACCCACGCAAGAAACCGGCCTGTTTTTCTTCATTTCTTCGCTCTCTCGCGCGGGCGGGCGGGCGATGTCTTTCTTCTTCACGAATGTTCACCAGCTGAGTCACACGGCCTTCCTTCCTCGAGAGCGACGTGGTCTGCCCGTCTCAGTGCGAGTACGTACAGTGACGAACGTGCGGCATTCTTTTCTTCGCCTCTCTTTCCTTCGACAGTCGGGCTGCCTAATTGTCTTCTTTCTCCCTTGGTTTTTTTTTTTTTTTTTTTTTTTTTTTTTTGGTTTTCTGTCCTCTTGCATTTGTCAACAAGTGCATGGCTAGAAGGGAGGGAGCTTATTAGTACGCACCGGCGGGCTCTACCCAGTACTGCTAAAATGCACGCACCTAGACACCTACCTAAGGTAGAGAGGTACTAAACGGATTCATTCGGGTGTCACCGTGTCAGTTTCTTCTTCTTCTTCTTCTAACTCGGTTCGTATTTTAGCTGGCAAGTTCTGTCCAATCGTCCAGCGCTCCCTCGCAACGCTTGCAGCCTTTTCGAGTGGTCTTACAGCCTGGATTTCATGACCTGGCAAGGATCCAATCAGCTTGGGTTCTTTGGAGTCGAATAGCCAAATTACAAGCCATGTACAATGAAACGCGGTTGTAGGTCAAAAACATTCGACAAGGTGAATGAGAAAGAAGAATGGCATATTCTGTAGATAGTAGTTCATATCATTGTGGTTCATTTAAAAACTCTCGTTCGTCATATCCAGTCCTCAGAACTGAATTCAAGGCTGAACCTCGGCGGGAGCCTGAGGGGGCGTCTGCGGCGGATTTCCAGCCTGGTTCCCTTGCAAACTTTCCAACAACTCCTCCGACATACCATCCAGCTCGTCTTCTTTGAGTCCAGTGGCAATCGCCACGAGCTTCCTATGTTTCCCAACCTTTTCACTTGCACCGGCATCACTCATAAGTTTGGCAATGTCCTTGACCAGTTGCCGGCGAAGGGTTTGTTGATTGTTGAGCTCGATCGCCCATGGCACCACGGCACCGATTTCCTCAGGGGACAATGGTGACGTGTTGGGAAAACGGAATGCTTCAGGACTCGTCTGCTGGTCTTGTTGGAACACTTCATTCTGTAGGGTAGCGTGCTCTTTCTGTTCGAGAAGAGACTCCACTTCGCTCAGACATGCTTCGTACTCCTGCCTCAGATTGGGGATCTTGGAGACATCCTCGATCTTTGCCATCAGCGGAAAGGTCTCTTGTCTAATCTTATGTCGCTGGTTCTCGAGCTCTGTCAGGGCGTGTTTCGCTTCCGCGATTTCTGTGTCCTTCTCCGACATCTGCAAATCGTACATGTCGGCTAACTTGAAGCTGCCTGCGTCCAGGAGAGGACCGATTTTGTCAAGCACCAACGAGGCAGCCCGGGACAAGGCTTCCTTCTGTCGCTTACGGCGAGATTGTTTCGACGAGAAAGACTCTCCGAGACGCGGTGGAGATGAGCCTGGTTGTTGGAGACTTTCTTTCTTTTCTCGAAGAGCTCTGAGGTACTCATTGGCAGTTTCTCCTTTTAAGTTTGGTATGTCTCCTGCTTCGGGACAATGGTTGAGGAGGAATGTTGCGACTTTGACGCATCCATTGCGGATAGCGCAGAGTGCCGCGGTGTCGTGATTGTGATCAATGGAGGTAAGGAGCGCCTGAACATAATTTGAGCCCATTTCATGCATTTTGTTGATCAATACTTCGCAATAGTACCGAGCGCAACTCCATTTGCCCCGGGAACGCGCTGACTCGGCGATATGGTGAAAGACGGTCGCTCCATAAGCGTCTCGCTCCACAATCGTTCCAGCCAAAGACTGCAGGATTTTTGGAAAGGTCTTCTTGTCACAGTTGTTGGTGAACAAGACAGCCCGAATCAAGGGAGTCTCCAGTGAGCTCTTGTTTTGAGCGGCAGGATTTGCACCGCGTGCAAGGAGGTCCCGTGCAACAGTGACATCACCCATGGCGCAAGCCCAGTGCAGAGCATTATTACCCAGGTTGTCGATGGGCCGATCAACATCGAAGTGTGCGGGCGGTTCTGGAGGTAGGATGTTGGCAGCAGCCGGATCATCACCAGCAGTAACAAAGTAATCCAGCAACTCATCGCCATACATGGTATGTTCGAGGTCCGAGGCAGTGGGAACCGGTTCTTCGAAATCTCGCTTTCGCTTTCTCGAAGCCGTCGAATTTTGAGAAAGGGGAAGGAAGTCGTCTTCGGCCATGAATGAAGCAGTCTCTGGAGAACGCTCTCGACTCTCCGTTCCATTATATTGTACACTGGCACTTTCGTAACCGTCCGGTGGGGGGTAATGCTGGGCTGTGAACGTAACAAGTAAGCGTTGATTTCCTTGGGAAGGATGGGGCGATACTTACTCGGCTGCGAAGGGACTTTTCGGGGAACCACGGGTTGTTTTTGCTGCTTTGATCGGTTTGACACAGCCGTAGTATGCTTGGGAGCAGGAGGAGGGCTACGATCCCCTGCAACAAAGTCGAATATTTTGGCGATGCGGTCAATAACACCATGCTTCTCGGCCAGAGAACGGCCTTCATTCAGAGGGACCCATGTTCCTTGATATTTTCCATACCCGCCTTGAATCTTCTCGTGGACGCCCTTTTGCACCTCACGTTCGAGGATTCTTGTTCTGGCTGGTTTATCAAAGCCGGCAATCTTCAGAATGTGAGTAGCATTGACCCAATTGTCAGATCGGCGGCGCATAACATGGTCGCCGGCAACCTTGAGCTCATAGACGGGAACCTGCAGTCACATGTCAGTCAGTGTTTGAGGGAGAACAAAGGAAACAGGGTGAGGGTACGTACATTGCTGTAAGTGGCAGAGTAGATTTCCTTGTCTGCCATTTTGGGCTGTGTTGTAGTGAGACCGAAAGGGGCAAGTGAGACAAGGAGGCGAAGGATAGTATTATATTGGCATGGCCTCACGAAATTGTCAAGCAGCGGTGGTGGCAGTGAGTGGATGTGTTGTTCAACTGCCTGCGGCGTGAATCTGCCAGTGCCAAAGGGGTCCGCAGCGAGCGGCACCTGCCTTGAGTAACACGCGACAAAGGAGAGCGAGAAATTCGCACGCTGGACGCGTTTACGCGCGATGCTGGCGGAGATGGCGGGGTGAATGTGGCAGCCAACCACAGACCGCGCGCCAAGACATGACGTCCGGCTTAGTCATCTCCTTTGTCCCCCCTCTTGGTCCCCTCCAGATCTGGGATTCTTCCCGAGGCATCTCCGCAGCCGCTGCGATGCCTTTGAAATCAAAGACAATATCGGATGAGGCAAAATGCTGCACTCGTTGCTCGCGTCATCGGGACTATAAGGAAAAGACTGCACCCATCCAATTGATGCTCCATAGACCTTTCAACGTCATCTTGTCTTCGATGTTCTTCGACTGCTGACAATTCAGGGGCAATTTGGTTGAGATAAATATACAGAACTGTCTCTCCTCTCGAGGTACGCCCCCCATTCCAAAGCATACTTAATCGATCAAGACATTGATCGACAGGCAAACAAGTTGCGACTGACGTTTCTCTCCTATGCAAGCTGCTATTTCTCTTAGAACCATCAGGGCATCTTCCTCGCTTGGGAGGAACCTGTCGCGTTCGGCTGCTTCCTCTCGATCTGTGGCCTCTCCTCTTCCTCGGTTGTTTAGTTCCAGCGTTCCTAGATCGGCCAACATGACAACAGGCACTTTCAAGTATATAGATCCCGCTTCTTATGTCGACAGCGATGTCCCCTTCGTGAAGCCGTGGGGCAAAGTCGATGGTCCCGGCTACTCATTCAAATTGACGGATCGCAAGCGGCCGGTGGAAGACATTCGCGGACATGAATCAAACTTTTCGGTTGACACGTCCGGCTTTGCTGTGTACAAATCCCCTGCGCAAGAGAAGGCTTTTACGGACGATGCAACGGTTCGGGAAGGGTATTATGCCGAAGTGGAGGCTCTGCTGCGGGAGAAATTGCCCGGGGTGAAGAAGGTGGTTTTCTTCGACCATACAATTAGGAGGAGAGAGAAGGCTTCCCCTCGCCAACCCGTGCAGCAAGTCCATGTCGATCAGACACCCAACGCGGCGGCTGTGCGGGTGCGCCGACACTTGCCCGCGGAAGAGGCAGAGGAGCTGCTTAAAGGCCGCTATCAGATCATCAACGTATGGCGACCCATCGCCAACCCAGCCACCGACTTCCCCCTTGCGGTCGTTGACTACCGCACAACTGAGCCCTCTGACATGGTCAAGGTCGATCTGCTCTACCCGAAAAGAGAGACCAACGGATTCCACGACGACGACGACCGGGGCAAGGAAGTTCTTCCCGACCCAAGCTCAGCTTCATCTACCGCCGGTTATGAGGTGAAGGGCGAGACCTTCGCAATTAGGCCCAACGACAAACACAAGTTCTTCTACATGAAGGACATGACGCCCGAAGAGGTCATGTTCATCAAGTGCTTCGACTCCGCCAGCGAGGTCAATGGTGGCAAGAAAGGGGTGGCCGGATACACGCCGCATACTGCCTTTGTGGATCCGCAGACACCTGCAGACGCGCCTGGGAGACAAAGCATAGAAGTGAGAACGCTGGTCTTTTATGAATAGAATTGCGTGGGTTGCCTACGCCATATATATATATATATAGAAAAATGAAGCGTATAGTTGCGACTTTAAAGTGGCATAGCCCAAGGAGGTTTCAGTTAGCGAATCTTCCACAGTGATCAAAAAAAAATATGACATTGTCAAGAACAGCTTTCCTTTCCAATTATTACATGCTACAACCTGTCATTTCGGACACGTCCACTCGAAAAGAGCTGGACTACTCTTCCTCGTCGATTCTCAGCACAACCTTGCCTCTTGTCCTGCCACTGCCCAACCGCTCAAAGGCCTGTTCGAAGTCTTCGAATTTGAACACACTATCCACCACAGCCCTCACTTTCCCCTCTTCAGCCAACTCGGTGATCTTGGCCAGCTGCTCCCCAGAAGGGTGCATGACGAAGAACTTCCCGTTGACGCTCTCATCCACGCCCTCGGGGCGATCCAGGACGAACTTCCACTGCATATCTGCCGGTGGCACGATAGACAGGACCTGCCCGCCTTGCTTGACTGCGTGCCATGCCTGTTCGAGCGAGGAGAGTCCAATGCAGTCAAATACCAAATCGACCTTTCGTTTAGCGGGGTCTTGTTCGGCCCAAGAGCGGATGTTCGTGGTGCGGTAGTCGAGGACTTCATCTGCGCCGAGGGAGCAGACAAAGTCGAGGTTGTTGGGCCCCGTGGTGCCGATCACGTACAGACCGATGAGTTTGGCGAGCTGGACGGCCCAGATTCCGACCCCGCCGGAGGCGTTGGTGATGAGGATACGCTGCCGCTGCTGGATGGGTGGCTTAACCGTAGCGAGGGAAGGAGGGGGGAGTTTGAATTGCTCGAACAAGGCTTGCCACGCGGTCAAGGCGCTAACTGGCATAGTTGTTGCTTCATTGATGGACAGATTCTTTGGACGAAGAGCGAGTTCAGTGTCGTCAGAGACTGAGTATTCCCTTGCACCCCCGGCTTGGGGGTAAGTGACGCGACCGTAGACCTCGTCTCCCGGTTTGAATTTCGAGCTCGAGGATGGAGACGTCACCACACGAGCAACAAATTCTACGCCGGGTGTTGAAACGGTGAGCTCTTCGGGGCGAGGCCAGAGGAGTTCGCCTGCCGTGAGGGCCACGGCGTGAGGTTGTATGAGGTATTGAGTGGAGGATGGAGTCGGGAGAGGAGTCGAGGCAATGGTCAGAGTGTGCTTCTTCTGGTCGTGCAAAAGGGCGCGCATTGTGCTGGGTAGTCTGGTTGCGGCCATTGTTCTCTGTAGTTTGAGCGAATGCCGAGTAGTATGATACTGGAAGATTTGTAGAGGAGGATGTTTTGTAACGATCTGCTCAGACAGAGTGATTGCTCACAACAAAGGGACTCCTACCTTTTATACGAAGACGTTGCTTTTCAGCACTGAGTTCATGCTCCAGGACATCATCCACACAGTACAGGATCTTGCCGCCGGCAACGATTCTCTTGGGCAATTTGGCCTTCGCTTTCTTTCCTGAGTTGTTGGAGGGGCCTCTCTCACACCATATTTTCTCGCCCTTGGTCGCTGAATGGGATGCCGTCTTCGCCCCATGCTCGTATCCTGTCCTCGGGAACTGGCTTGGCCTGCTGGGCGTGATGACATGTGTGACTTCCTTTCTGGTACAAGGGAACTCGCAGTGGCCGGAGTGCATGGAGGAGTGACAGAAGCCAATTGAATCGCAAAGTTTCCTTCCTCTTCGAGACAAGCAAACGACAAGCGAGAAATGCATTACTAAGAAGCCAGGGGGGAGGGAGCGGGGGTGTTTGAACTTGTGGGCAGCGAGGTGGCTTGCTTTGTCGAGGGAGAAAAAGTCGCAGGCACTTGGCGCAGTGGGTGAGTTGCATGGCTCGATGATCGATCGGGCTTTTCGGCGTCGGCTGCTTCCAAGTTCCAGCACTTCCGCGGGCCCTTTTTGGACTCGTTCAAAGACTGATGCTAATACCTTCGAGGCAATTGTAAAAGTGGAATGTGGTACGTACCCTGCGAGCCAGGTAAGTGAGGTAGCATCCACCTTATGCTTATGATTGAAGTGATGCCTCAGCTCCACCGACGGACTATGCAGGGAATTAGGCAGCCAGTCTCTGATCTCATTATCCAGCCGAATATCAATCGTCCTTACTAACGGGTGAAGATGAAACTGTCCTCACACACTCTCTCCCTCTAGACAACGACTGCCTCCATTCACATGTCTCTCGTTCTTCAGCTTGCCGATGAGGCCGACGCTCCTCGCATTGTTGAGATCGAGCGTCTTGCCTATGCTTCCAACCCTCTCAACCCTATCCTGTTCCCGGGACCGTTTCCGCCCGAAGCTACGGCAGCGCGTGCAGAAGGGCTCGTCAAGCAACTCCATGAAGATCCAACCGTCCGGTGGATGAAGGTGCTAGATACCGAGACGGGCGAGGTCGCTGCATTTGCGAAGTGGAACATCATCAAGGAGCCCAGAGAGCGGTCTCGGGCTCGACAATTTGGCCCTGGATGCAACGTCGAGGCCTGTGAGGAGTTCTTCGGTGGAATCCATAGAAAACGAAATGAACTGATGGGAGGGAAAGCATATTGCTGTAAGTTGACTTTCCACTGACCGGACAAGCTCATGAGACTTCACTGAGAGAACTCAACCAGTACTTGATCTACTCCAGACGGATCCAAAATACCAGGGGCGAGGCGCGGGAGGAATGCTGATCAAATGGGGTCTTGATATCGCAGACGAGCTCCACCTTCCTGCCTATCTTGAGTCGTCCCCCGTCGCCCACAACCTGTATCAGAAATTCGGCTTCCGAGATATTGACAAAACGACCCTTAATCCCAAATGGAACTACGGGTCGGCGGATGCGAGCATTTATTTCATGCGCAGGGAAGCAAAATAGAGGCTGTCATTCGTCTGTCAAGAAGCATAGCAGCAGAGACTCCCAATGTTTACTTCGGAAGCAAGCTTTGCAAAAGACTAGGCATAGCATTGAGGCGAAGGCTTATTCATGTTCACGCAAAGGGAAGTTTCACTTTGACAAAATACTGGTAAGAAAAAGTGCCAAGGCAACTTCCCGATTTTATCCAGAATACTCACCTTCTTGATTGGGACTCATTCTCCACGTGCGCAGTCACAACGAAGCCGGCTATATAACCTGTTCTGCTGTCATGACGGCACATTTCGGCTCTTTTCGATCTTGGGGAAGGGGTACAAGAGGGTCAAACCTATGCAACAAGTTCCAACCGCATCGTGCAGCATTTCGCCTCAATGCAGCTGCTGAATAAGGCTTCTTATATCAGATAAGTCAGCATTAACTACCGATGCTTATCTGGTGACCTGCTACCTGAAATCATACATGCCCGATGAGTGGTGGTTATTGTTCACCGGTATTTATGGTTGACCGACATTCTCGCTGCTCGTACAGGAGCCATTGTCGCCTCCCCTCGGTGCTGCCGAAACTTCAGTTGTTCACTGCATCAAACTGACGATTCACCATGGAAGAAAATCCGACCAAGGAAGGCATTGCGCCGCTTCCTACAGCATCCTCGCTAGGCAAGCGCATACACTATGATGTGGTCATACATTGAGGTGAAAGGTTCTAGTACCCTCGTCAGTTTTCGGGTTTTTCATCTGTCTTCGAGTTGCTGCATCCTACATGTTGTTGGAACACTTGTCCTCCATATCATACGCGCGAAAACGTCTCCGGGGACCAAGGTTTTCCTGTCCTTTTATGAGCACTAGGTATCACGAGCCGTTAGAGATTAATTCAAAGGCATCTCCAACATGTCGATCCGTGCAAAGGGAAGGGGCGGATATAACTGACGGAATCGACGACTTCGGACACTTTCCCCACACGACCAGTTAATTCCGCTTCGGCATCTCGATCAAACAAAATTTTCCAGCTTCGCTAAGGAACGGGTCGAGGCAAATGGGAAGATACAATCAATCTCGCGCCGGAATAGATGAGCTCGCTCTTAGCCACGGTGAAATGACCATCAAGACTTCAGCACTCTGTTCCGGAGGCTTTCATGGAGACGAGGGGGGAAGCTGTGCACAAAGACACCGGAGATGAATCATCCACATTGGAAATCGGAACATTCAACATGGCAGGTTTTATTGAGCCCAGGGTTTGCCGTTTCTCTCTGGCTGGTCGAAGGAGGCGCCCATCATCCAGCGCACAGAGCACACAAGTCGAGAGAAGAACGAAAAAGTAATCAATATTAGATCCCGATGTTGAGGTGGTCGATTCGATCTATGTGTATATATACTCCTTACCGAGCGATGCCCGGCGACGAGGCTGAGCCGCCCCTTATCACATCCTCACGTTTTCCTCTCCCGCCAGTTCTCTCTTTCTTACAATGTCGGTGTGTTTCTCTCTCAGGCCGACCAACCATGGTATTATATATAGTGATGGGAGGGGGGAAAAAGGCGACACTTAAGAAAAGCACCGAGGCTCTCAACCTTCCAACTGAAAGGCGCGGGAATGGCTAGCTACGTAGCTCATCAAGGGTATTTAACTTAGCCTAGGTCGAATAGTATCTCATCTCATCTCATCCCAGCTCATGTCATTTCTTTTCTTTTCACGCCACGTCACGTCATGCTTCGCCTAGGTTCTGTGGTGCTGTAGTATCTACGGCGAGTCCAGTCCTGTTCTTGTCAGGGTGGACGACCTCGACCTCGACAACCTGGCCGTCAATGTGCCAACAGTCCTCAAGAAACTCCCTGGCCTTGCGGAACGCGTCGAGCTTGAGCTTCCGTTCTTCGTCGCTGATCCACGAGTCCGGAAACTGCGTCCAACCGTGCACTACACCCTTGACTTCTTCGACAATCAGATCTTCACCTCTGCCTACGTCACGGACTTTCTGGATCCAAGCCAGGCTCTGGGCGTTCAACGAGTCGAACTGGGGTAGCACCAGGAGCACCTTGGCTTTCGGATGCAGGCCGAAATTCCCTCCGTCGTTCGCTCTGATATCCGCGAGCCCTGGGCTCGCTCGTGGATGACCCCGCTGCTCCGGAGGCAGATATGTGGGCATCAATTCCTTTTCAATCTTCCAGCGTTCGACGAATCCACTAGGAGGGTCCAGACCTTCTGGCCTTGGCCTCTCGTGCGGCAAAAGCCTGGCGTCAAAGCTCGGATAGAACAAGAGAACTGGAATCTCGTTCGGCCATTCCCAGGGCAACGGACTCACCCAGTCAGTCTCCGACGTCGGGTCATCCTTGATACTTAGTGCCAGGTTCAGAGCAAGATTGCCTCCCGAACTGAAGCCTGACAAGGCGACTTTTTCCTGGTCCAATTCGACAGGTTTCCGTCCTCGTTTCAGCATCTCCCACATCTACGAAGCGACGTTAGTCAGTACCGTCTTTGATGAAGTTCACAATGACAACATCTTTAAATGCCACACTCTCCTTCAGAGATGAGGGGGACTTACTATCCCTTCTCTAAGCGGCTCGTATGCTCTGTTGCTTGGGTCGATCACCGCGAGCACCACGTCTTCGGCGTCGAGGTTGGCCGCGGGAAATTGCGCATACGGACCAAGTCGATAGTCTACCGAGATAACGACGCAGTTCAGCTCACGGCACATCCGGGCGCAGAAGGGGGCTTGCTCTTGGCATGAACCGAGAATGAAGCTGCCACCATGGAAATCGATCAAGACGGGCAATTTCCCGTCATGGTCTTCATCAATGCCTATGCCCCGAAGAGCATCCTTTAGATGCGAGCCAGCCGCGTTCTTGCGTTGGTGGAACAGGTGGCGATGGCGGTGCTTGCGGACTGGTGGGATGAAGACGTAGACGGGGATAAGATGCTTGCCTCGCGAGGGGATCTCGGAGACGATGGGCTGCGGACCCTCGGAAGCGGTGAAGTTGAGGACAAAGTCCGGGACAAGGCGCGGGAGACTGACGAGGGCTTTTCGCCATGAGATGCCGAAGGGCTGTGTGAACATGGCTTCAGCGGGGTTCTGGTCATCGGTATACTTGTGCTTCATTGGGAAGGGCAGAGCTCGTTTAGCTCAGCTGTACAGAGTGGCGTGGATACCCGACCACATCAGCGTATCCGTGCGGAAGCCGACGTTGGATTGCTATTCAAGATGCAAGTTCATGATCCAGACCTGCACACCTCGAAGATTGAGGAGAACGTTGGACATTTAGTCAGTGCTGGGTGAGTGCTGGGTGCCTGGTCGTCGATATGGGACGTGGCAGTGGCTGAGCTGGCACTTGGGGCACTTGGTAAGTCCTATCACTGATTGGCCGGTCGATGCTTAGGTAATGAAGGCGTCAGGAATGTCATTGAGACGCCGCTTTAAGCACCAGAGTGCAACGCGATGAACGCGTCTCACCATCAATTCGATCGCGCCGCGTCTGAACATTACACTTACCTATTGTATGTAGCTCGAAAGAATGTTCAGTGGCAAGCTGCACCAACTGCGAGCTAAACATCGATAAGCGAGACGACAAATCTGCCAATCCCTCTCTGCTGGACTAGGTAACGATCTTGCACACATCAGGGTCGCAACAACGCATCATGCTGGTCTGGTTGGCTCGCCTAATTCAATAAGGTTGAATGTTGAAAGGATCGTCGCTGAGGGGCAGGGCAGAGAGGAGCAGAGAGGAGCAAAGAGGAGGCGCCAAAGGGACAGGGGGTGTCGATATCATCGACGGTCTACTGATATTGCGGGCGTCGCTGTCGATCCATGAGCACCTTCCTGAAAGAGGCATGCAGGCGCACTCTGTACCTCGCACGACTACACCCATTCCAAGCACCGTCGATGATAGCAGCCTCCGAGATGCGGTCCCTGTCCTCGACGGAATGTCACCCATCAGGCCATAAGAGTCCCACCATTCACCCCTAGACAGACGCCAGTCATCCACCGGGCTCTTTCTTCGCAAAAGAAGGCAGCGGCATACGCCATCTCCTCTGTTTCGCCAAGTCGTGATCCTGCAGGAGTCATGGCTAGCATTGGCTCCAGGCTGTCGCGAGTCGCACCCGTGAGTTCGTTGAACGCGTCGGTACTCGTGGCCCCAGGGCAGATGGCATTCACAGTACACTGGTACTCCCGGCCCAGTTCACTTTTGGGGAGGTGGAATCCATCAGTCTTCGAGCGCTCAGAGAAGACAACCGCTTATGATGAGAGAAGGCAAACATATATGGGTGGGAGACTGAAATAACTTACACGGCCCAGCATCGAGTGAAGCTCTCAATCATGCTTTTCGTGCCGTTGTAAACGCTCGCCCCCGGATACGGCTGTCTAGCTCCGCTTGAGCTCACGTTGACAATCCTGCTCGGTTTTGCCAGATGCGGCAACACGGCCTGCGTCAAAAAAAAGGTTCCGCGGCCGTTCAAGTTGACTTGTGAGTCCCACTGCTCGACGGTGACGTCCTTCAGGAAGCACATCTTCGCTATTCCAGCGTTGTTGACCAGGATGTCGACTTTGCGGCCGTTCGTTCGCCTGACAGTCTCTTCGACAAGGTGTTTTGGCCCGCTGAGCGTTGACAAGTCTGACTCGACCGCGAAGCACTCGGTGACATGGCTGCCGCCGGTAGCGCGCATCTTCTCCAAGGTGGACTCGGCTTCTTGTTGAAGTGAAGCGAATGGGTAATTCGTGACCACGAGGGCGCCTCTGGATCAGAGGGCGGCGTTAGCTCAGTGTTATTTTTCAGAAACGTGTGTGGACCAGACACGCCCGATTCAGCGATTCGACACCATACCTGGAAGCAAGCTCAATCGCAATGGCCGCGCCAATGCCTTTCGAGCTTCCGCTCACGATGGCCAACTTTCCATCTAGGGTCTGCGGTTTCTGCGCCATGAGTGTTTTGATGCGAGTTTTGTTTGTTTGGAAGGACGGTCGACGTTTGTCGTTGAAATGACTTGCACGCAGCAGCAGCAATAATAAGGGGAACACTCCGAAGGGATGGAATTAATACAAACAGTGGGTTGAATGCGTGTTCCCCCTTACCCTTGTGCCCTGTCATCTCGTCCAGCCGGATCTATTCACCCATACACTCGTCCGAGCAGTTAACTGGATAATTAGTCAGGTCAGTCAGTCGCTTAGGCTAGTTGCATTGGATAGTTGCCCGCCCAGCGGCCGCCAACGCACTCAGCAGCCCAGCCCACCCCTAGCTCGGTCGAGATGGAGCAGTGTCTTGTTCGATATGGACGCGAAGGAAGGGGAGGGGGTTTGCGGCCCCTCGCTTAATACGGTCTCCTCCGAACAGCAAGCAGACGTGAGACAGACAGATCTGCAGGTAACCGCCGCCGCCGTGTAATGGTGCCAGTCTCGGACCATACGCACGGGAGGATGCAGCATGCAGGATCTAAAGCGCGCAGATAGATGTGCTGCTGAGGCCCAATAGTGCTTCAACACGACATGACACGACATGACTGAGGTGCATGCCAAACAACCACCGACACCACACATTAACACAGCATAAAACAACAGTTAAGAGTTGGAAGAGAGAGGGATGTGCCCAGCGCCCGGTCCTCAGGCCGACCCCCTGGCTCAGGATCAGAGTCAGTGCAACTGTCCCGATATGAGCCGTATACCTAGGATTGAGATCACCTACATCCTTTACCTGCTGTGCTACTCGCACGTAATGTACATACTAATGCAATGCAGAGATTCCACAGTACTAGGTATGCATTTCCTACCCCATACTGCTCCGGCGCAGTCAAGAAGCTCCTTCGAGGCACATATCATCATCATCATCACCCCTCTCAGCGATCGAGCAACTACATAATAGCACCCTGGAGCACCCTGGCTTCAGGTATACATAGGTGTAGATATAGAGAAGTATACCCTGTCCATCTCCTCTACTTTGGCCCCCTCCTTCCCATCTTGTCTATTGCACGCTTGTCGAGCGGAAACAGAAAGAGCGAGCGTGTTGGCTCAAATAAACGGGAGAAGAGAAGTGAAGAAGAGACATGCGCGAGGTCTCGTTACTCATTGGTCGTGTGGTGTGGCGTGTTGTGTACTCGTATGCTGCTTCATAACAATATCTTCATCGATGCCCTAGAATACCAATAAAGCCCCTGGAGCAAAAGAAAAAAGGGCCCGCTCTGTGTCCTGAAGTTCATTGCAAGTTGCCGACATCTATTACTTTCCATTATTTCCATTGCCACCATTTTTTGCCTTCCCGCCGCCCCTCTCACTCCTGGCCAGGACCTCTTTACATTCATCACAATACCACTTGGCGCTCTTGGGCACGCTTTTCAGGCCAATGCACTCCAAGTGAAACCATTGCCTTGGACAATCGTCCCTATCGCACGCGACCATCTCTCCATAACTCACGCCCTGGCAATAACAATATCGTTCCTCGTCTTCCTCCGCCCCCTCGTTTTCTTCGTCCTCTTCGTCCACCTCTCCCGCACCGACATTGTCCGCGGTGCTGTTCAGAACCAAGTCACGCTCTGACGGGGTGGAGGACTTTGTTGGGGGGTCGGTCTCATCTTTCAAGCGTTGATTGTTGTTCGTGGCGCCCGTTGTGGAAGGGAACGATAGACTGCCACTCTTTTTGTGAGGTCGTTTCATTGGCAATCCTTTAGGTGACAGTGAATCGTGGAGACCGTGATCCTTCACTCTCGGTCTGGCAGGTCGTTTGGTCTTATTAGCAGCGCCACCATTTCCGGCTGTCGACGAAGTCTCTGCTGCTTCGGCCTCGCTGAACGTCCCTGCAATGGGTGTTGACGTCTTTGAGGCTCTACCTCTTCCTAAGCGCTCATTCTTCAGTTCATTCGTCTGCAGAGCTAGTGACAGACGAGGCGATGCTGTCCCCTTCGTAGATGCATCGTCTTGAAGGTCGCCCCTGGGGGCATCTTGCTTGCTGGAGGACTTGTCCGCTGATGCGGCACCTTTAGCCGGATGTTCGTTAGTTACACCGTTCAGGCTTGCAGACTCCTCTTCAACCAGTCGCTCTCCTTTATCGGCCTTCGTGTCCTTCATAATATTCTTGACTTCACTTGCGCTCTTTCCGCTGACGGCAGCCGAGCTGCTCAGCTCCGATGCACTAGCAGTGACATTGTTGCCATTTCCATTTCTGCTCGACGTCAGGGAAGAAGGCCTGCCTTTCGCGCTTTCGACTGTATGTGTAGAATTCTGGCGTCCTCGTCCCGCTGCGGGGCGGACTGCGGAGAGTGCAGGACTTCTCTTATAAGCTTCTTTCCCTGTTGTCCCAGCGAGCGGTGAGGAGGCAACCTTGGGCGAGTCTTGAGTCGCAGCGTTGATTCTGTAGCTCCAAACTTTAGCAGGATTCTTCAATATCGAATTTGACACATACCGTTTCCGAGCCACAGAGGTAGCGGTTGCCGAAGCCTTTCTCTTCTTCGCATTTTCCTGCTGTGAATTCTCTCTGGACATTGGGCGGCCTCCGAGCGCACTACTGATCGAACGTTCCATGGCCACAGCCGCGGTTGCAGGTTTTTCGGGTCTCTTCCTCTTCCCTGTGCCGGCGCCGGAGATGCCCAGGCCAGCGGCATCTGGGGCAGCCTCAGCCACCCGCTTCTTACCGCCGGTGGTGGTTTTCCGTGGCGGCGGTCTCGAGTCATCGAAGTCGGAATCTGCATGATGCGCCGCCACCCGCTGCCTCCTGGCAAGGAGCGCCTCTCTTCGAGCTTCACTCCGATGCGCGACTTCGCTCTCATGCAGAGTGGCTAGACCCGCAGCCGCAGCCTCTCTCCGGGTAGTAGGCGCAGTAGGCTTCTTTACGGGATTCGTCTCGGTATAAGCCCAATGCTTCAGGCTTCCCAACCTCGCTTCCTCCGAGATCTCCTCGGCGATGTGCGGCCAGATGCGATCCAATCTGCGAATGTGCCTGGCCACCTCTTCATTGGCATTGTTGATGACGTGGTTCTTTTCATCCATGGTGACCATGATCGCCATGAGATTTTGTCTTAAGGCGTGATATTGTTGTCTTCGCTGCATGATGGTAGGGTCGGCCGAGCGGGCGGAGGCAAGGGAGGCGTTGTCAAACGAGGTACCGGCGACGCTGTTCGCTTCGCTGAGATTGGGAGCATCATCTGCTGCCACGGAGCCAGTCAGGCTCTGAGAAGCAGCAGCTAGATTTCTCGTTGCGGTTGCACTGTCGGTCAAACACTGCTCCAAGATGTCTTGTAGATTTCCCTCGGGACCCCACGCTTTTGCGTCGACTTCCTTCAACAAAGAAGTGTGGCGACGATATTCTCGAGGCAAAGCGGCAATCGCATCGGCGAACTGAGTAATGGCGGGGTACATGCCCGGCGGGTCATTGTTATTCTGGTTCTGCGAGGCGACGGCGTTGGAGGAGGATGCCAGAGCAAGACCACTGTTGGAGACAAGTGAGTTCTGGCGCAGGAGGGTCGATCCCAGGCCCTTCGAGGCTCTAGCAGGGTTGATTCGAGTCAAGCGAGATGGGCCGCCTCGCAAGTTGGAGGTGCCCAGCGTGGTAGTGGTAGTCATTGTCGTTGTGGACATAAGGATATCCGATGGTGAGAAGGTCGAAGGACGAAGACGAGAGCTGCGAGGTGGGCGATCAACAAGGATGACCTGACGGGAAGTTCCAACAAACTGTCACAGCATCGGATGAACGAAAATAGTCGTGATTAGTACAGCCAAAAGGAGACGCTCGGGGAAGTCGACGGCATCGTAAAAGAGACAAAACCAAGTGCTGGTGAATGAGGATGAGGGTGGTGGAAAATGGGAGCGCAGCCAGCGTTGCGCGCATCTCCCCCAGTCTCCTTGTGCCTTGTGCCTCTTCCGCTCGATGGATTCTCCAATCGGTGGTTGGTGACATCAATTCACCGACCAAAGTTTCTCCGCTTTTTTTCCCCCATCACGTGCTCCAAGGTTTTTGTTAGTCAGGCTCAGTCCTCAGCCTCGTAAGATATCTCAGCCTCGCTAGGGGCAAGGCTGCCCCTCACTCTTCTCTAAACAAGCCAGTAGTAGGCCTCCATGATAATAGTTTCGTGGACTAAGAAAACACATTGTATTCAGGACCAAGCCCATTACGCCTATGGCTAATAATCATTCATAACTTCACTTTACTCACTAAGAGTGGCCAATCTTTGCAAGGACAATAACAATCGTCAAGGTCATGAACCTCTTCCCTTTCCAACAGTCTTATCAACTCATCGTCGAACAAAGTCCTTTTAACCTTCTTGCCATGCTCCGCCATGGCGTCAGAACTTCAAATCCACCCGTCATCGACTGTTGTTGCCTGACCGCGGCCAGCACCCACATTCAATGCTAGTTGTGGAGGTTCGTCAGTTGTTTTCTTCACTGGGCTCTTTTTGGGGCTTGCCGTTTCCCTTGGTGGCCCTGCTCTGACGTCTTCCACTGGCCACTCGTCTGTCTTGGCCGCTGCAACCCAACACTTCAAACCCTCATGAACTCCGGAGTAGAACTTTTCTTTGCATGTTCGAAGGCTGCCCCCCATCACTTTTTCGAATCCGGATTGTTTTAACTCCTCTCGCAACGAATTACGGTCTTTCGCCGTTGGCAGGCAGGCAATCAGCCCATTCAACAAGTCCAGGTGAGTCGCGAGGTACTGCGTCGCTTCCCATTCAACTCCTCCCACGTACGGAGCTGCTGGGTGGGGTGGTCGGGGAGGCGGGAAGTGTGCTTGACAATATCCCACCGACTCATCAACCTCAACAATGGGGATAACGTTGAGATGATGCAAAAATATCCAAAACACTTCCTTGGTGACATTAACAACTTCTTTGCACCAGACTCGGTAAGGACGAGGAGTATGCATTTGTGAGACAAAGTCAAGCGGCTGCTTGCCATCCTCCGGTGCAGGATCCCTGAGGAACCCAAGGATTGTCTGTGCTCGTGCATAAACAAGCTCCTGATTAGAGCCGACGTCCGCTGACAAATGAGCGAAAAGAAGTGATATTATGACTCCTCTTGTATTGAACTCTGATGGACCCTTTCTCTCGGGATCAAATAACATGTGCAAGAGAACAGGAAAGAACTCATGCTCCACTTGCTGCAGACGTTGTAGAGCAAGCGAGGTCGTACATAGCCCTTTCAGGCACAACAACGCCTCGTGAAGGAGGTTGTCTTCATGTTCTTCTCGCCACTCGATCTTTGAAATGCGGTAGTACAGTTGGACTAGTTCGTCCATGCCGCCCTTGCTCACGAAGTGATCGGTCCAAGAGATTGATTCATTCCTCAAGAGAATCCTCAACTTGTGCAGTTTGCTCACTTCGACTAGTGCGGGCTTCTGCACTTCCCGAAGGTAATGAATGAAATCGCCCGGAGTGGTGGCGCTCTCTGCCGGGTTGAGGGATGCCAGCGACGCTGTCGAGGCCATGGCTTTCGCCAAGGTCGGTCTGGAGCCGGTCAAGTCGGCAGATTTGTTCCTGGATTTGCTGCGTGATCTCAGGGATGAACTTGGTCTGTCTTGCTTGGGGGGAGAGTCTTCCTCCCGTCTGGTCAAAGTCAGGATACGACTTCTCGGGCGGGATCGCGACCTGGATCGTCTGCCATCCTTGGCCTCTTTAGCCCCCTCACCCTCACTCTTTGGTCTCTCATTCTCCTTCCTGTGAGAGTTCCTGGCTGCTGAGCTGGCCTCCTGGCTATCAGTTAAGGCTAACGCCGTGGATGAGCCACTGCCAATACGCTCACCCTTCATCAGGCCTGCCTTCACATCCGGCTTGAGATTTCGCATATTGTCCCGCATGTTGAGGGGGATGTTCAGGGAATCTAACACCTTCTCGAAGGCTGAGTCTAGTTCTTGCGGACTCAGAGGGGAAGTCGCGGCAGTCGGGGTCTCTGGGACCGAGCGAGCGCCCTTGCGGGCTCTCATGTTGAAGGTTTGGATTGCTTCGAAGACCCTCGAGCCTAATTTGGCTTTAGGATCTGCTTGGAGTGAGTTTCCAGGTTGAGCCTGAGCATCAAGATGAGCTTGGGGCTTGGAAGAGGAGACCGGGCGACTGGTGGGCTGGTCTCGACTCTTTGGCCGCTTAAATCCGTCCTCAACATCATCGTCAATGTTCTCCGTGAAGATGGAGCTTCTACTAGATTTGTGCTCCAGGAATGGCCTTTGAGGTGGCTGGTAGTCCAGCATTGATGGTGTCGCGAGCGCGTAACCATAAAAGTTCCTCTGTTCGGCAGGCCGGAATTCCGAGTAGTCTTTGGGGGTGTATAGTTTTATCTCCTCTTCAACGGTTCTTCTCTTCGACATTGGGTAAATCATCGTGCCATCCGCAGCCTCTAGGGGTTGAGTAGCAAACTGTGCCCAAATAGAGGTGGGACTCTCGACGGGTGTTGTCTTCGGAGGGCAATTTTCCTGGTTGTTGTTGTTGTTGTTGTTATTACTATTATTATCTTCTTCCCTGAGATCCTTTTTTGATCTCCGTTTCAGTAGTCCAGACAGGTTGCCGGCTGATTTGACCTTCTTAAGCTTGCTGTCGATCGTCCGCCCTTCGTCGGAAGAAACACTACCGTTGCATGCACTCTTCTCTTTGCCCAAGATAATTCCTTTTAGCGATACCGAGCTCCCAGTCTTCTTGTGATTACGGGGACCAGCAGGGTGAGCGGGCTCATCGTCTCGTTTGGTTGCAACTCGTTTCGGTTGAGGTGGGCTGTTGATGTGACGCTCTCCAAGTGGACTGGCAGAACTTGCAGTTTCTCGACTGGACCGGGTCTGTGACTTTGTAGGACTACAATTGTCCTTCCGACGTCCTCTTAGGACGTCTCCCACGGAGGGACCTCGATTGTGGTTCGCTCTTCGGCCTCTTTGTTGAGGCTCGGGATCTTCGAAGATCTGGGCAACCTGATGGACGGATGGCGCCATAGTGGTCGAATGGAACAAGATATATTTGGGCACGGTGCCTAGTTAGATAGAGCTCATCATCTCTACAGAAACAGGAATGATGCTGGGGCACGGGCAGTATGATGATCCATGGTTAAGGCACGGACGTGGAGTTGGCCTGGGCCTCACGACCCAGCCGCGGTGAAATCGCACCCGCTTTGTTTACCCAGTTTCGGCTGCCACAGCAACAAGCGCCGCCGGGAATTATCACGTGCAAGGCTCTGAACAAAGTTCGCAAGTCTCCCAGACTTCTGCTCAAGTCACAATTACAAAGGCATCCTTCTCCATTATGTGAAGTTAGACGGTGCAGATCTCACCCTGGCAACATATCTCTACCTCTTGCCCGTCCCGTATTGTGCCGACACTCCTTACCAGCACTCCAGTCGTATTTTGCTCATGCTATTCATACATTGTCTTCATTATTCCATCCAAGTGATTGCAGGCTCCGGAGAGGGCTCAGGACACCCTCCGCTTCCAACTCTGAATTGGATAGTACCCAACAAGGGAAGAACACAATAGATGACAAAATCAATACGCCAGACCTATCCAATCACTGTACAATACTCTGCCGCCAGCGATCAATCTGCGCTCGCTGTTTGGGGTCCAAAGGCGGGCCCGACATCGGGTCTGGTATATATGGCTGGTTGCCATAGGCGTAAGGATATGTTTGTTGCATATAGCTCGGTAATGTGGCGCCGAATCCTCTGTTCATGTACCCGACATTGTTCGGATAGCCATAAGAAGCATTGAAGGCGTTGTTTTGCTGAGAATAACCCCAATTTGCGTTGTGGGTCGCGTTGTGCATTTGGTTCGAGTTCGTCCGAGGCAGCGCTGGTTTGGGCTGTGTACCCACTGGATGAGCTTGGAGTAAGTCGGCCAGACTGTGCATGGGTTTGAGCTGCGGATTGGTATGTGGATTGGTGGATGCTTCCTCCTTCAACCTCTTTCGCCTCTGTGCTAACGTCTCCTCCACATCTGGTGTCTTTGACGCCGGCGGTATCACGTCGCTCTTGACGTTGAGGCCTAATTGAGAGGTCAACTCTTCTGTAAATTGGCCTCCAGTGCCCTTCTCTTTCTCCAGCTTTATCCTTGCAGCCCTTTGGGCTAGTGTCTCGTCCTCGTCCTCGGGTAGAGGGTCGTGGGAGAGGCCGGGCACATCCTCGATGACAGGAGGTCGGCTTTCCTCCTCAAATTGACTTTTTGCCTCAGATTTTGCAGTCTGAAGCGGCCCGCCTCGCAATCTTGCTCGCCGATGACTCAAGGGCTCGTTGTCTTCCAACTCCCGCTTCTCTAGGAGCCCGATTGGTCTATGAGCGTTCGTATGGTCTGCTCTATCTTTTTCCGCGAAGAGGACACCGAGAGGGACATCCTCATCATCGAAGTTTTGTTTATTTGCTTCATTGTGGTCTTCCCAAGCCAAAGTGACATGTTTGGTCTTTCGGGCTCTCTGCTGAAGCTGAGTAACAGCGTCGAGCTCAAGCAGAGTCGAGTGCATGCCATTGGGAAAGGCGTCTGCTGCAGTGCGATTGCGTAGTCTCTGTTGTTCTTTCCGCATCTGTAATTCAGCAAGTAAGGTCGTGGGCGCCGTCGAAAACCCTGGCGGTGCGACATTCTTGTCCTCTTCTTCATCAGATATTTCATCAGCATCCGGTGATATCGAATTCGCGGCTGCTCGGTCAAGTTCATCTCCACTGGGTTGGTCCTCGCCATCCAGATTTTGGGAGCCTCTTGACTTTGAGCGCACCAGGCCCGAGCTTGAGAGGGCAGTGCTCGATCTTCTCGTCTTGAGCATCGTACTAAGAGAACTTCGTCGTTTCTTCGCTTTTCCTTCGGCCAATTGCGTACTCTTCCGCGGAGAGGCGTCTGGGCCATAGACTTCCTTCCCAAGATGGCCCGCAATTGGATGATCAGTGAATGCTGAGACGGGAGCGTGCGCAGCGGCATCCAGGATGCTGTCCAACGTCTGGACAGCTGAGCCATTCTTGAGTTGCAAGTCTTGAGTGACACTGGGCTGCTCGAAGAAAGCGCTGGCCCGCAGCTGTGGAGGCAATTTGAGTGCATTACTTTGGCCTTGTAACTTGGCGGTGTCTTGTTCTCCAAGCCAAACAGCCGACTTGCGCACCTCGTCCGGGATGCCGCTGAGAGCCTGGAGTCGACGTTTGTCTCGTTCACTAATGTTGAACTTTGACAGTCTCTGAGGCAGATTCAACATGAGTGGAACCGGAGCAGGATAGTAGATCATTCGTTCTCCTGGTTGAGGTTCTTTATAAGCCTTGGAATCTCGTGCAAGCGGCGGGCGGCTCAGAGAAATACGACGCGATATCGATGCAGCTCTTTCGTGGGACATGGGCCCGCTGCCGTAGTGCACTCCATCGAAGTCATTGAACGCGGCCTGTGCTTGACGATATGTGTCGTTGGAAGCAGAGGTAGTGGGTCTCTCCTCCTGAATCGAGCCCTCGGACGCTCGAGGTGACGCACCGGGCGCTACTTCGTCTTCGGGATAGATGGAGATAGAGGCGCGACGCTCCGGGCTGAACTCTAGCGGCCGGCCTTCCAGCGGTGGCAGAACATGGCCGCGACGACTGCCTTTTGAAGAGTGCCGTTCGATGTGCTGCTGCTGGTGCGGCCATGGTCCGGAGTGGATTGACCCAGTGGGAGATGTAATGTGGTATCCTGAGGGAGAATATCCTCCTAACCTGGCCGTTTGGTTGACGCCAATGATTGAATTAGACCACGAACCCGTCGAGAATTGTCTGTGGATCGCGGGGCGAAGGGCGTTGTCCAGAGTCGCCGGGGCCGAGGACTGACGCTCCAGGCGCTTTTGATCTTGCTTCATCTTGTTCAACCCATCCTCAAGGCTCGAGGTCATGCTTAAACGCTCAGCGCTTTCTTCCAGACGTTCCACATTTTTGACCAGCGCCCCTTGCAGCGACTGCAAATCCGGGGTGGGATGATTCAGAGGCAAGTGCCGGCTGATTGAGGCGGTCCTGATTGGGGGATCTTCTTTCTGGAATGCGGGTGTGTCCTGTGCGGAAGGCAGGCCGTTCATCTTTAATCGTGATGCTAGAGGTTCTGGGTAGCTGGGCATTGGCTCCTCATAATCGTCTTCTTCCACCATTTGGTACGACTGCGAGGAAGACAGCGATTTAAGAAGAGACCCGACGCCTACGGAACTTGGGCCCGCTTGAGACACCATCGAGAGATCGCCATCTCGGGAGAATTGATCGAATAGAGGGAGAGACAGCGGTGGACTCGAGATTTCGGGCAGGATTGGAGAGCGGGAATGTGAGTAGGACTGCGGATGATGGTGGACGGAGTCAGCACCGGCGGACTCGCGATATAGGGCCTCATGCTCAGCCTGGGCGACCGAGGCATACGCCATTTGAGGATGCTGACGACCGGTGCAGGAGGGACGAGAGAGGAGCAAGGAGCAGCAGGAACAAGATCACGGGCCAGATGGAAGTGGCAGTGGTGGTGTGCCGTCTATTGTCGTATATGATCGGGACGCGGACCCCTACACGGGTCAAACGGGTGAGGACAAATAGACCCTGCAGGTCATATTGATGATCATGATTCGATACAGAGGGATCTAGTGCAGTGAGACAACGTTTGAGGTGTGCTGAAGTACTCCGTACCTATACAGAAAACACAAGCAGATGAAAAGGGAGCCCATCAATAATGATAACAGTAACGCAGAACATTTCAGATGTACGGAGATACTTGTACATAGGAGGGCGCAGTTGGGTCTAGTGACTGTGGCCGGATAAGCATCGAGCCCGCTAGCTGTAACGGGTGGCCGATAAAAGTGGGCATTACAGGCAAGACGGGCATGGCTGGCATCCAGCTGGCTAAGATTAGGGCCTGGAGGGGACCCATTGGAGGGGGACCACTGGGGGCCTGCCTTTAACTAAAAGTTGACATTGGGGCAGCTAGCGGCCGATTGCGACCGCCACAACACACGCACCGCACGTCGCTCAGGTTGCTCGAGTCAAGGATTCGCGGGTAAAGTTTTCCTCACACACGCAGCCACGGTTTCTCGTCTCGTTTCGTCGTGCCTCTCTTTTCAATACTTATGCATTCCTCAATAAACTTTCTACTTCCCGCTCAATAGTCTCGCCCTCTATCTATCGCTACTGTACGAGGTATGCATGCGGAAAATGAGGATGGTCCTTTCGAGTCGATCAGCAAAACATTCACAGTCTTGTGCCGGGTTGCCGCATTTCTCCAAGGACACACAGATGTCTGCCAGGCACACCAATCATCGCCAATCTGCCCTCTTTGTCGACCCTTGTCCTGCCCTGATTCCCGAAGTATCCACTCCGTCCTCCAAGCGTGTTACAAGAGATTTGAACTAAAGGACTCGGTACCTACGAGGTAGCTGTCATCTCGAAAGCCACCGATCACCACCCAGCGTCGATCAAACCATCCTCAAGGATTTCGTATCTCGCATCCGCCGCGTAGTGCCGAGTACAGCAACACACAGATCGAACGGACTCCACCCATTCCGTTTATTGACAGCCTCCAACGAGACGGCGAGACCCCTGGCCAGGCTGAAGATTTGCACAAATGGCAGGGGATCAGCACCATGGCACAGGCTACTCACAAGGGAAGCCACGTCGAAATCCCACCGCTTACCTATCCAGCCACCTTTCAAACCAGGCTAAAGATAAACAAGGCTCATGCTGAAACCGGAGTAAGAGAAGATCTGATTGCCGCAGATAATCTAGTTGCGATAGCTACAGTATGTACATAGAGCCATCGCTATGTACATAGATAACACCGAGGCCATCACACGTCCATGGCGCAGATAAGACGAACAAGCCTCGCCATATCATTCATCTCGCTTCTTATCATCACCAGAGTGCCACAGCGGTGAATGTCGATGCTAAAACGAGCCTCTGAAGCTTGGCAGCTAACCTCTTCTTACTGTCCGGAGTACGTTCTACGGAGCTCTTATCCATCTACCCAGTACTTATGTACCCTGGACGACATTAGATATGCACCTAATAAGTGATTACCAGCAGCTTGCGCACATATCCAGCAAAGAGCACTGATATCAAACTTACGGCAGACAATTGGACAATACCCGGAGAGTCCTGTCGGTGCTGTCTGATACCGTGGCACTTATCTCAAGGCTCCCATTAGCCTGCCTTGACCTGAGCTCGAACAAGCCGTTGAATTGAAACGTGAGCGGTTGTGCTGTTGCCATTCCAACAGCAGAGGAAGATACGAGGATACTTTTTCAGTCCAAGTCTGACACGGTGGCTGTCCTGCTACCTTGACTGTTCGACTGATTTCAATTTGACATTACCTTGATACTCCTGCGACAGTGGCGCCATTCCTCTGTCTCGGGCAATATCGAACCAAACTTGAGCAGCGAGAAATGAGCTTCTTCTCCGATCTGTCACAACCTCAGCCAATGACGGCATGGGTTACGGGAAGCTCGACACGAAGGGAGATGGTCAGCCTGCGACCCAGCGCCAGAGCCATGCCAAGAGTCAGATTTGAGGCTCAATTGCAAGGATGAAGAACCGACGAAGTACCTACATATAGCATCCGTGAACATTTACTCTCGGTACTTGTCAGAAAGCAGCGTGATGGAGCGATGTTTGGCTCCCGCGCCCAGACGACGAGACGACTTAGGTATCAACGGGCAGGTAACTAGCGGACCGATCAAGAGTTTGCTATTTTTATGACTTTGTGCGGCTTTCCCCCGTCCTTCCCCGCCAAGAACAACAATGTCAGCCAGCCTCGTGCCTCTACTTTAACACAGAAACAAGGGGTTGCTTCCATGCGAGGTAAAGATGGCAACCAAGCTAAGACAGCAGGCAAAGTCTGGAGTCGTTAGGAACGATGGTCGAGTGATAGATGACTTGAATCCATTGCCTGCTTGCCTGCCATGGTTGACCATAGAGAGTCGGCCACCATGCTCCGCCATATTCAGGCTCAGGGTATTTGCCTGTTCGCCAGTTTGGACGAGTATTGCGTCGTGAAGATGGACCTCACGGATTTTGCAGTGCAAAGAGCATCTACGGAGCAATCCAACAATTTCGTCAGTGGAAGTCTCATATAGCACAGCTCTAGCTGATCTATGGAAGCTCTATTCAGCAATCTGAATTTGGTGTGTTATTTTCCCATGCGAGGAATTTTTCCAACACTGCACGATGCAACATTTTGTTTGAGACGTGCTTTCTACCGTCTGTCGACTGCTCCAGGAATTGGACAGCATCTTGAAGGATGTTGGCAGCCGTAATTCCAGCATCCTCAGCCGAGCGCGGTTCGCCCTCAACTTCTTGACTTGAAGGCAAATCAGGGCACATTGCAGAGATCTCGATGGGAAGTTCAGCATTCTAGCCAATTTCCATTGATAGTTACGACTTTTGCCTCTCTCGTTAATCTGATGCGGGCCGGTTTTCTTTTTTTTCCCCTTTTTTTCCCCCAGATCGGGATCGTTATACGCCATGTCCTCCAGTTGTATCATTGCAACAAGAAATCTTCTCTCTCAAGACGCAGCAACGTGATTGTCTTCACAGCTATTCAGTTCCATGGGATCGACCCAATTGTTGGCCGACCATTTTCACCTGCACCAAGCTGCACTCCGAGCTGAAGCCGATACGGCACCTAGGATATCACTCATTCTCGATTCCCACGCTTTGCCAACCCCAGCAAAGCCTGGAGACTACACCTCCCTACTCACGAGACCAATCTAAAGCTTCCAGAAATGTGGCAAGCGTGGATAGATTCTGTAAGCATTCTTCACTCAACCTTGCCGTTTCATTAGCCATGGAACAAAACATCGTGTCCTATTAGACAAACCAGCCCAATACCTCAGAGGGGGAGGGCAGTATTTCTAAGATCACTGTATTGGGCTCTCAAAAGCCACGCACCAAAAGTGCACTTCCCTCACTGTAGTATCAGGCCAAACGCGTCAGTATGGGCAGAGCGGGCCGCGTAATCCACGGTGATGGTGTTAAAGGAGATCATTATGGATTCGAATTTCCAACTTGTGGCTGTCAAAAGGCTATTATTGACTATTCAGGCATCTGTTTACCGTGCCACTCATGTCCGAATCGGCCGAGTCAATCAGTGCATTAGATCTGGCGACCACGAAAAGCTCGCAGAGGCTGTTCGCAAAAAAACTCGCTTCCAACGGAGCATACAGAAGATTACAGGGCAGCCTGCACAGGGCGTGTACAGAACATGGAGACCTTGATCGACGAACACGCAGACCCAACCCTCACTACCGAGTACGTAGATACATACATACAACGAACCCTGGGCTTTAGCCAGCCAGCCACTCTTCACACGAACACGCCACAAGATTAACAGTCGGAAGCCTGAAGCCCAAGCCATGTACATACATACATACTATTGAACATCCAGAATACTCAGAGACGAACCCCCCAAAACTCCTTACCTACAGGAGTAAAACTCGCGCGAGCAATACTCCGTATGGGGGTCCTTTTCCCTGACCTTTGTACATATGTAGTCTGGGGCCCAACGCCATGATGGCGACAAGCAAAAGCCCCATTTGCAATACTAGGAAAAGGGCGACAAGCTTCGGACACCGAGCGCCTGTACCTACCTGCGGACCATGTAGGCTCCGGATGCTGCATGGATGCATGCACCGTCGGCCCTTGATGGCGCGAGGCACGACCAAGTATGCCATACCATGCCGGTGACGCAAGGTCTGTGTTATTTATCATCAAGCATACGACCTCGCTAGGCACTTACATGAGAAGACTCAGTACAGTACGTATATATCTGTGCCTATCCAAGTATGCAATACCTCGAAAAGCGCGATACATGCATACATCCATGCATCTATCGTGTGTGCATGCCGAATGGTAGTATTTACTACATAGAAAAAAAGGGTCGAGCAGGACACGTAGCATGTTCGACATACAGTATGCAGTATCCAAGGGAGACCGAGGGCAAAGACAAAGACAAAATTTTTGGGTTTTTGAGTTCCATTCTCGTTCGGATAGTAGTCGCTTTAGCGGTGGCCTCGGATAATTAGAACATTCGCATACCACGACGCACGCGGCTCCTCAGACCCTCAAAGGAGCAACACGGGCTGTCGTCGTGATCCTTGTTTGATCAAACCGCCTCTGTCGCACCGCACAATCTGCATCGTCGCGCGCCTTCAATTCAAACCTTCTCGGTCGCAACCGCCTTCTCGTCCTCGCTGGAATCCCCATGGCCAACCGCAACCGGCTGCTGCCTCAGATCCCTATGTGTAACTTCTGCCATATCCTCATCGTATTCCACATCGAGGTTCCTCCCTCTGTGCTCGGGCCCAATGAAGGTCAGCAAAATGGTGTAGGCATATACCGCTCCCATGAAGATACAAATGACCTTGCCGTAATTGTACCTTTTGACGGCCTTTCCTTCTTTGTTGATGAGGGGCGCGAGAGGATACCGTTCCCCAATGGTGGACTCAATCGTGGAAGAGGCCGACGAAGCCAAGTTACCCAGCTGGTAGGAAGTACCCACAACAAACGTACGCAAAGCACCAGGAGAGAGCTCCATTAGGTGAATCGGTATAACGCCCCACGCTCCCTGCACACAAAACTGCTCAAAGAACGCTGCTGCAATAACGGCGTGCGAGGTGACGAAGGTGTAGGGGTACAGCAGCGCTCCACCGATGACACAAATAAAGATGATGCTGAATCGCCGCCCGAAGATCTGCGAGCAATATCCGATGGTGGTGCCGCCAGTCATGGCGCCCAAATTGGCCACCACCTGTGTGACGGTGACGGCATTGGCGGAGAATTTGAATTGATTCGTCAACATTGTTGGATACAAGTCCTGGGCTAAGATTTTGGTCAGCATCTCAAATCTTGCCGCGTAGAAACAGTGATCAAGAACCCGCCAAAGGGAGGACTGGTCGAGGGCTTCCGGGACCAAACTTACAGCCGTGGCTCATAAAGTTAAAGCCCGCCATTAAAAGGACCATGTATATGAGCAAGAGCCAGTGTTTCTTCAGCGCAACTCTTCCCTCGGAAACGAAGGTACCCGCCAAACTGCCCTGCTCCGCACGAAGAGCCTGGCGGGCGCGGAAAGTATGTGTTTCGGGGAGACACAGACGGAATATAATGATCAACACTGGCGGGCACGCGCCAAACCAAAACAGTGGTCTCCAACCGTGTGAAGTCGTGTTGACCAGGGCACGAGCAAAGGCCGTGGCAAGCAGATATCCAAATGCGTAGCCTTGCTGAAGCATCCCGGAAATGATACCCCGAGCCTCTTCGGGGCAATCTTCAAGAGCGGTGGCTGCCGCGTTGCCATAAAGACCACCCATGGCAATACCGAAAAGGGCACGCACTGCAAGGAATTGGCCGTAGGTCTGCGTGAAGCCGGTACCAAGTTCGAGGGCAATGAAGAGGATATTGTTGATGATGAAAGGCCTGAATTCCATTTAGCTTGAGAGCTCAATGCCAAGATTGAAGAGGCCTTGACCTACCATTTCCGTCCATAACGATCCGCAGCGATACCAAAGATTGTTGATCCCACCGAACGGAACATGAGCACCAGTGTGATGCCCCAGGTGATATCTGTGTTCGACTTGTTGAATGTCTCGGCCAGATCAGACACGGTAAGCGAAACGGTGAAGAAGTCAAAGGCATCCCACGACCAGCCGAAGAAAGCCACCAGGAAGAAAAGCCATTGTTGGGTGTTTAGCATGGCCAGGAGCTTGAAAGGGTTGGGTGCCTTTGCCATGGGAGGCTTGAGGGTGGTGATTCTTGTCGCAGCATATTTGGCTGGAGACATATGTGTGTTGTCGCGCTCATCTTCATCGGAGTAGTGATGGGCAGTCGGCACGGTCTCCTTGGTGGGAGAGTCGACGTGAGCCATGTTGATTTGTTTGACTCTTGCCTGATAGTGAAGTCACACTTCTACAGAGTCTTGTGTAGCCTTATGGAGCACAAGAATGCTTGTCGGGCTTGGGGTTGAAAGCACAGAGAATTGACAGCGGGCGCAACCAGGCCTTTTATCTTCTTTTCCCAAATCGCAAATGAGCGAGCGGGCGGTCATGAGGCCCTGCAAGGGATGCTGGTCGACTTGGTCCCATTTTTCACCTCGCTGCTCATGCTGCTCGTGGTAGCAGGCGAGCAAGGAAACGGGAATTGATCGGCACATACCCGACATGGGAAAAGATAAGTGGTGTGGTTACACGGCAAACGGATTGCAGGTGTTGAATTTGTGTGGTTGGTGGATATTGACCCATTCCTTTGAGGGGATAGGAGCCAGGATCCCAACTCGTCTGGTGGAGGAGCTGGCCTTGCTGGGTGTCCGAATTGCGGGGGACCTGGAATCGCGCAACGAATGAGACGAGGCTGCTGATGGTGGCGTCGTCTGCAAGAAGGCCATGGGTGATGTGCTGCTTGCGCTAGAGTGTCAATCACAGATGCCAGAGCGTGACATCGCCCGGCTTTCGACCGGCCCAGGTCGGGGAGGCATTGGAAGCATAGGCGAAAGGATGGCACACAGGACAGACGGATGGATGGCGTCGGTGTGTAATCGTGACGCTGCGGCCACCAGTGTCTCCAAGGTCTCCAGGGTCTCTATCCTGGCTTCTAGAAGGCCTCGACGAAGATGGATCGGAAAGAGGACACAAGGGTGCGATACGAGATGGAAGAGATCGGACTGTGTTCTGTCGAAGTTCCATGGGATTACTCGTTTGGGTATCTGTCAAGACTCCGAATCACACTCTGACTTTTCTGAATGCAGCGTCTGGTGTATGTGTAGATGATGAGCGTCGTGAAATGCCGGGAGGATTGCAGTTCTGAGAAAGTGGTGGGCTGACTCTGGGCGCAGGTGGCTTGCTTGGCGTTACATTGGTGGCTTGCTTGGCGGACAACACCAAGCAAAACAAGCCTATAGCAGGCCCCCCCGGACGGGGAGGGCGTTTTGCTTGGGGTGGCCAAGGGGTGCTTGTTAGAGAGCTTGAATGGGTAGTGAAGCCTGGGCGTTTGGCACCAGAAAACCTTTGCCGGAGAGAAGCTTAACTACAAGAACCCCTAGAAATAGCTAGCCACAATAGTCCACGCCTAAAGTCTCCCCTTTGGCCCCTAAAATACGAGAAAATGCCCGAATAGCTCCGCACCAAATCACGTCCATCTCGCCTTGACTATTAGCCTAGTGAGACCCAACTCTCTTTCCTGTCCACCTGTTACCTGTCGCCAGTTACCTTGCTCTCACTGTCTCAACATTTCATTGATAGTCCAGACACCGACAACGTCCTCCGTTGTGCTCCCACCCGTTTCTCGTGAACAGGTGCTCCCTCTCATGATGTTCTTTCGCCCGCTGGACACTGTTGCCACTCTCCGCCTTCATTCCTCTGCCGCTATTGCTTCCTCCCCCGTACAGTTGGCAAATCCATGCTCTCCAGTTGGTCTGGACCTCAACGCTTGCAGCATCGTCAGGATAAACCTCGTTCCGCACCTGCTCGCGCATACTAGCCAAGCATTTGATGCTCTGGTGGATCTCCTGGGCCAGGGTCCTCGCAAGGAAATGGAGTTCGCTCGGCGTTGAGCCTCGGTAGCTGCGGACGGCTGGGTGTGCCTTCAGAAACAGCGTCCTTGTTCGCGACATCAAGTCCTCCAAAGCAAGCACTGCCGTCCCGATATACTCTCTCTCCCCGACTTTGTAAGTGCGTACAGCCAGGATGGTAACCAAAAGCTCAGTGTCCGCCTTGAACAAAGCTGCTTGCAGTTGGCCATCTTCTTCTAGCATTCGGCAGATGTCGACGATTTCCTGTTTGGTCATTTGGAGGCTGTCTCGAATCTTGAGGAATCTGCGGAGCGCTTCTTCTGAGTTGAGCTTGGTGTGAACTCGAAATGTTTGTGATGCTTTTTTTGGTGTCGAAGGCCAGAGCCACCGCCTGAAGAATCGATGATCCATGGCTTTTGGCTCTTCTTTTCTTGGTGTACGGGGACCCCCTCGCAAACAAGATTCCTCTTGTCTCTGCGGCACACGGCGAACCGCAATAACTGATGGACAAGCTTCTTCACTTCCTCGGTCCGGGTGGAGTGCAGATGCTCTTTGACGCGTGCTGGAAAACGGGCTCGGCGCAATGAGAGTCTCGAGTCTTGTCCTTGAAGAGGATGGCATAATGCCCTCTCTTGTCTTGCGACCACCGGGGGTTAAATACTTCTCAGAAGGCCGCCTCTCAAAACTTTCAGATCAGCTTGATGGAGGACCTTTATTTGGATCCAGACCCTCTTGCACATCAAACCCCTCCCACTACACCCTCCTACTCGACTCATAAGGGCTGTAAATGGCTGTTCCACAAGGAAACTGCAGATTATCTCCTGGATCAGGCAAAATGTCTCTGGCTGACCCAGAACAACATGCTTGGCGCATATATGGTGAGTGAACTGAGTGCTTTACCAGACTTTCTACAGGAGAAGCTCTGTGGATGGCAGTCCTCGAGAAACAACAGAAATCCTTGACAAAAAAAAAAGGGGCCCTATATAGGTCACCTGTCTTGCGTTTCTTCTGCTCTACTCGTATGTTCTTCCTTAACACGGTCTTGTTCATCTTATCACCAGCACCGTCCTGATCCAACCATCGAGCCTAGTCGTACCAGACTGAATCAGCATCATCATCACCATCAACACCATCAACAACGACAACAGAAGCGTTATCGCTACATTCCATCCACGCCAATCATGTCTTCTTCAATTCCACGCATCTGGCGAAACAGCTCCTTGGCTGGGAAGCTCCAGCGCAAACAAGGCGACGCCTCCTGTGCCAGCATGCCGCCCGATGCTGCTAGAGGTGCTCCAGCCTCCAACCATAGCGAGATTCCCAAACCAGATTCGATGGCCGCCTTAGGTCGCTTCCTCGTTAATGAACAAGGCTCTCGATTCTTCGAAGACCCTAAAGCCCTCGTACCGGACAAGAAGGCCGCCAACTCCAGCAGGAAAACCAGCATCACTTTTGTCGAGAATCCCACCCCAAGGCCAGCTGGACGAGAGCCGCCGTCGCGACCACCAACCCCATATATTCCCAGGCCGCCGACTCCCATGGGCACCTCGCGAGAGGTAGATCCTGCTGGGTGTTGTGTGATAGATCTGGAACAGTTGGACCTCGCACGGGCGTGCAGGCGCTGGCTCACGTTGTTTCGTGAAGTTCGACAAGGCTACAACCGTGAGTTCGATGCCCTATACAGCATGCTGGAGAGGTTCTCGCGCTTCGGCTATAGATACTGGCGCTTGTTGAGAACGATCGAGGCCGTCGAGAAAAGCCTCGACGAACTCGCGTACCTGGTCCAAGCTGTCGACTGGGTTGCCTACGACCAGGTCAGCGAGCTCGTTGACTTCTTTGATGAATGGGTTGTCGTGGCCTGCGACACTTTCAGCACCATGACCCAGGGCAGAACGCCTGTCAACCTGGACAACCACGAGGAGCGCTCTGGGAGGAAGGCGCTGATGGAGGAGATGAGGCCAGAGCTTGCCCGGCTGACGGAGCAGCTCAGTGCCTATGCCCAAAAGCCTCTCCGGAGGCTACGTTCGGAGCTTAGGGCAGAGGCCTAGATGGCCATGGCCGGGCCTGCTCTTGGGAGGCTGCAGGCGCTGAGAGGATGTCCTGGAGGTGCTGTCATACAGGCGGGCGAGCAAACGAGCAAGCAAGCGAAGCAGGAGCGTAGCGATCGTCTTTTCTTTCCATAGTTGCCCCGGAGCCTTTTACAAAGGTCTCATCCTGTATCTATGTGTCTGTCGGTATCTACTCAAATGCTCATTATACAATTTTCTCTTCAGCCTCCATCTTACCATCGCCCTTCGTTCCCCTTCTGTTGGAGCTCATCCTCAATTCTCGGACTTCCATCCCTATTTCTTTTTCTTTCTCCTTCCCACATGTCTCTTTACATTGTATTTCGTTCAGCTATACATATAGCAGCCAGTGTCTTTTGTGTCCCTCTCCCCTCTCCGTCTCTCTCTTCCATCCTCTTCTCTTTCTATTCTAGAAATCTTTGTTGTGCTCCTTCTCCTGGTGGTGGTGGTGGTGGTGGTGGTGGTGGTAGGAGTAATAATAGCGCCCGGTCTAGGACTCGCGCATCTCACAGTACGATGGCCAACCTTGACTTCTCTTTTTCGTGCGCCGCGGCGTATGGTTTGCAAAATTGCACTGTGCTGCGGTGCCATGCACTGTATGAAAAGTGATGCGATGCTGCGGAATAAAATGTAGTGTAATGTGATATAATACAAACGGCTGTGGGATGGGTATCGTTAGATATAGACATAGATAGGTCAGCCGATGAAAGTAAGGCGTAAGGTGTAAGGCTCAGGCCTGATAGCTCGTCATTTCTCTTTCCCCCCCCTTTCTTTTTGGATTTCTTTTTTTGACCTTCCAATGCCTTGAGTCCCTTTATAAAAGCCCTCTTCCTCCCTCTCTGACTCTCGGCTCACTCTCTATCTCCCCTATCTCGACCCTCGTTGGATTACCTGGTGTCTTGCGCTCTTGCTCTCGCACGGCTTCGCTCTTGACATATACCCTCGCTCGATGTCATTCATCATTCAACTTGTGCGATGTTTTTTTGCTTGGATACTCCCACCCACATATAAGTTGCAGAACCCCGAAAATAGCATTCGGAGGTACAGGAGGTCTTTCCTTCTGTAGTGCAGTTTGATGCCGGCTCTCGAGGACTTATCGAGGAATCGGCTTTTGAGTTGGTTTCTCGTTCTTGGGGGGACGATCAGCCACGATTCTCATTGTAATGTGTGAGGTAGATGGATAAACGCATGGTGCTGTTTAGATGATTGGTCGTCGCCGCCCCATTGATTCATTCCCTGGCGGCAGCGGCGGGAGCGAGCCTGGTCTTTTCTAACGCCGGCTGAATCAAAGCGGCAACCCACTCGTACGTGGTGAACAGAATGCCTCCCGCTAGCACCGTCCTGCCTAGTCGCATCGTGCTGCCCCTCCAGAGTCCGCGAAAGCCGTAGTCGTCAATGACACTGTTCCAGGCCTCCAGCACGCCTTGGCCCCTGACGGACTGTGCGCGCGTCTTCAGCGTGTCGAACGGCTGCGTGGCGAAGACGACGACGGTCCCGGCGACGGCCCCGTTGGCAAACGTGGTAAGTGTGGTCTGCGGGATGTTGCGCAGCCGCTCAAAGTCCTTAAGGATGTTATAGGTGCCCAGCCTCACGGCCGTGGTGCTGGCCTGCTTCAGCGTCGTGGTGACGTAGCCTCTATACAGGGCCTTGACGACGCCGTGCTCCTTGATCAACGTCGCCGTGGCATGGACGGGGCCGCGGAACTTGCGCTCCGAACGCGCATCGTCGATCAGGGCCGTCTTGATCCGCTCCGTCGGTGTCACTGCAAAGGTGCTCGCGACGACCCCGGCGGTGATGCCGGCCATCAGGTTCCTGAGCGGCGACAGCGTGCCGGTCTCGGGGTCCTTGAATTGTGCCTTGATAGTGTCGAAGGAGATGAACCGGATGGCGTCCTTGGCCACGGTTCCCGCGACGAGAGTCGAGCACCCCTTATAAAGTGAGCGCGGGCCTTCCTGCTCAATGACATGTTTGATGACGAGGAAGGGATTTCGAGTCGGCGTCTGTTCATGCAGCTGGACGCGGGTTTTTGCAAATTCGAATGCTGCGAGGTGTCCTCAAAGTGTCAGGTCTCATTGCGCTCTCACGGTCGGCTTTGTCTACCTTCGATATCCACCTCAGGGGTTTCGTGCAGAAGCACGCGAGAGACACTTACGATAAGTGATTGTAGCCTCAACTCCACCTGCCGTGCCCCCAGCGATCAATGAAACGAGTGGTGATTTGATCGACGACTATACAGATTGTCTCGATTGTTAGAAGACCATTCGGTGTCTGAAGGGTGCGATCTGTCGTATTATCACAAGGGGATGCGAGAACACATACATCTTCGGCCACCATTTTGCCCCCAAAAGGATGAGATTCCGTAGAGTGGAAAAGGAGACGCAAAAAAGGAGACCAGAGACCAGAGACAATTGCAAAGAACACCAAATGGTCTATAACCTGTGAGAAAAGCACATAAAGAGAGTTACAACATGAGAAGAACAGCGGTCTATCAATCCTTGCGTCAGAGCCTCTTACTATGTAGGATGCAGGATGCAAGACCCGGTGTCGGTTGAATCGCCGTGCATCGCTTGCTTCGCTTGCTGCCTCGGGCTGCTCGGGTCATTTCGGCTGTAGTTCGCTCTTCTGTCTTATCTTCTCGCAGCCTTGCGCCACAAGACCTCAGCCTCGTTGAGGAAAATACGGAGTACGAGTACAAAATCCATTGTTTGCAAAAGCCTTGAGCCTTTGAATATCGCCTCCTTCATGATAACACATTCGACGAATGCCAACCTCGCAGCCTCTGTCCCTTCCTCTCTTTTTCCTAGAAAGAGTTAGTCCTCCACTGTGACTTTATGTAGTACACCGCGTTGAGAACAGGAACGCCATGCCCAATACCTCCTAAACCCTTAGATATCAAGTCCCATGCATCCTTGCTCTGAGCCTCCATCGTCCCCGCCGCCACAGACATCAGCAGTCATGGGGTAAACTGTGTCCTCACCATCCTCAACAGTACATTGAAAAACCGAAACCTGGACCCTTATTTTGTGCAGAATACATCTCTCGCATCATGCGCAGGGCTTGCTACGCGTCCCCCCGGAGGATTTCTCCTCTAGAGCTCCATAGTCCTTGCGTCACCAGAATCAGCGGTGATGTTGACAACCATCCCTTCGCTTCTGTCACCTTCTGACTGGAAGCCAAACTTGTGGCCCGCGTTGGTGCTCACTGCCTCCTGCATCATGCGCATGCCCTCTTGCGGATCCTTCAAGCTGGCTTGGCGGAATGTATTCTCCATCTCTTTCATTCTCTTCTTGAACGAAAGCCGGTCCAAGAACAGTTGTTGTCGGCCCTTCTCGAGATCCCTTCGCTCAGCTTGGACGATTTCTTCCATTTCCGCGAATTGCGCCATCTTCAACTCAAACTTCTGGAGCGTCAGGTTGACGGCGGCCGACACCATGCGCGTGATCTCTCTTTCCTCATGTGAAGCAAGACCACTGGCGCGTGCAGCAGTTGCAGCCAGTGCTGTAGTGGCGATGTCATTGATCACTTTCGTCGAGCCATTGGCTTCAGGTGCCGGATTCTCTGCCGAGGGGGCTGACTCGTCGACTTCCATCTGATCTTCTGACTTTACTTCTGCCTTTTCCATCTCTCCCGCCGCCTTTTCTTCGGCTCCGCCCATACCCTTTTCAAGCTGCGCCCGCAGCTGCTTTTGCATGACTGCAATAGAGCGGTTTGATGCCGCGGCAACCACGTCCGGATCCGCTATTTGCGCAAGGAAGCTGACGACCGACATCACCGGATTGTCCAGCTGACTGATGGCACTCCTTCCTGTCAGCGCCTTCAGCGCAGAGGCACCGTTCAATGGTCCGTCTTCAAGGTACTGATCCTGAATGTCGAGTTGCAAGAATTTGAGTACACATTCCTCCCTAGTTCGTGAACCAACATGTTTGGCAATCTCGTTCCAGTCGTTGTCAAAATTCTCCAGACCTTCCAACAGCAAGAGGGTTTCTGAATCCGTCCAGGTGGCATCTTTGTCGGGAATATGTGAGTATGCTGGCTCCTCCATCTTGACAAAGTCGGACGAGCGATGGTTTGCCGGCATTCGAGACTGAAAGTAGCAGTTCGGACATAGATCGTACTTGAGCTCGTTGGGGTTTGCGCTGCTTGAAACGGGATCTGATTTGGCATAGTGGAAGCGGCATCGCGTACAATCAACTCCACACGAGAAGCAGTTGAAACTTTTGATGGGTTCTCTTGCAGCAGCGTCCATGGCCTTGGTTGTAGCAGCGCCGGAACTCGCGCCATTAGCGGTCGCCCCTTCGCCGTTTGTTTGTTTCTCCGAGTCTTCAGTCTTTTTGACTTCTTTGCCTTTGTCGTCGTAGACATTCCGTCGGAGCTCAAGGTTCAGATCTGGCTTTGAGGCAGGGGTTGCCGAAGCGGCCCGGTCAGTTGAGGGATGAGGTTTTCCAGGTGTCGTGAAAGTATTTTGCGCGGGTTGGAATGGTTGCAATCCACGAGGTGTGTCCGCGGTGACTCTGAAATGGCCTGTAAACGGGGGACCTATGTTCGCGGGACGAGTTTGTGGGTCGACCTGTTGCAGTTAGCATAGACTCTGAAGGAAAAAAAGGGTAGGAAACACTGGACCTGGTAGTTGATGAGGCCCCATTGTTCTAGAAAGGCATGTACTCGCATTATCGCACAGACATCACCAGCCAAATTTCTTCGGCATGCAGTTACCGTAAGGTACTCGACGGGATTTAAACGGTAGGTGTTGATCATAAAATCGCGGTAGTCCTTGTAAACGGCAGGTGTTTTGCTGCGGTTTCGGCTGTTGAAGAACTCGGGCAGTGATTTCTTTTCCAGGGCGTGGATCGTGTGCATGTCAAACCAAGTGCTATAACTGGGCAGGATGATTTGATGTGTCTGCGCGACAAGGTGAGAATTGGCTGCAGCTTCGAGGCTGGATTTTGCCTGTGCTGCCTGACCATCTGTCGCTTGTGTTGCGGCCGGCGTTTCTTGGGATTCCTCCGCTCCATCCTTTTCAGCATCAACATCTTCGACTTTTGCGTCTTCGTCCACTCCGCCCATCTCAGCATCTTCCTGCTCGCCATCTGGATCATCTTGGGCCGGCGGCGACTTGGGCGCATCTAGAGGATTGGCCGGCGTCGTTCCATTTGGGTTGGCTGATGATTGAGCATCTGCAGAATCTCGTCAGGTAAGTCTTGAATTCAGAGGGAGCCAGCAAATGAACGAGGGAGAGTGCCCCGAGCAATGACGCGCGTACCTCTTGATTGTGTCTCTGCTGCATCAGCGCCAACGACATCGGCGCCATTTGCGCCAAGGTCGACAGCGTCTGAAGACTCGTGCTTCAACTCGGCGGGCTGTGGCTGAGTATCGTCCATTGTGGTATCATGAAACTTGATGAGCCCTCCCAATCCTTCAGGGCCTTTGGACGAACCTCGAGTGCAGGCCAAAGTGCGCGCAGGGTCTGTCTCAAACACTTCAAGCGCCCAGGAATCCAAAGAGGGTTGAACACATCACTTAAGCGGATGGGTTTTGGTGTATTTGGCTCGAGATTGAAATCCTGTCGCGAAACTGCGCCGCGAGCAACACGACCTCGCAAGTTTGCGGCGAACGAACTGCGGTCGACTGCCAAGATAGTCCTTCACGTGATATTCTCGGTAGAAAGTTAATCCATGCCGTTCCTCTAGCTGAGGAGCCTGTGGAAAGAAAAAGTGGCACAGCGAAAGACTAACTGTGATACACTTAGCGTATGCCTGCCTTTTACTCTACATAATAGACCACAGCTAGACAATTTATTTCACTAAATATAGTCTTGAGCTTACAGGCTATTCAGCCATAACAATATTATCTATCATCGTCTAAGAAAAAGTGAGTAGAAATAAATCTTAAAGATCTACTTATGGTTATGGAGGTAGTGTTGGGCTTCCAACGTCACCACCTCGAGCCAGTCGAATTCTGAAGGGCCTTCAGGATTCATCTACGCAGCAGAGAAGAAACTCCAGTGGTCAAAGAGCGAAACCATTTCCACTAGCTTTGATCCCTCATAACTTCATACAGATGCCCCGATTTCCAGGTTTAGTGGCTTGATTGCGCCCCTCGCCGAGCGTCTATTGATCCAGGTTAACGAGATGCCCCATTATGCCTTGTCCTAGATGTCGAACGATAGATGTTTCCAGTAGTATATAACCAAAGCAGTCGAGGTCGGGATGCACCGAGCCAGCAGACGGATATTTTCATCGAGGTACTTACTGCCTTTCCCTGTCTTGATCTTGGACCTCCTACCAAAATGGCATGCTTTGTAGTGATTCGTTGAAGGGTCGTACAGTCACAAATGCAGCCTCTCTGAAACAACTGCATGCGTCCTCCAGATTGACATTCTGGGAGACACGTAAATTCGGTGATTCCAATGGACGCATCGCCGTACTCCATTAAAAGAGCCTCCGTGTCTCCGTGTCTCCAGGTTTTTTCTTCGCGAACCGCACTCCCCATCACGAAATATCCTTGAATTTGACCGTCTTGTGACAGCTCTCACCATCCTCATGCTCGTGATACCGACACCCATTACCCTCTGTTGGATCGTCAAACAGTGACCCACCACTGCCCTCCTTGATCGCATTGATCACATCGACTGCAAAGTCCGGAGTGATGGCGAAGCACTCCCTGTAGCTGGCTGCATCTTTCTCCGACCCGGGGTCCATGATCTGTCTCGCAGCAATCTTAATCACGAGTTTCCGGAAGGGAGAACTGGGTGGAGTTTTCTCATAGACGGGCTTCATTTCTTCGGGGCCGGGAACGAGGCCCGCTTCATGGCATCCCCGCCGGAATTGGTCGATGGCTTGGTTTTTGAGTTCTTGCAGCCCGATGGTGTCGCAGAGGAGGTAGAGTTTTTGGCATGTGAATGCATAGTCCCATTTGACGTCCTTGGGCATCCATGAGACATCGTCAATTTTTCCCTGGTACAGCCATTTCACCAGCAGTTCAAATGCGCCTGCATCCTCGTCGCGGAGTTCCAGTTTGCCATCGTTGATGCGCTTGTGCTCACCGTTAACTGCATATGATTCGTCAAAGAAGCGTGCATGGTGGACGAGGAGGTTTTTATGTAAGGACCAGCGGCGGCCCTCGGGTCCGACGAAGATATCCAGCAATGGGCCGGATAGTAACCTTTCCGTCGCACGCATAGGTCAGCGCAACCTCGTCGCTTGAGCCACTCTGGGTATCTGGGAGGCATAGATGGGTTATGTTATATTTCGTCCCGAGTCCACTTACTCCGCAAAGTTTTTCGCGGAGATATCTCCTATATTCTCTCCGGGCATTTCAAGCTGAGGTGATCGGAGACGATATGTCGAATAGATGCGATCAAGTGTATTCGGCGGATTGGGAGTCGCATTGGAGCGTAAGGCGGGTTTGATTGGTGTCTCTGAGACAAAGGGATCGAGGCGACCGGAAACATGCCCCATGCGACATTGCTTTAGTTATTAACACTTGCTGGAATGTATGTAGCCAAGGGTCTCGTAGATATGAAGACTGACTACGCTGCACTGCGCTGCTGAGAGGCCCAAAGGGCCAAGAGAATTGAGAAGAAAAAACCTGGTTTGTCTGACGGAGAGTTTCCCCTACTTGACCAAAGTTGCTTTTGCTCTGTCTGCTATTATTTTGCCGGGTATCGATTCCTTTTCCATGGAAAGGCTTTCGTCAGACAAGACTATTGCAGTTACTACTGCATGGTATGACGAATGGTGGGAGACTCTCTGTCTCGGGCTGCAGGGTCCCGCTGCTCCCCTTGACGCGTTCCAGTTGGAGGAGGAGAAGCGCGTCGCGCGTGTGCAGATAACTTGGGTCAATGATTTCACTCGCTAACTTTTATGAAGGCCAAACGAATGGAAATGTCACTACCCCTTTGACAAGGGTGAAATCCAGAATTCTGATCACAAGGACTGTACTTCTATACACAAAAAATTAGCATCATCCCATCCTCTCCCAACAATCCCCGCCCTCAAAAGTATTTACTGCCACAACCCAATTACACATGCAATCCTGAACAATTCAACAAATTGCTGCCTTCTTCGAGCCGCAACGTTGGCCTCACATCTGACACAATGGTCTTCTCTTCCTCTCCCATAGTCTATGCGCCTAGCTCATCACCACCACCTATACCTCCGAACAAGAAGAAGCGCCGGCTGTTCCAACCATTTCCCACCGAGCAGCAAGCAAAGAGGACTAAGATGCTGGGCGGGTTCATAGTGGAAGACGACGAAGATGAAGACGAAGGCAAGGCCGAAAACATGCCCCAGGATGCGGAGGAATCACAACGGCGGATAGAGAAGGAGTCGGTACTTCCACCACTACGAGAGGATGTCGCAGAACTCGCATATACGAATGTTATGCCGGGAACTGCAACAAGACATGATGTTCCCTCTAGTCCACATCTACCTCCCCTCCCTCGCCCAATGCTCAGAAAGCGGCAACACAGAGGTGTAACCTTGCAGACATCCTCTGGCACAGCATTGAACATTCCCATCAGACAAAAGGCAGAAGCTGTGTCATATGAGCAGACTATTGCGCAGCGGTCGGCAGCTAGTGCAGGTCGTGCAAAGAAAGCATATTATGGCATTGAAATCCACAAGCTTATGGACGATGCGAAGACGCTGCGACAACTTGACGAGTTTGAGAAACAGAGGAAGAATCAACAGCAGGCCTCACATTCACCCATAAATGCTCCATCTGCAGGCTCAAAGCCCGTCATCCATCAGATGTGGACCGAGAAGTATCGCGCAAAGAAATTCACTGAGCTTGTGGGTGACGAAAGAACCCATCGGCAGGTCCTCCGATGGCTCAAAGCATGGGATCACATAGTCTTTCCGGGAAGCGCAAAACTGAAATCCATGAGGGCCTTTGACGACAAAGATCAAGATCAACAACACCGAAAGATCCTGCTTATGACTGGACCGCCGGGTCTTGGGAAGACCACTCTAGCCCACGTGTGCGCCAGGCAAGCGGGATATGAGGTACTCGAGATCAATGCCAGTGACGACCGAAGCCGAGACGTGGTCAAAGGCAGGATCAAAGATGCTCTCGGAACGGAGACAGTGCGTGGAATCAAAGAACAAGGCAAAGCGAGAAAAGCCGGGCGCCCTGTCTGCGTCGTTGTAGATGAAGTCGATGGGGTCACCACAGGTTCTAGTGCAAGTGGTGGTGAAGGCGGATTTGTCAAGGCTTTGATCGACCTCGTGCAACTCGACCAGAGGAACGCATCGGGCAGTGGAAGCCAGGACACTGTGAGAGGCAGGAAGAAGGGCGACAAATTCAGAATGCTCAGACCACTGATCCTAATATGCAATGACGTCTACGCACCTTCACTCCGACCATTACGCACAAGCTCCATCGCTGAGATTGTCCATGTTCGGAAAGCTCCACTGGACAAGGTCATTGCTCGAGTCAGGGCTGTTTTCGAGAAAGAGTGCATTGCCTCTGATAATGATGCCGTCCGCCGGCTGTGCGAAAACGCTTGGGGTTTGGCAATGCGAAAGCAAAGAGGGCCAGGATCTCGGGGATCCGGAGAGGGCGACATCAGAAGTGTGCTCGTACAAGCCGAGTGGATTGCGCATAAACTGCGCGCCAATGAAACCAAACCCAAATTGACACGACAATGGCTCGAGCCCCAGCTTGCAGAAGCTCGATCTGGACAGAAAGGCCTTGGACGAGGCGGTGTCAGGGAGGTTGTCGAGCGCATATTTTTGGAAGGGGCTGGCTTGCCTGATCTTCCGGCTGCTCTATCCGCAGACGATGCGAGACTGGTTGCTGACTCGAAAAGCAACCCCGTGGGAGTCGCGAATCTTCGCAAGCGGGCAGCAATCGCGGCCCTACGAGAGATGGTCGATACTTGTGGAGATCATGACCGAGTCATGACTGAATGCTTCGCCACATATCCGACACAAGTGTTTCAAGATGACGTACGACTGTCAAAACCAAATGCAAGTTACGAATGGCTTCATTTTCATGACAGCTTGTCAAGTCGAGTGTTCTCAGAGCAGGAGTGGGAATTGACGCCCTACCTCAATACTAGCGCCTGTGGGTTTCACCATCTCTTTGCCGCTGTCGACAAAGGTACAGTGGCCTGGAATGAAGAATTGCCGGAGGAAGAAGCCAAGGATGTCCACCCTTTCAGTGGCCTGAAAGCAGATTTCGCCGCTTATGAGGCGGAGAAGCAGAACCGGAATTTGCTCACCGAGCTACAGTCGAATTTCTCAGGGTCTTTGTTGAGATTGTTTAGCTCTATTGACGATATTGCGACAGAGTTGATCCCGAATGTGGGCAAGATGCTGGCTCCAGATGTGAAGCCTGTTGTGATTGGAGGATCTGGTAGCTCTGCCAGTGTTGCCAGTGTACGGAAAGAGTCTGAGAGGGTCTGTGTTCGCAACGCAGTTCGAACAATGCTGGCTTTGGATGTCTCATTTGAGAAGGTTCGCGTGGAAATTGAGGGTGGCGGTGCTCACTCGAATGGCGGCTATGCATATCGAATGGAACCGTGAGTTGACAGCCATTGAGTTAAAGACTCATCCCACTAACAAAGGTGACAGCCCCCTCGATACACTGCTGAGTTATCACATGGATAAATCAAGTTCAGCTGCCGCACCGGTCCGATATGCAGTTCGACAGGTGCTCGATCAAGAGCTGAGAAAGGAGAGGCTATTGCAAAACTCGCTGGTCCGACAGGGTCGCTCTGCGACATCGGCCCTCAGCGCAGACGTTGATGGAGAGGCTAACAAGGAAAACGAGCGTCCTGCCGACAAGGCGAAGGAAGCATCTTCCCAGGCTCCTGGAACCAAGCGCGATTTCTTTGGTCGGATCATCAATGAGAGCCGACCTACGTCGGCCGGTAAGGGTGCAAGGGAACGCGTAGGGAAGCTAGGGACAAAGGCTGAAGACCGAGTATGGGTCTCATTCCACGAAGGCTTCTCGAATGCCGTTCGGAAACCGATTACGCTGAGAGAATTGATGGGCGGGTTTTGAGACTGGAGAAAGGGATTGGGATTGACCGGCTGGATAATGAACGTTTGGAAAAGATGTATGTTGTTATGGTCATAGATACCTGCCATGAGATACGAACAATGAAATGCAGTAGTCGGACAACGTATAGAGCATTCGGTATTGATAGACGTCGAGCGTCTGAAGGTAGGTAGCTAGTAGTACCGAGTAGAGAACGTCTGAATACACTTGGGGGCTACTCCGTATACGTCATGTTCTTGTAAGCCGGAGATCAGATCAGCACATGCGTTCAACGGCCGAGGCTCGTGGCTCCCCAAGTTCCCTCTGTCTAACAAAGGCATGCTTCCCGCCTCGCCGCGTCTTGAACTCATTCACATGGAGCATGTGAACAAAACCGGAGTGTCTCTATCCCTCGTCACGATGATGATGATTTGATTGAGCCCCTTGAGTCCTTCTTACATGCAACCCTCGTTTCACCTCACGCTCACCAAACTCGCCCAGCGCTGGCACAATGGCGGTCCAGTCCAAACTGCTGCCCCCAGGCCGGAGCGTCAAGCAAATCATCTCGCAGTTGACCTCTCTCTACCTCAAACACCGCACGAACATCTCTCGCACCGTCTACATTACCCTAGTCGTTGCCTTGATCCATCGGATCCACAATGCCATATCAGAACAAAAGGCCGCAGCAAGGAGGCAAGCTGAGATTCAGCGTGAGCGGGCTCGACACTCGCAGCAGACCCCCGAGGACCCAGAGGCGAAGAACCCAAAACAACAGGAGGAACATCGAAAGAAACGGGTCGAGATCAATAGAGAGTTCTTCCGCAATCTACTTCGTCTCCTCAAAATCGTGATACCTGGCTGGAGAAGCAAAGAGCTGAGGCTCATCATCTCCCACAGCGTGTTTCTCGTCATCCGCACCCTCCTCTCTCTGTACGTTGCCGAGCTCGATGGCAAGGTGGTATCCGCACTCGTCCGGGGCAAAGGACGAGAATTCGTCTTGGGTCTTGTGTGGTGGATGGTGGTGGCCGTACCTGCGACCTTCACGAACTCGATGCTTCAGTACCACCAGACGCGCCTTGCGCTGGCCTACCGGACAAGGTTAACACAATACATCCACGAAAAGTATCTCAACAATATGACCTTTTATACTCTCTCGGCGCTCGATGATCGAATAAAGAACGCCGACCAACTCATCACCGTTGATGTGTCTCGCTTCTCCAACTCCCTCGCAGAACTCTACTCCAACCTGGCAAAACCTCTCCTCGACATGGTGATATATAACTATTCCCTCTCAAAATCTGTCGGTGGTGAAGGTCTCTTCGCTATGGCCCTACTCGTACAAATATCCGCCAACGTCATGCGCGCTTTAACGCCCCCGTTCGGAAAATACGTGGCCGACGAAGCGCGATTGGAAGGAGAATTCCGTTTCCAACATACGAGACTGATCGATTATAGTGAAGAGATCGCTTTATATGCCGGCCACGAGGCTGAAAAGGATGGTTTAGACAAGGGCTATTTCACGCTGATCAAACATGTCAACCGCATATTAAGGAGACGGTTCTACCATGGCTTCATGGAAGACTTTGTCATCAAATACTTCTGGGGTGCCCTCGGCCTTCTTCTGTGCTCATTACCTGTTTTCTTCAAAATTCCCGGTCAAAATCTCACCCCGGGAGAATCCAGGGGGGACCATACTGAGTCTTTCGTCACAAACCGTCGCATGCTCCTGAGCAGTTCGGACGCCTTCGGCCGCATCATGTTCTCCTACAAGGAAATCACCGAACTAGCCGGTTACACATCCCGCGTTGCCGGTTTGTTAGACGTGATGGACGAGGTCTCGGCGGGCCGATTCGAGAAGAAGCTGGTCAGTTCGGCTTCGACAGAAGAAAACGCCGCGGTGCTCAGAGGAAGAGGGACGATTGAAGAAAGCGAAAACATCGAATTCACCGACGTCCCCATCGTAAGCCCAAATGGCGATGTTCTAGTGAAGAAATTAACGTTTGCGATCAAACCTGGCGATCACCTGTTGATTGTTGGTCCTAATGGATGCGGGAAATCCTCGCTTTTCCGGATCCTTGGTGGCCTTTGGCCCGTTTATGGCGGATCTGTGAAGAAACCCAGGTTCGAAGATATATTCTACATCCCCCAACGACCATACTTGAGTCGAGGCACACTCAGGGACCAAATCATCTATCCGGACACACTGCGTGAATTCCGGGCCAAGCATGGTTCGGAAGAGCAACTCGGGCAGATCCTCTCCATTTTGGAAATTGAATCCATCGTCAATAGACCTAACGGATGGGACGCCGTGGAAGAATGGCGCGACGTCTTCTCCGGCGGGTTGCAACAACGCATAGCCATGGCTCGCCTCTTCTACCACAAGCCAAAATACGCCATCCTGGACGAATGCACTAGCTCTGTAACTCTGGAAATGGAAAGGAAGATGTATGAGACGGCCAAAGGCCTGGGAACGACGTTGATGACCGTGAGTCACCGACGCAGTTTGTGGAAGTACCACAGCATGATCTTGCAGTTTGATGGACAGGGTAATTACGTGTTTTGTCCGTTGGACGCCGAGAGGAGGATCAAGCTGGAGGACGAAAAGGAGGAGTTGGAGACGTTATTGAGGGGTGTAGATGCATGGGAGGCACGGCTCAAGGAGTTGGAAGAGGGTTGAGAGGACAGAGACGGTGATCTTCTTACCAGATCCAGGATGCCCCCAGGTCAGTGAAATAGAAGCTGGACGACCCCGACGCTTCTTTTATTGATAGATGTACTCTCAGATCGAGAGGGAGCGATACGGGGGCCTTTTTCTGCCCGACCTCACAGCGCCAGGGATTTTTGTCAGCCAAACCAATTGGAGGGTCAAAACCATATGCAGCTACTACTACCCGTTGTCCGAACATGCCTGCCGATCTGAGGAGCCGGAACGCATTGAGCCATCGTGGGCGAGCGGAGGGCATTCTGGGTATGCCCTCGACGTGGACAATGCGGACGACACCTCCGCGAGCACACGGGTCCGAGACAGAAGTCGACAAGCCCTGCACAACCGCATCACGGACGATTAACCTATCGACCGAGTCTGCAACATACAACCAGTGCAGGACGGATTGAGTTAGCCGTTGGACAGGCGAGAGAGCTTCGTTTTGACCGAGAGTGTGAGCCGTATATACTTGGGATGGCAATGGATGGGTTGGGATGATGAGATGCATCATCAGGACTGAAAAGGGTCAAATCAACACCTCACGGGCTGCTATTTTCACATATACATACTTCCACGCTGCTGGGGAGGGCATCCTAGGGCATCCCATTGGCCTAAGGGAGAGTAACCCAAGATATCATCATCAAACTCCGTACACCACCTCGACGGACTGCCTCCTTTGATTGATGACCGAGCGGTTGGTCGGCGCATTCGTCGGATTACGTACGATTTGGAATCGATTTGTCGTATTGCTGGGTGCTTGATTGCATGGTTGAATCCTTCTTCGTGTACCCCATACATAGGAAGGAAGTGGCGTGCTGGCATCCCTCTGCTGACAGCCCAGCTCTCGCCAGAGAGAGGACTTTGTTCTCTCATCGAGCTGGGGACTTTCTGGGGCAACACGCCGGGCTTTGTCGAAGGGCCGATGACTGACAAAGACTCAATGGCCTTTCCGCCCGTGCTTTGTTCAGTTTCGTTAACATTTCACCGCTCCGCTGCTTTCCGTCTCTTGCTCGGGTCTCCCTCCAGAGCAGTCGTACCACATTTCCCCCGATTCTTAGCAATGAAAATCCTGCTTCTTGTTTGGAATGCCGCGAAGGAAATGAAGCCGTCAAATGAGGGCGGATGCCACTTGGGTTCTCATCAGCCGAAAATAAGCGGTGGTCGGTTTCGTTGGTCATCGCCTGGGTCGCGCAAGGCGGACTTCCTATTTGATAAGCCCTAGCCGGTCATTCTGCTGGTCGTTCCACTCCTCCAAGGTCGTTTCTAGAGGGAGGGATACGGCTTTCCATACCCCGTCTTACAGAACCATCTCTTACATTTGGGCTGTCTCGTTAGCCACTCCTTGGAGATGAGGCTGAGGCTGACCTTGATGGCTACAGCGAAGGCCAACGTTCGTCCTATTCTGACCCCACTGAGTTGAGGGTGGTCTACCGCTACTGGACGTGCCATTGATGCGGTGTTCGAGGCAGATGCCAGAGGGTTGTAGAGGGATTTTCCATGGCATTACGATGTTGCAATGTCAGCCCCTTTCATTTCTTAGAAGAACATTCTGCCATTGGGCCCCCTCTCCAACCTCCGCACATATGATTCGGCTGTTGAGAGGGTACCAGGTCCTGATCGTGCCTCAATGTGCAGAGTACAGGATAGCTATCTTTCGGTTGCTTCTCAGACTGTATGCTGACTATACTGAGTTTGACTGGTCCACAAATTATCCTCGAGAGATATAAAGGCCCACCGAGCCGGCTGTGTGGAATCACAAATATTTTGAAGAGTATCCAAAGATGGTGTTGTGGTTTCAGCTGCCGGCAGAGATCCGCAACAAGGTCTACGGATACGCCTTCGGGACACTCGTCTTCAAGCCGCTGCAACTGCCCAACTTTCCGATAGACACAGACCAAGCCAACCGACTCCCATCCCCATCGTTCGCGTCCTTAGCAGTGTGCAGACAATGGAAAAGCGAGGTCACGCCATACCTCCTGCCAACGGGCACATTCGACTTCACAGACCATCCAGGAGACACTCTGTGCATAGCTTCTCCCAAGGTATATGAGGTGATGCGACACGTGGTGATTCTGGAAACTCATTGCTTCAGTACGGATTGGCTGCATCAAGTCTTTGATAAGATGACTCAGGTGCACACGATGACGATTCGAAAGCTGAGGAAAACTGGTCCTGTGGACAACAGCATCTTTGACGGGCCGAGATTGATGAAGAAGTTCATCGAAAAGGTCAAAATTGACCCTATCACAACATTGTTGACAGGATATCGCTTCGATCATATATATATCAAAAAGATGTTGAAGGGTAAAGGGCAGCAGGAGAGAAGAGTCGTGCTGGAAGGGAGTCTGTGGCTTGCTGACAACGCTGAGACAATTCACTCGGTACGAGAGATGTTCCTCCACCATCGCAGATACCAAATCCACCGGGACTGACCGTTGCCTCTAGAAGTTTGCCGTGGATCTGGACTCATGGGAAGTGCGGATCGAGGGAGTGCTGGAAGGAGGGACGACAATCGAAATCCAGGCAGCCGAACCTACTCCTGTCAAACCAGCTCATTTCGAGGACGAGGAAGGGATGTTCGAGTATATGATCAGTCAACATTGGGCTTCATTGCAGCACAGTCAAGGCATATACTAGCCAGGTGCATAAATTGTCGTCGCCCACGATACAACGCCGCAAGAAGAGACTGCCTCGCCTCTCGATACCAAAAATCTCATCGACTCGTTCAACGATCCTAGCACTCGAGCAGACGGACTCAACGAGTTCAACCAGGGAGACTGGAGAATCACAACAGCAGTGCCTATGGGCAGACAGCGCAACGCGAGTGCTGAGTGAGAGTTGTCACTTCACTCTCATCTTTCGCCTCAAAGTCACTTCTTAACTCTCTTCACTCCACCATCTGACATCTCGTCAGCTGCTTCCCTGACCTGTGGCCTTCAACTCGAATTATCCTCACGATCCTGTCTATAAAATCCTCCGTGAACCTCCTCATCCTGGGACATTGTCATCCACCGCCCCTTGCTGGCCTCCCCCCGTCGTTATTAGCCACTCTCCCAACGGATCCGAAAACGGTACAGCGCTTCATCAATAATGTCGTCATACAATAATTCTTCATTCACTTCGGCTTCTCGGGGCCACCATGGGAACGATCTCGCAAATCCTTCTTCGACCTGCCTCCCGAGATTCGCATCAATGTCTATCGCGCTTTAGTCCGAGGGCAAACGGTAGTGACCAGAAGGAATGACCGTGAGACGACAAAACGGCCCGTCTTCCGCGACCGTGCTATCGGCCTGAACATCCTTTTCGTGTTCAAAGCCTGCCTTGCTGAGGCGAATCCAATATTACTGTCAGACGCCACGTTTGATGTCGACTTCAACGGCATGGCTTCTCTCAATCCGGAGATCCGAATAGAGATGCAAGATTTCTCCCCAGCTGACCTTGCTCTGGTTCGTGCGGTGGGGATCTCTTTCTGTTGTCGTACCAATTATCTGCACCCCTATTGGCATGGGGGTGGGTTTGGATGGATTAACATAGATCATAATCAAAACTCGTGGGGCCCTTTCGAGGCTTGGGAGGCCTGTGGAGACGTCTGTCGATTTGTCTGGTCATATCCGGGCGGGAACTATTCTGCCGGGTTCTTTAGGGTCTTGGAGTGTCTTGAAGGGATACTACGACAAGGCAAGATGCGCATTCAGTTTGTGCTCAAGTGCATCCTTGAGTTCGGTGGTGGGCAGACGGCAGTGAGTCTTACTCTATCTTGGTCATGCGCACGTACGATATGCGCTGACGGGGAAAGGTCCTGTGGGCAGACTTTCAGGCAAAGACGACGTGGATGGAAGATTCAGGAATTATACAAATCCCACTGCTCACACGCCGTCAACGTTCGACAAGCCCAGGCGATGAGGACTGGACGCTATGATATCAGAGATGGAAACCAGAGAAGGCCGTATCCACGACTCCACGGTCCAGCATTGGTCACAGGCACATCCGAGCCGGCGTCCACGGACATGAAATTATCGTCGAGCACAACACAAGGGCCGCAGGAGTTGGGGGCTGGAACGACAACAGCAAGCCCGATAGGGAACGCTGTGGTTGAAGGAACTTTGTGACAGCAGAACCGGAAGATTGGATGACATGGAGAGCTCGATGCCCGGTGCTGTATCATCTTTGTTACGGTGCATGGATGTCAAGTACATGGATGTCAACCATGACGAGTCTAGCTAGGAGCTAGCAATGCTGAACGGGACAGCCAGCTTGCGATAGACTTCGAAAGGTCAGCCAGGGCTTAGCCACGTGTGATGGTCAAGATGCGATAGCTGTCACTGCCTTACCGCCTCCTCTGACCTCAATCTTCTACCCTCACCTTGTCGCCTGTGAAGTGTTTCAAATTCCTTCCCACGGCCTTGAGTACTAATGTAGTTCTCATCCAGTCTCCTCTTCACTCTCGCACACTTGAATGACCATGACCGACCTAGTACGGCTAACTCACGAGTGGTAGAGTAGAGGACAGTTGGACGTCTTCACAGCAAGTCTAGAGAGGTAGGCGGTCTGTCTTGGTACCCCGCGCTCGACTGACTATATAGTACCTGGCTATATACCTACCTACCTAGAAAGAGTTCTCTTTTCTTCTGATCAATCACATAGTTATTATTCCATTCCTTTTCCCACTTTCAGTCGTTACGCGATATGCACCAAGAACCACCACAAACTATGTTACAAATACCCAGTACCTTGTCCTTAGGGTTCTTTGTTTGTTTCATCATCACTCCGCCTGGTAAATTTTTATGCTCTATTCTTACCTAGTTAACTGACATGCATCAAGAGTGAGATTTCCGGACGTCGATGAGCTGCTGGAAACGGATGACGCACCGTTTCAGACAAGTTGGATTGGGTGACTGGCGGGGCTGGCCTGTCAAGAGAGGTGGAGGGTGCAGCTTTCAGATTAGCTAGAGGCACTGAGAAGTGATGCTGGTGGCCGTACTCTTCCTCGAGCATAGTCGTAAGAGCAGTTACTCAAATCGTTGGATTGCTTGGGTGCATTCTCGGTTCGAGGGCCAATGCTACATTGCCCCAGGGGGAGGGGGGGAGCTTGACATCCGACACGTTTTCAGGCCCAAGGCCGGAATACGAGATCCTCAGGCAATGCCTTCCTGATTGAGATACTCGGGCAAGCCGTCCAATCGAATCGTGCATGATCTTGGTTCGTGTTAGTAAACATGCTCCTTGCGACAAGAATATACAGATCAGGAAGGTCGATGGTTGGGTGTTTGAATTTTGACACAGAGATTCTTGGCCGTCATTTCTGTCGAGTCCTCGAGAGGCCGTCCGTTTAGGTGACCCTGCAGCGTCGTGGTCGCCTGTACTCGCGAGCTCGGTAGATCGACGAGGGTGTGTGGTGCTTTGTTCTAGATCTCTCTCTTGTCGCCATTGGGCATCGAATCGAACAAGACATGAATGTCACAGCACCAGATATAGTATCAGCAGGACCGAGTAGTGTAACTCGTTTCGGGCCCTGCTAGGGTGCGCCAGCATTGTCTTGGGCCCCCGGCGTGAAAGAATCTTTTCCATAGATCTAGAACTAGGTCGTCTCGGCGTCAGGCAATGTCATTCTTGTTTCAGGAGACGGGTCAGCTGAGGCCAGATCATTTTGACAGAGAGCCCTGGCAAATAGGGCTGTTTTCGCGGGGATTGGAAGAAGCATCGTCATGACTTCGGCGGGGGAGACTCGACAGTGGAGCATTAGCACCAGTGGGTGGCCAAAATGGGTTCGGAGGGGCTTGAGAAGTTCGTATTGAGGCCTCTGAGCACTGAGCAGAGCGACCCCCTGGCAAGGGTGGGCAAGCTTTTCGGGGGACTTCCGCTGGAACACGCATTCCTAGGAGAACACGGTCAATGGTTCCAGGCTTTGGACAGGGTATGGAATGAAGTACGAGGTAAGGAGGAAGTATACAAGTGGTCTTTGATTGATGACGGAGATGATGGAGTTGATCTGAGTGAGATGGCGCTGATGACTGATGAAGGATGACGATCGATGCTGATCTCAAAGAGCGGTCCCTGCCGTTGCCGTCGGGAAGGAATGAGCTCGCTGATCCATCAAAATTCAAAGTGCCTGCAGGTACCACATAGAAACCACAGGCGGTGGTGGGTGGTGGGTGGTGGGTGGTGGGTGGTGGCCGGCATCTGCTTAGGCGGTCAGTCCGGGACCGCAACCGTCTTCGAACAAGCCAAGCAAGCCCTACGACTAACAAGTACAGTACAAATAGGTAAGCCCGCCAGCCTATCGAGTGGCCTAAGTAGGGATCCACTAGCCTACGTAACAGGCGTACCTCGTAGGGCCACGGGAACTGTGAGTGCCTGTCTCCCACCTCTGGGACTTGCCTTTGGCGCCTTGCCTGTTCCTCGAACGAGGTCAGCTTCAAGGCCATCTGCCTCTGCAAGGTACCAGAGCACGCAAACACATGGTCCACATTGGAACCTTCAACCTCATTTACTGACTACACAGTCATTTCGTCAGCTTACGAAACATGGTGCCAAACATCCCTTTGCAGCCGCGATAGTGCTTTGTTTTACCCCTTAACCCATCGAACCTCGATGTGAGCCTCCAGAGGCACAAAATACGAACCTCCAAAGGACCTCATCCCTAGAATCGACATGTGGCAAACTTCACGACGAGGCAAGACAAGAGAGGGGAAATCGAGATCCACAAACAGGTGAAGGCCCATTGATTCAGGAGGACAATTGTGTGACACAACTCAGCCAGCCATGCGATGAATCATTCGACCTTGGAGGTCACCAGGATTGTGGCCGCTCAGCAGTGTCCACCTCAAACAACCCCCCTTCCCCACCGAGTAAGGTTTGCCTGGGCATGCTCGGCCTTGCCGGAAGAGAGGAGAACTGCTCGTCGATTTCTCCAGCCTGGAGGAATGGCTGCTGCTTTCGAAACAAGAAAAATACACAGTGCATTGCTCAAAACGGTCTGAGTCGGCGCAGACACAAAGCCCTTCTTGTTGGTTTCTACAACTTCTCACCTCTCTGCACCTCGGATGGCCCGATCATACACTGGACACTGCAAAGAAGAATGGCCAAGACCCCGGTTCACCAAATTTTGTACGCACCTTTCCAACTTGGGGAGAATTAGTCGAGGTGTGCCTGATCAGCCTGATCTCCTCTCAATTGGAGTCTCATGATCAAGCCAAATTGTCAATGTGGCTTGCAATTTGGACGATCTAAAGTTCTAAACGCGCAACCGAAAACTAATCGCCGACCACCCTGTTGGGATACCCCCAGATACGTACTTGTAGGTAGGTACCAGCCAGAGGAGGTATTAGCTTTTGACGTACAACTTCGGGAAACTGCTTGGACAAACAATCCATCTCGACTTGAACACCCCTGTGATCTCTCTGATTGCAAGAGGCATTTGGGAAGGGATGCACAGCACCACGTGGTACCCTGGACCAACTAGCGACATGGCCTGGAAGTTCTTGGATTCCCTTCTCGCGTCGAAGCCCGTATTCGAAAGTTGCCCTTGCAACCGTACCTGGCGCCAAACCCAATGCGAGATGCAAGGGGTTCCGAAATTCTAATCACGACATCAGCTGGGCCAGTCAGCCTACAGGGTACAAGTACACAAACTCTCCGGCCAGCTCGCTATAGGGCTTGTCCTTTTGCGACCATCCATTACGGTAGGGAGAAAATGGGGGCTTTGACGTTCCCAACCTGGCTGGAGTGGTACCACCTTGACCAGACACAGCCTGCCGTGGCGTCCTCTAGGCTCTGCTTCGCATTTTTTTGCTGGCGTGGTTCGAGATGCTTGATCGCTTACGTTGGTTCTTACCGCGGTGTAGCCGTGCTAACCTTCCAGAACGAGTAATCTCAAAGATCCTAGTTTCCGGTTGCTGCATGGACATGGGTGTCGGACGGTGCAGGATACATAAAGAGACAGGAGCCCTCCCTGAATCATATGCTTTCTCAAAGCCCAACTGACTGCCTTTTTCACATCGAATACCAAAGAATTCGCCAACCAAGACGAAATATCTGCAGAGAATCTTGGCACTAAGGCAGCCAGCATTCCGATACGACTTCCAATACGACACATCATGCAGACTGTTCCCATCATTCGGGAGCCTATTCCCAAAACCGCCTCTTTGCCGACTCAGTCCCCATCGAAGTCGCCTACTCAGACGAGATATTCTCATCTCCTCTATTTATCAGAGCCAGAGCGACAGCTCTACGTGTCCAGAATGGAAAAGTCCTCAGCTTCATCTCTTCGCTCTTCCAACTCCGTCCGATCAAATCGCTCCGCCTCTTCGTCCACAGGATCACAAACCTCGGTCTCGACAAGCGTCATATCAAAGCCCAGCATGCAAGTCCCTCGCTATGTTGATGACCATTATCCCTTAATCACCACCATCCATTTAGAGAACGTTCCTGCTTCCGTACCTAAGGACCACCCGGCCTTCTGGTGTGCCCGTCAAATGGCCCAGATCCACAACACCATCATTCGTGCCTTGAATGCATCGTGGAACCAGGCAGTCATGGTTCAGCCAGATACTCAAGAAGCCGCTGATTTCCTTCTGTTCAACCAGCTGCTCTTCAATACCTTGAATCACCATCACCATGTCGAGGACGATTATATGTTCCCGGCAATGGAAAAGTTGCTGGGTCGGCCCGATGCAATGGAAGCGAACACGAAGGGCCACGACTCATTTGCCGAGGGACTCACCGTCTTCCAGAAATACGTCTTCATCACCAAGTCAGCTGAGTACAATGGAGTCACCCTTCGTCACATCATTGAGTCCTTTGCGCCCAACCTTATTCAGCATCTGCACGACGAGATCCCTACCCTTGCAAATCTTCATGTTTTAGATGGCAAGGAGTTGATGAAGATCTGGAAGCATGCGGAGCATATGGCCACCAAGGACAATAGCCTGTACACTGACGCGCCCTGGACACTGGGGTGCCAGGACAAGTCCTTCACTATCGACGGAGAGAAGTGTGGCTTCCCCGACGTCCCTTGGGTCATCGAGGCCGTGATCAGGAATTGGCACGCAAAAAAGCATGCCGGAGCTTGGAAATTCTGTCCAAGTGACCTCTCTGGAAAGCGGCGTCTGCTGCCCATTGCATGAACGGCAAATGCCTTTATCTTTTCTTTTGTTTTTGTTATGATTTGATGACCATTATGCCTTTTTGGAGGAAAGATGTCTTTGTATATGTCTAGCGTTCAAGCATCCTCCTGTTTTCAGTATGATCCGTCTGAGGCGGGGAAATCCTTGGGATAGGAGAACCAAGACTGTATCTTAAAAAGTGTACCATATTCTAGTACGGAATCTCCTCATACCGAACCATTACTGCTTTTCAAAAGTTCGGGAAATAGATCCAGAAGTTGCGAGAGATCGCTGATTTGATACTTGCTCGCCTTCTCTAGCGGATCGGGCACGCCCGGCTCAACGAGATGCACGGCGTTGGTCCATCCACGGGCGTACGCTGCTTGGCAGTTCAGATAAGAGTCGTCGACGTAGTAAATCGGAGTGTCCGATGTTGCACCAGCTTCCCGCTCTGCCTTGGCGAACATCTCTGGGAGTGGCTTCGGAACGAGCGGTGACTGAGCATAATCGCAGTATGTAATTCCCTCGAAGAGATCATCGATGCCAAGTAGCTTCACGACTCGCATGCCGTGGGTGATATGCGCGTTCGTAAACAGCCATAGTTTAACTTTTGATTTATCGAATGACTCCAGCATCTCTCGTGTTTCGGGATGCGGCGACAAAAGTTCGTCCAGGGGTAGCGCATCATCTACTTCTCGATTAAAATCTAGCGGGTCGATCTTATGGAAGCGCGACAGTCCCTCGATGGCCAAGCCGTAGTCTTTGTAGTACTTTTGGTGCAAGTATGTTGCTTCCTCTGCCGAAACTTCGAGATGCTTTACAAAGTATTTGTTGATTAGGAGAGCCATGTGGTCATGGACTTTTCTGGACTTCGCATATAGACAATTGTCGATGTCGAAAAAGAAAACGGCCCGCTTGTCGGCGGTCTCGGGTTGGACTGAACCCATGAGTCTGGTTACACGATAAGGAGACCTATGGTGCCAATGACAGTTGATATGGTGAGAAATCAAGACAGAAACCAAGCCTATGAAATAATAATGAGAGCGTTGCTTCACAGTGATCGGTTACATTCGGCCAACGAAGTCGAAATATGAACGGAGGAGATGGATGAAGTGTATGACTCCTCGTCGAAGACTTCCACATGATTTGAATCGCGGGAGGCAAATTTGGTGGAAAATCGGGCTTGGTCATGTGACGTGGCACGTGATACAATGCTTGGCGATGGCTGGGTCGCCTTGAAAACCAGCTCGAGACTCGCGAAACACTCTTCTACCAGGTCATCACACCCTCTAGAGGTGATTCTGCTTCCTCAACGGGCTTTTCGTTCCCTTTGCTGACCTGTCTGCCAGCATCCTCTCTTCTCTCCCACTTGTTGCTCCTTCATTCTTGCTATGTGTCTGTCCAGGTAGAAACCATCTCTCAGCTACGCGCAGCTCAGACGCGCACCCTCTAAGCATGTCCGCTTCTACTGGCCTCTTACTGAACGGCGTTCTGCCGACCTCTATGCAACCCGTCAATGAGGCTTTGGAATATGAGAAGATACTAAGAATTCGCGACGAGGTATTTTCTGGAAGTCATCCTAGATTGACAGTGCCAGCCCATGCCCTCCGAGTACCTGCTTCTCAGTCCTCATCGACCATCTCTCAGACGCAGTTGAATGTTCCTCCGTTCCCTCCGAGTGCGTCTCCAAATCGTCTTGGGGCCGCTGTTCAGACCAAGCGTGAAGATGATACAACCCAAGCTCAGACAAAACCAAACGGTGTTCCCGTTGCAACTGCCAGCCAACCTGCCAATAATGTTTCTGAATTTGACCCTGTCCTTTTGACAAAGTCGGATGATCTAGTTCGGGCCGAAACTCAGCTGAAGCGACAACGACTTGAGCGGGCTTTAAGAGAACAATTTGAACATAGAAAAGCAGATGCCCGCAAGAAGCCCGCGCCCGCCGAGGCGAAGCCGGATTTTGACCTACCAGCCATTTTTGCCAGAGTGACGGGTGCTGTCAAATCTCCATCTTCCAAGGAAGATGCCGATGCTACAGACTCCTTCGACGAGGATGCCTATTATTCTAGCAAAGCCCCTGATTCGACGCCAGAGAGACCTCCCAGCGACTCTGCCGAGGACGCTGATGAGGAACAGGCCGACGAGCCTTTAGGCCCACGTGTCGTAAGCGCCGTTATGGGTGCTCCATTGTACGCCGACGCTGGTGGTGGTATCTCCGCCGATGTCGCGCCACCTGCGCCCACCGCCACCGAACCGCCAAAGCCTCCACGAACCATCGATACCTCTGCAATGGACGTTGAGGAGGATGAAGAGGAAGGAGAGTATTCGCCCCCAGAAGCCATGGCGCAATATCCCACACCCAAGGTCACTCAAGCACAGGAAATGCAAGACAGTAGAGATCCACGCGGTCGTCCCTTGCGCAGATACTCGGAACTGGAAGACAATGGAGGAAGGCCCGTTTCACCCTCGGAAGCCAACATGCGGATAGTAAGAAACCATATCACCTCTCCCATTTGCCCTCAACCGTCCCGTGTCTCGCCTCTGGCTAAAACTAAGGATTCTCCCCTTTTACAGAATGCACGTCCGCGCCGGAAACAATGGATTGGCAGACCAGGATCTCCCCCAAGTCCTGATGATAACCAAGCATTGCCACCCAAGAAAAAGAGAAAAGTTGAGACTCGCAATGCCCGCAAGGCCCGAAGAAACGGCGGAACGTCTCCAGACGCTCTGATAAAGGAAGAAGACGTCTCCCCCCCGCCATTCCACGATGTCCAGCCACTTGGTTCTGGCCGATTCCGACCCAGCAGAGCGGATCGGCCAATTGTCATTGATGAGGAACCAGTCCAAGAAGGACGTTACATGCCCGCTCCTGAACGGTATGTGGAATCTCCCTCGCGACCACTTCCGCGTCGGGTTGAACAGTTGATGCCCTTGAGTGAGCCTCGCCCGTTGTCCAGGTCCAGTGTGAGACCAGCCAGAGACGAGCAGGACTTGCGCCGAGTGGCAAGTATGCACAGTCTGCGAGCAGAGCAGCCTCGCGAATACGTCGACCAATACTATGAATCGCCTACTCGTGCACGAGCCATGTCTTACGCTAGGGTGGAAAGTCCTGCCATGATGGAACCGGCTCGTCCCCTTCGTGGGGTGGTTCCAGTCGAGTATGACCAGCCTGCTCCGGAGGTGAGGGTGATGCGCACACCTGCACCCGTCTATCGTGAAGTCTACGACGATCGGGACGGGACTTACCATCGCTACGCTGTCGAGCCTATACCACCACCGCCACCCCCTCCCGTTGAGCGAATTGTCATCGACCAATATGGCAGGAGGTTCCGCGAAATCATCCAGGAGCGGCCATCTGTTGCACCCCGAGCAATGTCGGTTCGGGCAGCTGAAGCGGACCCACGTTACGAAGAATATCCCCGCCAAGCCCGGGCAGGGTCAGTCTTCGTAGAAGCGGCGCCGGACAGAGCCTATGCTTCTGAAATGCCTCCGCCACCAGTTTCATATCACCGTCTGGCAGAGCCAGCCAGAAGTTCGGCTGTGGCGGGCCCGGTCACTCGAGAGTACCTTGAGCCAGCGCCCCCAATGCGAAGCTCTAGCGTCCAGGTGATGGATCGCCCAGTACGACAGACGGTATACGCAGATGAGCGGACCGAGTTCCGCGAACCGGTTCGGATGGGAAGCGTGCGGCCACCACCAGCATTACGATACGAAGAAGCTCAGCCGATGGAAGTGGCGACCCGAGGTCAGAGCATGCGTCCCCTTGGTCGCGAAGGCAGCGTCTTCGTGGACGACAGGCGGGCTGTTCTACCGGAGTATGTTCCTGTAGAACAAGCTAGATACCGGCCGATGGAGCCAGAGAGGAGGTATGTCGATGTTGAAGACAGAGAGAGACTCACCATGGACGGATCAATGGATGGCAGACAGAGAGTGATGGAGAGGTATTGAGATTCAGGTCGAGGCGATGATGAGATTTCGGGATTTCCTTGAGTGGTGCGTAGGGACTTGGATTGTCAGTTGTTCAGGATTGCGGGTGGAGAGAGGGAGCCATGTATGTGTGTATGTGTACTGTATGTGTACAGGTATGGAGTATGTGTATAAAATTGCACCGAGGAAGCTCAAGAGGCGCATGGGGCTGTTGAATGCCCGTCCATAATACGACGCCATCCTGAGGCGCGCTGGCGAGGCACATCAAACATCAACATGATCATGATCATGATCCACGAGGCAATGAGCCGATTCTGAAACCAAGCCACGTTTTTTTTTTGTACAGTTGTTATTGTGCGATTGTTTCATCTTGTTCTCTTGCTAACGAGCCGAGTTCAAGTTCTTTTGCATGGATAGCAGGCCGGACGTGGTGATTGGCTGCACCGTGAGCAGCTAACCGCCGGCCTCATCTTCCTTCACACCTCACTTGACCCTCACTTCTTGCAACTCCCGCGAATAGCAACACGCATCCCGAGTACGCCTTGATCAACACTCGCTGCCGCCATGCCATGGCTTGGGCGCTTGGGCAGCTCTGGAGCCTCTCGGATTATTGCTGATCTGACTTGACCGGACCTGACCCTCTCTGCTGGCATCTTCTCATCCAACCAAGTCAGAGCCAATGCCACGACTCTAAGCTTCATCTCGCCGCAAGGCCCCTTTTCACCTCCTCTCTGCCAGTGGACAAGCGCCGACGACGGAATGTGATTGAAGGGACCCTCTCCGGCTCCGCTGCAACGTGCGAGGAGCGAGCAGAGGTGAGCGAAAAGAAAAAAAAGATGAGCAGGAGAAACTAGAGCTCGTGTTGCAGGAACTAGAGTTCTCGCGGCCATCATGGTCTCGTCTCCCCCACAGCATCCCAAGGTTGAAAGCTGCGTTTCATGTCCTTCAAAGATGCCTCTTCCTCTGGCCAGGCTTCTATTCCTCTTTCTCAAGGAAGAGTGATAGTTTTGTTGGGCTGCAGCTGCAGCTTTGGAAGCATCACGCCTTCCTTGTTTCCCCCGCCTCTTCTCTGCCCTTACCTGTGGTTCTTGGTTTCTGTTCATCACTGATGCTGGCATCGTCGACATCTCCCTTAATTGTCAAGTCTAATCGTGCAGCGACCCCTCGCAACACCGCGTGTTGAGACAACGTCTTCATCTTCTCGCCGATATGAGGTCGAAGGCCGCGTCAGAGGACTCGCTGGAGCCAACATGCCATTTCGAGTTCTTCGATTGTCTCTTCGCGAGAAACGGTGAGAAGGAGTTGGAGAGACAATCGCCTCCGACTGGTTTGTGATACTCTCCCAATACGAAGGCGAGAAGGGTCGATTGACATGTCCACAGGCATTGAGAGAGAAATGCGCATCATGTATCAACAGCCTCACCTGGTCCCGCCCATGAAGCTTACCGTGTTTGATGGACTTCCTCCAACTCCTCCACCACCGCTCCCTTCACAGTTGTCGCAATGGGTTTCCCAGGGCAAATCGTCCCTCAGATCGAGCCTATCAATGCGGAGACAGACCTCCAAACCCGTCATCTCTGGCCCTCACCCGTCACTGCCTTTGGCGCCACAGCTTCCTCTGCGACGAGCGGCACAGGAGTTCCGCCCGCTCGAGCTCAGCATCTATATGCCGAACAATCGACTTTCAGACCTGCCAGCTTTTGATAGGTTGAGTTTTACAGACGGTGGCGAAATCAAGATCCCACCCCGAGCATTGGTGCGAACAAAGTCAGAGGAGTTTATTCCGCACAAGCTTTCGCTACTGCCTGCTCCTGTAAAGCCTGCCTCAATGATTGAACAGCGCCGGATGTCCCATGTACGGCCCGACGCCTCCTCGACTGTCATATCCATGTCTCGACCGCCTTCCGAGTACGATGCTCTGCACTCTCATCCTGTTTCATGGTCATCTTTCCCAGGTCTACCTCCACAAATCCACTTTCCCGGTGTTCGTTCAGAAGCATCTGTGGCTGTCTTGACCCCAATGCAAGAGGAATTCAGCCCTCCAGTCACATCGGTCACTATCGGTGATACGGTACTCGACTTCCCCCGGGTCATCGAAACACCAGCAGAGCAACATGACCGTGTGCCTCCAGAAGCTCCAGCACCGCCGCCAACTGTGCCTCCAGCACCTGCAAGGAATTTCTCCAAGCCAGCGGATATGAACTCGCCTTCAGGCTACTTCCATCCCAACTATCAGACTCAAAAGCGAATCTCCCAGTGGCTCGCCCACCGCAGCCATTCTTCCTCAATCAGCACCACTAAATCGTCGTCAACGTCGTCCTCGTTCGCAGAACACCGCCGCAAGCGTACTCAATTCTATCAACTCTCCGCTCCTGCAGGAGCACCGCCCAAGCCGTTGAATCTCTGGCCACGCCAACACCACAGGACAACGACGGAGTCAACCGTCGCTAGCACCGTTGACACTGACATTCTCTCCTATGGCAACCAAAGCCAGACAGACGCGACAAGCGTCACCACCACTATAGCCGTGGACTGGCAAAGTCGAAGTGGCACGGTTAAGGGTGTCTCCAAGGGAGGTGGAGGTTTGAGACCCATTGTCAGCGGTGTCCCTGATGTGCCGCCTTGCTATGCGGAGATCATCAGGGATGCTGACGAGATGATCATCAAGGAAATTGGTGGCCCCCTGAGAAGTCCAGGTGTGGGGGTCGCTTTCTGAGGTGGGAGAAAGAGCAAGCACGCAGTCGTAGCAATTTCCTTTGTTTTGTCGATACCCTTGCCGGAAGATTCTTGTTCATTTCTCTGGTCCTCTCATTTCAGTCGGCTCTGGAGCAGCCGGAGCCGAGGGCTTTTTGATGTCAAAAGTTGGAGGCACACATTCGTTTGATTCTTGGCTCAGGCATTTGGACCTTTGAGACCCTCCTTGACTTATTTTGAGATACCCCAGTCGCTTTGGTTCACTTGGACATTGGAACGGCAAATGGAATTGAAAATAGATATGGAACTGGAACTGCCCAGAGGGGGAAGGGGGAAGGACAGTCTTTCTCAGTCTGGCCCCTTGAATTATTAATAGGTCACCTTTATCAGAATGGATGAGGTGCCCGGGAATATGGACTTTTCGAGACGACAGTTGGGAGGCTACCAGAGGGAGGCGCCAGAATTGTATATACATTCTCTAGAACAAAAATCTTATACCAATAATACAATACACATTTGCTGTAAAGACTATATGCCGTATGTCACTACTTATGTGTTTGATGGCCGTGGATGCTCGATGCTCGACGTTCGGACTAAATACGTGGATAGGTGCCATGTATGCATACGTATGTATGTATGTATGTATGTATGTGGACGAGACTATTAATTAAACCATATACCATGATAATATAATATGACATGGTGTAGTGTGCTACATATGCTATGCTATAGTATCCGCGGATGCAGATGCATCCCAAGCAGAAACAAAAGTGCTCGCTCCCGGCGCCGGTGCCGTTCCAGTTCCCAGTCCTGTTCCTAATATCCCTATGCCCATGCCACACATATCCAGGAGATTCCGAGGGTGGTGGAGAATGTAAAAGCAAAGCGCTTCTCTTTTCTTTGCTATGTAGTGTACCATTAATGACCAAGTAATGTCGGTTAAATTTCCCCCTTTCCCCTGTCCTCCGCCTCCTTTTGAACCCAGGAATTTTAGGTGATTTCATCGTCATCTCGTCCAGGAAGATACAACAACATGTACAGACATACACAGGACCCATTGTATCTGGTTTTCTTTTGCTCCTTCTCTTTGTGAGAGGTACGCCGATAAAAAATGCCGCCGCCACGCCCCGTGGGTATGATGGACTCACACTCATTTACATATTGGCCAGTTCGCCATCAATGGCTTTGTCCAAAAATGTCCGCCTCTCCCCGGCAGGTACCTCACACTGCAGCCTCTGCTCCACCAGTGCTCTGACTTGCTTCTTGGTGACCTTGTCGAGATCCACCTCAGCCAACACCGCGCGAATTGCCTCGACAATGTCATGATCACTTGGCCCAGCCGAAGGAACGGTGCGGAAATCCATCACGGTGGATGTCGGCCGACTGCCCATGACGCCCATGCCTAATAGGCTGGGTTTACTGGCCGAGTGTTGCATGCCTCCCTGATACGGGCTGCGACTCCGCGAGTTATCCTGGTATGGTACTGGGGAGGGGGACTTCAACCGCGCTTGGCTGCCTAGGCTCAACATACTCATGTTCCGTCCGTGCAAGCTGATGGGTTGATCCTTGAACTGTGTGAGGCCAGTCATGGTGCTAGCGCGGTTATTGTTCATGCCGTTAAACGGCGTCATTGATCGAGGTGGTGCCATATATGGCGCTGATTGATGAGGAAAGCCCGCCAGGATCGTGCTGGCTGGTTTCACGGAGGAGTAATTTGACTGCATGTCGTCCATTTCCATCATTGCGGCGTCATCGGTGTAGCCATACTCAAAACCCTTCTCCGGATAGCCGCCAGAATTGCCACGACGCCCTGGCAAGTTGTTGGCCGCGGCATAGTCGTCCCACCTTTGGAGAGGGATTGATCGGGGATCGAAACCTTCGTCCTGAATGGCAACGACCTTTTTGTCACCTTTCTCTCCAATGACAATTCTCGTGTTGCCCCATGAAAAGTTGTCTTGATTCCAGAACGAGTAGATTGGTAGGATGAAGCTGTATATGGGATACGCGCATATGTAAATGATCATCCATCCCACGTGCTGCCATTGTCGTTTGATGATAAAGATGACTGCCTGTAAGCCGTATACTGCAGCAATCATCACGAGTGAGATCAAAGGGAATTGGCCGGTATGGGATGCGACCCTATAAATCAAATAGCCGAGATAGGCGCATGTTGCCGGAAGGATCAAGGTACCAAACAAATCAATGAAAACGATAAATCTCATCGAAAAGCAGCAGAAGCCACAAAGATCTTTCAAGAAGACGAGCTCGGCAAGGTTGTGAATGGTCGAGTTAATCCATCGTCTTCTCTGCGAGAGCAAGACGGACCAGGATTCGGGTGCCGCAGTGAGAGCATAAGCGTCCGGGACAAACTTGTAGGACATCGAAGGGAAGTGCTTCGTCATCAACGTCGTAAGGTATCGATCCTCACCCAAAGACAACAAGTTCTTCTTGTGGAGAGTATCAACATCGCAGTCCGAATACTCCTGGATGACCTTGTCCGAAATGATCAAAGGCCGCCCCTTGTCAGCGGTCCGGAGACGATACATACAGAAACTGTCAACAGCATTAGCTATGGTGAACAAAAGGAGGGGGAAACAACCACAACACGTACCATCCGGGTAAACAAGTAACGCTGCCGAACAAAGACTCGAAAGCTTTGGCAAGATGATGCGAGATATAGTATTCGTAGACTTGGATCATAGTCCACAAGCTTCGCTCTTCGTTCTCCAAGCTTGTCTCGCCACAGATGCCTGCAATCTTCGCATCGTTGGCGCATGCAGCGACCAGGCGATTGAGCGAATCTTCTTTGACCATAGTATCTGCGTCCACCATAAGAACATACTCGTACAATTCAGGGTCGACACCAATGACGTTGTTGATTTGGTGGAAGATTTCCAACTCGAGAGGGGACATGGGGGATCGGTGATGGACACGGTTCAAGAACTGCATCAACAAGATTTGTGAATCGCGTTTGCCGCGATTTCCAGGCTTCGACTTTGTTTGTTCCGATTCCTTTCCAACCTTGACGATGACAATATAGGGGACAACGTTGCCCTCGTATTCGTAGAGTCCGGAGTACACTTTGCCGTAATTGAGTTGCTCGTTGCCATTGCCGATGGACCTGAAGGGCAGGGCCGGTGGATCGATCTTTGGATCCACACCAAGCACGTCCAGTACAATTTTGGGAGTAGGCCTGTCGTTGCCGCCACCCACAATCATGCCGTCACAAATGACACAGATCAGCTTTCTCTTATTGTCATACTGAAGAGCCGTAAGAGAATCGAGAGATTTTCTCAGGTGGTCTTCGCCTTCAGTATAGGCTGGGACCTGACAGATGACGAATTTATCCTGTGCTGCCGGTCGGCGCTTCGACCCAAGTTGTAGCGCTGCCAAAAACTTGACTAGGATGACAGCACATAAAACCAAGGCAAAAGCCAAGAGAAGGTAGTTGTTGACCTGACATTTTGCGGAGTCGCGGAAGTCGACTTTGCCAACGTAGAACGCATTGTTCATGCAGTTCAGACTGTTTGCGAAAGCGGCATCTGTTCCCCATTGGCTCGTGATATCTGAGCCTGGGTTGCCATTGATAAGGCTCGTCACCTCCTCAGGAAGGAATTTGTACGTAACAAAATTGTTCATGACGTTCAAGGTGTAGAAATAGTCGGTGAGGTCGTATATTCTCTGGTTGATGATCACCCACTGCCTCTGGTCGTTTTCAGCTTGACTCTTGATGCTGCCCTTTGACACCACGAGATCTCCTTTGTAATATTCGTCCATCTTGGGCAGGAATGTGTCACTGTACCAATCCCAGCTATACAACTTTGATTGTTGGTCTGGTTGATAACGATGACCAGAGGTGTGGACAGCATTTGGATATAGAACAGCGCTGGTATCATTGTGTTGCAACACCACACTCTCGTCGACATTAAGACCTGGACAAGCGCGACTCAAGGGAGGTGGAAAGTATGCGTCAAGATTCATCCCAGCCAGTGGAAGCATATTCTGCGCGTTCGTTTGGATGGCCGTGTCGCTGTGTTGCGTACGATAGAACTTCGTCATGTCGTAGACTTTGCCTCGAACGCTGACATAATAGTCATTTTCACCTGTGTGGAAGCCGACTTCTTTCGCATTCCAGGCCTTGTCAAAGTTCGGGCATAGAAGCCTGCCAAACTCGATGATGTAAAAGACGATGAAGGCGTTCAGCAGAAAAATGAGAAAGACTAGCACCAGCTTCTCTCGCCAAGCCATGCGCACGTCGGGACGCTTCATACGACCAATATAACGTAAGAAGATAGAGGGTATCCACCAGGTGAGCGCCCACACGAGAGACACCCAAGCTTGTCTGCTAGCCGAAGTCTTTTTAGACTCCACGTTTCTAGGATCGGCAAGCTCCGGATCCAAGCCACCGACATACTGTCCAAGGTCTGGGTCATAGACGGCGTCTTTGTGATCATCACCCTTTGGCCCAAGGCCGTAGTCACCGCCAACTGTATGCATCGTACGTGCCATTGTAGGTGCAACCGACTTGGCCCGTTCTGTGCCAACCTGAGCAAGCAGGTTTTCTCGACTATCTCGGACACTCATATTGTCACCCATGGGCGGGAAGAAGCCACTGCTGTTGTGAGGAGCATTGGCAGAATGACTGGATGCAAAGGGGTTGAGTGGCTGGCCAAAGGTAGGGTCGTCAGAATAGCCACCCTCGATTGGTTTCATGTCAAGCATGGACTCTGCTTCCCACCAGGCACTTTCACGCATCCAGACTCGTTCTCGTCCAATAATGACTTCTCCATTTGTCCAACCTCTTTCGAGCAAGAAGCTTTCTATTCCATCTTTGCCATCCTTGCAGCCGAGTCTGGAATACCTTGTCACGAACTCTTCGACATCAAAATCGGCCGTGAAGTCGAGTCGCCGGTTGCGATGGTTGGCCCATTCAGGAAGTCTCCATGCTCGTAACTGTCTTGATACCGCTCCCGCAGACCATGCGGAAGTTGTCGAGGCCAAGGCAGCCAAAGCACTCGGCCCATCATCAGTGGGATGGATGGAGAGCTGATACCACGCTCTGCTGCTGGCAAGAGTAGCCCCTAGCTCAAAACGGCCTTTCCGGCCAAAATTCAAGCCTTCACCGTCGACGGGGTAGAGTAAAGTGCGAAGAAAGCCTCCGGGCTCGGCCTCGGCGCCGATCCTTTCAAGGATGCCCTCTCGTCGATCCCGGTCGTGCTCTCTCTCCCGACTGAGCGGTCCTCCTTTGATACCCAAGTCCGCTTCCACTTCCGCAACGGCAGAGTTCATTTCCTTGAGAACTGAGTGGCCGGCAGATATAACTTCGACACCATCGTCTTTCATTTCGGCGTTAATACCTTGGGTATCGTCGAAAACATTTCGCAAAGCCACAGCCTTTCCGAGCGGCTCGCCAGGGATTTCGATGACGGTAAGGCTGACCTCATCACCTGTCTGGGTGCTGGAGTCGGGTGTGAGGGCTCCGGAGCGTAACTCGGCAGCGATGGCATCATTAGCCCTTCCAAGGACCCAGTCCACCAGGGCTTCGTACATGCCTGCAATCAGTACTTCACGATCATCTGTCGAGCACTTCTTGACGAGGACCTCGGGCTCCAGGCCAATCAGACCACCTACGTCCTCGCATATTTCTTCGAGGACGTCGGAGTCAACCAGAAATCCAGTCGTCTCACCCAGCTTCAGCAATCCAGCAAGGCATGATAGCAGCCCACGGAAAACCCCGCCTTTGATTCCAATCGACTTTAACGCGGAACGGAAGTCTTCAGCGGCTGCTGCGTCATCGGCAGTTGGAAGGTAGGTTGGCGGATCATAGGATCCAGATCTGTTCAACAGGGTGTATTTGGATGGATGTTGCAGACCCAGGAACTCGCGTTCAGCAGGCGTGGATGCCGATGTCAGCAGGTAGTAGAAGACGTCAAAGGCACGATGACCAGGTTCCGATGGAATCTTCAGAAGGCCCCTTTCCACGTCAATCCCGGAGCCAGACAAGGCAAGCGTAAATCCGGTGACTGTGCCGGTTAGGGTGACGGTATATTTGGCAGCAAGAGAGGCATGTCGATAGGTTGTAGGGTTGAGAGGCGTGACACAAGAGAGGAAAGGGCGCAAGGCCGACAGAGCAGTGAATGCGATCTCTGGAGTGGACAGTGGAATGACTTGCAGAAATGCTTGGAATATCGAGGGTGTTGATGGGTGCAGAGACCCCAGAATGATACATCCATCCTCAGCTCTCCGTCTGGCATGTTCCCAAGCTCTTGAGGCAATATCAGCATCGACAGAACCCCCCACTCGTCCTTGGACATCAGGGTTGAGCGCAGTCAGCCACGTGTTGACGGCAATGCTCGTGCTCGAGTCGAGTTGGTACGTTTGGCCGGAGGCATAGATTGTGTGTAGGGAGTTGAGGAGAGTAGTGGTCGAGACTTGGGTAGGCTGTTGAGCAGCTGTTCGGGCTGCACCCACTTGCGAAGAGTTGTTTGAGTATGTCGAGTAGCGGTTGGCCATGTCGAGGCGAAGTTGGGCCCCTGTCGACCCCTTTGCTCGACGGGGCCTCCGTCAACCTTTCGAAGTATCGATTAGTATGTGAAGCGCCGCCCGTATGTGAAAGCCTCCTTCTTGCAGGTGTATTCCGTCCGTCCAGGCGGTGGAACGAGGCCAAGGTGGTGGACGGTTGAACGAAGGGATCAAACAGGAGCGAGCCGTGTCAAATTGTCAATGCAGCATTTCAAACACCAAAAAGAGTAGGAGAAGATTCCAAAGGGATAGACTGACAGATGCTGGTGAGAGCTGGAGCGAATAGAGTGAACAAAGTAAGCGAGAGTGATTTTTCGAAGTCAACGAAGGTGCAGAGGGTGAGCGAAGAGGGAGCAGGAGGAGGTTGTCCAGGTTGTCGTAGCCAGCAAAGGTCACGAAAAGGGCCCGAACATGGCGGAGTGCATGCAACCGTGTTTTGGGACGAGCGCATAACAAGTAGAGCGTATTGGCGTTACCGATACGGGTGCCTGACAACAGAATAACCGGCCCCCCTGTCCTTGCCCTGCCCAGCTTCTCCTCGATCCGCAGCCACGGTCCCGCTGGGTCAAGAATAGCAGCCAATCTGCAGCGCCACCCTGGTCTCGACGCCCATTTCCGGACACTTGAGCCCCGGACCTTTGCTGTGCATTATGCTGCTCTAGGCCTGAACCCGCCTAGAACCCTTCGGTTTACTGCAGGGGATGCCGGGAAGTTAAACCGCCCGTCAATCTGGTCCAGGCCAATCACACCAACAGCCACTGTGGTCCGGGGCAACGGGCTGGGAAAAAAGTCAACAAAGCCGAATGTCAAGCCCGCGTCAAGAGTCTGATGGCTTCAAGACACTTACGTAGAACATGCAATGATGGGTCCTCGGCAAACGGACGAGGTGTTGATGAATATGTCACCAGTCTGCAGTTCGAGAATGGAACATGGGAAACGCACTGGCCACACGGTGACAGGTTTGATGAAAAAGAGAGAGAAATCCCCTCTCGTCCTAGTTTCAGTTTGTTCCCACTCGTTGCCCACTGTGTGGTGTTCAGCCTGCACAGGGTGGTTTTCGCCTCAAACCAGCGCCAGGGCCCAAGCCCCCGTCGCAGTCACGTGATGACCGCCCAGTCAGCATGTGGCACGCGCTCTGCGTCGTTGTGCCTCGTCTCGCTCACTTGCAGCCTGCATGCTGCATATTATCCACTCGCATTGTCTCAGTTGGTCTTATCGGCGACCGGGCTGCATGTGTGCGTCCGTGGTCAGCATCTCTGGCATTGCGATTCCGAAGATGTGGTCACTCGCTTATCACCAAAGAATACTCGGAGAACTTGAAGGATGAGGTGTTGAAAAAGCCTCTTCGCTTGTGGTGTTCCCTCAGCTGGGGAAATTTGTGTGGAGAGGCAGGAAGAACAAGGAGTATCACCGACAACAAAAGAACCACCCCCCTCTTGCCCCCTATTAAAATTTTCAATAGCGGAGGCCTCCTTTCTAAGCCCTTGTGTCTCTATGGCTGTGAACTGGGGTCATCTTGACAGCAGCGACGGTACTGGCTAGGTACGTAAGTAAGGACACCCGTATATTGCGTTACGTCGGAGATCCAAGAGTCCACTGGCGAACCCGGAAGCCCTGGTGGCCCTGTACAAGTAGTGTTCCTTGGTGCTGGCCGCATACCGGGCGCATGTTCAGAGTATGCTTTCCATCTCTGATATTATTGGATGGTGACAAGCGCAGATCCACGTAGGTGCTGAGCAAAGGATATCCCCCCAACCTCTCTGTATACCTACACCGTATGGTCCCATGCTCTTTTCAGTCGCCGCGCAGCAACTCCGACAGATGACCATTCCGGCGTCAAAGGACTCCGGAGAGGAAAGCCCAGTGCGGCCATGGAGATAACTGGGTAGGCAGGTAGCTCGGTAGGGTGTCCAGGAGAAATAAGCAGATTCGCATGTGAGGTGACCGACTGACAAAACTGTAATCACCACTCCTGTACTTGGGAATCGGTCCTCTATACTAGGTTTCTTATCCGTCAGCATCAGAGAATGATATGGCCAGATTCGACATCCACAACCAGAGGACGGGAGTGCTCGCACCGGTGCGGTAGCAGAAAACGTGAGAGCCGATGGCGGCGCAGTGTTCTGCTCACTGCCCATTTGGTGAGATCTCAGACACTGAGAAAGCCTAAAGTGGTAGCATGCTGGTGGTTCCAATTGTTTCATTTGTAATGACAAGTACAAACTCCGCCCGAGTCCCTTTATCCACCAAATACCACAGTAATGGTGTCGCAGGCCGATGAACCCCCCTGGCTGCGCGAAGCCACTTTGTTGCTCTCGCTGTTCGATCATCTCATTTTACTTTGATTTTGTAGGTTGGTGCTTTCAGTTGCAATCCTTGCTACGATTTGACGATATCTCGCTATATTTCTCTCGCTCTGCATATTTGGTTATACCGGCACATATTGACGCTCATTGTTTCTGACGCTCGCTGTTGCAAAGTCGAAAAGCCTCCTTGTCCCGAGTCAACAATTGCCCAACCGCGCAAGTACGTCCGATGAATTGAGGCATTGAACCATTGGCACGGCGTGTGAGCCGACTCGTGGTTCGTCTTTGGAGATATTTTGACGCGTCCGATCCATCTCAATCAGAATGGCTGCTCGTGGCAATGTTCCTGCTCACTTGCAGGCTTCATTGCCTGCACTTCCTCCTCACTTGCAATCAGATACCCATCTGACGGCCCATCTGGCAAGCCGGTTCCATGTCTCTCTCCCGACGGCAAAGCTGTCCTCCCAGGCTTTGATATGCCTCAATACGTACACCTCGTCAACCAGGGGACCGAATGGTGAAAAGGAGGGAAGTGCCATGGGCGAGGCCGAGGATCTGGCCCGGAGAGCATGGGCAAGATTGGGAAATAGAGCAGAAGATCAGGCTATTGTCTTCTTGTATGTCTGCTCTGAACGTTAGTATATTATTGACCTGCCGCTAACTGTGCGGCAGTGGAGAGTCCGGCTCAGGCAAAACGACAGTCAGGTCACACCTGCTTTCCTCGTTCCTCTCGTTTTCCTCCACACCATTGTCATCCAAATTGTCCTTGGCTGCCTTCGTTTTTGATACCTTGACGACGACCAAAACTACCACCACCCAAACGGCATCGAAAGCCGGATTATACTATGAGCTCCAATACGATGCTTCATCCTCGATCCCAACCCTCATTGGAGGCAAATTGTTGGACCATCGCCTGGAAAGGAGTCGAATTTCACATGTACCCACCGGTGAAAGGAGCTTCCATGTGCTTTACTATCTTTTGGCGGGAACCAGCGCGGCGGAAAAGTCTCATCTCGGCCTCAACGGACACACAAACATTACCACGCCCGGCACTGGCCTCACGAGGTCTGCCTCCGTAGCACAGAAACGATGGAGATACCTCGGTCATCCGACGCAGATGAAGGTGGGCATCAACGATGCGGAGGGCTTCCAGCATTTCAAGACGGCTTTGCGGAAGCTTGAATTCCCCAGAGCCGAAATCGCCGAGATATGTCAAGTTCTTGCTGCTATTCTGCACATTGGCCAACTCGAATTTGGCACCGGCCAGGCCACACTGACTGCGGCTGAAGAGAGTGGCGGATACTCTCACGAAGGTGGTGAGACAGTCACGGTGGTCAAGAACACCGACACTTTGGCTCTAGTTGCGGCCTTCCTGGGATTGAGCGTGCAGGATCTCGAAGAAAGCATGAGGCACAAGACAAAGACACTCCACCGAGAGCGTGTCACCGTTATGCTAGATCCCAAAGGCGCTCGAGAAAACGCCGATGAACTTGCAACGACACTGTACTCGCTTCTGGTTGCGTACATCATTGAAAGCATCAACCAAAGGATCTGTGCTGCGGAGGACGCCGTTGCCAACACCGTTTCCATTGTCGACTTCCCGGGTTTTGCGGATCATTCTTCCACCGGATCCGTTCTGGATCAATTGCTGAACAACGTTGCAAATGAGTCGCTGTACAATACTTGCCTCCACGGCTTCTTCGAAAAGACAGCCGAGACGCTGGAAAGCGAAGAAGTTAGCGTGCCCGCAACTAGTTACTTCGATAATTCAGACGCTGTTCGTGGCCTCCTCAAGCATGGTAACGGATTGCTTGCCATTCTCGATGATCAAACGCGTCGTGGTCGTACGGATACTCAATTCTTGGATAGTATTCGAAAGCGATTCGAGAACAAGAACAAAGCTATTACCGTGAGCAGCGCGACTACCACCTTGCCTGGAAGCAATTTCGCCACGACGAACCTTGCGGCATCGTTCACCGTCCGTCACTATGCCGGTGAGGTGGATTATCCAGTCAATCGATTGGTCGAAGAAAACGGTGATGTGGTCTCCGGAGACTTGATGAACATGGTCAGAGCCACAAAGAGTGACTTCGTGGCTAGCTTGTTCGGCCAGGAGGCCTTGAACACCATCAGCCATCCCTCAGAGAAGACAGCTATTGTTCAGGCTCAGGTCAGCTCGAAACCGTTGCGCATGCCCAGCCTCTCCCGAAAGAAGCATGACCAACTGCGTCGGATGGGGAGTCGAAGAGCAGACCGCTCGCCTGCTGTACAAGAAGATGTGGAATCGACAAATGCCCCAGAGGAATCCAGAACGAGAAAGACAAAATCTTCCGCGACAGGGCTGACTCAGGGTGCAGCAGCACAATTCCTATCATCTTTAGACAACATCACCAAGTCTCTGACCGCGCCGAACGTCAACAATTACTTCGTCTTCTGCTTGAAGCCAAATGATAGACGGATCGCCAATCAATTTGATAGCAAGTGTGTGCGTCAGCAAGTTCAGATGTTTGGAATACCCGAAATCAGCCAACGACTTCGAACAGCGGATTTCAGTGTGTTCCTTCCATTCGGCGAATTTTTGGGACTGACCGACGCCGATCCTGGTGTAGTCGGAAGCGATCGCGAGAAGGCACAGCTTGTTCTGGATAATAAACAGTGGCCTGGGAACGAAGCGAGAATTGGTAACACTGGTATCTTCCTCAGCGAGCGCTGCTGGGCAAGTATTGCTCTCACCGGATCCCAGAGCACTGCCTACTTTGGCGGCGAAGTTCCCGCAATTTCCAGGCCTGATACGCCTAGTCTCAATCCGTTCAATGATTCTAAAGCTCGTTTGGTTGCCTCACATGAGGGAACTCCTGGTTCCTTTTACGGGGACGAAACAAAAGGAGGTGGCTACTTCGGCAGTCGAGACCTTGATGCCAAATCTGACGCTGGCGCCTCAGCCTTCAACTCCGGAGATATGTTTCGCAATCTCGAAACCAAAGAAGAACTTGCCGAGAAAGGCAATAGAAAGAAGATGGAAGAAGTCGATGTTGTACCCGTTTCGTCATCACGGAAGAGGTGGCTGGCAATTGTGTACTTCCTTACGTGGTATCTTCCGGATTTTGCCATCAAGTGGGGTGGCGGCATGAAACGGAAGGATGTGAGAATCGCCTGGAGGGAGAAGTTCGCCATCAACATCCTTATCTGGGTCAGCTGTCTCTTCGTGGCCTTCTTCATCGTCATTTTCCCCGAACTCATCTGTCCGAAGCAAAACGTGTATTCTGCGGCAGAACTGTCATCCCACGACGGCAAGAATGGGCACAGCGCGTATACGGCTATACGAGGCGTGGTGTTCGACCTAGGTGCTTTCGCACCCTCTCACTATCCGAGTATCATCCCACAAACATCGCTGGAGAAGTACGCTGGTCTCGACGCAACTGGACTGTTCCCTGTCCAGGTCTCGGCCCTTTGTCAGGGGAAAGACGGCCGAGTGGATCCGACAGTGCAGTTGGATTATACAACAACAAACATTTCGGGTTCTGCCTCGGTCATCAGCAGCACTGACCCCAATCGTCGGTACCATGACTTCCGGTATTTCACCAACGACTCCCGCCCAGACTGGTTCTTTGAACAGATGATCATGTTGAAATCAAACTACAAGAAAGGGAGCATCGGATATACTCCCCAATATGTGCACACCCTCGCCGAAAAGTCACATTCGATCGCGATACTGAATAACAGAGTGTACGACTTCACCACCTACAACCAGGGCGGGCGCAGCACCAGGGCTCCTCCGGGTCAATCAGTGCCAGCGGGAGTTGACACGAACTTTATGGATGACCTCGTGGTCGAACTATTCACACAACGGGCCGGGCAAGACGTCACCAAGTACTGGAATGCGCTTTCTCTGGATTCTGCTTCGAGAAGTCGAATGCAGCTCTGCCTTGACAATTTGTTCTTCGTTGGGGTCACAGATACCAGAAACTCGGCACAGTGTCTCTTCGCTCGGTATATCCTGCTGGCTATCTCCATTTTGCTTTGTACCGTGATTGGCTTCAAATTTTTGGCTGCGCTCCAGTTCGGAGGCAAGAACATACCGGAAAATCTAGACAAGTTCGTCATCTGCCAGGTTCCTGCCTATACGGAAGACGAAGAATCTCTTCGTCGAGCCATCGACTCAGCAGCGCGGATGCGATATGACGACAAACGCAAATTGCTCATCGTGGTGTGCGACGGTATGATTATCGGTCAAGGAAATGATCGACCAACACCTCGCATTGTACTCGATATCTTGGGAGTTTCGGAAACAGTCGACCCAGAGCCTTTGAGCTTCGAATCTCTGGGCGAAGGTATGAAGCAACACAACATGGGAAAGGTATACTCTGGTCTGTACGAAGTGCAAGGGCATATCGTTCCCTTCCTAGTGGTCGTCAAGGTTGGAAAACCCTCCGAAGTCTCCAAACCTGGAAACAGAGGGAAACGTGACTCCCAAATGGTCATCATGCGCTTCCTCAACCGGGTTCATTACAACATGCCCATGAGCCCGCTAGAACTGGAGATGCATCACCAAATCAGAAACATCATCGGGGTCAATCCAACGTTCTACGAATTCATGCTCCAGATCGATGCTGATACAGTCGTAGCTCCCGACTCGGCTACTCGCATGGTTTCGACGTTCCTGCGCGACACGAGACTAATCGCTGTTTGCGGAGAAACGTCCTTGTCTAATGCCAAAGCATCGTTCATCACGATGATGCAGGTTTACGAGTACTACATCTCGCACAATCTCACCAAAGCCTTCGAGTCTCTGTTCGGTTCCGTTACCTGTCTCCCGGGATGTTTCACCATGTATCGAATCCGAGCCGCTGAAACGGGGAAGCCGCTTTTTGTGAGTAAAGAAATCATTCAGGATTACTCTGAAATCCGAGTCGACACATTACACATGAAGAATCTGTTGCATCTCGGCGAAGACCGATACCTGACCACACTGCTCCTGAAACATCACTCCAAGTACAAGACGAAATACATCTTCCACGCCCACGCCTGGACCATTGCACCCGACAGTTGGACAGTTTTCATGTCGCAGCGCCGCCGATGGATCAACAGTACGGTTCACAATCTAGTTGAACTGCTGCCGTTACAGCAATTGTGCGGTTTCTGCTGTTTCAGCATGCGATTTGTCGTCTTCCTGGATCTGTTATCGACTGTGATTGCGCCGGTCACCGTGGCTTATATCGCCTACCTGATCGTTCTCCTCGCCACCTCGTCTGACGTTATACCGTTGACTGCATTCATCCTACTGGGAGCGATCTATGGTTTGCAAGCCATCATCTTCATCCTTCGCCGTAAATGGGAAATGATCGGATGGATGATTGTGTACATTCTGGCCATGCCTATCTTTTCTTTGGGCCTGCCACTGTACTCCTTTTGGCACATGGACGACTTCAGTTGGGGTAACACGCGTCTGGTGACTGGTGAAAAGGGTAAACAGATTTTGATCTCTGACGAGGGCAAATTCGATCCCGACTCGATCCCGAAGAAGAAATGGGAAGAGTATCAAGCAGAACTCTGGGATGCTCAAACCCAACGCGACGATGAAAGATCTGAGGTCTCTGGCTACAGCTACGCAACCAAGTCGTATCATCCTGCCGGGTCCGTCTATGGTGGCCCTGGAGTCTATGAAAGCACAGCGCATCTCATGGCTCCTTCCAGATCTGCATCACAGCTAGACATGAACCCGCCGGCGTATGGTTATAACCATTCCAGGATGTCCCTCGCGCCGTCGGACATGATGGGCGGCGGCATGATGGGGGGAGGTCAATCAATTGCCGCTATGGACATGGCAGATTTGACTGGACTGCCTACTGACGATATGATCCTGAACGAAATCCGGGATATACTCAAGTCGGCGGACCTCATGACCGTGACGAAGAAGGGCATCAAGCAAGAGTTGGAGCGAAGATTCAACGTCAACCTGGACATTAAGCGAGCTTACATTGGAAGTGGTAAGTTGAGCCCGTCACTCGAGCCATGAAGAAGACACTAACCTGTGGCGCAGCAACCGAAGCCATTCTCTCGGGTCAGCTGTGATTTATCGACATAATCTAGCATCTGTGTTGATCTAGCGAGACGTTTCAACGGCAGATTGGAGGAGTTCAGGATGACCAAACAAAAATGGGCGGCATGGGATGCATTATTTATAGGAGAAGGGACTCCATGGCAACATATAATCATTTCGAGAGAAGATGGATGCATTTGTAATCGAGAGAGGAGCCAGACATCAGAACAAGATAGATGTAGCAGGATCTCAAGGTATCTGATGATTGTACCAAGTATCGTGCCGTCCTGAAGACTTGCGAACCAGGTCTCTCGGCCTTCAGGCTGACTACTGTGTAATAAAGGTAGGCAAGGATCCTGAATGGGAACCTGAACAAGCTCGCCAAGCTTTTGGTTGAAGCTTTCAACGGGAGCTAATTGAGCCGCCCCCAATAGTCCAGGCGACCCTAGCGCCCCCGCTTTGGAGGTATGCGGTCATTGAACCCCCCGATGACGCCCAGTGATGCCCAATGGACGCCTAGAGCGGCGAGCTGCTGGGCATCCCACACCACCCGCATGCGACAAAGGATCATGCCCATCTGCACAGGCCAATAAAACAGTGAGACCATTGATGGCACTTTCAAGATTCAGGTCTTGCTTGCGCGGCCCTCGATCTTCCTACCCTCGATCCTTCTCTCGCTCCGCCAAAGCTTGAATGGACTCGTAAAAGCTATAACAGGGAATCAATCATTTCCTGATTGCGACGCTGCCCAGAATTTGCCACGACGCCCAGAGCTGAAATCTCATCACCGAGCCTTTGAGCAATCAGCTAGCGGAGGCAGTTTCTCCTGCGTGATGAAACAGCAGAGGCTCGTCTGATCACTGCGACGACTCGCTGCCGCTATGATCCCCAAGAAAGTCTACGAGCTCTGCCAAAGCGGCGAGTCGGTTACTTCCGAGCTGGCCAAAGATCCGTCCCTCTCCCCTCATGCGGCAGCCAAGAAGCTCTTTGGCCTCGATTTCGACGACGAGGTTGTCACTAAGAAACTGGACCTGGCCAAGGAAGAAGCCAGTGATCTGGAAGAGGCCCGCAAATGTGGAAAATGGGGCAAGTCCAACCCCAGCGACCTGTTCCTGAGGGTGAGAAGACCAGTCGACCGGGATGATGCGGGAAGAAGTGATCCTGACCTCACAGCTAGATCTATCATGATGTCCTATGCACGCTGGAGAAAAACCCCTTGGTGGGCGTCTGCTCTCCGTCACTCCTCGGAAGCAATGGCGTGTGCCCGCTCACAATCATGGCAACGGTTCCTGACATCTGCCGACATATGTCCAATGTGATAGCGAGGGCAGAACGAGAGGTTTTCCTGGCGACCAACTTTTGGATGCATTCAGAACCTACCAGGCTGATTACGAATGCGCTGAGAGAGCTTTCGAGAAAAGCTGTCCAGACCGACCGTCGGGTCGTCGTCAAGATCATCTACGACAGGGGAAGTGCGAAACAGGTAGGTCTCAGGACTTTACACACTCGCATGTCGGCCTGTTGACAAGAGGAGTTTGTGAAAAACCACCTCATAGTACCCCCGAGCGAATTTGCGGATCCAAAGGGCAAAATTCGAATTCCTCATCCTGATGAGCTGCCAAATGTCGACATCGAAGTCATGAATTTTCACCGTCCAATGTTCGGCACCTTTCATGCCAAATACGTGGTAGTAGATCGCCGAGTTGCCATTTTACAAAGTAACAACATCCAAGACATTGACAACGTGGAGATGATGACACAGTGGGAAGGCCCAATCGTTGATTCATTCTATGATCTTGCGCTCATTTCGTGGCACAATGCGCTCAAGCCACCACTGCCGCTGTTGAACCAGCCTGCTGCGGATAGTCCAATTCCGACATTCGCAAGCGAGAGCTATGTGGCCATGTTTGACGAGAATGGAAAGTTGGTCCCGGAGTATCAAGCGTAAGTTGGCTATCCTGCATTGTGATTGTGCCTCCAGTTGTGCTAATCCTACAGCAGGCCCACGCCGGTTCCTGATGGGCACGAGAACCTAAGGGAGCTTGCCAAGCACGGTTCGCAGACCAACATGCCCCAGCATACATCACAAGACCCTCATTACGACCCAGACATCAAATCGGAGGTCTTGCGCGCTATGGCTTTTTTGAGCCCGCGCGAAGGGGAGACACGGATCAATGCAATCACCCGCCTCCTAAACACGACAATTCAACCTGACACGAAAGGGAGCGCACCCGACATTGAACCGGCCGATACGATGACCCCTCTCATACCAATACCACGACATGACCCTTTCCCGATTGCCATGGTTTGCAGACTGCCATGGGGAACACCAAACAAGCACAGTCTGCATACCCCGCAAAATGAGGCCTTCGCCTCTGCTCTTCGTCATGCGACAGAGTCGGTTTTCATCCAGACTCCCGACCTCAACGCCGAAGCGCTCCTGCCCGAAATCGTGGCTGCGTGCCGACGTGGGACCAAGGTCACTTACTACTATTGTCTGGGATACAATGATGCGGGTGAACTGCTCCCTATGCAAGGAGGGCACAACGAGATGATAGCGAATGGACTGTACCGCGATGTAGGACCTGAACATCGCCAAAACCTTGACATCTATGCCTACGTAGCCAAAGACCAAATCCACCCAATCCACAACAAATTCAAGCAGCGGTCATGCCACATCAAATTGATGATCGTGGACGGCCACATTGGAATTCAAGGCAACAGCAACCAGGACACGCAAAGCTGGTATCACAGCCAAGAAGTGAATGTCATGATTGACAGTCCCTTGGTGGTGGGCAAGTGGATGGAGGGAATCAAACAGAACCAAAACACCCACATCTATGGAAAAGTCGAGAAGGAAGGACCTGATGCTGGATGTTGGAAAGATCCGAAGACCGGACAGCAGGCCGAGGGCGCGATTGGTGTTGATCCAGGCAAGTTTGCGTGGGCCAAGGGGTTTGTTGGTGCAGTGCAACGGGTTCGAGGGATGGGTGGGTTTTGAGCACGCAATGGTCGATACAGGGGCTGTTCGAATATACAATGGCAATATCGGAAAGATAACGACGATATCGGCGTTGAAGAATGTCCGGGTGATGAGTCCAAGCAAAGGTATTGAGATATGTATGGCACTGTGTCAATTGGACAAGCTATTAAGTTTTGGATCATGTCGAGTCTGGAGGCCTCTGGCCGGAGAATTGATCCTCCGAATTCCGCTGCGCGCTTCCGGTCCGCATGTCTTCGCCGTCGACAATGCTGCGCATATCAATCTCTACCTTGCTCACCTCACCTGTCCGAGTTCAGCCCAGCTCCAGATCCGACAAGGACTGCTCTCCCTCTCACACTAGCGCGGAGTACATGCTCTTTTGGTGCCTCCGAGCAACCAGCATCGTTCAGCTGTAGATCGTTAGTCCTCATGCATGGACCGCAAAGCTCCAGCCATTGGTTCGTGGCCGTGTTCAACTCGGCGTCGTGCCACCTTCACCATGCTTGCACCTGGAGCAGCAGCGTATGCAACATGGCGACTTGGTCCAGCTGGCCAACTGACACCTACCACGATGTCTGTGCGACCAGTTTCGCCGATGTGCACTGTCTGTTTGTCGGCCACGTAGCCTGCAAAAATGGTCAAGTTGCTGAAAGCCTCCTTGTGCCTCGAATGCAAAGTCGTCCAAATGACCGTCTTACTGTGCATCAAGTGCCTATTTGCGAAACTGCAGCTTCAACTCATGGGGACGCCAGGGGCTACGGTTGATATTGCTCCTGAAAGTAAGGTTTGCTATAAATGCCTGTCTCTAGCCTCGAGTGCACGTTCGAATTCAGCTCGATCGACTTTCATCCCACAGAGTTGCAAGCAAGATATCGCAAGTCCGTACAGCCTCAGTGATGATTTCTCGCGAGTTCGAGCGGGTTCCGCCTCCTCATGCCTCCATGGGCCATTGGCTGCCCAAGGACCGAGCCCATATCAAACAATGGCTTGCCACAAAGCTGGAAAAACTCGAGAAGAAGCAACAGCTTCATAAAAAGGGAGTCATCAATCTCGACCCTAGCATCATCGCGCTCCAGCAACTCGTTGCGGCTAGCCCTAATCTTACCAAACTTTCCAGTGACATGTTCACCCAGATCCCCCCTGCCTACCAGAATGACCCGACTGGCAAGCCTCAAGTTCGCGACTTTGAAACAATGCTTGGACTTGTCGACATGATCCTCAAAGAAGGACCACAGTGGTTTGACGTTCAGGATCCGCCAACCGCGATGGGCTTGATTGGATTCCCGATCAATGCGATTCTCGATTGGCCAATGGGTACTCTAGCGGGCTATCTCTTCTTCACGGACACCCAGGTTAACAGCATGTGGCAAGGCATCCTGAATGTCTGGGGCACATTCCTTGAGAGCCCGGCGTCTACCAGCTGTCTCAACCAATCCAGTGGATGGTTGTCTGCTGAAGCTCTGAACGTTCTTGCCGCCAAGGGCAATGATGGCAAGACGGACTACACATTTCAGCAGCTCTATGAGTGCAACCCATCACTTCCGTTCTTCGGCTTCACTTCCTGGGACAAGTTCTTCACCCGAAAGTTCAACCCTGGGATTCGGCCCGTCGCATTTCCGGATGATCAGCCGACAGCAGAGCAGCCGGACCCGACGCAAGTCATCGTCAATGCTTGCGAGTCAACGCCTCTCCAATTTGCCACCAATGTCAAGCTACACGACTCCTTCTGGCTCAAAGAGCAGCCTTACTCGTTGGCTGAGATGTTGGACAGTCATCCCGAGACTGAGCAGTTTGTGGGTGGTTCAGTGTACCAGGCATTTCTGAGTGCCTTGTCGTACCACTGCTGGCATGCCCCGATCTCTGGGAAAGTGGTTGACGTTCGCCATGTCCCAGGGACGTACTACTCGGAGAACCTCTCGCAGGGCTTCGAAAATGCAGAGTCACCCGATGCCGCCGCCCCAAACAACTCTCAACCATATATCTCCGCTGTGGCAGCACGTGGGATCATCTTTGTCGAAGCTGACAATCCTCTTATCGGGCTGATGGGGATTGTATTCATAGGGATGGCGGAGGTGTCTTCATGCGAGTTTACGGTCAAGGCAGGGGATCGGATCGACAAAGGTCAACTGATAGGTATGTTCCATTTCGGCGGTTCAACCCACTGCCTGGTTTTCCGGCCGCAGACGAACTTGGCCAGTCACAACTTTGTCAACCCACCGCCATGGGACCCCAATGCCTCGAACAACAACCCAGTCTGTAGTGCTCTGGCTGTGGTTACACCGCCTCCATCGAGCAGTTGAGGGAAGGGAGAGGGGCAATATCGACAATGATGGACCAACAAGCACGAGTTCATCTGCGCAAAGAGGCAGAAGAAGAGAGGGGGGGCCAGGTTCAGCAGCAGCAGGTAGAGAGACTGGGTAGCAGACAGCATGGACGTTTTCCCCAAATCGTGCCTGCGGCTTCAATTCCGCTATGCATGAACATTACCCCGAGCTCATATGTAAATACACATGGCCATGAAGAAGAGAAACGCGAGTAGTTTTCGTGTCTTTTTCTCCCTTATTCGACGGCGACACGGCAGACGCTTCGGCTTTCTAGCCCTGCATCCTGACTTCCAGCCTAAAGTTTGAGGTTTACTCCAGTGGAAGGGTGAACAGAAGGACTGTGAGACAGAATGACTTGACCCTTCATCCGCCTCGCTCGGGATCAAGCCGATGCCGACAGCGACATCGGCAATGGCACAAGGGAAAACACAACCCCACAACCAAGCGGATGGCAGCCCACCAGCCCCGCGTCCATGGCGACCTTTTCTCATATGGTTATTCGTTCGAGACGCGGTGACTGGCTCATCAACAAGAGCCGAATCGATGCGCCATAATACCTCCTTGCCCCATGGCAGTTCACTCCCTGCTGCTCGGCCACCATCGGGTCTGATTGCTGGTTGGCATTGACCTTTTCCAAGCCGTCAATTGCCTTTCGAGGGAGGGGATGTTGACTATTAAAATGTCTGACTGAAGAACTGGGTCCTGCTCTTCTCACATTTCATTTCCCTTTCTCACCAGTTACACTGAGCCATCACACTTTTAGATTTCTCCCTCTTAAACCAGGGTACACGAGACACACCTCTTTGTTCGACTCCCAGCTTACCTCCCAAGACCGCCGGTTACATAGAGACAGAGTCCAATCTCACTGAGCAGGACAACCAGTCGCAGACCCAGTTCACGATGGGTTCCGTCGCGAAATCGTACGTCTGTCCTGTTCGAGCTGATCAAGACCGAAGCGAAATTGGACTGACAGACCGATCCTGCTCGGCAGCGACTACACCACCTCCTATGCCTTCTTCGAGGCCATCTGGGAGGTAAGACTGCAGAACTGAATGCTGTTGGGGGAGTCTCACATCACTGACCGAGCACGCTGTGTAGGCTGGCATCACCCATGTCTTTGTCAATTTGGGCTCCGACCACCCGTCCATCATCGAAGCCATCACCAAAGGCCAGAGGGAGAAGCAGGAAAACTTTCCCAGGATCATCACCTGTCCGAATGAGGTATGAAGCGAAGAGATTAGTTGCTGCGCGCAGACCGGCTTGACGCTAAGATATCTCATTCACATAGATGGTTGCGCTCTCGATGGCCGACGGCATGGCGAGATTGACCAACAAACCTCAGTGCGTCATTGTCCATGTCGACGTCGGAACCCAAGGTCTGGGCGCCGCCGTCCACAACGCTTCCTGCGGACGAGCACCCGTCCTCATCTTCGCCGGCCTCTCCCCATACACAATCGAAGGCGAGTACCGTGGTTCGAGAACGGAATACATACATTGGATTCAAGATGTGCCGGACCAGAAACAGATCGTGGCCCAATACTGCAGGTACACCGCCGAGATCAAGGGTGGCAGGAATGTCAAGCAGATTGTCAACCGGGCTCTACAGTTCGCAACCAGCGATCCTCAGGGGCCTGTCTATCTCTACGGAGCCCGTGAGCCCATGGAGGAGGACATTGAGCCATATCATGTCGATCAGCAGGTGTGGAAACCTGTTGGACCAGCAGCCCTGCCACAAGAGGCTGTCACACTCATCGCGGAGGAACTGGTGCGGGCCCAGGAGCCCCTGCTCATCGTGGGCTACACCGGCCGCAATCCTGCCTCGGTGACAGCCGCCGTGGCGTTGGCGGACAAGATCCCTGGTCTTCGCGTACTAGATACTGGCGGTTCCGACATGTGTTTCCCAACTGATCACCCCGCGGCTCTGGGCTTACGGTATGGAGCTGAGCCGGCAATTACCACTGCGGATTTCATCCTAGTGGTGGACTGCGATGTACCCTGGATTCCGACCCAATGCAAGCCTAAGGCTGACGCCCGGATCATTCACATTGACGTCGACGTGTTGAAACGGCAGATGCCCGTCTTCTATATCCCGGCCTACGCTCGATTCAGTGCTGATTCCGCAACCTCGTTCAATCAGCTGAATGAATATCTGGCTTCACATTCGAATCTTTCTGCGGCTTTGTCGGACGAGGCGCACACCGCTGCGGCAAGAAAGAGACAACAGTCACACACAGCACGTTGGGGCCAATTTAAGGAGCTCGCTAAATTGCCTGCAGATCCGTCGAACACTTCGATAAATCCGCACGTGCTGGGTGGTCAAATCAGAGCAGCCGTGCCTCAAGACACCATCTTTGCGGTCGAAGCCGTCACCCTCAGCACCTTCATTGCCGACCAGATCGCCCCTGTCCAGCCGAAATCATGGATCAACTGCGGCGGCGGCGGGCTCGGGTGGTCCGGCGGGGGTGCCTTGGGCATCAAACTCGCGTCGGACTTTGCGCACCGCGACATGCAGTCTGGCGACCGGTTCGGCGCCAACAAGGGCAAATTCGTGTGCCAGATTGTCGGAGACGGCACATTCATGTTCTCGGTCCCTGGATCCGTGTACTGGATCGCCCAACGATACAGCATTCCGATCTTGACGGTCGTGCTGAACAATAAGGGCTGGAACGCACCTCGCAGGTCGATGCTTCTGGTGCACCCGCACGGCGAGGGAAGCAAGGTGGACAACAAAGCGTTGAACATCAGCTTTGAACCGACACCGGATTATGCGGGGATCGCAAAGGCGGCGACGGGCGGCCATGCGTGGGCCGGGACCGTGAGCACTGTCGCGGAGCTGCTGGACGCCTTGCCACAGGCGGTCGAGGCGGTCAAGGGAGGCAGATGTGCGGTGTTGGAAGTCAAGATTGGGGCCTAGCTGCCAGCAAAGCAAGGCGATGTGAAGATGGAGGAAGTCGCGGCGAGCAGTGGGTAGGGAAGGGGAAGTGGATGGAAGGGCGGACGGACGGACGGACGGACGAGATTTTTGGGTATATATGGTTGGTAGGTAGATATATATGTATGTGGCTGTATATGTGCTTCAGACAGACGAACAGTTCACCATGTCCTCAGAAGGTCCCGAGCATCTAATGTCCATGTAGCTAGCTAGCTAGCGGTCGTGATACCAGAGGAACGAAACAGGACGGCGAGTTCGGCACATATAGTACATATTACCTACGCATATTCCACTCAGCATCCAATTGATATGGCCGATGGATAAGGAGTATTATCAGAGCACAACCTCACCTCACCATTCGACCGAGAGGCAGTTCCACGTACATTACTCATATCAGCTATATAACAAACAAAGTCACATGTTCCGTCGCAATCGACCATAGGATGTGGAAAACAGGGCTTCCCGTTCGCTCAGCCGTACTTAAGCCACATGCCGGTCAGTTAGTACTAAGGTGGGTGACCACTTGGGAATCCTGACTGTTGATTGTTTTTGCCTCTTTTCATTCATTCATTTTTCTTCGGACGTATTTCGTGGAATATCTTCGATTTATTGGATAGACGGGCACGGAGTTGAGAGTATACAGATAATCAGGTATATCCAAAGAAGAGGTACAGTAAGTGGGCATGGCGCTAGTTGGCTGGATTTTTGGGTGGGGGGGGGGGGGGGCGCCCGCGACAGTTCGCTTGCTCATAATTATTTTTTTTTTCCCATTTTCGATTGGTTCAAAGTACAGATATCTCTAATTTTCAAAGACTACGGAGCAGCACATTACCTGGGAAACATGTCCTCACTACGGAGAATCATGCGGTCCCTTTCCGAACCACAGTGTTTCCTGAAGACATTCAGCTCATGAAACAAGCAAGCAAGCAAGCAATTCCTTGAATTCCTGCCTGTCTGTCCCCTGACACAGTTCTCACACGGATACTTGAGTGATGACAAGGAGGTAAGCAAAAGGCATGCAACACAGTATAGCAGGGATCCAGTAGAACATCTGGAGACAGACATGAGCGAACTAGTGCTTCGTCAAAGCGTAATGGTCTTGTCATTTAGAGGGTATTGCGCCCTTCCTCCATTCATTCCTTTTCGTGCCGTGTTCTCTCCTGTTGACATGGTTGTGCATTGTTGGGTCCTTGCATCTGTGGTATCGTCTGTGGGCGGCTATCCAGCTCTTCCACTTTGCTTGCTACAGTATATGCTAGGAGTCTGGTGTCCTGCTCAGGCCCCCTCGAATGCATTTCGACACACGCCAGTCGTAGACACAGCTGCGTTTAGTTTCGGTTCTGGCCAATCGTTGGCCTCCGTTCCCGAACCAGCCAATGACATGGATTGAGTGGGCCCAGAACCAACGACCCCCTCGACAGGGGGGGGGGGGACGATGCTCATGGTATGGACGGCGAGTCTAGCTTCATCGACATCGAGGCGTTACTTATACACATCGTCCGCCCACTTGTGACTATGGCCTTTCTCAATTCCCAAGTCAACCTGCCACCATGCTCATCTCTTTCTCAAGCCTCTGGACCAACTTTTTCCCCCCTAAACCTGCCTTCACAGAGAAGGATGTGGGTAACCTCGAGGGGAAAGTGCGCCAATCCTAAATTTGCCTTGTTCCGCTGATAGCGGTGCTTACGGAGCATACAACTGACTATTTACATTATAGGTCTACATCGTCTCGGGTAGTAACACCGGCATGGGGAAGGTGCTGGCGAACCTCCTGTACGAGAAGAACGCCAAGGTCTACATCGCCGCGCGGTCAGAGGAGCGCGCCGCCAAGGCCATCGACGAGATCAAGAAGGCGGCGCCGGCCTCGAAGGGCTCATTGGTCTTTATGAAGCTCGATTTGGGCGACCTGCGTACCATCAAGGCGTCGGCCGACTTCTTCCTAGCCCGGGAATCCAAACTGCACGTGCTATTTAACAACGCCGGCGTCATGTACGTCGACCTCAAAGGCCCACAGACAACACCTCAAGGCTACGAGATGAACCTCGGTGTCAACGTGCTCGGCACCTTCCTCTTCACCAAGCTACTGACGCCGGCTCTCATCTCGACGGCCAGGTCGGAGCCCGCAGGCTCGGTAAGAGTCATCTGGGTGTCCTCGCTAGGCACCGAAATGGTTGGCGAGAAATCGATCGGGCTGTCGTACACCGACCTGGAGGCGCACGCAAAGCGGACACCTATGGACAGGTACGCGCTGAGCAAAACCGGAAACTGGCTCCATGCAGTAGACTGCGCACGTCGCCTGCACGGTGACGGCGTTGTCAGCGTCCCGATAAACCCGGGTAATCTCAACACGGAGCTCGCCCGCCAGCACCCAGCCTTCATACAGCGGATCCTGCGGCTACTCGTCTACCCATCTCGGTACGGGGCGTATACGCAGTTGTATGCGGCCATGTCGAGCGACATCGGCCTGGCCAATTCGGGAATCTGGGGTAGGCAACAGTAGTGCCTCGGCGCGAATGAGCAGCCAGCCAGCTGACACCTTGCTTGTAGTTGCCCCTTTCGGCCGCCTCTACCCGATCCGGAAGGATTTGCTCGATGCGACGAAATCGAAGGAGGAGGGTGGTAACGGCCATGCCGCCGAGTTCTGGGAATGGACCGAAGAGCAGGTCAAGCCCTACATATAGCAGCAGTGCCTTATCTCACTTGAATTCAACTTGTGAAGACCAAGGTGACGAATTCTGCTCTTTGACACGGAGGGTTGTCACTTGAGTCGTTAGATTGCCAGGGGCCTGATGAGGCTCCGCTGTGCTTCAGTCGTGCTCCGGGGGGGGGGGTTAACGGCCTCACAAACTAGAGGCGTCAAACTCGGAATTTTGAAGTGTTTCGTGGCGACTCGATTGGAATAAATGCTTATCCCGGCAACCCAAACGACTCGTGGTGTTGTTTGGGTCGCAGCGGGTTTTGGCCGAAGATGAAGAAGAGCATTCCTAAAATTACTATCAATCTCTAGGGTTTGTGTAGGACGCCCACCGCAATACAGATCGTAACGGGCCATCTTGAGGGCCCCAGACGTATGAAAGAGCCTCGTAAGGAGGTGAAGAATTCGTCGGATACGTCCTGATTCGGCACGACATGGGATCATCGTCAAAGCCAGTTCCAAGTTCGAGCAAGCGGATACATCCAGGCCTCAAAGGTCGATACGCAAATTAAGTTTCTAGCGTTGACATCACAAAGAAACCTGCAAGGACGATTATAGTAGAAGTTTGCAAAGTCTAGGTATGGCGGTCAAAGAGGTAGCATTGTCATGGCGGACCATTAGGCTTGGCTGGAACCACGCAGAATAGGGAACGATCAGACGGAATACAACAGAGCAGCCAAGTGGTGGTGAGATTCGTCGCTGAATGTACATGTTTGGTACAGACAATTCCCCAGTCAAGACCCGAACTAGGTGCACAGCTGGCTGGTGGGAAATACGCCAAAAATGTAATTACATTCTTTGTTATGGACGGTGATGTGGTGGTCATCTCCCTCCTACTTCTGCTTACTTGCCCTCGTCAGGCCACCGTCAGGTCTGTCGGTCCTGTCTTACTTTTGAACTGCGAAGATTCAATTTCAACAGGTTTGTCCTCACCCTGTTCCGCATCCCGCTTGCATCTCGCAACGAAAGAGAGAGTAGCAAGACCAAATCAACCAGCCATTGGAAACCAATTGGAAAAAGAGCCTACTGCACCTGTCTTTTCTTTCCGAGATGCCGCAGAAGCCGGCCGATCCGTCCATCTAAAAGACGGATCCCTTCCTCTCGACGTCAGCGACGATCTCCTTGTTGAGGATACCGCCCTCATTGCCCATCTGCTCAGCGAAAGTCTTGGTAGGCTTCCACTTGCTCGAGGTACGCGGGGTTGACTCTTCCATCATCTTGTCAACTTGTTCCAATGTCAAACCCTTGGTCTCGGGCACCAGGAGCCACGAGTAGACGAAGGCGCAGGTACACAGACCGCCCCAGATGAAGAAGACCGATGATCGCAGGTTTCCTCTGTCCGGGTTGACCATGTAGGGGGTAATGACGGCGATAATCTGGAAAAGAGACGACGTCAGTTTAAACAGAGTCACCTCCTTACAGACGGTGGCACGGAAGGCGACTTACCGTATTCCAGAGCCAGTTCGAGGCAGTCGAGAGACCCACTCCGCGGGAACGGATCGGAAGAGGGAAGATTTCCCCAATTAAAATCCAGGCGCCGGGACCCCAGGTCGAGGCAAAGAAGAAGATGAAGATGGCAATGAATGCAATCTGCGCATTGACGGCCGAGATGTTGTTGGCAATGCTGTCGCCATTGGCGTTGATATGAGTGTGGTTGAAACCGACCGTGACCCCGATGATGGCCACGAGGAACTGGCAGATGAGCATGCCGAGCGCTCCGTAGACGAGCAGAGGGCGGCGACCGAATTTCTCCACGGTGTAAAACGAGATTGGGGTGGAGCAGACATTGACAAGTGTGAAGATCAGGGAAATCAAGAAGGTGTTGTTGATGGCGCCGGTCGATTGGAGGAACGGGGTCGAGTAGTAGAAGATGAAGTTGACACCAGTCCTACAATGATCGAGAACGCGTCAGTTAACTGCGGGAGCCAAGAGAGAACAGATGAAAGTCGCTCGCTGGGAATTAACTCACCATTGCTGCATCATCTGCAACGATGTGCCGAGAATGGTACGACGGAGATTGGACTTCTGGTTGCGCAGCCCGCCTTTAAAGCAGTTGTGCCAGCTGGAGAGCCAGCCGGTGGATGGAATTATCTCACGCTCATACTCGTCGTTCGCAATGATCTCAGCAATCTCGACTTGGATATACTCGGAATCGGTGGGTTGACCGCGGAGGCGCGAGAGTGATTGCATAGCCTTTTCGATCCGGCCTCTCTTGACAAAGTATCGCGGCGAATCAGGGAGGAAGAGCAGGCCACCGCCGAGAATGAGACCCCAGGCAAACTGAATCGCAATGGGGATTCGATAGGAGCCAGTGTCTCCGCGGTTTTCCGTGGCATAATCGACACAAGAGGCCAGAAGCAGACCAATCGTGATGCAGAATTGGTATCCGGCCACGAGAGCACCGCGAACCTTCCTTGGGCACTGCAGACACGCGACGGTTAGCCTGGGAGAAAGCCATACAACATGCAGGCACACAACTTACAATTTCGCTCATGTACAGAATTACGGTGGCACTTTCGAAGCCAACACCAAAACCGGCAATGAGACGACCTGCGACAATGACACCGAGGCCGTGGCCGGGCCCGGTAATCATCTGAATGATGACACCAACGATGTAGATGACGCAGCCCACGATGACAGTCCATTTGCGACCAATGATATCGGCGACATCACCGGCGATGATAGCGCCAAAGAAGGTACCGCAAGAGAGGATGGAGACGATCAGCGACTGGTGAGGAGACGAGAGAGCCGTAGCGTCGGGACCTTGGACGATGTGGATGAATTCTTTGACGCCATTGACGCCGTTGATATATCCCGAGTCGTAACCGAAGAAGATCCCGCCAAAGGACGCGAAGGCACAGATGAGATAGGCTTTCCAGGTGACTGGAGCCTCGACGCGGTTGACGTCGGTGGTGGTAGAGAGCGCACGAATCTCGCCGGGCATGTTGGACTCTGTTCCGGGGGGGGGAGGACAAAACAAGAGTGGAAGCAAAGAGTGCTTGACAAGAAGTCAAGAAGGAGACAAGAAGGACAAGCTTCTCGGACGAGGAAGCAGCGTCTCTTTAAAGAAAGCTTTGGCCAGAGGCAAAAAAAAATCAGGAAAGTTACAAATGCAATGGAACTCTGGAGCTTTCACTGACCTGTGAGGCTTGTTACTGGTCACACGCTAGGGAGGGGAGTAGGGTGGGGAGAGGCACCATCTGCTGCAGGTGATTGATATCAGGCATTCCTAATTTGAATGGGCCATGACCCATGGGGAGGGCGATGGAGGGGCTGCCACGGTGTGGACAACGCGCCTCTGTTTGTCAGTCTCGACCACCCATGGGAGATTCTGGGAGGGAAAGAATCTCCAGATGGAATTTGAGTGGCCGGGCAATCAAGGCAACCCACCAGGCCCATGGCATGGGAAAATGTGGGTTGGCAGCGTGCCAGCGTGCCATCGCCAGATTTTAGTTGCCCCCGTGATATAGGTGTTTTGTCGAAGAGGCCGCATTCCATTGGAAGGACTCGATAACCCTGCAAAACGCGGAGTTACGGAGTTGGTCCAGTTTTGTTTGCCTGCCTCGCCGCCACCCCGCGCAGAGCCAACGAGGCTCTCCAAGCCGAGCTCCTTGACGTCGATCCACGGGCTTGCCGCTTGCGGCGCTAGCATCCCAGTCGCCCAGTTGCACCAGTGGGTGATGTTCGGCGACCTGCCCCAAACAGGACTAAAGGCGTCCGCTGTGGCTGGATGACAGCCTTCTTGGAGACAGCACCAGACGTCAGAGGCCACCGTTCCATTGGTCCCCGGAGCTCGCCAGAAACTTTCAATATTGACATCTCGACGTCCTTGTTTCTCTGGTCCTGCCGGTCATGTCGGTCCTGCTGGCCCGCCTCCTTCTTGCCCAGTTGCTTAGCCCCTGATCAAAGGAAGAGGGTCCCAGTTTCCAGCTCTTTGACAAGGAACCCCTCAATCCCCGTGGGACAAAACGCTGCAATCAACAATGGCTGCCCATGATGGTGTTCTTAGCGCGCTGTAACGTTGGCCAGGGAGGTCAAGGTCCGGGGAACGAAAAAAGCTTAGGCTGTTCGCAAAAAAAATCGGCGGACTAACCTCGACCTAGGGCGGTGGTTCCGAGATTAGATTTGCGGAACTCGCTAAGCGGGGACAGGTATGATCGTTTTTCTCATGCTTTGCGCCCGTCTGTACCGGGTCCTGGGTATGCGGCGAGCGGTGCGGCAAGCAAATATTACGGTTTCGGATGACGATGAACAAACTTTTGTAACGCTGGTCGGGAGCTGTTTTCCAGAGAGTTGAAATTTGAGAATCGTAAGATCATCCCAAAGCGGGACGGAATGACAGTGAGAAATAACGGAAAGCTACCTCGTAATGGATGAGAAGAAGCCAATGCAGGCATCGGTCGATGCGATGATGATGAATGATGGATGATGGATGATGGATGATGATGGATGGGATGAGGAAGGGGATGAGGGTGATGACGACAAACTCGAGAGGAGGGAGGGAGGCAAGGGCTAGAGAGAGGAAGACAGCGAGAGAGAGAGCCACTGACAGCGGCTGGCAGGACAATTTCCTCGGGTATTGCAGCTGGTAGGTTCGACCGGAAGTGGCTTCAGCTGGTTGTGCGCATGTACCACTACCAATTCGGGGACAATTGACACTGGCAGCGGCTGATCGCGAGCAGGTGGTGTAATCACTGACTTGGCTGGTCGTGTGCAGTTGCCTACTTGTAGAGGCTAAGGCCAGCACCGTAAAGAGGACCCCCGGGATGGACGTTATAACCATCAATCACCCTGTCTGGGGAGCCAATGGGCGCACTAGGGGCACTGAGGGGGGGCACCGGGGGGGGCACTGAGGGGGGCACTGAGGGGAGAGAGCCTTGCCTTCCTGGGTAGCTCCTCGCAGGGTGCCCATCGCCGCCTACTTACTTGGGCATGTTTCAACGCTGAAATTGTTCGGCACACGCACGGCTAAAATGTTTTCCACCAGCTGTCATCATAACCCTCAAAGTCCGCCTGGCGTGGCATTCTGATGGCCACAAAGCCACCACAATGGGACAATGCAATTTTTGCTCGCTCTGGTTCAGCTCCACTTCAGGACGGTGGTATGATTGATTATTCTCTCCTGAATCCTTCTAGAATCATGTCTCCTTGCATCTCATTGTCCTGGATCGAGTAAATCCCCATCCCGACTCCACTCCCACCACGCAAAATGGTTAGCACGGCCCGCCTCTGGATCTCACTAACGCACCCTGTATAGCGAAGATTTTCCGATGCTACCTTACCATGACCACCGTCGCCGCTTCCTACTACTCCAGCACATGAACTCCGCGTGGCCATGCTCGCACCTCGGTGCCCAACAGAATGCCCATATCGTAGCAGTGGCAGAGACTGCAACCCTCTCGCCTGCCATCAATGCTGCCTTCCATTTGCTCCAGCCTCGAGGCCTGGGCCCCATGGGGTTGTTGGTTCGCTGACACCGCGCTGTGCGTGGCAGCAGGATCATGTTTGTGCATCTCAACGCTTCCGTACGCAGGATCGCGAACCTACCTCGACGTTCGCGTCATCACAACCCGTCGTGCCAGTTCGGCGCTAATCGAGGTGTTGCATGGACGGGGAATTTGTGCTTACAAACTCCAAGTGAAGCCGAGAACCACCCAAGGACCGGAGCCTTGTGATTCCGAAGTTGATACGAACGTGGCGTCAGCCTCCGCAGCGAAGTCCCGGACATGAGAGTCAACATTCTTGATAAGGACCACCCTGGACCCCCCTTAGACACGGGATACATTCTGCTATGCGCTTGTCCGTCTTTGCGACGGCCGGTTTGTTATGTCCACAGAGAGACTGTGTTCGCCACAAAAGGCACGATGACGAATGCACGAGGATGCCCCCCTCTCGTTTACAGCTATTGTACCGAGTAGTTCTTCCGACATTGGCACCAAAGTGTGCCCGTTACTTGGCTACGGAATTCCTACGGAAGTGAGGCTGTCACAGCGAGGGCTTGCATGAGTCTGAAAGCGAACGCCTTCAAGGATGGTCAAGTGAGAGCAGATTGCCCAACGAGAAATGGCGCTGTTCCTGTCATTGAAGAGACCATAGAGAACCTTCCCTGCCTTAGATGAACAGCTCGAACCAGCTCGAGCCAGGTATGCTCGGGTCAAACGTTGAACTCACAGTGGAATTGCAATTTGGCAGCATCGTCTGAATGTTATTTCATTGTTTCGAGACCTCTATACTCTTAACAAATGATTTAGATGGTCAAGGCCATTGCTTGGTGGCAGTTTCAAATGCCAAAGAGTCTATAGTACAAATCTTCCCTGGAGATTGTTCTCAGTCCGTACTTTGATAAGCGACGGTTTACTACTAAATACTCTACCATAGTAGTGCGTCGTGGCTCCTATGCCCGTCCGAAGAAATCAATTTACGCGTCTCGCGTGCGACGCGTCTTCCCCCGGAACGCGCTCTCAGCTCCAAATCCCATCGGCACCCCCTTCACTTCCATTCTGCGCAGAACCTCCCTCCACACTCGCTCACAGACAAGTCGTCCACGATGGCGCTTAGCACTACTCAGCTTCGTGATGAAGCTGTCCGCGACAGAATCAGACTTGCAACCGAATTCCTCGACCCCACCGACGATGAAGCCCGATCCTACCGTGCCGACATCGTGCTGATGCTGAACCGTGGTCTGAGACGACTTGTGGTCAGCGTTGACGATATTCGCGCTCATTCGCGAGAACTCGCGGACGGTATCCTGCACAAACCGTTTGACTATTCCCTTGCCTTTGATGCGGCGTTGAAAAACGTCATTGGAACCATACCGAACCGTGCGCCATTTGAGCAAGATGAAGACCGACTATATTACGTGGCATATTCAGGCTCATTTGGAGAGAACACCTGCAATCCTAGAACATTGGGAAGTGCATTACTTAACAGAATGGTCTGTTTGGAAGGTATCATCACAAAGTGCAGTCTGGTCAGACCAAAGGTTGTCAAGAGTGTGCATTGGAATGAGAAAAAGGGCACTTTCATGTTTAGGGAATATAGAGACCAGACTATGAGTGCTAATGCTCCAGCAAGTCTGAGCGTTTATCCACAGGAAGATGGAGAGGGAAACCCCGTATGTTGAGTGCCTGAACCACTCCAATTCTCCTGCGATGCTAACTCTCAGCCAGTTGGTCACAGAATACGGCTATTGCACTTATCGTGATCACCAGACAATCAGCATCCAAGAAATGCCCGAGCGAGCACCGGCAGGGCAACTTCCCCGAAGCGTCGATGTCCTTCTGGACGATGACATGGTAGACCGAGTCAAACCTGGGGACCGTATCCAGCTGGTGGGTATCTTCAGGTCGCTGGGTAACAGAAATGCTGGATCAGGATCGTCCATTTTCAGGACCCTCGTCTTGGCCAACAACATCGTTCTGTTATCTTCAAAAGCCGGCGGAGGAATTGCCCAAGCCACGATCACGGATCAGGACGTGAGAAACATCAACAAAATGGCCAGGAAACACAATGTGTTCGACTTGCTCTCGCAGAGTCTGGCGCCCAGTATCTATGGGCATGACTACATCAAGAAAGCCATATTGCTCATGCTCTTGGGCGGAATGGAGAAGAACCTACCAAATGGCACCCACTTGAGGGGTGACATCAACATCCTCATGGTCGGTGACCCTTCAACGGCTAAATCTCAACTTTTGCGCTTCGTGCTCAACACCGCTCCATTGGCAATTGCGACCACCGGCCGTGGCTCCTCCGGAGTCGGTCTTACGGCTGCCGTCACCTCTGATAAGGAGACTGGTGAGAGGAGACTTGAGGCTGGTGCTATGGTTTTGGGAGACCGTGGCGTAGTCTGTATTGATGAGTTTGACAAAATGAGCGATGTGGACCGTGTGGCCATCCACGAAGTTATGGAACAGCAGACCGTCACCATTGCCAAAGCCGGTATCCATACCTCCTTGAACGCCAGATGCAGCGTGATTGCAGCTGCGAATCCCATTTTTGGCCAATACGACAGCAACAAGGATCCTCACAAAAACATCGCCCTGCCCGACTCCCTTTTGTCTCGTTTCGACCTGCTTTTTATCGTGACCGACGACATCGATGACAAACGAGATCGGCAGATCTCCGAGCACGTTCTCCGAATGCACCAGTATCGTCAGCCTGGGACTGAAGAAGGAGCTCCCATTCGAGAACAACCCAACCAAATGCTTGGAGTGGGCGTTGAAGAAGATCAGAACGCCAATCAAACGTCGCTGGTCTACGAGAAATTCAATATCGTCCTTCACTCCGGTTTCATGGTCGATGAAAGGAAAAGAGGAAACAAACGAGTCCAGCCCGTCAGCATGGCTTTCATCAAAAAATACATTCAATATGCAAAGAGCAGGTGCAAGCCAGTTTTGACAGAAGATGCCAGTGACTATGTCGTCAACGCCTATGCCAACCTTCGAAACGATGAATTACAAGCAAATAAGCGCCGAACAAGCCCTATGACCGCAAGAACATTGGAGACGCTAATCCGCTTATCAACCGCCCATGCAAAGGCACGACTGTCGAGTAGGGTTGAGGAGAGCGATGCTATTGCGGCGGAAGAGATTCTCAAATTTGCTCTCTTCAGAGAAATTGCGGTCAAAGACAGCGGGCGAAATAAGAGACGCAAGACCCGTGATGCCAATGATGATGCTTCACAGGTGGACAGCCAGTCTGGTAGTGACGATAGTGATAGCGATGATGATACCCCATATCGTGGGACAAGGTCAAATGGTGCCCGGGGAACAAAGCCACACACCAGAAGTCAGCGCTCAACCCGCACCAATACCACCACGAATGGCACAGCACATGGAAGAGCCAACGGCAACGCGAATGCCGGAAGCGACGATTCGGCGGAATCAGATGTGCTGGCTAGCTCTTCCCGAGGCCAACGACAGACAGGCACAGAATCGCAAATGTCCCGCATGAGCATTGCCAGCTCCATACCCAGTTCCCAGCTACCCTCCACCCAAGCCGACTCACAATCCCAAGGTCCCAAGACAACACCGTCCGAGGGTCAACAACAGTCATCCCCACCGGATTCGGGACCAACAATTTCGCAGCCACGTCTTGCGTCATTCCGTGCCGCTTTGGGACCCTTGACCCAGACCTCGCTGTTCCAGAATGATATGGCTACAGTCGCGGATGTCAGTGCAGCTATCAATCATCGCGTGTCAGAGGCAAGTGGGGCTGAATTCTCCCAGGAGGAGATTACTGCTGCACTTAGGTCAATGAATGAGGCCAACCAAATTATGTTCTTGGAGGATACCGGGGAGGTTTACACGCTGTAGAGGAACAGTGCTTGGATTTTATGCATGCCAACGGATGGTAAGATCTGCGAGGTCCAGGCGCTTAGTGATATGTTAATGTTTGATCCGGATGAGCAATGAAATGTTTTTTTTTCCTTCTTCTTCGGATTCTCTCGCCGTTCTACAATAACAGAGTGGAAATGGCAGACAGGGATTGATGCCAGAGATATTCCAATCAATGAAGACGGCGGCAACCCTGATCTCAATGAGACTATTAAGCTCGATCGTCGACAGCGGCCCATAGGCCTCGCACGTACATCGTATCAAAAGGGAAGCCTGACGACGATGGCGGTCAACCCAGGCGGCAACAAACACAACAACGATAACTGAGCATCACAGGGGCCGAAAACAGATCACGGAATAGTCGACACAAAGAGGTCTGGATGAGGGAGGTGGTCGACTTATGCCAATTGAGACTGTGAAGATGGAGGAATTGGGAGCCTCGACGACAAAGGCAATTGCTTCATTGTTTGTGGTGTTGTGGTAAATACATACCTCGCAAGGCTACCTAGCCTCGCTAGGTCGTTGATCTAAAGAATGGCCCCCAAGCGCAATGGGCGCTCTCGGCAAAGCCTCACCAGCCTGCGTCTCTGAAGCGCTCGCTTCAGTCTGTTTGCGGCGAAGCCTCGACGACCCTCGTCCAACTCCTTCCAACCTCCAACAAAAGAAATCAAAATTCCGAATGAGAACAACTCCGCCCACGCCGCTTCACTCCTTGTCCCTTCCATGCTCGGTCTTCCTTTGATGCGACATTCTTCAACACTCCAAGCGATCGGTCCACATTCCAGCGCCCCAACAGGGGCCGTCCGAGCGCTCAGCCATCTATTCTTGCCGTTGTCGCGTTCGCCAGTTCCAGCTGCATCTGCTGCAGCTGCGCCCTCCGCGCCTTTTCGAGGTCTTGAAACTGTTTGGTGAGTTTGTACCAGGCGTTCCAATCCGCCCTGGCGTGATATTCGGCGAGGCCTTCATCGTCACTCCGCGGGTAGCCTGTCTTCCACACCTCCCGCAACACCAGGTTCGGCTTGCGAGAATGGCGAAGGTCTCTCCCAGTATCACGCTTATACGCGTCCATTTGCGCCTGATACCATTCATCCTGGGCTTTTTTCCAGATTGAGCGGTACTCCTGGGTCGCTTCGGGCTTGAGGGCGATAATCCGCTGCTCGATTTCATTGACTTTGTGATCTGCTATGTAAGCGATCTTTTTCAATTGATCGAGCGTTAGATCGGCATGCGTTTTCAGTGGGCGTGGCGGGGGATTTGTTTCGGTTCCAGATTCGTCCTCGTTCGGGTTCTCTTCGTCTTCACTCTGGTCTTCTTCGCCCTCACTCGGGTCGTCGTCGTCCTCACTCGGATTCTCTGCGGCCACACTTGGCACCCTCGGTCTTGGTATCGGGACCCTCTTCCTTCCCGTTTCCTCCTCGAACATCTTGTCCACCTCCCGTCCCATGGCGGCCTGGATATAATTCCAGGGGCGTTGGGCGCCTTGGTTACGGCGGAAGTCGTGAGGCAAATGGTTCCACATGCGTTCCGCAGTCCATCCTTCCGCCATGTAAACCCGAAGCATGCTGCCCCAGGCGTGCCTCGGGTAGGAATGGACCACTTGGGTCAGCGAAAGCCCTGCTGGGAGGAATTGGTCTGGCATGGTGTACCCCCCCACATTAGGTCGGTCAGTCCTGCCCCTCTCGATAATCAGAGGCACTCTGGTGATTGGCTCGGTCTCGTTGTCTTTCAACACCAACATGTTCCTTCCGGAGTTGAGCCCGGTGCCCAACCTAACAGGTCGCGCGGAAAAAATGTGGTTTCCGGGAACCGTCGGGTGTTCGCGTGTTCGGCCGACCTGCGGGCGGACCCGTGGCGGACGAGTACCGGGCGGAGCTGGCGGGACTGGCTGGCTCATCTTGCTCAATGGCAGGGCCGCCGGGCTGTGTTAGCTGATGCAAGGTGTGTGTGTGATGTTTCTTTGAGAGTCGATACGGGGTCACTGATGTCTTTGGGACTTGGTGGTCGGCAATGATACAGGTTTCGTGGTACTGTCCAGCTAATTTGAAATCTCGAAGGACAAGGCACTGATATAGACCAGTTTGGGGATAAAGAAGAAGATGAAAACGGAGGCTCGAAGGATAAAAAGACAGGCCTGGGTCAGTTCGAGGAGATAAAAAGAGGAAGATGAAGACGGAAAAGTTCCTTTGTTTGCTTTCCTGTCCTGGTGATTTGAATGCGTGAATACTCTGGCACTCTGCCACACTTTTGCCCGCGTCAACTCTGTGCCGACGCGGTGAGGCAATATGACTTCTGTTATTGGAGGTCTCGACAGTTCTGGGCACGCTGAGCGGGCTTGCGGGATCATGCTACAGCAAAAGATTCGAGTCGCGAACGCAGCTTAAATGGCAGGGACATACAAACCGATCTTCCTCACACTCAATGTCACGAAGCATAACCAAACAGGACGAGGCTACCATCCCCCAGTCATGCGGCTTATACAAAAACTCTACGGGTCATTTCCATCTTCGAAATGCATGGCTGATTGATCAGCAGCCCAGAAGCAAAATACCAGCCATCGATTGCATCCGCCCCAAACCGGTGTTTCCTACTCTGTGAGCTCGACAGGTGCAGCAAACGACCTCACGCGACGATTTCCTTATAGCCAGGTTCGAAGCGGTACATAATCACCATGACACCTGTGACTATCTGCGAACAAAGGGAGTTTGGCCTTCTGACAGATTGTGAACCGCCGGGAAGTGACGAGGCTCTGTTTGTCAGGGGGGCGATACTCCAGACAAAACAGTGGCATCGGTCAGAGAACCGGAAACGCATGATTTGACTCTGCGGCCATCCGTGGAGCCATGTTGTTATGCCGATATACCACCAAGTTTGTTTGAAGATCATGACACAGGGGGGCAAACCATATCGAAATGCGGAACATTTCCAACTCAATTGAAGCTGTATATGATAGCCTGCGACAGGGGAGGACACAGGTCACAGCTGGAATGGATGTGGCTTTGGCTTTCCTTTGGACAATGAAAAGATCTACAACCTTTTTCTCTTTCTTTGCTCGAAAGATATTGACATGCTCTCTTCCGCAGGAAAGAAAACAGTCCCGCTGGGAGAGCATATTCTATTTGTCAGTCCAGTCCGAGATTTTCAACACCTCGACACCCACACGAATGAATACCGACGAAGAGATCCATATCCATTGGTTTTTGACAATGCTCCCTTCGATGGTCGATATGAGCAACGATATGGCGCTACAGCCATCATCCTCAGATGATGTTGGAACTTCGAAGACGTTGGGTACGCCATTGACCTGTCTGCGTTCTGTGTATGTTCCAAGGTTCTGCTTTTGGCATGAAACCTAACCAGGCCAGGTCCCTTTCAAAAATGGCCGCCCCTTTATTCCAGATCGATTTGACGAAGCACCATTATTCGTCTGTGCATGTCTGCGGTGCAATTCAACGAGCATCAATCACAATTACCATCTGAAAGCAAGACTAGACGAGGCTGGACCAAAGAAACAACTGGACAGATGTGGCTGTCCACCATCCTTGACCAAATTATCACTCATATTCACTGTCACATCTTAAGGATGCGCTCGATTCTTCACTGACATAATTAGGCATCCAGTCTTCACACCAGACTCTGACACAAAGGCCCTGGGCCGGTCCCATACATCTAGCCAGACCCCAGCAGATGCGATCACAGATCAGACATCGTGAAATCCAACTCTTCTGGGTGCCCAGCGCCGCCGTCCGTATGTATCAGCGCCCTCAACCATTTACTCATCGTCGTCGACGAGTTCCGGCAGCTCCCGTGATGTCGCATTCAGGTTTTCATTCACATTTGAGATACCTTCATCGGCAAACATCTCCTCATTCAAAAACTTCATCCATTCGGAGTCATCTACTTCAAAGTTGGTTGAGTAGTCAGCTGCCATCGGGTCAATCCCGGCGTCCAAAAAGCCACCTTGAAGGGGTTGGGCTGGCAAAGTGTCGAGATCGAATGCTTCAAGCATCTCTTCTATCGGTGGTTGAAGCGTGAGAGCGACGTCTTCTCCACAGATGACTCGACTCGGGTCTGGCCACGGAAGAACTTGATCACCGTACCCTTCCATCGGTGGTTCAGGTGTGAAAATGGCGTCATCTCCCTGAATGGCTCCAGTCGCGTCAGGTGTACCGAGATCCATGTCTGGCCACACAAAGTCGAATTCGTCGTCCTGATAGGCCTCTGCCATCGGCGGTTCAGGGGCGAAATCGGCGATGTCTCCATGGATGGCTTGAGTCGCGTCGGGTTCATCAAGAGTCAAGTCTTGCCATACAACACCTGGTTGACCTTGCTGATGGGCTTCCTCAGGAGGATGATCCGCAGTTAGTCCCATATCCGCGTGTCCGAACTCGGTGGTTGGATCGGCAAACCTCACTCGCTTCGTGGATTTCGCTGTGCCTGCCGACTCTGGCCCGGTTCGTTTCAAGCTGCTTCGAAATGGCGCGACTGGAGCGTTGATATGGGGCACTTCTCGGTTGGGCGATGCGACGCCCTCTCCCTGGGGATTTGCAGGATCGAGGAACAGATTTGCCGACTCAGCAGTCTGGCCATCGAGGTCTACACCCCACGACAATACCTGATCCACCACTCCGGGCATAGGCTCTCCAGCCGGCAAGGTCGACAAGAATTCATTCAACCTGGTCAACCTGGCCGCCTGGCCCGCGTGGACATAAGAAATTGCCGATTGTCGAACCAAGGGTAGTTGCTGAGCAGGGTCCTCAGACGGGAATGAATCATAGATATTTATGACAGCCGCCGTGGCCATGTTGGAAATCGCAGTTACAAAGGCCGGGCAATGTCGAATATGTTGGAAGCTGAAGAACGTCTCGGTCGTAACGTCGCATGGCCAGTTTGCCATTTGCAAGACGAGTCTATTGCGCCGGCGACTATCTTGACTCGCACCATACAGCTCGTCGAGGGCCAAGATCTGTTCCGCACGCGCACGTTGATATCCCCAGTACGTTGCCATGCTGGCCTTGTACTCGTCGAATTCTTCGGCCGAAGCCCAAAGCGGGTATTCCTTGTCGTTGTGCACAAAGGTCATCATCACAGGCTCCGGCCCAAGAGTTTTGCGGGCCTTGATTTGACGATGAGGGTACGTTCGAACCCTTGGAGCTATGGGATTGTGGAACTTGCCCTGCAACTTGGATGCGCCGTACTTCTCAGAGCCGTCCATCATGCATGTCCGGATCTTGGGAGCGGTGCACAATGCCGTGACTTCCTCTGGCGAAAGAGCGGACAGCCGGGCGTCGAGTCGCTTCATCAAGAAGTTGGCGCGGTTCGCAAAGGACTTGCTCGTCGTGATGCCAAAGGCCTTGAATTCGTTGATGGCAATGTCGGTCAGGCAAGAGTACATGTCGGTGGCTGACCAGTGCCATTGGATGAAGGCGTCGAGGTAGGAGCCGCGCAGGTGATTGGGGTATCTGATGCAGACCTCTTCCAGAGACGCATTGGGAGGGATTGGCTCGTCGAACGAAGGGAACGACGGCAGTTCGGCATAGACCCGAGGTTCCGTGTCTGTTCGCTTCTGGTGGATTCCTGGTCTTGATCGCGATGATCCTGCTGAATCTGATGTCAGAGCAGTATTTATATATGGTGCTATTTCATATGGGGACTCACAAGCCATCCGCGGGCTATGCCACGGATCCATTGTCGGAAGCGATGCTGTCGGCGAGGGATTTCGAGCTTTTGCAGGCAAGAGGAGACTTAGGTACTTGGTCGATGGTCCAAAACACACTACCTGGTCCCTCGCCGACGATCGTTGATGGTGTTCGGACAACTGTATCTGTGGAGAAAGATCGAACCTGTTGATGATGAGCGAGGGAAACTTGTTGTAAGTGCCCAAAGCCAACGTGGACAGGCCACAACGAGCCTTTTTAAAACGAAGAGGTCTCCCATCGTGGGCCACAGCGAGGCTGTTGCTCGAGGTGCCTTCAAGTTCCAGGGTCGACAATGTCTTGCGGGCTTATTTACTCGCGACAAAGCACATTGCTAGTCCATCCTACAAAAAGTACAAAGGGCAGTTGAAGCACTGCCCGGAGGGATACTGCCTGGAGCGTCAAGGGTTTCACGTTTAGCAGAGAACGCGCTGTGAAGCTCATCGCTCGAGGGCCTTCTTCGAAGAAAGGTAGTTGAAAGCCTCATATCGAGAATGACCTTTCAACTTGCACTGCACTGCATTGTGTATGCTGGCATAAAGGGACATGGTTTCGAGCATACAACAAGGCTAGCCTTGTGCCTGAGATCCCAGAGAGCTCATAGCCTTGTCTCTCGAAGACGCCAAGGATCGAGAGCTTTGTTTCTGTGGCCCTTGGACAACCAACAAAGAACGCGAACAAAAGGTGATGAAACATAATGCCACTGCCACTGCCAATGCCTTGGATCCTATGGCAGTACTCGGGCATTCACTGCGCAGCAGCCCCTCATAGTACGATCTGGGGTAATTGACTTGATGCGTTCTTTTTGTTGTTACACCCTTTTTGCAAGGCTGCTCAAGTACGAAGTGAATAGAACGGCCACGCAATAAGCTCAGGGGCTCGCAGCCTTGCCAAGGCTCCGGCCAAAGGTCAGGGGGACCGAGGGACTAACAAACAAATTATCATACCCACCCTCACCACACAACAGCACCGACTTCAACATCGCTAGCAGCTCGTCCACCTCGTTGGACGATTCCTACGCCCGGAAACAAGATGGTAGGTTCCCCTAGAGACTTTATATTATCAAGCAGTGAAGACATGGAATCGGGCAATGAATTGGCGAGGCGGCCGACCGACAGATACAAAATGCATACTACACTGAAGGCCCGCTAGCCCTCCCTCCTGCGGCTCATCCGTCGTGTCGCGCTCGTAGAATAACGAGCAACAAGAACATATATTAATAAGTGCTAAAGGCAGCCCTCCTTACTGACTCTCCCCTTTTTCGTGTGTACGGCCCCCTCCCCTCCCCTCTCTATTTCTCTCTGTGCTCTTAGGGTGGGTCGTGATAGATAACCCAGATCTCTGAGCAAGTAGCTGGGGCTGTCCGCATACCATGCCTCGTACTGTCCTCGGACTCAGTCAAGTCACCAAGCGCATCCCTCTCGGGTGCCTCTGGACAGGGTATCATTACACTGTCCTCAAGACTCCGTATATATTGCCCGCGCAAAAGGTAAGCGCAGCACCTGGCGTGGCTCAGGATTGCATGCTTGCTTTTGTTCATTCATTCACTCCCTTTCAATCAACTGATAGGGGATACGATGCACTCCGTACAAGGGAATGAATTCTCTACGAGCATGTCATTGAGTTTCAATCTGGGCATTTTGGTGTCAACTTGCTAGCCTCACGATGATAAGAAAACGAAGCTAGCGCCTATACCTTGTTTCGGTACTTGTACTATCTGCAAAGGCAATGGAACGAGCAGTCCGGGTCGTTGCATGGCATTGTTGTTGCTGGGGCCCTACAAGGACACACGCCACCAATACAATGCCAACTCTCGACCTCGGTCACATTCACTTCCACCACCATGTCCGCAGCGATATTGTCACAATCTCCTCTGTCCACGATAGATTTTTGCATCTCATCATTATCGTCATCCCTCGACCACCTTCGCCCCCGTCACACCGTCGGCTAGTCATTCACCCTTCAACTTATCCTGCGTGACCGTAAACGCCTCCTCAAGCAGCGCCTGCTCCTCCTTGACGTGAGTGGCTTTCAGACCCGTCGCGACAGATGCACTGGGGTCCCGTCCTGCATACATGACGTGCCGTCTGTTGTGGTACTCCGTCTCGTTCAACAATGTTTCAATACGCGGCTGGACAAAACTCCATGCTCCGGCGTTGAGAGGCTCTTCCTGACACCAGACGATCGTCTTGGCGTTCTTATATTTGTCAAGGTTCTCCTTCAAGAGGGCCCATGGGAAGGGATTCAGCTGCTCGATTCGGGTGATCGCAGCGTTCTTGATGCCCTTGTCCGCGCGGTGCTTATGTAACGCTGCATATACTTGACCAGTGCATAGGATGACGCGGTCGATCTCATCTGGCTCAACCATTCCCTTGCCATGCTCTGGATCTGGGATGATCCATTGGAAGTAGGATTCACCCGTGAAGTCCTCCAGGCTAGAGCGTGCGAGAGGATGACGGAGGAGAGATTTGGAGAAGAATATGATCAATGCTGAGAAAGAGAGTTGTCAGTCAAACGCCCAATCTTTCTGGGATGGCGATTTTCACTTACGTTTTCTGAATTGTCTGTTCATTTGTCTTCGGAGAATATGGAAATAGTTCGAGGGTGTCGTCATGTATGCTACCTGCATGTTGCAATCTTGATGCTGTCGGTCGAGTTTATCCTGTGACGGGAATACTCGAGGCTCTTCGTTGCAAAGTTGCAGATACCGTTCCATACGGCCACTGCTATGCTGTAGGACCAGGATGTTAGCTTTATTGTTCCCACGCTGAGAGGAATTTGCAGTAAACTTACCTCTGGTCCTTGCCCATCGTAACCATGAGGCAGAGAGCAGACGAGACCGGACCTTTGGAGCCACTTGACCTCTCCCGATGCGATGAATTGATCAATGACGCACTGAGCATTATTGGCAAAGTCACCGAATTGCGCCTCCCACATGACAAGCGCGTTAGGTGACGAGAGTGAGTAACCATATTCGAAACCTAGCACCCCATATTCACTCAAGGAAGAGTTGGAGATGGTGAACGCTCCCTGCTCTTTGGAGATGTTGTTAAGAGGTGTCCAGGTTTTTTCGGTCTCCTGGTCGTGCAAAACAGCATGACGCTGGGAGAACGTGCCACGCTCGACATCCTGGCCGGATACACGAACATGGTGACCCTCGAGACAAAGGGTGCCGAAAGCAAGGGCCTCAGCCGTGGCCCAGTCGATGCCCTGGCCTTCCTCAACTGCCTTTCTGCGACCAGCGAGAATTCGTTTGAGATTACGGTGGACGGTGAAACCCTCCGGAGTCTCAGCGATCTTTCCTCCTATCTCCTTCAATATCTCTGAAGGAACTCCGGTGGGAGGATGTGGGAGGACTTCAGTGGCAAGCTCCTTTGGTGATTTGAAGCCGTTCCAGGCGGATGTCAACCATTCCTTGCCTGTTGGTTGATAGTCTTTGCTTCGGTCGAAGCTGTCATTGAGCATTCCCCACACCCATTTCTTGTGCTCGTCGATGTCTTCCTTGCTGAAAGTGCCTTCTTCCAGTAGCTTGTCAACATACTTGTCGAGTTGGGGTTTAATGGACTCTATTCGCTTGTACATGAGCGGTTGAGTGAAGGCCGGTTGATCTGTCTCGTTGTGGCCTTGCTTCCGGTAGCATACAATGTCGATAACGCAGTCTTTCTTGAAGTCAGCCCTCCAGTCGGCAGCCAGTTGGCAAACGAAGTTGACGGCTTCCACATCGTCCCCATTGACGTGGAAAACAGGAGCATCAATTGCCTTGGCAATGTCCGAGCAGTAAGGGGTCGATCGAGCGAATCTAGGATCGGTGGTGAAACCGATCTGGTTGTTGACAATTATATGGATGGTGCCGCCGGTCGAATAAGCAGGAAGAGCATGGAAACCCAGAGTTTCGTAGACAACACCTTGAGCCGCAAAGGCGGCGTCGCCGTGAAGCAGGACACCCATCGCTGTCTGGTGTTTCATCTCGTCGTTGTTGTAGTGCTGAATGGCCCGGGTTTTCCCCAACACAACTGGGTCTTCGGCTTCCAAATGAGAAGGGTTTGCGACGAGAGAGAGCTGGACACGTTTCCCGGACGGTGTGGGTCGTTCAAAGTTCATACCGAGATGGTATTTGACATCGCCAGAGCCTTCGTCGCTTGCCTCAGTGGTGCCCGAAAATTCACTAAAGATGGACTCATTGGGCTTGCGGACAACGTTGCTCAGAACGTTCAGTCTTCCTCTGTGCGGCATCCCAATCACGATGTCCTTGATACCATAGTCCACACTCCTGTCAATCATGGCCTTCATGCCCGGAACGAGGGTCTCACAACCTTCCAGTCCGAAGCGCTTGTCGTTGGGGTACTTGGTGGCCAAGAAAGTCTCAAAGCTTGAGCTCCAAATCAGTCTGTCAAGGATGCGGCGCTTGTCATCCACAGAATATTTATATGGTGTCGGCACCTCGATCCTGTTTCTGATCCAGTCGCATTGCTCTCGATCTGGAATATGGATGTACTCGACACCATACGACCCGCAGTAGATCTTCTCGCAGGCAGCGATAATATCGCGCAGTTTCATCTTTGGCCGCGACTCTGTGGCAAACCTGGGAAGAATGCCGGGTCCGAGAACGAATTCTTGGTCGAGATCAGCCTCCGTGAAACCATAGTGTTCCAGCTCCAGCTCTTTTGGTCTACGGTACCCAAACGCTTCGGCCTCACCACGAATACCGAGAGGATCTGTCTTGGCCTTATGATGCCCGGTCGATTGATATGCTCTGACAAGCAATTGGACCTTCAAGTGATTCGTAACGTCTTGGCCTGCGGTGCTGGGGACTGCGCTTGGAGCGAGGCTGGCGGCGCCTTCAGCTTGGGAGATAAGGCCCGGAGGAGGTTGAAAAGCTTTGGAGACTGGCATAGTGCCCTCTTCTATGTTGTGAAAGTAGGCCTGCCACGAAACGTGGACGGACGAGGGGTCCTTTTTCCATGCCATATACATTTCGTCGATGTAGTTGGCGGTGTTGCCTTGGAGAAAGGAGTCATTCGGATCCTGCTAGACCGTTCAGACAGTGTTCTTTCGGTAGACGAGCAACTGAGGAAATACATACCACGCCCTTGTTGGTGTCTTCAGCTGTCATGGCATAGCTCCTGCGCTGCATTGAGCTTTGAACCGTGACAGCCAGTGGTTTCCTTCCACTAATAAGAGCATTCTGACGACTTTCGGAGACCGCCCTAAAGCTGGAAGAAGTGTGGAATGTCCTTGAAGCTTGCACAGCCCGCAAAGGGAGCTTGCCCGCAGTACAACGATACATGATGCCGGAGTTGATGGTGACCTAATGATACAGAGAATGATCCATAGGAGAAGAAAATGGGTCCCAAATGAGTGAACCACACCACTGACGAGAGAGTGGAAGGCAATTGAGGCTAGGGATAGACACTGAAGTGCCGGGATTAAGATGCAACAAACTGAAGCGTGAGGAAGTTAAAAGTGCAAGGTTCAAGTTCGAGGCTGTTACGCAAATCCCGCAACCCGGTTTAGGAAGAGGCAAGCAGGGTGCCGGGCCAGCGCCCCCATAGGCGGAAATGGATACGGAAACATAGCCGAGAACCAAGAGATGCATGGATCCTGAAGCACAAATACGATTGGTGCGTTGGACCTTGGCAGGAGTAACCAAGTGATCCCGGATATCGCACAGTCAGCCCGCATAGGGGCTTGAGTGATTTATCCGTGAAGTCCGGATTGTAAACTCTGTCTGTGAGTATTATCTTGTCATACTTGTATACTTTTCATATTTCTATGGGGTATCATATCGTCATCTCCAATGTACTTTTGCAGTGCCATAATCTATGTCCAATCAATCGACCGTCCTCTTCCGGAGGTATCTGCGCACATACCGCAGTATATCTTTCTCTCAGATCCGAGCTCCAGCTAGATATTCACGGTCAATAACTTCAGTTCCGCTCCCTTCATCAGTTCTCCTCCTTTCCAAAACCCATCCGCCGTCCGTGTCACGCGCGTAGCTCACACTTTCCGCGCCACTGCTAGTCCGGCTGTGATGACCTTTTCGTCGTTCACCCCCAGCAGACCCTGGAGATGCGGGTAGTTCCTCCTGCGACGTTACCACCACCGGTTCAGTCATCTTCTTGCGCGGTGTATTCTGTGTCAGGGTAGGTCTTTCCGAATCTTCGTCCTCTTCCTCCGACTCGGGGATTCCAGCTGGCGACGATCGACCGTGAATCGAGGACGACATGCGGCTCACGTTAAGGTCCGAGTGAGGAAATGGATGGTTGGAAACGTGGGCAAGTGGTGAGCTAGCCGGGTTTCCTGCGGCTGAACTGCCGATGCTGGATGAACTGCCTCCAAATGTTCTTCCCCGGAGCTTCATCAAACCACTGAAGCTCATATCATCGTCGTATCCAGGGGAGTCAAGTTGTTGCAGTAACTCGGCAATCCCTGGACTAGGCATCGAATGAGCTGAAGCTGGCACCCCGCCTGGTATTGCTAGTGACACCACCGAGTTGCGAGTACTCCACTCGCTGCGTTCGGTAATGGGCGTCAGGCTGGGCTCTTGAAAGTTGGCCTTCCCGCTGTGACTTCGCTTTACCCCATTGGATCCCCGGTCAGCAAAGTAGCCGCCATTCACGAGCTCTGCATTGCCTTTACCATAGGAGCGGGCATAAAATCCAAACTCTTGGCCATAGAAGCCTTCGTCATCATTCTCTAGGACCTCGGCGTTCGCCTCCGCAATCATGGGATCGTCATCCATGTCGTCGTCAAATGGGAATCCGTCGTCCTCGGCAATTGCAGAGCTGAAATTGTAGCTGATACGGCTATCTTCGGAGACAACGCCATGTTGACTGCTCTCAAATGGCGATTGAGAAGTATCATCCGAATTCTGACTGAAGCTGACCTTGCGATCAAATCTACCATTTGCAGCAGCTTGGTTGGCTGCATATGCCAAAGCGTCGTGATACGCAGCGAGATTCGTTTCAGTGAGCCCAGCGATGGAACTGCTTTGCATGAAGTTCCCTTGGCTCATTGGATGACCACTCGTAAATTCTCCAGCCGTTTGCTTGACTCCGTTCTGAGGGTCATTGCTTGTCAGCGATAGTTGTCCGATGGCGTCCTCCCAAGGATTGAGAACCTTGACCCCTGCGTCAAGGCCGGCTGCTTGTTTGGCAGCCGCAAATTTTCGAGCATTCTCGGCTGGGATATCACGAAGCTTGCCTGTGTCGTCGTCGAATAGTTGCTCGTCAAATGTTGTCCCTGACGGATCCAACTCCACGTGGTCAAACTCGCCATCGTCAAAATATAGATCCTCATCATCAAAAACCCCTCCGTGAGGACGAGAGGTTTGCTGCGTACGCCTGCCATGTATTTCCGCCGTCGTAATGCCAAGCCCTCCCAACATCGTAACCGTTTCAACGTCAATGATACTGTCTTTACGCGGGAACTTTGGACTATCGTCTTGGGAAGGCTCTCTCGAGTCTGCAATCCCAATAGCGAAACCCTCGTGGTCTCGGGGGGTAGGCTGTGAGCCATTGTTGGTGCTGGTCGGGCTGAATGTCATGGATTGAGGAGTAAAATGAAATCCTTGTAGTGATTGTCGCTGCAGAGTCGTGGTCTTGACATCTGATGCGGCGGATTCTTCAGTTTCGGGAGGACCATAACGAGCCACAAGCGCATTTCCTATCGGAATGTCGTTGCCGAAACCATCATCTTCCTCAAAGTCCGCGTTCACCCCAGGAATCATCTCCTCCAAACCATCGTCTACATCAAAGTCATAGTCACCATAGTCGTCCTCCTCATCTGCGCTTTGGGTAACGGTTTTCTTGATTGCTTCCTGTTGTTTGTGTTTCTCCTCGAGCAATCTCTCCTGCGCCGATGAGCCTGCTCCACCGATTTGAAAGCTGAAGCGGGAGGAAGTGCTGGTCATATGCTTCGGAAGCGCCGCCGCCGGCGGAATATCAAACTTCGGGGACGGCGTGCTCTTCGGCGGGGGTGTTGGAGGAGGTGGTGAAGGCTCCCCTATGGGCGGTAACGGTGCGCTCTCCTTCGCCGGTGGTGGCGGTGGCGGTTTGTTTTCATCCTCAGGTGGCTCAGATTTGACATCCAGACCTGCTTGCGGTACAGCGGACGGCAGCCGTCTTGCGAAAGCTGGCACACTGCTCTCATCCTGGCGGTCATTGGCCAAATTGAATGCGTGGATATTGTGCAGATAGCCTGTCCGATCGGGTTGCAATGACGGCCGATCGTCCTGAAAGTGTTCTTTGAACATCGGACTGTGTGGAATATTTGGTGTTCCGCTGAGCGCCAAGCGGGAAACCGGTGAATCATTGTTTCGATTGGGGTCTGGCCCGTATGCAGAGCGCAAGGCCGGGGAGTCTAGATTGCCAATATCGTTGTGGGAATAGAGCCTGCGTGATCGTGGAGCGGAAAAGTCATGGACCACCTTGCCTCGAATGCTTGGGTCGAAATTATCAGGCAAGGCTGGGACGGACAGAGTGAGATTTAGGTCCTCGAGTTTTTGATTCTGAGATGACCTGCGACGAGCCAACAGACTCATTGGATTCAGAAGATTCAGCCTACTCTTTTTCCCTGTATGCCCTTTCGTTGGGACCGGCTCATCATGCGCAGACTTATCGGAGGTTTGGGTGGAAAAGCTGTAGTTCCGGAGGCTGGGAGAGGATGCATTATCTCCGAGCTTCATGGGCGGTTCAAGCGTCTTTCTTTCTTGGTTGTCGAGACGGATAGAAGGCGGCACGGGAGACGGCCTTAACGTGTAGTCTGGTCCTATGGGCGGGGATTTTGCATGCGAGATAGGAGCAGCATTGTTCCGGTCGATCGCGTCACTCGTCGCAGGACGGGCAGCTTCGTCTGGTGATCCATATCTGTAGCGGCCGGTTTCATCAAAAGACCTCTGGTATTGGTGGTGTTGTTTTGAATCAACCACAGGAGACTTGGAAAACGGCGGACCGGGTGGTAAAGGCGCAAAGCGGTCGTGGAGGGGAGATGTGAAAGTGAGGTTCAGGCTGAGCGAAGGGCTATCCGACTCATCTGTCACAGACGGCGTGTCGGCTGGGCTAAGCGCATCACTATGTCTATTTGGACGGTCAAGTAGTCGTCTTGGATAGGAGGGAGAGGATGGTGAAATCTGGTCAGATCTCCGCCTGCGACGCTGGAGAGGGGCATACGACGGTTTGTTGTTGGCGTTCATACTGTAATTTTCGAGTAGCAGCAGGTCGTAGCAACCACCGCCCGCTCACCGATGACCATTCTCCGACTTCCCCCCTTGCCTAGAAGGATGAAGGCTTATCGATGCTGCATCGCTGGAGGAACAGGAAATGGTTGTTTGGATTCAAGAGGGAGCAACGATGGGTTCGCAAGCGGTGGAGTGGACTTGGGGGACTCGCAACTCGCGCAGGCAGTGGGCGCAGTTTCCTTCGATGCACAGGTTGATCGCGGGGAAGCCTCGAAAATCTGTCAGAGAAGAGATGTCGGTGAGAGTTCAATGTGCTTTTCTGATGGGTTTTTGACAAGGCTGGATACCATGGAGACGAAGAAACTGTCAACAGATCAATTCCACGACGTCGGGTGTCGAGACTCGAGCTGTCGCGGGTTGAGAGTGGAAGGGTCAGCCAATCGAGCGGGCGCTCTGGCCGTCGTCAGCCTTCTCCACACTTCTTTTGCCGGGTGTTTGGGAGACTCGAAACTCGGGCGGGCACTGACTGACACCTGGGCACGGGCTTTGTGGGCGCTGGGCAGGCGGAACCAGCCTCCCGAACGAACAAAGCCGGCCTTCCCTGATGGAGTCAAGCCCCCAGCGCCGAGGGCTAGCGGGCCTATCGAGCCCAGACGCAAGCCCACCTGGGAGCCACTGGCCTTGGAAAGTCTGGGGCATGTCCATTGCCCACGGCACTGCAGCCGCTATTGCCAGGCACTAAGTATGTCTGTGCCTCTGCAGGTGCTCGACGATTCTTGGACGATTCGGATCAGTTCCATCTTGTTCGTCACCGCATCAATCATCGAAAGAGAACAGGGGATAATGACAATATCCTAGCTTCAATCGAGCGACCTTCAGCTCTAGAACACTTCTCGTCTCATGGTCCTCATTTCCTGCCTCCCGGGAATTTCCTCATCCGCGCCCTACCGCTTCAGGTGTGCCTGGTACCTGAATTGAAAACACTCGCCACCCCATGTTCAGCACCCATCTCACTTCAATTCTTCAACGATAAAAACAAGTCCAAGGTCTCCCCAGTCCCTGCCAGAAAACCGATTCCTTGTCAGCTGCAAAACCTGACCAAGCCAGAGATTCGTTTCCAAGAAAAGCTGCTGACGGCTGGCTGTGCCACTGCAGCCGCTTGTCATCATCGTCATCCTTGATCATAGATCGATCTCCTTCCCCCTCACCGCAACGGACTTCTTGGGTCGGGAGAAACCGTGTACGGGGGGTAACAGTGGTTTTAGCCACATAGTTGGTTGCAAATGATATAATATCTTTCATACTGTCCTTTCTCCACCTTCTTTGTTTCCATTTCTGCCAAAGAAAAGACCACCGTCCTCAAGAGCGTCACCATCATGAATTGCCCCTCACGCACCGACGACACCGAAGCTCATCCGGACTGGAACCAGAATCCGCAAGCCCTGAGCTCAGACCTGACGACAAGGGCGGACTTCAATGGGATTGTGAATCTCAGAGAAGAGAGAGATACAGAATCGAGTCCGGATAATGATGCGCAGGAAGACCTACGGGTCATGCCTGTCGACAATGCAGAATCACCTTCAATTGTCCTGAAGTCACCCGCCGCTGTCAAGGTTGATCCGCTAGCGCAACAGCCAGCGGCCATTCAACAAACCCACCCACAACGATTTCAGAGCTTCCGCTCTCCGTCTGCCTTCATAAACAAGGCCATATTTACGACGCAAAAGTATGCGAAATTCGTGGGTCCGGGATTTCTCATCGCCGTCGCCTACATCGATCCGGGAAACTATGCTACGGACGTCGAAGCGGGAGCGGCCACGAGATATGGTCATTTATTCATCATCCTCATGTCCAATTTGTTTGCAATCTTTCTGCAATCTCTCTGTATCAAGCTGGGGAGTGTCACGGGGCTCAACTTGGCTGAAAACTGTCGGAAACACCTGCCCAGGTGGCTAACAATCATTCTATATTTGTTTGCGGAATCCGCCATCATCGCCACTGATATTGCAGAGGTAAGTCAAGATCTTGAGCGAAAGAGGTCCCCCTTGATACCTCGTCTCTGACCTTAATGCATCTAGGTCATCGGTTCAGCAATAGCCCTCAACCTTCTCCTGCACATTCCTCTAATTGCAGGATGTGCCATAACGTTGGTCGACGTTCTGCTGCTTCTCCTTTTCTATCGTCCGAATGGTTCCATGATGCATCTGCGACTGTTCGAGTATTTCGTCATGAGCCTCGTCCTTGGCGTCATGGTGTGCTTCTGCATCCAACTGTCCTTCATCAAAGACACGACGGCCGGGGAAGTATTCAAAGGTTATCTCCCCTCTGCGGCAATCGTTGAAGGAAACGGTGTCTATCTGTCCTGTGGCATCATTGGAGCCACCGTTATGCCCCATTCTATCTTTTTAGGATCCGGCGTGGTGCAGCCGCGCCTAAAGCAATTTGACCGGCAGCATGGGCACATCCCAGCGGGCGAGCAATCAGACAGTGAAGAGGAGAAATATGTGCCTTCCATCTATGCCATTCGAGCTTGCCTCAAGTATTCGATTGTGGAGCTAGCTTCTTCACTCTTCACTTTTGCCTTGTTTGTCAACTCGGCCATCCTCATAGTCTCTGGAGCGTCTCTTTATCCGGAAACCGCTGCTACGGAGGCCGATCTCTTTGGCATCCACGATCTTCTGAGTACGAATCTTTCCAAGGCAGCAGGCACTATTTTCGCGCTCGCCCTCCTGCTATCGGGCACCTCTGCCGGCATTGTCTGTACCATGGCCGGCCAGATGGTGTCTGAGGGGATGTTGCACTGGACTTTGAAACCCTGGGTGCGCAGGCTGATCACCCGATCCATCAGCATCGTCCCCAGCATTATTATCGCCGCTGCTGTGGGAAAAGATGGATTGAACTCAGCCTTGACTGCAAGTCAAGTGTGCCTGAGCGTCATCTTGCCCTTCGTCACTGCCCCTCTTGTCTGGTTCACCTGTCGAAGCCAGATCATGACCGTGAGGACGGATAACAACGGAGAAGCGGTGAATATGCGGAACGGTTGGATTGTCACGATCCTTGCTACAACTATCTGGCTTGTGCTAGTGGTGATGAATGTGGCTCTGCTGGTTCTTGTTGGCCTGGGGAAAGCGTAAGAGGGGGGACGAAAACGAGGTCTCGTCGATCGATGTGAAAGCTGGTACAGAGTATCATTTCATTCAAACGGTAAAACAAACGACGACGGGACCGAGTTGGCGCTGAAACAGTTCTTCAGGATTGAATGGAGATGTCGGAGGGGGAAATGGGTGCTATGCTAAGCCCTGGAGTATAAATACGTCTAAAGCATAAATAGCTCAGACATGGGTTCATTTTAAGATGTGGCAGTGGTAGGTGAGGTCTCAACAGGGGATTTCATCTTCTTCTTCGCTTCCTCACTCAGCTTATCTGCCTCCTCCCTAGTAGATTCAGGCAGCTGTCCCAATTTTCCCAGCTTATCGAAGAACCATATGCGAAACTGGGTCAAAACTGGGTTAGCCGAGATGCAATGTCAGGAAGAGAAAGGGAATCCCTCATACCCCGTCAAAAGGCGTGCCCATGCCATGGCTGGGCTCGCAGATGAAGATAAAATACACGATCGTCGCCGTGATCAGCGTCTGCTGCAGCAATTTTATGGCCTTGTTCCACCTGGGGCGTGCCCACTTCAACGCGGCCCTCCGTCTGTACGTCTTCTCGAAATGGAACTGTTGCTTGGGGTCCAGGTTGCGGAAATCCGGCGGCCACTTCTTCCGCGCGCGGTACGGGTTGTTCGTCACGCGGAAGGGTGCCGGGGTGTAGGATGGGGCTGGCTTGGGTGCGAAACCCAGGAGCGAGAGGAGCCATGTGTAGGGTGTTAGTCTGGTGCCCGGGATTTCGACTGGCGGGGAGCGGGATTTTGGGTGGGCGTAGAGCGGCCGTGGGGTCGAGAGGGAGGAGAGCACTGAAGGGGATGAGGAGGAGGAGGAGGAGGATGGGAAGGCATCGTAAGAGGTGTCGGGTTTGGACGATGCTGCAGGTGGTGGTGACGGCGCCTGGCGGGTGAAGTTTGACGGTGCGTATGGCGACGAAGAGGAAGCGGCGTAGGACGAGGAATGGCGAGTAGTTGGGACCAGGGAGGAGCGTCTGCAATGGCGCATGAATAACAGAGCGCGAGAGGCTCTGGCTGGTGTCGCCATGTCTGGAGAGCGGCGATGGAGATATGTTCCAATGCTGAAATCGACAAACGAGCAGTGAATTGAGAGGTCTTGATATGGAGACGGACTAACAGATCTTCCGGCCCAATCGGCGGTTCTCAGTTGACCGAGACTTTCACAGTCCACGTGACGGCCCCTTATGGTCGGTGGTCACCAGTGACCGAGCAATGACTTCATTTGCACTGTTGCTCTGCAACATTGCACATGCCTCGGCATCGCATCGCTGGATTGCCAGACGCGCATATGCATATGAGAAAATCGCCCATGGATCAATTTCAAAGTTACCTTGTGACTTGGTGATCATAAATCATTCAGCTCTTTCCCACACTCCCTTTGTCTCTTTTCTTACTTCATATCTTGTCGTTGTTGTTCTGCCACCCCACTCCCTTGTAATTTCTGAAAACCTGCTCTGCAATCCAACATGTCTGCAGGTAAGCCCTCTTCCAGCATCCAGGATCTGACGTGGGCCACTAACATGTGAAACTCTGCAACAGCACAAGCCCGCCTCTCCCAGGTCTCCGGCCACCTCGGTGGCAGCAAGCAATCCATCCTTTCCAAGTCCCCCGACGACGTCGTCGTCACCTGCGCCATCCGCACACCTTTCACAAAAGGCGGCAAAGGTCTGCTCAAGGACACCGCCGCCGCCGACCTTCTGGCCCTCACTTTCAAGAATCTCATTGAACGCTCAGAGATTGACCCGAGTCTCGTCGAGGACATTGCCACCGGTTGCGTACTTGCTCCAGGAGGTGGTGCTACTGAATACCGTGCAGCTGCTCTTGTTGCAGGCTTTCCAGTAACAACGGCTGTCAAGTCCCTGAACAGACAATGTTCCTCTGGTCTGCAGGCATGCGTGGATATTGCCAATGCCATCCGATCCGGCATGATTGAAATCGGGATCGGCTCTGGCGTCGAGAGCATGTCTTCCCAATATGGCCCCGGCGCAGTCACCGAATTCTCCGATCTACTGGAAAACCACATGCAAGCCGCAAACTGCAAGGTCCCTATGGGTGTCCTCTCTGAGCAGATGGCCAAAGACCGCAAGATCTCCCGTGTTGACCAAGACGCCTTCGCAGCCTCTTCATACCAGAAGGCCCTCAAAGCTCAACAGGCAGGTCTCTTCGACGAAGAAATCGCACCTATCACGGTCAAATACACCGATCCCAAGACCGAGGAAGAAAAGACCGTGACCGTCACGAAAGATGACGGCATGAGACCCGGAATCACCGCGGAATCCCTGGCAAAGATTCGTCCAGCCTTTGCAAAGGATGGCTCTATCCACGCCGGCAATGCTTCACAGATCTCCGATGGCGCCGCCGCAGTCTTGCTCATGAAACGCAGCACCGCTGAGCGTCTGGGTCAACCTATCCTGGGTAAATTTGTGGCATCCTCTGTAGTCGGTGTCCCACCCTTGCTCATGGGTATTGGACCTTGGAAGGCTATCCCCATAGCGCTAGAGAAAGCCGGCATCTCCAAGGATGATGTTGATATCTACGAGATCAACGAGGCGTTTGCAAGTCAATGTGTCTGGTGTGTCAAGGAATTGGGCTTGCCCTTTGAGAAAGTCAATCCCAAGGGCGGCGCCATAGCGTTTGGCCATCCTCTGGGGTGCACTGGCGCAAGGCAGGTAAGCACCCTCTTCACGGAGCTGAAGAGGACAGGCAAGAAGATCGGCGTGACGAGTATGTGCGTGGGCACTGGGATGTAAGTTTTGCTTTCTGGGGTTTTTTTTTTCCCTTTCTCCTCTGCTCAGTGGCTTTTTCACTAACGCTTCTCTTTCAACACGCAGGGGCATGGCCGCTGTTTGGGTTGCCGAATAAAAACAAAGATCAAACTAAATCGATCAGCAAAGCGAACTCTCCCCCGTTGGAACGGAAATGAAAAACAAATACTTGCCATACAATGTATGCATCGCCGGCGTACCTCTCATTCCTTTGCAAAACTCCGGCTATCCCGGAAGTCGTTGAGCGATCGCCACGTCCCCTCTGTGTGGCATTCGCGGTGGATTCATTGCTATCAAGGCTATGGGGCGCGGTTTTACTGGAATGGGCTGGGCTGGACTGGCTGGATGCATATAGCGTGCCAATGTAGGAATATCAATCAATCTCTCAACCGACCGACCAATCGATCCAACAGATCCAACAGATCCAACAGATCCAACACCCCGACAGATGAAAAAGACAAATAGAAATACAATACCTGGGTACCAATCTCGTGAAAGGAAAGGCCGTTACGGAAGATTCTCCAACTCGTACCTACTTGTGTTCCTAGGTGGGTATGTAAGTATGTGGTAAGGGACCTTGTGTGCCTTGTGTCCCGTGCCCTGTATTCGTCGTTGTTCCAAGGACGTATGTAGTAACATGGGCCGAGTAAGGGAGGACTCAGGACAAGGCCCATAATACATAGCACATAGCACATTGGCTCCTGATTTGATCTATGGCCTTGCTGAACTACCTGGGCTTTGAATGGGATGTCTGGGCTACGTATCTGAGCAGCCTGAATGAGCCAGCCAGATGAGCTCGTCTCACTGTGTGTCGATGCATCCTCGCATTAGTCCTGACCACTTGCCCCAGCTCAGACATTGTGTGAAGGATCCGTTTCGTTTCGTTTTGGAGCCATCCTAGCTTTCCTTGCACACTTTGACACATGTAAATTACTCCTCCAGCCTCCAGGCCCGTGGTCGTGTCTTCGTCCACCGTCCAGGTCTTTGGATTCAGCTCAGGTCAACCACCGACCCTCATGGGATAATCCTCCCAGCACTAGTGGTACGCTCCTGGGCTTTCATCTTAGAAATGCTTTAGTTGAATGGAGCGGCCCTGTAATCGAAGTTGAATGATGGAGCCCGCAACAGCAAGCAACTGCTTTCCTCCGTCGCGCCTTTTGCATCTCAGCCTGAACTGTCACGTTTGGCCTCTTGTGTGGCGGGTCGTTCTTCATCTCTATGCACTTTAATCCTCACGCGTGCTCAACATCCCATCCGTTCTCAACCCGGCCATCAACGCCCTCAGATCGCTGCTCACCTGCGCAATACTCTCGGCGTTGACCTCCCCAAAACGCGACAGGGAACGGAAAAGTGCCTCTGTTTCTGTCTCATCGGGGTCATGAAATTCTTCTCTGAATCCGGGCGCGCCGCCGTGATCGCTTGCGCTGTCGAATTCCGAAATGGTAGAGGATGAAGAGGAGTCGAAATCAGTGTCCGAAGCGTAGCCTTCCTCGTCGCTCTCCGAGGCCGTTGATAGTTTGGCTTTGACCTTTGACTTGGCAATTAATTTTCCTCTCTTCTTCACCCGCTTTCCCTTGTCCTTCTTCTTCGCCGTGTAATTCTCGCTCTCGTCACTATCATCGCTCTCTTCTTCGTTGCTCTCACCTTGCCAGCCTTCCCCCTCGCTATCGTGCCCTTCAGCCTCCTCTTCGACTGCGGCCACCACATCCTTGATGGTAAGGGCCTTGGGAGCTGGCACCTCATAAACTTCCGTTATCTCGATCCACGTCTTGACCGTGCGTTTCTCGCCGTGGTCACTGGCCTCTCGTTTGACAGAGTGTTGGTGACGCACGCTTCCATAAGTGGTGATCTTGCTCACGTGCTCGGAGAGGTTAAGGCGTGAGAGTTGAGATTTGACATCGCGTAGCGCTGGCTTGTATTTCAGTTGGGGGCAGGTGCCAGTTTTGGTGTGGGTCGACGATTTGTTTTGCTTGCGCCGTGCCTCTGCTGTCAAGGTCTCGTCCTCCGGTCCCACAGCTGAGAGTTGCTCTGCAGAGGGAGTGGTGGCAGGGTGCTCGGCTCGATGAAGATTCGGAAATTGTTGTTCTGATTCGTCCTCAGTCCTGTCCCGTCCTTCGCGCTCTTTCATCGCACTCACAGCACTCGCCGACTCTGAAGTCTCCATTTCTCCGCCCATCATCTTCAAACCCAACTCCCCGGGGCTGACCCCGGGGCCACCTGTCGCCAGCGCACTGTTCGCCCTGCTCCTCATTTCCACAATTCCGAAACTTCTCCCCTGGTCTCTAGCCCACTTCTCTGCCGTTTCCGCATCCTCGCGACTCGCCAGCTCAACGGTGTATTCATTCTTCAACAGTCTCGGCTTCCCACCTCTCGCGACCTTTGCATCTACAAGCCCTTTCTTGATGGCACGAGTTTCCTTTTCGAAAGTATCTCGGTCCATGGCATGCTGAAGGCGATACTGTTCGACAAGTTGTGGGTCAGAGATGCGGTGGAGAGTCGGAAGGGTTGGCATCGAGAGGGCCGCCGCCACTAATTGAGAATGTGTCTTATGGAAGATAGTGTCGGGGGGTGTTGGAGGTGGGGGTTTTAGAAAGCGGCGCGGAGGGCGAGTATCTGTAGTTGCTTCGGTATCGGCTTGGGAGGTAGTTGCGGGTGTGAGATCGTTGTTGATGGAAATATCCTCCTGATCTTGACACTTAGACCTCTCATCAGGCTTGGTGCCGGCAACTATGGCAGCATTGTCCCTCCCCTTTGCTCCCCTGGCCTTTGCAGGCTTGTCTGTTTCGTCATCGTCGCTGCCATCCTTCACTTTGCCTTTCTCCTTTGTCTTCTTTGCGTCTTTCAAAGCCTCGCGCCAATGGTTGATCAACTCACGAGCTTCTTCACTGGCTTCAATCCTAGTGATGGGACCCCAACTGACCTTCTGTACCGGATCAGTAGTCATGGTGACCGCCGTACCACCAGGCATGGGGCATTGGACCGACATAACAGGGACATACTCAGGTCGGCGGGACTGGATGACTCCACTTTCAGATCGGTATCCATAGCGGTCTCTCTTGCTGCGCTTGCGCATATAGACTGGGACTCTCATCCCAGGAAAGACAGCTTTGTGGTATTTGTTGCTAGTCGCGTACTTTAACGGTTTGGACTTGCCATAACCACGGCCACCGCGAGGAGTAGGCTTACTGACTGAGCCTTCGAGTCGGTTGGGTCGAACAGCCTTGGCCTTTCCCTCACGAGTCTTCGTGACACCACGGAAGTTTGGGGTGTCATAAGGAGGCAGACCGGTGGAGTTGATCAAGATTCGACGTCTTACAGGTCTGGTTGCTCCGGCATGACCAGCGCTATGAGCTGGCATCCGGTCATCTTGCTCACTGTCGGTCCCTTGTTCCCAGTTGTTGGATTGGTTGAAGGTGGAGTATGTCTCGCCCATTATCGATTGTGCATGCAAGAGGACGACAGGTTGCTGCAGTAGAGTCTTTCAGGTGCGGCAGTCTGAGAAGAAGATGAAAGGACGAATCGATGTCGCTCGACGTGTTTGTAGGATGACCTTGAAATGTGTCAGAGGTCAACGCATTGAAAAGTTGAGGATATCTAAACGTACCGGAGCTGGAAAAGGAGGAGAATGGCGCAAGAAGTGGAAAGGACGATCCGCAGATGACTTGGACCTCAGGCAGCGCGAAGATGGTTCCGTGCGGTGAGTGTGAATTGTGATGGTGGGAGTGAGAGTCAAGTGAAATTGAAGACAAAACAGCAGTGGTGACGGTTGAAGAGATTCACCTCACCATAACAACTACATGAAAACCGCCAAGAGGAATCAGCTCAAAGGCATATGCCAGTGAGAAGAACACGTGTGATAGTGTCAATGCCTTCATTGTTAGAGTGGATGCCGTCTTCGTGGGCAATGAGCATTCCGTTGACCTTTGGAGATAGAGCTGCTCTGTCCTTCACCATATCCTGTTCGTTATATTCGATATAGCTGCCGCCTCGACATCGTTGAGCACTCTCAGGTACCTATACCATTGATGACCGCGAATGTCTTCGACGAGGCTGTCAGGCATTCGCACACTGTTCGATCTTTGCTCTTATTTCACACTTCATCACAATGTATCCGTAGGTCAATAGCCTTGCCTCTTCTTGGGCATGTACGGCTCCTCGAGATATTGGATGTCGTCCTCGCTGAGCTTGATCTTGCATGCTTCGATCGCCTCATCCATCCTCTCCTTCTTGTTCAAGCCGACAATCGGACAAACATCCTTCTTGCTCAGAGACCAGGCAATCGCAATCTGGGCCATACTCTTGCCCATCTTCTTGGCCACTTTCTCCACTCGTCCCACGATCTCTTCGTCCACTTGGTCCTCTTGTTCGCGGATCCGGGATTTAAGGTAGTGGTCTGTCTTTTCGCGGAGGGTATCCCGATTGCCCCAAGGACGAGTCAAGGCTCCACGCGCGACGGGCGACCACGGCACAAGACCAACGCCTGTGTGGTTACAGTACGGGATCATCTCGTTCTCCTCTTCCCGGTAGAGCAAGTTGTAGTAATTCTGCATCGAGATGAACTTGTGCCAGCCGTGCTTGTCGGCTACATTCTGTAGTTCCTGAAACTCCCATGCAGCCATACTAGAAGCTCCAATATACCGGACTTTACCAGATTCAACGACATCATTGAGAGCTCTCATGATCTCTTCACGAGGTACCGACCGGTCCAGTCGATGAATCTGTAGAACGTCGATGTAGGTGCCCAGTCGCGCGGCGCTCTTATCCACAGCATCAATAATGTGTTTGCGACTCAGACCCATTTGGTTCAGCATATCCCCATCGTTGACCGAACTTGCACCAATGGCGTTGCCAGGAGTGTCTGGAGTCACACCGAAATAGCACTTGCTCAGAATCACTAAGCGTTCCCGGGGAATATTGTACTTCTTGATGGCCTTGCCGATAATCTCCTCGGACCGGCCATGGCTGTACACATCGGCAGTATCCCAGGTTCTGATGCCGACCTTGTATGCATATTCCAGCAAAGGCAACGAGTCTTCTTCATTCAACACCCAACCTTGCCATTCTGGCGTGCCGTAGGACATGGCTCCCCTGTCCCATTTGTTTAGTAGTGCAGAATCAGAATCAGTCCGGGGTGGTAGGCTACCACCTACAGGATGACCTTGGAGACCTTAAGCCCACTCCTGCCGAGGTATTGATATTCCATCCTTGGCGTTTTCAATGACCCTGATCTGGCTGTTAATGAACGGGCGGAATGTTTCCTTGGGGCCGCGTGACTTTATGTGCTCAAGATCCCTGGTGCTGTTTGAATTGGGCTCGACCGGACCTTTTATACGTCGAGTTCCGGGAGCGGCAGCTGCAGAGCAAGTTACTGAGGTTCCCAGGTCGATACGAGGCAGTTGTCGATGGAGGGCATAAGAGAGGCTATCTCCAGCTTTCTCCAGCTCTCTCCAGCCAAGGGCCAATGTCAATGACGCGAACGGGCAAATCGCATGACTGGCGAGTCGGAGCTAATGACAATGGGCCGAGATTCGCTCTTTATCACCGAACAACTCGGCGTCCTTGACGTCCTTGGTGTCCACCGAACAAGCACATGAACATGACAATCGATTCCGCAGTTGATTCCGCTCCTGTTTCTCGCTCCTGGTGCGGCCGCATTGGCCGCGGCAGGGGCTTTGATGCATTTCCGTTTCCATTGAGTTCTGGTAAGAACAATGCCACAAATGTTTTCCGAGACCATATGCGGATCCGATCAAGAATCCGACGTCTCCACTCGGTACAGTAGCACAGACACGTCGGAGTCGTGGAAAGTACTGCAAATGGTTTGATGCGAATATGAGTGGAGACGTCAGGCGAGCTCTAATATAAGCAGTGTGCAGTAGCCCATTCACTTTCCGTCACAGTATCAGACCTCTAAACAGCTACTTCAGTTAGGAGGGGAGTACAATCTCGATGATTTCTACCATGTCGGTGAAATCAATCATGCATCCGTGAACAAATGCGAGTTCTTTGGTTGATAGTCTTTTGACTTGCTTGAAGCTATTGGCTGCCACCAAAGATAAATGCCATGCAAAAAGCCTTAATACATACCCTCCCCACTGGCGGAAGCCAACCCTTATATACACACTTTTTTTTTCTTCTTCGAATCATGCCTTGCGCCACTACCTGCGTGGAAGTATGCAAATCATCATTATCATCGTCTCCCCCCAAATGTCGTAAATCATGCCATGTACTCCCTCACAGCTCCGATGCCTCTCCTCTTCTTCGCTCCTCCTGTCAATGCCTTCGCTGCATTGTCATTCGGCTGGGCATCTCCAAAGCCGCATCCTCCGTCTCTAGTCTGCGCGATAATCGCGCCCGCGCACTTGCCAGTGTTGAATCCACAGCATCCAGAAGCGCAGTCTGCGTCGCTGAAACACTGACCTGTGATGAATTGCGAGCCGTTGGCTTTGCCCACGTTCTGAGAGCCTGGGATGGATGTGTCGATGGTTCCTGACCCAGAGGATGAAGAGCCAGACGTGCTGGTGCCGGTACCAGTGGAGGCAGTGTTCGCTGGGGCCGGCGCCGAGCTGGCAGCCGAGGTGGGTTGTTCTCCGCGAAGGATCCTTGCAGCGTTGTCGTTTGGCTGGGCGTTGCCAAATCCGCATCCTCCATCTCGCTCCTGGGCGACAATGGCACCGGCACACTTGCCAGTGTTGAAGCCGCAACATCCAGAGGCACAGTCTGCGTCACTCGTGCAAGGCCCAGTGATAAATTGCGTTCCAGAACCGACGTTGCCGTTGCTTGATCCCGAAGCAGCGGCCGTAGTAGCGGCGGGGGCGGGAGCCGCAGTTGCGGGTGAGGTTGCGCCTGCTGCTGCAGCTGACTGTGAGCTGAAGAAGGCTTGAGCTGCGATGTCATTGGGCTGTGCATTGCCAAAGCCACATCCTCCGTCCCGCGTTTGCGCTATCACGGGGCCGGCACACAGACCGGAGTTGAAGCCGCAGCAGCTGGAGGCGCAATCAGCATCACTTGTGCAGGGACCAGTGATGAATTGTGTGCCTTGGCCAAGGACCAGCAGTGCCACTGTGAGATAAGTGTCAGCGAACACGTGTTATGATGGGTAGCAATTCAATCGACTCACAGTTGAGTATTAAAAAACAAACGGACGATTTTGAAGGAGTGTTGGTAATCATTTTGAATATGATGTAGCTGAACTGGACCGGCAGTTATTTGAATTGAATGAAAGTGAAATATTGTCAAAGAAGATCAACTGATAGAACACGAGAAGCACAGGATGAAGGAGAGACCAGAATTGGATGGTGAATGGAAAAGAGCGAAGAGCTGCGAGGTGCAGCGTGTATTTGAATCACTCAGTCAGGCATCAAGGACACAACTCACCTTGGACAACCCCTTTTCCATTAGCAAACCAATTCAAGTGGGTGAGCAGGTAAATGGTACGAGGCTGGACGGCTGTAGAATTAATTTCCAATGAGGTGCTGGTGGACAATGTAACCTCAATCCAATCGACAACCAAATCAACAAAGAAGAAGCTGAGAGTCAAACAGGCGAGGGCAAGGCTGAGACGGTGGAGAAGGGGTTCAGCCTCGTCGAGTGTCGCAAGTTGTTTCCATCGGCCCAGGGGCATGCGGGGATCAGCCTGGCGATTGGCCGCCCGTCTATCTTCTGAATCACCAATCGTAGCACCTTTGGGCCCTGTTTGAAGTCGAGTTTCACTTTGTCCACAGAAACTAGTTGGCTTGGAAGAGAATTCACAAAGCGTGTGGTGTGGCTGGGGAGGTACGGAGTATGGGGTACGTACAAACTCAGCAAAATCGCTCATGACAGCCTTGGCCAGAGCATCCTTTTTCCCACAGCGCGTCATAAAACAGTTGACGATTTTGGGGACCAAGGCACACGCCAAAGCTGCCATTTCATCGACGGTGCAGGCGTTTCAAGATAGTCCACGGGGAGATGGCATGATCCTTCGCCAATCGATCGACCACCCCTGCTGTCACATGAACCGAGCTTCAAGCGATCAACGTGTTGCCCCTGGAGTTGTTTCTGCAGGAAATTCTAGATGGAAACAAAGGTAGGTGGCAGGCAGGCATTGGAGGGAGTACCCCAGTACTGGGCAATAACCTCCCTGTACTCGGTACTCGGTATTTAGCCTGAGACCTAAGTAGGTAACCTTACGTTCTAGGTACAGTAAGAACAGGGTGCTTATCGGTGCCTTTCGACCTGCCTAGGTAGGCACGTGTCGCCTCTTGGGGCTGCCCAAGGGGGCTTAACTCGTCTTTCGGGCGGTTGTTATTGCCTAACTATCCTAGACCATCCCCGCTGGTGCTGGGCTGGTGAGGCTAGTAGGCTCTGGCCTTGGCGCCCTTAGGCTCCTCGGAATCTGCCTCTCAAATCTACCTAGTATCCTACTAGTCATCACAATGCAATTCTTGTAACGCCCACAGCACGCCAGACTCGTGTTAGGATGGCAAGCAGGATCCAATCACACAGAGTCCAACGGCACGAGACCTTGCGGAAGCTTTGGGCCATACCTGAGAATGCCATACTGCTAACGCATGACGGCGATGACACGAGTGACGACATATCAAAATTGACCATCTCTCGGCCAGCACTACAAATATGGCCTACCAACTCTGCCCGGCGCCCATCGACAATGATGGCTCCCGGGAAAGCAGACCGCGCGGGCATTGGTTCAAGAATGATCGAGGGGGAATAGCTCAATCATGAAAAGGGCCTTTAAACCGAGCCGCAGCCTCTTGTGAATCGGCCAAGCGGTTCGGCGGCTCTAACTACCTTACTTTCTGTCCTTACACCCTAAAGTTCGTGGGCAGGTGAGTCTAGACATCAGGACGCATTAGGCCAGAAATTCAGGAGGCAGATTGCAATTGTTGACGGCTCCAACGCAACCCAAGGAGCCAGTGAACTGCTGGCATAGCGGGAGAATTGCAGTTGACTTTTGATGACATAGATTCCAGCCCATTCGTGATGGTTTATCAACCAACAACTGAAGGTTGGATCCCATCCACGGACATGTGCACACTATTCGATATCTAGCATTCTCGGCGTCTCTCGTGTTCTACTTCGATTAGCGGGCTTGTCCGATCGAGGCAAGACATGATAGATAAACGATGAGTGTGCTGTTGTCAGGCGACGACAGTTGCCGACGTCGCATATCGTCCTCTCGACGATGGATATCATCAGGGCCAGCCCTGACGGCTACCAGGAAGTCAAGACAGGGTTAGGATGGCGACGGGTCCTCTCCCCATCCAGTACAGAAGCCACATTCAGCCTCCCCGTCATTGACATCGGTGATATACATCATCAAGATCGAGATCGTCGAAGGCTTGTGGCTGAAGAGATATGCCATGCCGCAGTCAATGTGGGTTTCTTCTATGTCAGTAACCATGGTGTCCCGGACGAGGTCATCAAATCGATCTTTTCAGAATCCAGGCGCTTCTTCCATGAACTTAGTCTCGAAGAGAAAATGCAATATGATACAGAAAAGCACGAGCACTACTATGGCTACTATCCAATCAATCTTGACCCCACTCTGCCTGCAGGAGCAAGTACGTCCCTTCACTCCCCCAAGACCGGCATTCCTCACAATTTCTAGAATTAAATGAAGGCATTAACTATGGATACGAACCCTCGACCGACCCTGAAGCTGTCACTTCAGAGAACAATGGCGACAACTGGTGGCCCTCAGAGAAACGTCTTCCTGGTTACGAGAAGAATGTCAAGACGTATATGTCTCATATGCTCGCGCTAAGTCGATCTCTGCTTCGAATGTTTGCACTTGGCCTCAATCTGGAGGAGCATTCATTCGACCACCTAGCTACTAGACCATACTCAATTCTCAAGATGGCACATTACCCTGGGTCGCTTTCTGGATCAGAGGAACCATCATCAATTCGCCCTCATACAGACTACGAGCTCTTGACAATTCTTTTACAGGACGACATTCCCTCTCTCGAGGTATTGTCCAATACTGGGCGGTGGATCCAGGCGAAACCGATTCCGGGTACATTTGTGGTCAATATTGGAGATTCTATGGCGATGCTCACCAACGGACTCTTCGTGTCCACCATGCACAGAGTACTGAACCTCTCAAAACGAGATCGGTATTCAGTTCCCTTCTTTCTAGGCGGTCAGTGAATTGCATCGGTTATTTCAATGCTTTCTGCTGACTCATTGTAGCAAACCAAGAGGCGGAGTTGAAGGCTCTTGAGCAATTTGTCACGTCTGATCAGCCTGCGAAGTTCCAGCCCATGACTTCTGGGGAATACGTTCGTCGATCTCTACAAGCAGTGTATTCAAAACCGCACATCGAGATCATCCGAGAGACGATTGAGCTGAGCGGATAAAAGACGCTCGCCGGGCATGTCCGCTTGAGTCCTGTTGAATAGTCGCTCATGTACAAAACAGTCACTGCATCTGTTGGCTTTCACAGTCACATTGTGGTGGTCCTTTTCTAAATGAGTTCTTCAGCTGGCAATCGTCACAAAATCTGCGGACGTGAAAGCGAATTTTATGTTCATCTTTTGTGTTAAAGCCCTTTTGCAGCTGTGGCCCCCTCGTTGTGTCGCCTGTACAGTACTGCATGACGAATAAGTGCCGGAGGAGCGACATGGACCTGATACCGATACCAAAACAGACGCAAGGTTCATCTTGGTCGTCAGCCGCCAAAGGATCCTCGGCGCGGTGATTAGCCAAATGTTCTCCAGTACATTCCTGCGTCCATCCTATCCTCAAAAGGTGCCGGCGACTGAGAGCGACTGAGACCGAGTACTCTCCCTACCCTTTCGACAGGCCATGTCACCTGTAGAATTCCATCCGTATTTGAATGGGATGCGGAGTATAGAAGCTGCTCATCCCCCCGTGTTCCATGATCTGCCATCGCAAGTGCTGACCCCCGCGAAGGCCAGGCCCACCGCCTTTGTACTCTTAGCACCCATGCCTCAATCTGCTCCTCTAGATCCTTTTATCAGGCCATCAAGCGCGCTCCTTACAGATGATTCGTTCTCTTTTCCGTATGATCAACCCTTAGGCAGGCCATTTCATCCAGCTCATGCACTCATGGCTATGTAGTGTCCGAACGAGGCAGAAAGGGATGCCCTGTATTAGGCGACCAACTGTGAAACCCACACTTCCCATGCAGAGGGGCTGTACCTCCTGCCCGTCATCACACGCAGACGCGTACTACTCTCAGAAGCTGAGCATGGCACTCTAAAAGCCCTCGGATCCTCGCGCCCAAGGTATTCCAACCTTTGCTTTGCTTTTTTTGGTTGAAACATCCGTCCATTGTCAGATGCTGAAAGCAAGATGGTCGGGCAAGCATCCACGGCCATTCCTCCAAACAGTCCAGTTCCAGTTGGGGAGCAAAAAGCCCAGGTTAACGCGGCGACCCCAGATCAGGTCAATGGCGCCCACCCACATCTCGCAAGGGCTGCTGCTCAAGCCGCCATGAAGATCCAGCAGAAGTACGACGAAGAGCGGCAGAAGCGAACACGGCCAGACGGCGATGCCCAGTATGTTGATCTTGCACTATCGGAACAGTTCAAGCATTATCGAGAGGACCCCTGGCTCAACGAGCGGTCGGAGACCGTGACCATCCGCAACGGCGAACACGTCAAGTATCTCATCCTGGGAGCGGGCTGCGGTGGTCTTCTGTTCGCCATCAAGCTCATCAAAGCCGGCATTACGGCGTCTGAGATCCGTATGGTCGACGCGGCGGGAGGCGTCGGAGGCACGTGGTATTACAACCGGTATCCAGGACTGATGTGCGACATCGAGTCATACTGCTATCTCCCTCTCCTCGAGGAGATGGAATACATCCCGAAACATAAGTACGCCTATGGCTACGAAATCAGGGAGTACTTGAACGCCGTCGCTGACAGATATGGACTCTCGGACACGGCAATGTTCCGAACAAACATCAACGCCCTCGTCTGGGACGAACCCAGCTGCCAGTGGAAAGTCAACATGGCCAAGGAACGCAACTCAGGTCCTCCTCTCGAGATCGAAGTTACTGCCCAGTTCGTCATTGCGGCGTCTGGCCTTCTTTTGCATCCGAAACTTCCTGCCGTTTCTGGAATCGAGAACTTCAAGGGCGCCTCATTCCACACGTCGCGCTGGAACTACTCTATCACTGGCGGCTCTGAAGATGATCCCGCCCTTGACGGGCTCTCCGGCAAACGTGTCGGCATAATCGGTACAGGTGCTACGGCGATTCAAGCCATTCCGCACCTTGCCAAACACGCCGGACATCTCGTCATCTTTCAACGGACTCCTTCCTCTGTTGACACACGCGGCCAGCGCCCTACTGACAAGGACACGTGGACTTCCGTTGCCTCTCATCCTGGCTGGTGGAAAGAGCGGAATCTCAATTTGGCCGCCCACCTTTCCGGCGCAACTCGACCTGCCGACATCAACCTCGTCAACGATCAGTGGAGCCGCTGCCGCTCATACCGTGGCCTGGTCGGCGGGCCTGATCCGCCGTATTCGGTGGAGGAGATCCCAGCTTTTGTGGCTTCTCTGCACGCTCTGGACATGCCACGTGCCGAGAGGCTCCGCCAGCGAGTTGATGAGATTGTAGAGGACAAAAAGACTGCCCAGGCCCTCAAGCACTGGTACAGCAGTTGGTGCAAGCGACCAACATTCCATGACGACTATTTACCGTGCTTCAATCTCCCGAACGTCGAGCTCGCCAACACAGATGGAAAGGGTGTGGATCGTCTGACGGCCACTGGAGCCGTCGTGGGTGACAAGGAGTACCCGTTGGACATTCTGATCTTCAGCACGGGCTTCCGCGCCCCTGGAATCGGCAGCCCTGCTTTCCGCGCCGGCATGGTAAGGTGCCGTTGCCTGTTTCGCTCTTAGCAAAACCATGGCCATTAAGCCCCATCATTGTCTGCTGCAGACTAACAAGCATCCACAGAAAATCACCGGCAAGAACGGCAAAGACATGGACGCAAAGTGGCAGGAGGCCGTGGCCACGCTGCATGGATCGATGACACACGATTTCCCCAACTTCTTCATGCCTGGCCCCTTCCAAGCCGGTGCAACAGGCAACCAGAATTTCACGCACGACATCATGAGCAATCACGTCGCTCAGATCATCGCCCAGGCTCAGGCAAAGTATCCGGGCCAGAGGGTGGTGATCGAGCCGACGGTAGAAGCGGAAGAGATGTGGACCGGAGAGATTCTCAAGAGAAGCACGTCATTCGCGGGCATGGCGGGCTGTACGCCGGGTTATTTGAACGGGGAAGGGATCATGGACGCCATGCCGATGGAGGTGAAGATGAAAGCTGCCAGGATGGGCATCTGGGGCGAAGGCATCGAGAGTTTCATGAACACGCTTGAGGCTTGGGAGAAGGATGGTAAGCTGCAAGGGTTGGAGGTGAAGCCAGTCAAATAAGTACATGAGTGGCGTTCAATTCCTGGTTGGAAGCCTTTCGAGGCAGACGACGGAGCTGGCCCCCGGCCACGAAGGTGACCGAATGTCAGCGGCAGCAAAAGAAAAGTCGGAGATAAATAAAAAGGGAACAGACTCGCCCCTTTTCGCCCCTTGTCGCCCACGCCTGCTCATGCAACAAAGGTAAGTATTGAACGGGCAAAATAACCAGTTAGAGAGACTTACAGAATGCTGTCTTCTGACCCACTTTTCGAGAGCTTGCGTAGGGCTCATGTATCCAGTGCGTAACAGGTATCTTCGGGCTACGGGATAGCAGCCTGATTTGTATTCGCTCCGTGGTCAATAGTCAATTGGCAAGCCTCTTGGGCTTGTTGTCGACGTGACAGCCTTCAAACGTCGCCCCATGCTCAACCATAAGCTCGACAGCATTGACGAATATTTCTTCTTCTGCAGCTGTGAACGGCGTGACGCAGATGTCTCGCGAAGCAGATCCTTGGTCAACCGGGGCGCCGGCATCCAGCGAGATTTTAACCACGTCGACGAGGATTTGCCCCATGACATCTTGGTCGTCCGGCATGCTTCTCTGTGAATTAGCAGTGACAATGGATGTATCTGCTCTCGCGTGAATGAGCTTGGTGTGCTGCTCCACCTGTCTCTGCGAACTGAGCGAAAACGACCTACATTCGGGTAGAGGGCAGCGAAAATTGCGGTCGTGCATTGCCTCGAGTAGTTTTGGCGACTTTAGACGAAAGGCCGACCCGAGCAAAACAACAGTCGATCTGTTCGCATTTGAACAGGAGCGGGGCCATAATGTCTCTCGACTTGCAAGCAGGGACAGCCTTCCGCGTGTGCAGGCCCATTACAGAGGAGCATCTTGTAATGGCTCTGAAATCCCGCCCAGGAATCGAAAAGTGTGAGCGTTTCTGTCTCCGCCGATTATGAGGTAAGAACGCCCAAAACACCCCAGAGGTCTCTTAAGCAACTCCTCGTTGAAATCTGCGGAAGATTGCAAGTCTCTGAAATGTTCCTCCAATGCATCTATGATGGAAGGTCGCAACTGTTTGTCCTCGTAAAGTGGCTGGGAGATCTGGGAGTGTATCACTTGGATCCAGCCTGTGTCCTCCCTGTGTCGTAAACGCGAGAAGACGGACAAGATGTTGTTCCCGACTCGCTTCAGTATCTCTACTACACTGGCTGCAAGATGGAATTTCCTTTGGGAGGTAATTAGCTTCATGAAGCATATTGGGACAGAGTGTTCTTCTTTCGCTGCAGCAGCTGCAGCAACAGTTGCCGCCATTTCAACTTTGTCTTCTTCCAGCGCAAGCTCTTCCTACCGCACCCGCAGCTCGTGAACACTCACTCAACATAACAACCTCTTTCTGGAAGGTCTGTTCTTGAAGGTCCTCCAGAGATGTCCTTGCATTGATAATAAAATAAGATCATTCGACTCCCATATATTCTGACCCCCATAGCTGACAAAAAATCATATACTCGACCAAATGGGGACGAGCCTGAAAAAGTCCCCAATCTCACAGCCTTACGCCACTGCTGACTCGAGCTCACCGTCGCAATCCAATTCTCTCAGCGACTTTGAGATATGTTTTGGACTGGTTTGTTATCCCGAACTTCTGTGGAGAACGGTACAACTGAGTTGCCGGATTAGATCCGTGGAGGCCGTATCAAGTTGACAAGGGCCGCCATAGCCAGCGTTTGTCATGATCGGCGTGAGATTTCTTTACCTGCTATCGGCAACAGCTTCGCTGCATATGAGAAGGTTTGCGGACTGTACCTTGGTCTCCTCAACGGTGACATTGCAGAACCTTTATGGGACGCCCGTAGGGCTTTGGAAATGCGACTAGTGGCATGCTTGGTCGTTATCCCTGATAGAATGAAGACGGTCGAACTCGAGACACGCACAATTGGCATTTTCGTTTATGTCTCTTCTGAGGATTTTGTGCATATTGGTGACGGACTCTGCCAGCGTGACATGTTCTTGCAACTTCTGAGACATGTCGGAACCGCCCGTGGCACCTACCGAAACCCTCAATACCGCTTAACCCCAGCTTCAGCAGTTCCAGATCTGTTAGAAATATTAGTATCTTTTTCCGAATCCCCGGCACTGAACTCACCGGAGAAGGGAATTCTGGCACAAGGATGAACCTGGCAGAGGACAAAAGGAGCAAACGAATGAAGGCCGACTTGCATAAACATCAATGCAAGGCTTTGGCGATAATGTTGGAAAAAGGACAGGGGTGGGTTGAGAAACCAGACTTTCCAACTCTATGGAAGCCCGTCAATGGCCTCGCGGGAAACATCACCTACAGAAATGTAGTCGACGGGCAGTCTGAACAAATCCACCTGTTTGCTTAGGCGGCTTGTTGGTCGACGACATGGGTATTGGCAAGACCCTGACGACAATAGCTTCCGTGGCGAACTCGTTGGACTCGCTTCAGAATGACCCAGACAGTGTGGGTTCGGATCTAGGCCGAGCTGCTGAGAACCTAGGATTGTCCTCGACATTGATTGTATGCCCCAAGGCCACTCTCCATTCCTGGGATCGACGGTTCTCTGAGCATGTCGATCCCTCATTGGTCCACGACTAGCAGCCAAAGGATACATATTTAAGAGGATAGACGGTTAAGTGGCCCAGCAAACGTAGCGGAAAGCAATCCAGGTGTTCACGGCCAACTCAAAATGTACAGGTACTTCGTTGAGGGAAGCATAGAAAAAGTAGTTTCCCCATTCTCCGCGCCTGAGCCCGATATCGAGATCAGTGCCTTTTCGATGATACCATCCACATCGAGAAATCGCCTGCAGAGAAGGATTTCAGTATTGTGGACATAAATAGCGTGTCAGACCATGACATTATCCCTACGGCCTACTCAAAGACCTAAAACATAGAGGCGCAATGCAGGGCGAGCAACAAGGATGCACACCTAATCGTACCACACTGCCAGCAGGTTTTCCGGTAGGAGCGATTCGGTGGTCTTCTTATGTGGCTCAGAGAAGGGACCCATGTACGTAGACCCTGGCTACACGTATCAACGGATATTCGATTCTCTTCAGGACAAGACTTCCGGTGCCGTCGACATAGCCTGATCCCTTGCGCTTATAGTCAGCATGCAAGGCTAAAAGAGGAGAGACATTCAAACACACTTGTACAATATATTAAATCTATTGATGCGGCGAGTGAGTGTTGGAGGATCTCTCCCACACAAATAGCCTCCAATGCCAAGCAATTCGGTAAGTTGATTTTCCGATAGCCGACTCGTCGAGTTCAAAATTAAGTACCGAGTACGAAGCGACGAGACCGTGAGGTTGGCAGCACCTGGTAGCACGGGCAACAAGAGGTGATTCACTATTAGATTTAAGGTGACCATTACTCGGTATCTAGAATATGTGAGCCTTTTCCGGTGGTTGAGTCAATGGAATTCACGAAGGTTTCTCCCTGCAGATGCCTGCAGTGAATGGTCGGCCATTATGCCCACGATAAGGGGCTAAGAGCAGCAAATGGCTTGCTTTGTTCGCAGAGGAATCGGAGAGATTTCGGAGAACGAGACAGTGGCAGCTCATCCAAGCCGGCAACGCCGCTTATTGATCGATTCCAGCGTCCGGGAAGTGGCAGCATCAGGAACCAAAGCTCAATAACGATCGTGGAGAGCTATCGAGATCTCTCTGCATATGATAATTCCTCTACAGGAATCTTCTGAAGGCGATGGAGGGTGAGATCCACGGTCTCCAATCATCGAAGATCTCGAAGTGAACACCTCACAGGCGCTGGCAACCAGTAACTTCGGGTCACCAAGCCTCGAGCGCCTTGGGCTGATAAACTAGCCGGAAATGGGCCTACACAGTGGCCCGGGGTTGATGCATTATATGTTTACCGACATCCATTATCTTCCCTCGACACCTTTTATTTCCACCAACGACCTCCGGAAAATATGTCGCCCATGATCCCATGAACGCACCTAATATCAAAGACACAGACTTGCCCACAGGCATCGAGCCCTTGCGACAGTCCGTCGTTCCCTATATTGGCACAATAACTACGGAGCCAGAGTATTCTAGAGCGCCAGCCACACATCTACAACCTCTCTCTCCTCCGCGGTTCGCCAATGTTGATGCGCACTTTTATTCCAGCCTGTCGCCGAGCGACGCCGGACATGATCGGCAACAGATACCGGGACAACTAGATTACTACTTCCAGAGCCCTGACCACGCGGCTGAATTGGCGGCCAGGGAAGAGAGGCGGAAACGCAATACCGCCGCCAGTGCAAGGTTTCGAATGAAGAAGAAGCAGAGGGAAGAGGCCTTGGAACGGAAAATGAGCCAAGTACAGGATAGGAACGCGAAGCTGGAGGAGAAAGTCGATCAGCTGGAACTGGAAAACAAGTGGCTGAAGGATCTAATCACGGAGAAGAACAAGAAGCCTGTAAGCGATTACGGAGAGCGCGATGACGATCTTGGAACATCAGAACGGTGCCTACCGTCAACGGAGCAAGCGGAATGGGTCACGAAGAATAGAGTCTGAGGGTCAGATCCTTTCCTATATTATCGTACAACTACAACTCTACGGATATTTGAAGGGGGCGGGCGGGAATCTGTGTCTGGTCAAAATACAATGCAGAAAGCCCAAGTAGTGCCCGGCGGTCGCATTGAAAGTTGGAAATAGGTTGATGCAAGGTATGGGAAGCATTCCATTTCGCACGAATGCCTACTGTTAGTTTGACGACGAACCTTTTCCTGGCGCATGTCCACCAGTCGAAGAGGGTCGATTTGGCTCTGTTTCGCAATCACGGATGCCATTCTCGGTGCATTGGGACCAGGTCTGAAGTCGCCATCAGGACTGCAGTGAGGATTGGAGTTGGCGGTCTGATCACGCCATTCTGTGGGACAAGCACGTCTGAGCAGCCTTGCAGGTCGCAAGCCACCCACCACCCCTACGAGTTAGGAGCCCAGGAAAGAAGCATCTGGCCTTGGATCCGGTGCAAGCTCGGCGACGCTCACAATTTCACCGCCTCGATTTCTTAACGGGTCTGTCTCTGCCACGTGCAACTGCTTGAGTGACGACTCCAAGTTTGCAAGTCCATGGAACACAGTCTCCCATATAATAGGAGTGCCTCTGAAGCAGATATCGGCAACTGATCCCACCAGAGGAAAACGCAATGACCTGGTGGAAGTCGTCGCTACTTGTGCTACTCGTAGCCGCTGGGGGAGGTCTGGCCAAGGACTTCAGCAGCAGCAATGGGGCCAGATCGCAGCAACCTCTCGTCTCCGACCGACCCTCGAATGCCAGGCCGAACATCGTCTTCATATTGACAGATGACCAGGACCTTCATATGGACTCGCTGTCTTATATGCCTCGTGTGAAGGAGCATCTCATTGACCAGGGCACGTTTTTCAAACGCCACTATTGCACCATCGCCCTGTGCTGCCCGTCGCGGGTGAGTCTATGGACAGGCAGGGCAGCCCACAATACCAATGTCACCGATGTCAATCCCCCATATGGTTTGTTTTCTGTGTTGGCTCTAGAATTCTTGCACAGTCTCTAACTAGGAGCCTCCTTAGGCGGCTATCCAAAATTCGTCAGTCAAGGGTTCAATGAGGCATGGCTTCCAATCTGGCTCCAAGATGCCGGCTATAATACGTATTACACAGGGAAACTGTTCAATTCCCACAGTGTGAGAAACTATGACTCTCCATTTGTCAAAGGGTTTACAGGCTCCGACTTCCTTCTTGATCCTCACACCTATGAGTACCTGAACGCCAGTTTTCAACGCAATCAAGAGCTACCGGTGAGCCATGAGGGAGAGTATTCGACTGATGTCCTTGCCAGGAAGGCGTATGGGTTCTTAGAAAATGCTGTCTCTGAGCGGAAACCATTCTTTTTGGTAATCGCCCCCAATGCTCCCCACAGTAACGTCAAATTCGAGGAAAATTGGTTCAATGGTAGTGCCTCAGCTCACACGATCGTGACCACCCCTCCCATCCCGGCAGAGAGGCACAAATATCTGTTCCCGAACGCTGTCATCCCACGCACTCCAGGCTTCAATCCAGACGAGGTGAGTTGATACCCCTTGACCCTTTTGCAAGCTTCGAACTAAAGACTAGAACCTAGCCTCACGGCGTTTCCTGGGTTAGCAATCTGCCTAAGCAGAACCAGGCTAATGTTGATTTCAACGACGAGTTCTATCGTGACCGCCTACGTGCTCTCCAAGCGGTTGACGAGATAGTGGATGGTGTCATCGCTCGCTTGACAGAACATGATCTTCTCGAGAACACTTATGTTTTCTACTCGACCGACAACGGCTACCACATCGGCCAACACCGGCTGCAGCCGGGCAAAGAATGTGGCTATGAAGAAGACATCAATATACCATTGATTGTACGTGGTCCGGGGATACCAAGAGGAAGCTCCAGCGATCTTGTCACTTCCCATACCGACCTCGCGCCTACCTTCTTATCTCTTGCTGGTGGACAAACTCGACAAGATTTCGACGGCAGGGCTATCCCCTTGACCACCAATCAACTTGATGACAATTCTGACATTCGCGGAGAGCATGTGAACATTGAGTATTGGGGCTTTGCGCTTGCAGAGGGCAAGTACGGGAATGCGATGTACTGGAACAACACCTACAAGGGGCTCAGAGTGGTCGGCATCAACTATAATCTCTATTACAGTGTCTGGTGTAGCGGCGAACACGAGCTCTACGACTTGAGAGTATGCATTTTTCTCCCTTCCATTGATTATGATTCTCTATGAGACTTTTCCAGGACTGACACCACCCTCAGACCGATCCCTACGAGATGCATAATCTGTACAAATCGAATTATTCGTCAATTTTCCATTTTCCAGTCACAGAATCGGAGACTCGATCGACCACAACTACATTGCAGCATCTTATCTCTCGCCTCGACTCGCTCGTCATGGTCCTGAAGACATGCAAAGCACGGAGTTGTACTCACCCATGGGAAAGTCTCCATCCCGACGGCGATGTCGATAATCTACAAGATGCTCTTGATGCCCGTTACGATGACTTTTATGAGCTTCACCAGCAAAGAGTCCGGTTCGAAAAGTGCGAGAAGGGTTATATATTGGAAAGCGAAGGTCCGCGGCATGTCAAGGCATTTCCCCTTAGTGATATTGGACCCAGGGGAGGCGTGCAGTGGAGTGAGCTTGTATAGAATGTGATATCGCATAGAAGGGGCACAACAGAGGTATCCGGCTGATCGGCTCGGCACTCTACACATACATAAATTCGCCATCTATTAGACGAAGGCATTCGAGGACACTTGCCCCTGCTTGTGCCCACGTCAAATTGGCTTGTGGCGGAAATGCCCACAGAGACACCGAGACCGGGAGACGACTGCCATGCGCATTGAGGAGGTACATATGACTAGCGATGCTTGATGCTTGATACGTGCTCGCTTCGTGATCTTGCGTGATCACGAGGCGGATCCGTCCTTCGGCTGGCATCTCCCGTCAGCCTAGTACAACCTCGTATTTCGTGTCCTCCTGTTGACCGACCTTTTGGAATTCTCCAACGCGGAACTCTGGGTGGATATCGGTGTCGCTCGCACGCAGCGGGAGAAAACATGTTTTGTTTAGGTGACTCTCGCCCACGCGAGATCACGGTAATCGACTACAATGGGCGACATTGCTGCGGATGAGACGACGGCGCTGCTGGAGCATCATGCCGAGTCGTCGGACTTTGAGCAGCAGTCATACAGGACCTCATTGCGGCGACACTCGTCCGCCAACCTCCCTCCATATCACGAAGACCCTACGCCTGCGGCCGAACCCTCGTCGACGCTGACCATCTGGACAATTGTTCCTGTCTCCCTGCTTGGTTTGTCCGGAGAAGGAGCCCGCACATGGGTGAGACCACGGCCTGCTAATTTTGGCCCCAAGGTGTTTTCGTCGCCAACCTCGATGGCAGCCTGATCATCGCATCAAGCCAACAAATTGCCTCCGAGTTCAATGCTCTGTCAAGTGCGTCGTGGCTAGTCACCAGCTTCGTGCTTGCCCTTTGTGCCAGTCAACCCCTGGTAAGACACCCTCCCAAAGGCAACCCAGTCAAGCCTCTCCTGACCTGTGTCTCCAACCATAACAGTACGGGAAGTTGAGCGACATATTTGGCCGACGAAGTAACCTAAGCGTGTCCTATATTTTCTTCGCAGCAGGATGTTTCCTTTGGTGCGTGCCTCCAAGGTTTGAACGTGGCGAGCGTCCATGCTTACAATCCCGCAGCGGTATCGGTCAAGAATACTGGCATGTAGTTGCTGGGCGAGCCATATCGGGCATTGGAGGTGCTGGAATGACGGCGCTGGTGTCTATCATCATTGCTGGTGCGGCCGCTGTTCTTCTATCAATATACGACACTCATCTAACTCCTGCAGATGTGGTTCCCGTGAGAGAAGTCGCAAGCTGGCGGAGCTACGTCAACATCGCTGCTACGACAGGGCGAGCTGTTGGTGGTCCACTGGGTGGCTGGCTCTGCGACACAATCGGTTGGCGATGGTGCTTCTACGGCCAAGTGCCTCCCACGATCCTTGGACTCCTCCTCATCCTTTGGAAGTTGCCAAACAGAACGCGAAAATCAGTCAAACCTGTTGAAGAAGCTTCCTTCAGGCAAAAGCTCAGAAGGGTGGACATGGCGGGCGCTGTCACCCTGATCGCTACGATCATCAGCTTCCTTCTCGCCCTGGAATTCTTGAACGGGGATCTTCCGATTGCCTACACCGTTGTCCCCACGGTTCTTTGCCTGGCGTTGACGACTCTCTTCTACCTGACCGAGAGCCGATGGGCCAAAGAACCGATCCTGCCCATCGAGCTTCTCACCAGCCGAGCAACCCTGACGGCATATCTCCTGGCGGGTCTGCAGATGACAGCCCAATTCAGCCTCTTCTACTCGGTCCCCATATATTTCCAAATCATTTCAGGCTCGAGCGTCGGCGACGCTGGGCTCCGCCTTGTCCCAGCCGTCGTGGGCAACGCTACCGCAGGCCTGTTGGCAGGTTACACCATTTTAAAGACTGGTAAATACAAGCTTCTTACCCTCCTCGGCAACGCGGGAGGGTGTCTGGGCTATCTGGTGGTTCTCCTCCGCTGGCGTGGCGCAATTCACCCGGCAGAAACGCTGTACTTGTTTCTCGGTGGCTTTGCCTCGGGCACGAACCAGTCGACGACGTTCATCCACCTCGCAGCGAGTCTGGAACAGAGCGAGATGGCCATCGCCGGCACGACCCTGTATCTGTGCCACAACTTGTTTCTTCTGATTGGCATCCAATTTTCCACCGCCCTTCTTCACGCTCGGCTGAGAATCAGTCTAGAATCCGGCCTGGAGGGTGTCAAACACAAGTCAAAAGTATGTGTTGTATTACTATCTTGTTGCTAACATGGATTCATCCCGCCCCATCCGACACATACTTCCCTCCCGTTCTTACCCTTAGCTTTTATTGAGACAACAAAATAGTCGCCGGGTCTGACTAACACAATCTCACATCGGAATGTAGATTATCGAGTCCGCCGTCTCCAGCGTCGATTCCATCCGGCACCTACCGCCACGGATCAGAGATATAGTCGTGCGAGCCTACATCGATGGCTTGAGCTGTACCTACGGTAAATGAATTACCCCCCTTCTCCCTCAAACCCACCCATCCCGTCTGGAGAAGGAAAACAGGAAAACAGGCCACGAAGCTAGTTCTGAGAAAACCTCTCGACTAATATATCGACTGAAATACAGCCATGTCCTTAGCTTTTGCTTTCTTGGGATTGTTGGTCGCAATCACGATGAGGGAAAAGAGATTATAGATCGGGCAAGAATGATTCCAAAGAAAAGAAGAGGGGCGCGGTTTCACCAAAAAAAAAAAAAAAACGAAAAGTCATCAGGAACGGATTATATAGGCTGACTTCTCGAGACCCAAAAAAGAGGTGCGATGGGCACTAAATTTGAGAGGCTCTGACTGAAAGCACAACCTGACAACGAGAAGACGAACAAGGACGGATCCGGGAAATGTATAGATTGACAGACAATCACGATGCACAATGCACAATGCACAATGCACGGACGAACGGTCCACAAATCACGCGGAAGGGCTCGAGAGGTAATATCCATTCATTTGCTCCGTATATGCTCTATATCTAAAACCCCGAGCCCCGAGCATGGAGCTAAGAGCTGAGGGCGAAAGCAGTTCTATCGTGGACACTAGAGCCAGCAAATATACCCCTCTGTCGAGCAATGGACGGCGGATTTTTTATGTCCGTTTCCCCCCTTCGCCTCCGCTTCAAGCCATGGACGAACTCGTCAAACAAACAAACGGAATCGCTCAGCAGGGGATCTATCGTCTACACAGGATGGCATTCCCCACTACGCACAAGGCAAGGCCAGGGGAGTCGCTCCAAGGGCGCAACTTCAACTAGCCAGACGGGGTGGTTCTTCAATGAGCGAATCTGAAATCCAGCCTCTTGTTCCCCTTATCGTCGGTGGTGCGGAGGTATTCGAGCCTCTCTTCGCGGGTCATGGCGTTCCAGAGGGCGTCCCTCTCGGCGTTTTTGCGGACGTAGTAGATCTTTGCGCCGATGAAGACCACGATGTTCCAGGCCAAGACGCCCAGCAGGGCCTTGTTGCCCGTGTAGTAGTACGGCGCGTCGGCCTGGCGGTAGATCTGCGACGAGAAGATGTTGGACGTCTGCACGGCCATGTTGTACAGCGAGGAGCCGACGGTGCGGGTACGCACGGACCCGGCGTTGCGCGACGTCAGCGCCACGAGGATCGCGTGCACGTAGGGATAGCCCACCAAGAGGGTTGAGAGCGTCCACTTGGACCAGTTGGAGCCGTGGAAGTGCGGTGGTAGCGTGACCAGGGCAATGAGGAGCGGGAGAGACCAGATCTGCGAAATCACCCCGAGCAGGAGTCGCTGGTTCAGCTTTTCCGACACCCATGTCCAGAACAGCAGCTGGATGATGAAGAGGGTGTAGGCGGGGATCGTCAGCAGGTTGGTCTCGAAGGTGTCGAATCCCAAAGTCTTGCAGGTCAAAGTGATGTATGCCTGGGGAGGTGTGCTCGGTATGGTCCACGATAGACCGATGAGGTAGATCGGCCACATATCATAGTCGGTGAGGGCTGCCCAGAAGAGGTCGAAGCTGAGACCTTGGCGGTTATGCATGGTCGCTTTGCCGGGGTCATCCCGCAGGATACGTGTGACCATGATGGTTTCTTCTCGCTCCGTGAACCAGCCTTTCTTTGGTCGTAGAAGCCCTTTTGTCCAAATCTTCTTCCTGCCGCTACGGGCAGCAGCGTTACGAGCGGTCTGAGTCGGTGAGGCCGGCAGGTATAGCCAGGTTAGAATACCAATCAAGCCAGTGAGGGCGCCTTCTATGGCAAATAGATATCTCCACCCGGAGATCCCGCCGTGTCCCCGGAGATGGAGGATACCATAGGCAAGGAAAGCTCCAACGATTTGGGTAGATTGGTAAGAGGTCCAAAACCAGCTCAAACGTTTCGGAAGTTCGGCGTTTGTGAAAAAGTAACTGAGGTACAGGATGGTATCGGGAATGAAACCTCCCTCGATAAGGCCGAGGAGGAAACGGCAGATGTAGAAGCTTGTTTTCCCAGACAGCGCAGCCTGTGACGCTGCAACTGCACTCCAAGCCACCATCTGAATGGGGATCCAGGTATCTGGGCCAAGCTTCTTGCTGACAAGCTGAGACGGGAGCTCTGCAAACAAGAAGGAGCAGTAGAATATCGTCATGCCGTTATTGTAATTGTTGGTGTTCATACCGAGATCCTCTACCCGCTCGTCAGTACATAGTAGATGTCTCATAGGGATGACCTCCATACTTAGCATGTTGTCAGATAACGCCTGCGTGATATTGCCTCGATCGAGTTGAAGTGCGAAGAACATGATGCAAGCAGGAAGCGCAATTCGCCAGTCGAGCTAACAGCCGGGTGTCAGTTGGGGGCTGCAACGGGGATTCTGTGTCATGTGCGAGACATACTTTCCGGACCAAAGCTTTTTCCTCTGCCTGAGTCCATTCAGCCGAGGGATCGAAACGATGTGTGCCTTCAAATCCTTCAATGGGTTTGTAAATTTCCGTTGCCTCGGGAGCCTCGTAGACGTTGTTCACGTTCTTGACGAGCGAGGGGTCAGTCGGCTCTAGAGACGACGTCTCTGAGTCCAGCTCGACGTCCACGTCGACAGAGACATGGCTGATATCCTTGCCGCCGAGCTGCCACCACTTGCGTGGTTTTACCCTCCTTGTTTCTTCTTTATTCCTTTCAACCGTGGATGGAATCACCTCGGACTCAATTGATTTGTCCATTGTTACTTCAAGGCTTGGATAGACCCCGAGAGGGTTGCAATGTGACAATTTTCAAGACAGGGGACTAGGGCGCGGCAGATGGGTTATATAGAATATGAACCACTTTCTTCCGCCACCTCTCGGATGGGAATACCTTTCAGCGTTGTAGCCTTTCGGCGAGGTACGGGCTGCAGAGACGAGTTCTAGACGACGCGAGCTCCGGTGTTTCTACCTTTTTTCTTTTCCTGAGACCATTGCCACACCAAGCTGGACCCTAGTGGATGGTGTAGTCAAATCGTGGGAAGATTGCGTGATTGGAAACATGTCCTGCTAGGGCTGTACCTTGCCATTCATGAAGTGGTCAGCCAGTGGTTCTCGGCCAGTATGCTGCGACGTCCATTCGCCCTCGAGAATGCTGCCGCTCCGGCCATGTGCCGCTCCATCTGACTATACTTGGCGTCCCAGGCTTGTCGATCCAATGTAGTCGCGCAGAAGCTGCAGCTGGCAGCTGTGTTGCAGGACTGTTTATTCCAGTACCTTAGCGGGGGAGACACGTTCAACTTGCAGCCATCCTGCAGGTCAGACATTAAAGTTCATGGTACGACGTGTACCAAAGCCGGCCACGCAAAGGCTTCAAAGACAGGAAACCGACATCTTTAGATTGACTTCCACATGCTTGGTTCGCTAAACTGTTGAAGAAGCACACGACGTGGTGGAGATAGGGTTTGCGAGGAAAGTAACGATTGGTGGAGAGAGACTGCAAGCTTGATGTTGAAGGGCAACCGACATCTTGGACGGACAAAGCACGCCATCACGGGCATTCTGACACCTTTTTCACTCCACTCTTGGGCTGGTCGAGTCTTATTCCAGGGCCCCGTGGGTGCATCTCGTACTGCCCTTTGCAAAGGACGACAACATTGACTTATCTTATTGGTCCTCTGTTCCAAGGCAGTTGCCCTTATCATTCCCGCCAAGTCGTTTTCCACGATGTCGATTGCGAGGTGAGAGGAGTTCGCGCGCTGATTCACTGCCCCGTGTATGTCGGAACACAGTCGCGAGCTCGTGTAATATGCTAGAGATTCTGAAATGACCCGTGTATCAAGTTAGGAGTGTAGCAGTAAGCGGAAAGACGCGACATAGAAACGAGAGACGTCAAGACGAAGTTGAAGCCAAGCCTCACGTGATGCACCCCAATCTCAACGTGTCGCAATCTGCACAGTTTGTCACCTCTTAATACAACAACCGTCCCGAGAGAGAAGAGTCTGTTGCGACAATGGGGTCCTTAGCTCAGGCGGAGCCAGCCCGTATGCGAAATTCTGGCTTCGTTTTCTCCCGAAGTCCTCGAGCGGCGTTGCTTCAACTGGTCCGATACGAGCAGTTGAATTCTTTTCAAGCACAAAGCAATGCGTGACCCCTTGCCAATTTGCGCCATTCCCGCTTGAAATGGTGTGAGCACCGCGGTTACGTGGGACAGCAGCTACCATGGAGATGAGCCCAGAGACCCCGCAGATTGCGGAATCAAGACGACTAAGCAGATAGGACAGCCATCGCGTCTAGCACTGCACTTGTGGCATCATCTATCGCAACTTGCAGTGTGCCTGTATCTGAAGAGGTTTAACGCTGATGCCAAAGGACTATATAACTGTGCTGCGCACGACGCTCAGAGAATCGATAGTTTACTACAAGAGCCAAAGGAATTGACGACAGTTCTTTTTATTTGATCTCCTTCAATATGGCGCCTTCCGCTATCGAGTTGGACATTCCTCAACAAGACTACATCAAACAGAAGACCCTGTTCGGAAGGGAACCTTTAAAATCGTCTGGCTCTCTCGACCAGTTTAAATCCATTGATCTCACTCCCGTTATTGGTACGGAGTTCCCTGAAGCGAATCTGGTCGAGTGGTTGAATTCACCAAAATCCGACGAGCTTCTCCGCGATCTCGCAATTAAAAGTAAGCCCATTCGGGCCTATCTTCGGGTGAAGTCATTCTTATCATGTCAGTATCTGAGCGCGGAGTCGTCTTCTTTCGGAAACAAGACAATCTCACAAACGACATACAGAAACAGCTCATCCAGCGACTCGGTGAGCTGACCGGAAAGCCGGAGTCTTCGAAACTCCATATTCATCCTATCTTGAACTCTGAAAGAGAGCTGGGAGGCAGTGATCCAGAGATCAGCACTATCAGTTCCGTCCAACATGACAAACTCTATAAAAAGACGCCATACGATCAGAGCAAGAAGATCCAGGGCAGTGCGCAATGGCATAGCGACATAGCATTTGAGCCAGTCCCCGCGGATTACACTTCTCTTCGACTCACCCAACTGCCTCGCACGGGTGGAGGTCAGTCGTACTTTCACCTTGAAAAGGGCGATGATTACTCACTTACAACACACCAGATACTTTATGGGCTTCGGGTTATGAGATTTATGATCGAATCAGCGAGCCCTACCAGCAATTCCTCGAAACATTGACCGCTACATTCGCTCAACCAGCGTTCAATGAAGTTGCTGACAAAGGAGGCTTCCAGCTCTATACCAAAGAAAGAGGGTCGCCGGAAAATGTCGGGGGCGAACTGAAGGCCATTCACCCTGTAGTTCGAACTAACCCGGTGACGGGATGGAAGAGCATTTTTCCTGTGGGTGGCCATGTCCGCCACATCAACGGATTGACCGAGCAGGAGAGCAAGAACCTCCTCGACTGGTTTCTGGATCTCGTGTACAAGAACCATGATCTTCAGGTCCGGTTCAAGTGGGAAAATCCAAATGACATTGGTGAGTGAACATGGACACCGTGGGAAATCGAATTCTGACAGGGAGCCAGCTATCTGGGACAACCGTAGCGTGTTCCACTCTGCGACCTATGACTATCGCGGTGAAGGAGACCGCTTTGGAAACAGGGCAGTTGGTCTGGGGGAGAAGCCTTACTTTGATCCCCACAGTACATCAAGAAGAGCGGCACTAGGGAAACTAGACACCAATTAGATCTAGCAGATTGCGCCTTACAATCAATAGAAGGACATTAGACATGTCCATCTGAGTTAATCATGCTCTCCCGAACTCGATGAACGACAACAAATATATTGATATGCTTTTCCATTTTTTTGGCGGAGTCTGGAATTTTCCCGCTAGCTACGCCCTCGCCATGGAATCTGCGAGTAAGAGTCACCAAGCGATCAGACCCTCAAATAACAATATGTAGGCTGAATGTCGCGCTGGGACGAGGCGCTCACGTGGTGCAGTAAGGGCAGTCACGAACCCAGCCGGTCAAAATCCGGGGGGCAGGTTGCTGCAGATGATTCGGAGGGTAGAGGGTCGACGAGATGGAAGGACTGAAGGAGGGAAGGGCGGCGGCTCGTTGGTGGCTTGACTTGCTGTAAGGAGAGAGATCACTGGAGAGGAGGGACCGGGTAGAAAGTTGAGCTCGGTCTCTATCGGGCAGTACAAGGAGTGTTAATTGCAAAGCGGTTACCCAAAGCTTGGATGGAAAAAAAAAAAGAAGGTAGCGAACGGGGCGTCCGGGCATCTAAAGAGATTCAAAGACTGGCCAAAGCCGCCAGGGAACCGTCTTCTCAATAAACCATATCCCGGCGGGGTGAACCAACCTGGGTGATGAAATCTGGTCCAGGTACTTCGAGTTTCGACGCTTCGCACTCGCCATATAGCACGCCGTGCGATAGTTCAAGCGTTTTCGGATCACTCTAGCGCATTCTTCTGGATATAAGGACTCTTTTGAGACCATATATTGAACCTCGATAGTTTTGCCAGCTTCACAATTGAGCAGTCTTTCGCAATGGTCATCAACTCACCCATGTTCGTTGAATAGCTTGGCAGCAATCCTCAGACCGCCTTTGGCGAACATAGATACAATTACCGCCGTACAATATACTCTTTTCAGCTGATAGCCGGGCTGTCGACTCGAGCGCTAGGATCTGGCCATGGCCTAGATGCACAGGAGCCGGCTCATGGGGGTGTTGCACAACTTTAAGCTTCATACCCGCAATTTCGAATGTCTCCCTCATCTTCTCCTTCTGGGATTCAACGTCAGTCGCGGGCGTCGGTGGTGGATCACGAGTAGGGGGGGAAGAACTGCGACAAGAGGTCTTCCAACCCTGCCAGTAAATGTATATGAGATAGTCAAACGAGGCCCTAATTGTATATTTAGCACCACATGGGCGACTGGGTCGAATTTGCGATACTTACCAGTTGACGCAGCCGCAGAAGGTGGCAAAACCATTGGCGCTTGATACACCATTGTGAGTCTTCTCCATTTCGGTGTCAAGATTCGAGCTCACCATGATGAGGCCGATGAAGCCCAAAAACCAGAAGAAAGAGACCGCTGCTTCAGCACCAATGCGCAGGAGGATCGGGAGACTGTGGCCGTGGCGGGTGATTTTCAGAAGGAAGCCTTCTACCAAGCCGACAAAGAGCGGGAAAGGGATTGTAGATCCGGGCTAGAGAAGAGACACACAGGTCAGATCATCTGGGTCGAATCTGGTAAGGTGAACTTTATACCGGAATCAGAACATAGGTCCACCATCCTCTCTGCAATTTGTCTTCATGCTTGGTAGAGACATAGTTGGCAATGGTAAGGACGAGAACCAGCATAGTACTCAGAGCCAGGATGGCGCGGAGAAGAGATACTCTTCGTAAAGGCCTCTCTCTCTTTGGTTCTTTCTTCTCCTGGCGTGGTGGCTCAGTAGAACGGGAATTAGAAAGTTCTCCACGAAATCTAAAGAAGGTTATTCTCAACCAAGAGATCGCCATCCTTGCTGTTATCAGCGAGGAGCTGTCAACAATGGAGGATGAGGCGAATGGTCCTCGAATTCCAGAGTCGCCATGGACGAACAACTATATCTTTGTCTCGACATCGTGCTTGATAGGAGGCAGCCTGTTTGGACTGGTATCTCTGGAGCATGGAGTAATCTTGATGAAACAAGGGTACAAGGTGCTGTTGCCAACTGTGGCGGAGGGTATCAATAGAGAGCTGAAGAGGCGGCCCTTCGCGAGGTTCTGGACCTTAAAACATGCATCTACATACTGGTCGAACACAGGGGTAGAGTTGTGAGCCATTTTGTGTTGGGCTGAAATGGAATCAACAACGTCGTCAAGCCATTGCTAGCGAGACAATGGCTTCGTGGCGTCGAAGGTGGCCAAGTGCAATCTCCTTCGCAACGCGACAGCCTTACCAGCAGTCTAGGAGAGGGGGAATGTACTCGGCATGCAAAGGAGCTTTTCTGACCGAAGAGTATTTTCCATGTACCTCGTACCTCATGTCGTTGAAAAAATGACGGCATTCAAATTAGGGGTGGGCTTTTGGCTAGAATCCCAAGTACATGGCGCTTGTCTAGTCTTATTCAGCCTTGTCCCCATATAACCCTCCTCCAGGGGCTCATGTCCGTAGAAGTTGGTTGCCTCTTTTATAACGGATCGGGATTGTCGTTCCCGTCCGTGCCTATTACCAGGCCAAACTTCTATAAAATCCTTTGTCAACTTTTCGCGCCGCCTATTCACTGGAAACCTCTCTGACCACCTCAATGCCATCGAACCGCAAATGGGCACGGAGTTGCCTGCGCAGGAGGAAGGCTACGATGATGGTAGACGAGTCTCCTACAGATGCAGTGGTTGCGGACCTCCTGGACTGCTCCGAGCAGAACTCCCAACCAAAGACACGAGGAGAAGGTAAGGCCGCCTCGTGGATTCCTTCCCACGGCTTTCGTCCAGCAGACCATTCATATTCTGACCACCACACATAGCATCCAGAAGCGCCTCAGTGGAAACGAGCCAGATCTCGCAGTCATGTGGTGTTGCCACTGTTCCTCCATCTAACACAAGGGGCTTTAATCAATCTTTACTTGATGGAAGCGGCTCAAGGACTACTAACGAAGCTCAGAGCTCCACGAGTGTTCGTTCAGGCAGAATCTCTCATTCATCTTCGTTTTCAACGCCTCATGCCTCAAATGTGAAGCCTTACGAGTACAGGTTACTCGAACCGGGCCAGATTCGCTTGGTAGAGATACTGCCAGGGACTGGGTCGAGGGCGGCACTTCAGGTCAAGATTAAACATGTACACCTCTCGCACGCTACCCGAGTTCTCAGATTTACTGCAATCTCCTACGTCTGGGGCAATGTCAACGACACCCGGACTGTCGCTGTTATCAACTCAGAGTCTTTAGGTGGTCAAAGCCAGCTACGGATAACTGCCAATCTTCATCACGCTCTTTGTCAAGCTCAGAAATTTGGTGCTCCGGTCTGGGCCGATGGGATCTGCATCAACCAAAACGCCAAATCGGGGGCTTTTCTCAGGGGAGAAGGAACAACAGGTGAAGATGATGGGGCAGATTTACAGCGGTGCCCATATGGTGTTGGCGGATCTCGGCCCGGAAGACGAATACACAGAAACTGCTTTGAAGATGGTGAAGGCAATAAAAGATGCCATAGATATGATGACCGCCGAGAAACGAAGCAAGCCTCTGCTTGATCCAAACGAATTTCCGCGTTACGGACTGCCTCGTCCAAACGATCGATAGTGGGCGGCATGGGTGAAGTTGCTGGCGCGTCCTTGGTTCCGCCGCATGTGGATTATCCAAGAATTTGTCATGGCAAGGAAAGGTTTCATGACACTGGGACAATCGGTTGTAGATCACGATCTCAGCACCCTTGCAAAGTTGATTGATATATCTGAATCGCTTGGATTTGGTGAAACGAACCGCAGGCGAGGGCCAGGGTACAGCGATGAAGAGAAGTTGGCTGCAAAGAACACCTCGGAAACCTACGGCAAGATATACGCATGGCGTCAGTTGATGCATGAAGACCGGAAACAAATCAACTTCCTCACCGCCATCCCTGTCACGATGAGATATCAGATGACCAATCCGGTTGATCGGTATTATGCTCTGTTGGGAATCTGTGGGCAAGATCGATCGTCAGATCCCAGACTTGCCGTCAGCTATTCAGAGCCTGAAGCTGATGTACAACGCCGCTTCACAAGGCACATGATTGAAGAAAGCTGCCGTGATGCCGTGATCCTGATTGCAAATTGTGGAGGGCAAAGGCCAGAATTTTCGTCCTGGTGCCCAGACTGGAGCCGGGGCAACCACGCACCAGTGCCCGTGGCTGTTTCAATGGAGGACGGAGCCCATACTGCGCCTACAACGACCACAGATTGCTGTCAACATGAATTTTTGTATCATGCGGGTGGCAGATCTTTGCCAGACATCAAGTTCAGCAACGATGGGAATTGCTTGATACTCCGAGGTAGCCAGGTGGACGAAGTCGACAATGGTGTGGGAACTCCGTTCAGCACGACATGGAGGCTCGAGGCTGAACCAACACGCAATCGGCTATTGAAGGATTGGCACGACGGGACACTTGAGGCCCTTCGCCGATATTTCGACATCTCGATCCTGTCTGGGAAGCCGTTTGGGATCCGCCACCCGTGCATTGCCGCATACAAGGACGGTTTTGCTCGTGCAGTGACAGGTGCAACCCCAGAGCAGTGCAACTCGCCTGTCGTATACGGAGCCCTGGGGTTCGAATACGCCGTCCTCAAGGAGGGAGAGGATGGCGGAAACTACTTCTCTCCTTCGCCGCTGAGACTCAACTTTTCAATCTCGAGGGTAAAGTCAAGAAACTCGGTGGGATGTATCCGCCTCGCCTACCATCATGCATGTGCAAGGTGGAGAAGTTGCTTTGGCGACAAAAGTCGAGGCTCGGGGAAATATTGTGATGTAGGGTTCGGCTGCCTAGCGACAGCATTCATTCTTGACCCTGTGTAAGCCTATACAGGCCTGCGAGTGGCCAGGCCGACATTTGCTCTATTGCGGCGAGAGTTCTCGCGCCGCGCTCGGCCATGTTGCCCGGATTTTTTGGCCTTTCTCCCCCTGACTGTACAAGGTATGACTGAGCTCCTGACAAGACGCCAACGAACCAGCCAAAACCCGCTGTCGATATCAACGCCATCCCCACAACGCCGTGGGTTTTACGATGGCTTGCAAGTCTTTCACGCTGAGAACGGCACTACCCCATATTCAAGAACTTAGGTAGCGAGCGTGGGGAGATTTTGCTGCTTATTAAGTATAGCATGTGCGCAAGTCGAGTAGAATCTGCACAATTGAATCCAGAGAGAGGACTACCGCTGCATTCAATGCCTCACCGTTCCGTGGGCTATCGGTCCAGCCTCGCGGCTCGCGAGACCGACCACCTGGAAAAGACCATTATGAAAGGTAGGCCAAAAAAACAATCAACAGTCAGGATTCCCAACTGGTCACCCACGTTGGTACTAACTGACCGGCACATGGCTTAAGTACGGCTGAGCGGACGGGAAGTCCTGCTTTCCATGTCCTATGGTCGATTGCGGGAGATTATCGAGGAAATACAATATATCCAGGGCTACCAACGAGTGAATTAAATAGTTTCGTGGTGTGATTTCGAGAAGGGGGGTTGATATTCAAGGAATCCCAGAACTGAATAGTACAGGACCTACTCAGTAGATACTACCTGGATTACTCGCGAACGAAAAAGACTGCACTGTCGGGGAAAAGAAGCTTCTACATCTGCCATTTCCTCCTCGGCGTTATCGAGGGAGGGTTTATTCTCATCCCATGTATCTCCCTTTGGCTATTCAGTGCACCCATGAGCACACGACACCGTCCGGAGAGGGGTTCCCAGATTGATCCAGGAACGTGTCTCATGGACCCATACAGAGGCACCAGATCAAGTGGGGGATTTTCTGGTGCTCTCGGAGGAGTGCGAAGACTCTTTCTTGTGCACGATCCTCAAGTTATCGTGGAGGCGAGAATTGAGACGGAGTTAGGAGATTCTTTTCAGACATAAATATTTCCCCCTTCTTTGACCGCCATTCCTCTGAGGCTTGGGCATAAATAGAGCATTGTTGGAGATTATTGGTTCTTGGCTGGAATGATTGTTTCCGGGAGGACAGGTTCGCGCGACATAACTATGGTACGGCGTTATATTATATTGTACACGAGGCAACGAGGGCTATTTATGCACTAGCGACCGTTCAGTCCAAAAATCTTGGCATCACCCACGTGTTCCCCTTGGATTCTCTTCTTGCGAAGCCTTCTCCACCCTCAATTTGATAACATAGTGATGAAATCAATATTGATCCGGTGCACCGGTCTCGTGGCTCTCCTCTAGCTACTAAAATGTTGTCATTGTCTAGTCGAACTGCTCAGACTGCTTTGGAATTACCATTTCTGGCGCGCGTTCTATTCTCAGCCTCGCCGGGTCCCCCGCACGCCAATCCAACGCTGTCGCGCCCTTCAAGTCATTGCATCTCGCACCATGCGTGGCAATGACGAAATCAGAATTCCCCAGCCTTTGAAAATGGAGGCCATGCAAGGCATGTCACAGGGTATCAAGGAGGTGTGATGAACCATAAAACCCCCTGGATTTCTGTCGCATAGTTGTTAGTTGTCCATGTGTCTCTCGGGTTGTCATTAACCACATTCGATTTGGCCTGCTCATTATTATTCGGCATTCTACACCAGGTGGTGAACAGACATGGACTTGAAGGTCAAGGTCGAGTGCCATTGCCGGCTCACGTCCTTCTCCCTGTCGATCCCTTCTGACTGGCTTCCACTGAAATCTGCACTCTGCCACTGCCACTCGTGCCGCCATTGCACGGGCCAGCTATTTGCGACCTGGGCCGTGATCCCCGCCGACTTGCCACCGAGCGTCCTCAAGGGAGGGAATCTGGTCAAGTATGAATCTTCGCCGCCGTGCCAGCGCTGGTTTTGCAAGCGGTGTGGCGCGAGTGTCGTCAATGTCGACCGGGGAGAGGGCCCGGAAGAGTGGGAAGTGGGCACGGGAGTGCTTTACTTTGAAGACCGCAAGCGACTGGAAGGGAAATTGAATCGAGTGCAGCTCTGGGTTGAGGATGTCAAGGGAGATGGAGGCACGGTTGGTTGGATCAACCAGGGAAAACTAGAGGGAATGGGTAGGCACTGGAAAGGACGACAGAGTGACATGGTCAATGACGACGCTGTCAGGGATCTCATGAGACGCAGAGGTGATGACCAAGACGATTGTGGACGGCTTGTTGCGCAATGTCATTGTCAGAACGTCAAATTCGAAATCTCGAAGCCTCCCAACGACTACAATGGAGGAGCCGGGAAGTTCGAAGCAAGCCTCGATGCTTGCACCTCTTGTCGGACCGTGACTGGGTTTGAAATCACCTGCTGGGCCACGGTGCCAAAGACTCTCATTGTTGCAGAACCGGATTTGGGGTCTCTGCTGGTCGATAAGGAAAGGCTAGGCCACTACAGCACATCGTCAGGAGTGAGTCGCTTTTTCTGTGTAAGGTGTGGTGCAACAGTCTTCTACTACAACCATGACCTTGAAACGATTGACGTTGGTCTCGGACTTCTGGAGCCCAAAGTCCAAGGTGCTGTTCGAGTGGAGTCGTGGCTCGAATGGCAGAAGTATCCCAAGTGTTTGGTTTTTGAGGAAGATGCAATCGACACAGAATTTGTCAGCAATTTGAAAGAAGGTATGAGGAGATGGGAGAGGGAGCTGAGCGATGATTAGCAGAGAAGTCTATTGACTCAGAAGTCGCGCTGCTAATAGCGTGCAAGATTCATTCAATTACATGCTCGTGCTGTACAATATTTCAGTTCTGCGGCCTCTTTAACTGACAAATCTCTTCTCGGCAGCCTTCCAGTTGATGACATCCCAGATGGCGCTGAAGTACTCGGCCTTTCGGTTCTGGTATTGCAGGTAGTACTATTTCATTGTCAACGAAATCCAAGCTGGCATGAGATGATTATGGGGGTTTCTCTTACAGCATGCTCCCAAGCGTCGACACCTAGCAAAGGCTTATATCGGCCGACGACGGGATCCTGATTCGCATACGTCTGGATCATGATGTTCCCGGTCTGGGTATCCTTGACTAGCCAAGCCCAACCGGAACCTTGGATGCCGGCCAAAGCAGTGTTGAACTTCTTCTTCATCTCTTCCAAGCTTCCGTAGGTACTATCAATTACCTTTGCCAGTTCGCCGGAAGGAGGCTCGCCGCCGCCCGAGTTCCTGGGTGCGAGGTTCTCCCAGAACAAGGAGTGATTGAGGTGGCCACCGCCGTGAAAGTTGATCAGCGGCTGAAGAGCAATCTTTGTGGCAATATCATCGTTGGCTTCAGCAGCAGCGTATTTATCGGCGGCATCGTTGTAAGAGTTCACGTAGGTCTGGTGATGTTTGCTGTGGTGCAGTTCCATGATCTTGCCGGATATGGCGGGCTCCAGAGCACCATAGTCGTCTGGTTAAGAGGTCAGTCTCTGGCTTCTAAGATCGAGGTGGGCTGGCCCTCTGAGCTTTTTCACTTACATGCAAGGTCAGGAAGAGTAGCTTTCATCCGAACAAATGTTTTGTCGGCGGTGGTCAGGCATCGAGCAGGATTGGTGGCTGCAACAGCTCTGAGCGTGGAGGGACGGGCGACAGATCGAAATAGGGAAGCCATGCTGATATGATTACTGTGGAAAGTGAAGCCAATTGACCGGGACAAAGCAAGATGAGACTCGTAAGAAGGGAGGAGGAGCTGGGTGGTGAGGTCCCTCCGTAGCCGATGTTTATTTGAATTGGAGACGTCGAGATGGAGCTGCACAAATTACATCACTGTGCCCATTCCGGAAATCCTCGTGCGAATTTCGGCCTGGCGGCCTCACTGGGTAGGCCAAGTAGGCTTCACGCTGCCCAGAGTTCTTTTCCGCAGGCACATCGCAGATCGACAATCTTTGCATGTGCTACGCCACAGGACCTTCCACTGCCTGCGATTTCACAAACGTAGGGATTCTCTTGCCCGACGCGAAACTCGATATACAACCTTCCCTGTACATTATTGTTTCGCCACCAGATGTCCAGGCAACATGAGCGATTCTTCGGAAGACGACCAACCCTTCAACCTTCGCGACTATGATGACGAAGAATCTGACGATGAACGACCGTACAAAAGACGGAAGACGACAAAAATCCTGCGGAACCGCGGGCTAGGGTTCGTCAAGTCTACAGGTCAAGAAGAGGGGCAGGGAGATGAGGACGAAGAACAAGACGTTGACGATGAAAGACCCTCCATGGGCATTGGCGCAGGCATGGCGGGCTTTCGAAGCTCCTTCAACATAGGCGAATACAACGACCAGGAAGCAAAGGCAGAAAGTGTCACTCCGCCGATGGACAGGTCTCCCCAGGGGAGATCAGAAAAAGCTCCCCGCATGGGCCCTTCAGCGTTTGGGACCAGCGGACGGATGAACAAAAACTCCTTTGCTGCGCGAATGATGGCCAAACATGGCTATGTTGAAGGTCAAGGTCTAGGAAAGTCAGGACAAGGGATAACAGCACCGATTCAGGCCAAAGTGCTGCAAAGCCGGGCCGGTCTGGGCCAGGGCGGCGGGACACCCGAAGCTCCTCGCAGAAGACAAGAAGCAGGAAAGGAAAAGACATCTTCCACAGGCTCTACCCCTGGCACAAGCACACCGCGAATCAAGGCACCTCCCAAGGCCAAATATGCCGTCGCAGCCATCGAGTCGAGGGGCCTCCACATCCCGGAGGCCATGAAGCAAATCATTGTCGATGCAACCGGAGCCGAAGCCAAAACCGTGACCTCTTTATCAGGGTTCTCAACTCCGACGAGAGAGGCCTCACCATCCCCTGGTCTTGAAGCTGCAAAAGCTACGTCCCGCATAAAACTTCAACTGCAGGCTTTCGCCGATGCGTGGGACTCGACAAAAGATCAAGAAAGCCATCTAGGGCAGGAAGAAATTCAGCTCAGCGCAGCGCTGACATTGCACGAAGAAGAGATCCAACGCTACAACGACATTATCTCCGCATTCGAACGAGTCGCTGTGGACGACTCGAATGAATCTCGAGACTGGGACTCCTCCATATCTCGCCTACAGGGTATCCAAGCCCATTCCTCTCAATACATCTCGGAGCTTTCGCTCCCTGAACTCACCGCCTCCTGCCTCGAAACACCCTTCCGGCGCGAGATGGTTGAATGGGATCCTCTTTCTGAACCCACTCACCTAGTCGATTCCCTGAAGTCGATCGATCAGTTACTCGAGATTGAAAAATCAAAGTCCTCCCGCCACCGCAAACGTACGACGTATTTTGAGTCGTTGCTCCTGTTGCACTGGTACCCGCGCATCCGTACAGCGTTGTCCAAAGACTGGGACGTGTATGATCCAGACCCGGCGTATAATTTGATCGATGCCTGGACACCACTTCTCCCTCCCTTCCTCATCTACAAGATCCTACATGAAACCATTATTCCGCGATTAATCGAGGCTGTCAAGCGATTCCCGAAGACCCTCGAGTCTGGCGCATTCGGTGGTGACAGGACCAAGAAGTCTAGCAGGGCGCCGGATATGCACACCTGGCTCTTTGACTGGTGGACTCTGGTCTCTTCTGATACGCTTGACCTTGAACGTTTCCCCGAACTCAAATCCCTCGTGAAATCCAAAGTCGACGCCGAATCTTGGGCACATTGGAAACCACTGCTCGGGTCAAGAAAACCCAAGCTGCTCCCTTCGGCCACCACACCCGCTACACAACGCACGACAGCAGCTACCATGACAGGCCTCGACGAGGCGATGGAGGAGATGACGTTCAAATCTCTCGTCGAGGAATGGTGTTCCGAGCATAACCTCCTCCTGCAGACCTCGCACAAATCCGACGCGTTTGGTCGGTTGCTGTATCGATTGCAAGATGCGGAGAGGAGGAATCGCGGCATATTGGTGTATTTGCAGGACGACGTCGTGTTCGGGGCGGAAGACGGAGAGCCATATGCGCTGGATGAGCGGTTAATCGACAAGGCGAGGGGAAAGTGAGAAAAGGTAGAATAGAAGAAGAAAGAGGGCATTCACATGGGAAGCAAGAAACGTCTCGAATAAAAGAAGACGGCAAAGGAGAACAGCCCTCACGTTACGAGGGCATTATCTACATAATCCATGCCTAACACATGGTGAGACCAGGATTCAGCCATTGCCTAGGTATGGTAGAATGAAAGAATAATACGAACGGGCCCTTCCCGCGAAATCCAAGTCCAGAAAAAGACCGTTCTCCCCCCCTTTTTTGCTTCTTTCGTTTCGGATGGAAAATGCGTTTAAAATCGAGCGCTCCTAGATCCCCCCCTTCCTGTCTATGTGTGTGTGTGTGTGTTTAGCTAGCTAGGCCTCGGAAAGAACTTCATGGCGCCGCATGCCCCTCGCGTGCGCACGCGCCCACAATGACAGTGACAGCATCAACCGCATCAATAAACATCGTCACCGTTTCGCGCAGAAAGAGCTCGCCGTCAAGCCACGCCAAGCTGTGATCCGAGATAAAGGAGGAGATGGCCGAGATGCCACCGGAAGAGGTGGTGTAGATTGATTGTAAACTGGCTGGCTGTATCCAACAACAACTGCAAAGACAGAGAGATGTGTACACCACTTTTATCTTTCCCAACAAAAAAATAGACCTTTGGCCATCATTATCATCCGTCCGGTCGAGAAACATGTCAGCCAGCCCCTTCTCCATATATCTCTCACAGCTTGCTCTCTCTCGCTTTCTCCCCTCGCGGAAGTCTGTTGTCTTCTGCCACCTGCTCTTCTTCCTCCAGCTGCCTCCGCGCCCTCGTGTCATGTCTGGTTTGGATTTAACCCCTCGTCTTTTCATTCTTGCCTTACATGCAAGCGGCGCCGTCAATACCGATGATCTTGCCGTTCACCCACTCGCCATCCTGCGAGGCCAGGAAGCAAGTGACGCGGGCAACATCGATGGGCATACCGACACGGTTCATGGGGGACCAGGTGGCGGCGTACTCGTCGACCTGATCATCGGTCAAGTTTATGCCGTTGGGAATGTACTCTCGGCAGACGGCGTGGTACATATCGGTCTTGATACCGCCGGGGGCGACAGCGTTGACGGTGATCTTCTTGTCACCGCAGTCGATGGCCATGCAGCGGACAAAGGTCTCGATGGCCCCCTTGGAACCCGAGTAGACGGTGTGCTTGGGTACGCCCTTGGCCTGGCCGGTGATGGAGCCCATCAGGATAATGCGGCCACCGACCTCGAGGTTCTTGTATGCCTCACGAGCCACGAAGAATTGGCCTCGGGTGTTGATGTTGAAGACACGGTCGAACTCTTCTTCGGTGACATCCTTCAAGTGTCCGAAGGAAACGACGCCCGAGTTCGAGACCACAATGTCCAACTTGCCGAAGTGCTTCTTGGCCTGAGCGAACATGTCGACGATCTGGGAGACGTCTGAAACGTTGGCCTGGACGGCAATCGAGTCGCGGCCGAGGGCCTTGATCTCAGCGACAAGCTCGTCGGCGGCCTTGGAGGAGTTGGCATAGTTGACCACGACATCGGCGCCACGGCGGGCGAGTTCGAGTGCGGTCTCACGGCCCATACCTCGCCCTGTTTTATGACCATTCTGTTAGCTCTTCTCCTTTCTTTTGTTTTTTTTTTCGTTCTCATCTTTTGGAGGGAAGGCGGGCTTTGGTGGGAGAGGCGGTGAAGGGCCAGGTCGCCGAATCTTTTCTCAAAGGGCTGTCCGCTCGCAGTCTTGGAGTCGGACTCGATCGCCTCTTTTGGGGACGTACCTGATCCTGTCACAAGGGCGACTTTGCCAGTGAGGAGGTAGCTGGGGACGGGCTGGTCGACGGCAGGTGCAGAGCCATTGGCAAGTCTGGTCGAGTTTCGTTTAGACATGGTGGAAGCGGTGTGGGTGTGTTCGTCTAAGAACTGTTCAATGGGCAGGAGAAAAGTATCCAAAAGGCGTGCAAGAGATGCTAGGAGATGACGAAGAGGATATGTACAGACTCAAAGGAGGAGGGAGCGAGTCGAGGAAAAAAAAAGTGAGTTTTATTGAGAGGTTACGGTGTTAGGATAAGGGGTGGTGATTGTTTGTGCCCCCCTCGCTCGTTCGCTCCGTCCCTCCTCCACCAAAAAGTTCAATTGGGAATATTATTTTTAACAGTCCATCAGCCGCAGCTAATGTTCTGAGTGGGGGACGGCGATCGGCCTAGTTGGCTTAGCGGCCACTAACGAGTGACGCTCAGGGCCTCAGTGTCTGCCAGGGGCCCAACGCGGAGGGGCGCTTGTCACTGGCTCACGGGGATTGTCAGGTTCGAACGAGTGGGTAGAGGGGCATTTAACCACCAACTACTGTCCCCTAGAGGGTGCCTAGGGGCGCTGGGCACTACCGCATAGCCACAGGGGGTACCGAAAAGGTGTCCAAGGTGTCCAGGTGTCCAGGTGGCCCTTCTGTGTTGGGCTGGCTCTGTGAGATCTTTCACCGCCCCCCGGCTTCCGGGTTGCTGAACCTGACTGACTGTCACTCACTGATCGGGACAATGGGGGCCCTTCCTCTTCTTCCCCTCCCTCCCTTCAACTCTTTCACCTCCTCCCTCTTGTCTTTCTCTCTCTCTGTTCTCCGGCACAGTTGAACTCTGCTGGGCTCTGGCTCTCGGTCTTGCACAAGGGGGATTGCTGACTGCCAAAAGCCCTTGTTCCGCATTCAGAGACTCATTCAATCGAAGCTTCCGACCACAATACCTTTTCCGGTTGCATGGTGCCCCCCTCGGTGCCCTCCCACGCCTCGGGCCCGGACTGGGTCTGGTTCTGTGGCTGTTGGCGAGTCGGCAGCTTTACACGATTCAGGGGGGCCACCGAGAGGCCCCGTTTGGTAAGAAGAGAGATAGCACTAATGGGCATTTCGTCGATCTTTGCGCCTTGTTTACTTTACACGAACGCGCATCCAAACGTTGTTATTTGGTACATGAATACGACAGCGTACAAGTCCTTCCAGTGGTTGAGATTGCGGTCTTTCCGGACTTATTCGTAGATACGTGGTCGTGTGTCTCCCTTTGGTTTCATTTCCATCCCTACATATCTACCCAGTCACAGAGGTAAAAGATAGAGACAGCCTCGGAGATTTCTCTTCCCTCGTTCGCGGAATCTCGCAGCAGGTCTAGGCCCTCGTCACCCTAAAATGAGAGTCTCGGTACGCCTGCTGCTAAAGGTGTCCGCTTCGTTCTTGGTCTTATCAGTCTGGTCCCTGATGTTGAAGGCGTAAACACTACATACCTAGTACCTACATACTGTACGCACTACTTTTGCACGAAGTACGGAGTACCTGGACCTGGACCTGGACCTCCGCCCAGAGTATCGGCGTTGAAAAGATAAAAATATAAAAATAAAAGTAAAAAGAAATGTTATTGTTCGACGACATCTCTCCCCCGGTCTGGCCGAAAACCTTGCCCGCACACACACATATGTAGAACAACAATAGTTCTCCTCCGCGGCCTTCATCCGCGTACACATACCGTACCGTCGTCTTGTTTTGTGCGCCGTGCGATGCGCGATGAGCGTTGCTTGCTTGGTCCGGATGTGCGCGCGCACACAGGGGCCCCTTTTTCCAGATTTCCACGCAAAGTCCGCCGCGATGTTCAGCATTGCCGTGGTAGCTAGCGAATCCACCTGCGTCTGTTGGTGTGCCTGGAGCCTCGTGGCGGACGCCAGTGTGAAGGAAAAAAAAGGGGCTCCGAAAGCGGGGTTGTTCAACTCCGGCGCTAAAATAAACACACTAGTGGAACTGAAAGGGGTGTCCCACGTGGTGTCCACGTGATTAAAGCGCCAGGGTTCAAGACCTCTCCTCCTCATTGAGCATTCACTGTCATCATTTGCTGGCTCCTCCAACGCCGGTTGATCTTCGAGTTGCCGTCCGCCACTGTGTTCAGTTATCACCTTAGCGAGAGCATTCTGGAATCCTCGACCGCGACTCTGATCATCTTTTTCACTTCGGCTTTCCAATTGCTCTCGCGCCACTTCTCCCAGCGCCCAAACCCTTCATCGACCTCTAAGTTCAACGTTTCATACCCTTCCTTGATAACTTTCTGAATCGCTGCCGGCGACTGATGTGTCTTTTTGCCGTGTTGTACTTTCAACAGTTCATGATAATGAGACGAAACGCTAATCAGCGCCTCAACCGATCGCTCCAGGGTATCGGATTGTGAACCTCCGTCGCAATACGCTTGCTTGAACCTGTGTAAAACATCGTTTGCCTCGATAAGCTTGTAGAAAAAGTCGTCAAAACTGGATGGATCTGGGAGGAACCCGTCACCCTTCGACAAACAAAATGTAGCTAGACTTGCGAGCGTCGCACACAAGTCTTGCCGAATATCCCTGACATGTTTGAGGTCGCTGGCATACTGCGTCAGAAACCGCATCAGTGACAAGAGCGAGCCCCAGATGTATGCCCAATGGTGCTGAAGACGCGTCTTGGTCTGTTCGAGGTGTGTCACTATACGTAATATAATGCCCAAAGCAAGGCCGTACAGGCGGACATCCAGCCTCTTTCTCAAGTTGTGGCTAAGAATGTCTGTGCAGAGGTCCAGAATAGCTGCTGCAGGGATCCTTGCAGATGTGACCAGTGGAAGATGAGGTGGCCTTTGACGGCATAGTCGAAACAAGGCTTTAGAATCCGCCGAGCAAATTCTTTTGGCCAACACTGGGTCTTCGACGATTATCCTGATGGAGAGTAGACACAAGACGGCATATGTCGATTGTCGTGGCCCACGGTAGGCATGATGTGAGATATATGAGGTCATGGACAGGAAAGCAGAAAACGGCGCCTCCTTATCTTTCTCGGTTGCTAGATTCAAGAGATTGGCAGCAAATAACTTGTTTGCTTGGGTGAAAGAGTACAGTGAAAGGATACAAGAGGCATCCTCCCCAGGCAGGGAAAGAAACAAAGCCTTTGCTTCCTCCTCCGATGGAGGCGCTGGTTTCTTTGCGTCAGTGGACAATGATCGAAGTCCGACCATGACAAGTGTCGAGTTCAAACTCCATGGTGTAGGGTAGTCATCTTGAATAGACACATATTGGTCACGTATAATTACACATGCAATGGCGAAATTGCGAACCAAAAGTCGAATTGTTTCCTCGTTGACGAAATCCTCCAGCCGATTCTGGTACACATTCTGAGCCTCAAATTTGTTGTAACTGGACAATATGCCGATAACAATGAACGCTTTGAGGCCAGTGGTGGGAAGTTCGGGCATATCGTGGACATACTGCATTCCGAATGAGCGAGACTCTCGCTCCCACGGTACGTGCTTACCTTCATCAACGCCGAGAAGAGATCACGGTGCATGAAATAAGTAACAAGGCTTGTGTGGAACCCGCCAGCAACCAGGGCGAGGACAGTATCAAGAGATTTGCTTCGCAACGAGTCTTTGCCCGCCTGTCGGATAATTGATTCGAGGGTATGGACGAGGTCTGACATCAATCTGTCAATGGTGTCCAGCCCAGCAAGTACTTCGATGACGTCGGTGTTAGGATTGGTGTACTTTTTGGTAAAGACAGCGCATAGGAAAGCTGTCAGATTCTTCAAGAGGTCAAATTCAACCCATTGAGGAGAAAAATACAGGGAGCGACGTACGTCGAGGGCGTTTTCGTTCTGCGGGAAAGCTCCCGAGCTTGCTTCGACGATGGCACGCTTGAAGAATAGTCGCATCTGAGCCTGTTTGTCCGTTAGGTGTGAGAAATGAGCGAATGCAAGCGTGAGAGCTGACTATACTTGCATATGGACCAAGTCAAAAGCAGTCATGGGCTCGAGAATGTCATAGAGCCGTTGCTTGTCCGGCTTGAGCAGGAAGAATTCCCGCCAAAACCCTTCAGAAGGGATCGATTCATCAGCATCCTCGTTTGCAAGAACGTTGAAGAGGTGGAGATAAAGCTGGATGATTTTAGGTTCAAAGGAGTCAGGCCTCGATTGCTGGGTCAGGGGCATCTCCATGATGATAGCAGACGTTCAGAACTGGGACCGCAATCTGAGTTCATACTCCTGAATCAAGACAGTGACCGTATTATGGCTGAAAAGGGAATGACTGGGGCCTGTGGGCGGAATGCGGCTATGTAGTGTGTGATGGGTGAAAAGCTGAACAAACGGCGACACTGACGAGGCTTAGCCTTGCAAATGTGACCGCAGTTCGGCCCAGAGGGGAAAGACGCCAGAGGCAGAAATGCAGGAATTATTTTCTCTTGGGTGAAAGGCTCACAGTCAGCACCTTTTTGGAGCCCCGATCTTCATTTCTCACCTACGTCTGCATTGGGCACTTGTTAACAGACAAAGCATATCAGAAAAAAGAAAAGGAGATGGATTTATCAATGTCACGTTATTCATGTCACGTTATATGTCACGTGGTAATTGAAATCAATCAACGCCGATTGGCTGGCTACCGGAGCGAACTCGGCTGATAAACTCAGAGAATGACGGAACTCTCTGCTTCTGTCCTTAAACTGCGCCTCCATCCTCACTTGAATTCTGGGATTCTCTCTATCCATGCTATAGCTCTCTCTCATTATTGAAAGAGTGGACACCCGCTGACGAACCTTTACAATGTCGGCGACGCATCTTGTCCCGACAACCTCGTCATCCGTTATCTTCTTTCGTGCCCTGGCGATTGCCTCGACCGCCCGATCGTGCCCTCACCATGCCTTCAGAACCTTCTCCTCTAGTATAGCTAGTCGACAATCATCAAAACGAGAGTTATACACTACGCCTTCTTACCAGCCTCACACTCTGCCCACCGATTTCCCTCTACCTATTAGAAATACCGGTGTTCCCGACACCTCAATCGCTGGACCCAAACCACAACTCAAGGATACGAGACAAGACCAGGGAAACGCTGCACCGCAGAACAAGTTGCATGAAACTGCAAGCATAAGTGTACCAGAAAGAGTATCACAGAAGTCAAAGCCGGTGCAGACGCCGCAGCCCGAGCAATCCAAATCAGCGAAACCCCGGAGAAGCAAATTACGGCCGCGGAAAGCCGCCATGTCGATAACACCCAATGCGCTAGTCCATCTACGCGAACTCCTGGACCAGCCAGATCCCAAAATGATCAGAGTCGGTGTTAAGAATCGTGGCTGCTCGGGCCTTGCGTATCATCTGGAGTATGTGGATAAGCCTGCCGCCTTTGATGAAGTCGTTGAGCAGGACGGAGTTAAAGTGTTGATTGACAGCAAAGCGCTCTTCAGTATCATTGGCAGTGAGATGGACTGGCAGGAAGACAAGCTGAGTGCTAGATTTATTTTCAAGAATCCCAATATCACAGAGCAATGCGGCTGTGGGGAGTCATTCAGCGTTTCATGATAGACAAAGGTGCCAGATGCGCCGGATTCAACAGGACGTATTTACAAAGAGCTAATACGGCAACGGGAGAAACAAACTTGTACAGCCAATATCTATCCCTTACAGACCAACACTGAGAATCATTGGCGGCCCTAGTATACACCTTTTTCATAGTCAATTACTCGAACATCGTCGAACCTGGGCCCGTTTTTCTTGACGAATGCTTGATGGACTGGATCGTGAGCAACATAATAGTCTCGGTCCCCTTTCGATGCGAACTCGACGACGAACCCATGAGTGAATCCTCCCTTCGACTTGATCAATTCCAGCCTTTCCGACTGAGGATCATGGCATCGGACAAACCTGGGCTCCTTCTGGACTGTTGTCTACTCCGCCTGATGAGGAAACGATATATGGCTTATTGGATGTTGGATGCAGACAGGTGTCTCTCAGAGACAGCATATCATGGCAGAACTGTTTTGGTTAACCTTGGCTTGCCATTGCTTCTGTCGTCGGGTCAAACCTCTTTTCTTTCTGCGTCGGTCAACGAAGACTTTAGCTTGAAGAGAACGATGTGTACAATTGCCATTGTATGATGCTTCGTTCCAGGGTTGCTACTGTGGCCGAAAAGCGTCTTTCCTATCGAGCACCTGACTCCTAACCACTCTGTATCACAAATCATCTGGATTCACTTGTCAAAATGATGGTATTTTTGGTCTGCTCAGTTGATAGCCTGTGGGCCCTTGTGCGGGGTACATGTGCCCTGAATGTTTTTTGAAGTCGACTGCCCCTCTCACAGCTTGTCTGGTACGGACTGAGGACAGAAACACCTAGTACTCTTTGTTCCTACGTCGACTATATTGCGGGAAAGTCACCCAGCACCACGATATAAACGCCCAACCTCAAGCATAGAAGCTCACCGAGCTCATCGATCTCTAGCAAGTGCAATACCCCAGAAGAATCTATCTACCATCGACATCAGTGCTCCCGCTTGTCCGTCCGCTCCCCCGAGTTTCGATACCTGGTTGAAAACCATATAAGGCCTTCCGAACCCAAAGGACCATTCTGGCTGTCTGCTAGAACAGTCAGGGTCTTCTCTCACCTCCCTTGCTCATCCTCAAACATGGCCAGCCACTCCCACGACGGCGGCCCTTCTCACTCGCACTCTCACGATCACGCAAACGGCGCACCCCATGGCCACACGCACGAAATCCTTGACGGGCCGGGGTCTTACCTACACCGTGAAATGCCCCTCGTCGAGGGCCGCGACTTCTCCGATCGCGCATTTACAATCGGCATCGGTGGTCCCGTGGGCTCTGGAAAGACGGCACTCATGCTCGAGCTCTGCTTGGCGCTCCGGAAAGAGTACAACATCGCCGCCGTGACAAACGACATATTTACGAGAGAAGACGCCGAGTTCCTGACGAAGCACGGCGCGTTGGCGCCCGAGAGGATCGTGGCGATCGAGACAGGCGGATGTCCCCACGCCGCGGTTCGAGAAGACATCTCGGCCAATCTCCTCGCCCTGGAAGGCCTGCACGCGAAATTCCAGACCGACCTATTACTGATCGAGAGCGGCGGCGATAATCTCGCAGCAAACTACTCGCGCGAACTGGCAGATTTCATCATCTACGTTATCGACGTCGCCGGCGGCGACAAAGTGCCCCGCAAAGGTGGCCCGGGCATCACGGGCTCGGACCTGCTCGTGATCAACAAGTGTGACTTGGCGGCCGCCGTGGACGCGGACGTAGACCTGATGGAGAGAGAGGCGAACAAGATTCGCGAGGGGGGTCCGGTTTTGAGGGCCGTGATCAAGACCGGCGTGGGCGTCAGGGAGACCGTCGATATGATCCTGTCTGCTTGGAAGAGCACCGCCGGGTACCAGCTGAGTCGAGAACGGTGGGCCAAGGGCGGCCCAAAGGGCAGTGGTGAGCAGCCTGTTGTCAATCGGTATACCAGTGTCTTCGCCGGGTCGAGGTAGCCATGCATTACGGGCGAGCGGGATCAAAGGTCGGTCACGCAGGGTAGCAGCTGGAGTTTTGCGGGGGGAGGGAAAACGGAACATATTGCAGCTGGACATTACATTTACCGGGCGCCACAGTGGTAACAAGCGGCATTTGGGAGGAGCACATATATCGTGGACTACATATCTGGAATTTGATCACTGGATATGGGGTTTTCAAAGATGATCCTATCGGCCTAAACCCCTTTCCTGGCGAACCTCGCCAAAGCCGGACCCAGCTCGAGTTTATCCTGCTTCAACCTCTCCTTCTCCCTCTCGGCCCTCTCCTTCTTCATTTCCTCCAGCCTCAGCCTCTTCTCATCAATGATATTCTTGCCGCCCTTCTTCCGCAGATACCTCCTCAGCGCACTGTTCTTCCCTCTGCCCCGGTTCTTCTCTCTGGCCTTTAATTTCGCCAGTGGATCCTCCGCGGGCGTGTCTAGGTCCTTTTCGCGCCTGCGTTGCTCCGCGCTGCGTGTATCCAGCATGCCAATGAAATTGGGGTCCAGCGCGATGGTCTCGGGCTGGAGTTTCGTGAGCAGAGATTTGACTTCGGCTTCTTGTCGCTGTTTGCGCGTTTCATATGGATTGACTTCGAGGGCGTCGTAATTGGGTTCGCCCGCGCCGGGGACAATGATGCTGCTGAACCCATCCGAGTGCGAGATACCGAGAATGTCGTCAAATGGACAGAACCGAGCACGCTCGACGCGGCGGCCATCATTGCCCCAGTTCAGGTAGGGTGATTGGACTTTTGGAGGTCCGCTTGATGAAGAGGTGGTGAGGAGGTCTTTCCATATCGTCACGCCTGTACCACTCGCTACAGCCGCAAGGCCGCGGTCCGATATGTCGATCGAAGAAGCTGGCTGTCGTGTTGTGTAAGAGTGAATCTCCTTCCAGGCGCGGATGTCCCAGAGCTTCAGGCGCAGATCTTGTCCGCCACACAGCATGTAATTGCCTGAGCGGTCGATTGCTATTGACCGCACAGGCCCGGCGTTTGATTGGATTTTGACCAATGGCGTCGTGGAATTAGGCGACCATAGTGAGACCGATCCGTTCTGATGGCCAACGTGGAGGATGGCATTGTATGGATTTTGAGCGAGCGCAGTCGGCGGTCCTTTTCGGGTTGGGTGCTCAGCCACCATCTGGCCGGTCGAAGTGTCGGTGTATCGAAGGAACCCGCTATTCTCGATGCCGGCAAGGAGGAAATGATATGGCAAGAATTCGAGATGCGTAGTCTCAACGTATTTTCTGAGGCAGTGGATCTCGACTCCAGCGTGGTCGTAAATGTAAGTGTGTTTTTTCTGCGCCACTGCGAAATGTTGATCGTTGTGCAACCATTTTGCATCTCTTACTGTCTCGTTCAAGTGTAACTCGCATCCTGGCTTGCCTGCGCGCCATTCGCAAGTGGCAATATGACCTTTTCTTCCTGCGAGGAGCAAACTGCGCCCGTTCCTCGTGTAGTCGGAAATATATGGGCCCAAGTCGAGCCTGAATTCAATTGACTTGTTCGCCTGTTGAATACCAACTGCCTCCAGTATTTCATCTTGCCGGACCTTGTATGTCTTCTCCAGTTCGCTCTCTGGTTGTAGAAACCCCTCCTCGTTCTCGTACAAAATTTCGGCATCTTTGGCGTTCAAGACTGCGGTTCGATATTTGCTCTCGATTCTTTTCAGGTTTGCACGTAGCTTCTTGTCCTTGACCTCGTTGATCCGGACAGGACGGCCTCGGCCATATTTTCTGCGTGCGTCGGCCACTCGCTTCTGATTTTCCTTGTCTTCGGCGGTCAAGGTCTCGGTGCTCGTAGGTTTCCGCTTGGTGGGAGGTGGAAGGTTGTGGATGGTGAGTTGGCCGTCGCCATTCTCGACAAGACTCTCCATTTTCCAAAATCTGTCTTCTGAGGGAGGGGGTCACAGTCCCATGCGTGTTTGATCGAAAAAGATGGTTCAAAAATTTCAGTCGTCTGCTCCCGAGGTTATCCCGAGATCCACACTACGAGGTGAGAACGGGGGTGAGATTTTAATACTCTACACAATGCGAGGAGACACCCCGAGGTGTGGCTGCGCATTATCGTATTATCGTGAGCGCTCAGCTTCCCTGCCTCACCCGTCCATTGCTCCTATGGCAAGGCACTTTGAATACACTGCTAGAAGCCGGTTCAGACTGGAAAGCTAACCCGGCCAACCTGGTCTGCCTCTACCCCGCCCTCTCGCATCTAAGCCCCAGGAACAAAAGCTTTTGACCAAGTATTCGTCCCCCGGAATCTGTGGGAAAGCATGACCTAAAGAGGCCGAGTCATCGTCTGCCGCGTCCGACCACGATGTGCAATTGGGTCAAAAACTGCGAACTTCCCCATCGACTTGCCGTCGACATGCGGCCTTTTTGACATGCTCTTCTCAGCTAAGCCGCCTAATGAGATGGCTGTTGGGCCTCACAAGGCCGCGAAGCTGTCGCCAGACTGGAGCCAGGTGGGCAGCCTCACTTGTCGGTGCCTTGGAGAGAGCCGCGCAATAACAACCTCTCACGCAACAGGCTGACGAGTCCACAGACGTCAGAGGCTGTGGATGAAGCTCTGTTAGCAGAGGATAAATCTGACCCTCTGCCGCGCATTGAGGTGGAAATTCGCTTGGGTGATCACTTGCTAATATCCCAAGAAAAATGCACTCTCTCAAGCTTCTCATTTCATCCCTCGTCGCGACTGTCGTGGCTCAGTCCACAGTGACAGTGCGCGACAATGCCCACAATCTCACCTATATAGGCTTCACCTTCGCAGGAACCGAACAGTTCCAGGGAATCAATTTCGGCCAGGACACGTCTGGCGTCAACCGTTTCAAACCTCCCAAGGCCTTTACCTATCCAACAGGTACAACTGTCCAAGCCACGGCTGCTGGCGCTGCTTGCCCACAAAACACTATATTGTCGTTTCTTGGTGCCATCAGTGAGAACCCCGGCGTTTTCAATATCTCCGAGGACTGCCTAAATCTCGAGGTTGTCAGACCAGCGGGCACGAAACAAAACGCAAACCTCCCCGTAATGGTCTGGATCTCCGGCCAAGGTGATGAGGAAGGCTCATACAACTACACTTTGTACAATCCTACTGCGCTTGTGGCCGGTGCTGCTGCCAAGGGCACGCCGGTGATCTATGTGGCAATGAATTTCCGTGTCAATGTCTTTGGATTCGCCAACAGCCCTGCTCTTAGGACGGAAGGGTCGCTGAACGCCGGCCTGCTCGACCAACGGCTGGCGCTACAATGGATCCAGTCCAACATCGCCGCGTTTGGGGGAAATCCGAAGAATGTTACGCTATTTGGCGAGAGTGATGGCGGTGTCAGCGTGGGATTGTGAGTCTCCCAAAGACCCTTCACGCCGTTGAAAGAGCCTCTCACCGACGTATCGTCTCCTATGATGCCACTCTTTGACGCTAACACACAATAGGCATATGACAGCGTTTGGTGGGAATGGTAAGGATTTCAGGTCATCCACTGTTTAGTGGAGATGCTAAAACGTGACTGACAGGTACTGCTCCCTTCCGTCGAGCTATCATGCAATCTGGGGCGCCAGCGAGTGATCCTGGTGTCACTGGAAACGCAACGGCCACGAACACTGCTGTGGTTGCTCAACTGGCAGGCTGTACAGGGACAAATAGCAGCCTAGTCTTGACTTGTCTCCGGGCAATTCCCATGGTCCAGCTCCTCAATGCCGTTCTGCTATTTGAGAATACAACAACGGCTACCCAAGCCAACGGCGTGTCTCAAGATTTGTTTTTCCCGACCGTTGACGGAAGCTACCTTCCTGATGCTCCCTCGACTCTGATTCGCACAGGTCGCTTTCACAAAAACATAGCCGTCATTACAGGATGGAATGAAAATGACGGCAGCATCTTTGTCCCTCCGACCCTCAATGGCTCAACCGCTGTACAGGCTTTCTTGCACTCCTCGTATCCGAATCTCAACTCGACTACGCTATCAAGGCTGCTCTCGTTGTACCCAGTCAACGGGTTCGTGGCAGCCGCCCAGGCCTCGCAGATCTCACCTTTCTTCCTGCAAGCATCGCAGATCTACCGCGACATCAATTTTGCATGCCCATCAATCGATGCATCTCACCGCGTTTCTCAGTTTGGCAGTGCAAGCTACCTATACGTGCTCAACGCGACGTCATTGACCAGCGTGCTCCAGATTTTCAATGCCTCCTTCGAAGGGGTCATCCATTTCTCCGACGTACCTTTCGTCTTCAACCAACCGAACGTCGGCTTCGGAACAACGGCGGCAGCGAACCTGACTGCAACCAGGATGTCGGGTAGTTGGGCACATTTTGCATCGACGGGTAACCCGAGCGGCAACCCTGCAATCACTCTGTCAGGCTGGACCCAAGCATATACCAAATCTCAAGCTGCAGTGAAGAGTCAGAATGTGACAGGAGCGAGTATTAGAGTTATTGGTGGACCTCGCGCAGGACAAGCGCAGCTGTCATTAAATGCTCGAACCGCGGCGGAGCCTCAGCTGTTGCAACGATGTGCATTTATCAACTCGGCGGCATTCTATCAGCAGTTGCAGACATGAAAGTTTGCGACGGTTCTGCCAAATCATGCAGACGCGGTGTGATACTTCTATCATCAATGGTTCACGTACCCAGTACATAATACATGATAGCTTCCGGCTAAAGGATAATCCAAGCTCTGTGAGAACTGACTATACTACGAGGTACTGGGTACTAGGGCACTCGGTCCAAAGTGCCTTCTATGAAGCTCCGTGTATCTCCGAAGAATGAAGTTGCAAGGCTGCAGAGCAAGGCTGAGCGCATTTTTCGTTTCCAGAAACGGCATAATTATTCTTGGCGGAAAGTATTCCATCTCCGGCTTCGGTTCCCCCTCAACACTGAGTTTGTCATAAAAGCCTCCAGCCAACTTTTCATGATTTTGCCAGACTAACATAACCATCCTAGAAGAGTACCACCATTGGTATTCTATGTGCTCATACTGAAATTTACAATCCGAATCAAAGCAAGATACTACAATACTATACAATCAAGACCCAGCAATGTCGTTTGGTAAATTGCCTTCTGAGGTACACTCTCTGATCATTGGGCTAGTCGCAGACAACTCCTCATGGAAAGAAGGGTTGCGCCTTCGATGTGTTAACCGTAAGTTACTTCAAAATTGCTGTCGTTCGACGCGCATCGAATGACAAAACGTCTGGCAGGTCTATTCAATCGCGAAATTCAGGCCCAATACTTCGATTTTGGCAGAGTGCACACCAGTATGGAAGAGGATTTTGAGAAAACAACGTTGAAAATGGGGCTTCAGCACTTGTACCGGTTACTGAAGGGACAGGTATGCTCGCCACGGCCGAAGACTGCCCTGATCACCCACTTAAAGGGTGCTGTTGCAATCCTGTTGTCGACTCCAGCTTTCCCTGTGTCGGACAATTTCGAAATCAGAAATGTTCACACTGTCAGTGGCACGATACGACTCGAGCCGGGAGATTGCACGGGTCAGACGGCGAACATGGTTGCCCTCAGCGTTCTCGATTTCGTTGCCGGGGACAAAACCACGCTGTGTGCGCAGCTGGAACGTCTAGCCAGAAGCCCGCGACAAATCGATTCCCTTTCCTGGGCGTTAGTGACTGCAATTTCTACGAAAGATACGGTCACCATGAAAACTCTCGTAGAGCGAGAGCCTGACATGGATGTTCGAAAGCACATCCTTGCCGATCCCTTGCGCTTTACCATAACGAGCCACTGGTATGATATGGCGCGATATCTCTTGGATCATGGCGCGGACGTCAACACCCCACATCATCATTCACATTGTTCACCAAGATACGATCGGATGGCAATCGAGCAACCTTGTCTATCGGGCGATGCCAGAATGGTGGCATTGATGCTCGAGCCCCAGTACGGGCTCAAACTAGATGCAGGAGACCGTGATAGGCTTTTGTGCTCAACCGTGCGGAAGCTGGCCCAACCCAGGCATGCTGATCGCACTAATAGCTATATCAGTATTGTTCGACTTTTGTTGCAGTCAATAGTACCCGCAAATGACCAAGGCTCTGTTCAGCACCTCGTGGTTCATCTCGCCGTTGTGTACGACGTGCACGAACTGATCCCGATCGTTGTGGAGATGGGCTATGACGTGAATGAAACCGAGGGTGGTCGGACGCACCTGAACCTCGCCGCAGCCCGTGGTGAAACCGAGGTGGTCCAGACGCTACTCGACCATGGCGCGCGGCACAGTCTTGAGGGTAACCATGACGCTGTACGCGCAGCCTGTGTTAATGGAAGGGCAAATGTACTTCGCATCTTGCTCACCCAAGTGACTACCATCGAGGAATATGGTCATGCGTTGGCAGCTGGTCATTTCCTGCTCGCCGCCAAGGCCAGTTTCAGCGATCCCGACACTATGTTGCGTTACATGGAGGTGCTGGATTGTCTCTGGGAACATGGACTGGACCTCGATGCGGCTAACTGTGGTGTCAAGGCCTTGAAATATTCCATTGAAAACAGCCACTTTGCGCTTACCGCGAATCTTCTTGCGAAGGGGTTGCACCTTCCTGAAAAATAAAATCAGAATATAAGAGTCCAAGCGCGTCACGAAATTCACTCAAAAGGGTCATAAATAATACGCCTGTATCAGCTAAACTTAATCCGGACGTAATTAACCCCGCGCTCCGGTCCTATTACAATGTTGGTACGATGTTACGGTGTACCAGTGTCGTCAATGTCCTTTGCTTGACGTCTAAGCCGTGTCTTCCAATTTGAAGCAAAGCGTAGCCTGCACTCGAGTACAACTAGTACTAATGTCTCAAGAAGATACACATAGATGTATTAAATACATTTTGGGATGGATAAGAGGAGAAGTCAGCCGTCTTTTCGTCTGCTATGTACTAGTACTACTGCAAATACTACTAAGTACTATGTGTGACCCGGCCCAAATAGTGGGCTGAAATCGAGCTGGCAGTACTAGCATGGTAGTACTTAGTGATTGATGGGTTACTAGAAAAATCAGACGTTTTCTGGCCTTGACGTGGTCCTGGTGGACTGCTAGTACGTTAGTAACTATGTAGTACTTGCCAGGAGTACTACATATATACTCACTATGTACATAGTATCTGATTGGGTTCTGATCGTGGATCAAAGCCTTATATCTGTTGATTCTATCGAGGCTCCAATCCGCAATCGATCCGGTGGCGTAGGGCAGGGCTTGCGCATGGGTAACGGCTAGTATGTATAATACGTCGTACTAGCATATAAGAAGAATCGACTGAATCGAATCATAAAAAAAATTTGATGGAAGTGGGACTGGATTAGACTTATATACTTGTGTACCAGTAGGTGTTCCTCTCACTTTCCTCGTGATATGTAACTGGTACTTACTAGGACTATGTATTGCCCTGAAGGTGTTAAAAAGGCAGTAGCGAGCGATTTCGGAGCGATCAATTCCTGGTCACCTGGAACACGAGCAGCACTCACATCTTTTCAGCCGTCAGTGGCAGCTGCCCTACCCCCTGTTTGCGAATCTCTTCGTCCCTCTTCTCCTTCCACTTCAGACCGGCGCCGTCCAACAAGCTCCAAACCTTTGATATCTTGCCCTTTTCAAAGGTGTAAAACACATGCTCGTAAAACGTGTCCTGCGTCGTCGACGACGTGGGCTTGTAGGTCAACTTGAGTCTGGCCGCGATCGACCCATCGCCCTCACGTGTGTCCTTGCTTGTCGTCTTGGTACCAGCAATAGTGACAGGAGTAGTTTGTGCCTTCTCCATGACGAGCATGTCCACCTCAAAATGCAGTCCTGGGAGGTCCCTTTTGCTGTCACTTATGATCTTTGCGTATTCGTCGACCGACATTGGCGCAGAGTCGTTGTGAACCACGCCATGGTTGACAAACTCAGACAGGTCTCCCGGACCACACTGGCTAGCGTTGATCTTAGAGATGTAGGCCAGATATTGATGTCTGAGATCTCCGTCAAAAGGTTTCACAACCGGCCGGTCTTCCCATACGTAGCTTTGTTCGTCTTGTCATTAGTGGCCGAACAGACACTTCTAGGTTTCTTTCGGTGGGACAAGCATACTCATCATCCTCGTCGTCGTCGGGGTTCCTGTCGCCCAACACAAATCTCTCCTTTCCATTGGGTTGCATCTCTTCTTCGATGGCTACTTCGCCGAGACGCGAGAAAACTTCGTCTATGACAGCGGCAGCATCCACGTGTTCGTTATGGTGACCGTGGTGCGTGGAGTGTGCAGCGTGTGGGGGCGCCGCGTGCCCCGTGTGCGGCATAATTACTAGATTGCGGTGTCCGAAATAACTGAGAGCTCAAATGTCTAATGAGTTTTCTGCTCAGTCGAGTTGAGAATGTGTTTGCATAGGGATCCTTCAGCACATTTCTAAGCGTACTCGGTATACGCGGTTTAATATTCAAGATCGTTGTGTTTTGCCATGTCGATCATGCCACTTTCACGTGACTATTGGAGAGCGGGTGGTCCTTCCAATCGGAAAGATCCTTCATTGGCATTCTCTCTTTCGCTCTTCGATCATTGGACAACAAGTACTGGGTACTTGTAATTGATACTGTAGTACGGGTACCGGTCACGATCCAAGAGACCAGCCGATATTTTTGCGGAGAGACGTTTCATGTTGCAAGTCCCCAAGTATCCCATGCGCAGTCAACTTTGCTGAGTAATTTCTTGGCACACAATTCAGATGCACTTATTTTGACGATAGCTCTCCTTCTCACCTATTTTGTAGTGGGCGCCACCCGTGGATCACGCCGAGGGGCCGTTAGCAACAGGTGAAAGCAACGCTTGTGCTGACAAAGGGGGGTTTTCAGCCTCGAGGCCACCCAACTCAGCCCCTAGATGATACTATTACGGTAAAACGCTCTGTGCCACCAACGAAAGTGCTTGTTTCGTCGATCACGTCACAAACAAAGGACGAGACTCGAGAACCAACATCCGCTATATCTCAGGCACGAGTGGAAAGAGCCCCTTTGCTTGGCGTTTCGAGAGATCGGAATGACCCCAACGCTGATTTCGTTAACCTTTGCGAATCAAACGACGGACCAGGACACTGTCACGGGTTGATTCCAGGTCGGTCACCAGGCGCAAAGCGTTTCTGGTCTGCCCGCGGCGGCTCTCCTCGGCGTTTGACATGTTTTGTCGAAAAGCATACGAGTACACTTGGTGGACCGGGGGCCAAATAAGTCGAAGGTGCAAGGTGTGCAAGGCTGGAGGCCTGAATTGACCGAAACAATGAAACAACGCCAGGAAAGGCCCCCCAAACCACTACGCGAAGAGCCCGTCACGCCAAGCCTCCCGCCAAGATATTCGAGGTAAGAGTATTTTAGCAGCCAATAGGGTAACCAGCGACTGCCTTTTTCAACCTAGCGGAAAGTGGAGGGACTGATCGCACCCACTGTACCCAGTACCCGGTATCAGGACACGCACCTTCCACCTCTCCACCCACTTCACCATCCAACCTCACTGCTTGCTCACTGGTAAAGGCGCTCGGGCGCCACCAAAAAACTTCCTCCTATCAATCCAGCTTTCCCTTTTCCAAAACAGTGTTAACCAAGTCCACGAAATGGACCCGGCACATTAATAAGACTCGGTAGCTAATACCCGGCAGAGCTAAACTCGGTCTCTTCCAGCTCTGCTACCCTCCAAATCACCTCCAGAAGTGCAGTGGTACAAACAACACCCGCCTCCAAATACCAAGCACCAAGAGGCGATCTGTGACTAAGCCCGGTCTGAGGCGAGATTGTGGCCGCATCGCTGGACCAAAACTCGGTCAGAAATCGCTCTCCGTGTCGAACAGGATGACTACCTTAGTCAAATGTTTCAACTACGGCCGCATCCCGTCGCCTGAGCTCTTTCAGGCAATTCCAAGTCACCTCACTCCAATCAAACTTGTGGTTTGGCGCGACCATATGATGGATGTATACTAGGTGATAGTCTTGGTCTTTTTGGCGGCTCTTTTAGACTTTTGGCCCCAGGCGTCCAGGAGACCTACGTTGATTGATGTTGAGATCCCCGTGGTTATTTTAGTACAGTTCCGTTTCTTTAAAAGTCCTGCTGGCCGTCGCCATGTTCGATTTCCACAGCCCCTACCGTCTGCGCAGTATGTGCTCGCTGCCGCAGCATCTTCTCTTCTGTATAGCGCGCATTTTCATACTGGCAACATGAGTACGCTTTACTCTCGTCTACAACCCCAAGGTACGAGCAGGGAACGTTTGGCAGGCGGGGCTCACGATGTCCCCTTGACGAGTATGGGAGGCCAGACTTCCGAGAATTGGAGCCAACCCGGATATAGCGACGATTCCCTTAATGATCGCATGAAACCCGACCAAGAATATGGACATGCACGACCTGGAATGACAGGTACGGCCGATCATTGGAGGCCCCTTCGATATTCCTCTTATTGACACGAATCCTAAGGTCAACCCTACCGAACAGACTCTAGTTTTAGCATTCCGTCGGTCGTGTCGTTGCCCTGGGAACACAAACTCAACGAGAAACATATTCGCGATGTCCCCACGAACACCGAGACCGTGAGATACTTTGACCCTCGCCGGCAGACACGGAGAGTCTTCATCGACTGCTTGAAGATGTGGTTTTGGACGGCCGCAATTTGTGGCGCCCTCGCAGGCACAATGTACGGCTTTTCCACCATCAAGACCGGCCTCTCGCAGACGCAGAAGTACGTTTACAACGCCATGATCACCGGCCTCTCCATTGTGCTCGGGCTTGCCTTTGCCGCACAGTTCAAGCAGTACGCCGAGATGATGCGGTGGAGATTTCTCGCATCGCAGTATCGAACCATTCAAGATTTCGAAGACGTCCTTGGGTGCGATAGTTACCGAAGTACCCTGCGCATTATGTGGAGAGGTCGGCGACCAGGCACATGGTACCCGAGCAAAGCTCAAGTGGTTGCGTTTGTTTGGCTTCTCATCTTCGTGACCTTCAACACCTTTGCTGCCCTTCTCGGGTTGACATATTCCATTGATGTGTCGGATGAGTTTGTATCCGTCAGTAAGGGTATGTTGCCAGGCCGTTGCTACTCATCTGAGAGACTCGATGAGCTTGGCGATTCTTTTATGCTAACATTCCACAGGCCTTGTCAGCGTATCCGACCTTCAATATATTGCAAGCCAACCACAACCCGACAACGGCAAGGACTACGAGCCAGAGTTTCAAAAAGCCGCCGCGAATCTCTGGGGTCAGGTGGGTCAGAATTTTCCTGTAGTCACGTCAACGCTCGACGACTACAGTGCTGGATCGAATGTGTTCACAAATCCGGCAAGGGACCAATGGTGGTACCGGTTCGTTGACTTGGGGCCCGACCTCAAGACAAATGTCGCTTCTTCAAGGACCGTCACCAGCCAAGCGCAATGCGAGGAGTATACAGTCCTGTTCGGTGGATACGCCGGATTCAATACCGATAATATCACACTGCTGAATACAGTCCAGTGGGTGGACAACTATGGCAATTTATTTAGCGAGGACGTGGAAAACGTGGCGACTGGGTTGACGACTTGGATGGGAAATTCCAGCAGCGAAGGCGTCGGCTGTGGCCCCCGATGCAGCCAGATCCTGGCGCTACAGTCAGCTAACAATGGAACAGTCCCGAATCCTCGTCTGTGGGCATGCAACAATACGGTTGGGCAAGTGGCAGGTATCGACGAAAGTGGCTTTAGTGATCCGGCCCTCCTCAACCTGCCTGACGACCAAGCCTTCTACCTTGCAGGTTCGATTGGCTGGACCGGCGTCGAGACCGAGGGTGACGACCTCCAGTTCTTCCTTTTCGACGGAGACACTCCCTTCAATCCGGCCGGCAACGCCACGGCGCAGTCCATGGCGGAGCTAGTGATGAAGTTCACAGTCGGGGCGCTGGCGGCGATGGACTTGATGGGCGGACCACGCCAGAACCTCACGGGCGAGTCCAGCCCCCGTCCGGCGCAGGTCGTCAACGTGAAATGGGTCGACGCGGGCGCAATCCTGGCCGGGATTCCCCTCGTCCAGTTCTTCCTGCTCGTCGGCGTCGTGTGGTTCTCCGGCAAGGCCATCATCCTCGAGCCCAGCTTCATGACCGCTGCGCACCTGCTGTACCCCGTCATCAAGAAGGTCGGCAAGGACGGCTGCCTCTTCACCGTCGACGAGATGGCCGAGAGGCTGGGCAGCAATTACAAGATAGCCTACGGGGTCCGTCCCGATCCCGCCGACCCAGGTCACCACGACACCACTTTCGTCCGTGACCTGGACGTGATTGAGGAGCGAGAAGGGTACGGCTATATTCGTGGCGCCTTCCCCGAGGGGAGGTATGACTGAGATGCTTTCTCATGATGACTGTACGAGCGTTGTGCTCCTTTGAAGGATATTTGAACAGCAGCCTGTCTATACCTGTATATTAGAAAGCAAAAATAAACCACCTTGTCCGAACAGTTCTCTCGCGGTGGCCACTTCGCAAACTCGTGGACCCTAGGTGCCCATGAAAAACCGTGCACTTGTGATGTCTGACGTTGCCGAGAAGCTGCAATTTTATCATTATCAGGGACCGACGCCTCCTCCCATTCTATGCATGCTGTCTCTATCCAGATGACCCGTTGATCAATATATCTCTTTTGTTCTCCCTCTATTATCGAGCCAACCCCCCCCCCCCTTGAGTTGGCAAAGGAGGTTTCCGTCTACCGAAACTCCAAGGATGTGCTTGGCAACCTTCAGAAACCTCAAATTCACAATCTCGCAGTCAGTGGAGTGGCATCATCCGCTGCACTGTCTATCCGTTGGCCGATCTCGTTGAACTCGATCTTCTTGCCCGTGATAAGACTCTCTTGCAATGCACAGCCGATCTTGACCGCTGCAACAGCGCCTTCGAGTCGGAAGGGAGGCTCGGTGTTGTCGAGACAGCAGGCGGTGAATTCGTTTGCTTCAGTGATGAACGCCTCCCGGAAGCGGCCGTAGTAGTGCGGCGGGATCTCACGACGGATGCCCGATGGCTCGTAGATGTTAACTAGGTTGGACATTGGTTGTGTGTTGATGGCGAGTTTCCCTTCGGTGCCGGTGATCTCAGTGCCTGATTCCGCCCGTTAGATGACATCCTGAATGAAGGTAGCCCCTGCGAGGGAACTGGTAAGGCCTTACTGTCTTCCTGTCCAGCAGCCATCATTCTACTGCAGTATAACTGAGCGATCTTGCCTCCGTAGAATTCGACGATGCCCAACGCATTGTCACGATCGTTGTACTTTCGCAATTCGGGAGAGACAGCCGTGATGCCGATCGCGCTGACGGACTTGACGACGGAGTCCTCGCCGAAAAACCACAGCGCCAGGTCAATGTCGTGGATTGAGCAGTCCACGAAAATGCCACCCGAAAACTGCGCGTACTGCACAAAGAACCCAGATGGATCAAGCTTGTCGCAGGTCTGGGATCGGAAGACAGCTGGGCGTCCGATCAATCCCGAGCGCATCTTCTGATAAGCGTCCCTGTACGACGCATCGAAACGGCGGGAGAAGCCGCAGATGACTTTCTGGTTCGGGTAGGTTGTCTTCGAAGCCCGGTATGCCGTGACGACTGCCTGCGACTATTGGGGGCATAGGGTCAGCATGCCGGGACAGACTCCATAGCACAGGTGAAAAAGACTCGGCCACATACGACTTCCGGATTCGTGCTGAGAGGCTTCTCACACAGGACGTGGAGGCCACGCTTGATGGCTTTGATGGCCTGCTCAGCGTGAACAATGGTTGCCGACGCAACGACAACGGCCTGCAACTCCTTCTCTTCCCTCAACATCTCGTCGTAATCCAGATACGTCCGCACACCTTCCAAGTTTCGGGTAGCCCACGCCAGTTCTTTCGGATCTGGGGAGGAAACGGCAATCAAGTCCGCACGAGGGGTCATGGTATGGAAATGGAGAGCATGGCGAGCTCCCATGCGGCCCAGTCCCGCGATCGCGACCTTGAGTTTTGGCGAAGACATTCTTGGAATGTGTTGTCTATGGAAATCGAAGTGGGAAAAAGAAAAAAAGAGTATCAAGCAGCAAAAGAGAAGACGTAAGAAGTCTGCAAATAAGTGACCGGAAACACTCTCTCACCACTGGATTATGAGCAGGAGACGCCAACCATTAAGCACGGCCCATCAGCCTATATACCTTTGGGAGGAGATTTCGGTGTTGTGTTGACATGGACAATCATGTCGATGAAAATGAAAATTCTCGTGGGCGGTGAAGGAGGAAGCAGCATTGGGTGATCTGATGATCAGCTCCATATCAACCAGCTTAGGATCCGCAGCCCCAAGCCCAGCCCCGGGGGATGCCTACCGACCACTTGTTGGTGAGCCGCTGCTCTCCAGCCATCGGAAGAAATTGCCTTGTTCTGCCTCGGACCCCTTTCGCCACATCTGACGGGAGAAGAAGGGTCTTGAAGGGTCAAGGTTGAGGCTAGGCGAGGCGGGGAAGTGGAGGATCAAAAAAACAGGCAATTCTCCTCCGGCTGCTGCGTCCCATATGCTTTTCAGCTTCAGCTTTCTGTCGTCCTTGTGCCTCCTTCGGCGAAGATACACCTCGTTTTACCTGATCCATCACCCATGACTCCATCCGGGTCGATGATCGAGCCATGGAGGCTTCAGATCTCGACCATCAACAAGAACAGGAACAGGGAGGGAGCCGCCTGAAGGGCATCCACGATGTGGACCCCGTCACAGGTCGGAGCAAGCGCAAAGCAAGAGTCAGTCCTTGCGATAACTGCAGAGGTGTTTCTCTCTCTCCTCTCCTTCAGCCTTGTCCAACCTCCAACCCCTATTCTAGAAACACCCTTTTCACGTGACGTACTGACGGGCTCGGAATAGAGAAGCACATCAAATGTAGGGTGGTGCCTTTCTGCCATGTGAAAATAATCATGAGCATGAGTGCTGAGCTATTCTAGGCGATCTGATCTTGGGCGTTTGCAAAAGATGTCAGAGGACTGGCGAGCGGTGTATCCGCAGCAGGACCGGCATCAGGTTTCGACATGGGTCTAGTGCCAGATACGATACCAAGGGTTTCTCGACAAACCAGACTTGGTTGAAACCGAAAAAGGCGTTTGGTATGGGCATTCCGGTCTGGGGACACATGGTACTGACACTCCCCTCCCCCCCCCGCAGAATTAAAATACATCGACGAGACTGCCGAATTGACAGCAATCTATGACCAGGATGCAGAATTCGAGGATGCCGACGACCTGGAGGGTGAAGACGAGGTTGAGCCCGGGCCGGCTTCATCTCTAGGGGATGGAGAGGGAGGCGATAATCCAGTTGGCCTTCCTGACACAGCCACGCATTCATACCACCCAGATGAAGGCACAACGGATTTCACCAATTCAGGGACAGGGACGGGAGACGCTTCGAATGCCGGGGGCAGTGCATGGCCATCACAAACAGGCCAACAATCCATCCTTGACGATGCCGCTGAGTCGACTACTGGACCTTCGCCCCTTTACATACGCAGCCATTGGAGTGCCCAGAGATCAATCCCTTACTCTTCCCCTGTTCAGACCAGGCCGCAAGCCATTGACCCGGCGAGCTCGCCGCTGTTCACGGGCCTGGTGAAAAAGCCATCGAGGTCATCGACCCAATCAATACACACGGTGCAAGAGGTGATTCTTCTTCGCTATTTCGTGGACCATCTGGCTCGGTGGTTCGATCTCTGTGACCCAGAGAAACACTTTGAGTTCATTGTCCCTCAGCGTGCGCGCTGGTGTCGGCCACTACGAAACGCCATGCTTGCCGCTGCAGCACGCCATCTCACTCGCGTTCGCCATTCAAAGCTAGGCCCGGAGAATGTTTATTACCTCGACGGCCAGCCGGTTCCTGACCTGACCGAAGAAACGGCCTTACACTACCACAGCGAATGTATAAAAGACCTACTCAAACGAAGCCTCGACCCAGAACAGACGAGAGACGAGAACCTCTTGGCGGCAGCCATCATCCTCCGTTTTTACGAGGAGATCGACTCGCCCCTCCGCGCCGATGAGGAACGAGACAGCGAGCTCTTCCTTCGTGTCATGAACGTCTTTATCGATGCACAAATTCCCTCGGTCCCGCTCGTCCCACACAGTTCACCGGTCATCAACGGGCCCAAGGTCGGCCCGATTGCGAGATACAATACCGTGCCATCTCCAGAAGCGGTGCATTCCCCTACTGTCCCCGCAGTCGCATCTCCCGCGCAGAACTTGGGCAGTTCAGCTGATGGCCAGTCGAGGTGGCGAGCAGACGGTCTCTGTCAAGCCAGTTTCTGGGTGGCATTTCGCCAGGAGATATATTCGGCCTTCCTCAAACAACGGCCTTTTAACCACGATCTCTCGCGCTGCGAGGCATTTCGATCCTTCTCACCGGCCGAAGACGCCGTGTGGGCCGACAGGTTGATCATTTTTTGCGCGGACGTCCTCGAATTCTGTTACGGGAACAGCAACTCGAGCACGCGCCTGGACACAAACCTCTCCACCACGGACAACTGGCTCTCACTCAAGCAGTACGAGGAAATGTGGCCGGAAGTACTCCCAGCCTCCTTCGAACCCATTTACTACCGCGACCCGGACAGATCGAAGGGAGAGGTATTCCCCGAGGTCTGCTATTTGGCCGATTGTCACGTCACCGGCGTGCAGCACGTTGAACTGGCCAAGATCCTGCTGGCCGTGTATGATCCTACGAGACCGAAGCTAGGGCCAGGCCATGTCGCCAGCATGAAAGCATTGAGCCGGGAGTTGAGGACGATCGTGCTGCGTCTTTGTGGAATTGCCATGAGCAACCGCAAGACGCCACCGGGCCTGGTGACGGCACTGTTGGGCATAGTGGTGTGCGGAGATCACTTCGAGGACAGAATGGAACAAGATGCTCTGTTTGGCATATTGGACGAGCTGGAAGGGACGCACGCTTGGCCGATTGGCAACACGAGGAATCTGCTGAGGGACGCTTGGGGAAGGGCCTGAGAGCACGGACATCCTCTTGATGTTTTGAGGTCCTATGCCGGCAATGATACTTGGGAGAGGTACTCTGCTTTACTTCTTGTACGCTGTGCCACAGAGGTATATGCTCTGAGTTGACATGTAAATTCATGCGCGACTTGACGTGTCTGGGTCCAGCGAAGCGAGTAGCACCTGATCGCACGACTCAACCAAGGCCGAGCGAGAGGTCTATCCGAGGCAACTCCATTCCTCCATCATGACTGCCATTCCCTCCCAGCGCAAGCGAGCCTCGTTCGGAGAAAAGCCATAAGCCACTGGTAGAGGAGCTCTCCCGGCCCCCTTCTGGAAATGCATCATTATTAACCCTTCTCTTCCCCCTCCCTCCTTAAAAGGGAGATGTTACGACGCGATGTCACTCACAACGCTGAAACTGAGAGACGAGAGACTTTGGAAAGAAAAGAGAAGGGAAGAGAAGGGAAGGCAAAGCTCGGAGTTTTTTTTTGGCTTTCTTCTAGAACAAGACTCGGCGAAAGAAAGCCTAGATAGACGGCGGGCACCACTTTCAGTCGCGCCGACAAATTTCCTTTTCTGTCCAAAAGGGCGCTTTTTCGCCTGGACGTGGCGCCATCTGGCCTTTCTCTCCCTCCTTACCTCCCTCTCTCTCTCTCTCGTGTGAATATTACACGCCGAACATTTCATCGAATTCTACGACTGGGAACTGGCTCACTAACTATCCAGGCACGCAACCACCTAGAGTCCGTCCAGGGACACCGCCGGAGCTGCAACTGTGTTGCAATGCGACTGCAGCATATAGAAACCCCCCCCGAATACTAGGCGTCAGCACTGATGTGTGTGACATACATTGTCCAGCAATTCCAGAAAGGTGAGCCCAGAAAAAAAAAAGCCAGAAAGCCAGGCTGAGTCTTGTTGCACCCGCTTCTCTTCCTGGACGTCAGTGTCTGCGGTCTTTTGACAATCCCGTTGTCGATTATTCCCTCCCCATATCTACCTGTCCTGTGCCTGCTTGTCAAACGGCGAGCCCGAGGAAAAGCAAACAAGATGCTAGGCGTGGCTGGTGCCCTGTTTACCCTCGTGTTCGCCATCAGTTATTTCATCCTCGTCCCCTTCATCACCTACCTCCGCGACCAAAAGGGCCTGCGAAAATACCCCAATTTGTCACTTTGGTCTGGAATATCGGACTTGCCTTTCATCTACGAAGCACACAGGGGCTTCCGGTCGCACGCGCTGCTAGAAGCTCACAGGAAGTCGCCGGTCGTGCGGATTGGGCCGAACTCGCTCTCGTTTTCCAGCCCCGAGGCGATCAAGGACATTTACGGGCACAACACAAAATGCAGCAAGGACGTCTTCTACCAAGAGCTGGCGGGGAGCCATTTTCACCTTGCGGATGTCGTCGACAAGCCCGAGCACGCTCGGAAGAGGAAGATGTTGTCAAGTGCCTATGCCATTAAGAATTTGGAGGGATGGGAACACAAGGTTGCAGACATGACGGCTCGGTTGATCAGGGCGTTCGACGCTCGATGCTCTGCACCACGGCCCAAGGGCCAGCTGCCGACGAAGGAAGACCTCACTGTCGATTATCGCATGTGGACCAACCTATTCACCGTGGCAGCGATTGCCAACATCGGGCTGAGTGAAGATCTGGGCTTCCTAGACCGAGGAGATGACCTAATTACCTCCGAGGCCGCTGATGGAACACTGAAGAAAGTCCACTTCAGAGAGTGCCTACACGCCACGGCATGGGCACAGTCGAATCTAGTCTGGTCTTACAGCTGGTACAAGAGACTGGTTCGCCTGAGTAAAATCTTCTCTCGTACCTACCGGGAAAAGTGGCGGTTCAACCAAGACTGGGACGGCATTGTACGAAACCGGGCCACGACAAGGTTCAAGCGATACCTGGCCGGTGAACAGCTGGACGACTTTTTCACGGCCATCTTGCACGACAAGTCAGGCAGGCCCAACAACCTCGAGTGGGGCGAAATGGTCGCCGAAGTCAGCATCATGATGAATGCCGGCAGCGACACGACGGCAATTGCAATGAACAATGCAATGTTCTTGCTCTTGAAGAATCCAGCCTGTCTGGAGAGGCTCAGAGAAGAGTTGGACAATGCCCTCGGGGACGACGAGGGGGTCGCGTCCTACGACAGGATCAAGCACCTCCCTTACCTCCGGGCCTGTCTTGACGAGAGCTTACGCCTCTTCCCGCCAACGACCTTTGGGTTGCCTCGTCGCACGCCGGCCGAAGGAGCGCCAGTCGCGGGCGATTTTATTGCAGGAGACACCTCAGTGTCCATGTCCTCGTACGTGGTGCACCGGGACAAGACTATCTTTCCAGATCCAGAAGAGTACAAGCCCGAGAGATGGTTAGGGCCAGCAGGCAAGGAGTTGCAGCCTTATTTCATTGCCTTTTCTGCCGGGGCACGGGGCTGCATTGGTCGAAATATAAGCTATTTAGAACAGATGGTTCTGTTGGCCTCTGTAATTCACCGGTTCGAGTTCGCTTTGCCACACCCTGAGTGGGAGCCGACGAGGAGGGAGAATTTCAATCTCTCGCCAGGGCCTATGCCGCTGAAGGTCTGGAGACGGGAGAGGATGCATGAATGAACGCGGCATGGGACATGGAGCATGCAAGCACAGAGCGAACTTCTTTGGTTCAATATATCCCCTAGCAAGTGAACGTTAAGCGGTGAATGAAAGGAAGAGAGCATGGTTCACGTATCCCAAATCCTCCTCGTATTTGATACATTTCCGCCCAAATAATAAATCTGTTCAAGCCATCTGAGCGCTCCTTTTTTTTGGCCACGCCAATGTGATCGAGACTATGATGTGTGATGTGTCGTCACACCTCGTCAGGATCAGATCAAAGTCCGGCTTCGTTGTCTGTCAGCTCTTGACTCGTTTATCCGTAATGACAAACCGCAGAGGTCTCGTGTTGGGGAGGATGCGGGAGGGCGCCAGTTGACTCCAGACTGACTCGAGCGACGATCGGTCGTGACGGCAAGGCACCCCGTGTTCTCCGGCCTACCAGGCCAAAGGTACTCGGTACAACCGTGTGAGAGAAAGATGGAGAAGGCTAGTGAGGCCTGGGGGAGGGCGGCGTCTTGTGTCTGGGGTGCGGGCGAAATATTGCCTTGTGTGGCATTGTGGGGATGCTTTCGCCGACGTCTGGGCGCAGCAAGCGCAGGAACATCTTCGCCCAGTCCTTCCCCCGGACACTCCCCTCCCCACCTCAAACTAGCCAACTCTCAGCGAGCAGCTCCAGGAATGCGATCGTTCCAGCCTCTTAGCCTTTCGTAATTGTGGCCAGGCTCATTGGTTTGCCGCCGCGCCCAGTCATCCTTCACTGGTCAATGGTCGCTGGCTCAAGGATTCGACATCATGGATCCCCCTCCGATCGACCGGCGAGACACACACACACGAGACTTCCAGAAAGGAAAAATGTATCAATCGCAATGCGGGAAGAGCAGGTGGGATTGTCTATATAATCCCAGGAACCCCCCCGGGATCTGAGACCACTTCAACCCCATCCCAACGCCTCGAGCACCGAGAAGAAGGCTCAAGACTCGATCAATCAACAGCCCAGAGATCGCCTCTCGTAGTTTCCCCTCCGCCCTTCCTCTCGGAGCTTTGATCCACGATGGCGAGCCGCGACCATCTCTCCATTGAACAGAAGATCCAAGAGAAGACAGCTCACCATGAGTACCTCGAGGAACCACCCCGACACGAGCTGCGAGGGAGTCTTCGCGCCGACAGCCTGACACGCACCTCGTTTGACCGTCGCCACTCGACATCCATGCCTGGCACCGGCAGTCGCCGTGAAAGCATCCGGAAGAGCTTCGACAGGGCCAACATCGCAATGGTAAGTTTTGGCTCTACAGTGACGCAGTTCGCAACATGAGGTAGCTGCTCCAAAAACAGGATGAAAAATGGCTAACCAATCCATAATCACAGGTCTTCCCAGATTCGACCCACGTCGAGATGTCCGACGATGAAATGGGCAAGAACTCGATTGACGACATCTCCCCTTCATGGTTCGTCTGGCTGGTCGCTTTGACCGCCTCGATCGCCGGCTCTCTCTTCGGCTATGACACGGGCATCATCTCCGCCGTCCTGGTCTACCTGAAGAACGACCTGGACAATCGCTCCGTCTCGTCCAACGAAAAGGAACTTATCACGTCCCTCTGCTCTGGGGGTGCTTTTGTCGGTGCCATCATTGCAGGCCTCACTGCGGATAAGTTTGGCCGCAAAATGGCCATCTACGTCGGCTGTGCTCTCTTCACCATTGGCGCCGTTCTGCAAGCCGCGGCGTATTCGATTGCCCAGATGTCCGTCGGGAGACTCGTCGTCGGATTCGGTGTCGGTTCAGCTGCCATGGTGGTAAGTCTCCTCTGAACTCTCATCTTAGAGGGTCCGACGAGGAGATACTGACGAGATAACTCAAGGTCCCCCTTTATATCGCCGAGATTGCTCCCACCAAAGTCCGCGGAAGACTTATCGGATTGAATAATATGTCAATCACCGGTGGACAGGTAGTGTCGTACGGAATAGGAGCCGCCTTCGCTCATGTGCCTCACGGATGGCGTTACATGGTCGGCTTGGGGGCTGTCCCTGCCATTATCCTCGCCTGCCTCTTGCCGTTCTGTCCGGAATCACCCCGTCAACTTGTCTACCATGGCAGAATCCCCGAAGCTGAAGCGGTCTTGGCCAAGATCTACAAGGGAGCCACGGCCGAACAAGTGCGAGCCAAATGCGCCCTCATCGCAGCCGCCTGCGAGGAAGCCAAGGAACTCAACGATGATCAATCCCGCTGGTCCAAGATCAAGCAACTGCACACCAATCCTGCCTACTTCCGTGCCTTGGTCTGCGCGTGCGGCTTGATGGTCATCTCGCAGATGTCCGGCTTCAACGTCCTGATGTACTACTCCTCCACGCTCTTTGACATTGTGGGCTTCTCGAACCCCGTTGCCGTCGGTCTCGTTGTCGCGGGCACAAACTTCGTCATGACCTGGGTCAACATGATGCTCGTCGACCCCGTGGGCCGCCGCCGACTGCTGATCGCCACCGTCTGGGGCATGAGCGCGGGTCTTGTGGCCGTCGCCATTGCATTCAGCTTCATCCCTATCGACACCAAGACATTGGCCATCGAAACGACAAAGGTGACTACGCCGGCTATCGTTGTGCTCGTCTTCATCATCTGGTTCGTTTTCTTCTATGGCGTCAGTGTTGGTAAGTTCGCTCAGCCGGGAGTCACACTCCTCTCATTCCCGACCATCCAGAATCTTTACTGACACAGATTCTCCCACTAGGCAATACTGCTTGGATGTCAACCGATTTCTTCCCCATGGAAGTCCGGGCCATGGGCACCATGTGGCTCACCTGCTCGTGTTGGGGGTCCAACATCATCGTGTCGTCGACCTTCCTGTCTATGATGAAAGGCTTGACGCCGACAGGCGCGTTTGGGTTCTATGCCGGCATCTGCGGCGTCGGCTGGCTCCTGATCATCTTTTTCTACCCGGAGGTGTCCGGCCTAACCCTGGAGGAGATTGGCGAGGTGTTTGAGCATGGATTTGGCGTGCGATATGCGAGCAAGCTGAGGAAGGACAGAAAGGCAGACATCAAGCAGAGGACGAAAGAGCGCGGGAGGACTATTGCCGTCGGACACTAAGTCACCTGCCACCGCAAAGAAGGTGGACGAGAGATTGCCATTGTTTTGTACAGGGATTGCGAGATGTTAACCCCGTTTTTGTTTTCCCTCTCTCCCTCGCCCCCTTCGTCTTGCTAGGTTCACCTAGGGGCATGCGCCGGCATGTGGTGGCTGGATATCCGCAATAGATTGGGAGCGACGGAGTACGCAGTTTATATGCACATCAAATGCAGATGCACATATCGCCTGCTAAAATTCTAGCGGAAAAGGAACATTGACACCAGCCACTCTTGCCCCTTGTTCCATCCATGTGCTCGGTCTTTGTCCCTTCCCGCCTACTTTCGGGCTGTTTCTTGAGTGGCTGACTGAGTGGCTTGCGGGAATCTTCCAATGCCGATGATATATGCTCATGCCCATGCCACGGGAACCAAAAAAGAAGTCACGAATCACTCTCGCAAATCTCCTCTAACAGCTTCCAGCTTCTATCCTCCCGGCCCCCTCGCCCTGGTCGGCAGATTCTGGTCGTCGGCGGCGGACAGGGCGGGGCCGAAGGAGCGCCCGCAGCGGAAGGACCAGTAACGCGACAGGGCGTACCAGACGTAGTTGTCGGCGTTCTGGAGGGACTGGGACTTTCCGGTGCGCGGGTCGGCGGGGAGCTGGTTGATGCGCATGGTGTTGTACGGGCCGTAGGCGCCGCCGGGGACCCAGGGCCCGTCGTAGTCCCAGATGCGGTGGTCGTGGTCCGGGATGAGCCTGTCATAGTCCGGCACGCTGAGGAACATCCACGGCCAGTGCAGAAGCTCGTGCAGCACCGTCGATCCCATCACCTTCATGAACGCCGTGTCACGGTCGCCGAGCCCGGCGCACCCGAACCCAGGCAGAGGTGTGCCGTCTGGCATGCCGCCGGCTCTGGCCCACGCGGGCGGGTTCTCCGTGTCTTTGAGTGAGAGGCGGTACGTGAACAGTCCGCTCCCGGGACACAGCGAGATCAGGCCCGAGAAGCGCGCGTCGGCGCTCGTGTCGTAGATGGTGTACGCGTTGTCCCCGCTGTCGAGGCACGAGTGGCCACTTGCCGGTGGATTGAACGGGTTGTCTCCGTAGGCGATGCACAGGGCGAGGAAGTCCGGGTTCCACGTCGAGGCCGGGCCCGAGGCCGACAGCAGCTGCGGGATGTCCTGCGCGTTGATTTCCATGAAGAGGTCCATATTCGCGATCGTCTTGAATACCCGCTGCACGAACGTGTAGTCTTGTGGTTGGAAGTACCGCAGAAACGCCTGTGTTAGGAAACAAAATACGGATTTAGTCTGATGCGCGGATTGTTTTCTTTCTTTTTGGGGGGTGGGCCTGGGTTGCTGGCGCTCTCTCACTTACCGGGTCACAGTCAGTGGCGGTTATCGCGACCACCTTTGCAAGCGTCAAGGCATCTTTGAACGCTTGTGTGACATTCCGCTTCGCATTTTGAACAGTGCCCGGCGGGTAGGCGAAAACCGGGGGTGCTGCGAAGCTCAGATTCAGGTTGAAAAGAAGCAGGACAACAAGTGTCGGTGTCGCTCGTGCAACAGTCTTGAAGCTCATCATCTTACTCGGATGGGGAATGCTGGGTGGGTGCCGAGCACACACACACGGAACGGAGACGTATGGTTAAAGGAGACTCACATCGGGTTCTAAGTGAGGTTTCTCTTTTCTTCAACAGAAAGAAAGACGCGCCTCACTGGTACTTGTACCTGACCTTGACAGATCTGATTCGATTCACTCACCATCTTCACTCAATCAGTGAAGGAGACGCTTGAAGCGTCACAGATTCCCCGTGTTAGCTGCGAATGGCACTGGACATCTACTAGGAAGCACAGGGCTCTCGAGATCTGGTGATAGTTTGGTGCTCTCAAGTTGTCTTGAACAACGACCGCGAAGGAGAGCGAACAGTGAGAGTATCTCCTTTTTTCTCAGGGTGCAAAACGTAGACAGAGAGAGTTTCGCGGCTCAGGAACGGCTTTCTTAGTAGCTTGCGCCCTAGGATACGCCAACATCAGCTCAAAGCGTGTGATTAAACTGAAACATGGGGTGATATTGGGTTCAGTGGTAGTATGTATCTCGAGGGATCATTTTTTTGAGGGGTCAGGGGAAAGCCCGTCTATTCTCAGAACACGTTTCCCGGCCCCTTCCAGTTGAGAACAGCCACGGGTTCTTTGACTGGAGTCATCTTCATCAACTTGCCGTAGAACTCCATGCCTCTCTCTTTCCCATGGCCGACAATGCACATACTCCGTCTCAAATGGGGCATGTCCTCGACGACTTCCTGGACACAGCTGATGAGCCACTTCCCCAGGCCCCGACCCTGCCATTCAGGGAGGATAAAGACGTCCGTTAAATAGAGCAAAGTAACGCGATCGGTGATACAACGGGCAAAGCCGATGAGCGAAGGCGTCCGTTCCTCTCGTTTTGTTCCTGCTGACCGTGGATGGGTTGTGGTATTATCACCGTTCACGTCTGGTTTGACAGATGTTGCGATCTCATGTAATGTCTCCGCAGGATCGGAAGGCGCCCGAGCAGCACCCGTCTGACCTCGATCTGCCGGCGGAGGCGGATCCGGTGTAGGCGAGTAAAGGCCAAAGGACAGTGAATTATCTAGCATATCCCGCATCACTGCTTCGGGGAGTGGTGAAGCCCAATACATCTCCTCTGAGGCAAAGGCCTGGTTAAGCGTGTCGATAGGGATCAATGATGTGTCCGTCGATATCATGAAGCCATCTCGAGTCCATGTTTTGGACGTCTCCACGGCCTGAGCGACGTGAGACATTGCGTCTGATGGAGTCGCAAGGTACGAGCCTCGAGCGTCTTGTTGGGTCGTAGTTGAAATCAGTTAGGATCAATTGGACTGGTGGCACGGCTGGAGGGACTTCTGGGAATGCCACTTCTCAAGTACCCTGTACTCTGAACACAATGCTATATGGTGGATTTGTGATGATCGTGCTGCTGTTTGACTCATGAAGTTCTTATATCTCCACTCCTCATCCTTCCAATTCTGGTAAGTTTTCCGAATGTGTATGGAGTCATTGATGCTGCGAGGCTGGAAAAGGCAATGGAAGCAGGAGTCAAATGAGATTGTCAGGGTCAACGTCAATCCAGCAATAGGGGTTCAGTAATGCTCGTATGCTACAGCAACCCTCATCAAGAGGCAAAGTGTGTTACAGTCCTCTACCCAAAACGAAACTCCGCTTCGTCAAGCCAGTTAGGCTACAAAATCCATCATCGCCAGAAACAGAGGCCCAGGCTCAGGGCTAGAGGCTGAACACGGCCAATAAATCACAATTCCAACTTCATTCTCATTTCCGGCTCCTCCACCAAGTTGAGCGACTCCTCAAACTCTTTGCCAGCCGGTCCAAAGTACACTTCAAACAAGTTTCTCAAATCCTTCGCTCGCAACTCCATGTGGTCACCGGGCAAGCTTACGAACCTCAAACCGCCTTTTTCATCCAACTTCTTCAGCCCAATCCAATCTTCCTTGTAAATAGGCCTAGATCTCAGGGGTGTGACTGAGTTTTCGGTTTGGTTGAATTCTGCGAACCATGCACTCTCCTTGGGGATCAGCGTCTTGTCGTTGAAAAAGAGGATCATCACGAGTCTTTCCAAGGTCGCCAAGTTTTGGGCGTACGTGACGTTCTTGAGTGTGCGCTCGTTGTTGATGTCCGCCAGATAATTTGAGTGCTGGAGGTAGTTGTCAAAGTCTTTGGTATCGCGGTAATACTGGGCAGGAACCAGTCTCGATTGGATGAAGTCGGACCAGACAGTGCTGCTCTTGAGAAGTGCGTTGGCGCCTTGACAAATCCAATCCGACGACGAGGCGCATTTCTGAAACTCGGCGATACCATTGTGCGGAGATCCAAAAGTGATCAAGGATCGAACCTTCGGTGCCCAATTGCCGCACCTCTCGACATAGCCTCTCAGAAACACGCCACCTTGGCTGAATCCAATTGCGTCGACGGCCGGTGCCGTACGCAAAATATTGTCATCAGCCAGTATGTGACAGACGGAATCGACTTGTTCAGTGACGTTACCGAAGAACGAAGCCTGGCGATCTGCAGAGCCGGGGCTGCCTCCCAGGGTGATGATGTATGTATATGTACCTGGATGGATGTTATCCAACATAGCCGCCACCTCCTTAATTCCTTTTGCATCGGCTGAATCCCCCAGACCGTGCCAGATCACCACGGGAAGAGGTTGATCGTCGTCGGAGCCATCGTCGGCTATCTTCGGGGGTGAAAAATACTTGGGGGAAAGCCTTGTAACCTTGACCCAGTCGTCTTCCACAATCTTCTCGACGGTATGAGGGAGGTAAGCGATTTTGGGGGTGAGTCTGAGCTCGTCTGCAGCCTCCCTGTCCGCCTCTTTAGCAGCTTGCGATACCCGTCTTCCGGCATATTTTGGTGATAATTGCACGTCGTGTGCAGCGTGCTCGGACAACCGGTCAAGAGAGGCTCCAGGTTGAGTCTGGAAGACTTCGGGATCAGGAAAGATAACGATGGAAACGACAACGGCAGGCAGCGCCAAGAGGGCCGACAACAGCGTGAACCGCATGTTTGCAGCCGTCACCGCGTGCAAAACTATTGAGAGAGATGCGAGAACAGATGAGTTCAACTGAAGACCAGCTTCACGATGGAAAGAATGATGTTGCCTGCGATGGGATGCTGACTTATCCACCAAGCTACTTGGTGACTTGGATGGAGTCTCTTAGTGACACCCACATCCCTGCTCGCTGGAGCCCGGACTTGTAAACCCCGGATCTTGGCAGGTACCAGCGCACAATTTTACGTCATCAGCTTGGATACTTGGATACTTGAATACTAGTCACGTTGGAATTGGAAATCCTTCTTGTGCATTATATCGACCATTGAGAGCACTGTGTATCCCTTATACTCTCTGGGAAGCAATGGAAAAGACACCCTCCCGATAAGTTCCGACGCCAGCCATCCGGTGGGTATCATGAGAAGCCAGCCATCCTCCCCGTTTTTCGTCTCCCAGGGAAGCAAGCGTATAACAACCTCCTTTTGCCAATCCAGACTCCGAATGCAATCAATATTTCCCTCATCCCAGCAAGCCCAATCCATCTTCCTCCGCTACAAGGACCCGCACCTTCTTCAAATCCTGAGTCCACTTCCTCGTGACGTGCAGCCACATTTGCTTCTCGTCTGACCGCTTCTCTTCGACAAACTTCTCCAAACTCGGCTTAGTCTGCCACTCTTCCCACCTTCGCCCATCTCTTACCAGCATCTCGCATGTGAGGTGAGGATATTGTGCCCGTGCCGATGCAATGGCGTCCCTGTCTGCCTTCATGCGGAAATCTTCCAATTGACAAGGCGGACAAGGGTGATCCTGGTGAGGTAGATACGTCGGCAAGCCCATGTAATGGGGCGTCGGGTAGTGCGAAGACGAAGTACACGAAAAACGGAATCCCTTGGAAGAGAATGATGTTGATCGACTAAATCTGCGTCCCAACTCCCCACATTCTGCAGGCTGTCGAGCCACGCCTGGTAGAGGGGCGGCGACCTTGGAGGGCACTCGAGATATCGGAGAGGACGGCGGCGTGATAGAGGAGCCCGATGAATTGGAATCTAAACTTCCAGTCGACGAAGAGGAGCATCCTCGTGACGATATAGGCCGAAGGTTCGAGCCCGACAGCCTGTTCTGACAGTTGTAGCATTTGTAGGGTTGCTGGGGGAGCTTCACTCCCGTCGTCTTGAGGAGGGGGCATGGCCCCAAATTGCATATCTCGAAGCCCATCAGAATACCATGTCCACAACAAAACCGTAGCACATGGGCCTTGCACATCTTGAGAGTTGTCCTTTTCCAGAGTATTGGGTGAAATGGTTGTAGGAGATCGCCCCAGTCGTCTGTAGAGTGGAGATTATCTAAGGGGAAAAAGAAAGGCGCAAATGAAACGGCAAATGCTTCGAAGGTCCGAGCGCTATAGTGGCATTCTCAATAGGTGACGCGTGCACATTGAGGCATCAGACAAACAGGTTTCGGCGTCTGTCGACTGATGTGCTGGTCGTCCGGGATTGAGGCGTAGGAAACGCGGGGGAAAGGAAGGGCCGTGTGCAGGAACAGCCAAAACAAGTGTCCGTCCAGGGCCGCAACGGCGAATGGCAGGGTTCTTGCTGGCGAGCTTTGGGCAGCAGCGCGTATGCAGAGCGGTTTGTACAACCCCAAGTAAGCGAGGCGTCACGGCGTCATGAGACTCAGCGAGCGAGAAGCCGTCGAGGGCCGTCGAGGCCTTATACAGAAGGATCCGAAAGTCCGTGTCAAAGATGGACGAGGTCTCAGGTCGCGGAGATGACAGGGTAATTAACCGTCGACCGGGAGTTTCAAAAGTTCCCCAACAGGTGGCACTGGCGAGCAATTAATACTATGACGGTAACTGCCATGAACGAGCGGCACAGAGAGGGTCCAAGTTGGCTTCGGGTGCCAACGAGGGGACTCTGGAAGTAAATGACGGACAGCGAATAACGACGAGGGGAAGAGGTTCAAATGGAGAAGGGAAAAGATTGAGAGAATCAGGATAACCGGGGGTAGGGTCGACGGACTAGGGGAAAAAAGAAAGACGAAAAGGTGAAAAGAGACGCAACCAAGCAGAACAATAACGCATAGAACGGAGACGGGGTCGTCAAAGGAACGAACTCTGATCGGCTGGGATAGGATCGATTGACGAAGAGAATAGTTTTTTCGTTGGATGGTTTGAGCGAGGTGGAGATGGCACCAATGAGGGGTGAGTAGGGGTCTCGGGGCTCACTAGGCGCAGTTGCAGCACACCAAAGCGGCTTTGCAGCAAGCGGCGCAGGTGGAAAAGGAAAAAGGGTGGGATGTCGAAATGTACAGTGGGAGCCATGAGGACACCACCTGTCGATCGCCCCTCGCGGGGTGGGATGTTCAAGCATAGTGTCGCCTATTGGGGGCTAGGAGGCCACCGAGGAGCTGGTGGGCTGCTACCGAGGGGTTGCTTCGTTGAGCCTTTGCCTAGGGTCGCCCAGCTTGTTCCTCTCTCTTGGCTGCAACAGGCGTAAAGTGCGCAGTGGACACCCACCTGACCCCGCCTCTCTGCTTGCAAGTGGGTTGGACCTCACCCTCACTCACCTCGCCTCTGCCCACCCTCACGCTCTCTCTTTCCTTTGATGGAACAAACTTCGCTGGCTTACCTTTGTGCTTTATCGTGGGGTTTTCTTTTGGAGATATCCCATTCTCATGTCATCATTTGAGCCCTTTGTGCGGTATTATTTCTGCGGCATGCCGCCTGAGGCCCGCAATGACTTCTCCGGCCTTCCCTCGCCGGCGGCTGCAACTCTGAGGATGACGACGGCCTCGGAAGAGGACAACGGAGGAAGAAAGAGTTGCATTGACAAGCGGCAACGAACAGGGTAAAATCATGGCGAAAGACGGCAGGCTTCGCCCCAAGAACCTGACAAGACGAATCACTGGGGGTTTTTTTTTTTGCTCCGAAGCGTCTCGAAATCTCGGCCAATAACCAACCGGGGTACGCAACACGGTAACGTGGGCCAGACTCATCTCTGCTCGGGAATATACTTGCTAGAATTTTGACCCAGAAAACATGCCTGGCCCGGGCCTTCGTACTGGGTATTGCACGGCTTCTCTCGGCATTCCAGAAGGCGCGCTTCGCCAGGTAGATTCCCTCGAGACCATGACTCGTCCACCTAGTCCAAGTCCCACCAGGCGGTTGTTTCCAGCAATCAATGTTCCATGCACGACGCACGTCAACTTCAACCCCAGAAATGCCACGCCCCCGATCCACCACAATGATGGCTCTCCATGTTCCCATCATTGCTGGCTACAAAACCTCTGAATGAACTTACTTGGCCGGATTTAGAATTAGACTTTGGGTGCAGACACGAAAGAGAGACGACCCTAGGTAAGTGTGGGAAGCTGCTCAAGCGTGCCTCCTCGCTCCCTTCGACGGGAGATGATGTCCGCCGTCAGTGACGACGCACATCTCCCGACCAGCGCCACATGCTCTGTTATCGGGTGGATACCTCCATAGGACCGTGAGACGTGCCGCTAATCTGGGCTCTGACAGGTCCGGGAAGAGAATGACGGCATTGGCAGGATACGAGGAGAGAGCGATACCGACCTTGTACATACGCAAGCACTTTATTTTCGGGCAGATACCGTTGGGCCACTGCCATCTTCGATAAGCACAGCTTCGGTCCTGCGTCAGTCACCATGTTTTGTGCAGGATCATCGCTCAACAGGGCCCTCAGCAAGTACCGCACTGAGTTTGTCATGAGGACGGCGGACGTCTCCAGTCAAGAATATTTCACTCCAAACGCACCTTCATTCGAAACTGATCGACCAATTATGAATGGACCTTGAATTTAATCTAGCAATACCCGATTCCGAGCAAAACCCTGCTGGTGGTGCATATCAGCGGCTCGTCAATCGGCCGCCAGGTAGACGAGGGCCCAGCCCCGTCTTGATTGCCATGGATTTGATTCGTGCACTCGACCTTCTTCACTCCTGACCTCCCTAAATGGGCACTGCTTAACAGCTGCATTTATCTTGAATCACCTGACTCATTGGTTGCTGTGTTGTAGTACATGACGATTTTCTGGATCTTGAAAACATTGTCACGATTCGGAGGCCCAGCTGTCCAACCTGTTGCAGCAGTCATTAGGGACGGCTGTGATAACACCGGAACACACCCGGTACGCACCTTGATCACCGTTCGCCCAGTTATTCCAGACCATTTGGCCCGCCACGTTTGGGATGTTGTCGGTGAAGTTTTTCTGACAAACGCCATCAATGTAAAAAGCTGTGAAGTCCGCGGTCCAGTCAATTCGATACTCATGGGCATGGGTGGTGCAGCTAGACGGAGCCGGTCCACTTTCGCACGATTTGTCTATCTTGGTGGGCTCCACGGCTTGATTTGTGTACCAGAGGGGTATTGGGGCGTCGGGGCCGTTGTTCGATAGCGATGTCGGATCGGTCAAGTATTCGATATCACACTCTTGAGTGTCATTCTTGTAGAAAAACATACCTATCGTTGTTAGAATATACGGTTTCCGAGAAGACGATTAACGTGGAGACAGACCATGGCAGGTGCCGGGTTCGGTGCTAAATATGGCAGTGGTTCGAAAGCTTCCGTACAAGATGTTTTCATCCGCGGTCGTTACTTCAGCACAGCTGATTGCATAGCCATTCTGCTTCGAGGGTTTCTGGCCTCCTGGAACTGTCAAACGGAGGAATCCCTTGGAGCACCGAACGTTTGCCGGGTCGTATCGCTCGTTGTATGGAATGTTAACCGAATCCCTGCAGTGAACAGTGTAGTTGCTCTTTGTGAGGCCATCGGGCAGCAAGTGTCCCTCAAATGTGTACACGGCTCGTTTGGAGAACCTGCCAACATCTGGCACCACCCACACGTCCCCGTCTCTAGTCACTCTTTGGTCCGCACCAGGATTCTCGACGCTTGGCGTTGGTGTCTTCGGGGCTGCAGGGCTTGTGTCCTCTGAAGAGAAAGGTGTCAACAACGTCTCGTGGTGGCTAACATGCGCCCGTGTGTGCGGATCAAGGGAAGTGATTGGGGAGAAGAAGGATGAAGAAGGTGGAAATCACAATCTGCGTGATTAAGACATGCAGTGTCATGGAAGTAGGACCAGTCTCGTAGACTGGTATTTGAGACGTTGCCCAAGTCGTTGGAATCATCGCATGATTGTTTCCAGGTGTGATACAGAGAGGTGTCACGTCGTGGGGTTGACTTACTAGGCGTCGCCTGTGCAGTTGGCTGATTCTCCTCAACCTGCTTTGTTCGACGTCTGCCACAGCAACCAACGACTGCGCTCTCCTAGAGCTCCTTCACTTGCAGCATGGCGGCTCAGATATGGGTTAGGGATGGTACGTAGGGATAGGAATTCTGCGACCATGTCAGCTTGTGGTTCAGTGACCTCGTACCTCTGACCATGTCTAGGGGCCGGGATATCACATACCTTTAAAGAGCGTAATAACAGTGCTTGAAAAACGATTGTGAGGAATCAGATACTGTTGGAGAGAGCGGGTGCAGCAGCTGTTGGTGGGATGATAATATTTGGTCTTGGGGAGCGAGAGAAACACCTGAGAAATCGACTGCGCCGCTCAGCCAGGGTTGCCGACGCCCACTGAGCTTTCCTTCTAAGTTCCCAGTAATGAGAAGGAGCGAGACGATAAGCCAAAGCCCAATTTCTAGGCTCGAAATTTCCACTTGACCTCATATCCAAAGACAGTTCTGCGAAGTGTTTCATCTCCGGGATCGTTTTCAAACATGACTTTATCCATGGTTTGCTCTAATATCTTATTAACCACAAAGCCATCGGCGCGAGCCAGGTCAAAGAAATGGAGATCTTTGTCAAGCAACCAAGGACGATAAGGCGTGAAAAACACAAGAGCAACTGACTCGCTTGTCCTTTTCAAGCAATCACGGAGTGTGGTCAGCAGTTTTGCATGCTCCGAGTGGTTGAACAAGATGTCGGCCAGGATCAAAAGATCAAATCCGTCAGTATCAGGCAGAACATGGTGTTTCATAGCCTCGCACGGGCCGCCCCAAACGAAGCCCTCTGTTACAATGTTTGATTTGTTCGCTAAAGCGGTGCAATGCTCCACGTTGTAACGCAGGTTTGCAATCAAGTCTTGGTCTGGATAGTCTGTCACCACGACTTTCCGAGCTCCCAAGATAGCGGCAACTAGGCTAGGAAGGCCAGCACCAGCACCCAGTTCCAAGACAGTTTTGTTCTGCACGAGCTGTTTCGCATTCTTCTCGAGATACATGGACGCGACTTGACCCGCGTTCCAGAGCAGATGGCCCTTGACGAGTAATTAGCAGGACGAAGAAACCTCCAGATGAATTGACCAAAATCACACCCATAGAGGACTATGGCCTACAAGTCGAAGCGTGAGACGCTGGCCATTTTTCAGGGTGTAGCTGGTGAAGGTCGGTGGCTTTTCGGGCTCGTAGAAATCAGCAGGCTCTTGAAACATGTCAAGGGATGTGGAATCGTCCGCATCTTCGCTGTGAGCCGTCATGTTCTGTGGTAAATATGGCAGAAAGGATGCTACAGATGATGTTACCAACATTAAAAGAACAGAGGCAGAGAACGAGGGCAAATTTTCCCACAACGTGGCGCTGGGCACGTTCAATGATCCGCCGTATTTTCCCTAGGCAACTTTTGCGTCGCTCAAACAAGAATCAGACTCAGATGATGCTGCCAGTGCTCCTGCGCAAATACTGCATGCCTGCACGCGATCGCCTTACCGCTGCGAGCTTTGACGAAGGAAGCTCTGAAGCATTCACGATTTTCATTGGCTTCTTAAACGATCCATAATGAGGCCCATATCTGCTACGAACAGGTGACAGAGCTGCCTCGAACCACAAAAGGGACTCAGTCCACCGCCAAGTCACTAAGCATCACACAGATATCGGATACCGTCTTTCACCAGTCTTTCGAAACCTTCGCTGTAGGACTGTGAAGCCGATATGTGTCTTCATGGTGATGATGACTCCAGGCAGTCCAAATCAAGCACTTCCAATATCATGTGATAGTAGTGCCACCCAGTGCGTCGTCTCGAGACGGATCATACATTGTTACCAGTACTTCATCCTCGTGGATACCTACCTGGCTACCTGAGCTTGCTGTCTCCAGTTTTCAGGGAGACAGTACGACCATCCTCCGCTTCCGTCCTTTCCCGATGGCCTTGAGCTCGGGATCGTCATTTTGGGTGTCGGAATGGTGCCAGATCGGATTTCCTTGCGAAAGTAGCATCAGGAATGATCGGATAATATGGAGCCTGGTTGCAGATCAAGCGCGACATCTGGTACTCGGTACCGAGTACATATCCAAGCACAGGGGCAATGCAACCTTGGCCTTGATGGCCTTCTCGCCAAGCAATGCTGGAGGACAGCTTTTTCAGGGGTCTGCTCCGGAGATATTAATAACTACGCTCATAGACTCTCGAAACGCGTGTGGGACAAATTTCTCAAGTTTACCTAGTCATTAGCATTGACCCATGGACTCAACTGAGCGCTTAACAATGCAATCCATGCTGACAAGATCGAGAAGACTCATACTTGTCCCTCGGGAGACGGTTCTTAGCCGCCGTTTCGGCCTCCAGCATGGTGCAGCCAAGTGTGAAGCAGCAATTCAACCATACAACCAATTGAAAAAGGACCACTCGCAGCATTGACTTGGTTACTGCACTCTACGTATTATTGGCCAAGGCCTCGATGGTCACCCCCAACACGGACAGCATCTGAACCGACATACCTGGAGTTGCATGTTCCTCGGCTGTCTTGGGACCGCCTCGGTGGATTTTGGATGATGCCATGTCTTTGTCGTAGCCAGAAGTCTGCCTCATGGCGCATAGTATATCATCGTCCATGCGGTAGTTTGGCGGGCGCGTTTGCGCAGTCATTCCTTCCGCCACATTTCCTCCAACCGTTGCCGCAACAGCTGTGGGAGCTCAATGCGATAGGCACTTTTGAGAAGAGTCCAGCCTTGGGCTTTTCATAGGCCGCCAGCGACCTCAGCTAGGTGAGAATCGGATGACAATACATATCTCCGGACTAGGTCTGCCACTAGCATTGAGTGTTGACCGATGGAGCTAAGATACCTCTGTGCAAGCGGGTATCTGACAGGAATTGGAGAAAAGTAAAAGGCACGCGAGATCCTGTAGGTGGATAGTGCCCTGGGTCACTAATGCAAAGGTGGCCCGGATTCTGCAGGACGATGATGTGATAAAGATTGTTGGTGGTGGCCTGACTCAGGTCATTGACACCAGACTGGCAGTCTCGTTTCTCTTTACTTGTTATGGCCGCAAAGGAGCTCCCAATTTGCGAGGGAGATGTGTGGAGTATTATTACGTCCAGACCCTGACTTGTACCCGAGTACCTCGTACCCATCCAAGGTCCAGCTACTCCTTGGTACGTCCTTGGTACGTCCCACGGAGGACTGCCGTTGAAGGACCGCGGAATGGCGCGCGAGTACAGTACTCGGTAGGGCTACCTGATATGTAATGGAGCATCTAGGCACCGCTAGGGCACTGCCTATCTCATATGTCATCAATCACCTCACTCTGTACATATGTAGCTGAACACTTTCTCGCCGGGGCAATGATAAAGCGGTAGGAACAGATGACCTCGGCAAATGCGTAAAGGACGCTGGGAAGACTGACCGACCACTGCATTGGATGTTATCATGGGGCCATCAGGGCTGGCTGTGTGGTACTTTTAGTACAAATAAGAAGCTGGTCGGCAGATTGTCGGGGCCTGTGGGAAGAATGAGAAGGGCAAACATGCTGGACAGGTCACGATTGTGGGTGTTTTCGATCCCGCATCTGCCCGTCGCCTTGTTACCGCAGTGTTCGCAGTCCACAGTTCGCAGCTGCGGTCCCGTGATCCCGCCATTCCGATGCCTTTCTCTCATTTGCCGCCTGCGCTGCTTCGTTCTTGATGGTGTCAAAATCACTGACCTGCCATTTCTCTTCACCTTTTTCTCCTTCCGACTATCTCTTCCCCCTGATCTGAACCTCTGTCTTCGATCTTGCATCGATTCCTCTACGTGGCCGGCCCATCTCTCGACCAGGTTCCCCCACAGATCAGCTCGGGAAAACGTGCCTCAGGCCATCCAATTGCAGGCGCCCCGCACCACTCCAGACTCTCCTAGTCTCTAGACTCCCAGAACTCGTACAAACGGCAGTCTTCCACATCTCGTCCTCCCCCACGAACTGCTCATTCCGCCAGCCAACCGCTGCCTCGGTCGACCTCGCCATCGATTCCTTTGACTGTAAAGTAGCGCACTCGCCCCCCTTGGGTGGTCAGACATCGTCCCCCAGCTTCCTCGACGGTCCGTTTCCGATCCTCTCCTAGAGAGCGCAGGCCAAAAAGAACTTGGAGAAATTGACATTTGAGGTGCCCGGCTCTCGCTGATCTCTCCAAATTCCCAATTGACCGCCGCACTAATTCTCCGTCCCCCGGCTTTTCTTGCGGCGAGGTCACTGTTACACTCACTTTGACTCTTGTTCTTGTTGTGTACCTCGTGTTCCCTCCCTGCGCCTGATTCCACCCTCCAGAGCAACGACCGTCCAAGTTCAACCTACGACCGGTTGCGACCTTCTTGCAGTCCCTTTGTTGCGAAGAGCCTCTAGCCGCGCGCTGTTTTCAGAAAAGAAGGAGACAATTGAGTTGGGACAAAGCCGCCGTGCTCAGCGGCTACGTGGGTTTTGAAACACACTCCTCCGCCCTGCGCCTAGGATTTGATTGTCAAAATGAGCAGCCATCCGCGCCGGAGTGCCCGACTCTCCTCCCATTTACAACAAGAACAATTTCAGCAAAGGAGCGGTGGTCGTCCTACTTCCACATTCACGAACAGCTTTTCGCAACCCTCGAGTGCCTCGACGAGTTCTCACCCAAGTCCGGTCAGCGACACTCTACAGCCTCCCCCACCGCCTCCTACCCCTCAACAGCCACAGCATCGCATTCAAATACAGTCGCACTTCATGCCTCACCAACAGCAAGGACACCCGCATATTCACGCCCCGTTGCCTTCGCCCTCGGCTGCGCAGATGGGTCCTTTCTTTGGTGGCTCCTACTCCCAGCCTAGCCCATATACCTCCCAGCAGGTACATGCCGGTTATCAAACGCAGCAGCCGTTTGGCGACCAACAACCTCAGGTGCATCAACAACAGCAACAGCAACATCTACATCCGCACACGAATTCCATGTCAAAAGAGCATCCTGCCTACCCGCAGACAATGAATCCGGGCCAGTTGCCGCCTGATTTTCTGGCCGAGGCCGCAAAACGTGCACAGATGGCTTGTTTAATGCGAGACTTGGGAGACGTTTCACTCTAAAGAGAACATTTCACGATGTCCTTCAACCATCTATGTGTTTTCCTCCAACAAGTTCTCGCCACCGGTTGGCTTCTCGGTCGAAAATGGGTGTGCCGAGGGGACATTGACTTTGGCATGTGATTGACCCCAACGCGAATGTTTAGCCACCCACCAAGAAAGTTGCTCAAAAGGACCTTCTTTCCGGAGAAACTCCCTGGAATTCATCATCATGCAGCCGACACTGCAATGGGCAGCCCCTCCAGCACCTCGATTTAATGTTGTCACCTTCCGAATACAATGCGGATCACGGACCACTGCAGTGTCCTTCCAAGGTCCAATGTAACGCTCACGCGAAATTTCTGTCCTTACGTCAGTATCTCCACATTTACGACATGCCATCTGCAAGCCACCTATTGACATTGTTCGCTTCTCAACTCTCACAATTTATTCTTTATCTCTACGATCGGATCCTTTTGTCTTCTCTGGAGTTGTCATTGTTCTCTTGGGTTGATACCCCCAGAACGTTTGTGGCAATTATCTTGATGCAACCATGTACGCTCACCGAGGGCTTAATGAATAATCCACAGTCAGTTTACGGCGAGGGCTTTGTGTATGCTTCTCGACAGTCAGATCGACACACCCACCTTCTAGCGGCTCGACAAAAGGCATAGAGGAGATACTTGTGGGCTCAGTGCTCTCTCTTACCTTGTGCAAAGATTTTGGTTAATTTCTTTTTCCTTTTCATGTTTTAGATGAGCGAAGTGAAGAAATGCATCTCACGGGAGGATTGGAGTTGAAGCAGCATCAACAAACACGTTTGGGAGTATGCTCGAGTTGGGAGTTTTGTTTTTGGGACACCTTGGATATTGACTTCTTTGGTATCTGGGCGACGGCGACGGCGACGGCGACACAACCTGGGAAGGGTGCAAGCGCATACGAGTTACTCTGGAATCATGGCCCTTCATTCAGTCGAGATAAGAAATGATTTAGATAAGACAGATGGTCGGGAATACAAAAAGACTTTCCCTTGATGCAACCCTCCTTTGATGAATGAATAAGTTCTACCCTCTACGGCCCCTGCCTCTTATTTTGCTTCCTTTACTCGTCTTGCTTTCCTCTCCCTTCTCCTCCCCTATGCTTTTCTTTTAGTCCTCGCTTGTCTCTACTTGCTTACTTTCTCCGGTTGTTTTCCTCATTTTTCCACTCCCACCCCTCCCACCCACCCAATCCAATCCATCTCCACGTCCTCAAAATCGTCCAGCTCCGCCTACCTACTCGCTATCTGTCCGCCTGTCCTTCCAGCCCAGATGTGCGCCTAAAACCCTACCACCCTCGTCTTTCGCCGCCCCGGCAGGGATCTCAATGCTCCAATCTACCCGCGGTAAGGGGGAGCACTACCTACTCCGTACTCGTTGGGTTGGACGTGGAGAGGCGGGGGTGGCTTTATTGAGGAACTGGATGGCTTGCTTCCTGCTGGCTTGTTGGTAGGTCGTTGGTGGATGGTTGGCTAGTTGGCGGGAGGTACGTGGATGGACGCATGGATGGGGGCGCCGAAGTGAGGGTCATGGCACAGAGAGGGTGAGGCTGGTGGAGGCGGTGAGAAAGGGAGGGCGAGAGGAAGAGGAAGTCCTCTCTCGTACTGTCGTCCAGGTCTGGACTTGGAAAACGGACTGGGGATCGATCAGATTGCCCCCTTCCATGGAGCCTTGGGTTGGTCTTCTGTTGTCCCCCTTCTCCCGTTCCCCCGCCTCCTTCTCTCTCTGTGTGGGGTCTCCTCCCGATCTCGAGAGCATACCATTATGAGCATACCAACTTGAAGCCGGGACCAGCCATGCAATTTCTCACATGCTTTTCAGTTTCTTTTCTCCCCCGTCTTCTCCTCTTTTGGCAGTTCATTCTGCAGTCCATTCGGCCTCCAAGAAGCCAACGAAGCCTTCGATGATTTCCCTCCGTCCGCTGATGTATCCTTGCCCGTGAGCGATCCCTCCCCGTTGGATTTGCGTGTAATTTCTCCGGAGACGCTGCAGCATGGGCTGTGAGAGTTGAAGGCCGGGTGGGATGTGGATGGTCATTTTCACTGTCGTTGGCGGCTCGGCTGGGTTGGTGGAGGAGTTGGTCGGTTGTGGAAGGGGGATGGAGAGGAGCACGTTGCCACCCTCTCCTCCTTGGGACAGATTCTGTTCGCGAGATTGCGCCAGTAGATGTCTCACCACGTCCATGGTTGCGGATTCGAGGGTCTGAAGGGCGTCCGAGGCCGTGGCGCGAGGGAGAACAGTCGCTGCGTGGGGTTTCACTACAGCCGGCTTCTCGCGCGTCGTGACTGATGCGGGTGAGACAGGTTCACTCGTCCCATTGCCATTGCCATTGGCGTTAGATCTTTGGGATGGAGGTAGTTGGCTCAGCGCTTTCTTGCTGGTCGGTTTGGAGGGCGGGGGATAGATTGCATTCCAGATCTCCTGTATCGGAGGGGTTGCGTCGGACGAGGGAACAGTAAAGAGAGGAGTGTCCCAGCGAGAGAAGGGGGAAGGGGGTTCGTAGCGCATTATTAGGGAGATGAGAGTCGAGGACGAGTATGGAGGAGAGGATGTTGGTGGTGGTATTGGGATCGAGGGCGAGTGAACCGTCGGTTGATGTGGAAAGGCTTCTGGTGGCTTTGATTCCGTTGATGATGGAGGGTCTGCATGTGCCCGGTTGATGTACAGGGACTTAAAAGCCATTTCGTCGTCTAGTAGAGTCTGAGCCACAGCATCTTCGCTATCCTCATTGTCCAACCCGTCCATCGACGAAGACCGTAACCTGCTATTCACATTCTCCACGACCCGATCGCCGTAGATAGCAGTATGGCTTTCCGGGATCAGGTCGCCCAGTATACTCTCCCCTTGCTTGTGCCGCGTTGGTTTGTCCGTCGCGTTCCAATCTCCTTTTCCATCGCCGCCATCGCCACTGCTACCACCTACCTCCTCATCGAAGGCTCTCAGTCTCTCTCGATTCCACCTCTTACACTCATCCTCCTGCGCAGCCACATGGACGACGCAACATCTCGTTCCCGCGGCCTTCGCCTCACACCACAACTGGTATCTGTAGCCCTTGATGTAATTTAATCCATCAGCTATCACGATGTTGTCTTTCGACAGAGCGCGCTTGATCGAGGAGAATTCTTCTGCCCTTGCGGTCTTTTCGTGAGACGCGTCGTTGTAGACCTGGTCTCGAAGCGTAGTGTTTTCTATAGAACTTGAGCTGTTGACATCATCGGCAGACGCATGGTACGAAGGAACGATCTGGATGGTCCTTTTTAATATTGATGGTTCATTAGCGGAGGAGTGGATGAAGCCGGCCAGCGAGGAAGCGATTTGCTGGGCGCGGTACGTTTTGCCCGAGCAGGGGAGGCCTGTGATTATGATGAGCTACAGGGAGAGTCAATTGGTGTGAAGAGGATCTCTCAGATGCATAGGATGGCGTACTCACTGGCATCACATGAGTTGCTCGAGGAACGTGGAAGGGAGTTCCAAGGTGAAATTTTGTTTTCGTTAATGGTGGGGTTTTCGAGGAGGGGCCTCGCCTCGGTGCTATCAGGTGGCTACTATATACATATTAATAGGTGAAACGCACAGCTCTTTGCTCGAATAACCGAGTTTTGGTGTCTCTGAGACAGGCCCCGAAAATAGCTACATTGTTGTGCGTACAGTACATTCACAATTAGTACTGACACTGCTGTCAAGAAATCTCTATCTATCCAACCTCCCTTGCCGAATGCCTCTAGCCGATAGTGCAGAAAAGACAAGGGTCGACCACCTCTGGTTGATCATTTGAACATGTTGTAGGATTTGTCACAATGCATAATGGCCCGTCCCGGAAATGAATCCTAGAGAAAGCTCCTTAAGGCAGATATGTTGGCCAGTCCTGGGATATATAACAACCTCCGGGATTCACATTTCTTCTCCGGCGGAAAATTCGTCCTGTGGCTTGGTCGTATGTCTGAAGAGATAATAGTTTTGAAAAAGTATAACTCGGCAATCCGGTAGAGTCGTGACTTTTTTTTTTTTTTTTTTTTTTTTCTTTCCCACACGGCAGCACTGTTATCCTGTTACACCTTTGGTATTGCCGATCTGCAATACAGAGGTAGCCTGGCTCCATGGTCGGTAGAATGCAAATTCAGAAAAAGAGGGATGAAAACGCTCGAGGCCATCTGGGAGGTAGGTTGCACAGGGTATATATCGCTTCATTGATTTCATTGAGTTAAAAGATGAACAAAAGAAAGAAACTCATGAAGGATAGACCCCGGAGTAAGGTGGTGACACACGGCATGTCCTAGAGATGGCAGGCCTGGGTGAGAACTGGACATCGTCCATTGACACTGTTTGTGGCATCATGGCATCATAGTCCTGGGTTTGAATAGTGTACGCGCCGGGAGCGACATACTGGGCCCGGGTAATAGCCTGGCCGTAGTTCTGAGCTTGGATGGCAGCATTCGCCATCGCATGAGCCTTGGCCAAGGTGGAGGAGTTCGACCTCCTCATGGGAACAGATGTCGGCTTCTTCCTCTTGTTCTGACTTTGAGTGGTTGAGTTCTTCTTGGGAAGAGGTTCAGGTTCCTCGTATTGGTGGACTCGTTTCATATGGTCACGTTGGTTCCATCGGCGAGGAAATCCATTTCCCTCTCGGGCACGGTCACAGTCCGGGAACTTGCACAAGTAGGGGTTCACTCCGTGGTTATGTTCTCCATGGGCTTCTCTTTCGTGGCGAAGGAGGCAGGCGTTGGAAGAAAACCTGAGATCCTCGCATTCCGGGCGATCCGTGAAACGGCAGCGGTATGGCCTTAAATGGGAGTCCACGTATTTGCTGTACGGAGATGAGAATGTTAGAAAGGACTCAGCCTGTATGCAACACATCTGACCTACTTGTAAATACATTTTTGCTTGGTGGGCTGGTGATTGCACTTGAGCTTGTCGAACATAGGGCAATGATAGTGACCACTTTTGTCGGGCCTGGCTTCGTAGAGGGGTCCACTTCTGGCCTTTTCTCGGTCCGATTGATCCTCCTTGGGGCTCCGGGTTTCAGCAGGCACGATAGACGAAACACTTTGGTCAACGACACCATTCCGTTCAGACGCAGATCGAATAGGCCTAGGTCGAAATACACTGCGTCCTTTGAGGCTATTGGCCGCTTGGGTTAGTGACAGATGAGGTGGGGGGAGAAAAAGCAGGGATCTGACCTGTCTGGTGACGCCTTGCAGACGGTGTTGTTCCCATAGAGAGTGGAATCCTGGGCATTCGGGTACATCTTCTCCTGCGAATTCTGGGCTGACAGGCAATCCCGGACATATTCCTCTGGAGGGGGTGTTGGCAGTCTCTGCAGCGAGAAGCCCGGCGAGCTGAAATGAGTCACCATTCCAGGATGGTAGAGGGACGCAGAATCCACGTTCATGTAACCGGAAATCATCAGGTCCTCTGGCTGGTCTTGTCCATGGTATTGCGACGATGGCACGAGGTTCAAGTCTGTGGAGTTGTCGCCTGAGAAAGCCTCCTCTGTCAGGAACTCAGAGGTTGGATCGGCATCAAAGCCGCTCAAGCTTGACATCACGGGGACGGCAAATGCACCGCCAGACACGGTCATGGAGTCATAGGTCATTGCAGAAGACGCTGACAAGAAGAAGTCATCACTGTGAGGATATTGTCCAGAGGGGAAGGCGCCAGGTGCAGTCCCGTGGCACCGGCGCGATCCAGAAGAGGTAGAAGTCAAAGAAAAGTGTGCGTTGGAGATTCCGTCAGCCATGGAGGCAGAACTAAAAGGAATAGAATCCTGGTAAGTCACAGGCATGGTCCTCGGCACCCGGCTTTGAGATCCTGGAATATGTGTGGCCAGTAGTGGGTTTCTCCGGGTCAATGTTGTCGAAGTCATTGTTGAGCAAATAGATTTCTGCCAGTGCGAACACAAGTTAGTACTCGCCCCCATCATACACACAAAACATCCAAGCAACACCAAAAAAACAATAGCATTGTCAAATGGAAACATGGGCGCGATTGGGCATGTCCGAGCGGAGGGGCGGAGATGGTCAACGGCCGGGTATGTCGACGACTTCCGGTCAGAAGCAGAAGCTAGACACTTCAGAGCTGCAAGTTCCGAGGCAATAAAGGTAGATTGTCGACATCGTCCGTATATGCTTGACAAAGGGCGAAACCTTTGACAAGGCAGTTGTCCAAGAAGGCGAGATTAGCAAGGCATGGGACAGCGACCCGGTGGGCGACGAAGTCCAGAGGCCCTGGGTTCCGTCCGAACGTTCAGCATTCTAAGTCCAGTGCACTGCAAGGTCGCAAAGAAGAGTAACAATGAGTCCAGTCCGTGCCATTTCCTTGGCGGTCACTCCAATGATTTTTTTGAGTGTTTTAACAGTGAGTTTTCATGGAGTGACAGACTTCGATGGTAGTCCTCAACATGGCGACATCAATAATGTGATTCCAGGAACTTGTGATATGGCGAGATTGTCGCAAAAGATAAACTGTCCCCAGGGAAGCGGTTAGGTCGATCACGCAGTTGTTGGAAGTCGTATGTCAAGCACATAAAACGAAGTATTCCGGGGGTCATGTAGCAGCACAGACGCGATCCAGGGTAGCATTATCTTCAAATGGCCAATCCATAGGAGTCTCCTTGGTAAAAATTTGTCCGGTATCATATAACGGCTCCTTCCAAAGCGGTATCAAGGATATCCATGGGAAACTGTGTCGGGCTCCAGGGTCTTTTTGCATTTCATTCATTTCATGTGCTCAGAAACGTGACCCAAGTCAACGTATCCATACAGCACAGAGAGAGCCTTGGGCGAAAAGCCGCAAGGATTGGGTATACGTGCGCCTGAAGCAAGTCGGGCGACGTTTTGAGATCCTCGGGGGGAGAACTGGCACAGAGGCAAAAGAAAAAAGCACTAGCGTCGATGCAAAGGAAAAAGAAAATCTTGCAGTACCTCAACAACACGCTGCGACGCCGGCTTGTGTCAAGCTAAATGCTTGTCGAGATTCGAGTTCCTCGGGTAAATTTGTCCTGGCAATGGAGATGGAAAAAAAAAAAAAGCAAAGAACGCAATCCCTGGGATATCCGGGTTGGGTTGTCCTGTGGATGATAGAAGCAGTAATTCCTGATGGGCCAATGGATTGAGTGCAGTTGGGTTGTCCAAGGTAATGTCGGTGATGGTGGTGATGTTGGATGGATGTGGGGATAGATGTTAAGAGGTGTGTTAGGTGGGTAATCTCTTGATCACAGGCAAAGGTGAGAACAGATAGGAGTGTTGCAGAGAGGAAAAAGAGAAAAGCATTGGGGAGGGAGGGTGACAAGAGAGTTATAAAGAAAGGGGGGGGAGGATGAGTTGGCGGATGAGAGGAAGGGAAATGGGGTGAGAAGAGGTGAGCGAGGGTGGACGGGAAAGTGGGAAAAGTGGGCAGTGGCCGAGCCACGGCGCCTTGCATTGGATGTTCTGGCACTCTGGATCCGTCGGCTGGTCACACAGGAGCATGGATCCCATCACTGAATCCATCACAGATAGTGGTGATAGGACCAAGTTGCAGCAATAGTCGCAGCTGGATGCAGCGCTGCTGCAAGTCCCGCTGCTGCATGTTGCCCTGCGAAGGTGGTCGACGAGGTGGCAGACACAACGCAGACAGCATCACCGCCGCCCTGGAACTTGGACTTGGCAGCCCGGTCCGACGCTGGCCGCTTCGGCTGCAGCCAGCTGCCTCCGAAACACCGATTACCACCTACCAAGTCACAGTCAACGTCATCTGTGGGGGCAGTCGGGCGCTGTAGTTGGTAGTCTTCGCGCTTAGCGCGGGGCGCGACTCCATCCCACCGCATCTGAGTGGCCCAGAGGCTCAAACCAACAAATGGGGCCATGATCAGCAGGGGGCACCTTCATTCGTCGCCCATCCCTTGGCTCCGCCTTGCTGGCTGCTGGCTCTGACATGGACCCCTCAGCGTCCCATCCTACCCATCCTGCCATGCCATGCTCACACTGTTCCAACCTCCAGCAACCACTCGCAACAGGCGTGGCTGGCGTGATGGAAACATGGGTGCATGCACAGTGCAGCACACAGACTCCTGACGTGGCATCCTCCAGGACCAACAGTCTGCTCTTGTGACTCGCACTCGCACTCGCATTGCAGGGAAGCTCGTCTTTGCAGTTCAGCACGCAACAACTCATCGACCGCCGTATTGGCAGGGGAGAGTACCGTGCATTCAGCGCGGTTTGGAATGCTCATAGTTTTTCCCTGCCGCGTAAGTAATTGCTGGAGCCTGCGCTGCGGGCTGAGGTCCAGATAGCCTCACGTTGCACAAAGGGAGCGAAGCACGGGCTGTGTGTAACCTGTTCAATTTTCTCGCTCGGGCGCACCACAAAGGATTGGTCGAGAGAGACGGCCTCATCGTGAAATGGTGCTGCTGGCATCCACGGAACTTTGGTTTGAATGAAAGCCATGTTGAACCGGAGGGCTCACGTGATCCTACCGGTACAACGCACAAATGGTTGCCACCGCTCTATCACGCTTCACCGCCTATCTATGTACAAGTAGAGAAAATTTTGATTGGCTCAAGGCTTGCGCTATACGCTTCCACCAGGCTTTGACTAAGATCTGAAGGGACGTTGAAATATCAGAGCACAAATTGGTAGAGTGACAAGTCTTGTCGGATTGGTTTCGACAGAGCTGGAAAGTGACATTGAAGGTTTCTGGCCGTTCAGCACATCATACAGTATCAACGGCCTGACTCTGGTAAAAACAGATCGATGATCATCCGGCGCAAGGGGATCCCACAATCCCGGCGCCGATCTCAGCAAACATGGGCGGTCCGACTCATGCCGATACTTGCACACTCACCAGCTCCCTAGCTAAAAGCGGAAAGCTACGAGAACAGTCTGCGAAGATCACGGAAACGTACCTGCGTAGACCACATCATTAGCAAAACTAAGTCAGCCGGTTGCGGGGGTGACAATAGTGGAATGGCTGCTCGGGCGAGGTTCAGAAGATTGAATGATGGATTTGTTCTCGTCAAAAACGTGACGTCTCGGTTGAACTATGCTTTTTGATTGGGGTTTTCATCACAATGGAATGGGTACTCGGGTTGTAGACTGAATCACGCAAAACTGAACTCATACCTGGGTGTGGAGACAACTTTGAAGCACCTTTGATGGCAGAGAAAATATTCGTTGACGGGGAGACCGAAGACAGACGCTTCTTTGTTTTTTTAGTAGGTCTCGAGAGTCATGGTCCAATGCTCGTAAGAAAAGGGTACGACCAACTGTGTGTTGTCATTCGAAAAACTTCAAATAGGAAGCGAACGTAGAAAGTGGGAAATTCGAAATGGCAAGCAGAATGTCAATGCCACGTGATGCGACAACACGGCTTGGCAGGTTTGGCATGTTGGCTCCTCGGTGGGATTTGATGGCGCTCCAGTTGTGAAAGGAACTGACACCTTCCAGCCTCGACCCCAGCGGCAGCGGACAATTGAAGCCAGCGCCTGTCATGACTGGCCGAGGGGCTACCTCCCACGGTGTCGTGGCCACATCCCGTGCTACATCCTGCTGCGAGATTGGTCTGCCCAGCACAGGTTCTAGATGCATTTAATATCAGGGGGAGGTCGTGACCCTTCGCGACCCGACTCGACCCCACCTATTTGATATCGAACTGGTCGCAGTTGATCGAGGCCTGAGGTAACTTATCTCGAAAACGACGATATAACAGTATGTCACGAGTATGGCTAGTAGATATTGGAAGGGTTGATGGATTTGAACCAGAGATGGAAGCTGCAACGGCGTCGCACAGAAGGCGGAAACACTCCGAGGTACCGAGTAGTGTCCTGACACACCCTCGCACAGTATACAGTCAACGGAAACCCACCACTCTTCCTGACAACTTGTAGCTCCGTGCAACCATGATGTTGCCATCCGTTTCTTCGCTCTGATGTACTCCGTACATTTCTCCATTGTCGTGTTGATCTCACCGGGCTGGGATGAACTGGACGGGTGGCAGCCTGCAGCGTCACTCCAAAGCCAACGCCAATGCACTTGTCAAGAAACAGAAGCAGCATTTTGCACAGGCCAGACTGAGACCTGGATCTCGCCCTTCCTGTCCTCCATCATCTGCATTCTCTATACACAAGGCTCCTCGGCAGCAACTTGCTCTGAAGACGCGACAGTTCCCTAGGAGAGCGAGTGAAAGCGAAAACCCAGCATATGGCCTCGATAGGAAAGAAGAGGGGTCAATTGGTGGACGGCAGCCTTCAGAGACGAAGATCTTGCGATCCTCGGATGGACAAGTGAAAGGCCAGGCATCTGATGATGAGAGACCCTCTAGGCAAGGGAACAATGAGTTCACTGTTGGATCCAATGCTAATAACATCCACAGGCAGATGGGGAACGCCGACAGCCTTGAACACGCCCGCAAAGCTCTACTCGGAAAATCCGATTGGGTCTCCATCGCAACCGCGCGGCCAGTCAGGTTCAATCAAGTTATTCGAGACGAGATCAAAGGACTCGGCCGTCGACGCAAGAGAGCACAGTTAAAGCAGGGAACTTCGATGCCCCAGAGAAATTCAGGCCAGGGAGAATTACGCTCCACACGCCCAGCTCGACACGTTCCTTCTTTGCGGAC